TGAGGAGTGTCTATGGCCATGACGGCAGCTCGCAGCAACCATGCCAGACCAATGTGTTTATTTGAGGAGTGTCTATGGCCATGACGGCAGCTTCCAACAACATCCAACAACATCCAACAACATCCAACAACATCCAACAACCATGAACAACCATGGCAGACCAATGTGTTTATGTTGAGAAGTGTGCATGCAGCAAGATCAGCCAGGGTCCGGCGCTACCAGTACCTAACTACGGCAGTGCACCAGACGGAGCAAGATGCAAAGCAACGGACAAAGTCGAAGGCGTGAGCGCGTGCAGAGCGACGGATCAAATACGTCCAGGCTGCATCGTCCAGCATCGCGCGCGTCCACGGCAATTGGTGCAAATACTGGACAGATAGATAGGACCGGGTGAAATTGGAAGCCAAGCTGGTGGATCCGTTGGTTGGGGCTACTTGGTACGCATGGGCCCTCCGAGAGCTCACCTCCGAGAAATCTCAACATTCGCGACGCCCTCCCGCACCAAGCCTCACAGCACCGGCCATCACCATCCGGCACTGCTCCCCCCTCCCGCCCCGACTCTCCAACACCCCCGAGAGCTACACACACAATGGCCGCCTCCAGGATCGCCCGCCCGGCCGCCCGCCTGCTCGCCGCGTCGCGACCGGCCTTCCGTCCTGCGTTCCGCGCCGCAGCCCTCGCCCCGTCGATTGCGCGGAGAGGATACGCCTCGGGCCAGAAGGAGATGACCGTGCGTGAGGCGCTGAACGAGGCCATGGCCGAGGAAATGGAGCGCAACGAGAAGGTGTTCGTGCTGGGAGAGGAGGTCGCGCAGTACAACGGAGCGTACGTGCCCATGGGCCGGGCAGCCTGTCCTGGCCTGTGTCATGGCATCGTGTCGGGACGGAGCTGACGAGCTGCAGTTACAAGGTCACCAAGGGCCTCCTCGACCGCTTCGGCGAGAAGCGCGTCATCGACTCGCCCATCACCGAGTCGGGCTTCGCCGGTCTGACCGTCGGTGCCGCGCTTGCTGGTCTGCACCCCATTGTGAGTCGCCGTCGCCGTCGCCGAGCACGCCTGCTGCGGACCCAGCGCTGACCCAACCCCCAGTGCGAGTTCATGACCTTCAACTTCGCCATGCAGGCCATTGACCAGATCATCAACTCGGCCGGCAAGATCCACTACATGTCCGGCGGTACCCAGCCCTGCAACATCACCTTCCGCGGCCCCAACGGCTTCGCCTCCGGTGTCGGTGCCCAGCACTCCCAGGACTACTCTGCCTGGTACGGCAGCATCCCCGGCCTCAAGGTCGTCGCCCCATACAGCGCCGAGGACGCCAAGGGTCTGCTGAAGGCCGCCATCCGCGACCCCAACCCCGTCGTTGTTCTCGAGAACGAGTGCGTGACAAGCAAGACTAAGACTGCGTGTTCTGGCGGCTGCTGACAAGACCCAGGCTTCTGTACGGTCTCTCCTTCCCCATGAGCGAAGAGGCCCAGAAGGACGACTTTGTCATTCCCGTAAGCAGCATCTCCTCCTCCACCCACTCCGCGCACTAACACCCCTCGCCCAGTTCGGCAAGGCCAAGATCGAGCGCCCCGGCAAGGACCTCACCATCGTCACCCTCTCGCGCTGCGTTGGCCAGTCGCTCGTCGCCGCGGAGCAACTGAAGAGCAAATACGGCATCGAGGCCGAAGTCATCAACCTGCGCTCCATCAAGCCGCTCGACATCGAGGCCATTGTCAAGTCGGTCAAGAAGACGGGCCACATGCTGTGCGTCGAGTCCGGCTTCCCCTCGTTCGGCGTCGCCTCGGAGATCATGGCCCTGACCTGCGAGTACGCCTTCGACTACCTCGAGGCGCCCCCGGCCCGCGTCACCGGCGCCGAGGTCCCCACGCCCTACGCCCAGAAGCTCGAGGAGCTGTCTTTCCCCCAGGAGGACACCATTGTCAACTACGCTGCCAAGCTGCTCCGCGTCGCATAAGCGTCGGCCGCGCGCGTGGGCAGTGTGGCGGAGGCGAGGAGTGGCGGAGGCAAGCAGAGGCAGAGGCAAGCAGAGGTGGAGGCGCCCATATCACGAGGTTGAATATGTATGAACAGGCGAGGAGGAGCGAGTCTCTTGGCTGCTGCGGCTGAGCTAGTGTACGTGGGAAGCATTTCAAATCTGCATGTACAAGTATTTATTTGCATTTTTTTTTTCTTTCTAATGCCACGCTTTTGGAAGGGAACCGCGTCTCGTGCCCATGCGTCGTCGTGTCGTCGCAAGGCAATCGCACCCGTGCTGCTCGGTTGTGAATGCGCCGGTGCATGACTGGCTGCTTGTAGCAACGAAAGTGTGAGGCTACTAGAGAGGTGACAGGAGAGGTGAGAGCTACGGGACAACCACGAAAAGCTTTGCATCGCTGTGGAATCCGGGGGCGGGTCGCAACCAACGTGGGCGTGGCTGCCACGAGATCCCAACAGGCTAGATATTCCACGCGCTGTGCCGGGATACTAGGCATCGGCCGGTGTTGCGTTGATGCCTGAGATGTCGGTGTAAGGTAGGCTTGGGGCTCCATCGCTAATGTGGGCGGATCCAAGATGCCTTGTGGCTGGACAAGCAAACATGCTCCGTGGCAACCACGAGGTACTGACATGCTGCGTGTTTGGGTCGGTGTTGGTAGAGCTACTGGCTTGGACGAATGTAGCGAAGCTGCAGTGTTACGTCAGCAGGGTGGCCTGGTGACTTCTTCACCTTGGTTCAAGTCCAGTTACACGCGATTACCGAGGCCTGCTATGTTTCTTTTGGTCGTATGGCTGCCACGAGGAATCGTATGCTTGGTGGGTGTCAATGGGATCGGTGAGAAGACGCCGAAGCCTCGATGGGATGGCGCACAAGCACGTGGAAGTCCGTCGCGAGGGGCGTTTCGCGAGACGAATGCCCCAATGTGCGAGGCACGGTGAAGGTGGTGTACATGTGGGCTGAGCGATGCCTCGTGTGCTAACATCGATGCTGAGGCTGAACCTAGCGTCACGGACCAATATGGATGTCAAATCTTCTCTTGAGTGACAGATTCATTCTGAGTGACGCCCGACAGCCCTGGGCTGACGGTACATGTGATGGGCTTGGAGTTTGCATGTTGGAAGCATTTCCAGCAAATGAAGTGACATCTGGCCATTCGAGCATTGGTGTGACTGTTTGTCGCATTGGGTAGGGGACGCCTATGGCTGGTGGCGGAATGGGGAGTAGAGCAGGTGTAGGAGCCCAACGCGGGGCTGAGATTGAAAAGCAAGACAGGCAGTACCGGCGAGCTGAACTGCGAGCGCCTCGAGGCTTGATGTTTTGCGTTTCATTCGTATGGGCCCGTTGAAGTCCACGTGTCGTGAGCCGGGATACCGAAGAAGATTCCTCGAATGTCTTAAAGAATGAGTCTCGGCGGTCTCCGTTAGCAGGCGGAGCCGAGTGTGAACCTACCATTTGGATTCGTACTGGTCTTGAAAATTTCCAATGTCGCAAATTCGCTGCAGGTACAGGTCGATCTGCTGCACAGAAGGCTTGCCAAGTATGCTTCGTATTCGGATTAACACGGTAGTGGCCTGCTCTACGTGCAGCATTTGACGCTGTGCAATGCGATCTCCACCAGGACTGGGTGGGTCTTTGACGTACACCTCGCTAAGTTCAAGTGACTGTTATGTCGAACCTGGCTGTCGAAGACTCGAAGTTGACTTCGACGTACCCTTTGATTCGTGCAGCAGGCTGACGGGCCGCTCGCGACCAGGGCTGGTTCGTAGTGTGCTACGCGGAAGTACAATCCTGAAATACTGGAGCGAATTGGGCAAACGCCGTGTCCAGACCTCTTCTCACGACAAAATAGGCAAAATAGCGTTCCTCGGGGTGGAAATATTTTTCCTGTGCCCGAAATCACATCTCACTTGTTGTTCAAGTGTGTGACACGGTCAGGCGACGTAGAAGGAGTCGACTCTGAAGTCGAAGTTGGACGAGACGATACAGAGTGGACAAGCCGTGGCCTGATCCAAGAGGCGATGAGGGCATTGAGAAAAAGCAATGTGATACCCACATCTGGCTTATGCGAGGGCTGGAGCGACTGGTGGCGTCGAGCAGAACTTTGAGCTACCAGGATCGGTCCTCCGGTGTTCCCCGGGTTCTGTGATAATGCTATGGGTGCGATTGCGTTTGAGCAACTGGTCACTGGTCAGACGGCGTGCATCAGGCGGTTCATGCATGGAAGCTGAATTGATGTACCTCCCTCAGCTCTCCATCTTGTGCGGAGCCTCTTCAAGGGCGAAGTACGCATGGTATAGTGATTCAATCGTCGCCTCGAGTAGGGCTCCTTCGCTTCGCAGGCCGTTATGGCAAGGGCACGTGACGCGTTCGTGTGCATGTCGTGACGGCATAGCTGTAAGTATTGGTATGCTCGGCTGCAACAGCTGTTCATGGCGCAGAGGCTTTCGTGCGTACATACGGCTCCAAAAATCAATATAGTAGGAACGTCGAGACTCGCGTGGGCAACTGCATGGATTGGTTGCACAAGACAAGGTCCAGATGGTTTTGTAGGTTGGAAGAGTGGGAAAGATATTGCGCCACCAGAGTGGACGAGTGCAGCAAGTGCAGCTTCAACAAACAACAATGTATCCCATGGAAGCTCCTGCCATGCTTGTAACTTGTGACCAACCCTACACTCCTTAACAACGCTTCCCGCCATCGTATGATACGCCACACAAAAGGCTCCGATGGGTATCGATTGGCTGTCGCCAGCGGCATGTGAGAGCTTGCATTGCAGCCGAAGAAATTGCAGTACAGCGCTTGTGCTCAGAGGCGTGCATGCATGGCTTGCAGGACCACGCGGAAATGCAGCGCAGCGTTTGTTCTTTCGTTCGTTTTTCAGCTCTCGAACAACGTCCTACTAAGCTCCGATGCAGGTCAAATGCTGCAGGGTCGTGGGATGCGCACACATCGAAGACTCATCCTTGCTCACGACGCCGATCGTCACTCGAACAGGGGAGCAGGGTGTAGGTCGTGGCGGCTCCAGGTATTGGGTTTCGTCACTATCTGGCATCTGCGAGTGGTCACTATTTTGAAATGTTGGCAATTTATTCATCTTGCGCCAGCTGGAAGACCACCCCCATGTCACAAAAGCACGCTGCACAAGATCCTTCGCTAGCATCTAACGTCTTCCTAACGCCGTGGCTGCCACGGGAAGCCAGTCACTCAGATGGTGCCATCATCGTACGATCTTCACTTAAAGGCCACTTCCGGTACGGCGCGTCAATATTGCGTTAAAGACACATCGCACCTCCGCGGAGCCATCTCGTGGCCCTAATCCCCTGTAGTCCGCCCAAAACTTGACATCTACGCGTTATATCAAGCGCTGCACAGGAGGCACGGCGAAGCTCGGTAAGAACGACTGTTCACATATTCGTCCGCATTAGTTTAGGATGAGGACCGAATTAGGATTGTGGTCCCTCTTCTGGAAACTAGCCTTGCATTTTCCACGTGGAGAATGCCAACTCCGCACTTGCTTCTGCAAGCCTTGCCGAGACAAGGGTTCCACTTGGTCATCTGGTGGCCTTACTGGACTGACCTACCGGAATGTCCCTCATCTCGGTTCAGACTCCTCGCCTTTCACCGCAAATGCACCGCTAGATACCACGGCATCCAATCAAACATGGAGGCTCGAGAATGTTCAGTCTACCAAATCTTGGGATCTCGTCACTTCTTGCACACCATGGGCTCCATCCACTCCAAAACCTGATGTCGGGCACCAAAAGGAATCGCTGACCACTCCCAATCTGCGCCTCAAGGCGAGCGGCTTGTGGCGCACTGTCCTGTGAGGCTCTTCACAATGAGTGTCTTCGGACCATGTTCTGACTTTATAACACTGCCTGCCCTCACACCACTTGTCAGGACGGATCTAGGTACTTCAAGCAGACCACTTCAATTGCAATTTGCTTCTCGTAGCTTTTTTCACAAGGTCGCTGCGCAGAAATTCGGTCCCTTCCGTCAACAACAGCTCACTTTACGACTCGATTCTGGCCATTGGTTTGCTCTTAATCGTAACCGGTACGGGGTTACAGTCGTCGGGCGATACTTACGGTAGTTATGACACTACAAACACTCCTGGTCTGACTGCTAACTCGTTTTGGCAGCGAAACACTACAGACGTTCCTCGCTACTACAAATCGAGTACCTTCTATAATGTCCGTGTCTACCAGTCAGACACCATTGTTCACGTTACCATTGGAGCTTCGTGAGCTAGTATACAGGGCTGTGCTTACATCGCCTTTACACGGTCCGGATCTATTACGAACCTGCCGGGAAATCCATTTCGAGTCCCACAAGTTCCTGTTTGAAAGACCATTGAGCTTTCGGAGTCAGGTGGCCTTATTTGAGTGGTTGAGCTTCGTACCACAGGAGTACGTAGACCGGGTCACAGAACTCTCTCTAAACATCCAAGATGTCGATTTGAGGTCATTACTCACAGCTTCCGCTTTGGTCAGCCACCCAGGAGATCCACCTCGACTGCTAACATGGGACCTCTATGAAGCAGAGCTGGACAGGCTTCTCCATGCCCTGAAAAAGCTATCAAATGTGCGGAAACTTACAATACGGGCAATCCCTGGCCGCCAATCGTTCCTATATCGCGATTTCCTCAAAAGATTTTTGAGGGTTCTAGGCTTCCTTTTCCCAGATCTTCTTGATCTTAGTGTGGTGGGCAACCTCCACCATCAGGAATTGTCTTTCTTGGCCGTGTTCACCAAACTACAGGCTTTCTCCTTCGATGGCTTCTCTGCCTCCTCGCCAAGTGAGACGGCCAATGTTTTGTCTGGACTAGAACAGCTGACGAGTCTTTCGCTCGTCTCTCAGAGCAGTCTGCTCACGCCGGGTTCTCGGACACGTAGTGACTCCACTACAAGACACCAGTCCTTTACTGGCGGAGTTGTCAATGGTATTGACAACCTCAAGTGCTTCTCCGTTACAGAACTCATCTCTATTTCTGCACCGACTTTATTCTTTACGCCAGAGGTACTGAGGTCGTTGCACAATCACCAGGGCTTGAAGGTCATCAAAGTTTGCTTATCTCAGACGCCCAACGACGATACCATGGCAGCCTTGGAAAAATTCCTGGAGCACACCCACATAAAAACATTGGAATTGGATTGGCCACAACTCAATGCGCATATCTTGGAAACGTTCTCACTCATCCCAGACGGTCTTGAACGTCTCTGGGTAAGAGCAAAAAGCGCAGCAGATGCTTTCGATATCGTTTGGTCTATCGCTGAATGTCGTAATGCCGGGGACCTCTCCAATCTGAAAGAGCTTGTACTCTTACGCGCCTCACAAACATACGGCAATATCACACCAGCTACCAACGGCAGGAAGGACAGTGGCACAGGCGAGCTGGTCGATGACGCAGACACTGTTAGTCGTAGCCATCATACATGTGATAAACGGTGCACTGACACAGTTATATAGATACACCTTGCTTTCAACGACACAGATGCTATCAACGTCGTTCGGGCACGAGCACGCTTACAAGCGTTGGGTGTGCGAGTCTCTTGGTGCACGCAAAGTCTATGGAGACTGAGCACTGCTTGAGATGCGCAGCGAGCTCTGTGCTGCTACACTTGTTGCAGCTGAGCTTAATTTATTCTATGGCTTCATATCCTTGCGGATAACTCTCTATATCGCAGACCAAATCTTACCATATCAAGACATCTTATTCTGTGCCAGCTCATATTCGATTATGGGACACATCTACTCCATCGGCTCTTCGTTTGTCTTCCACATCAGCGTGCCAACACCCGCCCTCCAAATGCCTCACCCTACAGAGCATTTTGGTGGTGACAGTGCTCAGCGGCGCTAGCGCTGTTTATGATGCAGATTCCATCGCATGCCTCGCAGCATCGCTTTAACACCTCACCAGGCCCCTACAAATATCTACCTTTCCCCGGACACGATGGCCGTGTGGAAGTTCTTCGTCTTGGAGTGTGTCTTACGGAGAACCATCTGCTCACCTGAATACCCGGCCTAGCTGCGCGTCCTGTGATAAACCCACCTCCTGCGACAAGAGGGAATCACCAGCAGCAGTTATCACTGACCTCGTTGCTTGGATACCTTGTGCGTTTAGTAAACCCATGTCGGCATACGCACCTTGCCCAGCAAAACGACAGCTGCATTGAGGTCGCTGCCATGGCCGAAGCAAACTTGCGCGTCCAGCAAGTGCCAGACCTGCGCAGACCGGAAGCAACGTCCTTTTCAAAGCGTTTCAGAACAATCTACTTCAAGGTGTCGAGCAGACATGTCAACAACAATTGCAGTCCAAGGCTGGTATCGTCAAGGTAATCTAAGAAGCGGTCTAGACGAGAGCAGTTGGCTCCATTTTGGATTCCAGATCTGAACGGCCCGCGTTTAACGCTTTTCACCGCTCGAATTCACGGCAGCTTTATCTCCTACTGGAGACGATCAAACTCAGACAGGAGGCTCGGCATGACTCCTGCGCACTCCTGCGCTGAGACCGAAGGATACGCGTCGTCGCGGAGTTGCAGACATTCTCGGTGCTTGGGCGCGCATCTTCGAACAAGCAGATGCTTATCTTCCGTCCCTTCCCGCGAGGGCTCTCTCTGCCAAGACAAGATCGGCCGTGAAAGGCCGAGCTGCAGGGCAATCTGACATCCTTGTTTCCTTGTCGTCACAGGCGAATCAGACTTCCAGGACTAAAGAAAACGCGTTCTAGACACACAAATGGCGTCATGCTGAACCATGCTAGTTCATGTGTTCCTGCCATCGCGGTCGGAAAGTCTGATGCGCCGTGGGGCAACCAGAGCAGCCGAAACGGTGGGTGATGAAGCGTCCATTGACGCTTCTGGAAGATTTGGTTTGAGGACTGAGCGGCGCGCCAAACCGCGTAACATGGACGACCTTGCTTGTGGCCTCTTCTTTCATACTTTTACTCAGACTCGACCCTGAACGGCGATTTCACAGCACGTTCAACATTCACGAACGCGGAAGCAACCGCACTCAACTCGACCCCACCAACAATTGTACAAAAAGTGGCAGAGCAAACAACTTTTCGTAGCGCGACAGCTGCACAGTGAATAGGACCGCAAAGATGGCGAGCACACCCACAGAGCTTCCTACTACGACGGGGACGCTTCCTTCGCGCCAGAAACCGATTCCATACTCGTTCGAAAACGGGCAGCGTACTCAACTCTCCTCCATCCTACCACCTCTCGTTTTCGGCACCGCAACTTTCAACCATCAATACAATGACGATCCGTTTGCTATGGATACCACTGGTTTAGTGACCTCAGCTCTCACACATGGTATTCGCGCGTTCGACACATCGCCGTATTACGGTCCCTCCGAAGAGCTGCTCGGTAATGCGCTCGCAACACCCTTCGTCCGTGAGACATTCCCGCGCAACTCATACATAATTCTGACCAAGGTCGGGCGGATAGCTGGCTCAGAGTTCAACTACAGCAAAGAATGGGTGCGACAAAGTGTCCGGCGCAGTTTGGAGAGGCTCCACACAGACTATCTCGATCTTGTGTACTGTCACGATGTCGAGTTTGTGAGCCCCGCTGAGGTCCTCGAAGCGGTCCGGGAGCTCAGGCGCATCCGTGATGAGGAGGGCACAATCAGATACGTCGGTATATCCGGATATCCACTTGATGTGCTGGGAGACATGGCGGAAATGATCCTGCGCGAGACAGGCGAGCCACTGAACGCAGTGCAGTCCTACGCCAACTTCACTCTCCAGAACCAGACCCTCGCGGGCCCGCGCGGTATTCAGCGCCTGCGCAATGCTGGCGTAGACGTTGTACCCAACGCATCAATCCTGGGTATGGGATTGTTGCGCCGACAAGGCGTGCCGTGTGGTGCACTGGGCGACTGGCACCCTGCCCCCTCGGCACTGCGCGCTGCAGTGCGCAACGCCAGCGATTTCTGCGACGGCTACGGCGAGAAGTTGGAAGTCATCGCCATTCGCTTTGCGTTGGAGACCTGGGTTTCCGCTGGCGCTCTGTGCGGATCATTGGGTGATCCCGCATCTGGCGTTCCATGGAAACCCGAGTCCAACGACGACGTCGGAGGCACAAAGCTTGGTGTGTCTGTCATCGGTGTGTCGCGCGCGCCTGAGCTTGAGAAGACCATGCTGGTCTGGCGCTCCATTCTCGATGGTCTTGAGGGTGGCGAGCAAACAGCTGTACAAGCTGGACGGTGGTACAGGGCTTTGGAGTGGTCGAGGAACCGAAGGCAAGCTGTGCAGATCCTAGCGGAGGGCATCCAGGAGATTCTTCAGGATGGCTTCGACTTCGCATGGGCAAGTCCCGATCCGGGATACGTGATCCAGAAGAAGCAGGATGTGGTTAAGGAGAGCGATGCGCCGTGGTTGACACCCGCAGCAAGTCCGGAAGCCAAGCCAGTCAAAGGTGGCGTTGAGGTCGCTGAGGAGAAGAGTTTGCCCTTGCGATAACAACGGACATATAGATGGCGAGGCACTTTGAGATGAGTCCATGAGTACATATACAGAATTCTAGAATTGACCTGCAGTAGCTTGCTGCGCTTGAAATGGAAGGAACAAATTCGTTGAGCCTGGCTCTACCATTGCAGCCTTCAATCGCTATCGTTATTCGCTCAAGACTTGTTCTACTCTAAAGTGTCTCCGAAACATGACTCAGCCACTCCCATTGCTGATCTTCCACAACACCAATCTCTCCGCTTTCCCTGAAGTACAAGAGCTCTTCTGCTCTTAGCTTCTTTCCACTATCACCGTCACCTCCGACTAGTGGAATCAGCGTCTTCCCAAGCCACCTCTTGACGTTATCCCTCTCTTCCTCATCAAATCCATACCGCTCAATATACCACCAGCTCATACCATCAGCAGCATGGGTCACACCAAAGTTCCTTGGATACACTTTATCTGTACACTCTGGGCGATACGCAACTCTATACCTCAAGATACGCTCAGCAGGCACCCCGCCATCAAACAGCGCTTTGGACAGCACACGGATTGGCGCGCGGACTTGTACGTCCGATGTGATGAGACCGAAAAGCCGTTTCGCTTTCTCCTGCTCGTCTTCGAGAGACAACGCAGAAGCGACTCTCTCGTCTGCCGCACTACCTTTATTCTTGTATAGCGAGAGCAGCGTCTCGCACACCGGGCCAGCGTAGTAGTTGTTCAGCGCCTTGAGCATTTCCTTGTTTGAGAAGTCTGGTGGCGGGTTCGTGAGCGAGTACAACACTTCCTCTGTCTCGGCCTCGCCGAGCAGGATCCGCATGCGGCGCTGCTTGAAGCGTGCTGCGAAACGCCCGAAGTGGATGTTGGCCATTAGATCGGAGGGAATCATTTCGCCATCAGTGACGGCGCGGAAGGTGTGGATGTCGAGGTCGAAAATTCGAGAGACGAGGGTTGATGCCGGGATGGAACGGAGTTTGTCGAGGCGCTCTGATGGGGGCAGATCGGTGGAGATCGAGAAAGTGGATAAGACGTTTTGGAATTGGGTCTCGACTGTAAATAGTGAGTGGCAGAAGGACTGGGAAGTTTAAAGTGGCGTACCTTCATCCAGGGTTTTCGGTTGTGCAGGTATGGCATTACTTTGCAGCCAGATATTGTTGAATAGTGGTTTCTTGTCATTGCCGTGAAAGAGCTCGTAGTTCAGCTGGACGTGTGTTGAAAAAGCACCGGCACTGAGACCGCCCAGAGTGATACGCTCTGGATCACCACCAAGTAGCGGGGCATAGTCTTGCAGCCACTCTAGAGCACATCGCTGGTCCTGTGCTATTTGTTAGCAATGGTCCGCGATGTCCCGATCCAAGCCATACCCAAAACCCGAAGTTCCCCTCCAATCCCTTGCCAGCAAGGAACCCAAAGATGTTCAAACGGTACCCGATACTGACTACCATAGCATCAAGTCCACCTTCAGCAATGAGCTGCGTAGGCTGGGAATTCTCTTTTAGAGACGGATCGCCAATCTGCAACCACCCTCCATGGATCCACGCAAGAATCGGCCAGCCTCCCTTTGGCGGATCACCGGGTGGCAGCCACACATTAACAGCAAGGCAATCTTCATTGAAGCTGTAGTTTGTGTCGATCAAAGGGCTTCCATCGACGATATACTGTGGCTGAGGACAGACGTTGCCGTATTGAGTACAGTCTAGCGGGCCGTAGATGTGGTCTTTGGGAAGCGGTTCGGGCTTCTTCCATCTTCGCGGCCCGTTTGGGGGCAGAGCATATGGGACGTGTGTGAATCTTTTGACACCATTGGCAAATACGGATCCCTTAAGTTGGCCATGAGATCCGAGGTCCAGTGTAGTTGTGCCGGTAGGCTTCATTTTGTCACCCATTGTGTCGACGAAATACTCGAAAAATCGCTTGTCGCGATTGGAAAGTCTATTGATACTTTATATTTGTCCACACGAGCGTGGAGCATGTGACTTGATAAAGGCGCGATAGGAAAGTACATCCGCCGTGAACTGGAGGAGCTTGCCTCGCAGGGCGGAATCGCCCCGCATGGCGTGCCATAGCCGGGCTTATATCTGGCGTCTGATCGCCAATCAACCGCATTACTTAGATAGGACATTGGATGGAGACTTTTGGCCCATTTGTGCTGTTGCGATGCCTAATAGACAGCGAAGGAGAAGATGCAGATTTTTTGGTCTGATATCAACAGTGACGTCATTCTGAGTGACAGCGATAGCAGCCGCTTGTGTTGGCAACAGCGTTGTCGCGATGAAGTGGTCGACATCAGTAATAATTTGCACTCGTCCGTCCTTCATGAAGTTCTCGATACGATACGGTACGGTAACAGTCAATTCTCAACTCTTCCTGGTTTTCATTGACTCTTCACAAATCTATCCTTTGATCTTTTGTTCCCTGGAGCCCACATTCGAGTTTCGTATTAATTCACTTCGATCCTCAACATGGATTCGCACTCTCAAGTCAAGCTGCCGTTAACACTTATTCAGCTCGAGAAGCACGCTGAATGCGGAGCCGCGGAGGCTAACAGTAAGACTAACGACCACACTAACATAGTACCATTACAAAGTGCCAATCCCCACGCAGGGTGCAACGTCCCTTGATAGCAGTGATGTCAGCTGCTTACGGCTCTGAAGATAAAGCATCTTAGGTAGCCTGTTGTCCTGTAGCAAAAAGTCAATCGGATCAAAGAACAGCTCCATCGGACTTACACTGCTACCAGATATAATGACACAACCATGGGGCGTATCTGCAATGGAGTCAACCAATGAGCCACGTAATAAAATCATTCGTTGAAAGGAATGCAAAGTAATTTGCTAACACGGTCCAGACAAAACGCATGGCTCCATTGTCCACCGCGTTGGAGAATCGATCAAAAACTCAGTCACACCTGAAAGCTCTACGGAAACCAAGGCACGCGATGAACGACTCGAGCAGGAACACACCATATCGCAAAGCGAGTGCAAGGCAGCATTTGCTCCAGATCATCACGTTGGTGGAACAAATCTCACAGTAGCGCAAGGGACGGACCACGAAAGTACACCTCATCACGGACACGGCAAGCACTAAGAGCGCACTTTTTCGTGAAGTGTTATGTTGTTATTAATATTTCTGTACATGGGTATCATCAATCGTAGCTCATTCGACTATCGAAGCATCCTGCAGACCAGCTTCACAATTCCATATCATTCACCTCCTCCACTCTCCCCTCCTTCCTCGGGACCTCATCCTTCCAACTGCTTCCCCAAACCCTATAGTACAACTCCCTCATGTCCCGCGGCTCCTCACCGTGCCTTACCCCGAACATAAAATGTCTCTTGAATACCCTCTCATTCCCAAAATACTTGTCGCACGTCCCGCAATACAAGACTCCCAGCGCGCCTCCTCTCACTTGCCGAGCTTTGCGTGGCGGTGTCTCGATAGGCGTGTAATCTGCACTTGGTTGCGCGTCAGTGTCGGGAAGCGTGTGTATGCTACCCTGATCAGCGTTCATGTGCGCTGAGGGGAAGAAAGATGCATCCGGATCGACGAATTCAAAGTCGTCTTGCTCCAAGTTTGGCTCTTCTGAGGAGAACTCGAAGCCGTCAGCATCTAGCGTTGGCTCGTGTTCATGTATTGGTGATCGCTTCGGCGGCGAGGCCTCGTCGAGACTGTCGTAGTCGGATAGTTCGCCGAAAGAAATAGCGTCTGAATCTGAGGCTGGCGCGTGGGTGACTGGGTCCGACATGTGTTCGCGCAGTTCGTGGCGGGAGGCGAATGATTGCTGGCATGTCGGGCATTGGCCCACAACCTTTCTGCGTTTTGATGGGAATGATGTTGGATCCATCTTTGGGGGCGTGAATCGTGGTCTTGGATGTGATTCGAAGTGTTGTGCGTCTGCCATCACGTGGTAGATGCTGTCCGTTGGTGTGTATGACTGAGAGTTGTGGCTAGTGTTGATGTTGTGTTGTTCGAATGATGCTTCTGATGCTTCTTACGATGAGTGAAAGGTGCCGTAACGGTCCTCGATTTATACATCTCTCAAGTATGAGGCTCAGGATCTTGCGAGACTTCGAGAAAGGTTTGGGTGAGGCTTGAAGCTGCGAGGCTGTTCATGCGATTGGTCGAAGGTTCTGGGTGATTGACCGAAAGTGCTAGAAGAATCCACAATCGTCACCAGAAGTGGTTAGGTCAAAGTGCCTCGGGATATCATCAACGAACGTCACCACGAGGTCAACATCCAGGGACTGATCCAAGTAGAAAAGGACGGATAGGAGCGCATCGATTTATTTGCATGGTATCGTTAAATGAAACGCCAGATGCTCCCTTTATGCGATCCGCGCACAGTTAGGGATCGAAATATACAGCTTACAACTTCGCAAAGACAGTCGGGACAACACCACCCATCTCCACGAGCGTGCTCTTATTCCTCACCCATGCCTCGAGACCCTTCTTTCCGTTCTCGACGCCAACACCACTCATCTTCCATCCACCAACACTCATCTCTGCTGGGCTCTCGCCCCATGTGTTGACCCATGTGATACCGGCCTCGAGCTTTGCAATGACTTGATGAGCGAGGTTCAAGTCCTTGGTGAATACACCAGCGGCCAGTCCGACATCTGTGTTGTTTGCACGTGCAACAACCTCATCAACTGTCTTGTAGGTGAGAATCGACATGACTGGGCCGAAAATCTCCTCTTGCACGATCTTCATGTTGTCATTGCAATCAGTAAAAACAGTAGGTTGGACCCAATATCCGTTCTGGTAGGCTTTGTTTGAGTGGCTAGCGAGCCATGAAGGCGTCTCTACACCACCACAGAGGAGTGTTGCCTTGTCGTTCTCGATACCGTGCTTGATGTATTGCTTGACTTTCTCGTAATGCGGTTTCGAAACGAGAGGTCCGAAGTTGGTGTTAAAGTCGTGCAGGTCGCCACCACGGATGTGCTTGACCTTCTCGAGAAGAAGCTTCTCAAATTCGGCCTTCATGGATTCAGGGATGAATACTCGCGTGCCGTTTGTGCAAACCTGGCCTGTGGAGAAGAAGTTGGCCATCATAGCGCCATCAACGGCTTGTTCGAGATCGGCGTCCGGGAGAATGACACAGGCAGACTTGCCGCCGAGCTCCATAGTCACATACTTCATCTCGCCCGCTGCGCTACCAGCCACCTTGCGGCCTGTCGAAACTTGACCAGTGAAGCTGACCTTTGCAATGCTGGGGTGTTTTGTCAAGTATGCGCCAACCTCGCCGCCGCCCTGGACGACGTTGAAGACACCAGGGGGAACACCGGCCTCGGCGTAGACAGAGGCCAGGACTTGCGCGTGCAGTGGTGTAAACTCCGAGGGCTTGTAGACCATGCAGTTTCCAGCCGCCAGACACGGTGCAGACTTCCACAGCGCGATCTGAATAGGGTAGTTCCAAGCGCCAATACCAGCGCACACACCAAGAGAGTTCTTGGTGGTGTACACCCATGCGTCTGGACGCAGTTGTGTTGTCTCGCCGTTCATGCCACCGCTACCAACCATATTGGCGAAGTATTCCAGCACATCAGCGCCTGTCACGACGTCTACCGTGGATGTCTCGGAAAAGGGCTTTCCCGTGTCACTCGTCTCGATTCTCGCGAGTTCGTCGTTTCGGGCGCGCAGGAGGGATGCTGCTCGTTGCAGGACGCGTGCACGCTCAATGGGTGGCGTGGCCGACCATGCTGGGAATGCTTTCTGCGCTGAAGCAATTGCGGCATCAATCGCGCTGTTTGTTGTGGTGTGAATCTTAGCAATTGGCTCTGCAGTGGCTGGGTCGATTGTTTGGAAAGACGAGTTCGAACTGCCGGGCTGGAGCTTGCCGTCGTAGTAGGCGAAGCGTGGCGCGTATGGGAGAGACATGACGGTGACTTTGATGCTGGGGTTGTTGCAAAAAAGCTATATATCGCACCAGAAAAACTTTTGGGAAGCAGGAGATCAATTGGCCTGCTACATCATCAGCATCTCAGTCTCATTTGCCAAGCTGAAGCTCCCCCTCAGAGAACTCGTATAGGTCTGGTACTTACCAAGGGTTGAAGCTTGAAGTGGCTTGATAGTGGCTTGAGGGGTATATGCAGAAGCTACTGTCAAGTACCTAACCTTTCCTGAACCGCGCAGGATTTCCGAGCTCAATATTGAATAAAGAAATCCTTCACTTCAACATAAGCAAGATTGCAGGCGTGAGCTGGCGATGGCCGCAGCATCTCTTGCGGGATCATCGTGATGACGAGGGTGACCGCCCGACAGAAGCTAGCAGGGGCTCCTCACGATGGTCAATGCATACGCAGCCCAGAAAGTGGGGTTGTGCTAGTGCTCGAAGCAGCCCATCACTCAAATCATCGGAAGTTTTTTCCTCGATGCATTTGGTCTGGCTACACAACACGTCTAGTTGGGCGATGGCTGCAATGGTGCAAGCAAAAATTGGTCGAGAGGACAGCACCGCGAGAGCGCCAATCGCTCTCTGACGGCTCAGCGACTCGCCTATCTTGCCTCCGCCGTTGAAACACCGAAGATTGATGCACCACAGACGTCACCAAAAGCACGTACTTTGTCCCGCACTATCCGAAGAGCTGCCGCAAAGCACGTCTTTTCTTGGAAGGCAAACTGCATTTCTTGCAGCTGGACGGTCACCGACTCTTCAAGCCTTACCGGGCCCTCCACGTATCGCCTGATCCAACCCGTCAGAGTGTACGTGCACCTGCAAGGCCCCAGAGCTGTCAGATTAAGGACGATATCAGAAAATTTTGGAGCTAGCTTCGCACTACTCAAACACCGTTGTCTCTAGGAGCATCATATATAACCATTGACGGACCGAGAACTGCCCAGCTCAGGTCTCATCACATCCACTCTGCAACAATGGCATCCACTCACGAGACTGTCACGTCCATCCCCAAGGATGCCGAGTACGATTTCGTTATCGTCGGCGGCGGCACAGCTGGCTGTGTTATCGCCTCCCGTCTTACTGAGTATTTGCCCAACAAGAAGGTCCTTCTGGTCGAGGCTGGGCCCAGTGACTTCAAGGACGACCGTGTTCTCCTATTGAAGGACTGGCTGAACCTCCTGGGTGGTGAGCTCGACTACGACTACGGTACAACTGAGCAGCCCAACGGCAACTCGCACATCCGCCACTCTCGCGCCAAGGTTCTTGGAGGCTGCTCGTCACACAACACTCTCATCTCTTTCCGACCATTCGAGTATGACTGCAAGAGATGGGAAGAGCAGGGTTGTGTTGGCTGGAGCTTCAAAACCTTCATGCGTGTTCTTGACAACCTCCGCAATACCGTCCAGCCCGTTCACAAGAGGCACCGCAACCAGCTCTGCCTCGACTGGATCGATTCCTGCTCCAAGGCTATGGATATCCCCATCATAGAGGACTTCAACCACGAGATCAAGACCACTGGCGCTCTGCATCCCTCTGTCGGTTTCTTCAACGTCTCGTACAACCCTGACACCGGCCACCGTTCCAGCGCCAGTGTAGCGTATATTCACCCCATCCTTAACGGCTCGGAGAAGAGGGAGAACTTGACTGTTCTCACGAACGCCTGGGTCAGCAAGGTCAACGTCCAGGGCAACAAGGTCACTGGGATCAACGTCACATTCCAGGACGGCTCAAGGCGGACATTGAACCCCAAGCTCGAGACCATCCTCTGCGCTGGCGCAGTCGATACACCCCGTCTCATGCTCCTTTCCGGCCTCGGTCCCAAGCAGCAGCTTCAGGAGCTCGGTATTCCTGTTGTCAAGAACATCCCCGGTGTCGGCGAGAACCTGCTTGACCACCCCGAAAGTATCATTTTGTGGGAGCTGAACAAGCCTGTTCCTCAGAACATGACCACTATGGACTCTGATGCTGGTATCTTCCTCCGTCGCGAGGTTGCCAACGCCGCCGGCTCTGATGGCGAGATTGCCGATATCATGATGCACTGCTACCAGATTCCCTTTTGCCTGAATACCACCAGGCTCGGCTACGACTCTCCCATCGACGCCTTCTGCATGACGCCCAACATTCCCCGTCCCCGCTCCCGCGGCCGCATCTACCTCACTTCTTCCGACCCCAATGTCAAGCCTGCTCTGGACTTCCGTTACTTCACAGATCCTGAGGGTTACGACGCTGCCACCATCGTTGCTGGTCTCAAGGCTGCCCGCGAAATCGCCAAGCAGGCGCCCTTCAAGGACTGGATCACGCGCGAGGTCGCTCCCGGTCCTAAGCTGCAGACTGACGAGGAGCTCTCCGAATACGGTCGCCGTGTCGCCCACACCGTCTACCACCCTGCCGGTACCACCAAGATGGGTGATGTGAAGAACGACGAGTACGCTGTCGTCGACCCTGAGCTGAAGATCCGTGGCCTCCAGAACGTCCGTATCGCCGATGCTGGTGTTTTCCCCGAGATGCCCACAATCAACCCCATGTTGACCGTTCTCGGCATCGGTGAGCGCGCTGCCGAGCTGATTGCTGCTGAGCACGGCTGGAAGGGTCTGCAGAAGGAGAGGCTGTAAGCTTTCAGGAGAAGATTGATGAGAAAGCAGGAGAGGACGACCAGATCCAGAAATGATTCTGGCTCACCTGTATGTATGTGATTTTTCTGTATGTAGATTTGAGATGTCATGATAACGAGTGACGCCGGAGTGCGGAGCTATTACCAACGCAACAAACCCAAGCAACACCCCAAGCAACTATCGCTCCATTTCAATTGTAAATGATCGAGATGATGTAAGTTCTGCAATCTGTAGCGCGTGCTCAAATGAAGTTAAATTCTGTTACACCAAAGACTTGCATCGCGCTTGCCTATGTGACACAAGAGTTGTACGACAGGAAAGAGCCTCGACTCCACGTCTCTATTGATCTCCCACCTGCAGTCCTCGTTTCCACTATATCTAGATCGCTGCCATCACTTATTTACCTTATCACCATCAAACACGATCAAACGGCACACTCACTAACTCATTATTCAACGCGTCAAGTGGCATGATGCGCTCCTTTGTTTGCTCGCGCTGGGCTTGTTTCATGCTACCGCAGGCACTTGAATAGACAGCATCTGGCTGCGGCTGCAGATATTTCAGATCTAACACAATCGAAGACGTGACGGCCGTCTCAGCATGAGATCCGGCCACGACACAAGTCTGGACGTCAAGCGTGGGGACGTGGCCTCTGATGCCTGCGGTTGCCTAAGGACGAGGCTGCATTCGGCACGATTGCCGTACCGGTAGGTAGGTATCGAACCGCGTTTGCGCGCCAACCGCCAAACCGCCGCGTGACGACACCGCGCATCTTCAATTACTGCGAGACAACAAGCAACCTTCCCGAGACCTCATAATAGAGAGTTGCGAATACAGGACACAGTGGCGAGTTGGAAAGACTGTGGCCTCGAAATGCAACCTTGTCTTTCACTCCGCTCTAGCACTGTGCGCCACAACTAAGTTCGGGGCACTTCCTCGCTACCAAGTCTCTCTGCGACTCCTCTCGATCAACATCACGACCGTAGATCCCAACCTCGATCATCAGTCATACCCGCGAACCCTCTAAGGCTATCACTGCAAAATCTCCACACCACTATCATCAAAAGCTGCGACCGCCGTCGGCACTACACCCGTCATACTACCAGCCACAACACCAGCCATATCCTCTTCGATGGCGCCAATGACTTCTGAGCCTACTAGTACACGGCCTCGTCGACGTAAGTATGAAATCCATCAGCGAAGCCACATCAACTCAGTGCTATGTTCACAGAGGCCTTCGTCGCCACTTGCTCACCTGATGAGCTTCTCGGCCAGGTCATTCAGATACTTTGCCCAAGATACAACATCGATGCGCCTCATTTACTGGCTCTGCGACAGCTGCTCTCAAACGCTATCGTTGCACCAAGGAAGCCGCCCACACTAAAGCGCACTCGACCTGACAAGCGAATTGGTGAAATCGGCTCCATCTACAATACACCGCATCGCTCTCCATACGGCCCCAATGGTCCACCCGTTTCCGCAAACCAGAGCTTCTACTTTCATCACCAGGACGCCGACTTCGAGAGGCTGTTGCCGCGAGTGGATCGCTTGCGTTACGTGTGGATGAACGAACCAGCCAGTCAGTCAGAATCTGACGGCGAGGAGATCCCAGACAGCCATGAGAGCTTGCAATCGCAACTTACTAGCATTGAGACGCCTAGCACAGAGCGCAATGGATCGCCTCTGTCACCAACGTCCTTTTCACTTTCCCTTACCGAACACAGTAAGCGGGCTGCAGCAAAGGTTCCTCCGCAAGCAGAGGACCTTCGCCCAACAGCAAATCAAGAGCTTGCCTCTGGCGATGAATCGCTTTCTGTTTCAAAGTATGGCTCTGACATTCCGCACAAGGACGCATCTGCGGACTCCCAGAAATCACAACACCCCTCTGTACCTACGACCACCATCATGTCCACGGAGCGCACGGTGACCAGCGAGCATGAGAGTACGACACTATCATCACCACTTCTACCCACAGTCAACATCGCTATCGAGCTGCCGGAATCGCAAGAAATGCACAGCGTCCCTCCTCCACCGCACTCTGCGCCGCCATTCTACATGCCTCAGTGCTCGAACACTCAAGACACTGTCAACAGCACTCAGCCGAGCGAAGTCTTCAGCCCGTCGGACGACTTCATAAACTACACCCCACTAACACAAGAGGCGACACGACAGGATACGTCGTTACAGGCCGAGATGTCCAACTCATATCCACGCACATCAGTCATCAATACGACCGCGGAACTACCAAAGCCGTCACCTCGTCCATCTCCTAGGGCCTGTTCGTCGAGTCCACTGGTTTCTGTGCCTCCACTGGGCAAACGCTCGCGCGGACAATCTGAAGCTACAGACGATGCGCCCTCACTCAAGCGCTCGAAGTCGACAGAGGCTCTTTAGGCTCTTCAGGATTTGTTTCAGAGCACAAATTTGGTAGTTGTGCACAAAGGCATAACGGACTACCGCACTTGCTGGCGACAGAGGTTGGCACCAAGATCTGAGATGATTTTGTCTTGGAATATCTTGTGTTTATTTGTTGATCTCCTGCAATCACACGACTATGTCTCTATTCGATATATTAGGCAAATTACAATGTCCACATTAAACTTCTTTTTCCTACCCCTGTATACTGAGGCTGACATGCATCAGCCTTCGGCTCCCCACTTTCGTACTACTGTTATTACTTCCACCTTCGGCAAGCCTTTCAGTCTCGCCTTATACACTATAATTGATACTCCCGACACCAGCATATCTTACAGATTCGATCGCTATCGTTATGGACTTCTCAACTCTTACACCTCCCGGTCCAGTGACTAGGGTCGCAACCTTCCGTTTCCACCCGCACGTCACCGTCGCCCAGAAGGCTGACCGTGCCAGCGCCTTTTTGGCACTGTATAAGCAGCACCCCGAGTTAATTTTGGAGGAACCGAAGGGAGGTCGGCCGCTTAACACGCCGCTGGAGTTGACCGGGGTGAAGAGAGACAAGGTGTGGGATTTGGGGTTTGTTGTTGTTTTCAAGGCACGCAAAGAGCTGAATCACTTGGAACTTGTGTGAGCATAGCTAACCAGAGCAGGATGATCAGTCCAGGTGCAAGTTTGACAGTGATCCGGGGCATGAAATCCTGAAGGTGAGCGTGGGGTTCTGGTGTCCGACGACTGAGCTGATATATCAGTAGAATGAGACGGATCCATTACTTGCGCAGGTCTTTGTGTATGACTTTGTAAAGGAGGAGAATTTGGGATGGCGATGATATGTTCGTACACCTCAGGATTCGAACGGTTCCTGGACCCTGTGTGCCAAAGGTTTTGGCTGCCATGGTTGCAAATATAGCTACCCGTGGCCTGAGGAATGCCGCATAGGAAATAGTCTGCGATATTCATGTTTTCGCTACATGATCGATCAGCTACATGCAATCCATATCATCAAGTCCAACTCCAATTCCCGCTTCAACTTCACCATGGCATCCCGAACACGACATTTCGCAATCGCTTTGTTTTGATTCAAAGCCTCTCATTCGTGAGATCACTCAGAGTTTTTTGTTCCATGCGGATATTGCAGCTGTGTTGAGACATCGGATCTAGATTCCATATCGACATCGCGTCGCTTGTTCGCAGATACTATCACAACTGTACTAGACTCATCAATAGCCGAATGTCCGACGAAGAAGGCAACTAGACGCACTCGAAACTGAGCAGGATCTAACAGACTGTAGCTAGAGACTAGTCCGGCACTATTCCAGGAAACTGTAACCAACGCCGCAACGGTTGGATCGAAAATTATAAGTGGGTTTGGAATTCTTCTCAATGAATGGGTTCCTTATGAGTACACCTCCAATTACTACAATAAGCTCAGGAGAGCACACCATATTTATCTAGCCATGGCGAAAAATGCGATACGTGGATCATGCTGTTGTTTTCAGCGCAGTTCTTCACATGATCTGCGTGTTTGCGTGGGCGGGAATCTTTTAACATTTGGTCTAATGAGAGTGGAGAGTTTGATGAGCCGATTAATGGGGTAGTATTGAGCAATACATAAGCTGATTCTGAACCAAGTCGCACGTCTCGTCCTTCACACGACATGTGGTTGGGGAATGATAACAATGCAAGCCTGTCAAACAAGACGCAAATAAATCAACGAAACAGACTAATCGCATTATCGCTAAAAGACAACAGTATAAACAAAAAAGGCATGTCGTGTCATATACACATACACCATACACCATAAACCATACACCATACACCATCAACAACCTCACATCTGTTTCGTCCTTGGGCTGCGCTCACCATATTCAAGCCTCTGCTCCGCTTCCTCAGGCGCAGCTTCAAAGCTAAACCTGCGGAACTCCTCTTCCCCCTTAACTACCTCTCTCTGATCGGAACTCGTGATCGTTGAGCTGTAGATCGAGCTTGTCACAGTGCCGAACTGGGACGCGACACCCGGCCCGGGTGCAGTGACTGAGCCAGTGGCCGTAGGCAACATCGACTGCAGCGGACGCACTGGCTGGGATATTGTGGGCTGCAGTACCGACTTAAGCATCTGCTCATGAAGATCAGGTCTTACACCGCGGAATGAGTTCGAGCGAGACGAGTTTGATGATTCGCGGGTGCTCTCGTGCTTAGGCATGGTGCTGAGGTCAAGGATGCGCGGGTTGCTGTCGCCGGATATACGGTTCTCAGGTACACGCTTGGTGAGCTTGATGATCTCGAGGCTGGACGACCGTTTGTTGTTCAAAACTAGTGGAGTATTCGAGGTTAAGGCCTCTGTGGGCTCGATCATGGATGACGGACCATCCAGGCCTCCTGACATCATGTGTGTGGGGACGTATACCTCTGGGGCGATGGGCGATACGGGTGACGTAGGTTCGTAGGGGTCTTTCTCGCTTGCGGAGGATCTGCGTTGCTTTCGGAGAACCTTGCGGCCGTCTTTTGTGATGATCATGGGGACTGTGGACCGCTTCTCGCCATTTTCGCGCCTTTCGTTCTTCTGGCTCTTCTCGTTGTTGCCGTCATTGCTCTGATCTTCGAATGAGCTTGGCCGTGAGAAGTGAATGTACTTCTTGTCGGTCGATGAGCGTCCGGCAGCATCAATGGCCTCGATTACGTTGTAACCTGGTGGTGGCGATCTAGTCTTTGGAAGCTTGCCTTTGCTGTCGTTCTTACCCTCGAGCTTGTTCAGCGCAGCTCGAACTGCATCGCCTACGTCATGATCGTTAAAGCCATGGTCCTTCAGCTCGTATTGCCGTTTCGGCGGTGACCTGGAGTTCATCTTCGATGTCCCTTTTGAGGTCCTCGACGGGTTGTCGTGCTCTGGTCCCGCCATCAAGTCGTTGGGATGCATCATCGAGGTCCTCAGCGGCCAACTCATGCGGTTGGGTATATCAGGCACAGGAGGGATGTCGTTCTCTTCCATGGTATTCTTATCCAGCCATGTTGGCGACTGTGAGCTGGTCGAGGAGCGGTTACTTCCTGTCGATACGCCTGACGCACGCTTCACCTTCCACGCCCCCGTCTTGCCATCGATCTCCAGCGTCGACAATGGGTATCGAAGTGAGTCGGCCAGCGTGCCAGAGTCTTCGAATAGGGATATCTGGTAGGAATGTAGAGTCTCATTAGACCCGTTGGAGTGCATAGATACCATATTAGGATGAAGAGCCTTCTCGCTGACGTGAACGTTGACGCTGCTACGGCTGTAGTCTCCTGCTCGCTTCGCGCCATCAGGTACGTGGAAGCGTAGGTCGACACGCACGATGGCGTACATGACAAGCACAATGATTTCGGTGACGAAGTTGAATGCAAAAAAGCAAGCCTTGTCATAATACCATGGCGGATTTTGGAACTGACCTTGGGCGTTCCGCAAAGGAGACGGAGGTAACCAGACAATCACGCATCGGAAGATCTGCCCAGCCGAGACCACTGCGGCGGCGATTAACAGAATAGTGATGTTGACCCTGAGACGGCCAGCTCCGAACTTATCGGTCTCGTGGCGGGGAAGAGCCAAGGAGATGAGGACGAAGACGATCGGAGCGAAAGCAAAGACTGTGAAGTACGTCTGACCCGCCAACTGCATGTCGCGGAAGATACGACGAGCGTTTTTGTTCAGCGTGAAGTTCTGCCAGATTGATGTGACGATGATCATCAATAGGCTGACGATCAAGAAGACAAGAGCGCCTCTGTGGACGATCCGGTAGGGCATCGACCAACCGAGTTTGGTATGTTGCGCGCGAACAACACGTTGTGTGAAGAACCAGTTGACCATGTACAAAATGATTGTGCCGACGTAAACGAATATATTCGCTGCCATAGCAAGTCCAACGTTGCGCTGATGGCAAGCCCATGCTATCCTCAAGGACATCGTTATCAGTCGAATCTTGCAGAGCCCTAGTGACTGTCAGATATTTTGATACCATCATGTTGATTTCGACTTACCGAGTAGGGCGCCATTGAAGATGAACTTGTGCCCTCGGCCTTTGTTACTCTTGAGAATCTTAATGTGAACGACTCCAAGGATAAGGTAAAGAACGAGGAATACAGCTGTGACGGGGATGTCAGGTATCACGTCTGGAGAGCCACCGAGTCCTGCATTTGTAGGCGAGTATGGAGGACTCCCTCGGTGTTGCTGGCTCTGGGAGATCGTCAGCTCAAACACAACCCCTGCAATCTGGTTGGAACGTACTGATGAAGGTTCGTTGGTGTCTGAAACTGTTGACATCTTGAACTCAAGAGTCACAGATGACTCTGCAGTAAGTGAAGGAGCAAGAAGCGGACCAAGAATCCTGGCAGGTGTGCGAGCGCTGGGGCGTTTATCACCTCGATGGACTTACACATGCATATGGCCTAGAGCCAAGGTGCCCAGATCAGCACCATGGATGACGACTGTACGACAGCGCCATCCGGTAAATGGCGAACAACTCTAATTGGCATGATAGGCTTTACCGCACGTGAACTACAGTGGCTCAACGGCTCATAGTAAGCCGCGTTAGGTGGACAGCATAGGCCTAACGGCATACGTAAAGTACAGTGAACGCCGCATGCAAGTACGCGTACCGTAGCTATGGTGCATGTAAGATCTACAGGGCATACCTTGCCTTGCATTCAGAAAACGTGCCAAACAACGTTCATCCTCACCTTGAACTCATGACATCAATTGCGGTTGTGCTCAATATGGTGCGTTTCGAATCAATCGTCGAAAATAGACTTTTACAGCCATGCTGAGTATGACTTCCCATGACATCGGGGCAGCCTAGTTCCGTCAGCTGTCTCGCAGGGGGCCGCCTCTGTTGGCGTTGTCAAGGTTGTATCGGCTCTCCTCAATGCTGCCGAGAATGTTGATGTGTATTGATCGTCGGGGGCCAGCTCACCGATCTGACGTTGTCGGCATTTTGAACCACCGACTCTCACTTACTTAGCCTCATCTGACATTAGCAGTGAATGCTGGCATCAGATGTTGCAAAGTTACGTGCAATAGGCTTCGAGCACAGCCTGCGGCCGTGTAGAGACAAAGCCGCAGAACAGATGTGTTGATCGGTGAGGTTGCACAGGCCATGTTGAGGCTCGTTACCTTGGAGTAAGGCATGATAGTCGCGGTTTCCGTTGGACACACAACAGAGGTACGCACGTCAAATTGGTTGGTGAGATAGAGGGTACCGAGGAAACGCAAGGAGCCAGCAAATATATGTGGTGGTTTGAAGTTGCCAGTCTTCTTGCACATCCTAGCCCTCACTTGGAGTGCTAACGCGCATACGCTCAAACCAAGCCTTTACCTTTCCGTGTTGTTGTCAGAATGCTGAGTCGTAAGAAAGTCACATTTACGTTACTGGACACTTGCTTGCGCGCCAGTCGCGTCCGGCACGGGCCGTCTTCCACCGTCAAACATCAACACTAACGTCATACTCCAATTGACCATCAACAACCACCCAGCATCCCACAATGCCTCCAAAAGGGAAGCAAAAAGCTGTGAAATCAGCCACCAAACAAATCCCTCCGCCATTCTCCCCCGCCGATCCCTCCCTCGCGCCCCTCCTTGAAACCTTCGACCCCTCAACCGTATACATAATCCACACCGATGTACACCCCGCGTGGTTCAAAAAGCGCATCTTCAGCGTCCCTATCGGTCTCAACCTTCTGATTACCGCTATACTCGTCTGGCGCGCCTACGCCATCATCCCGTTCTACTACAAGATCCTCGCGTCGTTGGGCGGACACTCGAACCACACGACGATATACTATGCTAAGCAGACTTGGGGTGGCCTGATATGGAAAGTCGTACAGCGCATGGTCACTTTCTTCATAGACTACGTGTTGGTCATGGTCATTGCGCCCTGGCCATATGGGTTCTTCCTTGAAGCGCCGGGCAACCCAGTGCGATGGCGGTGGAACGTTGGGTTTAGGGACGAGGAGGTATACGTGAGGCAGAGTAGAGGGTGGGGTGCGAAGGATTTACTTGGTGAGGCGGAAGGTAGTTCGGGTAAAGCAGGTGAAGAGTCGCCTTTTTTTAAAACCAGGATTTTGCCAGCTGTCGATCCGCAGAGACTTAAGGAGAAGACCGGGTATCTGCTGATGGATGGGGATTTCGACCTGGACTTCTATGGAATGACAGCCGCAACACAGCTGCTGGACAGGAAGGACGTCGCCGCAGATCTGCTCAAGAAGTGTGTGCTCGTCTATGTTGGCGATACGGCTAAGGGCGAGGGGCAGTGGACGGTTTGGAACTGTGGCATGCTTGACGTCAACGAGCCCAGTGAGATGGAGGCTAGAGACAAGGTGATTGCTATCAAGGACAAGCTCACAGAGATGGGTAAGGAGAATCTGTTCTTTCGATGGGTCGAGCTCATTCAGTATGAGAGCAACGGTACGTATTCTTCTGCATCGCATAACAGGCTTGACTAACACTCTCTCAGCGCCTGGCGGTTTCACACAAGAAAGACAGGTCGCGGCGGCAGAGAAGGTCAAGAAGATGTTCGAAGAGCAGGGTGTAGATTGGGACAAATTCAGCCAGGAAATCGGAGGTCTCGAGGGTGTGCCAGGCTTGTAGCCGGTTGCCATTGCATTGCGTTGCGTTGCGTTGCGGGTTTGTTATCAAGATACCCAAAAGTTGTCACTATGGAACAGTGCGAAAGTCGAAATATAGCTCATGTGGACAATGGAAAGCCTCCCGTCCTGTCATCCTCTTTGCCCTCACACGCCCGCAATCGCATAGAAGAATACCGAACTGCGCCGGAAGGGCCAGCCTTCTCTTCCTGCAGAGAGGCTAGTGTGTCCTGATCATAAGGTCGTAAAGTCGTTACTTCGCCGCCAGGGCGCAGATGTATGTATGATTTTATCTTCCCAATGGCTGGCAGCTGCAGCTCACACCTTTTGCCTCAGCAGCCGATGCAACGACGAGGCATCCTTACTCCTCCTAATACTTGGACTGACATGGCGGCTCGATGATGACTTCGATGTTGTTGACTCAGGCGAGCTGTCACGGTGCGATCTCGATGAACGTCTTGACTCTGATGATGTCGACGTGCTCTTCGATCGTGATGACTGGCGAGAGTCCAAAGTGCTTGTTGAGTTCAACGTATCGCTCCGCTTCCGCAGCCGCCTGGTGGGCGTTTGGGAACGCTTCATCTTCTCCTTCTCCTCACTGACGAGTGTCTTCTCAGGTGCGGGTGTGCGGTGCAGTACTGTCCTTCGTGTGCGGCGTTGTGGCATTTGCGGCGGTTGTAATGGCTCATCCAGGACGGGAAAGGTCTCCAGTTCTGTCTCCAGCTCGTCTACAGATAGTTTACAACTTTGCTCGCGCTTCTTCTCTGACTCGCGACCTCGTGTATAGGCATCCAGTAGTCGTTCGGCCTCCCGCTTGTTTGTATCTGAGCAAACCAACCTGACCACTTCGAGGATCAGGAAGAAGGTAGCTACGTATGAGATGAAAAAGCCGACTTTCGAGGCAAAATCAACGATCCACATTTTGACTCGAATATCGTCCCTTCCGTGTAGAACAATGAAGCGGGGATATAAGCCTCCAGTAGGTAGCTGAGTATAAGGACCGAATAACACTCAAAAAGCAAGATAATGTCTTGTGTGATATAGCGCGCGCGGTGTAATGTCGCGTGCAGCGTGCAGCTCAACCCGAACAAGCAATTGGACGAGCTCGATGTCGATATCGGCGTGGTTGGTAGTTTGTGTTACACGGCGCACTGCTGCATCAACTGGAGGAACGACTATACCAAGGAGAACTGCAAGTCAAGAACGTGAAGTCGCACAAACCCATCCCGCTCGATGAACGCGCAATCCCGTCCATTTTGTATGTGTTCGGTTTCCGTTCGAGGCGCGCGACTGACAGCTGAAACAACCCCTGGAGTTTGGTTTGAGAAGCGTCTGATGGAACCAACTTCACGAAGGGACTAGCCGTATGGAGCTTTATGCTCGCGCTAGAACCCCGGACAGTGATGACAACGAATCCTGATTGGGTCTTTGATTGACAACGGACCGCGATAAGATGGAATCACAAGCCAAATAGTGTTGAAGGATGGAGGGGCCTCCCTGATCTTCCGGGGCATCCGACAAGACGCGCTTGAGAGCTTCCAGGGCTGTGGAGATTGAACGCGAACGCCTCAATACGCGAATTTACAAATTCTAATCGTGCTCTTGGGAAAAAAGATTTCGACACCGGCAGATATTTATCGGTTTAAGAAGCACGTGAGAGTTTGCAAGAGTTGGGGAGACATCGCTGGTGGCAGCTACGGCTCACAAGCATCGCGCATATCGTAACGAGGGAGCTCTCCTCACCGATTGCAAGTGTAAGGACCAAACTCTTCCATCCATCGGCCGAAAGATTTCCTGCCTTCAGATCTCACTTCTCGACCGACTCCAGGAATTCAATATCATGCTTGGAAGAGCTAAAGGTTCCATCACCCCTGTCTGTCCCTTGCACGCTCGGCCTCTTCCAGACAGGTAGCCTTGAGGTTTCCTGTGAAGCTGTCGAACCAATCCAGATAATAGTTGGCTTTTTTTGGGCAGAGATCGAACTCCGATGATGTCCGTGTCTGAGATGCTTCTGACCCATCCATAGATAGGTGGTACTTAAAGCCGCTTGTCGCCCATTCATCTCATCCGGTTCGATCGCGCCATATTTTGATAGACCGAACATGCCATGCGTCAACTTGATCGTCTCAAACTGGGCTCTGCAGCAGGGAGCGGACCGTGGTGGGGTCTAAATCAGATGTCACTCCAAGCTTGCGGTGGGCATCCTGGTGGCGGCACATAATATAATAGGAGCCAGTGTAGAGTTTTTTGTTCATGTGGACGAGGTCGAAGTGCGACTCCAAAGGAATTTCTGTGAAGGTCAGACAGATGATGTCGGGCCAGTGATCTGTTAGGCTTCGCAGGATAATGCGGATGATGACATGACGAGGTGCAAGGTACCTATAGTCTATACTGAATGGATGCGAGCAGGCTGCTATGAGGTTGTATGCTACTGTCGCTGCGGAAGGGCATAATCTTGGAATTTGGGACATTGTTGTTACTGTAGATCCGAGTGAAGCTTCTGAGACCACCACGTCGTTACTTGTTAGGTATTCCTGCATACGCTGATAGGAAGCCTAAGCCGTCAGTCTCCGTATTGAGATACGCGTAACCATTGCAGAGATATTTTCCACCAAGGTCGTCCGCACTAGAAATATCTTGATAGCCGGCATTCGCTGTCTGAGATGTGCATTGCAGAAGCTCTTACTGGGGAGACGACCAAGTTTTAACGCGGTGTGCCTCGGGATCGACATGCTTTTCAGTTCTCTTCGTCTTGCGAAAGACATCTCGTAGCCCTCTACCGTCCTTGAACTTGATGCTGGACACGTACCAGCCTCCGAAGGTCGCAGCCATGAGCGCGGCAGCCATGACGAAGTAAAGCCAGAGCTGGCTGTGTGTTCCTTCGCCGGTGATTTGCGCGACATTCATACCTAATATACTCTGTGGGGATTGTCAATGACGATTTTGTACGATGTTATTGGAGTACATACGGATGCAAGCGTCAGAGGAAGGTAGATAAATGTCAATACTGTAATGCGCTGAATGCTTTCAGCAAACGCATTTGCCGACTGGCTTTCTCGGACCGCCGCTTTCGATTCTTGCAACGATGCAATATTCATGATGAGGTTGATGAGGTTTTTGGTCTTGTCAGCTGCATCATCGCAGCGGCGAAGCTGGTCATCAACAACCGAAAGCCTCTTGATGAAATATCGGTCATCTCGCTCCCCTGAAATGAAGCTGGAGATCTCGTGTCGTGCAAACTGCGCTACCAAGTTTTTGGTACCGTCCAGCTGCCTGCGTACTTGGCTCCACAGCGGAAGTAGGTCGTAGAGGTCTCGCAGATAATCAAGATGTTTTTCTGGATCAAAATTCTTGTCAAGGCATTGCTTACTCTGCTCGCGTCAGCTGCACTTTCTCGAACTGTCGAACTGGCCAAACTTACAATTTTCTGCAAGTGAATCATCGCTTCGTCAAGAAAAGTCGTCCGGATAACAGAAACGAGGAAGATCACATCTTGGACGATCTGGCCCAATCCTTGGTACACCTCAGCTGACCATGGTCGCTCTCGATCAAGAGCTATCAGCCGATCTCTCAAGCTCGTAGCGATAGAATCGCCGTTTTGATCGAACATGTAAAGTCCTCTCCAGCATTTGTATACCTCGTCGCACGCCGGTCCTGGATTTGGGCCTGCTGAGCTTTTCTCGCCGTTCAATCCCGTGTGGAAGATCAGGCGAGCATGGTTAATATGCCATTCGTGATGGTGACTCTGCTGGCAGGTTTTGCGTACGAAACGGTAGGGCGGTAAACCTACTGCTCGTTGTGAGTCTGACTGAATGTGTCCGACGGGGTATTTGCTCATGTATTGGAGCGAAAACATCAGATCTGTCATTAGCCCTGCTCGACAAGGTTCGCACGTTGGACTCACGAATGTCGCCTCGTGTTCCAGTGATGACTCTGAGATGAGCTGGAGGTAGAACGAAGAAACTCGGCGCAAGCTTCATACAAAAGCCGAGACATCTAATGGCTTCATCCTGAAGCGAAGACGCCATCCTATAAGACATAAACCAACGCTTCAACAGGTTATCATGGAACTCACAGGAAGACACTACTCCCAGTATTGTGCCTCTCCGTATGTTCAGTCTTCATGACCATATTTCTAAGCTCCTTCAGGTCCGAGGCAGCTTTCTGGTACACCCATTGATGGTTATGTGTGTCGAACAAGTATTTTGCCACCTGACAGCCCTGTCCTGGATTACATCGTAGTAAATTTTCCAGGCCGTCGGTATCTGGATCCTTCAGTGAAAGCTGCGACGGCCACGATAAATAAGGCCTGTCCGGCGGCAGGTGTGGATCTCGCTCGAGTATCGGGCTGTGGGGTCGTTGCATCCATTGCGGCTCTGACATTTCCCTTGTAGCGAAACGGAGTATATAGTGGATGATTGAGAGAAGAAGGCAAAAGGCCTTTACCGCTGATATTGAAGGTGGTCATCTTAGAAAGGCTGATGCCAAGAGGCCACCAATTCATGGATGAGGCCGTCGGCGGTTGTGCTGCCAATGAAGAATCGAGACAAGCGAAGAGCGCCCAGATCCAGTGCTTTTACATACTGAGGCGGTCAAGGTATATATGTAAGTGCTGCGAGATGCACATCTTCTGCAGTTGCGTGTTTGCGGAGGCAATAAGGAGTTGGGAGGAAGGCGCAATCGTGCACGCTGGGTGGCTTGCTGCTCACAAGACCTGTCACGGCCGCAGACTCGAGCTGTAGGTGGATTTGCCTTACTACCATCGTTCACGAGCATCATCATTGAAACGCACGTCAACGGAGACAGCTTGTCTTAGATGAAGAAACAAAGGTGGCCGGAAGCGCAGTAGTGCGCCGTGGTTGTCCGCACGAGCTGACCAACCGACATCATAGCGGTGCTTGCTCCCCACTGGTACCGCCGTGTATCCGATCTCAGCCTCAACCTTTCGACCTCTGTCCGACAGGACCTTCCTCACCCTCTTTCACCTCACACCAACACAGAACAAAGTCGAAGCTGGTGAGAAGATGTTCGGCTTCATCGCAGACGGCTTGACGTAAGAGCCCCGCCCCCGCATTCTCACGAGCTTCAGCATGCCTCAGTCGATGTCGGCCTGTGGCGAGCTCCACCACAGCTGCCAAAGCTCCCAATCACCACAAGCAGAGCTTCACAACGTCACACAGCCAGCTAACACCTCAATAGCGTCGCAACTACAGTTCTCTTCCCCATATTCGCATCCTACAAAGCTCTCCACACCTCCGACCCAGCTCTGCTTGCGCCGTGGCTGATCTACTTCGTCGTTCTTTCGATCCTCACGACCGTTGAAAACACATTCGACTTCGTCCTTAGCTGGGTGCCCTTTTACTCATGGATTCGCTTCTTCATTCACCTGTACCTGATCATGCCTGGCTCACAGGGCGCTACGTTCGCGTACCAGGAGTACATCGAGCCATTCCTGTACCAGCATGAGCGCGAGATCGATCATTTCATAAGCGAGGGTCACGACCGTGGAAAGGCTGCAGGACTGGCATACCTGGGTATGGCTATCGAATGGGTCAAGGTCAATGTCATGGGCTTCGCTCCTGCTAGGCCAGAGTCGCCCAGACCCGCAGGTCAGACATACGCACAGAACTTGATGAGCAGATTCCAGATGCCTGCTGCCAGAGGAAGTAACGACTTGTACGGCCTGGTCAACCAGGCATTGAGCGGGGCAAGTGCGCTGTATGCAGGCAACCAGAGTGGACAGGCTGCGGACCTCAGCCGTAGTGCGAACCTCGTCCCAGACAATATCCGCAACAATGACGACAGGCTCAACTATGTGACCTCGCAGCGTCAACGTCTTGAGACCCTTCTCCAGGCGTTCGACCGCGAGCAGGAGAACATTCGTACGCAGCAGTCGAGCGGCAACAGGTATCACGAGGGTAGTAGAACACCGACTGGTCTCTCAAGAAACAGGAGCGACGCTGAATTCGACCGTATCGAGCGCGACGAAGCCAGTCCACGCCCTCCATACCCTACCACACCACCTCCGCTAGGCAGGCGTACAAGCAGCGGCTGGATGCCCTGGAATTGGCAGCGCCCGCCGCCACCAGCAGATCCAAGGGATCGCGACGACCATCTAGCTTACGGCAAGGAGTCTGGTGAGTCGAGAAGGGCACGTGCGACTGGATTCGATCTCGGGGATCATTAGGTAACGAATCCTTGGAGGAAATCCTTTTGATGATTGTGTATTCAATGGCATTTGGAAACGAGCCAGGACAGAAGAGACGGATCTTCAGAATCGCTAGACGAGTCACTTAGGACACAAAAGTGAATCCAGCATCTGGTAAATTAATTGCTATGAACAGACAGTACAATCTCGTCATTCATCGATCTGTTGGCCCGTGCGGCCCAATCGTGACTACGCGCCGCGATGGCGTTCTGTATCTTTCACAAGCGTGTCTGCGTTGCATCACTCATCATTCCGCACCATACATATCCACACCCACACAATGGCAGCACCAGCATCAAGGCGAGGCGCCTTCCAGCTGCTCACCGGTTCGTTGCGCATATCACAACGCAGCTTCTCATCGTCGCGCATCAACGCCGCCTTCGCCAGCCCTCCACGACAATCTACAACCACCGACACCGCGGCAAAGCCTGCCGCCACCACTGCAACAACATACAAATCCGCTGCGCCTGCCGCACCAAGAACAATCACCCCCTCCTTCCCCGCCAAAGAACCTCCCGTGCCAACCTCGCGCAGCACCGCCGCCGCAGCCGCCACAAACGGCCAGCGCAGCCTCACCGAGGGTCTCTCTGATGCGCCCGCCGAGATCGAAGGCGTCGCAGCGCACGACTGGACGCGATCGTACCACGGTCTAGGCAGCGTGCCTTTCTCTCCTGAGCAGGCTGAGACGCTTCTCGCGCCCGTGAACAGCGAGGATGTCGAGGTCAAGCCTGATGGGATATTGTATCTGCCGGAGATCAAGTACAGGCGGATATTGAACAAGGCATTTGGACCTGGTGGGTGGGGTTTGGCGCCGAGGGGGGAGAGTATTGTTACGGCCAAGTTGGTGACGAGGGAGTATGGTATGGTTGTGCAGGGCCGGTACGTTCATTCTCATACCTTATGAATCCATGCTACATGATCGCAGTGCTAATTTGAATGCGCAGACTGGTCTCGATAGCGCGCGGCGAACAGCAGTACTTCGATCCGGACGGCATTCCCACCGCGACTGAGGGATGCAAGTCCAACGCCTTGATGCGCTGCTGTAAAGACTTGGGTATCGCAAGTGAGCTGTGGGATCCTAGGTTCATTCGCGAGTTCAACAAAAAGTTCACAAAGGAGGTGTGGGTTGAGCATGTCGCGACGAAGAAAAAGAAGAAGATCGTCATCAGGAAGGACGATGTTGTCAAGTACCCGTTCAAAGAGAGCAAGATGGGCGCATAGAGGAATGCCCACGAATTATAGATGGACAGGCCACGCGAAAAGATGATGCATATCAAGGCGTTTCGGTTGAGCGAAGAAGTTGTACATATACTGTAGCGTATGGAGTCGTAAGTGCTGACCCCAGTGTCGAATCATGCATTGACAGAACGAACCGAACTATACTTAACCTTTCCAGATCCGTCTCCAAAGTCATACACATTCTCAGCCACCACTAGAAGCTTGCGTTCTGACAAAGACCATCGCTGCAGCCAGCAAGATACCTCGCCCGCATGTGAGTGTTGGACTTGAGATTGAGGAGCAGACCATAACCCACGTCTCCTGGGTCTATTCACAAAAGCCCTGAACAGTCACTACCAGGAGGTCCCAACACTCACTAATAATTCACAAACCATGACATTGGTCCTTCCAGCCGCTGCACATTGTGTATCCCTCCCTTATCTTATCCAGCAGTTGCAACATATCCCATCATCTTCACCGTCGGCAACACCAGATCATGCGGCCCTTCCCTACCATCCGCGCAACCATCCGACACAACCCTCACAACATACTCGGCATCGCAAGCCGCAAGGACAGTCCTCAGCACGCATCTTGACGTACTCAAGCCCGAGAGGAACAAATTCCCGGCCCCTTTCGCCTGCAAATAGCCCTCGAGCCCTGGTGACCTGGTCGTCTTGTAAAGGCGGACTCGTCGCAATAATCTTTCCTGAGCTCGTGAAGCCCTTCTCCGCCATCTTCAGCTATGCCGGCGATGGCTGCGGTCACCCGGGCAGATCCTTTGCAGGTGGGAGGGAGCATGCCGTCGGCATCGATCAAGCAGTGGATGACGTGGATACCGTGCGATCTCGCACATGAGCGCATGTTGGCCCCAACGCTGAGAGCTACATGCCCTTCTGAGCTACCGGCTCTTTCGACGAATATTCTATGAAAGTCGAGGGCCAGGAACCCTGTTTGAGAGGGCCCGTAGTGCCCTGGTGCGGCTGCATTGGAGGCGTCGGCCATGCTTGAGGGTGTGCTTGCTGCGGCCATGGTTTTGATGTCGGGTGTTTCAAGGTGTCAAGTCGGTCTTGGTACGGTCTCAGCGGTGGGTCTTCAACGACTCTATAGACAGTGAGTCTTGAGTGCGCACGCGAGCGTGAGAGTCAATCTTAGGTTCGATTCATGATGGTGGAGATAAGATGAGACAACCTCTGCGAGCGTGCCGAAGTCACTGACAGGCGCTGCGAGGTGTCCTGTGGATCTCGCGCATGTAAATTGATCTTGAGGTTTCGGTGCTCGGGAGTCGACAGCGTTGCGGACGTCGGCTTCACACATGGCTATGTCCGGCGTCCACAGCCTGACCGTGAAAGTGAGGAAGCGCAATGGAAAGAGTGAAGTTACAGAGCAAACGCAAAGCATTCCGACTGTCTGCTTGGTATCTGTCTGTCTCCAAACACCCGTGTCCACTCATCTGTACATGATTTAAGGCCGGTTTGACGCCGCCACTGCACGTGCAATCTCAGTCATGTGAGACGGCCTTCAGACACGAATGGATGTCGTACTTTCTGATATTTGAAATCGGGGTCGGAAACACTTCGGCTCGAGACGAAGAGGAGTACTGATGGCCAAGGCTTTGTAGAGAAGCCAACCCTACCCTCCACTACCACGCCACCGGAACACCTTTGATGGAATGAAAGCAGACAGGAGGATATGATGTCTGATTATTGCTTCGATCAGGGAAGATAGACGCGGTGATCATGGTATCCTTGGCAGACCTAAGACTTGACCTTTGCCTTTCGAAGAAGACCTTTGCAGTGTCGCAACGGAGAAGAGGAACAGAGTGAGCGGACTCGATACTTATAGACATCGACGGCAAATCACTAACGCTCAAGTCATGCAAACGGATCATCATTGAACAATGAGAAGAATATGCAATTGCTACCATGATACTAGGCATCTAGAAGATACTATTGTCCGCACAAGTGAACGGTCCGTTCAACGTGGAGTTAGGATCGTTGAAGACATCGATCAACGCCTTCAAACTCGTGTACAACCCACCAACATTCAAGAACAGCGTCATCAGCAAGATGGCGTAATTCAAGCACGCCAGCGCAATCTTCCTCGACGAGCTGAACTGTGTCTTCCAGTTGAGGTGCAGCCACATGACACTCGTAAGTCCAAAGGTGAACCACGAGATGAAGATGGCGGAGCTGATGTTGAGGATTGAGGAGAAAATCGGGATCGCGTTCGATATGACGAAGGACACGATCCAGAACAGCGTGCCGAGTCCGACCCACAGGGTCCACGTGAAGCCGTTGTGCACATTGACCTGCTCGGGGCGCACCTTGCGCATGATGGCGATGTACATGTACTTGATCGCGGTGATGCCGATGACGAGCCCCGTGCCCAGGACGGACGGGATGAGGATTCCGTACGCGATCTTCGCCGGGAGCGTGGGCGCGGAGCCGAGCGCAGGCGAGGTAACAGCGTCACCCGCAAGCCCATAGATAACGCACGCAACGACTATGTAGACGACGACCTCGAAGGACTTCTGCATGAACAACGCAGGCGGGAATTCCTTCTGTGGGTTGCGCATCTCGGCCATTACGCTCATGAAGGACTGGTTTCCGGCGAAGGCGAAGGCGATGTTGAGCAGCGAATTTACGGTCTCTACAAAGGTAGGTTTGCCGACGAGGATAATTTTCACGTCGAAGCCGGGCGGTGCCTTGGGGCCTGCGACGCCGAGTGCGATCATGACAATCAGGACCGAGGCGACGATCGAGATCGTACAGATCCAGCTCATGGCTGCGGCGAATGTGAGCTTGCGCGGTAGGCAGAGCAGCCAGCAGGCAATGTGCGGGATGGCTATGAATGCGACGGTGCAAATAGCGTGGGACGAGAGCGTGTTGAGCGCAATCGACATTGTGATGTTTGCTGAGGCGCAGATCAGGACCAGGTTGAAGATGAAAGCCACGCCAAAGAAGCGTTCGAAGTTCTTTCCGCCGATGTAGAGCGCGCAATCGACCAAGTTGGTAACCATGGGATATCTCCTGTAGAACTGGACCATGACGTAGCCACAGTATCTGGTCTAACATCAGTAACTGGACGGGTTATAAGACTGGAGCACGACTCACGTTGTGAGAGTTCCAAAACCGAGTATGGCAATAATGCCAGGAATGAGCCCGAGCGTCTGGAGAGCAGAAGGCAAGCTGAGAACACCGATGCCGACTTCAATGGTGATCAGAATCACACACGCTCGCCAGCGACCCAGCGTCCTGTACTCGTCGCCCAGACCCTCTGGTTGTCGCGGGTACTCGTTGGCGCCAGCGAAACCATCACCTGTCCAGCCAGTTGTGATGTCTGTGTTCTGTCCATACTCTTCGTCGTATGCTGACTTGTCGGATCCAGTATACGGTGTAGCGTCGCTCGGGGCAGACGACCCTTGTCCCTTCTTCTGAAAGGGGTTTTTGAGGCCCATGATGTCGACTGGGAAGCCTCGATGAAAGGTCAGACGATTCAATGTCAAATAGTAGTACAGGGTGGCCGAGTGCGGCGAGCTCTGGTCTTTTAAACATGCAGTGTTCCTAATATCGGCCCTGTGTTCTTTCCCCAACCACGCAATCTCCACTAGTCTCCGGATGCATCCTGGCGAAGTCGCCTCTTCTCATGTCAATGCATCTCACAAGTTTCGGCCTTATCCATGAGTTTTCTACTCGCCTGATGCGCTTCTAGTGCTGCCAATAACGCGGAGTGCATGCGCAGGATGCGGGGGGATGGACCGGATATGGCTATCCTCGGTTCTCCAGAGGGAAGATAACGACGTGCCAGAGCTTGTTGTCCCTGGAGCGCTGGTTGTTTGATGAAGGGAGTGGGTCGACATTACTAACCGTTGGCCGATGCGAGGCAACAGTGACTTTGGCGCTCCACATAATCACGTAAAAACTTCGAGAAAACTTCTTGGGCCGGGACTCATGGACTTGGCGATGCGCCTAAGCCGCTCAGATCAGCCGTAATCGGCTTACAAGCTTCCTGTGGGCAGATTCACACTCCCCGTGGCGACTGTCATGTTCAGGGTCGAAAGATGGGGTGGAGGATTGCTTGTGAGGTCGTCCGCTGCGGTCAGCCCTGCGCGGCCGCTACCGCCACAACGGGCCATAGCGTTCGGTCTGCCTTCCGAAGTGACGCGGTGAACATCGCCCATTGTTGGCAACTTCACAAACGAAAAATCGGGATCAGGCTAATATCGAAGGATTTGTTGCCTCTCAGCTGGCTCTTCTGAATTTTGTCACAGAGATGTGACTGTAAGGGTATGTCACTGTGGAGCGCTGCAAGAGTCAACAACCCACATAGTGGACCAGCAGAGACCCTCGTGGCTAAGATCTCCATCCGTCAAGAACTTCCGTTGATAGTGAAATATGTAGACAGCGTCGTCATTCAGGTAGTTGCTGATAAAGACTGCTATCACTCAACGTCCGGCAACGGAAGCATGATATGAAATGATAACAAGTTGAACATTGCGTTCCTATATTCCATCTGCATCCACAAGCTCAATAAGAATAAATCTATTGCAAACACGAGATTGTGGACCATGACGAGGTCCCGGCTTCTATCGGATCCACCGGTCCCTTGCAACTACGAATACCTATGCATCGGCCACGGACTCCCTCAGAGCAGTGGGTGCCTCTTCAGTAGCACCTTGCGACTGTGTTGAAGGTACATCCGCTGCTTTCGTTGAAGACAGCGACTCCGTCTTCGTCAAAGGCAAAGCTTCCGACTCTTGCGGCTGACTCGTCTTAATCTCCAGTTCTGCCTCACCCTTAGCGTCAAGTTCAGGGAAAGCGCCGGGCGCCTCAAAGGATCCGGGCGCAGTCTTAACGGACTCTTCCTGCGTTGTCAGCGAAGGAAGAGCGTCGGTGATCTTTGTGAGTAAGCTGGGTTCCTCCTTGACTGGTGCATCAGACGGCGAGCTGGCTGCTGCGGGTGTGACGGACTTCGCGGCTTCGACGACAGGAGCAGCGACATTCTCCAGGGTCTCGGCGATAGGTGCTTTGCTGATCTTCGGGGCGTCGGTGATCTCAGAGATATCTGCACGGCCTCCCAGAACCTCAGCTTCTTTCTCGACCGCTGGCTCAGTAGCTGCAGGCTTGTGCGAACCCAAGGCATGCTGAATCTGAGCAGCGGCCTTCGCGGCAGGTACGTCCAGAGCACCATCCTCACCGAAACTCCATATAGCAGTGACTGGCGCGAGCTCCAGCTTCGCCCTTGGAACCGCAACCTCAGCCGTAACAGTTGCTGCAGGAGCTGGAGAGGCAGCAGGCTTGCGCCTCTGAGGACCCTTAGCCCTGCCCTTGCGAGCATCCGACAAAGGCTGAGCGGGCTCTGCCTCCTTCTCCTCCTCTGGCTCCTTGACCTTAGGTGCTTGAGGTCCAAGACCCAACTTGCTGTTCAGATCCTGCAAGAAGCCGGCCTGTAGCGCAGCAATCTTAGAGCCAGCTGGGCGAGCTGGGACTGGAGGCTTCGCCTTTGGCTGGGGAGCATCGTTCTCAACAGCCCGGTCGGTGGTAGGAACATTCTCGGACGAAGGTTGAGATGGCTTGCTGGGACGTGTAGGAACTTGCGGCTTAGGGCGATCCGGAATGATGGGAGCCTTCTTGTCGACTGGCGAGCTCTCCTGCTGTGCCCTCTGCGGACGAGCGGGCACGCTTGGGCGTGCCAGAATGGTGGGAGCGGACTTCTCCACGATTGGCGACTCGGGAGCGTATTCGTCAGTGGCTGGCGTCTGCGGTCCGCTAACGGTTGTCTCGAGATGACCGTGTTCAGGTGCATCTTCCCACACGTCTTGACTGGGGAATCTTTGAGGGGTAGGGCGGACCCCACGAAGGTGCTTGTTCTCAGCAGCAAACTGCCTGGTGTGCTCGGACAGGAAGCTCTGCTGATCCTCCTTAGTAATGGTGTCCTTGCGCTTCTCCTCTTGCTCTGGTGGCTCGAAGACCTTGGCGGCACTAACATCACCGCCCGCGGGAGTGTCTGGCTCTTCAGGGGCTTGAGGGGTATCGACAGTGGTCTCAAGCTGCAAACTGCCAGGTGCATCTTCCCAAACGTCCTGACTGGGGAAGTGGTGGCGAGCGAGGTTTGGTCGCTTGACCTTATCGGCGAGTGTCTTGGGCTTTTTGCCATCCTCCTCATCTTCCGGGAAGAGTGGCTCGTACTCCTTGTGCGATTCGAGAGGGGTACCGCTCCTGTCTGCAAAGTTTGCAGGGCTAGCAATAGTACGGTGCTGCTGGCGGTTGTTGTTGCGGCTCGAGCTCCTGCTATGAGTTCGCACCTTTGTTAAGTACGCGGGGGTGCCATCCTCGTTGACAGTGTATTCGCCATCATGGCCACGTTCCAGCTCGGGTGACACAGCAGGTTGCCTCCACTCGGCATTGGAGTGCTTCTGTACCTCGTCAGAGGCGAGGATGGGAGTACCGTAACCACGCTCGGTGACCCAGCCACCCTTCTCATCTGTGTTTCCACCCTCAGGGCCAAGGTCTTCCGTTGGTGGATCGTAGCCTCCACCGTGAACCTTGCCGGTGCGATGAGCAGGCGGATCGATGTGAATGACATCGCCGTTATCGTCCAACTCTTCTGCCGAGGTCTCGTGGCGCAGTGCCGACTCTTGGTTTGCAGCCTTGCTGGTAGGACGGCTGGCGGAGGAAGAGGGCCTAGGCGATGCCATTCTCATGGCGTACTCTTCGGTGGCCCTGTAGCCAATCTGCTCGTCCGGGGTACTGACACCTTCGCGTGAAGTGCCTAAAATACACGTCAGTCTCGTTTCGATTGCTGAGTTATGCTGAGAACACACCAAATCCAATATCCGTGGGGCCGTGAATAACCTTGTTGAGATCATCGGCGCGCCAGTGGTAGTCTTTCCTATTCTCCTGGATGTGCGGTCCATACTCCCCAGCCTTCTCGCGCTTCAAGTCATCCGGATGCTTCTCATACCATTTCTTCTCAAATGCATCGTTGGAGATCTTGCCATGTCCGTGCATACCATAGCTGCCAGGAGGGCCGTGGAAGATCTCACGGCCGCTCTTCGTACGTCCGTGGTGACGGCCACTGGGCTTGTTGTGGAAGCCAACGCCAGTCGATGCGCCCTGTTGCTCATACGGATTCGGTGTCGGCGCCTGGACGTCTCCAGCGTTGCGGAACATGGGCACCTGGACACCAATCTCGGGAATGCCTTGATGCTCCTTGTCGTTGTAAAGCGAGGCAGGTCGCGAGCCGATGGAACTGCCAGAGCGGCCAGTCTTTGTGCCGGACGAGACACTGTCTTCTGGTGCCAGCTTGCCAAAGTCTGCTGCAGCCGCTTGATTCGAGTCGGTACGGGTCACGGCTTGGATGTTGCGCTTCGCGGTCGAGCCTGGTACCGAGGCCGTAGGGGCATGCAGAGGCAGGTCGGTTGCTATCGACGACTGCTGGACGGAGCCGCGGCTCTCGTGCGAGAGTGTCTTAGAGAGATCCTCGAAGCTGGCATACTCGTTGCCCTCCTGACCAATCGAGGGCAGCGAGACACTCGGCGGGCGAGCGGGCACCTCACCGCTGAGGCGGCGGTTGTCCTGGGGAGGACCTCCGTGTGCGTATGTCGGGTCATTGAGCGGCGAGCGGTCAAATCGGTGGGGAGACTGCGAACGCTCGATGCGGCCCTTTGGACGCGGAGGGATTTGAGGGGTGAGAGAGCTTGACGGCGCCGGGGCAGAGCTGTTCTGAGCCCGGGCGGGGCGGGGAGGTATCGATGGAGGATTGCTCATAGTGTGTATCTTGCTGGCGGGTGATGTGTGGTGTTGTGTGTGGTAGCTGTCAATCGAGTCGATGTTAGCGACGTACTTTGACCGTCAAACGCTCGAAACGCCAGGCGTGAGATAAGCTGCTTGCAACCACTCGGCCAAAGACAAGGCATTAATGGCAGACACCGCAAGCTGCACTCAGCATCTGCCAGAGCTAACCAGCAGCTGCCATGCGCCAATTGATAGCGGACGCAGACCAATGAGCAGAGCCGTAATCGGAGCTGGCGGGCAGCCGAGTGGGCAGGGCACGTAGGATCGAAGACAGGTACTCACCAAGCTTGCAGTCTGCGTATTGATTATGTGTGAAGACAAGAGGAAAAAGCTGCTGGAGGGTCGAGTCGGACAAAGCGCAAATGGCTCAGACAGACAAAGCTGGGGCGGTGCGTTTATGTACCTACCGTCGTCGAGAGCTGGGCCCGCACTGGATGGCGTACCCTGGAACGTCACTTGCATGCAGCCAAACCTGAATCCCAGTCATGTTGTTTTACCCGGCCTCTACAGACAGGAAAACTCGCAGTTCGCGTTCACAGCAATTGGGGAATGGATACTCGAGGTTGAGACACCTAGCACCAATACCGCGTGGTGCATTGCCACTGCTTCAACATCAAGTCAACTGTGTGATGTGCATGTTGTGCAGCAACTAGCGTCAAAGCTGTCGACCTCAAGCACGTTGGGTGGGTCGCTAGCACGTTGCGATCCTTGTGCACGAGCGAAAAGGGCACCCATAGAGCGAGCGTCACACAGACATCGTGACCTTCCTCACTTTTCATCCTGTCGACGCCGGTGCGCAGAATCTGTGATGCTGCAGGACTAGGCTGATAAGGAGATAGCTTTTCCCGCGACTCCATCAGCTGGCGCTGTTCCTGGCAGATCACTCTGAATTTTTGAGCACAACTCTGGCAGACCTTGACATTCCTAGGAAATAGACGCTAGTGGCTCTTATGCGCTTTGAGATCTTTCATGAGGCTCTTGACGTGCAATCGACAGTTGCGCTCAAGTCTCAAGATAAACTCGGCGACGTCAGCGGCTGCTAACACTGTTGCTACTCGTATATGCCGTCATGTGGGCCCCAGCCAGCCAGACAGTTACGTCGATGCCCCCACAGTGTGCACGACAGTTGCTTCTGTAGACACTGAACAGCATCGATCCATTCGTGGTAATCTCGTTTCGTCAAAAGCTACATGTCAAACCAAAATAACGCCCTGGTATCAAGTGTTGGTACACAATGTTCCCTCTGACTACCATCAATGCCTCGCCTTGCCCTTCTTAGGCTCATTTTGCGCCGATTCATCTTCAAACTGTATGGCGCTATCGTCAAGCGACGACTACAAATGTGTTTGCGTCCTCTGCAATAGTTTGCTTATCGCCCTGTAGCGAATGCATCTTTTAGATGATCATCTGAGCGACACCCTGTCCGCCCAGAGTCTTGCTGCCCTGGAACGCCTGGCCCTTGAAACCAGCGAGCGCATAGAAGACGGCGGCGAGCGTTAGGAAGATAGCACAAACAATCAAGCTTGTCGCCTGGGGCCAGATGCTAATCCACTGCACGGTGCCCAATACGGCGTAGAACCCAGCGCGCATGTAGTTTGTCTCGACCTTACGGATGAAGGTATCAAATTTGGCGGATGTCGGGCAGATACGGAGGAGGAGCGGGACTTCGATGAAGATAATGAGGAAGGCTGATACTCTGTGGATATGATCAGCAAATTGTAAGACGCGATGGTACGAGGAAGACCCACAAGCACACGATGCTGAACGCGATGACGAAAGTCGCGTGGAAGATGTTCGCGATTCCGAGCGCGAAGCAAAGGACGATGCACAGCACTCCAGTCCTAGTCGCAAGTTAGCAACGTGTCTGGGATATTTCCTATCTTGCAGCCTATTTATAGCTCTTGTCCGGTGTTGTGCCGCAGAAAAGGGCAGAAAAGGACAGAGGTGGTTTGACGGGAGAGCCGCATGGTATCGCAGCAAAGGAGGATAGGTCTGCATTCTGGGAAGTCCATGGGTGGTGGAAGTGACTGACCATTGACCGTAGATGCCTATGAGCAGACAATCAGCAACAGTTCCAAGACCTCCATCAACAAGGCGGCTTACTGAAATTCCTCGACTTGAACTCCTCAGCAAGCGTCATATTTGCGATTCGATGCTTGTGGCAGCTTCGTGACTAGTCGTGGTGCGCGCGCAAAAGTGGTTGTGGAGGATCGCAGCTCGTTGGCAGTAGCTTTGTTGACTGCACAAGCTGAGGACAGCTCTCGGGCTAGGCTATCAGGCGACTTGGCTATCGGAAATGCGGATGCTCGGGCACAGGCAGAAGAAGCACAAGCGTACGACTCGCGTTGCGTAAGGATGGGGCTATGCAGACAAAGGTCGGCGTTGTTCAGCGCAATTGCGAGCGTTGTGGCGGTGCTGTTGATCGCTGGTAGTAAGTGGCCAGCGTCTCCAGAAGTTCCACGTCAGTAGTGCCCTTGCCGAAACGGTTGTGTCGGAGCTGCCAGTCATGTTCACCGGCAGCACCTCACCTTTTGGGAAGACTGTTTTGGACGCCGATTCTTCATGTTCACCAGAGCAAGGCAGGAGCCATGGGTCGCTGCTGTCATCGCCTCTGGCGCTTTGGGCCTTGCGCTCTACTACCTGAATGCACGACGCCCATCGCCCGCAAATATTGCCAAACGGCAACCTGAGAGTGAAAAACCCAGCGAAACCTCGACGACGGATTTCGTAGCAGACGACATGAGCGCAGAGGACCGGGCGTATCATGAGCGATTCATGCGGGAAGCCATTGGCATGGTGAGCCACCTCGCGCTTCTGCTGCACTTCTGCTGCACCAGTTTGCAACATAGAACTGACCAATCACGTGCAACAGGCCGAGCTTGCACTGACCAGTGATGAGACGCCTGTGGGCTGTGTGTTCGTGAAGGATGGCGAGATCATCGGTCGCGGAATGAACGAGACCAACCGCACCCTCAATGGCACCAGACACGCCGAGTTCGTCGCCATTGCTGGCATCTTGTCCAAGAACCCTATCAGCATCCTCCACGAGACTGATCTCTATGTCACCGTCGAGCCATGCGTCATGTGCGCGTCCATGCTCCGCCAGTACGGCATTCGAGCAGTCTATTTTGGCTGCTGGAACGAGCGATTCGGTGGCACTGGCGGTGTGCTGAACATGCACTCAGAGTGAGCCTCCCACTTCCTTGAATACATCCAGTGACTGACGTCCCCAGCCCCAGCGTCGACAAGCCCTACCCAGTGACCGGAGGCATCTTCCGCGAGGAAGCCATTATGCTGCTCAGAAAGTTTTACGTCCAGGAGAACGAGAAAGCGCCAGAGCCAAAGCAGAAGAAGACTAGGGAGCTCAAGACCGAGATTCTCCCCATGGACATCCACGCCCCTAAGTCGACACCATCGCCTGCCCTCGCGACGCCGGTGCTGTCGTCAAAGCCAGCAAACCCTCCCCCGCGTGTGGCTGTCCCTCACATCCCGGGACTCACGGCTGCTGTACCCACAGCGGGACTCACGGCTGCCGCTGCCGCTGCACCTTGAACGAAACGCTGCGAATTGTCTCCAGGCTATTTGCATCAAGTGGTATGGAAAGAGATGATAAACGCACTATTGACCACGAGCGCTATTTTAAGTGGAACAGGCTGGAGACACGGATAGAGATACCCAGCATCAATTTAGCATCATAGACTCGTACACTTCGCTTCACAGGACCCACATGTATGTTACAGCGAACATCTACAGAGATAGGGCATTCCGGTCGTGAGTCAGCCAATTCACAATGCAGTAAATACATACTTATAACTACTCACTACATGCTCAAGTGCTCCTGCGATGTGATGCGAAGTCACTTGGGACACTCAGCCTCATGCGCCCAGTGCTCACTCACCCAGTCCGTCATGATATCTGTGAAACTCTTCCCGTCCGCAAAAACGTCCGTATCGTCGCTTGTGTACGCCTCACCCATGTACTGCAGCGCCATTAACACCCATTTCTGGATGAACTCGTTGTACATGAGATCCACTGTCTGCGGCTCCTCGTCTCTGTCCAGCGCATCGAATCCGACAGCGGCTTGAATACAATTGGGCACGTTGTAGAACTGGATCTGGGAGTGCAGCGTGTCGTCGCCGTCGGTGCCCGCGTCGTCGCGGGTCGTGTAGCCCGGAGTCAGCGCCGGCTCGTCACTCCGCATCGGCTTCTGGTCCGCCTCGTTGGCATATCGGGCACCGGAGGCCTCTGGCGTGGACAACAGACCTGGTCGGAGCCTTCCCGCGCTCACTTCTGGCGGCTGCATAAATGCACCTGCGTCCATCATCTGCAGCGCGATTGGCCCGCCGTGGTTCAGGAGCTTGATCACCTGCGCGGCCGTGTTGTAGGGTACGTCTCTGAGCAGCCGCAGGGGGGAGGTGAAGGGGGACACGAGGAATTTGGTGTCTTTTGTGTATGCACCTTTGAAGATGTCGAATCTTATCGCGCCGGTGTTTTGAATCACGAGCGCCTTTTTGCCCAACTTGATGCGTCGAGAGGCGCTGATGGAGTCTGGTAGCACACGGTCGGAGAGCCAGGAGAGGATGCTTTCCGGGTGTGGATACGGACGTCGACTTATCCAGAGCGAGCGTGGTGCGCAGCCGTACTTTTTAGTTAGGCCGAGAGAGGATCGCGCGTCGCCGATGGCACGGGAGACATTGAGACCGTGATTAGTGGGGAAGGACTTTGAGTCTTTGCCGCTGTGGTGGTGGAGGGAGAAGAGGTTGCTGTCAATATAACGGCGGGAGAAAGTGATCGCGGATTCCTGGGGGGTTGCTGCGCGCTTCTCCGATCCGCCTGTGCTGAGCCCGCCGATGGACATGAAGCCCAGCGTTTCCATGTAGCGTCCGCTTTCGAGTGCGACGGATTTCGAGTCGAAGATCTTGTAGTCGCGGATGTGGGAGTGGCCGCCGAAGAATTGGATGGGTAGCTCTGGATGCGCTGCGCGGATGGTGGAGAATAGGATGGCGTACTCGGGAGAGCGGATATCGACATGGCCAAAGACGACGATTAAGTCGAGGTCTTCGTCTTTCAAAGCTGCCTTGAACCAGTCTTCGTTTACGGTGTCCTCGACTCGTGTCACTACTGTGTTATTTGCATTGCCTGTGAAGTCGAAGATGAAGCCGAACGCCAGGATGCGAATCCCTTGGTTTTTGGTGGTGAACTTCTTATATCGTGGTGCGAGCGGCTCCAGATATCCAGTCCTGGGGTCATAGATGTCCAGATTCGATGCCAGATAGCTCCCTTGGAAGTCACGCACTGTGTGGTAATACTCGCCCTCAGCAGTGTCTGCCTTGTAGAGCTCATGGTTGCCAGAACTGATGAGATCGATGTGCTGCTCTTTTGCAATCTCGTAGGTAAATTTCCCTCGGGGCTTCGAGGAATCGTAGATTGCGTTTCCTTCTACTCTATCTCCTGTGTCGACGACCAGAAGGTCGACGCCTTCTGCGTCAGCCTTGTCGCGCAGGTGCTTGGCAAAGGAAACATAGTCGCCCCAGTCTGCTGAGAATGAAGCTCTGCAGGATGTCAGATCAAGTCAGCGCATTACCAGGGCGTAGTGTTTACTCTTGCAAGTGGCCACCCCACCAGCCGTGTACGTCGGTTGTATGCAGGAAGTTGAGCTGTGCCCAGGGTAGCTCGCGCAGAGGCGCTGCTATTGGCTCCTGAGCTTCTGGCTGGGCGCAGGATGCGGCTTTGAGCAACGCGAGCAGACACACTGTGCTCTTGCGCATGCTGAATGAGAATGGTACGACGAAAGGTCAAGGCGCGATGGGATGAAAGATGCAGCTGATGCTTGGGGCGCGTTCAGGTGACCATCGAGGTGCTGAAACGGAGCCTGGATGTTGCCTTCGGTGCAACCTAGCGCAGCCTCAACGCTCCAGAAGCGAACAGTATGTAGTCAAAATGTGCGGTCTACAAATCACAGGACGGTGAAACTGCAACAGACGGGTACAGAGACGAACGTTGATAGTCGGATAATTGGGGTGGACGGGCGAGCACGAGCTCACAACGTGACCCCTGTCATATAAAGCATAGCGTGATGTAACCAGCCTCTTCTCGCAAAAGTTCAGACCCACAACACACACCACAGACGTCTTGAAGCATTTGACCAAGTCCACACCACCCATCGGACTGCAATTCACCCAGCATGGCGCGTGCTGCACCGTCCCGCGCGGCGAGCGCAAAGCCCCTTGCGGCTTCAGAAAATAAAGAGAACAAAGTCAATGGCACAGCTGGTACGAGTTGCATCATTCACCGCAGCTGTCGCATTGCTCGCTGACTCGTCGCCCAGGCACCCGCCCCAGTCGCGCAAAGACAACAGAGCCTGCGCACGTGACAAACGGCACCGCTGTGAACGGCGCCGCTGCAGATGCTCCCACAAAATGTATTTCGCGACGCGTCCCAACAAAAGCATCCCGTGCTGACAAGCTCCCAGCGGCTGGACGCGCCCGCGCATCAAAGACAGTAACGCCCGCGCCCGCGCCCGCGAAGAAGATGGCCAAGCGCAAGAAGGCCGAGGAGAGCGACATTGAGGAGGAAGGCGCAGAGCCCGAGGCGAAGAAGCCCAGGAGTGCAAAGGCCGCCGTCGAGCCCTCGAAGCCCGCTCCCCGCGGCCCCCGACGAGTGCGCGGCAACAAGACGGAGATCAACGCGATCCGCTACACCGAGCCGCTGAAGGTTTTCGTCTTCGGCGAGGGCAGCTCCGGCGAGCTCGGGTTCGGCGCGACCAAGAAGGCCATCGACGTCAAGCGCCCGCGCTACAACGAGGCCCTGAGCAACCAGAACGTGGTCCGCGTCGCAGCAGGCGGCATGCACGTCCTCGCGCTGACCAAGGACAACAAGATCCTCACCTGGGGCGTCAACGACAGCGGCGCGCTTGGTCGCGACACGTCCAACGCTGACGTCAAGCTGCGCGACGTGGACGCTGATGAGGACTCGGACTCTGACGACGAGACCGGCGGACTGAACGACGTCGAGGCCACACCGACCGCCGTCTCCGCCGAGTACTTCCCGGAGGACACCGTCTTTGTGGACGTCGCCGCTGGTGACAGCTGCTCGTTTGCGCTCACCACTGAGGGCGCTGTCTACGGCTGGGGCACATTTCGCAAGAACGAGGGCATTCTCGGCTTCGAGAAGGGCACCCATACTGCACGCTTCCCTGTCTACATCGACGGTGTCACCAAGGTCACGCAGATCGCCTGCGGAACCAACCACGTCCTCGCCCTCGACAACACACAGCACATCTACGCCTGGGGCAACGGCCAGCAGAACCAGCTCGGTCGCCGTGTCACCGAGCGCACTCTCACCGAGTCGCTGCAGCCGACTCGTGTCGGTTTCCACGACAGCTCCGTCAAGCGCCCCAGCCAGAAAATGGTGGGAATCGCGTGTGGTGATTACCACGGTTTCGCGCTCGCTGAGGACGGCCATGTCTGGTCGTGGGGTGTCAACAACTACTGCGAAACAGGTGTCCCTGAGAACGCCGGCGCCGACGATGCCAGCGTCCTCACTCCCCACGTCGTACACAGCCTCAAGGGCAAGAACATTGTGTCCATCGCAGCCGGTACGCATCACAACATCGCCATCTCCAAGGACGGGGAGTGTTTCGTCTGGGGCCGCTGCGACGGCGCGCAGACCGGTCTTCCCATGGCAACATTGGAAGCCGAGAACGACGAAGAGAAGGTCCTCAAGAACCACGGCAAGGCCAAGATTCTCATCGAGCCCACACCTCTCCCCAACGTCAAGGACGTCGTCACCGGCGCCTGCGGACCCGACCACGCCATTGTCATCGACAAGAACGGCAAGGCGTACTCGTGGGGCTTCTCAGCAAACTACCAGACCGGCCAGGGCACCGACGAGGACATTGAGGAGGCCACACTCATCGACAACACCGCCGTGCGCGAGACGAAGCTCACCTGGGCCGGCTGCGGTGGCCAGTACTCAGTATTAGCAGCCAAGAAGGAGTAGGAGACCGAAAAGCGTTTCATTTCATCAAATTGCAATCCCATCTACTAGGATCTACCTCGTCGCGCCTACGGAGGCGTTCATCCGGCATATGAGGCGTTTGGGTGCATAGCGTGGGGTTCGTCTTGCGGCTCTTTCTTCAAAGACACGTGGTTGAGAAGGCATCGTGAGCCTGGTCGGCTATGTGGTGTTGGATGGCTTGTTATAGTAAAATATCATCCTGTTCCGTCTTCGAAGCCATGGCCCTGTTCGATTGTGAAGAACTCGGGCGCATCCACCACCCAGGAGCAATGTGCAAGCATTCGCCCCTATCCACTGAAGACATCGGCGACGACGTTATTTTCGCACGGGACGGCTGCCCGGGAGGGTTCCATCTGCACAATCTCAACCGTCATCTTGCAATCAGGAGCACCTCATGTAGACACAATCGACTTGACTCGTATTCGACTATCCCCCAGCTTACTGGTCCCGTGATTCTTCGTTCAATTCCGAAGTCGCGTGTCGAAGCTATTTTCTTCTTCACCCAATCCTCCACTGCAGCGGCCGTTGGCCGTCTGGACAGGCTGTAGTTTTGATCTAAATTCTTGTCTTCTGCTCATCGTTATATCTATTTGCCCTACCCAGTAGTCTTTCTCAATCTATTTCGACCATCGTTCATCACTCGGCCTCAGTGCTCCTTCCGGACCCTGAGTACCGGCGAAGGCCTTCTTGAGTCTTCGCCAACACTCGAGTAGTTAAGCTACCGACTCACTCATTACCAAACCTCGCTGTTCTTCCTCACCACGCTGATCAAAATGTCTGTCTAAATCAGACGCAAACCACAAACCACAGCACCAAAACCGAAACCAACACTAGAACAAAAGAAAAGAAAGTACACAACAGAATTCAGCAGGATGTACGATACTCAGATGATGCTCTCCACCACAGAGTACAACTTGTGTCACCGTTCGATGTCAAGTATGGCATAAACCTGGTCATTCACACGGCCTATCTCGACATTGAATCCAGCTGGTTCGATGGCAAGGCAGTCAGTGGACCTCGGAAAAGGATTTGCGTTCAAATTCGTCAGATTACACCACACTATGCGGTAAGATATTTACAAGAACTGAAACATGATCTTAACCCAAGGCCGCACGCCACTATGCAATGCAAGTCTACCTGAGAGCTATTTTGCTCTGCCTTTCAGCGTCATCTAAGCACGGCACATCCTGCCGTCCTTGGCCACTGTCCACGCGTCGCTACCGACACTCTTGAGGTTGTAGAAGACATGCTCAGGATCATACTTGTCCTTGATTGTCTTCAGCTTGGCGTAATTGCTGCCGTAGAAAGTGGTCTGCCAGTTGGGCTGCTGGAAGTCGGCCTCGCTCATGTACGAGCCACTGCCCGGCGTGACGGCCTCGATCTTGGGCATCAGGACCTCGGTCATCTTCTTCTGGGCAGCCTCCATGTCGGTCCAGGGTGCGGTGCTGTTCCAGTTGGTGATCAGCTGGAGCTGGGTAATGGCGCCGCGCCACGCGGGCAGTACCGAGTTTTCGGGGGTGTTGGCGCGCTTAGAGTAGTCGGCGGAAGAGCCGGCGAGGAGGACGCCCTCCTTTGTGAGCTCGGCGAGGACCTCGTTCAGCTCGGCAGCGTTATTCTCGACGACGTCCCGGGGGATAAGACGGCCGCCGAACTGGTAGCGGCTGACCTCGAAGCTACCCTGGGGGAGAGGACCGAGGTAGCGCTCGTAGTGGTCGCGGTATGCGAGCTCGGTGTAGGCGATAGGGGGTGTGATGCCGAGGGAGACGAGGTAGTCGGAGAAAGGCTTGAGGACTTCCCTGGCTTTGGCCTCAGTGGAGTCCCAGAGAGTGAGGGGCTTAATGACGATATACTGGGTACTGATCAGGAAGATGACCATGGCGCCGGCATCGATCATCGCAGGGAGAAGCTCGACGAACTTGGCAGTAAGAGCAGCGTAGTTCTCGGTAGTAGTGGAGGAGGCGAGGAGCTGCATAGCAGCACCACCAACGGTCTTCGACTCGTGAGCTTTGAGGGTGATGGAGGTGATGATGCCGTATGTTCCGCCACCGCCACCAGACAATGCCCAGTACAGGTCAGAGTTCTCAGTGGGCGAGGCAATCAGAACGTCACCACCAGCTGTGACGACTTCGTAGGAGAGGACTTGGTCAGCAGCAAGACCGAACTCACTGCTGAGGATGGAGTGACCACCACCTTGAGTGAAACCAGCAAGACCAACAGTAGCACACTCTCCAGATATGACAGTCATGCCCTGCTTGCCCGCAGCCTCGACAAGCTCATAGCCAAGGACACCAGCACCAACGGTGACCGAGGAACCAGTATAGTACTTGTCAGACCATTGACCGAAGGTGATATTCTTGAGGCCTTGGGTCCAGACAGCAAGAGCTCCAGCGCCAGTGGACCTCCCCAAGAAATCGTGACCAGTGTTGCGGGCAAGAACACGGATGTTCTCAGCCTTAGCAAATTCGAGAGCAGCGACGATATCCCAAGCCTCGGTAGCCTTCACGGAGTATGCGACGTAGTTGCCGAGCGTGCAAGGCTTAGCACGGTCGCCAAAGGGATCGCACTCCTGGGTGGCAAAGTAGGCTTGCATGATGGAGTGGCCAGACGAGGTGCTGCCATTGTTAGGCTTTGTAGACTGAATCTACCCAGGAAACTCACTGTGTAAGAGGGTTGTTCCATTGTGCCTTCAATGCGCTGCAGGCGGTCTCATCGTAATTGGGATCGTGGCATGGGGAGCCGATAGGGACAGTCTTGACCAGCTTGCCGTTGACAGTATTGTTCAGTGTCGACCAAGCATCTGCGTTTGGCCAAGCAGCATCTCCCGGCAGGACATGGCACTTCTTGTCGCTCGAGTCTTGAGCGCCGATGAGCTTCGCGAGAAGCAGGGCCCAGATGAGCTTTGCAATGTGTAGAAGCTGCATCTTGCGGCGACACTAAATTGAATTCAGGTGGGGATTTAGCCGGTGGTGATGATATCTATACCAAGAAGGCAGACTCAAGCTCTCATTTATAGTCAGTAAATGTCCCCTCTCTCGTTCTCACGACCTCGCCACTAACTACTGCAATGCTATTTCTCCATCTCGGAGCAGAGCATTTGGTCCCATTCGCATGGAACGCTTCGAAGGTCTTTCGAGGAGTTGCTTCCGCTTACAGAATGCAGCGCCGGTGAAGGTCCACTTGGATGGCGTTACATCCAAAATCGCCCTGCGATTTTTCTGCCGTCAACGTACATTCGGCAATCGTTGGCCGAGAACAAGGACTCCTTGCAGGGAAGCTGCCGACGAAGGCTGGTCGAATCTTCCTTCAGTAATATGACCGGTAGCGCAGGGTCCTCGCAGCCGCGTCGAAGGCGAGTGGATAGGGGTGCCTTACAGGAGAGCCAATAGGAAATCTAAAGCCCTGAATTAAGGTTGGGTAGAAAATCCTCCACGGGCAGTGGCCGTTTCGTGGCCCTGAAAAGACGGGATTGACAGCTAGCGGCAGCATGCCCGTGTCCGCGTGTCATGAACCGGTGGAGCATGCTCTCCTGGACCGCAGTGCGCTGCTCTCGAAGGATGGGCGGATGCCTGATGAAGGAGGTGCGAAGCGAGATAACATGTACTGCGGAGATTCTTGCATTAACATTCCATTGCACTGACCCACCCACGTGGGAGTCCATCGTTGCGCAATCGCTGACCTTGTTGCATACCTACTCGATCTGACGAATGCAGTCGTACATGTACAATCGCAGGGTCCCAACATGTCGGGTTGATCTGACTGTTTGCGCCGCAACAACGCCGAACGGGAGGCCTTCGGCAGGCGGCATCCCTACCTACGGTAGCGAGCGGTCTCCCCACACTCTTCGCCGAGGCTTCACGACAAAAGTTCTCAACGACCGCGCCGCTGTTTGATGACATGCGATGGATTCCCTCGCGCGGCCATGGTACCGAGTGACATGTGGAGCGCGGACACTTGCGCCGAGCGACCTTCTGCACTATCGAAACGTCTTGGCAGTGTTACTCGGGCAGTCTACCCAAACATAGACCCACGGTAGTTGTACGGTAATAGCACGAGGTAGGCTGAATCGTACACGATGCTCTAGTAAATACTACATGATTGATCCCTGTGCATATCATACTCTTTGTTATCTATGGTGTGACACAATCTGGCCTGCACTGATCAACAGTCGTTTTCCCACATTGCGCAGCCTTCATTATTCAACAGGGAATTTCTCTTTGGAAGCTGAGCTTTCACCATGAAGACTCACATCCACGCATTGTTGATTCTACTTCTGGGGCTGTGTGTAACGACCTTGGCACAGTCTCAGGTTATGCCAGCATGCGCTGTGAGTCCGGCACTTTGGTAAACCCTACCTCATCTCGCGCTGACAGAACCCAGCAACTGTGCCTCAAGAGCGCGTTTGGAACAGACACCTGCACGCCCACTGACAAAGCTTGCATTTGTACAAATACCATCTTCCAGGGCAATGTCTCAGCATGCGTTGCTACAACTTGCACTATTCCTGAGTCTTTGGGTATGTTACGTACAAAAGCACATAGAACTCACGCTGACAAGTATCAGTGACCCGTAACATCAGTCTCACTAGCTGTGGTGTCCCAGTTCGCAACCATGGCCACGACTATGTCGTTCTATCCAACACAATGAGCATCATTGCCGCGGTCTTCGTCGGGATTCGCTTCTTTTTCAAGGCAACAGTGTCGCGCATGGACATTGGCTACGACGATTGGTGTGTACTCGCTACACTCATCGCCGCAACTCCGAGCGTGATCATTACCGTATACGGTACTGTCAAGAATGGTCTTGGTCAAGATATGTGGGCGCTCACACCTCAGGAAATCACTGAGATGTTGAAGTGGTTCTACGTCATGGCCACGCTCTACTTCACTCAAGTCACGCTGCTAAAGTTGACACTCATCTTCTTCTATATTCGCGTTTTTCCAAGTAAGGAGGTGCAGCGACTGCTGTGGGCCACCGTAGTGTTCGTGCTCCTGTGGGGCATTGCGTTTATCATCACTGCTATCTTCCAGTGCCAGCCCATTCACTACTTTTGGACAAAGTGGGATGGGATGCACAACGGCACCTGCCTGGACTCCAATGCCATTGCTGCCTCCAATGCAGCTATCAGCATTGCGCTGGACTTCTGGATCCTCGGCATACCTCTTTGGCAGCTATGGGGACTAAAACTACACTGGAAGAAGAAGGTTGCTGTTGCACTCATGTTCTGCCTTGGAACATTTGTGACCATCGTCAGTATACTTCGACTACAGTCTCTGGTCCAGTTTGCGCAGACTTCGAACGCAAGTTGGGAATTCTACAATGTCTCGGTCTGGAGTACAATCGAGATATGTGTCGGTATCATGTGGTAAGTCCGTCAATACTCTATTCTGCAGAACTTGATCTGATATTAATTCTAGCGCCTGCCTTCCTACTCTTCGTTTGCTCCTTGTCAAGCTGTTCCCCATCCTCGGTGGCTCTTCAGCTCGATCCAGAAATAACTACTACAACTACGGCAGCGGAAATGAGCTGAAGAATGTCGGAGGCGCGAGCCAGAACAAACGGTCTCTTCACAATGACACTGCGATCTCAAGCCCGAGGAGCGGAGTGTTCGGTCAGGGAGATGGCATCACAGTCAAGACCAGCTACACAGTGCAACACAGTAAGAGCGACACAGATGAGGCTAGCTTGGTAAGCCACGAGGAGAAGAGGGCCACTGAAACCCGAATTTAGATCTATACCCATGCTAAATTTGAATCTCGTTGTCATTGCATTGAACTCTCCCGTATGTCAGTGCCATCCCTCACTCTTCACTCGTGATTGCCCCAACTCTAATGACTCAGCTCTAACGACATGCCCGTGATCTGCTCCAGTGATCTTGGCTTCTATGACATGTACATAGTTCACTTCGTCGACATATTCTAAATCTAGTCTAATGACATACAATCTTTCGTGATCTATCACCACCTGTTCGTCACATTCTTTCCGCATGCTCAGTGGGTTATGTCATATCCACTCCAAACTATAAAGTTATTCTTGTCAGGCCCAAGCCCACCGTTCCCACAAATCGATTCCCCTTTCCCATGTTCACTCAACCATTCTGCATCCTGTCCTTAGTCGTCAAAGGCTTCGACGGCCAGCCCTCCGAACTACATTAAACCTACCGCGCGCGACTCGTGTCCGCGCCGCTCTAAGCGAAGCTGTCACTCTGAACAACCTCTCGGCGTGCGCCGCGAAATCAGGGGCTCGTACGAAGTGACATGCCGCAAGCGCGTGCTGCATGCATGTGCCGTACATCGATACATTCGACATGAAGTTAGTAAAGTTGATGAAACTGGTGAGCGGTGATGGACAAGCAATCTGTGGCGGAAATTTCCACCCCTCGTAAAACGTGAGTGATCGACTGGTACCCGGCCAAATCACGGCGACTACTTCACGTGTCGTTCAGCTCCACCCGTCTTCGTGGAGGGTGCTTCGTAACTGCAGATCAAAGGTGATCTGTGGCAGGTCCCGCTGCCCGATTCAGAATAATAAGGATCGGCGTCGTGCGCGCTTGAACCGCACCTGGGAAATTCTCGGCTTCGAGTCCACACCACGAATTCTATTGATTCGCGTTCTTCCTGCGGCACGATGCCCCTTTCAACCGCCACGCATCAAGACAACTCGGACCCAGTCACCTACACGTGCACTTGTCCAGCACAGACCGAAGGTGGATACGTCTTGCTATTCTACCGCTACTGGGCCAACACACCAGCCTTGCCTCTTGAGCACGCAGCTCACAGTCAAGACCCATACGCTCTAGCAGAGTACCATAGGTGGCTTGCTTCCGACCTTAAAATAAGTGGGAAATTTCGCATTGCCATAGAAGGGTTCAACATCACCCTTGGTGGCACTCAACTTGCGATTGAGAGATACATTCAGGCGTGCTGCACACACTGGTCATTCGCCGGCATCGATCTATCGACACCCTTAGCGCGCGATTCGTACTTCAAGCCTACGCTAGGCTGCGCATGTGCGTTCAACGGAGGGGCAAATGTCAAGGTGACGGCTGAGATCACCCCATTGGGTGTGACCAACTACGCGCCCTCGTCATGGGCCAATATCATTTCTCTACCACCTGCAGCGTTCCATGACTTACTCAAGAAAGGCGACATACCGCTAATCGATGTGCGCAACCACTACGAGAGCCGCATTGGCTACTTCGTCACTGGAGATGGAACCGTAGCGATGAGACCCGCGGTGCGGAGATTCAGTCAGTGGCCTGGGTACGTTGTGAAACATGTCCTGGGCGATGATAAGTACAAGAAACCGCACGGAGTAGCGACATACTGCACCGGTGGCATTCGGTGCGAGAAGGGTGCGCGCTGGATGCAGGAGGCTTTGTCAAATGAGGAAGGGGGCAGCAACGGGCCAGTGTACACACTTCATGGCGGCATTGTTGCCTATCAAGCTTGGATGCAAGGAGAGATCGCAGCTGGGAGGAAGATGCCGGAGGACAGCTTCTTCAAGGGTACAAACTATGTGTTTGACGCACGGGGGGCAATTGGAGCTCAACAGGCAGTCTCGACATGTCACACCTGCAACAAACCAGAATCTCGACTCGGCAAATGCGAAATACCTGGTTGCCACTTGGTGCTCGTTGTTTGCGAGCCATGTGAGCAGCAAAGATGCACAGTCTGCTGCGAAGACTGTCGTCAGATTGAGTCAGAACAGCAAGGAGCTTTGAAACGAAGCAGAAGAATTTGCAAGTGCGAAAACGACCGAGAACGATCGCTTTGGGGCGATGGAGGAGCGAGTCTGGGGAGGAGCAAAGCACGGCAGAAGACATCTACGCGGTAGCGCAGTTACGAAGGAACAAAGGGTACTATCAGTAACAGGTATCAGGACAATCTGGATGGAGGCAGCATGCTTTTATTGCAGGACATCTACTCTAACAATCAGCTCCTGCATGCCAGATTATCATGCTGGATACTTTGCCTCGATAGCATCCAGCTCGGCTTGCGTGATTTGCGTCACAGAACCATGCTTCAGACCTGTAGGGAAACCGTCTCTGCTCGATGCAGTCCATGTCGTCAGATCTGTTGACTCAAATGGCACGTATTCGGTGTAATTGTCAAGGAAGATGTGGTACTTTCCGGCCACCTTGTTGTCAGCATACGATGCTGTGCCCTCCCAAGGTGAGCCCCCTGTCACATAGCCAGGTACCCGCTCCCAAGAACCGAAGAGACCGCCAGTCGTGTTCTCTTGGTAGATCTGGTTAACTGTCTCGTTCTTGATGAATCGAGTGAAGTGGCCAGGCTGATTTAAGTACTGGAATTCTTGGTCGATTACTGGTGTACCATCGGCAATGTAGTCTGCGGGTGGGGTGAAAGTCTTGAAATCTCTGGTGGATGAATATCGGATACGATCCAGCCCTGCAGCACCGTTGTGCGCTGTGTCGGCGGCATCGTAGAACCGTGATGCCCAGAAGATGTAGAACTGCTGTGATTCATCGTCCCACACGGCTGACGGCGCCCAGACCATGCCTGCGGTTTCATCTTCAACACTTGACGATGTCAGTTATTTCTTCGTGCCAAAACGGTCTACTCACGTGTTCAAAGACGCAGCAGACCAGTCGATAAGGTTGCTGGAGCTCCAGACGACTATTCCGCGGCTGCCACGACGTGTTGCTTCATCCCACGAGAAGCCAGCTGCATTAATGTCAAGGTCTGTAAGAGTCGTCAGTCACATATCTACCAGCGAGGGATATCAATTCTGCTCACCAGTTGCGATCAAGTAGAATTGATTACGGGCACCATTTGATGTCAGGTACACATCACGCACAGCTTTTGTACCAACAGTCGATGTCAAGACAGGGTTGCCATCATTCATCTTGGTAAAACTTGTGGGAGAGTTGTTATTCGAGAGATACCACTGAACGGTGGGGTTCGCATCTGAGAACGTTGAGATGAGGTAACCAGCATATGCGCTTTGACGCTTCTCGACAGGGCTTGCAGAGCCAAAGGATAGCAGTGCCGTGGCAGCGGCCAAGGAATATGAGGTGAAACGCATGCTAAATTACTCTTGAGAGGACGTGTATCCCTCAAGGCACTGTCGCTGAGCTTTATACACGTACCTGATTCCTGCACCGAGGTTCGCGCAGATTTCCGACAAGACGGAAAATCTTCATGTCGGACATTGTACAATTTGACGATCCCTGATATTCCTCCCCGCATGATCAGGCGAGCTAACTTGCTCTGGTTCGAGTCCGGGGTCGGCAGCACTACCTTGAGAACCAATACTTTGTATCTGCCGGCGGCCGTAGATAAAGTGACGTACATTGATCGGTCAAATCACCGAGAACGCGACATCCCCTCTGGAAGACGTCACTCGAGTAACAGTTGTGACTTTACAAAGTACTGGAAGCATCTTCGGAGAGCTCACATTGTTTTCCAGGGTCGCAGTCTGGAATAGGTAAGGGACGTCTTGGTGAGATGTGTCAAGCTTGAGGGGGGGGTGCAGACCTGCAGGCTGTTCCTCGGCGCGGTTGTCTTCGCCGCGGCGATCTCTCCAATCTACTCTTACACACCAGACTTAGACAACTACCGCGCCAGAATTGCTCAGTCCCGAATCGATCTTGATCTGTCACTTGCGCACCAGAAGTCTGCCTGGATTACTACCTGGGACGACCACGAAGTCAGCAACAACGGCTGTCGTGACGATTCATCAGTCGTCAACAACACCGAGAGCTCCTTCTTCCGCATCGGTGGTGTTTCTGTTGACCAGCGCAAGATGGACGCTGTTCGCGCCTACTTCGAGTGTATGCCAATTCGCCAGGTCAACCTGAATGACGATCTGCATATATGAAGGAAATTTTAGATGGGAAAGTTGTCTGACTTAATTGTCCTTAACACACGAAACTATGACCGTTCGATTGTGGACCAAAATAGACTACCAACTATGTCACCTCCATTAGGGACAATGCAGGAAGGTCTTTGACGGCCTCAAACCAGGAAAATTGATTGTACCGCACTCTGTCAGAAAGTAAGGAGAAAGGTGCCACATGGCGTGCTATCAGCAACCAGACCATCTTCTCGAGAGTTAACATCTCCTCATGGTTTGGTTCTGAGGAAGAGCCCTACAACGTCGAGCAGTGGGCTAGCCACACATCGAACAGGAACAGGACCTACCAGCACCTATACGGCAACCAGATCGACAACACCATCATGCTTGCCGGTGGTTCATACGCCAACTGGGGCCTTGACCTGCTCTGGGTCGACCACGGGTCCGCACCCTACACATCCCTTAATAACGGTGTCGACATAGCCGCATAGAACCAGACCACCGGAGAGGGAGTAATTGGCGCTGATCTCGCAGTAACTGCCGTATCGTCGTCCGGTTTCAGTGGTAACATTGCCACCACTGATGTCCAGGCACAGAAGCTAGTCCCCGTCAATTCCGAGCTCATGTGGAACGAGAGCTATTTCCGCAGCTACCTCACTCTCTATCTCAACGCCAAAGAAGCGCTTGCCGAATACTATGGTGCACCGACTGTGCGCACTCGCAACTCTTACGATATCCCTCTCGCCAACTTCACTGTCAAGATGCGTGCGAACCACCTTGAAGGATCAATTGCGGGCGGCAGTGTCACCTCGGGAATCTCAAGAGCGCGGATCAATCGGGCGAGGTTGCTGATGTCAACGGTACACTCACGCTCGACACCGTAACTGGAGCCTGGATGCCTGTACCGAACGGCCTGCTTGCGGGTGGAAACTACACCACCTACGCCAGGAACAACAGCACCGGAGAGGCTTGCAGCTTTGCCATAAGCTCTTATTTTACGAGGTAGTTACCTTTCATGTACAAGAAACTGTATCGTCACTACCCAAATGTCTCCCACATTGAGTCGATGGAGTTGACATGGCAGTGTGCGCACCCCACAACGGGACCGCTGTCGCAGTCGTAGCGGAGCCAAAAACATTCACGTCGCCAGTCCTATTAGACATCAAGGCAACGAAAGAGAAGGTCCTACCCGGAATCGAACCGGGGTTGCCGGAAGATACTGAGGTGATCAGAATCCGGAGTGATAACCGCTACCTAGAAGGGATTAGTTATCTGGATTGAGTTGATCAGGGAGGTGCCTCACACTATAGAACCGTAGTTGCTTAGTAATTTGATGGAGGCGCCACGCTACGGTATTTACATATAGTTGGCAATCTGATTTTTGGAAACAGCGTGGTCGTGGCGTTGGTGCTGTGAGGTTGGCGAGATGCGTGTGGCGACCATGTGGGGCGGGCGCAAAGTTTTGACAACCCTCGTTGAGGACTACCCTGTGCTGGAAGAATTAGTCCAAAGCGTTTATTATCGGGTTTGAGTTTTTAGGAAGACTATGACTTGGACCAAGACATCAATCCCGTTTTCTTCACCTCCCGAGGGCCTCTTGACATGATTTGAGCCGGCTGGACTATCCTTCGGCTGACACTGACTTTGTATCTCCCAGAAGACTTGGTAGGACCAGTAATGCAGATGCTAAAAAGTCAAGCCCCCTTGCATGAGCTCTTTGGTTCCTCTTGGACGAAGCAGAAAGAATGCTCTGCTACATTGTCGCCCCGGAGCTTTCTAGGCAATCAGTGTACAATCAATTTGATACTTCGTTACGGATGTGTTTGGACAAATTCAATACACGGGCTTCGTTACCCGATACAGCTACCACAAGCGTGTTCAATTCGCCTATGATACCATGGGAATTTGCAGGCGTGTATCTCTGCGGAACAAAAAAACTGGTCTAAGCAATAATACTTGTCAAGCAGGCCGAAAAGTGTTCAATGATGGGCTTATAGTATTATCGGCTCTCTGAGTTTGTTAGGTGCTCTTGCTTTGATTTCCGGGTGAGATACTGGTGCAGCATTGGGAAGCTCTTGAGAGGTTCGTACAAGAACGAACCCCAACTAGCTGATCTAGTAATGACAATATGGAGGAAAGCCTTGAATTCGATGTATTTGTGAGAGCTGGAGTGTCGATTTGCGTTCTACGTGTCCTGCTACCGCGTTATGCGGACGTCCTTGCATAGCTGCGCTCGGTGAGTGTCGTGAGCGCCGAGCAAGAGCAAAGGTGACTTCCCGCTCAACAGCTGACGACGATGATGCCACGATATCAGGCATAAACACTATTTGGAGCTCTGGTAGTGCTCGAGTGATTGCTTCCGCGGTCTGTGTTACTGTCATGTTGGCGGCACCAGCAGAACTTCCTTACTGTTTTCAGTCAGTCACAGCCCCGATGTAGAGTAACGCCATACGTACCCTCTCAAAGTCTGGATGTCTGGAAGACGCGGTCTAGTACGCCCCAAAAGGTCTAATCGAGCTCACTGCGAAACAAAAGTTCGCGCACATGATGTTCTGCAACATCACTGAACTTGTCGTTACTAAAGGTCGCACTGCGCAGGTAGAGCTGTATCGGTGTCATCAAGATGACAAGGTCCTGCAAAGCTTTAGCGTGCGGTAATGAAAATTTGAGAGTACCAATGCTCGATCTCGCCTGCCATAGATAATTGTGACGGCAGGTGCGTTTATTTGGAGGCAGTCATGTCTTCCTTCCGCGCTCGTTGTTTGCCATCGACCAACATTCGAAATCACAGCTTTAACACCCACACCTCGCTCAGATGGCTCATATATATTGACCAAACCCTACAGTATCAGTCTTGTCGACTGTGGGCATACCGTCTATGTTCTCCGCCGCTCGCCCACCGTGAGTCAGTCACCAACCTCGTGTCAAGAACATTAAATGGGTGAGGTAACACTTCTACCGTGTTCTTCTGTTCCGATGATGCTAAAGTCTCGCGCAGTGCTCGCTGCAGTTGGTGCTACTCTTCACCAGCCCTCAATCTGGAACTCAAAAGTGCGGTCACCTTCGCCCCTAGCCACAGGCTGGGCATCGCTATCGAAGAGCGTGCGTTCCAGGTAGAACGCCTTTCCCTGTTTGTCAACAAGAATCACCGCCTGCTTCTCGGTGCCATAGCACCCACTCGTTGCATCTGGCGCCTTGTTCTTGACCACGTCTCCAACCTCGTGGCTCGGCATCTTATGTAGCTCTAGGTGGTCTCGCCCGATCGCAGAGATGAACACACTGTGCCGCAACTGCGTGAGATACATGTCCCATTCCTCGTTTTCTTTCTGTCTCGCCATAGTGTCGACGGAGAGCACGCCCAGCAAGCGCTCGACAAGCTGGTCGCGCGTCTCATGCGCAGCAACCGACGCCTTGATTGCCTCTTCGGTCCACTTCTCGCCATTGTTGACCTTCGGCCATGTTGTGTCGCCATACGCCGCATTGCTGAGCGCAGTCGTCTCGTCCTTCTTGCGTAGTATGTGAACCACACCATCCACATCCGGCGTGCGATTACTGACAATCACCAGCCCCTCACCCTTTGCAACATCCTGCACAAATCCGTAGCACAACGAGAACCCTCCAACGCCCTGAACACCATCCTCTTCAATCATCTGGCGCGCAAAGTCACTTGACGTCTGATTCGAGTTCGGCTTGCTCTTCAACCAAGCATTTGGAATTAATCCTCGACTCCGTGCGCCTTGGATGATGGCCTGGTTCTCCTCGCGGTAGTTGGTGAGCACTGCGATGCGGCCTTGACGGGTCATACCGAGCCAGGTGCCGTGGGCTGGGCGGTGCAGGTCATACCCTCCTAGGACCTGAGAGTCGGGCGATGGCCACCATGTTGCTTCAGCAGTTGGACGGTGGAGGTATTCCTATCGTCATCAGCGCTGACACCAAACTCTTGACAACGGACAGCCTACATCGCGGTTGTTCAGCAGGATGAATGGATAGTCGGGATGCGCGGTGGTGAGGATGGCGATACACATAGTCAATGTCTGGAGTTTCTATCGATGGTCTTGACAGTCAGGGAGATATTACAAGAGGTTATGTTCGATTCAGGTTGACAATATCATGCAGATTTGACGCGGGCGGTGTGGCTGCCAACAACGACACTATATACGTGTCTCCAGTCTCCCCGGATTCGAACACGCTGCGCCATGTGGGGTGAGGTGGAATCATGCATATTCAGCCGCGTGAGGAGAAACGACTCAACGAGGCCTAAAGGCTGGCGACGGAAGAATGTCTTGGGCCTCGGGTCCTCGGTAACTTACATGGCCTTATGTCATCGTTCTCCATCACGCACGCGGTGTTCTTCACATGCGGCAACCCGCAGCAGACCCCCTCGAGCTTGATCCCTGCACGCACGCGTCACCGCCAGCCCGATAGCCTCACGTACGGAATCACTTGTCTCTCAACACCGCACCAGACAAGCACAAGTCAGAATGGCAGCCAACTTCGCGCCCTACCAAGATATCCCCGAGACGCAGCGCGCGCTTTCCCCTCCCATCGCATCTCCGCGTACCTCGGTCGACCGCACCCGTAACATCTCCTCCATCACCTCGCCCACAACGCGCGCCTACGAACAACACGATTACTTCGGCGCCGGCGACGACTCTCCAGACATCGAGCATGCAGCATGGAGTACGCCTGCGTCATCGCAGCCACTTGGCTTCGGTGCTGCGCGGGAAGATGTCAACATGTTCACCACGAGTCTGGGACTGCGCATGGACTATGAAGCGTGTCTGGCGTACTTGCTCTTGCCGCCAGCGGGAGGAGTGTTGCTGCTGGTCATGGAACATCAGAGTGATTATGTGAGGTTCCATGCGTGGCAGAGTAGTCTGCTGTTTGCTTTCATCTTCGTGGTGCACGTCATCTTCAGTTGGTCGAGCTTCATTAGTTGGCTGATGGTGGTTGGGGATGTGGGGTTGATTGGGTGGTTGACTTGGAGGGCGTACTTGGACGGTAAGCTGAGCGGTGCATCGAGGGGTGACAGGGCTAATATTTAGCAGCAGCGACACTCGATCGATACGAAGTACCTTTCTTCGGCCCTTTGGCAAACTCGATACTGGACGACGAGTAGGCTCGTGCCTCCACCTCACGACAACTCACCCAAAGCGCTCCTTGGCAATCTGCTTCAAGAAATCCATCGTCTGCGCCTCCTTCGCCCTCCTTGCGCTCAACGCCTCCTCACGTTCCGCCGCCCTCGCCCGCGCGATCTCCTCCCGGCGGACCTCACGCTCATTCTTCACGCGCTCACCCGCCTTCATCTTGGCCTTGTACCCCTCGATACCATCATCGCCCATGAGCTCGCTCTCTCCCATCTCCACGTCCCCGCCCTCCTTAGCGTCGCGAAAAGACTGCAACGTGCTCGTCGTCTCACGCTTCTTCTCGAGTTGGCGCTCGCGAGAACCGGGGTCGGCGCGCGGTGCGAGCTCCTCCATGCGTTCTTTCTGTGTCTTGCGCTCAGCTTTGCGCTCGTAGCGCACGTCGTCTGCATGTGTTGAGCGATTGCGCGCGTTCTCTTCGTCGCGCAGCTCGTTGCGGTGCGTCAGGTCGTCGAAGCGCGGGATCGTGGGTCCGTGACCCTGGTGGGTTAGGTGTGTAGGCGGCGCAGGCCCGAACTCGTCGTCGCTATCGTCGGACTTCGGATTGCCCGGTCTCTGTGCTGGGTCGGCTGCGCGCTGTTCATACGCCGGCGACTCACGCTGGCCTGGTCTTGGTGACCTTGAGCGCGCACGATACGCTTCTACTGTGTCCTGTGCAGTCTTGAGCATCGAGGGATCGTACCAGCTGCGCGCTAGATCTCCGTGGTTCCATTTCGACACGAAGCTCTTCCACCGCCCGCGCGCTTCCCGCTCGTCCAGTTCGTCGAGCTGAATGTGCTTTTGTATGTCCAAATACGACTGGAATAGCGGCTTGTATCCATTGAAATCGTGCTTGGACAGTGACTTGGCTGAGTAAGGCAGCTTCACCGACTTCGCACGTGGGGAACGCGAGCGGTGCAGGCGGTGCGAACGATGCTTTTTGTCCCCGTGTCGGTCGTCATCGCGGCGTGGGGATCGCGAGCGGCGCGATTTGTGGCTTCTTTCTCGATCAGAGCGCTTGTGACGGTCGGGTTGGGGGCCGAGTGGCAGTTGTGCTGTGTCCATGGTTGTTGTGGTTTGGTATTTGGCGGAAGATGTGGTGTCAAGCTTCGAGATTCGAGCAGGTGCGAGTCATGAGCACTTGCCCCAAAGCATGACTCGAGTCATAGTCAGCTCTCCAAGTCTACGTACACAGATGCCAGTATACAGAACAGGCGATCATGTATGTCAAGCAATGGTCCTTGATTCGTTATACGGGATGTGCATTCATATTACAAGCTCAGGCTTCCGCCGTACGTCGATCTACTGGCTGCTCGCCTACCTGCCGACTATCTTCTTCTCCAGAAACCTCGCAGGGATATAGATCAATCCTGTAATCACAAACGTGAACTCATTGGCGATATCACCACCGAACGCACCGATGAGCTTGCCAAGTGGACCAACATACCAGGTCTCGACCATGCCCATGATCCACGCAGCAATACCAATCGCAAACGCAACGCCCGCAGCAATACCCAGTGGCAGTCGGCTCGGGTCATTCCACGCATCCAGGTCGTAATTATCGAAGTTCATCTTGCGGAAGATGACGTGCTCGCTGAACAAAATGATGAAGTACTGCGTGCTCCAGTACCCCAAAAGACTGAGGAAGTTCTGCAGATAAACAGACAGCTGTTCGCGGCCACCGATAGCAAGACCCAGGATCGCAGCAAAGCAGAAGAGCACCCAGATAAAGCGGGGCACCCGCGCGAAGGGGCGCGAGAACTGCTGGCACGAGATGGCGGCGCTGTAGATGGAGATGACGTTCACGTTAATGCCGGAGAGGACCAGGAGAGTGAGGATCAGCTTGGCGAAACCGCGGGGGTACAGCATGGTCTGGATGAGGAAGCCGAGACCGTCGCTCTCGTACGTGTCTTTCCAGTCGGGGCGGTTGTTGAGGCCCGAGGAGACGACTGCGCCTGCCATCATGCCGATGGATGTTGGGATCGCGATACCGAATGTGGTCATCAGGAAGACCTTCCAGCGGTTGACGTTGACGGGATAGTGCACGTAGTAGTCCGATGCCATGGTTTGCCAGGACGCTGAACTACCGTACACAATGGCGATGAGACTGAGAACCGAACCGCTGAGGTCCGTGCCGTGGACTGTTGGAGTGGGAGAGTTGTCTGCGTACTTCCCTGTCTCTGCGAAGAAGATGATGAAGATGATAAAGAAGATGAACCAGGCGTAGCGCTCATAGACCAAGATGGCCTTAAGGCCCACGAACGAGATCAGTGTGGCGATTACTGCCAGGATGACGATACCAACGATGAGCGAGATTTTGCCATCAGCGACAGCTGTCAGTGCAAGACCACCTGTGATGCAAGCAACGGCCGCCCAACCAATCTGGACGATAGTGTTGAGGGCTGCGATGACCTTGTTGGGCCACCATCCGAAAGCATATCTGCTGACGGAGACTACGAGTGATCAGTTCTCCAAACTCACTTACCAGACCCTGACGGGCGTGCAAGGACTTACTCTGTCGCAGACCCGTAGGCGCACCGAATGTTGCCGCAAAGCCAGTTGGCGCACCACCGAGGATGGATGCAAAGATGATGATGACGATAGACTGGCGCAGCGCTGCTTGACGTCAGATCTGAACCACTGCACAAGCGCGTGCGTGTTCAAGGCGACTTACTCAAGCCAAACTCCCATCCCAAGAATCCTGTAGCAAAGCAGGAGGTGTTCATCGTGCCACTGGCCCACAGGAAGAACATGCTCAGCTGGTGAGTCCAGGGTACATGACCCTTGTCCTCTGGCAGCTTCCTGGTGATGGCATCGCTTTCGATGCCAAATTTCGCGTCCATCTTGGCCTCAAAGTTGCGCAGCGCACCCAAGAACCCCGACTCGCGCTTGACAGTCGCGTGGCCGACATGCTCGCCGCTAGAGGCCGACAGACTCTCGTGATCTACGTTTTTCTCTGGAGACATCATGGGCCTGGCTTCTAGAGGGTCCTGAGAGGTGCGGGGAAGGGTGACCGACAAGAAGTGTCGGATGCATAACGGCTGGCAGCTGGGTTTTAACGGGCCTGGCAGATCGGCGCCGCGTCATGTCTCTGGCGAGGCCCGGCGTAAAATCTGAGTGGCAGATAGGACGTTGCCGTGAGCGAGTTAGTCACAAAGCCTTGCGGACTCCACTCCTATCGCAGTCAAGCTTTGCTCGGCGTTGCTTCGACCCACGGTAAATCCTCCACCGGTAGCGCCATCGCTTCTGCACTTCAATTTGTCCCACCACCTTCCAGAACAATACCGACAATGCTCTACTTATCTCGACGGGCTTTAGAGCCGGGCAGTAGAGTCAGTAAATGGAAAGGATGGCCTCGGTCGTACATTGACTGCTTTGCAACCTGTCTCTCACGGTGTTCGTATTGATCTCGCGTCGACTGGACGCGTACATATCGTGGCGCTCTTGATAGTATCGTATGACACAGCAAGGCAACACTCTATTGGAGGGTCCTACAGTTATAGCGCGCCAGCTGATGCGCCACAAGATGATGGGTGGTCCTGCGACGCACGACTGCTGGACATGGGAGCCCCTCGCGGAGGCTGCATCGCATACTCTCCTGCTGGTATCAACACGAGGAGGCCCGTGAGCAGATGTGAGACGAAGTCTTCGTTTGGCAGCGGCAGCGGAGAGCGCGCACGATGTGGAGGCTTGGCTTTTGGCTGCGATTCTTTCTTCATGAGGCGGGTAACAGCTGCACCCCAGTTTCACGGACAGCAACAACTGCGGTGCTCGGAGCCTTTAGAAACAGCATTGTGGGCGTCCTTGACAGCAATCTAGAATCGCGATGTAGGTGAGATTTCTACGCGATTGTGATATAAAATGCTGACTTTCTCAAAGGACTGCCTGACTGCGTCTAGGCTCTCGTGCCGGCGACCTGACGAACCTCGACGCAGTGCTTCTTGTCGAGTTCCTTACCCGAGGCGTACATGGCGGCATCATGACCCATCCACGTATGTCAATCATACCGTACGCACCACTGATAAGCAGCAACTCCCTTCCGGCAAAGCCCACCTGCGCGAAGAAGATGTTCTGAACCTGAGTCCAGTGCAAAATCCGGTACGACATGTCCTGCCGATCCATACCATCACGATGCTTCAGTGGTAGTGGGTGAATTACCAGCTGTAATATCCCATTGAGCTTGCCGGGCTTGACGCAAAATCGTTTCCCGAGGATGTACTAGTCACACGCATACTCTTTCCTGTACTCGGATGTAGAATATGTGCGTTTATTCTCTCGCTGCACGAACTGTATCCTCATATCTAAGCACTGGTAATCGCCAAGATATACCTCCATGTTTGACAGTATAGTGTAGTATCGGTCTGTATGGTTCTGCGGGGTGCAAAAGTCTGTCTCGTGTTTCTGGTACAGGGCCTAAATGAAGGCGGGTCGCTCACCCAGACTCTTGTTTTGGAAGAATGAAGTGCCAATACCAAACTGAGTAGTGAACACACGTAGATACAGTGTGATTTTCGGGGTAGCCGTGCGGACGGTTTGTTCGATCGTGTCGCAAATGAGTGGCCAGCTACGCTTATCATACCGTCTTGTGGCTGTCAGGATGTGGGAATCCCTGACTGTGTTCGTTCACCGCAGACGCAGATGCAGATGCAGACTTACTCTCGAGCTCGATAACCTCCGTGCCATCGCTCATCACACGGGCATCGTTCACAGGCGTTGTAATTCCTTCTTGGGACGGACGAGCGATTTCCAATGGAGCCAAGTCTCTAGTCTTGGTCCTTTTAGTAGCATGGTTCGTCTCAGGTGACCATGGTCGTTCCCAAGCGAGGCTGTATTAAGAAGTCGCAATCCAGAACCCGCAATGCTACCTACAATCTACAAAACGCAACTCCATTTCCACAGTCCGGAGGAAGTCAGAGCATCAACACCACAGAAGCACAAATTACGACGCAAGAAGGCCACAGTACAAAATTCGAAATCCGATTGTATCCAGAGCAGACCCAAGCGCTCTATCTATTTTCTAGTCGCGCTGGAGGTTTATGTAGTCACAGACAGTCAGCACTGTGCGTGCATGTATGAAGGCGCACTGCTAATTTCGAAACGTGCTTGAGCAATGTGCATACACACGTCGCGGCTTGGCCGTGAAACTGACCCGCATGAAAGGGAGCATGATGTCGGGCATTGTGATGTTTCGTTTTCATCACTATAGCTATCCGCGATGCGAGTCTATCACCATACTGTGACCCAGGAAGTCTTCAAACACACTCGTATGGACAAGTATATTTTGCACTGCGCTATATGTGACATTATTTACTGCTAAAAAATCATAATTGTGAATAGTTTGACGGCTATTTCCGCTGCAACATGAACGCTGAGCCTCAGTGATCGCTTCGAACGGAACACATCGTGTATACATGAACCTGCTCAGTTTGTGGTCCCACTCATTCATCCTCGGGTTGCTTCTTGATTTCCGATTTGACCTTAGGCAGAGCCGATAGGTCGACTTTCAGACATCCTGCTTCGAAGGCTGTCGCAGATCGAGTGGCCCTGCCCACATGTGCAATGTTGGTATCAACAAAGTAAGTCTCCATTGGCTTCACATACATGTCGTGCGTTACGGAACTGTCGAGCAGGGCCGTTTTTGCATCTTGGTGACCGCGTAGGGCCAAATCCCATCGTTCGAATGTCCACTTGACACGGTCTGGGTGCGCAAAGTCTTGTGTGAGTATGACTAGATGGAAGAGACAAAGCGGAGAATTAATTTCCGTATTCGTACATACGTGGGTGATGGTATGGATCTTGAGAGGCTGGCGAGTCTTTGCATCTACATGCTGTGCGTAGATGCGAGACATGGCAAGATGCTGGAGCTTCGGTACCTCGAGGAGGTTTCCAAGAACCCAGGCGTCGATGTTCGTTAGAAATCGGCCATTCCGCCCCAGCGCCTCGCAGTAGTCGTTCTCGTTGAAGTGCATGCTTAAGTCAGGTCAGTAGAAAGTAACGCTAAAGTGTAATCGTAGCTTACGGCATGTCGGCGGCGGGGCCCGCTGTGCAGCTCCTGGGAATTCTTGGGATGATAGGGTTGGAAAGGTGAGATGGTGTCGAGACTGTGAGTGCCCTACCTGGGTGACCGAATTGCGTGGCACGCATGACGCGAGCGGGAGGTAAGCTGAGAGCAGCCGGAGCAACTTGGGCAGGAGCGACCCCATAGCTAGCAAGAAACGACGACACGAGCCGAACGCGAAAAGACCATACCATTTTAGATGATCTGTTCGTTGATTTCATCCCTAGACTAGCTCTTCTCTTCCTTGACATCCTCCTTGATCTTCGCATCCCCTTTCGCGGGCCTCTCCCCAAAGATATCACTCCCGACCCTCACTTCATCACTCCCCATTCTTATCGCACCCTCAAAATCCGCACTCATACCCATACTCAGCTCCAGCTTCTCCTTCTCCCACCCCAGCTCTTGTGCGACCTTATCCCTCGTATCCCTCAACGCAAAAAAATCCTCATTCTCATTTTCCGGCGTCGTCTCCTTACTCCTCGCAATAGCCCCAATTGTCATCAACCCAAACAGCTCAAGATTTGGACACTTCTCAATAACATGCCTGCACAGTTCCGTCGCCTCGCTGGGCTCAACGCCTGACTTTGCCTCCTCACCACTGGTGTTGATCTGCACCATGACCCTCAGCTTCTCAGCCGTGTCATCCTTCTCTCTGAGCGCTCTCCGTCCCTTTTCGAGCTCGTTGGCTTTCTTCGCGCTGTCGACGCTACTGACACACCAGAGATTGGGGATCTGCTCGGCAAGCTGCTTGCATTTGTTCGATTGCAGGCCGCCGATCATGTGCCAGCGGATGCTGCGAGGGAGGAGTTTGGATTTTTCGAGGAGTTCCTGGACGTAGTTTTCGCCGAAGTGGGTTTGCAGCGGGTTCGGGGGCTGGTGCAGGGCGAGGATATCGTTGGCGGGCTTCAGCTTCGAGACGGCTATGAGGCGGACCTGGGGTTGTGAGTTTGCTGGTATAGATAGTAGTGTGGACTGTGGGGTGATCTACATTTTGTCTGCTTTTGCTGGCGGCATTGATACGTGATGTAATGCTCGCGATATTTTCGGTCAGTTGCTTCGCGCGTTGGGGGTTGATATGCATTTCCTCGGCCATGGTGGTTGTGAGAGTCCAGGAAGTGTGACGCGGGGACTTTCCGTAGGGCAGCGACGTCAGTCCAACCTTTTGGCGCGCTTTCAGCCCTGCGAGGCTGGAACACTTCAGGTGAGCGGAATTTCTGCCACTTTCACCTCTGCGATGGACACTTTTCCGCACCTACCCAAATAGGAAGTGTTACGTCCTCGTCAACCTGCACCAGCAGAGTCCCTGCAACAAAGGTCGCGATAGCAATGACAGGCACAATAATGCTCGCAAATAGTGCGGTATGAACTCTCTCGTTCTTAAATAATCGAAAATTTCCGTAAATCGCCCGCTATGCTCTATGCAATCGCTAAAAATGTTGCTCTAGAAGGGTATCCTCAAAATTAGTCTTTCCAAATCCGCGCCTCTAATATCCCTCCCCTTTTCATCAGTCATGCAGCGAGTCTCAAGCCGCCACCTTACCTCCTCCATAGCTGTCACCTCTTCCGGCCCTCCCACCACGCTTTATCCTTCTCGTTCCTATGTGGCATACTGTCCCTAATCTCCGTCTCACCGCCATCATACACACTGGTCCTGGGCCTACTTCTCGCTCTCCCGTTCCGCTCTACCACGCTCCTTCTTCGCACACTACGCGCGTCCGCCTTCTCATCTAGTGCAAACGTGCTGCGCGGCGTCATGGGATCTCGCATCGTGTCTCTCCTCCTCTTGCTAGCCACGCTCGCGCCGCCGGGCGTCGTCGGCACTCTCGAGCTCATGTCTGCACTCATCGGCCTCTGGCTACGACGTTTCGAGTCGCGCGTCTTCGTGGGTGGCGGCCGCTTAATGTAGTCATACGTGTCTGGATCCTTCCGCGCGAGTTCTCTCTCCAGCCGCCAGAGTGGCGCTTCAGGGAGGATCTTCACTGCGTCCGTGTCCCGCCACTTGATGCGCCAGTAGATTTCGGGGTCACCGGCGCGCTCGCGGTTGGGCCCGTAGTCGACGGTGAGCTTGTAGCTGTCGGTCAGCGCGCGGGCCTCGTAGTCGCCGCGGTCCAGTTGTCCGGGGCCTTGGAGACGGAAGCGTGTCCGCACGGAGGGGTGGATGTATTCGTTTGTTTGCCGCAAGGGCCGGTCTGTTGTGCGGCCGCTGAAGGGGTCGACGGCGTGGTATTGGCCCGGTGTGCGGATCTGCTTTAATCAGTAAGCCACTCTCAACCCCGAAAAAGGCGAACAGTAGGATGAGATGGAGTGAGAAGCCACATACCGTCCGTCCCCCGACAGCCATGACGCCCTTCTGCTCATTATATATCTTCCCAAAACTCCACGGCCGAATTCCCTGCCCAACCTCCTTGTAGTAGTCCTCGTTCAGTGTATCCTGCTCAAACAAAAACTCCTCCCGCATCTCCAGAAATGGCTCCAGCTGGCTCATCATCCACGCGAGAGTGATATTCGCAAGCTGCATGTCATCATATCCACCGCCTACATTCGCATGCACACCTGGAAACCACACTTGCCGCAGCGTGGTTCGATTGCCCTCAGGCTTCTCCCACACGGCTGGCGAAAAGGAAGATCTATTCTCGTCGAGCGCGAGCGCCTGGAACGCGTTCTCCACGCAATTACTCAGTTTCGTGTCGTAGAACGTTGTGGCACGGGATTGTTTGTTCTGCAGCCTCGCGCGTTGTAGCAGTCCAATCCTCGGTATTCCGAGGCTGCCGACCGTATCCCAGACCGCAATGGCTTTGATCGGGATATCCAGCCTCGTCAACCCGCGGCGTTCCAGCTCATCGACATACCGGGGATCACTGGCGCTGGGCTTGCGTGGGAACGGGATGTCTGGGTGTTTGGGCACGTAGCTCGGGTCTCGTCTGTGCTGGCAGTCCTCGTATACTTCCGGCAAGTCGTTCAGGCCCTTCTTGGTGAGCAGGCCGATCTCGCCTATCAAGCCTGCGATGCTACGCGCTGTGAATGCGCCGCGCGAGAAGCCGATGAGGAAGATTTCGTCGCCATGATGGTAGTTGTTGGCCAGAAATGCGTATGCTTCGCGGACATTTTCTGGGACGCCTTTTCCGGTGGTGCCGGAGATGAGTTTGTACAGTGGTCCGCCTTCTGTTCCTACGCCGGACGTGTAGTTTACGATTTGCGGGATGCCGTCTTGACTGACTGACTTTATGGCGCGAGATATCCGAGTGACATTACTTGGAATGGCAAGGTCACCATTTTTCTCTCCGTCGTCCGAGTTCAGCCATGTCCCGTCACACGCAACGATGAGTCTCTTGAACATGCCTCTCCCCCCACTCAGTCCTGGCGTGTCCATGACCGGTCCATGTCGACTCCTCACACTCCTGGCACCGATGCTCCTCGCTCGACTGATGGACCGGACTGGCATGTCGACCACAATCGGTGTCCGCGGACTCGACAACAGTTGACCATCGACAACAATCGGTCCTGGAGGAGGTGCCCGCATGCTAGGCGCCCGACTCCGGCTTCTTGCTCGCGACGGCGCGACCGACATCTCGAGACTCTTCCTGTGCCTTCGCTTGGGCGTGAAGCTGGAAGAGGCACTGGTCGGAGACGAGGGCTCGTAGCCCGACTCCGAGTCGCTGCTTGAGGAGGCCACGTTAGTTGATTGAGCCACGCGCGGGTGTGGCCGAAAGTCCTGTGGAGAAGGGCCAGGAAGGCTGGTGGCTGACTTGCAGTCCGGTGATGCCGCGCTTGGTGCGCAAGCCTGCAGTCGTTGTTGGTTGCGTCTGCAGCAGCGAGCTGATCAAAGTCGTGACTATGCTGAGAAAGTCCGATAATGCGTGCTCAATGCGAACGCGCTGTGCCGCTCTAATGCCCCAAAGTCCAACTCTTTTAAAGGCGTGGCGTCGTCAATTAGTTGGCCCCCTCAATCGTCGTCGGATACAGAATATCGAGTCCCGTCCGGCCTTGCGAGACCCTGCAGCTCCGCGTGTCTGCAGCAACGTTGTCGAGTGCGCTTCGCCAATCTCACTTGTCACTCTTGCATACGCCTTGGGCGAAACAGAACCAAGGAAAGACCGACTGCGCATGCGCGCTCTTACATGCGTGGTTGGGCTGTCTTTTCTGCAAATAAGCTGGCTGGCGGCGCCCGAGCATTGGACTCGCTTGCTGATCTGAGCGCTCGGTTTCCCAACCTCCTCATGCGAACTCTTGTTCGCAATTCCAAGTCTGTGTCACGGTGCGAAGAACAGTAGTTCTGATGAGAGTCACATCATGGAATCATGCAGTCACGAAGTTTTGCAAATGCTGCGCTGGCTGTACCCCACTATCCAACACGACACAAAGTGAAGCTGCGCGGACAGCTGGCAGAGCTGCTCCATACCGAGACTGACCGCCATCTCCAGGACTTCCGCACTCGCCAAGCGCGTTCCCGTATCCGCATGGGATCGCCCGGCCATCAGGCACGATTCGCGGCTCAAGCTTGGGCTCCAGTAAAAACAGCCGGTGAGGACCCAGAGCAGCATGCAGAGGTGACTTTTTTGCGTCATGCAGTCGAGCGCAACAGGCGAAGACCTCTTGTGGAGATGTGGAGAAGACCCATCTAACAGTGCAGAAAATACCCTAGCGACCTTCGCAGTGAAGAACAGCGGAGCAGGCGGATCAAGAGGATCAAAGCAATGTCGATATGAAGGTATCAATTGTTTTTCCAATTTGGAGACGACTTTTATCTAGATGGTCCATATCTTCCTTGTGCGTGAATCTTATCCGCAAACTCGTCGCGGCAGCCCGCGAGACATAAATCCATGATAAACATACATGCGCCGAGTAACAACCCGTGCCTCAGAGTAAGCGTGACATATCCAGTCAAACCCATACACTCGAACACGACAACTATCATACAGTATCCTAAGGACTCCCACGTGGCAGGTGGGGCGCCTCCACTGAACTCCGTTGCTGTGTGCCAACAGCTAGAGCGTATGATGCACCGCAAACGACTGATGTAGATATCCTCTACTAAACAAGACGCCTGCGAAATAGAAGGTGAGAAAGTGGAAATGACTAGGTGGAAAGAAATAATAAAAATGTAGCCCATAGATGAGACGGATGACGGATAAGAAAATCGTCAAAATCGTGTGCTGGAATAGATGGTGTTGTGGTCGCGGATGGCCTAATAGCCGCCGAACATCTCCTCGAGCTCGTCGAGCTCAATGTGTTCGGGGCTCCGCATATCTGACCAGCTCCAGTCAATGTCGGCGATCTCGAGTTTTACCTCGTGGGGTTTGAACATTGGCAGGGGCATCTCCAGTTGAAATGCTTGCGACTTCAACGCAGGGCTGTCAACCGAGAAGTCGAAGGAAGAGCTCGCCATGTGGCCGAACAGAGCAGCAGCAGCTTCTGAGTTCTTGCGCGCAGCAAGCTCTTCTGTCTCTTCGATCGACTGGGCAACGTCATCCATGCTGACGTCGGAGCTTTGTGTGGGTTCAGCAGACATGCTCGCAGAACGCTCGCGCTCGGCCTCTGCCCGTTTCCGCTCCTGTTGCAGGGACGACGCGGTCAGTGTGAACTCGCGCTCCTCCTTCTCGAGGGGAGGAGATTGCGCACGGCGGTTGTGGGAGATGTTTGCGATTGTAGGAGGGTGCACTTGGCTTGAGAAAGGATCCGCGCTGCCGCTCTCATCGTAGTCAGACAGGTCCAGCTCCGGCGAGGGAGACATGCGGGCTCTCGCGCGCGCATCCATATCCTCTTCCTCGGAGACACCTGATGACAGTGATGGTGTAACGATGCGCAGCATGACTGCGCTGCTCGAGGCATCTGCCGGAATTGGCTGGTGGGGTGTGGTGGTGAGAAAGTAGTAGACGCGCTTGGGGTGGGTGCCGACAAGCTTCTTGTCCAGAGGACATCTCGCGAGCGCGGTCCAGTTGCGCTTGAGGTAGGTAGCCAATCGCGAGGAAATGATAGCGGCAGGGTTTGCAGAGCTGCAGACGTCAGTATGGTTGGTTTGGGACTTGTCGCAGGGAGGGTTAATTTTGGTACATACCTCTCGACAATGGGAATAATGGGCGACAGCACTGTCGCGAGCTCCTTGAGCAGGTGAGGACGGTTTCCGGTCTTCTCGAGCTGCTCAATGACGCCAACGACGATCTCGTCATCGATGCCCTCTGTGTCGACCTTGGCCTGTCCAGACTCGCCCCCTGGTGAGGGTGGCGGGGTGTCTGCCACGCGCCCTGAACTCTTCGGTCGCTGCTCATCAAAGGCGCGCAGGGGTAGCGTATTCGACGGCGATGTGAGCAAGGATGTGCTGGATCCCGAGTGGGAGCGCTTCTGCTTCTTCGCGGGTTGCTGCATGTCGGCGGTCGAAGGCGGTGAGCGCGCAGACCGAGGCCCTCCAGGAATTGCTATGCCCAGGGATGGCAGCGAGAGAGATTTCCGGCGTGTGTTGTAGCCCATTTTGTGTGTCGGCGACGATGCAGAGTCGCGGAGAGGGATGGAAAGCGAGGCCTCAGGGAAACAGGTAAATTATTGAGGCTGGAGACAAAACGCAGCAGAAAGTGTTGTTGCTGCGCGATGCCAGGGATGACGATTGGCTCGCGGAATGCACGACCAAGGCGCAAGCTGTACGTGACTGGCTGCGACGGCGAGTATGCAAGGTAGCGTGCGACGCTGCTGCCTGCACCACAGCGGAGATGGTGATAGGGTGGCGAAGGGGGAGAATTAAGGTGAATAAGGGCGACGGGCGATGGGGGCCGTGAAGTTGCAGTCCGGCAGCACTCTTCTGACGACGCACGCCTCCTGAGCAGTGGTTGCGGTGCGTGGCTGGGCGGCGGCGACTGGTTGCCTCAAGCACAGTCTAGCAACAGCAATTCAGCGGTGGTAGAGCGAGACAGCGAAGTTCGCAAACAACAACACCACAAATGTCACAGCGCAGAAGGAATGCAAGTGTGTTGAACAGATGAACTGTCCCTGAGAGAGTTCGAGGGGAGATGAGAGGGGGAGGGGTGCGATGAAAGGAAGGAACGGAGGGTAGGTGGAGCGCTGGTGAAGAAAGTGCGACTAGGCTGCCTAGTGAAGCCGTGCGTCGACGTAGGGTGAAAGTGTACGGGCGACTTCAGGGATGTTGCTTTCGGTCCGCCAGGCTTATGACAGCATGCTAACTTTAGAGCCCTTTTGGCTTCCTTTTGGAGCCGTTTCTTGCGCTGCTAGCTTGCTGGCGCTGAACTGCCAGGGGCTAGAGTGCGCTGCTGCTGCTGCTGCTATCCACGCCGTGGCTGCCAGATGGCTGCGTGCAGGTCACACCCGCGCCTCTTCAGAGAGATGGCCTCGTCGGGCGCCGCATCTAATGTCTCGCGCGTGGTGAGCGGCCACTCACGGCAAGCCAACTCCGAGTTGCTTACAGACGTTAGGGAGCCAGCTTTCCTTTCTTTGTTCACCAACAGAAGCACCGCGGAAGCATGTGGAGTGCCGCTGGTCATGGTACGTACTACGTACCTACTCAGATCTGCGGGCACCCACAGTGCGACACGAGAGCCATCCTTGCAGTGGACAGGTCGTCCTAGGCGACGGTTGCTGTCCAGTCCCAGCGCAACCAGACGTCGGGCATCTTTAGAGCGCCCTCACCTCCTTCTGTGATGCTCGCCAAAACATGTGCAAATCCTTGCCGCCTGCATGCCGTCTGCATCAGAACTGCACCAGGGCGGGCCTTCAGTTGCTGTCGCTGAGCTGACCGCCTCCCTTCCCCTCCCCTACCCGTGCAGCAAAGTGCGCAAACGGCCTTCACGCGAGTGGCTGCGCACCTCCCAAGATCTGAAGCTTCGTGCATATCATTTTCCCAGCGGCCTGCACAGGTCTAGCCTGAAACCGCTGGCTGCATGGCTTAGCCTCATCCACTGTGTAGGGATGTTCCTTGAGCGGTCAGCTAAATGTTTGAAGAATTCGAGAATTTTTTCTTCCCGGATGATATGATGTTTTTCGCCGACCAGTCGCAGCGGGGCCAATTCAATCAATGCATCACTGCTTTGAACACCTCCAGGCGGTCGGCCAAAGAGGCTTGCTTGTACTGCGCAATACGAGACGACCTTCTGGGTTTGCTGTTTCAAAGGAATCCACCCAAATCGCTTCTTCTGTGACGCACGCGACGTTCCACCGCGTCCCGGTGATTGGCAGGGGACTTGCACCGTGTGCAATGCAGTTCACCCAAATGGGTCTAGACAGGGCCGATTGCCCACGCATCGTCAATGTGTGGGGCAGCAGGTTGCAGGTCGCGCCGGACTTTTGGCTGGTGGGCTAAGCAACGCCTGGAAGCGCTGCCGCTCCCCCAGACGAAGTGGAACTTGGGAAGAATCGGGAAGCTGCGTCCGCTCACCGCGATCTTGATGCAATGTCGCAAAGAGCGGTGGTTACTGTGTTTGCTGCAGCATTCGCAGACACAGCAGCGCGCGATGCATATCAGTATTATCAGCGCCAGGAGGCACTCGGCATCGCGCTGATCACGAGCTGTGAGCTCTTCGTCGCATCATCAGCTTGGAGCCTGACGCGCACGCTATCGATAAGTACTGTCCAAACCTTGGACGACTCGCCGACCGCATTTGGGTAGAATGGTTTTATTGCCGTATTCGTCGACGGCGAACCTCAGCTCAGGGAACTCGCTTGACTTGCTTTGTACCCAACGCTCGGTAAAATCCTCAGACCAGCCCCTCCTCGCAGCGGAACCTGCCTCGTGTACGTCGATTCACCGTCGACTACCACGCCAGCAACGAGCAAGCGCTGCATCGGGAGCTCTAATCCTACAGCCAGGCCCCCGTCTTCCCAGATGCGATTCATCGCATTGCGGTTGTCTTCAGGCCACCCGCATCTCTTACGTCGCGGATGCGGCGGGGGTGACACAGCAAAGACGACATCTCATCTCCACAGCGACCACCACGGTTTTTGTGTCACCGCGGACTCGGTCTGCGGCACAAGCCGCTGCTCACCCTTTGCAGCTGCCGTCGCAACGTCGGCTATCTTCTTCCGCAGACCCTTCCGAGGCTTCAGCTCTAACCACCATGTCGTGCCGAAGTTGTACCTTTTGATGTTCACAACTTCAAGTCCGCTGTCCTCCACGATCTTCCCAATGTCCTTGTTCCACCAACACCCGTGCTCGTCGGCGTGGGCCGGTGCAGTCTTGTCCAGCAAACCGTTGAGCCAATCGTAATGCGACTTGCCGTGCTCCAGAAGCAATATCTGTCCGTCCTCGTTGGTGCATGCCTCGATGTTCTGCAGCAGCTTCACGGGCTCCGGCGTCGAGCAGAGGCCCATTGTCTCAATCACCGTGTCGTAGCCGTCTTGGGCGTCAAATGGCGGCGTGATGGGGTCCAGAGCGGATTGCCGCTTGAAGAAGACCCGGCTGAAGTACTCCTTGTGTGTGTCGTTCCACTTCCGCCGCGCGACCTCCAGCATGGGCGCGCTGCTGTCGAGCAATGTTACGGTCGCGCATTGCTTCGTGTTGTAGTATGCTATGTTCCTGCCCGTCCCTACGGCAACTTCCAGCACATGTCCTCGCGCCAGCTTGGCCAGCTTCTTGCGCTTCGACGAGAGCAGGAGCAGCATTTCGGAGGTATCTACCTTCTCGTCGTAGCCCTCAGCTTCCTTGTCGAAGCGATCTGTGAGATCCGCTGGCAGGTCCTTGGTGTCGACATGGCGCGTCAACGAGACGTACATCATCACGCCGTACATTCCCAGTCCGAAGGCGACCAGCCCGACTCCAAACATGGGCCATTGTCTCCACCTCCGCAGCTTCGCCTGGTGTTGTTCTGATGCCAATTGCTCGTCTGAGAGTCTCTGTAGGTCCTTCAACTTCGGTCGTGCAGCCCAGACCTTTCGGATCGCCTCCTCTGGTGTTTGCTTGGGATTTGGTTTCGACAGGTCGTATGGCGATTGGGTCGGAGCTCGTCTGTTCAGAGGCAGCGCGCGTCTGACCGGCACTGCTTTCGTTGTAGGCAATGCCCGTGGCGGCTTCGGTATTTTCGCCATAGTGAGTTTTCCGCGTATTGATTGCTCAGTGTACAGGTTGCCTGGCAATGTTCGAGATGGAAGCTATCCAGATTCTCGGGTCGTCCGTGCTCCAGACGGCGCCACACCACGAGGCTCACCCTGTCAACCGCCCTTTGCCGGCGACGACTTCGGAGTCGGAGTCAATCCACTCCTTGAAATTTGTCCAGCAAGACTCCACAGTGTAGACTTGGCTGAATTGACCCTACAGTTGACTTTGCAATTCTCCGTTGCCGCTTGTGCGTCTTTGAGAGTTGTGCTGTGCAATGTCTTCCCCTCCCAAGGTCCCAAAGTCTGTTATCATTGTCGGAAGCGGTGCCTTTGGTCTCTCCACAGCATGGGCGCTCTGTAGGAATCCCGAGTTCACATACACCTCGATCACGGTTGTAGATCGCCAGACGTTCCCGACACCTGATGGCTCCAGCGTATGTCAATCTGCTTGCATCATGCACCACACGGCCTCGCACGCGACCGCGCAACGCCACACGTCCCAAATAGGAAGCACCACTGACCATAGCATTGCAGGTCGACACTTCGCGCATCATCCGCCCCGACTACGCTTCTGCGCCGTACAACCGCCTTGCAAACATTGCACAGGACCGATGGCGCACTGACTTTGCACCCGACGAGTACCACGAAACCGGCCTCGCGCTGACGGCATGGGGCAAGGAACAGAAATACGTGCAGACCGCGCTGGACAACGTCCGCAGGATCGGTACAGACCGGATCGAAGTCACCAACTCGCCTGAGGAGATTGGCCGAGCCGCAGGCCTCGAGGGCAACGACGCCTGGGGTAACGGCAGCACGGGATACGTGAACTGGAGCTCTGGCTGGGCCAACGCAGAGGGCGCCATGATCTGGCTGCGCGAGAAGGTCGAGAAGATGAACCGCGTCAACTTTGTCGTCAACGGCGTCAAGAAGCTCCTCATCGACCACCACACAAACACCGTCTCGGGCGTGCGTCTCAGCGACGGCACACAACTCACTGCAGACCTCACCATCCTGGCCGCCGGCGCCTGGACAGCGTCCCTCATCGACCTTCGCGGAATCTGCAAAGCCACCGGCCAGGTCATCTGCTACATGCCCATCAGCGACGAGGAGCAGAAGCGCCTAGGCAACAACCCCACCATCCTGAATCTCAGCCATGGTCTGTTCATCATCCCGCCCTCGAACAACCTCCTCAAAGTCGCCCGCCACGGCCACGGCTACACCAACCCGACCACAATACCGCACCCGGAGAGCTCCGACCCTCACGCCACCATCACCACGAGCCTACCATACACGGCAGTCGACGACCCGCACCAGGCCGTCCCCGAAGAAGGCCAGCGCGACCTCCGCAACTTCCTCACTGCCGTCCACCCGTCTATCTCCGTGCCCAGCCGGCCCTTCACCAAGAGCAAGATCTGCTGGTACACGGACACGCGCGCCGGCGACTTCCTCATCGACTACCACCCCAAGTACAAGGGCCTGTTTGTCGCGACAGGCGGGAGCGGGCATGGCTTTAAGTTCCTGCCCGTCATTGGCGATAGTATTCTGGAGTGCGTCATGGGCCGCACGCCGAAGGACTTTGTGGGCAAGTGGGAGTGGCCTCAAGAGCGGTTGGATGAGGACAAGTGGCCCGGTGATGGGTCGCGGGGCGGGCCGGTGGGGTTGGTGCTTGCCGAGGAGACGGCAAAGAGTAAGGCGAGGTTGTAGGCTTGTTGAGTTTTTCGTGGGTCGCATCCAAGGGTGGTGTGCTGTTGCACGTTGTAGAGGAGATGTTGGAGAGCATTGTATTGCGTTGTAGACCAAAGGTCGGTGCATGTGTTAGCGATCATCACAGCTCGGCGCATTGTTTCTATCACAGTCAAGTGTCGGATTTCTGCGAATGAAGTTATTTCACTTGAGCACCGCTATTTGACTTGTCCAATCGTGAGTATCAGCAGACATATGTTGCTAGCTTCAGCATTGTTTGTAACAGTTTGCAGGATACCAGGTTGGTCTCCAGTATGGATCGAATCTCCAGATTTCCGACGCAGTCCCACACCGAATTACTCGCCACACATTGAAAGTGCTTCATTAGAAAAGATGAGGGCCCTCAGCATCACAGCATAGCATGTGCATTTCGAAAACTTCGAATATTCCATTTCAGTGTAGCCTCGACGGGCATACTATTCTACAGGAACACCCAGCGCGAATATAGCGCACTCCAATGCTATTTTGTTGGGCTCCATGTCTAGAACCCGGGCAGCCTCCTGAGCCACATCCGGAATGATGGGGGACAGGAAGGAAATTCGTGCCATGCATCGCTAATAACCTAAGAAACAAATTCAAGCTTCACCTTACTCGCGCTTGTAGTTCTGGAAGCGCTCCGCAGGTGGACTCTGCGGCCTGTAGGGGTTGTTCGAGCCACTTGGTCCCGCTGCGCCGTAGGGTGACCTGCCCTCGTCTTCCTGCTCACGCTCGCGCTCTTCCGCTGTCATATGCGCACGTGGTCGGCTGTTCGACCTTGGCGGTGGGACCATTTTCTGGAACTGGTACTCTTCGATCTGGCCGGTCGAGATCGAGGTTGGCGATCCAGGCGCTGTGGTGCGGTGCATAGACTGTGTTGGCTGGAGGGGTTGTGGTGGAGAGGCGTACTGATTGCTGTAGCCTGACTGCGATGGGTTCACCGCAAGAGGAAGTGGTGGCGGGCGGTTGAAGTCAGTCGACGGCCGAGTCGCGTACGGCGACAGCGTGGCGCCGCCCTTGCGCTTGCCAGCTGTGCTAGCCTTGTGCAGCAAGCTCTTAACCTCATCGAGATCAGGTCGAGCATCGGTGCTGGGTCGACCAAGGGTGCTAATATCGTCACGAGCGTTCCAGGTGTCGTCGCGAACTGTGTCCACTCCCGGCCTGCGGTTGGTCAAGGAGCTAATCGCGAAACTCTCGCTCTGAACACCAACACCAAGGTAGTCATTGCCAGTGGACTTGCCCTTATCATTGGGGTCCTCGGAATTATTCAAAGGTACCATGCGTGCCTTGTCGGCGTCCATCTTGTACGCCTCGTACGCCTCACGTGCCTCGGCGGGTGGAACGGAAACAGACCATGTTGGCTTGGAAGCCGAGCCCAATGCAGCATCTCCACCTCCAGGACCGTTGATAGGGACCTTGCGCAGGGCAACGACCAAGGCACACATGAACTTCGATCGACGAGATGCGCGCAGAGACTCGTTTGACCAGTTCGTTTTGTGGCGGATCTCAACACGAAGCTCAAGCTTGTTCATCTCAGCAATGCTGACAACCTCGATATCGGTATCAGGATGGAACTCGCGGCTGTTGGCAGGATCACGGAGGAAGTGTTGCATCTCAAGCTTGAGAAGGTGGATGTCCTCGAAAGAAGTGCCGAAGTCGCAGAAAACGGAAACCTGCTCGCGCATGGCCCTGCTTCGAGTGATGTTCTCTACCCAGAGCGAGTTCAACACGATGTTGGGAATTTGAACCGTCTTGCCATTTGCAACACGCTTGAAAACCGTGTAGAGTAGTGCGATGTGCTCGACGGTAAGCTGCTCGGAGGTGATGTCGACGCGATCGCCAATGTCGTAGGGGTGCTTGGCGAACAAGAATATGCAGGAACCGAGAATCTCCGAAGCAGTAGTAGCGAAGACGAAGGACAGAGACAGAAGAGCGGTGGCCGACGTAGTCAGTGTGGAGACGAAACTGGGGCTGAGGAAGGCGACGAACACAAAGATACAGACGATAAAGACGATGGTGAACAGCAGGCCGTCGAGCGCGCCGATAGCAGCATCGACATCGTGCATACTACTGTTAATAGCTTTGCGCTGCCTTGCAATTTCAGCGACGGTGAGGATCATCTCGTCCAAACTGATATCGCCGTTGCCGTCGCGGTCGAGCGATCCAAAACATTCCTCGGCTTCCTGTGAGCGTCCAGGACCCATGACCTCGACTAAATCTTCTTCGTAGAGCTCATTCTTGCCCTCGACAACGAAAGACATCCAGATACGTTTGGCCAAAGCCTCAGCTGAGCGATTCCTTTCGAGAGCAGTGAGAACAATGGAATGCGCAGAGTTGACGTCGAAGACCTTCTTGCCGGTGATTTCAGATGCGATGTTGCCGAAAACGGAAGTAATCTTGTCACCAATACGTCCAGCATCGCGACCAACTTCCCGGACGAGACGCATAGGAGTTCGTGTGCCAGAGCGACCCTTCTTGGTAGTGCCCTTCTTGCTGCCTGGAATGAGATCGATGAGTGTTTCCTGGATAGTGTAGTCTTCCTCGGCAAACTCGTTGCAGTAGGCTGGGAACAGTGCTCGAGATGCATCGTAAAGGATACCCAGAAGGTAGATACTGCGCTTCGACTCCTGGATCTTCTGATCGAATTGTTTGCGGTGGTAGCTGATACTGATCAACTGGATCAAGACGCGCTCAGCGAGGATAATAACAGTGCAGACCAGTAAGGCAAGAAGCACGGATTGCATCTTCGGGTACCATGCTGGAGTCGGGTCAGTTTTGTGGGTGTCCTTATACTTTTGGGTTACGACGACAAGCTACAAAATTGTCAGCACGAGTCACAGAAACACAGTATGCCACTCACTCCAGGGAATGTAGCCTGATTGACAATCATCCAGAACACGAAGGACAGAGGCTTCTCAATTGCGCGGAGAAGCAGAGCGTACTTCTTGACTCCGGGACTGACGACACCGATGAGGAATTCGAATACATTAGGAAGGAAGTGAGCGACGATCTTCATAACCCAGAAACTGAGCCAGACTGATCAATTTATTAGCAAAAGCACGAGGGGATCTATTGCGTAAACTTACTGATCTCAATCCAGATCCAGAATCTCCTCTGATCAGTACCACCAATTTCTCCAGTGATGGTCTTTGTTTGCGACAAAATGATAGGAATGGCCAAGAGAAGAGCAACTGGTGCAACGTAGATCATATAACGAGTGACAATGCTGAAGTTGAGAATTTTGGTGTAGAGGCGACCCATCTTGTTGAGAGCGGTCTTTTCCTGCCCGGCCTCACGAGGAGGCAGCGGCGCACCCGTCCTCTCGTCAATTGGCACCCGCTGCCTACGTCCTCTTGTAGATATGCCATGGAACATGCCGCTCTTCTCTGACTGCTTCTCATCTGATGTGGGCGACGGTGTGTGACTGACTACAGTCTGCAGTGGGATGTCGTTGCCATTGTGGGCCATGTTGTCGTCGTCTCTGACCGCGTTAAGTGGCTGGAAGCCGTGGCTGGAAAGACGGAACGACCTCTGCGAAGGTGACCGCGCAGAATGTGTTGGCATGAGTGAAATCTATAAGCGGTCGTTGCAGGCGTTGCCTTCACCGCGTGAGCGAGTGTTGCTGAGCAGAGTGAAACCCTCAAGCAGCTGTGACCGAAAAGAATGGAAGGGAGAGCTGCGGTGGAATGTGCGTCGAGCACGATGCGATTGGAGGCGGTGGTACAAAAGTACAGTATGAATATGGCCTTATGACGAACGAGGCGGTCTTGAAGCGAGGACCGGCCGACGATTCGCAGCGTGCCTTAGGAAACAAGGAAATAAAGAAACGAGGATCCAGCTCCCCAGACACACGATATGTACAGTGCGCAACGTGAGTACGCGAGATACGGGGTGAAGCAGAGAATTTATTCAGGAGGACAAGTGCTTTCAAAAGCACCGCATCGTTGGTCCCCAGACCCTGGGCGGTGGCTTCTCTCCCCTGCAGAACTGCAGCCGGCTCAAACGCGCTAATTACCGTTCAAGCGAATCATGGTGATCCTGGCTTGCGTCGCCAAACTTGAAGGGGAACGCCTACGTCGCTGATCGATGAGCCGCCTCGCCTCAAGTCCAGAATTCAGGCTGCGCGTGGAGCGCGAATGATTACGAAAGGCGCCATTATTGCTCCCCTGACAGTTTGTCTACCTGAAAACCTTGAATTTGTGCAGCAGACACAATTTTGACCCAACAAAATGCGAAGCATCGCAAGTAGATGACGATCCCTGATGTGCATCCGATCTGGACTTGCTCCCAGAGAGGCACTTATCGATAAGGTTTTGCTGCTGGACGCAGTGCTGGGACCTGCTCTCGGGCAGTGGGGAATCGATGTGTCCTCTGCTCCACAGCGATGCGCCTGTATCAATGCGGGAGAAGACATCCACCGCCTTGATGTGTCACGCGTTCATGGTGCGGGATCTGTGATCGATCCTGTAAACACCTCCACTCACGATGAGCTTGTCTGAAACCTTCAGGCTTCGATATGAGGCAGCGAACAGACCACAAGGCCTCACCCTGTGGCACATGAGTCGGCGCCACGAAATTGCCACAGATCAAACCGCTAGGCACCCAATGCTCAGAAGGCCTTGCATGGTCGGCCATGCGCTCGGTCTCTGCGCTGCGCACTTTCGGTCGCCGTTGGGGCGTTCAATTTTCGGTGGCGCCGCGTACTCCCACTCCCGGACCGGCAGGAGAAAGCGTGGCGTACGCACGTCGCCAACCAAAAGGGGAAATCGCGATTTCTGGCAGTTCTATTTGCGGCAGGCACAGCCGTACCACCAAAAGTCTGCATCGCAAGTGCAATCGTCCTAATGACGACAGCAGGGCTATTGATACATCTCGCTGACGATGAAAGCGAGCTTAGAGCAACACACGAACGCCATTTCTCTTTTGAGCAGCGATCAAATTCCTAGGGCCCCTTCTTCATGTGTCCCCACTACCTCTCCACATGATCCCACTCCGAGGACATTAGACCTAAGAAGGCCACGGTGCGAACGTCACGGCATACGCAGCCAGAGTGCTGTTGTCGGTGTCGTTGAGTATCTTGCAGCCCGCGGCGGCGTTGAGGCCTCTTGGAGCCATCCAGATGGTCGTCCTGAGACAAGCTCTACAATGTGTTTCAAAAGCACTAACAGATGAGACGCAACTCCAAGTTTCTGTTACGACTCATTGACGCGGACTGCCTGATCATCTTCAACTAGGATTTACCTACGCATGCCATTTATGCAGGAGATACATCCACATCGTATCGAAATCCTGTGTTCTTTAGCGGATGCGCCATCAAGAATACTCGGTAACGATCTACAGCGCATCTCCCGCAGCACACGACCCTGTCTTTTGCCATGCTGAGGAGATCAGCTATCACGGCAGATAGCACAGTCTCAGAAAATCACACGATTCGCACAAGATTCAGAGAAGGCTGACCAACTTCCGCGTCTTCAAAATCACAACCCGCGCCGGTGGTCGTTGTGAGAGTGGCATGTCTTCGAAACGATGTCATCACTGAAGTCATCCCTCCACTCAAATTTGTGTGCTTCATTCTCGTCTGGCTCTTTCCAATGTACAATGACGTGCTGTAGGTCACTGGCAAGATGATGAAGGGGGGCACCGACGAGCGAGATGTAAACACTCTAGGCAAGGTCGACCTCAGCTGCTTGTAGGATTGACTACAAGATTACTAATAGGCCTGATACTGGCAGTGATATGACGCCCAGTAGTGTCATAACCACGACTGCAGTCAAGGCCCATGCACGGAGCCTTCTGTTTCTCTCACGCCCTTTAGCTTCTGCTCGAGGAGCAACAGCGTAAGCAGCATCCGCAAACTATTCGTGGACCTCAACGATACGTTCTTGGATGAGCAACCATTGTGTTCTCAGGACCAAGCTCTAGCTGGTCCTTGATTGGATCGTTTCCGCTGTCGCGGTACCGCTGAGGACAAGCCACGGCGGAGGTCATTGATCTCGACGCTACGTTTAGCTGTCGGTGTGAGATAGCCTGTACCTGTGTCGTGATCAGTATGGGTAACAGGCGGTAAGTCGGTGATGCGTCGATGCATTGACAGAGCTCAGCTGTGCGGTGGTGTAGCGGCTGGCTTGTTCAACAGCCACTGTGCTCGTGAGCCGGCGTACCTACCAAATTCTAGAGACTTCACTCTCAAGGTTTGAACGAACATTTCAATCAACGATAACAGGGAATTTACAGATACAGATGGCTAACCTGTTCGATAGGTATTTCGAGATTTTGCACATATGTGTCTATCTGTGAAACCCGGTATTTGGCAAACTTATTCCAAAATGGCTGCATCGAGCATAGTGCTACTCTCAGGTCGAGTACGCCTTGCTCTCTCATACTCCTGCGGAATTCGGTAGTCTTGGTGGCCCGAACATGCGGTCCGCTCAGTGAAGCCATTGCCAAAGGTATCGAAAGTTTAAACATTAACACTCATCAGCGTTTCGCGATTGTGAAGCGTTAGTCGACCACAGTGCCATGATGCCGTGCCATATCACGACCTCTCGCATTCGAACTTGCTCCATACATTCTCTCAAGTCATTTGAAATATTTGGGAAGCTTGTATGACTAATCTCATCTACCGCAGATGTACAAGAGTCCTAGTCATTGTGCTGGAGGCCATCAGCAGAGTAAGAAAGTGGATACATGCCGTACTGCCCACACAGTGGCCAGCTTTGATCACCACACGTGCTAGCATCTAAACACAAAAAGCAACATTCGGTCTCACCCCATCTTCGGGTTCCGAGAGACAATCGTAGACCTCTGGGTGGAAAAGCCTAGTTGGAGACTGAACCTTTAGGCTTTCCGCTTAGGGTCCTTCCTAAACACAATCAGCCATGTTTCAGGTCCTCAGCACTTGCAAATTATCATGCCAAGCTCCGTTCTTGCGTCTTACCAAACGCGCCATCACACAACACCATCGGAGTTGCAAAGATCACCGCGCATCCAGACGTTCTCCCAGCCTCACCTAGCCTCGCATCTAACCTGATCCGCGCTAGTTCGATCCGCGGAAAGCAGCCGACCCCAGAACAACACACGATTCACACCGCCGCACGCCCGCGACTCCATCACGATGCATACCCGTACAGAAATCCTGCCACGTGCAACAGACCTAACGTGATTCTGGTCGCTAATTGCTGCGCAAGGCTGGGAGTGTGACCGCTTTATGTAGGGTTGTGGAGAAAATTGTTCGCGACAGCTCTCAGGCGGCGGCTATATTCTTAATTAAGGTGAATCGTGGGACGACATGGCAATCCCTACACATATTAAAGTGGTCATTTGAGCTGTGCCATGACCCCATATTCCCCGTGTCCACTTCGAATTCATATCAAGAGATTCTCAACCAGTACATATCTCACATCAATCAAGTCCTACTCATACCACATCCTCAAAAATGCCCACGACCCTCAGAATGGCCAAAACAGACGCCTTCCGTACCTGCATCGCGATCCTCCTCTTCGTCCAGTTAACCTGCTGGGTGCTCACGCTGCTCGACTTGTTCAGTCCGGGACGCCCCGTTGTAATGCTGCGCACCTCAATGGATGTCATGAGCCAGCTGTTTGCTAAGCAGCAGCCCGCTGCGGTGCTGCTATACAAGGATTTCCGGAGCAAGATGTTTTGAGCTATCCGGATGAGAACATCACACCGTCAGCTATGATCGCAGACAAGAACATACCAAGACCACCAAGACGATGCTCGAAGATGGTGTCGCAAAGAACACGGTGCCGAATCCGAGGCAGACTCGCGGTTAACAACGCCCACCACATGCTCCGAGCAGTTTCGCTGTTGCTTGATGAGCTCGGTGGTAGCTCGAATGGGCTGACCAACTACCCTGCGATCTGTTGGCACCAGCGTCTGAACACAGCGAGATACGGCTACCGAATGACTGGTAGTTGGAGGGCAGTGCGTCCGTCCCGCGCCCTACGAGACCCTCATAAGGTCACAAGTCTGCCTTGAACTACCCACGCCTGTCCTTCAAGTCGCTTGAGTAAGGAGTCCAGGCCAGTATGGGATTGAGCTAGGAAGAGAGGTGCCCACGTGTATCTGTGCGTGCGATATGCACGTGGGTGAATCAGGCCTGCGAGGTACACTCAAGGCACCAGCGGTATCGAGAAATCTCGATGCATCGGACAAAGCTTGCGGGAAGCCTTTTCAGACGACACTCCTTGTTAGTGTAGTATCTGCTGGTGAGCGCTCACGCGAATGTAGCGTGTTGCATTTGTAGATGCCGATCAACTTCGGCCTTCATTGTAGTTTCAATTCAACACTATCTCACTGAGCCTGTTGTATATCTCGCCCATTCATCTATACATGACAGCATGCGTGCCAGTCGCAGCCGAAACCGACGATTCCACACGCCGGTCAGCCGCTCAAAAGCACCCCAAACAGAAGAAAAGAGATAATCGAGATGAAAAGTGCCAACTCCAGAATGATGATGGCAAGCACGGCCACAACAATGCCGAGCGCGATGAAAAGACCGCCGATGAGTACACCAACCGCTTGTCTGTTGCCCCATTAACGCCGGTTTGAAATGCAGTGTGATAAGATATAGGAGATGAGCAAGTAAAGGACTGTTTACTGGGTGGCTTGATGGCTCAGACGGTTGTGGTCTAGCATCCCAACCTCCCCAATATGTTTTTGATCGTAGGCGTGATTTCCCGACAGAGGCCGAACTGGTGGTGCGGGCTCGATCTCATCGTCATCGACGTCGGTCTTCGAAGCGCTTGAGTAGTCGGAAGCCTTCAGTGTGACCGTGCTCTCTGCCAGAGGCTCTGCAGACTCCGAAAACTCAGGGACTGGACTTGAGGACGGCCCTGCGCCGTCGAGATTGATCGGAGTTTGTGCAAAAGCAGGCTTCGACTCAGCTACGTCCTCGATGAACTGAGCGCCATACTCAGTCTTGTCATCTTCATGGCTGAGAGTTTCCTGGAGGGCACTGAAATTGAACATGGGCTCAGTGCTAGACAAAGCCCCGGGCGGCGTCTCGTCTCGGCTAAGGTTGAGACCTGACGCGCTAGGACTTGGCTCGTATGAAGATCCAGGCGCGAGGTTGGTCTGGCTGCCATCGCGCGCCGCCTCCTGGACTGACTCAGAGTAAGATGAGGCAGACGAGGAGTCGTTCGACAAGTTGCGTAGGACTGATCGGTGTGACGGCGAGTCTCCTTGCTGCAGAACATCAGACGGTGCCAAATTGCTCGAGCTGCTCCCTTGAATATGGGCCCGGCTGTCCTTTAGATGCTTCTGTGCGTCTTCTTTCAAAGACTCTTTCGAGGACGGCGTGTTGATAGTTGAGATCGGCTCGCTCGTGGGGTCGAAGCCAACAGAGCCACCTGACCTATCCACTGCCTTGCCCTTGCCTGCTGCGGACGAACTACTCGCACTGTCGTTCGGACCGTCGACGTTGACAGGGTGGAAGCCACTCCCAATATTGCGTTGCGCTTTCGCGACCTTCTTACTCTCCTTGGCTTTCTTCTTCTCTTCCTTCTTAGCTTCTTTGGCAGCTTCTTTGTCGTCCTTTCTCTTGCGCTCCTCTTCTGCTGCCAGACTCAGGCGAATAGCTTCCATCATCATCAGCTCCTCAAGATCGTCAAGTCTGTTGCCTCCTCCACGCCTCGAACTGTTCCTTCCAGAGAACAAGTCGCCAGAACTTTCTCCACGACCAGACGATGCTTCGCCTTCCCTTCGAGGAGTACCTTGCCCGCTGCTCGCACCACTATCTGTGCCGAACATGTTCCGTCGCCGTCTGCCGAGACTAAATCCTCGGGCCTCCTGTTGCTGAATATTGCCCATCATGTAAGCAGCATTATGCAAGGCTGTTGCTGCAGCTGCTCTTCGCAGAGCATGCGACTTAGCGTCTGCCAGCTTCTTTGCCCAATCAGGTCGCACCATGTCTGTTGTGATGACCGTCTTGTCGTTCACCGCAAGCGATGTGGCCCTCCTCCTCCCTCCAGGAGATGTGACACCCGAGGAATTGACAGAAGCTGTAGAGGACATTGCAGAGGTCGCGCTGTGCATGCCCTGACTCTGATGTGCGTAGATCAATCCCCGCCTGAAGGGTGGAGGTTCGTAGGTGACACCAAACTCTGGCTGTACACAAAACGGACAAGCTGCAGGTTCTGACACCAGCTGGATCTCCTCTTGCTGCTCCTCGCTCGGAGGTGGTTCTTCTCCATGATGCTCAGGAGGGTGCGGGTCAGGACGCTTGATCTGTACAAAGCACTCCGAGCAGATAGGCTGGTCGCAGCATCTAGTCTTGTTGAGGTATGGCGGGTAGTACAGGAAGCAGATGGGGCATTCCGATGCGTTTTTGTACAGAAAGACTTCCACTCTCTGTCCGTTGACGTATGGATCCTTGGGTAGCTGCAGTTCTTGATGGGCCATCTCGGTCTGTGAAGCATTGCGGGAACCGCCGGCAAGGGAAGCTAAGGTCTTGGCTCGTCCGCGGAAGAATGGAGACGATGAACTAGTGTTCGTGGCGTTTTGGGCGATCGGGGAGGTAGGGGATGGGAGAGAAAAGGCAGGATGCGAGGGCGAGAGGGTGCTCGAACGGTCCGAGTTCTGCGACATTGAGCGAGCGCCCATGGGGACTGTGAGGTTGTTGATATTGGAGTCGGAAGAGCGAGGGTTCCACTGCGGGCTGAGGTGGTTGGCGGGTCGAGGCGGGTCTTCTGGTGGGATCTCATCAGGAGCAGGCAGTGGGAGACTGTTCGCGACAGCCACGAGCTGGTGCTCGGTCCAGGTATCAGAATGGTCATCGAGGCCCTTCCAGAATGGAGCCAGGCGTCGCTCAATCTGCATGTTGTCAGTCTGGGTCAGAGAATCGCGGTTGTTGGGTTGCGCAAACCTGCAGTTGGCGCACCACTGGTTTACTGAAGTCCTCAGGCCCAGTGTATGTGCCCAGTGTGACCAAGAAAGCTCCATCGACCCCCTCTTCCTTTATGCTGCGTTCGCGCTCCTGTGCCCTCAGCGCGCGCTCCTTCTCCAGCTTGCGGGCCTCTCGCTCAGCCTTCGTCTCGCGCCGTGGCTCCAAAGCAGGGTCGCGCTCTGCGTTGCCGCTACCGCCAATGCCGAGGAAAGACAGATCATGTCTGCTCCCTCTCCCACTCCTGGCACTGTACAGCCCTACACCACTTCCTGATCTCTCGTGTGACGATCCGCTGGGACCCGACGCGCTCGTGGGCGATGTGGCCGACGCTTGGGCGCTCGATCGACGTACGTGGCCGCCCCTCGAGGGATTTTGCGCTTCTTTACCCTGACTGTTGCCCATGTTGAAGTCGGTGTAGGATACTCAGAGGTAGCAATACGGATCGAGTGTGGTCGTCAGACGGGACGCGCCGGAGTTGTTACCAGAGAGGCCAGTGATGCCCAAAGGGCGGATTGTAGGATGTCGCAATCTGTGCGCACTAGGATAACGTCGTTCGCGGCGCGATTAGCGAGTGGGTTTGGGGCGGCGTGGTGGTGGTGCTGGGAGATAGCAGGCGTCACAAGATGCAGCCCAACAGGGGTTGGTCGCAATCGTAGTTTCCTCACCGAACACAAAAAAGAGTCTGAGGTGGGCGGCTACTGCTCTAGGTAGTCGCGGGCTACGGGAGGCTCATGCAGCAGACAAAGGCACTCGCGGGAGCTTGCAAGACTGTGTTGAGGGGATGCTGGCGGGATGACGTTCACTGGCTCTGCACGGAGGCTTCCAAGGTTTGGGGATCGGAAACGAGATATATGGCGGGCCGACTCAACTCGGTGTGGGGAATCTGAGCGTTGCGCGCGATCTCACATGCCAGGACAGCATTCACTGTGTTGTCGCGCACACTCTAAGTTGTGAAGGTTGCGGTTATGAGACAAACGACGCGGGCTGCAGTCAGCCACTAGGTGGAATCGAGCTGTGAGCTTGTCATGCCTTGGCCAAGATAAGACGCCGCACACGACTCCAGGAAACGTCTCACATTACAAAATTACGCACACGACCGCTCACGACCTCCCTGGCACGGCCTCGGTCACTGCCCTGGCAGGGTCATTCGTCCCTGGTTCGGCACGAGACTCCGCTAAGCAGAGCGAACGACACGCGAGCTCAAAATACCCCACCCACGCGGGGCTCTCATCGGTCGACTGTCAGCATCTGGAGAGGCCGCACAGGTGTGAGCTTGTGCGTATCAGACAACTCTCAGTGGTCGAGCATCTAGACCTACTCAGTCTCACAGTCTCTACCGCTCCAAAAGTGCAATTGATGACTTCCATCCAGCCACCGTTGTTGCGGCAATTGCGATGGCGCAAGGACCAGCAGACGGATTTGGCATCTAGGACGATCATGTCGATGGCCAGAGCGTCGAGGTAACAGTTCATGAGATCGTGTCAAGGTCAACTTTCCTTCAAGGGCTCTCTCCTCCCGTCGAGATAGCCGTGATTGCCTTCTTGCAGTCTGCACCCGTCATCGTTTCCTATGCCGTACCGCTGGAACACACGTTTCGCGCCTGTCGTCACTCGACCTCAGGTAACTCATCCCTACACATTTCTTCACCGCGTTGTCGTCTTCTCGTCACCAGCACTACGAACGGTGGCTTTCTGGCGTCTTCCTTACCTATCATGTCTGTTCTCGACTTTCTCTGCGACATCCGTTTCCACAAGAGCTACGTTCTTCCACCAAATCCTGAGACAGGCAGATGTGCACCATATAGAGTTTCATATGCGGACTACGGCGAGTCTAAGAGCAATGCGGTCGTCCTCTTCTGTGGCGCGCTGATGGGCTCTCGATTTTGCTACTCGCCTCTTGATCAATTGGCCAAGGCGTACAACGTCAGAATCATCCACCCAGACAGACCCGGGATTGGAGGCAGTCAGCCCGTGGACCTGGAGAAGCGAATACAAACTTGGCTCGGTTGGTCGTGGCCAAGTATCCATTGCACGTGCCATGCTGACAGACGCAGAAATGGTGCCATTACTGCTGGCTCATCTAAACATTACTCACGTCTCTCTCGCGAGTCACAGTGGCGGCGACATCTACCTGATAAACACAATGCTCACCTACCCATGCTTGCTGCACCCGGAAACGCCCTATGTTTGCTTCTTTGCTCCTTGGGTTGTACGTACCTGGCAGGATCCGGGAGAGCACTGAGCACAAAAGGCCTAGATCACAAATTGTTGAGAAACGTATACTGACAGCACTTTCCCTAGCATCACTCACATTCCAAGATTTCACAACTACGAGCGACCGACTTACTCCCTGCACCTATTGTCGGCAAATTTGTATCGATTGTGAAATTCGTGAACGACAACGTCACCCCTCTAGCTGGGCTCAGCGGCGGCTTCGTGCAAGGTATACGAGATTCTATGCACCGTTCGAGCTCAAACCCGCCTTCAGGATCGGCACCAGCTCCCATACCGTTGACACCAACGACATTGAGCAAGCGAACACGAGGGACTTCACTGTTCTCACACGAAGAGCCAGCCGAGCTGTCACTGGATGACGATCTTGTGGTTGAGGAACTCCGCAGACACATCACTGCATTCCTGTTCGCCGAGTGTATGGATGGGATCAAGGCGGACGTACAGCTGTTCCTGCGGAAGCCTCGCTCTGTTACCTGGTGCTCGTCCAGTGTCTTCTGGTCGGACTTCGACTATGCCGTGCCTTTGATATCGAAAATGATCGATGAAGAGGGTTGTATAGACGGTGTTTGCAGGATGTGGACAGTCGACACATTCCATGCGCAGACAGACGCTATGGTCGGCGAGAAAGGCAAAATGTGGTTTGACAGCTGCTGGATGTCACATCAATGGACAGCCGAACCCTGCAAAACAGAAGATCTGTATGCGTCATATCTGCCGAGTCGCAACAGCTACAAGTACAGAAGTCAGGTAGTCGAGGGGACCGAACACAACTACTTGATGGACCCTGCTTTCGGTGCAAGTGAAACTTGGCTGCAGCGAGTGAGGGATTCGTTTCCGCTACCATTTGAGGTACGAGAGATCTTGAGCAAGACCTTGCGTCGAGGTCACCTTGTTGACCATCCGCCAGAGCGAGTCCGAAGTCGATGAGCAGGAAGAAGAGGAAGAAGTCGAAGAGGCCGAGACGGAAGTGATCGACGGTGATGCGTCTTCTCCCTCAACACGGCCTATTACTGAGCACAGGCGAAGGTCAGTAAGAAGGCTGGTGACTTCTGTGAGGCGCAGAGCTCATGATGCTTCGTCGAGAAGGCCGCGGTTGCGATCAAAGGAGCCTCGGTCGACATCAACAAAGAAGGCAGACAAAAGGCGTAGCCCCTCGAATGAGGTCTCCCGCCCAAGCCCTACGATACCTCGACTGAAGTTTGATGGACGGCCAAGGAATCTGTCGCTGCGGCGGAAAGTCACCACTGATACTCCATGAAATACCTATGATCACTTGACCTAACTCGAACCAATCTGTATCATCTCTCAATACCGTGCCATATCCTTAGCCGCGCCTCTACGTAGTGAACAGCATTTCTGTGAGGTCAATTGCCTAATGTGGAAGGTTTGCGATGCATGTGTGGATCGCGGCCAAGGCGGCTTCCGCTACCTTCGTAGAGACTCTCTGCGAGCCACACACATACATCCTTTCTGACAAGGGGTTTCAACCTGACAAACAGAAGACTGACGAGCAGCTGCACACACAGTGAAGTTCGAGCTTTGAAGCCCTTGTCTATGGAACGTGCAAGCGAAGTTCTGGAGAGGTAATCTCACGTGACTCTTGAGCCAAGGGGCAGGCGCGACCACACACTAACGGCAGGCACGGGCCCACCGCACAGTTAGCGAATATTCGACTCGGGCACGAATTTCTTGACCAACAGCCAGCTCACCCTCACCCCGTCGCGCAAATCCACACCGAACGACCGTCTCCCGTCGAACACATCATCTCACACAATGGATACCGCTAAGGCCCCCGTCAAGCTCGTCAAGGTCACTCGTGTCCTTGGCCGTACCGGTACGCGATCCCCGCACTGAGGCCGCGCAGGAGGAAGAAGCGGAGGCAGTTGCACGGCGGCACTGCTGCACGGCGCAGGCCTCGGGATACAAGACATGCCCAGAAATTCAGGCTAACAGCCACATAGGCTCCCGTGGTGGTGTCACCCAGTGCCGTGTCGAATTCATGGACGACCAGACCCGCTCCATCATCCGCAACGTCAAGGGCGCTGGTACGCAACCTCCCCTTCTCCGCCAGCAACATATATACTAATTATGCTCAGTCCGTGAGAACGACATCCTCTGCCTTCTCGAGTCCGAGCGCGAGGCCCGCCGCCTGCGATAAACGGTCGCGTTGGGGAAAAGTAGCGCGTGGCATTTTCCTTCGGTTCCGGAGTTCTTCACGAATGGATCGGCTTTTCACATGGTCATCATGAGGGCATGGATGCGTTAGTCCGGTGCTGCGAGGTGCCGTGACTGGGGAGGATATGCGAGGAGACATGATAACCAGGAAATCAACGAACTGGGACTTGCTCCTGAATGAAACGATACCTCAACATGCATGCTGACGTGCATTTGTTGCGATTTGGAGGTGCTGCTTACGGGCACAGGTCGATGTAGCGTAAATGACCGGACAGTTTAGGAGTCACCACATCTGGAAACCGCATCACAGCCACACAGCGTCCCTTTGTAGCCACGAACACGTACAAAGCAGAAGCCCTTACATCGAACGCACGATCGTGTCTGACCGGCAGGATGCAGCCGCTCACAGGGATATCAGCACACTAGACATTATGAGGTCGCGACCCGGATGCCCGTCTTAGGGCTTGCTGACAGCAGATACTCGTACTACGCATGACACATTCCTCTGACGATGATTACTACATCTGCCCGCCAAACGCTATTGACATCACGTTTACAGGCCCAAGCTTCGGCATCTGTATATGCACCCTTCAAAGGAGTCGCTGCCTGCGTGCCCTACGATTGGATCGCTCATTCCTTCTCACCCTGGCTCGCGGCAGTCATGGCTGCCCGAAATCCACGATGAAGTAAAAGTATGTGTGCAGCCTTATGCAACCCACACGGCATTCCATCGAACCCACACTTCACGAACACTTAGTTCCCAGCATCAATGCCATAGTTTCTTCACCTTGCTACTACCGCGCTACAACAATGAACTTCGATGGCGCCAGCGACAGCAAACCAGCACTCGAGACAGTCCAAGAACATCATATAGCTGCAAATCTCGAGTACAAACCCACGAAGCTGCGGCGTTTCATGTCCATTGGCTCAAGGGGGAGTAAACCGTCGAGTAGAATTGACATGAACACGAAACCCGGCAGCATACCACCACTGCAGACGCTCTTGCCACGATCTACCGACCTCGAGCCTCGAGCTAAGAGGCACACCAAGCGATCCATCTCCACCTTCCTCCTACCCACGCCATTCTCCGCCCATGAAGATAGACCAGCAGACAACAATGACACTGGCACAGCGCAAGAGCCTCTGCTGGTCACCGCGACAGCCTCGCTATCACTTCCTGCAGCTGCAGTCAGAGAAGTCACTGCAAAACCATACCAGTCGGTGCAGTCGCAGCCATTGAGGGACTGGGCAACAAAATCGTTCTGCGACATGCCGTTTTTGGTGAGCCGGACTGCTGCACTTACCAGCCATCCTGTGAGCCAGGAAGATCTGGAAAGCGACAAATTTCAGACGCCGAGGGGGTTTGGTGGGCGACAGATGGGAGATCATGTCGAGAAGTGATACGTTCTGCACTATCCCTCGCTATGCTTGGGGATTTTGATGCAACAAAGGAGAAGAAGTGAATTGTTATAGTTAAAGGCAGTAGTAGATATACGCAAAGCCCAAGTAATCATCTTCACGCAGCCGTAGATATCATGCACCAGCAGCCCCGTCAGCCCCCAAATGCCCATGATTCCGCCCAACGCCGACGCCATGCAACACTCTCAGACCTTCAACCACAAGTTCAGCACGCCCTTGGCGTACTCGACGATCTCATCTCCACCGAGCTTGCTCTCGCCGTACAGACGGTCGACGAACGAGATGGGCACTTCGGCAACCGTGCAACCCATGGCCTTTGCCCGCACCATCATCTCCATCTGGAACGTGTACCCCTTGCTCTCCGTGCTGCGGATGACCTTCTGCAGCACCTCTCTCTTGTACAACCGGAAAGATCCCGTGAGATCGCTGACGCCCGGCCTGAGCACCGTATCCGCAAACAAGTTCGCGCCGCGGGACACGAACTTGCGCTTGAGGTCCCAGCCGTAAACACCGCCATCGCCGGCGTAGCGGGTGCCGGTGACGATGTCGTAGTTCTTGGTCTTCTGCAGCGCGATCATGCGCGGGATGAACTTGGGGTGGTGCGAGAAGTCGGCGTCCATGATGATGACGAAATTACCGCTCGCGAACTGCAGGCCATGCACGTATGCAGTCCCCAGCCCCAGTTTCCCTGCGCGGGCGCGGATCTGGATGTGCTTCTCCGTGTACACTTTCTGGAGCTGGGCGGCGACTTCTTGCGTTCCGTCGGGCGAGCCGTCGTCCACGATGATGAGCTCCCAGTCAAGGTTGCTGTCGCGAGGTGTCAGTCGTGTTCATGAACGGGTGCGATTGTGAGAGAGGGGTGCAGGGATTCGCACTTCTCCGTGAACGTCTTGTGCAGCAGCCATGCTATTATGGGCAGGTTGCGGCGTTCATTGTATGTGGGGAGAAGGACAGAGTATTTGTCCTTCTTCTGCGCGATTGGGGCCATGGTTGCGGTGGACAATTGGTGAGAGAGCGACAACAGTTGGTGGTAAGGTGCTGCGTGGTAACTTCCAGGACGTGGAGGTGTTCGCAGCTCCTGCGCTACCGGTAGCGCCAATCAGCTACCGTACTGCCCCTTTCGCGCCCTTCTGATCGAGACTATTTGAACGACACCATGTTCCCGACACGAGTGCAGTGTGCGAAGAAGAATTTGTTGCTGTGCTTTGATGCATTTGGGACGCTGTTCCGGCCTAATGTTCCTATTCCACGAGCGTATGCTGAGGCTGCCATCAGACACGGTGTGAAGTGCAATGGCAACGACCCCGCTGTAAATGTTAACAGAGAGTTCAAGAGAGCATTCAGGGAAGTATCGAAAACCCATCCAAATTATGGAAAAGCGACAGGTCTCGGAGCTGAAAAGTGGTGGCGAACTGTAAGTTGATGCATGTCCTCCACCTCAGCGACGTCCTTGAACTCCAACTAACAGCATCCAGATGATCAACAGCACGTTCGAGAAATGGCTAGAACCAGGCCAAGATGTCCCACAGCCCCTGGTAGATGAGCTATTGCGTCGCTACTCGACCAAAGAAGGCTACGACATCTTCCCAGACGTCTTGCCCTTCTTCCAAATGCTACGCACCAAATCATCGACCGAGGGTACTAAGCCCTGGCCTTGGAAGGAGACAGTAGTCGGCATCATCACCAACTCCGACGACCGAGTGCCTGGCATTTTGGAGTCTTTCGGTCTCAAAGTTGGTCCAAGGCGAGTTGGAACTCCAGACGAGCGCACGGCTGACGTTGCATCGGAAGATGACATCAGTTTCGTGGTGCTCAGCTACGATGTTGGTGTCGAGAAGCCGCAGCGCGAGATGTTCGATGCGGCTATCAAGTCATTCGAAGAAACCCTGGCCAGTAGACGCGACGAATCGGACGTTCAAAGCTGGGAAAAGATGTATGTCGGCGATTCACTCGAGCATGATGTCGTCGGGGCGAGCAAAGCAGGTTGGAAAGCGCTGAGATTGGACCGGGAGGAGCAGTTTCGGGACTCCTTCAAAAGCAAGGGCAAAGACCTCATCCAGGCAACTGTTCAGATAGGAGACGGATCGCATTACCTCAAGGTGAGTACGATCAAGAATCTTGGGGCTCTTAGCACGATATATCCGGCAAGCGGATGGCTAGGAAAAGACTCTCTAGAGGCCAGTGGTTTTGAGAGTGAGAAGACGGCCTGAGCAGTCTCGATAAAGACGGACATAAGAATATGCCAAACATAATCGTTCGCTCCTCGAGTAGGCGACTCACTCCCCCTTCAAATCGGCATTGACTAATCTGCCGGCCGCCTCAGTTCGAGAATGTCTGACAGCTTTACTGTGCCCTTCCCACCCCAGCCAGCTTGTCCAGAAGCAACTTCCGGACGGACACGCACGTACCAACCCCAAGCTCTCCGATCGAGGTCCTCTGTGCTCAGGACCTGAGCCCACGATTGGTACAAGAGTTCGAGCGCGCCCAGTAGCATCCCAAGGTTCCGCTTTTTCTCCGCTGTCAATGAAGCAGCGGTACGCTTCACAAGAGCAGCTTCTGCGTCTGTGGAAGCGGCCTTGGGTGTTTCGAATGACTTGAGCAGGTACGCTCGTGCACCCTGAGCGGTGTGTATAGGTAGTTGGCTTGAGCCTTTGTGTGTATTCGGCCCGCTGTTCGCTCTCTTGAGGGCCTCTAGGTCGATGCCCCACAGCGCGGGCTCGTTCGCTTTGGGTTGCTCGTTGTCACCCACCAGAGTGCCTTGCGTCGAGGCTTCTTCTTTCACGATGCCTTGCGCCGACTCTTCTTTCTTGACATTCGCTGGTGATGGTGGAACCTCCCATTCGTAGCCCCAGCGCTTCATCACTCGAACTTCTCTGTTCATAATTCGGATGATGGGTTGCCCTTCTCCCCAACCCTCGTCTTCTGCAGTCTTGCCACTATCGATGCCAATATGGACTGCCTTAGTCTTACTATTCATACTTACGACAGCTTGTGCGAGGCTAAGTCTGCTTGACAGCGGCTGTTCAGGCATAGTGAATTTCAAAAGCGCCACCGTGAATGCCAGGACTAGTGGTGCTCGGTTGGTAAAGATGACTTTCGACTTCAGAGCATCTTCACTATGGATCGCTTCTGGAAGCGCTAGAGAAGCCTCGATCTCGGAGGGACTCAAGGGCTGTCCGTACAATGGCTTGATCTTCTTGACCGATTGAGCAGGCGCTGACGCTGGACCAGAAGCGTCACTTATCGATCGCTTCTTTGATACCCGTTTGGAGGCATTCAAGACCTGTCGAGCAATCTTCTCGTCCTCGAAGATAGTTCTGATGGCTTCAATGTTTGATTTGGCGATGGCCTCAGCTGTACACGCCTCGTCAGACCCAACTCGTCGCGCTTTTACGCTCTCACGTGCTTACGCGTAACAAGTTTCGCAGCCTGGAGATCCTTGACTTTCCCTAAAGCCTGAGCGAGCGGCAACTTTGCGTCTTGTGACAGAAATCTTAGCAGAGACTGGACCTCCTGTGCAGAAGACATGCTGTGGCTTGGGCGCAGTCAAGGTTGTCGTCGAATTCGGTGTGTAAGACATGACGACGTTGGAGGCAGGTACGGCGCGCTAATGATCAACGCTAGCGATGCCCCAGCTTGCTGGTCAGCGCAACGTTCGCATGCTCCGCCACGGCTCACAGCTCACACCTCCAACATGGCGTTTAAGTTCTCCTTGGGTGCGGCTAAGGCCAACAAGGCCCAATTGAACGCGAAGGCCAAGGAAGAAGAGGAGGAAAAGGCGCGCGAGGAGAAAAATGCATTGGACAAGGTCATGGCCGAGTTCGAGGAGGAGCATGGCGCCGGCAGCAAGGTCCTTGGTGAGCCAGAGCGCCACGAAGAGGAGAAAGTCTTTGTTCCTACAGGAAACAAAAGGCATTTCACAGGGAGACAACGCAACATGAAGAGCGGACCCGGAACCCTCGAAGCCGACCCTCTCGACGAATTCAGAAGCGCAGGCCCCGGACGTCTGAACGCCCCCACGCAACCACGATTTGGCGGTGCACCTCCTACAGGTCCAGGCAGCCTCAATGGCGCTAAGCAGAAGGAGAATCTCTACACGACGGTCGTAGCGAAGGCGTCAAACCTTCCTCCAGCAATGGATTCGAAACGAGTGGAGGAGCTGTTCGCAGAATTCCCGTCGCTGAAGGTGACCAAGGTCGAGAAGATCCCTCCACATGGACCGGCTACAAAAGGGCGACCGAGCGCGGCGATGAAGGTTACTTTTGACAAGGACGCGAACGCCCGCGATCTCGACGATGCTATGAACAGGCTGAATGACAAGAAATACCTGGGAAGAGGATACTACTTGCATTTGGACCGGTATCTTGGTGGGCGCGTAGTGGGCACGGAACAGCGCACAGAGCCATTTGGCGCTCGATGGCAGGCGCCCGAGGTAGCCAAAGGGTATGCTCCTCCACCAGACCTCGGAGGTGGAGCCAGGGACAGAGACCGTCCTCGAGGGGACACTGAACGCCTGGTAATTACCGCCAATCAGCCGCCCGACATGGCAACACTGCGCCTCGTGCATATGACCATTGAAGGCGTCATCAATGGCGGTGTAGAGTTTGAAGCTGGTCTGATGAACGACCCGCAAGTCCAAGAGGAAGAACGCTTTGCCTGGCTGTTCGATCAGAAGCACCCTGTGAACCGATATTACAGATGGAGGATGCACCAGATTGTATGCGACACACCGAACTCTGAAATCTTTGCTCGTCAAGGCATGTGGCAAGGACCAACAGATCCGCTTGCGGACGAGTTCGCCAATCATCTGGGGGCATTCGATGCCGAACACGAAGAGTCTGACGATGATGAAGATGAGGAGAAGCCCCAGCAAAGACAACTGCCTGTGGGCGACAACTACCCCGGGCGCGTTGACAATGGCCACGGCATCATGAGCCCTCGATCGAGGGCAATGTTCCTCTGGCTCCTCACCTCGTTACCGCCTGGGAGCATTCTTGCAGACGACATAGCCGCCATCTCTGTGTTTGCTGTCGAACATGCGTCTCAAGGGATGGACGAAGTCATCCACATACTCATCTCGAACCTGATCGAGCCCTTCCAGACGACGGAGACCAACACAAGAAGGCGTCTGGGTGACACGGAAGGCCGAGAAGAGCGCAGACGCGCCGATCTGCGACAGTCTACCGTCAACGCACTCCGCATCATTTCCGACGTGCTGCTGACTACATCGAGAGAGTCTGGGGCATCGTACAAATACCGACTAGCCATCGGCACACAGCTCGTTGAGCGTAAGGCATTTGAGCATCTCCAGAGACTGCCCGCGCAGCTCGAGATGGGTCGCATGACTGAGAAGACGTATCGCGACGAGGTGAACAGCATCCTTACCGTCTGGAAGGACGAGCACCTGTTTGACAAGCCTGCGCTGGAGCACCTGGACGAAGCATTCAACGCGCAAGAGAGACAGAAGGAGCAAGCCGAGCAAGAGAGGAAATTAGCAGAGAAGAGGAACCGACGAAAGGCTGCTGTAAAGGCCACTACAAGCACAAGAGTGGACATGGACAACGAGGATGACAAGATGGACATTGATCAAGAGGATGGGGAGGATATCACAGCACTTGATGGATCGAACGATGGTACACCGCAGGCAGTGCCGGATACAGTATTGCCCGCTGGACTGGGGGGGACAGTCGCTGAAGCGGCACCTGCAGTCAATGCAGCCGCGGCAGAGCCTGAGATTCCTGGCGAGACTGCAGCCGCGCGGGCGAGGCGCCTGCGACCGAGGGCGGAAGACATGTTTGCATCTGACGGAGAGTGAATAATGCAGTGTTGACTTGTACATGATACAGCGTTGATTTGTACATGATACCCTAGACTAGACGAGCAAGCGCCGTTCTGTCGATCACAAAGGTTTGCGGCCAGCTTTGCCTGCGACATATGACGGCGACCAGGGAGTTTGTGGTGACTTGTGGTGACCTGTGGTGACCTGTGGTGACTTGTGGTGACTTGTGGTGATTTGTGGTGATTTGTGGTAACTCGTGGTGACTCGTGGTGACTTGTTCGGTGTTTGTTGACATGACGCGGGGCCAGGGGCGACGCACCTTTGTCTTGCTCACGTCGCGAAGGCGCCCGATCAAGTGACCAGCGGCTCGCCTCTCGTGACCTCATGCTCAGTTCGCCAGAGACGACCCTTCACTCTCGCCGAAGCTGTGACTGATAGCGCGCGTCGGCGGCTCGCAGCACGCGGCTCAGTGGACCCTATGTGATTGGCCGTCGTCCCTCTTCTCGCTCCGAGCTCGTCTCGGCCGCCTGCTTCGTTCACCGCAATAAACACAATCACGCAAATCTACCCCACACGGAAATTTCGCCCGCCCGCTGTGCCGCTCCCTCTCCCGGCAGAGGCAGAGCAATATATCTGAGGCGAGCCGCGGCCACGCAGCGACGAGCAGCCCGGCACCACCCCCGCGGCAATCTCCCCGCGCAGGCACCGGGTGACGGCCATCTATAGCCCGCCATGCCCTGCTTCCTGGGGCTCGCGGTGAGCATCCACACGCCCAACGGGCCGCTCTCAGAGCACTCGATACAGAAGCAGAGCAAATTCCACCGCATCACGTCGTACATCCCCGTGCCGCCCGCAAAAGTGCCGCCCGGCGCGACCAAGCCCGAGCAGTCGACCTTTGCCATCTCCATCACGCTGCTCACGCCGGGGCTCCACGTGCCGTACTCGGCGCCGAAGCCTACGCCCGAAGAACCCGCGCCCAGGCCGAAGATTGTGGGCGGCCTGCCCGGCTTCACCAGCGAGCGGGGCAAGTACGGCGCTGCCATCGCTCCCTACAAGCCGCTCACCACCTCGCCGAACGAGACGATCGCCGCCTACATCTACTTCGACGGCCGGGCAAAGGAGGAGGTGGCGACGCTGCTACGGCGCGGCGAAGAGACATGGGTCAACTCGCGCTGGGTCAGTGTGCCCGAGTCAGAAGGCGGAGGGCTGGCCGAGCGCGAGTTCTTGTTCCGCGAGGTCGGACTCGAGCGCTGGCTCAACGGGCTCGATCTCGAAGGCTCCGATAAGAACGTGGCGGCCAAGATCGAGCGGAGAAAGCAGCGTCTGGAGAAGAAGCGCAGGAAGAGGAGGGAAGCCCGCGGCAGCAGCGACGAGGACGAGAGCAAGCCAACGCGAAACGGCGTCCTGCGCTATGGCGACGAAAAGGACGCGCCAGTCGAAGCGCTGTCAGGCAACGATGACTTCTTCACATCAGACTCGGACTCGGACGACGAGCCCCCTGTGCCGGAAGCCGCAGGCCAGATCAAGGTCGCCTTGTTCCGCGTGCTGGCCTCTGGCGAGATCAAGCGCGGAGAGTACTCGCCGCAGTTTGACGCACACGACGACGACGACCCGAACGGCGGCGATGGCGAGGACATTGACCACACGACAAGCTTCGCCAAGCCCAAGACGCTGGACCCCAAGTCGATCAGCACGCAGACGGTCACTGGCATCGATCCCCCAGACAAGCCGTATGCCGTCTTCACGTTCTTGTACCGCGGAGAGCGTAAGCACTTTGAATCCTGGGAGACGCTCCGAGCTAACCACGTGCAGGCCAACTGCGGAAGATGGGCATCCTCGAGACGGCCGACAAGAAGACTGTGGCAGCGTCGCCGGCAACTCGACGAAAATCAGGACTGGACTTTGGCAGTCTCCAGCCTCTAGACGCGGCAAAGGGCACAAAGAACTTTGGCGGGTACCGCGACATACAGTCACCAAAGGCCAAGCAGAAGAGCGAAGACGCCATGGACAGCGATGCGGACGACGAGGACGACGAGGGCGAGGCTCGGCGGGATGAAGTGGACGACAGGGAAGTTGCGGCGGACAAGGGCATGCTTTCGCCAGAGGATGCGGCCAAGCAGGGCGAGCTTGCCGAGGGCGTGCGCAAGATCAAGGTCGGTTGTCGCCACGTGGTCAATGGGGTAGCCGACTAACGACGTGACAGCTAAAACGACAGCATTCTGCCGAGCCTCTGGCACGCGCTCCGCCCGCAGGCGAGTCCTCGTCCGGGTCGCCCGTGAGCGGTGCACCAGCGGCAGGCAACTCGGCGGCGGAAGGCTCGTCGTCGGCGACGACTGCGCCGGCCGAGGGCGAGAGCAGCGTGGCTTCACCGTTCAAGAAGCACCGGGCTTCGCTGCCCGGGTTCGACGAGAACGTGCGCAAGAGCCTGGGCCAAGCGCTCATGGGGGCGCAGAAAGAGCGAGGGAACTCGGAGGGCACGATCCCGACGACGACGAGCGAGTCGAGGATGGAAGACGATGAGGAGTTGTGACTTGTGGAGATGCGATTGCAGAGCGTGACTTGTGGAGATGCGATTGCAGAGCGCGTTTGGTTGACAGTCGGCACTTGGCTTTGAGTGTAGCACTATATATTTTGGCACACGGTCGGTCACGCATAGCCCTTGTTCTGTCCCATTTTGGCGACGCACGGCCACGCATAGCCTTTTCTCCGCCGTGTATGCCGTCGACAGGCATGGTTCCTCGGATTATACCACGCGGCGCCACGGGTTCTGGGCCGGCATCTGCTTCGTTGGGCGCTTTGGGGGATTGTCGAGAACTGGGCGGTCTGGGTGGCAGTCGTCGATGACATGCTCTGCCAAGGTAAGGTAGCATCAGAGTAACGGCATCAGAGTGCCGGCACAGAGTACCGGCACAGAGTAACGGCATCAGAGCACTGTAGATCATGTCACTATTCTCGGTCATGAATGTGTCGCTATTCTCGGTCATGAATATGTCGCTATCCTCGGCCATGAATATGTCAGTCACTATCCTCGGTCATGAACATGTCAGTCACTGTCCTCGGTCATGAACATGTCGCTATTCTTCGTGGTAGTGTCACTATTCTTTGTGTCACTATTCTTAGTGTCACTGTTCTTAGTGTCACTATTCTTTGGCATCCATCCATCGACTACAGCTTGAACTCGAGGGCGGACCTCTCCCAGCCAACCGCCCAGCCGTCGTTTCTGCTCGCAAGGTCCTCTGCGACTCTAATCTTCTCATCCCTGTTCCGCTCGGTGCAGAGCTCGAAGACGGTGCTCAGGTTGAAGAGCAGGGAGTGAAAGGGCGGGCTGTGGTGCACGAGGTCCGACAGCAGGTCCCTGGCCTCGGCGATGTGGCCCGTGTACAGCAGACACACGGCCAGGTTCTGGGCGACCATGGCGTCGTGCGGGAACTGCGCGTGCAGAGCGCGGAACGAGGCCGCGGCAGCTGCGTAGTCCGAGTCGGCGAGCTGCACCAGCGCGGCAAGCGCGCCGTCGAGGAGCGCGTCGCTGCCGGCGTCGGCCGCCGCCGCGAGGCAGCGGCGCGCACTCGCCAGGTCGCCGACCCGCAGCCAGACCAGCGCTTCCATGGCCAGCACCTGTCGCGTCTCGGTGGCGTCGGCGTCGGCGTCGGCGTCTGCACCTGCACCTGCACCAATCGCGCACAGGGTGCCGAGATGGCGACCGGCGCCGTCCAGGTCGCCCATCTCGACGAGCGTGTTCGCAACGCGGATGCCGCAGTCCCTCAGCCTGCGCCGCCAGAGCGCCTTGTCGGCCGCGGCGGAGGCGCCGAGGATGCTCTCGCGGCACTCGCGGGCCAGCTCGTAGTGGGCCATGACGCCCTTGCGCCAGTCGCGGTAGCCCAGGGCGGTCAGGCGCGCGGCCAGCAGGCGCAGCGGCCACGGGACGAGATGCACGCCCGTCAGCGGATGGCGGTAGAAGGCGCTGCTCAGGTCGCCCAGCACGGTCGCCTCCTGGGCGGCGAGCGCGTGCTCGCTGATCAGACACAGGCAGGCGAGGCGCACGTGCACGAGGTGGAACAGCGTCGGGTAGTCCGTGGGCGCCGCGGCCGAGACAATGTTGCGGGCGGCGGCGACGGCGGCGAGGCGGTAGTGGCCCGAGGCGAGCAGCGAGTCAATGGGCGCCGCGAGCGAGGGCGCCGTCAGCGCCTGCTGGAAGGGCAGCGGGGCGGAGACGGGCAGCGCGTGGTAGGCCGCGGCATCCTGCAGAAAGGACACGTCGAGCGAGGCGACGAGCGTGCTGGCCGACCTGGGCGCGGCGGTGCTGGCCGCCGTGGGCGCGTCTTGGAGGGGGTCGTTGGGGCTGTTGGGGCCGTTGGGGCCGTCGGGGCCGTCAAGGGCGTCGGGGGCATCAGAGGCGGCGTCGTCGTCGGCGGCGGCGTCAAGCGGGCCTCTTGTCATGCGGCGCGTCAGGGCGACGCGACCCGACGGCGAGCGGCCATGGGCGGTGCTGCGCTGGGGGTTGAGCCCGTTGAGGCTGCTCATGGCTGTCGGCAAGCGTCGTGCTCGTCCAGGCGGCCGCTCCGAAGATCGGTCTCCCCACAGTTGGCGCGCCCGCCGAGCTCGCAGCAAGGGCTGGGCCGGGGCAGCAGCGGCCAATCAGCGCGCACGGCACCCGGCCCTTTTGGCTTTTCGTCGGGGCGATGGGATTATTGACTCTTCGCAGAGCACTTTGCAGAGCATCTCGCAGACAATCCGCTCGCAGGCAGTCCCTCTCTCTGCTCGCAGGCAATTTCTCTCTGCTCGCAGGCAATTTCTCTCTCTGCTCGCAGGCAGTTTCTCTCTCCGCTCGCAGGCCACTTGTCTCTCCGCTCGCAGGCCACTCGTCTCTCCGCTGCCCTCCTCGAGCGTCCCCTCGCCCATCGCACCGCCCCGACCAGCGATTGCTCCAGCGCCAGCCCGGCCGCGCCCTCCCCGCCATGCAGCAGTCACGGAGTCGCGCCATCGCCGCGCTCAAGGGCACACGCTCGTTCAGCGCGTCGGCCGCGCGAGCCCAGTCGTCGCCGCTGGCCCGACCCGCCGCGTCGGCCGTCGCGCAGCATGCCAGGCGCCAGAGCACCGCCGCGGCCGCGCCGTCTTCGTCGTCGTCGGCGGCCGCGGCGTCGCCGTCGCGCGCGCGCCCTGCGCCGGCCTTTAACCGCGAGGACTACGGCGCCGTGCAGCCGCTGAAGCCCTACCGCGCGCCCGAGATGGACCACTCGTTTGTCGGCATGACGGGCGGGCAAATCTTCCACGAGATGATGCTGCGTCAGGGCGTCAAGCACATCTTCGGCTACCCCGGCGGCGCGATCCTGCCCGTCTTCGACGCCATCTACCAGTCGCCGCACTTTGACTTTATCCTGCCCCGACACGAGCAGGGCGCCGGCCACATGGCCGAGGGCTACGCCCGCGCCAGCGGCAAGCCGGGCGTCGTGCTCGTCACGTCGGGCCCCGGGGCCACCAACGTCGTGACGCCGATGCAGGACGCGCTCATGGACGGCACCCCGATGGTCGTCTTCTCCGGGCAGGTCGTCACCAACATGATCGGCTCGGACGCCTTCCAGGAGGCCGACACGGTTGGCATCACCCGCGCGTGCACCAAGTGGAACGTCATGGTCAAGAACATTGCCGAGCTGCCCAAGCGCATCAACGAGGCGTTTGAGATTGCCACCAGTGGCCGTCCCGGCCCCGTCCTCGTCGACCTGCCCAAGGACGTGACCGGCGGCACCCTCAACCGCCCCATCCCCATGTCCAGCACCCTCCCGCCCTCGACGAGCGCCGCCACGCTCGCGGCGAGGGAGGTCTCGAAGAAGCAGCTCGACGCCTCGATCCGGAGAGCGGCCGACCTGATCAACATGGCCAAGAAGCCCGTCATCTACGCCGGCCAGGGCGTCCTGCAGACGGCCAACGGGCCCGAGCTTCTCAAGGAGCTCGCGGACAAGGCCAACATACCCGTGACCACGACCCTCCAGGGCCTCGGCGCCTACGACGAGCTCGACTCCAAGTCGCTGCACATGCTGGGCATGCACGGCTCGGCGTATGCCAACATGGCCATGCAGGAGGCCGATCTGATCCTCGCCCTCGGCGCCCGGTTCGACGACCGCATCACCGGCGCGGTGGCCAAGTTCGCGCCGGCCGCCAAGGCTGCCGCCGCAGAGGGCCGCGGTGGCATTGTCCACTTTGAGATTATGCCCAAGAACATCAACAAGGTCATCCAGGCAACCGAGGCTGTCGCGGGCGACGTCGGCTCCAGCCTGACCCAGATGATGCCCCTTGTCGACACGGTCGAGGACAGGCCCGAGTGGTTCGCGCAGATTGCCGACTGGAAGAAGCGCTTCCCCTGGGCCTACGAAAAGGAGGGCGACAACGGCATCATCAAGCCGCAGACGGTCGTCGAGAAGCTGTCTGATCTGACGGCACACATCAAGGACAAGACCATCATCACGACCGGTGTCGGACAGCATCAGATGTGGGCTGCCCAGCACTTCCGGTGGACACACCCGCGCACCATGATCACGTCTGGCGGCCTTGGCACCATGGGCTACGGCCTGCCCGCCGCCATCGGCGCCAAGGTCGCGCGCCCCGACTGCCTCGTCATCGACATTGACGGCGACTCGTCCTTTTCCATGACGCTGACGGAGCTGTCGACCGCCGCCGAGTTCAACATTGGCTGCAAGGTCATCATCCTGAACAACGACGAGCAGGGCATGGTCACCCAGTGGCAGACGCTCTTCTTCGAGGACCGCTTCTCGCACACGCACCAGAAGAACGCCGACTTTGTCAAGCTCGGCGACGCAATGGGCGTCCAGGCCAGGCGCTGCGTGAAGCTCGAGGACCTCGAGGGCAGCCTCAAGTGGCTCATCGAGTCGGACGGCCCCGCCCTCCTCGAGGTTGTTGTTGACCAAAAGGTGCCCGTCCTGCCCATGGTGCCCACAGGCAGCGCCCTGCACGAGTTTCTCGTCTACGACGAAGGTACGTTGCCCCTCCTGACACACGGCAGACGCAGACACGGCAGACGACAGACAGACACGACAGACGACAGACACGGACACGACAGACACAGACACAGACAAACACAGACACGACAGACACAGACACAGACACGACAGACACAAAAGACACATGCTGACGAACCCCACAGAGACGCAAAAGAAGCGCAGAGCGCAGACCAAGGACAGATCGGGTCGCTAGGCTAGTTTTTTTTTTCCTCATGTCACCTGTACATTGCGGTTGTGTATATTCTTGGGTCTGGGCCGGCGTTCTATTCCAGTTGTAAAGTCGGCATCGGTGGAGCGCTCTTTTGGAATGTTGCCAGTGCGAAAAGTATCAAGTCGGCGGCGGTCAGCGCTCTCTTCGAACGTTGCCAGTGCGAAAAGTACCATCAGTCTACGTATGCGCGGATCATAAATCTCCAAATGATATACCACGCAACACCCCCTACGCAACACGACACAGCTTGCCGTTCTCGTTTGGCAGCCCGTCCACGCTCTCCACACGCCACCTCTCGCTCCCCACCCCCGTCGTCGCGAAAAACACATCCCCCGGGTCCAACGCGCTCTTCAACTCCAACAGCCGCCCGTACTTGGCGCCCCAAAACGCCTGCCCAAAGTCCGGCTCCAGCCGATCCGCCTCGGCGAGGTAGCTCCCCGCGCCGGGCGAAATGTCGCGCCAGCTCTGCATGTCGACGCGCTGGAAGTCGTTTCTGATCTTCAGCACCTCGGCGCTGGTGCTGTTGAGCCCCCAGCGCACCGACTGCATCGAAAAGGACACCAGCGGCCGCCACGCCGGGTTGACGGCGTTGTCCGCGCTCGACTTGCACTGCATGTTGAAGTGCACCTGCACGTGGCCTTTCTCGCTCGACGCCCGCAGCTGCTCGAACAGCTGCTGCCGCTTCTCTGCCGACGCAAAGTTGGCCCGCGGGAACAGCCGCGAGCCTGTCGCCACGTTGGCCTTTTGCACCGATTCCAGCGGGAACGAGGACCGCCAGGCCGCGTAGAAGCTGTCAAAGTGCGTCAGGTTGGGCGCGTAGGTGATGTTCAGGCCGTCGAGCTGCGTGAACCACGGTTGCAGCAGCGCCGTGGCTTCGGCGAGCGTCTTGTTGGGCGCGAGGAACGGCGAGAACTGGAACGTAAAGGACCCGTTGGACGGGATCACCATCCAGTACGTGTACGTCCCCGCGTCGGCGTTTTGCACGTTGATGTCGAGGTACGCGCGGACTGCGGACCAGAAGGTGTCGTTGCTGGTCTGCTTGGAGGAGAAGCTGAAGCGCGAGGCCGTGACGGGCATGTCCGGGTGCGCTCTGACGGTCACAGACGTCGCGACGCCAAAGGTGCTGCCGCCTCCGCCGCGGAGCGCCCAGAAGAGGTCCGTGTGCGACGTCGAGTTTGCAACCACGAATTCGCCATTGGCAGTGACGACTTCAAAGGCGAGCACGTTGTCTGCACCCGTGCCGTAGAGGCCGGTCAGCGGCGAGTGCCCGCCTCCTTGGATGTAGCCTCCCATGACGCCGACCGTCTCGCCCTCTCCACCAACGACGACCCGGCCTTTTTCATCTGCAGCCTTGTAAATCTCAAACGCCTGGACACCGGTGCCGGCCTTGAAAGCGGGACCGGTGTACCCAAGTTCCTCATCCGCATACTCCTCAATGTACTCAATGTCTTTCATGTAGTGCGTCCAGATACTCAACGCGTCCTTGCCGCCGCTCTTACCGAGGAAGTCATGGCCAGTGTTCTTGACAATGAGTCGGACACCCGAGTTCCTGGCAAAGTTGACGGCGAGCTGGACGTGCTTCGGCTCGGTCGCGTTCACGACGTACGCAGGGAACCCGCCGCGGGTGCAGTTGTGGCTGTCGAAGATGACTGGCGGCGTGCACGTCATGCCCTGCGCGACTGGAGACATCATCTCAATCGGGTCGTGCATGTGCGTGTACGACTGAGTCCATGTTGCCGAGTAGGTCGCGCACTGCTCGGCATCGTAGGCTGCATGGGCTGGGTAGCAGACAGCGGCGAGCGGCGTCGGTCGTGAGAGGAGACGGTTGCCAGTCAGCTCGTTCAGCTGCGACCATGCTTCGTCCGACGGCCACGCTGCGTCTCCCGGGTAGACCTTACAACGCGTCTCGTTCTGGGGAGCAGTGGTGCTGGAGCCCGGGAGAAAGAGGTGCTTGGCGGATAAAGTGACGCCCTCGAGATCGGCTTCCACAAGGACATTGAGATCCCGGCGAGCCAGTGGAGAAGCGGTGGTTGTCGCGGCCAAGAGAGCTGTCAGCCAGGTGGTAGATGGCGCCATAGTGGTGTCCCGTCTTGGTCGAGATCAACAAGTCTGTGGTGCTCGTTCGTCAATCTCACGGTCAATCGCAAGTAGCTGAACTATCACGGTCAATCGCAGGTAGCTGAACTATCACGGTCAATCGCAGGTAGCTGAACTATCACGGTCGATCGCAGGTAGCTGAACTATCACGGTCAATCGCAAGTAGTTGAACTATCACGGTCGATCGCAGGTAGCTGAACTATCACCTCTTACCAGCGCGACGGCTCCGGGTTTCCAGGACCGCTCATCGTTCTGCTCGCTCATTTAAGGGGCACTGATGGCAGATTGCTGCACAAAGGGCCCACTCTCGGCACGTCGTAGACCGATTCGAGGACCTGCATGTCGCTCCCTCTAACAGACCATCTCAACGAACGCGAGTAAGCTCGAATTGGAGCTCCAATTCGGGCCCATGAAGGTGTATCGCCAAGACATGCCAGTGCACGGCAGATGTTCCCCGCGGGCGGGATGGTCACGCAACGGGACAGGAGTCGTCACGCAACGGGACAAGAGTCGTCACGCAACGGGACAAGAGTCGTCGGGATGGCGGTTCCTCGACTCGTGCGTTCGTGATCATCGTCCTTCTGGCCAGTGAATTGTGCAGGAACAAATACTCCGAAAGTGGCAAGGTATGTCGATCCACACGCCGAACAGGGTTGGGCCGCTGCAGAACGTGTAGCTGAACACTAGGTACCTATTGGGTACTGGGCATTACATCTTATCTCGGCACTGGTGAATACACGACGATAGACATTGATGGGTGCAAGGAGGAAGCTTTCGTACCTGCAAGCAATCGCTTGCCATGTGCCTGCCGAAATTCACCCAGCGGCCCGTACCTCGACCGAACTCAATTACCACCAGTCTCAAGCCCTGAAGCCTTGGGCACCATCAACCAGGTAGTGCCAAACTTAGATGAAAAATCAGCTGCGCGATCAGATGGTGACAGGATTTTGTTTACCGCTTTGACCCTTTCGCGACACGGCTCGGCCCTACCAGGGTAACCCTGGGCCGTCTCGCCCTCTTCTGACAGGTCAGCTAGGCATGGCGGTTCACGATCAACACTCGCACTGCCTCAACAGCCCTCAGCAGCCTCAATCGTGACCAAAGCGTTGCTCATATCCCTGAAGGGTATGTATCGAGAGGGTGGGGCTCCCGCAAATGGCCGCGCCGCGACCAGAACATGCGCCGCATGCCTAGATTCGTGTGGTATTTCTCCGCCTGTTGCTACCATGGCATGGCCCATCGGCGAGTAGGTGCTCGCATAGAAGGTCCTCACAGTCAATTGAGGCGGAAGAACGGAGGAGATAGAGGTAAGAAGGCACACCTTTCAATCTGAAGACGCCGTCATTAACCTCTCACGTAGCTCACGCAGTAGAGCATCATCACTGTACAGCCTCACTTCAGGAGTATAAACCGGTTCCCCGTCAGTTCCGTTAGGCAAGTGGAACGAGTTGCGCCCACATGTCAGTCACCGTCGAGCTCCGTTGCGTGTCCACCGGCTTTTGAGCACCGGTCCTTCTACAGATCATCACCAGAATGGTCGCAAGCCGTCAACATGAGGCTCTTGCAATGATATGCGCGTTTCCGGTCCTTTCTACCATCTTTGTCATACTGCGAACGTACTCCAGGTACCTAGGTCGCAACTTCGCGTGGGACGACAACCTGATCTTGCTGGCAACGTTGCTATTGCTGGGCCAAACTTTGACTATCTACAAATGTACGCATCTCGTAAGCCTACGGTTCCTTCGTATACTGACACGCACAGATGTCCTAGTGAGCGGCACTGGGTATCATGTCTATGATCTCCCCAAGCGTACTATTGCAGAAAAGATCACCGCGTTGAAGTGGAGTTTTGCGGTGCAGATGTTCTATCATCCATTGATGTGTGCCATCAGAGCAAGCATCATCATGTTCTTGTTCCGGATGAAAGATGAGCGTCGAAGGATACGATACTCCTTACACATCGTCTGTAAGTCTACCGCCAGCTCGCTGCCAAGATAGGCTTTGATACTAACGTCAACTTTCACAGTCTGGCTGAATATTGGCTACACAGTCGCAACTACATTGGGAAACACTCTGCAGTGCAATCCTGTGCAGTACACATGGCTTCGACCTGCGATGGACCAGTATGACGCCGCCGGTCACGTCACAGTCAAAGGTGGGAAATGCATCGACTCTCGGACCTTTGTCCTTGCAAGTTGCGCCCTCAGCATCTTCATGGATCTCATCATCATACCGATTCCCAGCATCATGGTGTGGAACCTGCAGATGAGCGCCAAATCCAAGATGTTGGTCGTCCTCATCATGAGCTTGGGTTGGATGTAAGTATTTCAAGTGCCCTTCCGTATCTGCGCAATACTCACAAGTCTCCAGTGCCACAGGAGTCTCAGTCGGGCGCTTCATCGTCTACTACTACCGTTTTGCGCCTACGAACCTTGACCGTACCTGGAACATTGGCCTGGTCATCTCCGTTGCTGAACCGGCCGTCCACATCATCACTGCATGTGCGCCAGCCACCAAGGGACTCTTCCGCATGCTCTTCCCCTCTTTCAACTCAGACTACGGAACATACAGCGACAGCTACGTTCCATACACTCCATCGAATACGAAGCAGTTCGCGTCCCGTACGACAGCGTCCAAGCAACGGCCATCCATCGGCGGGTTCAACTTTGGACTGTCTTCAAAAGGCATCGAGGAAGGGCAGGACACTGTCATAGCGGAGAGGCCACAGCCAAGCCCCAGAGGTGATGATGTGTATGGTATGAAGCCATTGGGAAGCGTTGACTCTAGGGAGAACATCGGTCATGGCGATTATGAACCGGCACACGAAGCTAGGCCTGACAGGGCCAATACAAAAGACAGCAAGGGAGACAATAGCTATGTTGAGGTCGAGCCCACACATGTCTTGGGCCATGCCAAATAAGCTCTTCCAATTTTCGAGTTCGGACGGTACGGATCTGTTGCATGGTGTCAATAGCGAATGTGTTGTTGTCTTAATGGCTCTATACCAGTTGCCATTTACGTCAAGTCCAATATATTCAACAAGATTTCACAGCTCCTGCCGCCATATGCGCACCAACGAGCTACGCACTACGATACCAATTTTGAAACTTGTCGTGGACTCTGATCCGACATCAAATGATCGTCACCTCTCCGCAGCTTCCTAAAGACCTGCCCCGTTCGACCTCACCCGCGATCGAGGCCCAAGACCAGGTAGGAGCGCGGGTCAGATTTCGGATCTGTTCCCTTCCATATTCTGTGTCCAGACTTCACCGATCTGGTGTGTACGGGAGGACGGCCTTGTAACAGTGGTTGAAACGATGCGAGTTTAACACTGTATTGCTACAAATTGCCTCCTATTTGAAATGGTCTCGCGGCGTCGAGAAAGTAGAATCGTAACTCATCGTCACAGGAAGAATCTGCTTCATTGTGCAGCAGGATCCAAGAAGCCCTCCAGTGTCTCGTAATTGAGCGGTCTGAACAGCTCATTACTGAAATCTGCACCCGAGCTGCCCAACAGTCCTTCAAAGTTCTCAAACGCCGCGTCGAAGTTGAGCCAGTCGGGTGACTGCTCGGCAAAACCGAATGCAGCAGGGATTGGTGCTCGATCTGCACGCTCACTACTCGTGGGATGCTGCCCCGGTGTGAGTGCAGGCATGGGGTTGAGCAGATTTGGCATCGGCGACGGCTGTTGCTGCTGTAACCTTGGATCTATCGAATTGTCCGTATTCTGCAGCGGCCATTGCATGTTCGAAACCGGCATGTGTGGTCCATTGTGGGAAGGTTGCGGCGTTGGCGGTTCCGTCTTCGGCTCATTTGGGCGCAGTTCTGGCGCAGTGGGTGCGGGTGTGTTGACGGCGTTTGTTCTCTGTCCTGCTGCGTTGCTGAGGACAGCGCGACCGATGTCTGCCATCGTTCCTGCAGACCACCATGCGTTCCGCAGTCGATCGAGGAGAAGAACGCACTGCTTTAGCTCCTCCGAGGCACGCTTGATGTGCACCTTAAGACGTCGAGAGCGGAAGTGTCTGTAGACTACACTGAGCGCTACAGACAGCGCGTAGGGTACGAGAGGAAGTGGTGGCAACTGCTCGGGAGATTCGGCAGTGAGCAGATGAATGACACGTGTTGCTGAAAGACTCTGGCGGACGTAGGATGGGGTTGACTTGACAGGCGCGTTGATGGAGAGGGACTTGTGCGAAGCCATGCACATGGTGTGATGGAAGACGGATAGAAGGCCTAGGTTTGTTAGCTTCTACGAGCAAGCGTCTGTGTGCACCAGACTTACTCATGATTGGACCATCGAGCTTGTCTTCGCCGTCACCGACCATCTCCTCGAATCCGAGGAAGTCATCCTCCCAACCCGTCTCGTCTGCAGAGCGACTGCCTGGTCTGTAGTAGTCAATGACCTTGTCGAGCATCTCCGAGATCTGTAGCCAGATACCAAATGGACTTGACCTCTTCTCTGGGTCGGTAGGTAGTTGCCTTAAACTGTTGTCGCGATCGTGCATTAACAAGGGTCTGCCGTTCATGCAAGCGTTGATTTTATCAAGACTCCACAGGCACCAGAACACGTCTTCGAGGTTACCTTGCGACTCTGAGCTTTGGTTTCTCCATTGGTGTCCAAACTGCAAGCCAAATGTATGAGCGTGGTGAATGGCTTGAGCGAGGTGCATCGATGCTTGTTCAGCGCCATCTGGTCCTTCGCAGTGTAGCGATATTAGAGCTAGCACTTGGATAAGCACAACTCTGTTCTTCTCAAGTTTCGCTTCAATGCCGACAATGACGGCCTGATACAACCTCTGGGAGAACTCCCGTGGACTGAGTGGCTGAGTTCCGTTGCCTAAGAGTAGGACTTTCGCAGCGTTTGCGTGCTTAGACGCTACGATGCAGATCGCTTGCATCAGAAGACGAGGTTGTTGCCCTCGCGAGTACTGCTCGTAGAAGAGATCCTTGTCAACAAGTGGAAGGAGTGGGTGGACAGAAGCGAAGTAGATGTCGAGGAGGACATCTTGACTCCTACGTGGCGGGAGAATGTCGACGCCTACTGCATCTAAGTACTGTTGGAGAGCTTTAGAAATCTTCACCTCTGAAGTGTTTGGCGGACCTGTTTCATTGATGTGCACTGAAGCGGACCTTGGCTGAATGGTCGCTGGCCCCTGGTCTCTCTCTTCTACCCATTGGCCAATAGTAGCTATACTCGGTGACTGCGCAGGATCTCGTTTCGAGTGGACTTGTTCTCTTAAGACAGCCTCTGGATTCAAGTAGCCCAAGAAATTGGGTGGGGTTTGTGGTGAGCGTGCGCTCTCAGCTGGACTGTGAGGCGGCGGCATGTTAGAGTGGGGATGAACGTTGGCATGGTTCCTGACGTCCCCACGTGGAAACCTTGGATCGTGAGGGTGATGATGTCCAGCTTGAGCATAGGCATGAGGGTCTGAGGTTGAGTTTCCTGCGTCCCGGTCACCGCTTTGGGTAGGGTTTCCGCCTTCATGGGAATCGCCGCCGTTCTCCTCCTCGTCAAACGTGTGGCTGCATCTCTTCTAACGGAAAATCAGCTAGCTGAGACATGTTCTACGGCTGGCTAGCACTCACTCTGCGTTTCTTGCAGGATTCACAGGCGCGATGGACTCCTAGGCGCACGTTAGCTGTCTGTCCCATGTAGCGCACTGACATCAACGCACGCTTGCGCTTTCGGAAGAACTCGTTATTCGCCGCAAAGGTGATCATCGTAGACATGTTGACGTGTAGCGACGCGTCCGCGATGTTTGCTACGCGTGAAGATGTTCCCGCAAGGCTCCAACGAAGACTTGATGTCTTCAGGTCACGAGCCGCGGCGCCGAATTGATGACTTTCAACCGGAGTTTCTCACCCGTGCCCGTCGCCTCCGCACCTTGTCCACACGTGTGATTGGCCAAGATGACGTGCAGCAACGGGCATGCAACCTCTCTCACCATCCCCGACCGCATGTAGTGGCACGATGATGCGTTGTTGCCAGAGCTCTCCACGGCAGGAGCATGACGGCGCCGTCCCTCCCTATTGACATCTGGCTGATCATCTTCGAGTACATAGACGCTGCCTACGACGTTCTCGACGACACCGACGCAGACTCCCTTACCGTACTCTGGTGCTTTATTCGCAACGTCGCGCCTCATCTTCGCGACTGCATCGACGAGTACTTTTGCCATGGCGTACTGCAGAACATGCTCGTCAACTTGAGCTACAGCAACATCAACCGCCATGGTGGGCCCGCCTTCGCCCACCTCCACGTACCCATGAGGTTCTCCCATCTCTCATCAGATGGCAAAAGAGCAGTCTTCAGGTAGTATACATACCGCAGCATCGACATGAGGCACATGCATACAGGCTCTGTCCGTGGCTGGGTGCCCTCCGCCGAGCGATAATACGCTGAAACGCGCAAGCCTAAGCCCCGGGTCGTGCACAGAGGGGTGGCAGCGGCGCGCACAGGTCCTCCAGCTTGGGAGAAAGAGCATTTGAACCTTCGCGGCACACTCTCAGAAGGAGATAGAATGGACTACCTAGCCGCTCTGCGAGACCATACCGGCATCGGCAGCGGCTACCGACCGCCCTTGTACCTCAAGCTGCGTGAAGCAGCCAACGACACCGAGCTCGTTGATCTAGTCGTCGACATCGAAGCACGCGAGCTCTCGTTCGACTGGCGCCGCACACCTGCCTGTTCTTTGTTGAACAGCGCTTCATAATACTTGCCGAGAGAGGCACCGGCAAACGAACTGTCCATGACGCAGATCTGGTGGCTGCGATGGCCAGGACAACAGCCATGACCAATGGTGTGCACATGCAGGACTGTTGGAACAGCGACAACAGGCGCGCCAGACGTAAAAGGCTGCAGTCTTGGGTACATGAGAACGAGCACCGTATGGCCCCTGAAGATCGCGTGAAAGCTGAGGATCATGTCGAATATACCAGAGACCGGATAAGGCGTAGACTGCGGCCTGAGAAACTGCGTGAGCTTGAGCTTCCCGATGTCACGCAGGGGTTGGAAGAGACTATTCCTCGGGCATGCGCTGAAGATTTGCCATGCCTGCTGCAGTGGCCATGGCTTAACGAAGACACGCACATAGCTCCCAGAAAGCCTGTGCAGCTAAAGTGCGGCTCGAAGGGATGTTTGATCATGTGATTGATATGCATTGATACCCCATGGTAATGCTACGCAAGTCTATACGCTAGCAGACTTTCGGTCATTGATGCTCTGAAGCACCCTCTGATTCATTTTCCTACCCACAAAGCACGAGTGTCCCCTGCAACCCTGCAACCCAGGGACGTTCATCAAGAACTTGACATCTGAGTTCTAACCACTCCAGCGCCCTCGGCCTTCTTCGTAGTCTCCTCCTCCCTCGACCTCGTCCTCACCACCATCAGCGCCTTGCCCAGCAGATTCTGCCCCCAACGATGCCTGTTCGCATCAGCATCCCTGGCTGCAAAACCGATGCCCCAAATGCGGTCCATCGGACTGGCCTCAACGAGCTCCATATCGTCAGTCGCCAGTAACCACTTCATCATATTTGCCGCATCCTGCGAAACCGTGAACTTGTGCACATTACCCTGCATCACGATATCGAACTTGTCTGCCCTTATTAGCTCTCATTTCCTCACTCAAGATCACACAGAACTCACTCTTATCCCACACCTCGTTGTCGAAGTTCTTGACCTTCCGCCCAAGCGCCTTGTGCACCTTTGGATCGCTGGTCTTCAGCATGTCCTTCGCTACCTTCTCGTCCCCAAAGAGCTGCGCCTTCTGCACCATCATCCATATTTCGCAGGTTGTGTACGTGTTTCCGTCCACAGTGAAGGGTGAGGGATACCATTGCCCGAGAAACCCGGTGTCTTCTTCGAAGGGGCGCTAGAAGTAGACTGGTCGCACGGAGGAGACTGGGGCGGTGTTGACTGGCATTGTATATGGCGGTTGCTGATGTCTTCGGGGTCGGTGTGATCCGGCTTATTCATGTGGCTAGTTCTATGGCAGGCGATGACAATTCGGTGTATGGGATGCTGGTGAGGTTGCGCTTTATACTAAATGCGTCTAGTGATGCTTGGTTCTTCAAGGACGAAGGGAGCAATGATTTGTTTTGACTGCAAAAAAGTCAATACACATTAAAATCCAGAGAAGTCATGGTACACGGTTGCTGCCTCGCGCTGGCCAATATGAAGGTGCTGTTTGTGGTGACTGGACGGGCTGGACGGGCTGAACTGTGGATAAGGAGTCACGACGGAGTAGCGCCACCCTTTCACAGACACATGGATGCCGCCCTTGGGCCTTTGAGTCTGGTTGGCAACATCAGAGAACGGAAATTCATAGTAGTATAAAATACCTGACGCTTCGTAGATCTGGGGACAAGGGCATGATCCACTCAAATTCGCCACTTATGCTAAGACGGTTTTTGGGCGCACCCATGCATATGCTTCCAACAAACATTACAATATCAACTTCCACAATCTTCGCCAACGGGTGGCTACACGAAGAAATAATGCCCTAAGAATGAGTGGCTCTGTATTGTAGCATGACACCTCGCTCAGATCATGCCTTCGATGCCCTGCGAAAGTCGCTCCTCCATAGCCTTGACAAGGACTGGCGGCACAGCCTCATCAGTCGCGCGGATAGTGATGCGAAACATCTGCTTCTCGTCAGTATTGCACTCATGTATCGCAACTCAAAGAACATACCTGCGTATCAAAGTTGGGTTCCAGCCTCAGCAGACACCCAAACTTGCCGCCCTCGCTGGTATGCAAGACCGTCGCTCCGACAATGTTCTTTCCATTTGGATCCACGCCCTCAACGATGCCCCATTTGAAGCCTGTGACAACTTTCTTGACGAACGCAAGGTCCATGGTTCGGCTTTTGTTGACTAGGCCAAAGATGCTTTGCGCTTCGCGCGGAGCACCGCCAATCTGCTTCCAGCGCTTGAAGAAATCTTCGGCGCTGAGTTCTGCGCCTTCCATATACTTGTGCAGTAACACGGGCAGTTGCAGTGTGATGCCTTGCATGGCACCGGCAAGCCAGGATACGCGAATTGTCGGGGCATGTATGAAGACATTCTTACAGTCGAACATGATGGTTTGCTGTGTCTGACCCTCGGGCTGTATCACTGTGTCCGGCAAGCCCTTGACGTCCGTTTTCAGCGTCTCTGCAGATCGGTTATCCAGTGTGGTGGTAAAGGAGTTCGTGGGGAACGAAGATCTGTTGGTGAAGTAGAATATCAGGCATCCCAATGAGCCGCGGTACTCTGTCCTCAGACCAACTTGCACTTGCTGATCTTCGTAGAGCACCCCTTCGGACCGAAGCAGTAAGCGATTGTAGCCAATTTCCCAGTCCGGACTTAGATGAGCGGCGCTGGCGAAATTCGGTCCGCTCAGCACCTTGTTTGTGTCAACGTTCAGGTCAAGGCCGGCAAGATCACTTGACAGAGAAGCTCCACCGTTGGTCCCATTGAATACAGCTGCCTTCTGCTCACCCTGCACTGGCATTGTCTGGGCTCTCTTGAAACCAGCTGTTGAGTTCTGTCGCGCAAGGCCAATCTCTCCTTGGTTGGCATCTTTGCCTCCAACGACCCAAGTTCGCTTGTCGCTCGTTGTTGAATGTTTCTGGTGTAATCTCGAAAGCAGCGCTGATGTTCTCTCAGGGTATGGTGGCATTTCATCGCAGACCGTTCGCAGCAGATCGTCCGTGGGCATTGTGGCGAGAGCAAGGTACTCGCATGCTCTTTGTTGAAGCTCAGAATCTAGCGAGTGTGTATAGGCGCGGAATGCTTGTAGAAGTTGAGGCTTGATCTCGGGGAACAAGTTCACGAACTTGACATAGCAAGATAACAAGATAGCCCGTGTACTAGACGAGCAACCTCGCATCTTTGCGCTCATCGCCATGAATTGCTCAATTGGACTGCAGCCTTTGCTGTCAGCAATCAAGTGGCCGAACTCGCCGAGGATGTAGCCTCCAATCTTGACGAGCGTTTCGTGACAGTCGGCTTTGACGTAGGCCAGGATGGTTTGAGCTGCATATACCTGCAGCTCCTCGTTATTGGTCACAATCTGGATGACTCGCTGCCAGACCTCATCACTAACGTGATCTCCGGCCATTGCGATCAAGCGCAGTGTGATGTCCACATACCACTGCACGTCTGTGGCATACTTCTCCGTTAAAATTGCAATCTTGAGAACCATCTCTTCTCGTATCGCGTAGTCGGCAGACTGAAGGTAACGCAACAGCTCGCCCACAATGGCCTGCGCATTTGTCTGGTCGCACATACTGTAGAGGAGATCCAAGCCTTGTCTTCGCACACTGATGTCCCTATCTCTCAGCGACCCAATGATGATAGCCTGGTGTTTCTTGATGGGATCCAGTGTTTCTCCACGGGCTGCCAGATGTGTCATAGCTTCCAGGCCTAAGTATCGTACATTTGTCTCGCGAGACGCAATGAATTTGCCCAAGCGAGTAGATATTGTCACCATCAGATCCGGCTCGGTGTCCAGATGGATGACTAGATTGATCGCCTCGAATAGAACAGCGTTCTGTGCATTGTTCTGTTGCACGTTCTTTGGCATCTCCAGCGCAGAGTCCATGATCTTTCGTAGTGCTTCGCGAACCAGGTTCCGGACGTGTGTATCCTCAGGAGGTGGGTAGTATTGGAGGAGTTTGAGCAGCTTGACGAGTATCCAGGGACATGGAACCTTGTAGTAGTAGTATCCTTCAGCGCATTCGTTGTCCACAACTATCCTCTTGAGTCTGTTTGCAGCCTTCACGTAGCTTCCCTTGTATTGGTCTGCGTTGTCCTGAACCAAGGCGGTGATCAGAGAAGTAACAGAGAGCGCTACGCCCATGTCGGGGTCGTCCATCAACGATATCATGCGCTCGGCCCATTCATTCTGGACAATCCCGGGGTATTTACGATATAGACGGAGGAGAGTCAGAGCGGCCTTCTTCTTGACGAATGCTTTCGATGCTGGCGAGATCAAAAGCCGGTGGACCTCACCGCTCAGTGCTTCACCTAGCTCCTTGCCTCCCACATTCGCAATAGCGTGTAGCGCCAGGCAGTTGTTGAGCTCGTTGTGGTCCATGAGATCCTTCCTGATACTGTTGACGACCAGATGTATCAGCTCGTGCTGCTCATGGAGGAAAAGTGTTACTGCAAGGTATCCAATCTGCTTCTCTGAGTACTTGGTGGCCGAGATGAGGTTGACCGCTTCGAGATGCCCAAAGTCGACGTTCCAGCCCAGGATATAGATGTACAGAAGCTTGCAAACATATTTCTTCTTCTGGTAGCCGTTCAGAGCACCATCTCTGAACTTTTGTCTGCCATGTCGCGTCAGCGGTTGTCGATTCCTCCTGTCCGACAGGGTGCACCCACCGAATGTTCGCCAATTCTTTGTTGATTCGCTTCTCCTCCAATTCTCTCGCTCGAGCATTACGCAAGTCCGCAATGAAGGAGACCAGCCCACGCATGGTGGGGACATCGCCAGAAGTGTTGCTGCTCCTGCTGAACAGTCCTCCTTTGCCCGCCGCTGCCATCTTCGCTGACACAGACATTGTGAAGATCGTTTGCGGGCTCTAGCCGCTGAGAGGGCGTCCAGAAGAACGGGAAGATCTGTGATTCTGCGTCGTCGATGTGGACTACGAGAGTACGGCGTGCGGTTCCAAGTAGGGGTTACGCAGCCGAGCGGGACGATGGGGAATACGAGAGATGCGCAATCGCAGAGAGGGTCGGAGGGAACGGATAGCGAATACGGTTCATGGAGTCTAGAGCGAGAGAGGATTATGGCTGGTAGGAAGGCACGAACAGTGCATGCTGCAGGTGGCCGCTCGTGCAGCAAGATGCAAGATGCGCGCAATGCGGCGGTGGTGGAGTTCGTTCGCGCGGCAGTGTTTAGCGTCCGAGACCCTGCCCAGATTGACGGCCTCCAACAGCCAACCACGCTACAGTACAGTACTACAATGCGCCAGAATATCCCAAGCAAGCAATGCACGCCATCATAGGAGCTGCTGGAGACAGTGAAACACCTAGGGCGCTGCATATCCTATGTCTCTTCTATTGGCGCTGCAGTTGAGCAAATAGACAGATCAACTCCAAACGCATCGTGTCAGCCAATATGTCCAGTGCTCTGAAGGTCGCATCGTCACTTTGAAAGGCCATTGAGGCTTGACCTGACGTTTACAAGACACAGACGAAGCTCGAACACATGCACGGCACAGAACATAGACGAGAGGCCGGCAGTCCTCGCAATGAATGTGGATCCATAGTATAGCCACGTGTCATTGTCTTTAAAATGTTCTGAATTGTATCTGGATATAGACTGCTCGATGGCAGGTAATTGTTCGTGAAAGACCCCTCAACGCCGTAATGCCGCCCAGTACCTTAAGCCGCGCCTCAATATGAGAGCCTCCTCGTAAATGCCATCTTCCTCTCTACGCAACTATCCTACGCTGAAAGCACATGGACAAACTGCTTATTTCTTGGTGGTGAAGTCGGTCTCGAGGTTGCTCGAGCCGTTGTTCTCGGAACGTCCGCATGTGCAGGCATCTACAACATCGTTAGTCCAAAGCACCATACTCAGTGTTGATACCACATACCCTCAGCCCTCTTTCCGCACGCGCAGGTACTGGTGGGCATCTTGTTCTCGTCGGCCGCCTTAGCGCAGTCTGCACGCGAAATGTTAGCAACAGTCACGTGAGTTGCGCAGCTGAAAGCAGTAATTACACGAAGGATGCGGGTGGAGGAAGAGAGGCATACTGCACTGAAGAGCAGGCTGCTTGCCGCACGAGCAGGTTGCCTCCTTGGCGCACACGCACTCGCCGTTGTTACGTCCGCAGCAGGCCATTGTTGGTGTTGTGGTTGATGGTGTAGATCTAAGGATCGATTGTTTGAAATTTGACTCCAAAGGAGGGAGTTTTGATGTTGAAGTGATTGAGTTTCTTGTTGGATAATGGTGATATGAGAGCAGATGATGCCTTCTTTATAGCTTCTCTCACTTACAGCTTGATGATTCCTGGACCCTTCGACACCGACGCTGTGACCTGATGTTGCTCAATTGGACCAATCACAGCGCGCTTGATTACCACCCGCGTCACACTTTCTGTACAAAGCGGAGGCTGAGGTTGCCGCTTGCTTATTCACTTCGAATCAAAACGGTTCTCATTTGCCGGCTGTGGAACGCGCATCGTGTGTTGTTGCAAATGATTCTTGTGGTTGGTTATGTAATAGCAATTGATCCACACCTGCGCCGGATGGTGAGGTCGTGGCGTGTTGTAATCACGACTCCCGACGACTCAACCTTGTACACAAATGCGTGCCACGATATCGGTCGATGTATGAGCTACTGAACCATCATTCGGCCGAGCTCTTCTTGTAAATTCTTGACTTTCACTCTGAGCGGCGAGTCGGCATCCGCGTCCTAGACTGTCAGCAAGTATTCACGGTTGATTCTCGTAGGAGCTTACCCAGTTGTTCTGCATCGCTTGCAGAAGAACGACTGCGTTCTGATAGTCTCGTCCCGAAGAAGACACAACCTGCTGTCCAGCTCCACCATCTTTGCCTTCAGCGAACTCCCTAATGGCGTCCAGCAACCCGTCGTCTTCGCTGACCTCATCCAGCACCAGCTTTGCCCCATTTGGTGTTTGCGCTATCAGTCCTAGGCCTAGCAGGCCTTCGGATCTAGCATCAGCGTAGAATCTTTGGCGCACGAGCTTAGCCAGAGGTCGGGCGATCAGAGGCACATCTAGCATCTGCTCTCTAATAGCATCGACATTGTCTTCGGCGCTTGGCCTTCCGAGGAATCGCAAGATCGTGACGATAGAACGGCTGAGCTCGATTGTTGGGTTCTTCATTGCAGTGCTAGGCAGTGGTCCTGCAGGCACAAGTGCCTGGTCAACAATCTGATGGAGGATCGTCGATTCGGAAGAGGCCTCTACACCTACGATCGGGTGCGCGTCCGGAATGACAGTCTCACCGACCTTTTCGCAGACGACCTTGATGATGTTGTGCAGATTGCTTGTAACGAGCTTTCCAATGATGGCCGCCGACTCGCCGCGTACAGCAGCATCTGTCTGTTTGAGCAGAGCCATGCAAGTCTGGAGAAGGCCGGCATCTGCAAGTAAAGCTCTGTTGGCTTCAGGGAAGGCGAGATGCCGCATGAACCCTGCCGCAGCGTAGAGGAGCGCCGGCTTGGAGCTTGATGCCAGAATTCTGGCCAGTGGAAGGTGAAGCTCCATGATCCTAACCATGTCTGTGCATACCTCGTCTGACATTGCCAGGTTGCCGAGCATGACGCATGCACATATTGTGCATGGCGAGGGAGATGCATTGAGTTTGGCTCGGATCGTCTCAATTACTTGGCTTCTGACATTGAAGCGCTGTGCGAATGTATCGGTCGCTGATATTGCTGATATGTTCCCGATCAATTGAGCCGCAAGGATCACACTTGTGCTGTCCGGCGTTTTCTTTTCGGGACTCTTGGAAATGGCCAACTCTTCAAATACGGCTTCAACTTCAGCTGCTGTAAGACGAGATTCGAAGTCCAGCATTAGGGTTACCATATCGCCAAGCATTCCCTGGGTCGCAGCCTTCGCCTGAAATTCGGGGTCCTGTAAGTAGTGGACCAGGATCGCAACATACTCATGGTAATGATCTTCGTCGTAGTTCAACGTCACTTTGACCAGGTCGCTGAACGTATCTAGTGATACGTCGTCATTGAATTGGGCTGCCGTGAGCTTTTCGGTGGTCCATGACAGAAGCTCGGTTGCGTAGTCGAGTGCAGCGTCCGGTATCCGGTGGCCAGCAAGGTACCCAGATAGCGTGAAGTCGAGCCTGATCACGGCAGCAGCAGCCTTAGCCGGATCTACCCAAGTTAGCGTGGAAATGGCCTGGAACTGACTGCAATCATACCAAATTCATTGCAGAGGTTGAAAAGTACCGCAAGAGCGATCGGTGTAAGATCATCTGATGGCAAGCAATCGACAAGCTTGGAGATGTCTTTGGTGGCGACCTCTCGGTTTATGTCTGAGAGCTGATGTCAGTTCCGTGGCATGTTATTTCTTGAGAGTATTAAACATACCATTGTCCGCGACGCAGTTCCCAATGATTCGCAGGTACTGCTTGCGCAAGGCAAATGGTATGCTCACATCACCTAGATTGTGTAGCACGTATTCAAGAAGACCTGCTTCCCGAAAGCATTCTTGCCATGCCTCTAGGCATCGTTAGATTTTTTTCTTCTTGGGGCAAAGTCAAAAGTATTTACTTTGTCTCCCAACTGCGGTACCCAGTACTTGCAGTGCTTCTCCAACGGGTTCGCTACGAGGGGAGGTCGTGAACTTATTGAGTAGTGTCTTCAGTGACGCATTCACGTCGTCCGAGCGTTCCGGTCCAAGTTCGAGCAGTGCTATCACTTCGTCTGGCAATGTTGTTTCGTGGCCACTATCTGTGGTCATTTTGTGTATGAAGAAAGTTGATGCAGGGCAGAGGAACTCGGAATCCAGCCAGCGTGAAACGGAAGATCGAGCTTGCAAATTGCGCTGACAGTTATCTTATGATGTGCGTTTCGAGTCGGGATTTAGGAACGTGCGCCAACTGCACGTGAGTGAGGTGTAAAGTGAGTAAGACATTGGTCTATTCGTGAGGCTCATGTGAAAGTGGCTAGCCCTTGCCTGAACGGGTAGCGATCTATTTAGCGCCTTCCTCGAAGCCTGGAGATCTGGACACTGGGCCAACACGGCTTCCACGACGACAAGCCCCAGACTTTGCACAACACTCACCGTATACCTTCTTTAGAAAGATCGAGGGCTTCATTACAGCCAAGATGACACGCGCACAACAGACCATCAGCATTGCGATGCTCCTGACCTCCGTACGTCGAACCCCTCCTAACCACGTACCCCTGGACCCATGTCTAACATTGTACAGCTTTACCTCGCGGTATTCATGGAGCTCATTTCTTTCCCCGAGAAGATCCAGAAGGAGGTTGTCCCTGTGGTGAGCGGCCCACCCGGACATCAGCAAGATGCGAGCTAAACATGTTCAGATCCCTTTCTGGGCACTCGTCTCGTTCGGCGCATACCTTCTCTTCAAGCTCGGCTGGGGAGTCTTCACCTTCAATGACGTACCCGAGGCGCACGCGGAATTGATGGCACAGATCAAGGAGGCACGAACAGAACTCCGCGCAAAAGGCGTCGACGTTGGCGCCGACGACTAAGCGCTCCCAGGACGGTTAACGGCGTGGGCACACATTTGCATTGCATTGGAGCATACGGAGGGCTCAACGGCGTCCTGGTCTGGGAAGCGTGCGGGTGGAGGACTTAGTTGCTTCTCAATGGTATCTCCGCACGCATGATGCTCTATTTAGGTCGGGATCTCCCCCGCCTTGTGCCGCTGCTTCAGCTTCTTCTCTGTCTTCATGAACTCTCTGATGCCCACGGGTATATCATCGAATAATTTCTCTTCATCCGCACCCACGGTCCAATTCGATTTGCTGCCTCCGCCGTCAACGTCCATGCTGCCAGCGACATGACTTGGAGGCTCCTGCTCTGCAACCATGCTGCCGCTGCCCTGAGCCCCTTCTCTCTTGCCTTGTATCGCAGCTCTTGCTTTGGCGCTCTGCTCCACCCACTCTTCCATCTCGTCACGATACATGTCCCATACACAATTCACGCATCCAGACATACAGCAATTATCCGGCTCTGAAGGCTTCGGTGGTACCTTTATGCCTGCAATGTCCGTGGAAGCAGCATCGATCTCAATCCTTCGTTCCCTCACACCTGGTTTTGAGCCAAAGACAGTGCGAGCACGTTCGAGCGTGAGCTCCCTCTGCGACTTGGGGGAGTCTGTTGGTTGCAGAGTAGCTGGAGCTTGCGGAGCTGTGTCGTCCAACGTATCGTTTGAAAAGGTCGGAGCTTGCGATGGCTGCTTCTTCAGCATTTCTGTGATTGTCAGCAATGCGTGAGCAAATTGAAGGTCCACTTACCAGCATAATACCCCATGATTGGCCTAGCCTGCTCCCCTTCAGGAGCTATGTAGTACTTGTATCGTCGCTGTATCCGGTCGCTGCTCTGCAAGCCCACCCTCGCTCTCGCCCACGATCTGGTGCATGAAGCGCAGACGTATCGCCGGAGCGCCATTGGGCACCCTGAAGAGGCCATGATGTCTGGCAGTCAAAAGGAGTAGTCTCAAATATTTACAGGAAGCAGCAATGCTATCATGACATGTTGGTTTTAGTCAGAGTGGGCGTGCAAGTCAAGCACTTGAAGCGTTGGATGCTGGTGAGGTCATTTTGCGCCTGGCCTCGGCAAAAGAATGTCTCGAAACACCGACGAACGGCGCGTCTAGGCGCGTCGGGGGCAGTACTGTCAACACTAGGCCAAACATTCAATACCCCCGCACATCGACAATTGCATTGCTTCAAACACATTCGCCAATATGGACGAGCCGCTGCGGAAACGCAGAAAGACTTCATCTCCCGCGCAACAAGACTTTAGCCCACTGCGAAAGCCACCTCGACGACCGTCCTCTGCCTCGCCCATAAAGGCCAGTCTTGCGCGCAACGACTACAATTTATTGCCCGCTCGTACACCACCACGCGACGATATCCGGTCTCGAGGAGAGCAAGTACGAAGGCGCGCACTTGAGGAGCCTGGCGCACCAGAGAAAGCGATCGGAGAAGGGGCAGAAGAAGGGACAGAACTGAGGTCATCGCCGCCGCAGAGAGGGCTTGCGGAGCAGCACCATTCACGTCAAGACGTACTATTCCCCTCGCCGATAAAGCGTCCCCCTCGCCTAAAAGGTGCGCTCAGAAGATCTCCACTGGCGCCGGCGCCAGCGCCAGCAGTCCAGCGAAACCAACTCACTCGGCCTACGGAAGATGCATTAGACGAGGACGGCCCAAAGGAGAAGACCAGAAAGCCTCCTTTAGATCCTGAGATTGACAAGAGGAGGCAAGAGAAGGCGCGACTACAACGCGAAATCAAAGAGCTCGAAGCACAGGTGTCAAGGTGCACGAGTGAGATTGCAGTTGAGCAGCAGCGGGATGCGAATGATGCGCTGCTTCCTGCGCAACGTGCAGACCTCATGTGAGTACCTTTGCTCCCACATTACGTACGAAGCTAGCTCTGACGTTATATCAGTAAGTTCATCACAAACATCAGCGGAGCAGATGAACAAGATGAGCGGCCAATACCAATCTCGAGCCTTCTTTGCTCGTTCCTGCCGTTCTCGAGCTTAACTATTCTACCTCACAAGCGAAAACAACCAGAAAGGCCCATTGCGTCACATCGACCTATCGACTTACCAGACCCGTTACCGTACTTAGAAATGTTCACAAACTTCAGATTTTCTACACAGCTAGGACTGCCACGAGGTAAAGCCCTCTCGTCCTCGAAACATGTCCATCAAAAACACACAATCGACATCAGTGGCCCCCAAAAACTCCTTACGGCGCAACTAGCTGTCAACATCGATTGTCTGTCAAACGAGGTGATTGACATGCACATCTTGCGCCTACCAACCTGGACAGAGCGCGAATTAGGAATATTCATGCGTTCAAAAGCAAAAGAGAAGAATCTGGGTATGGTGTGCTGGGCTATCGACTCGTTCTGGGATGTTACGGCAAAGCGCGCCGCTTACTGGCATAAGTGCGAAGCAGCATTTGTACATTTACTTACAGGGCGGACGATTACTGCTACAGAGAACGCACGACCTGCAAATGCCAAGTCGGCCGTGCTCTCTCGAAAAGATCTTGGTCGTCATCTCGGTCGCGATACATTGATCTTGCAGGACAAGCGCGTCCTGCTCAAGATCAGCTGGCGCATTGTGTTCGACTGGACGGGTGAAGCCGAGTCCAACATTGGTGTGGAATGCGCTGTGCCCGCCGTGTGGAAGGAGGCTGATGCGAGTGACACTTTTCGCAAGATCCCGGAAACGTTCGGTTCTCTGCTACGCGCAAAGGGTGCTTTTGAGGCTACGAGGATCTTAGTTGCTTTGCTGTTCTCGCAGTAAATGGCGAAGGAGATGCTGTTTCGTATATAGTTTGAGATACCCAATGCAATCCTAGCGTCTCTGCCCAACTTCTGCACTGCTTGTACATGGGCTAGACGAGTTTCGACATCTCGACCCTACGAAATGAATCCTGCAGTTGTGTTGACGTGCTTGTGATGTTGCCTGGCAGCTATACTATGGTATTCCATACTTCCCAGGTCTGCTCTCAACAGTCATTTTTGTGTCTTTGATTGCGATAAGTTCGATGTCCCTACCAAGCCAACTGTGAGCGAGACAAGATCAATCAAGACTTCTGCTAGAGGCCAACATTCGACGACTACAAAGTCTGCTCTCGCTGCCCATTCAACTTTTACAACATCTCATCCCAACATTAATCTACAGTATCGACAAACTCTACGACATGGGCGACCGAAGGGGCTTGAGGATGCGAGGGTGGAGGCGAGGTTTCGTCGCCTCGCAGAAAAGGAAGAAGACAATGAAAGCTGCAAACAGCTTGAGGGGTCACAAAGGAGCCAGGAGATGCGAATTTAGATATCGCTGTGAACGATGCGCTGCATGAGATCCTCACAGCTAATGCGTGATGAGAGAGGGCATGGGATCAGTCGGAAGAGGTCAGCGAAGCTATGAGATTGACGGAAGAGGAGCAGGATGGTATAGTTACAAGGGACGCTTTTGGAAACTTGAAGTGGATGGTGCGTGCAGAACCTGACGAACAATGGGCCAAGGGGAAATAGCAGCAACGATACCCAGCACTCAGCAGCATAAAAAGAGGATGAAGAGGGGATTACGGTGCAAAGCTGAGGCTAAAGAGAACGACAGCTTGCACTTTGCGGTTGTATCTTCAGCTTTGCATTGCAATAGAGACGATTGCAGATGTACTGTATTAGGCAAGTATCTTGGATCATTCCTGATCTGTATCTCTTTGCCGTCGAACATCCGAACACATCTCTTGCAGCAGCAGAGGGCACTAAACGATGTGCGAGACGGAATGACCTTTGAACAGCATCGAAGCCATGTTTCTGTTTCCGGTCTCGACTTTTGGGCGTTGAGTCCATGCTGCAGCTTGGAGGTAGCTGGACCATCAACAGCACGGGAAACCGGACAGAGCCATCTTCGTCGTCTACAACTAACGTTCAAATGTCACCAACGGCAATCCGAGGACCTCGATCACGCATAAAACATCCTTCCGATCAAGGGTACCCTCGGCCCGTACCACAAAGCCCTGCGAGCGCTCCCAGCGGCAAAAAGCAATTAAGATACGTTTCTGAAAAATGCCCGAGTGGCGGATCCTGCCTGCATGCCAAAAGAAAGAACGCCGTGCGACACTTTTCCCTGTGGTATTTGCAACGACTTGATCCACTTCGGCAAAGCAAGCTCAGACCTCCTTTGCAGCAGCTGGCCGATTTGGTGAGCATGCTGTGCGCTGGCAGTTGGCGCCTGTCGTGCCACGTCTGGGGAACATCGCACTAGGACTGCAGCTAACGCCGTCATACCTCAAGGCGACATCGTGTGAGGCTCGGAGCGAGCGTCGCGGTGTGACACGCAGGAGTGGCAATTGTGGGACCGTGAGGTTGAGGCTGCGTGCTGTTGTGTTATGAAGTAGTTGCTCAGGTGTGGTCCGGGCTTCTGGGCACGTGGGAGCGTTGAGTCAGGGTTGTGCAAGCGTTCGGGATCATTTTCATGCGCGAAGGTTGTGCTTTTGCTGTTTGTAGGTCTGAAATCGTGACCATGTTGCCCTAGGTAAGCGGCCTTGATTGAAGACACCCAAATAGTGGACCTGCTTCAGGACACGATGATCGCCCTTCGAATCTCATTCGACTGATTGACGCGGCAAAAGCGCGAAGACAGATGAAGCCGTGCAACCGTGCATCACGCTTCGTGCTCAGTCACTGGATGCACGATGAGTCTCGGAAGATGTCCGACAAAAAAAAATAGGTGCATACGCGATGGTTGAAGAAGCGGCCGCAGCGCGACGACCCTTGAGGCTGGGGCGGCTTTTGAACCCGACATCATGGAGAAGGACTCCTTGTAAGACTGTAATACCGTGTCACAGACAGACAGCCACGAAGCTTGACAGGGTGGACAAAGCTCAGATGTGGTGACCCAGAGGTCACGGTCTGTGTTTGTCGAGCAACGTCTTATATGCAGCGCTCCGGTATCCACATTCTCATTTGATGTTCAGGTTGTGCGAGTGCAAACCCCGGCAGAGAATCCTTGTGGGATGCTTCTAAAGATATCAGGGTTGAGGTATCGGTGTTTTGGGGGCCTACCAAAAGCAACGGTTAGAAACAGGCACTGCAGATTTCCGCAATAAGAAAGGGAGAGAAAGACACGTGAGTCCATCATCTGTTGACGAGTGGGCAAGAAGAAGGAAACTAAAATCAGGAGATTGACAGGCCTCACATCAGGACCATGTCACAGCCTTGAAGCCCAGCATACTGCCACTATCTGAGCTGAATGAATGAGTCCTTGCGCACTAACTGGGAATAGCCCGTGTGGCGCAAATGACATCTCGTGGGCGCTGCGCACGAGAACGAAGGAGGCTGCTGCAGATGTGAGGGATTTATTTGACAAGGGCAACAGCAGCTGCAGGCAGAAAATTGTGATGCTTGCCACTTAGCGCGGCACTCGGCCTTGTGAACATCGTCAACGCCAGCGAACGCCATTGTCCGTACTCGGCTACACTGCAATAAGCGCATTCGGAACTGGCCTGGCCTGGCCGGAAGAGGGCACGCTTTGAAGATGCTCTCTTTGTAACGGCGAGCCCTGCCGGATGATCGTTCAATACAACAGGGGTGGTTCAACAGTTAATGACGCTATGCTTCGGTTAAGCTTACACTTTTCTTTACTTGTCTAGGCAAGATTACACGACAGATACAGGAGCTGAAGCTTGGAAGACGTTGGGTTATTACCCGAGAGTGAAGGTCAGCCGAGTGATGGCCTGTGTGGCTGGCTCGCGTTCCTAGGACTCGCGGCTGCAAGACATTGCGTATTTGTGTTCAGTGAACTCTTGCGCTGATGGTTGAAAGTCAACGTGTAAGAATTAGGGATCAGTCGCTGCGCTGCAGCTGAAGGAGCGTTGTCAGACTGGCAAGTCCGTGCTCCACTTGCGCAGAACGTGGTCGAGCAGAAGATGGACATTTACTGCTATCATACAGTAAAAGTGTTAGCCAAATGCTTCGTCGATGACGGTCCCGATTGAATACAGCCTAGAATGATCTCGGTATGCACCGGCGGCATAATCCTACACGCCTGTCAAGTGAAGCTACTGCAGGTTATACTGTCAGCACATGCAGATGTGCAGGCTTCGGGCTTGAGGAGATCGGTGACTCGCTGCTGGATCCCGACTTACCGAAAGCGTCCTCAATCATACGTCCATGAAGTCCAACCGCAAGTGGACTGAAGGTAGTGACTGTGGATGGCCGGTGACTGCCTTCCGCGTCGACACCAGGTTTGTTCCGATGCGGATCGCGTAACGATGCAGGCTGAACTGACGACTGACCCTTGAAGTGACCGTATCGAGCGATGGTGATCTCACGCAGACCGCATGGAGTATGTAGTGATTGCTGTGTGTTGAGCGGCCGACGACTGTCGTTGTGGCGCTATTCTATCTTTTCAATTCATGTCTGATGTGCGCACGGCGAGGTCGACGTCCTCGTCGTTATGCTAGCTACGGTACAATGTGGGCTGGGCCCTGGTATCTTCGAATAAATAGCGAAATGTCAGGACGGACAGACCCCGTCAACATCCCGTGTCTTGTTTCAACTCCGTGTAAATGCGTGATTGTGTGAACTCCCCTCCATTTTTAAACAAAAAAAGAAAATGTGTATACAGGGAAAGAGCGCCGCACCGTCAAGGTACAACTCCCATAGTTAAAACGTATTTCGCTGTGAAAAGTCTAGATCCGGACGTGAAGTCCGGGGGCTCTATGTGGAATATCGAGCATGTGAACGCCAACCCTGGAAATAAGAACACCGCTGTCATGGCATCGTAGCTTTTGGAGATCCGGAAAGAAAGAAGAACGTCGTAGGAGCGTATTCGGCGTGAAAAGGCTCGGGAGGCGCTCTAGTGGATATGGACCGGTGCAGCCATTATGGAAGGCTGGAAAGACACATGCTTGACCAAGTTGGCAGCATGGATGAAAGGCTGGAACCAAGTGTTGGTAGGAGCGGGAGAAGAAACGTATTGTTGCTGAGGAACGCGGGAAGGGAACTTCTGGGGCGCGATGTAAACGTTTTGGTAGGAAGAGGTGGACGACGAGGACGACGCCGATGAGCATGCAGAGAATACAGAGTCGTTGTCCGAATTCGAGCTACCAGAAGAGATAGAGTGCTGAGGATAGAAAGCCGGGGCGTACACGGCACCTGGCAGAGGGGCCATGGAAGGTACAGCAGGAGCCTGGTAGCAGTCGTAGTATGGGCTGAGTGGCGGAGAGGGCAGGGGAGTAGAAACTGCAGACTTGGTGGCCGTGAAGGCCGAGCAGTTGAGAATCATCTGCCTAATCTCGGGAATGGTAGCCCTCTTAGCAGGGTTGAAGTCGAAGATGCGCCTAAGTATGGTGTCAAGCTCCAACGAAATGGGAAGGATGGTCCTCAGGAACTTGGGATCCTTCATGAAAGCGCGGAAAGTGCTGTCGTCAGAAGAAGCTCGCTTCCAGGGATTGCGTCCGCAAGTGAGGTTGACAAGGATTACTCCAAGGCTCCAGATGTCGTTGGGTGCCGAGGCGTAGCAAGAGTAAGCCTTAGGCGCTGCTGTTTGACATTCTAGCAAAGTCAGCATGTGCACGAAGTCCGAGATGGCAATTTAAACCTACCAGGAGACATGTAGAAGGTGGAGCCGCATCCAAAATCAGAGGTAACGTGATCAGTAGTGGCCAGTCCAAAATCAGCGAGTTTACAAGTCATGCCCTGGTCGGTAACCAGAACGTTCTCTGGCTTGAGATCCCTGTGGTAGATTCCAATGGAGTGGCAGTATTCAACAGCATCCAAGATTTGGAGGAAAGCACGCTTGGCCCAGTCATCGTTGCCAACAAACTTGCCCTGCTCAGTGATGTTGGAGAACAAGTCACCTTCTGGGCAGTACTCGATGACAACGTATGTGCAGTCAGGAGCGTCCATGATCTTGACTAAAGAGACAACGTTGGGGTGCGCGCTGGCCTGGTGGTGGAGCTGGATCTCACGCTGCTGGAACTTGCGCTGGCGAGGCTCAAGACCGATTTTGTTAAGCGCTTTTACAGCATAGGGAATGTTGGTCTGAATATCCACGGCAGTGTAGACAACTCCATAAGCTCCGACTCCAAGGATACTGGTGAGTTGAAGCCTACCAGCGAGAACTTGACCTAGTCGATCTTCCGGCGCGCAAAATCCATTTTGGGTAGGAGATGCGGGAGGCGACGGGTACATGCTGTGGGTGAGTGGAAAAGTCCTCCTAGGTCCAATGAAGGCCTCGAGGACGGAGATCTGAATCCTGGGAAAAAAGGATCCAAAGGCTGTAAGTAATCGTAGCGAAGCAGTAACGTATAGTATTCCGAACACGGTGAGATTAGGTAACCAGGAACAGAGAGGTGGTGGTAGAAGGGTGGTGGTGGTTGTTAATGAGGAAGAACAACGATGTCGAACGTTGGACTTTGGCAAGGAACGTAAGAGAGTAGTAGTATGTTCGAGCCGGTGAAGGTGATAGTCGGGTACGAGGCGGGATATGATGCATGTTCTATGTGCACGGCTGGGCAGCAGTGATAAAGATTGCCTTCGTCAGAGGACCCTGTCAGCTATTGGCTCATAAAACGCCCCAGTTTTCCGTAAATATAGGGAAGGATGGGCCTGGGAGCAGCGCTATGACGAAGAGGGATGGACCTACAGGCCGCCTGCAGTCCATCAGCGATGCATGCCATGGCCGGCACGCAGACGGGCGCCCACTAAGACCGTGTGGTTCCACTAGCGCGCAGGGAGGCAAAAGTGAGGGAGGGCAGTGTGAGCCGTTCTTACCGCGTGCGTCCTAGTAGTGTCCGTCATGCAGCCACCGAGCAACCGGGCCCTTGTCCTTGACTCACCTGAATCACGCCTCTGGGCCCGCAGCTCGCCGGGCGGCTGTGGGCTGCAGCGAATCAGACGGCAGCAGCAAGGACACAGTGACACACCTACGACTGCTCAACACACGCGCAGTCTGGGGTTCGATGCTCGAATTGCAGCAGGTTCGAGGCACCAGAGCACCACAGTGCAGCAGACCATGCGCCAGACGGCCAGGCGGACTCGCGCAGTGTGTGGCGGTAGGGCCATGGGCCACTTATTCTGTGCTTTGCCCTCTCCACAAGCGCTCGTCAGCACGCAGCGAGGACACATTTCGAAGGGCAACAGCAGCAGATCTTGCTCAAGCCTCGCGTTGCACATGACGCTGGCTGCCATGATTCGTTGCCCCTGACGAGCGTCTGCGGACACCAACAGTCGAAAACAACCGCGCCTCACTCTAACCAGAGGGCTGAGGATCGAAGTCATGCCGCAGCCGGTTAGTCTTGCTCAGAGACGTGGTCAAGCCTGCGAAAGCTTACGACGTCTCCTACAGAGCGCGAGTGCACGACCGGCATTCGATAGCCTTCGCTGGCTCCGTGTTGGTGTGTGCTATGATGCATCCGGCCTGTGCAGTGGACGATCTTGCAACGCCTGCGGCGGAGCTATGGAACTCGAAATCTCTGTTTGATCTTCTGCCAGCCGACTGCTGGCCCGACAGACCGTCCTGAAAGACGGCATTGATGACTGTCGCGCGCCCAAGGCTGGTTTGGGTTTCGTGTTGGTGGAGCAATACCCTCTTCGGCGCTTCCCAGCACCTTTGTCCTCCAATCTTGTTCCCGCTTTTGTTGAACAAGGGCGAGCTGGCTCGAACATTTCGAGCGCCAAAAAGCGTTGGCGATGACACATGGCAGTTGGGGCCCGATTGGCACGCATCCACTACAAGTCGAACCGCATCGCGCCGGAGGTTGCCCTACTTTTGTCTAATCGCTCATTGGCCTTCCAATATATTGTCAATCGGCGCTGACTAACGGCCCTGCCCATCCATGTGCGTGCGCCTGCACTTGATTAGCTGGCACCCGCCAGTGGCGCACCAGAAGGCACCTTGTTTTCGAGAGTTTCATGCCCGGCGAATGAGATCGGAGATTATTGCAGGAATGTGGCCAATCACAATATAGGAGCCAGCCACTCCATCCACTTGCTAAGACGGTCTTGTGACCTAGGAGTCACCGCCTTGTCTGTATGTCGCAGTCCACCCATACCGGCGGCGCTGTTTGATTCGCAGGCCAGGCTGGTTGCGCAATCTTGATCGCGCAAACTTTCTAGGGAACTACAATATCTCGCCGGGGGCAGGCAGCAGCAGCAGGACCCCTTCGGTCATGATGAGGGTGTGGAAGGCACCCAGGATCGAGCAACGAACGGGCTTCCATTGTCTCGTATTCGCCTGCCCGTTGGCAAGGTAAAGAGGGACCGTCTTGACTAGGGCAGGGGCTAGATTACGAGACACATGCGCAAGCGAGGCAGCCGTCTCATTTTCTTCTTCTTTTTCTGCTGTCCGGCGTCATCCGTGCATGAGCACAGATCAGCAACGCTGGGCTTCCCGCAGGCTAAAGTTGCGAACGGGAGTCTGTGAGCGAAGGGGACCGACGATCACATCTGAGCAAAATTACTACTGGCAGCTTCTGTCACGCTCGCGTATGCATCATACCATGGCCGGCGCTGGTCTGAAGGCTGGGATTTGAGATTGTTGTCGAGACCGAATGTCTGCCTTGCGAGCGGTTCGTTGTTTGTTGTCCTGACGATGGTACCTAATCAGAGGACCTGCCGTTCTTATCAAACCATTCCCAAGGCCTCAACAGCCGCCAGATGCTGCACTCGAGCGGCGCAACTTGATCGTCCATTCATTGCGTGAGGTCTTTGTTGTTGCGGGATGCTTGACTGCCGCTGCCCAGGTGATAGCACGCTTCACATGAGTCGATTCGGGGCCTGCATACACCGGTGGGTAACGGGCTGGATAGGCGTTCTCCACAAGACCTCAGCGGAGTAGTCGCTGTCAGATCACAGCCTTCACCGCCGGTTGCTTGTCCATCGTTGGCGCAGGCCAGCCCCCTTCACTCTCGGGCTCATCGCGGCTCTGACTTTGAGACTGGCAAACGTTATCGATATGCCCCTCCATGCCGCCAGCGCTATTCGACGTGCTGCACGCCTTCAAACTCGAACGATTATCGTTCGAGCAAGGGGACATCGGGCACTGCTCCAATTAAGCAAGCTGCATGCAGCGTGCCTTGTAAATCATCCACAGTACACGCAACGTGGCGCTGTTTGGACCCGTCTGTCCTTGCTTCCGACAACGCCATCACCCAACGATCACCTGTGGTGCGGCAGATCAAGCGCATCTCACTGTGCATCCAAGACCTCAGGGTTCCACATGAATGGCAAAAATGTTGGCAAGTGATGCAACTGCGCTGCCACTACCACGCCAGACGTGTGCTGCGTTGAACTCATGCATGCACTTTGGAGGTACTCCGGAGTACGAGCATCTTCGTTCAACGTGCTCAACAACAAAAGTCGGTCAACGATTTCAACAGCAACCTCATACTCGCCAGATCCAGCTAAACCCAATGCCGGCGTCGTGTCTTACAGCGTTCGGTAGGGAATTGAGGACGGCCAGACCAAATGAGTTTCGCAGCTCTACACCTGAGACGCAGAGGCCAACCTGTCGAGCCTGTATCGGCACGGAAGACTATTATATTACAAGGATCTCGCGACGTCTTGCCATGGGCTGAAGGCTGGGCGAGCAGCTGGGAAGTCTCGCGAGTACACGTTCAAACATTCAATGAACGTCTCCACCTTTCTTCGAAGATCGAAGGCGAAGGAACACTGAGGGTCTTGGTCTGTACTGCATGAACGTCCATCACCCTGTAACCTATCTTGAGGCATGTCCAGGTTCGACTTGATACCTTGATCCCTCGATAACATCTGCATTGAGGTTGGACCTTCGACTGCCTAGGCGGCCGACATGTCGACAGGCGAGCCGCAAGACAAGCCCCCTTCGAAGTGACTCTCGTGATAACCGCGTGGAAAGTTCGGCAAGCGGTCTCACCATCAGCTACTAAGTTTCTACACATCGCTGACCGCCGAACCCTTTCGATCATACTTTCCGCCACCGTCGCTTGCAGCCGTTCGTCGATTCGGTTCGCAGCGCTTTGACTCGGCCCCATCCCGACTGTCTGGATCGTTGCGAAGTAAGTCCATTAATGCTGGGGAATCCCGTCAGAGGTTCCGGTCAGACGGGAAATGGAGGATGGGATGAGTCATGAATAATGTGCGCCATCGGCGTCGACATAACGAGTCGAGTGCTGATATCCCATCTACTGCTTTATGTGCAGCTGCAACCTTTCTCCCATCGTTCTGAGATGCTGGCCATGTTGATCTGAGGAGAGCAAACAATCATCGGGGACTGCTGAGCACGACTCTAGCAGCAAGCATCCACTTCAAACTGAAGAAATGGCTTGTAAGACCACTGAAGTCTGCAAAATGGCACTGTCTACATAGGTACACGTCGATGTCGTCGCATTGCTATTGTGAGCCTCTCCTGTGCCGATAAGAATTGTCAGCAAAAGATACTCTAGCAAGGCAACGCTTGTTTACAGAATCATTGCACTCATCTCAAAATGACAACTGCACCTCGCGAGCACGAGATATTCACTTCTGACACATGGCTGCCACTAGACTTTGACAGTCACCACAGACCTGACCTTCTGCCGCAAATGCTGGCGTCTTACGCCCTAACCACTACCAATTTTTTTCGGTCAGTAAAACAGCCGGCCTCAAAGTGGCTCACGCGCGTCACTACCAACATCGCAATCATCATTTACACAAGGTCTTGCCTGCAAAAGCTTCCCACCAGCGGGTATTACGCTTCTCAAAATACCACGGAACCTGTTCTAACCACCTCGTAACCACCGTTTCGCTGGCCACCTGTCAATGTCACTGCCTATTGAGTCGCACATCAGGTCGCCCACATGTTGCCGTTCATGCAGCCCATGTCCATCAGCGCAAAACGAGGCGTGAAGCACGACAAATGGTTGCGTGTTGGTGGTGAGGCGCAGCTCGGCGCGGTGCGGCGGGTGCCGATGTCACGGCGGCTGTGCTGGGCGCGCCTAAGTTGTGTGAGACTGGCGCCATATGGGATACCTGGAAGTGCCTGGATGAGTGTGTGATGGGGGTGTGGAGAGTGGGTGACTGCGCAGGAGAGCTGTAGACAGGCACGCATGTGCCGCTTGTGAGATTGGGAACGAGGGACATAAACAGGGTGCGTAAGTACTACTATCAGCCCTTCAATTTGCATATACATAATTCATCATACGAGCATAGGTAAATACATTCCGGTAGCGAACAGATAATGTCGACAGCCGTCACAACTATCACGCCAAAGGACTCACAAGAAGAAGAAGCTTTCGCTCACGTCTCAAAAATCGGGCCTTCCCACGGCTACCGTCAACTTGCTCCAGCTGTCCGTGTCCTTACCATACTGTCCCCTCTGTGCCCCTGATACCTCATCTAAGAAACCCCGACCAATTCTCTCATTCTTCCTCCACCTTTCGTCGAAACGATATACAAACCACGGCACCGGCGCCACGACCAACGCAACAAATGCTAGCAAAGTGAATTTCCACCCTACATCCAGCCGCTCGTACATCTTATTCGAGAACAACGGTGCCAAACCACCAAGAATCGATCTCAATAGCGTGCTCGCCGCAATGCCAGAAGCTGAGTGAGCCGGGTAAGCATCTATGATGTAGGTACCTGTGAAGAACTACGTTTCATTAGCATACGCAAGTTCGATGCTACTGAAGGACTCATGATGGCACTCATAGCTCCAGCGCCGAAGATACACGTGCCCAGCAACAGCACCGCCCAGTGGACTCTGTTCTGCGCAATCCGCGCGTATAGAACTAGATCACCGCTGACAAGCGGCCAAAAGAAGCACACCGGCAACAACCGATTTTCCAGCCTACTGTCCCCTCTGAGGTTCCTCTTGTTGATGACGGCGTAAGAGGTCTTCGTGCCTGCGATCATGCCTGTCAGCGCCCCGAGTGCAGTGCCGAGATATGCGAGGCCTATAGTCTTAGACTCCCATGCATATGCGGTCAAGAAAGTTCCTGGAAGTGTTGTGTACAGGATGTACATCCAGCCATATCCAATAGCTGTCAGCCCGCTTGTTAACAGTATGGTCTTCGAGAAAATGAGTATGCGCAGAGGCATCAGCATTGCTGCTCCGAGTGCCTTCCACCTGGAGGTGTTGGCGTCGAAGTCGAATCTTGATCTTGTTGGGCTGTCCTTCGCGCGTTTCTGCCTCCGCAGTCGTGTGTCTTTCCTGCGCAGTAGAACAGGCTCGTACGCCTCACTTACGCCCGCGGAATTCAGAGATGTGGTTATCAGCTCGATTCCACCGGTGATGTAGAATATACACCGCCATCCCCAAGCAGCGTTGATGTAAGACCCTGCCGTAGGGCTGAAAGAAGGGCCAAGGGTATAGCCTACCGGTATGGCGATCAGTGCAATGATTGCGCCGCGCTTTTCTGCTGGAAACATATCCGCGACCGAGCTAGGTGCGAGCGCGAAAACGGAGCTACCGCCCATGCCAGCGAAGAGTCGGACGCCTGCGAGAGTGCACAAGGAATATATTGTGCCGCATAGTAGTGTCGAGATACTGAACAGCATTTTGCAGAAATGGTATAGAGGCACTCTGCCAAACAACTCTGAGAGCGGAGAGATCAGAAGCGGACCGATGGCGTAGCCGAGGACGTAAATGCTCAGCACGAACGAAGAAAGGTAGGAATATGTAGCCTTGAATCTTTCATCAGGTCTGGAATGGCTGGCGCAAAGACCGAAGACGTGAATGGGCTGCAGAAATTTGTTAATGGCTGTACCTCAAGGTGATTGTGGTCGACTCACGAAATGATGCACATCAAGAAAATGCAGCCCACATTTAGGCCTTTCTTCCATGCCGGCCAATTTAGCGGGTGCTGCGGGTCGAAATCGTAGTCCAAGTCGACCACGCGTTTCTCTTTGAGACGATCATCGTCAAAAGAGACGTCATCAAAGTCAGTCTTGTCAATTGGCAGATCGAAGGCTCCTTGCTGGTAGATGCTAGGCAGCTCCTCGCTTCGACAAAGTCTTTCAACGTCTCGGTGAATGATGGAGCGTCCATAACCGATGTTCGGATGAGGGTCGCGAGAGATAGGGTATGGACAGGCTCTTGCCAAAGATGGTAGTGGGTGGAATGGAACACGGAGAGGAGCGCGGCATCCTTCCATTTTCGTTGAAGCTTGCTGAGGGCAAGCAAGACCGTTGATGTAGAAAAAGTATGCAAATACCTACTGTCGTCATGTGCGCGAAAGCGGTCGTCAAGAAGTAATGTAAACATGACTGCTCAGCGGTATTGGTTACTCACTACACAGGTCAAACGCGTCGGGAAAGCCGTCCTTGACGCCGAGAAGCAACAAGTTACGCTAACGCTACGTAAGAAGGGGACGTGAATGCACGAATGCCCATGTATGGACTAGAGACGTGAACGTACTGTGCAACAATTTCTCATGTACAATTTCGCTACTTTGCCCAACAACCCCAGACACGATCATCCAATAGACTGGTATACCAAAAACGAATGACGCCCGCTAATAGCAGTTTGGATGCGGCTAGCCAGCCAAAACCAACAATATGGTCAACGATTGTGAAAGAAGGGGAATATACAAAAGCCGCTGAAGTCAAAGTAATCACAAAGCTGAAGTCATCGCAAACTCCCACCAGGGGATCAGCAAGGTTGCAAGTAATTGGACGGGACAAGTCCAGGTCTGCCGTCCTTACCAACAACCTCTGCCTCCCACCATCCGTCGTCTTGAAGTCGTAACACGGCAAGAATGTCGCCTTTCGAGAAGGCTAGCTCTTCTGGGATCTGTGCTGTGTACGTGTACATTGCACGAGCTGTAGTCTGATTAGTGATGAACGAACAGAATCCAACATCATCGCCACTTACAGTAGTTCAGAATGATACGCCCATCGCGGTTGTAGTTCTTGGGCTCCGCCAGACTCTTGCTGCGTACTCTGGATTCGGCCCTTACTGAGCTACCACTGCCGCCTCCACCTCCACCATAGAACGAACTCTGTGGTCGACCTCGAATACTGCCACCGTACACAGACCCATCTCCCCGTTCGCTGCCGGCCATAGACCTTGCCGCCGCACTGTGGGAGCTATGCGGTCGATCATCCATATTGCGGAATGCTGGCTGGGGGCTGACAGCTCGTGAACCAGGAGCAGCGCGGGATCCAGGTCGTGACTGCGCATAAGCTGGCTGCGGCGGCGGCTGCGGCGAAGCTGCTCGGGGCATAGAATTCATGGCTGGAGAAGCGCCTCTGGTTGACGAGTACGAGTTACGGCTGACCGGAGTGCCGTAGGCTTGCGCAGGGGCAGTAGCTGTCTGTGCGCGTGGTCGACCGCCGGTCGCCGAAGCTGCGTATGGGTTTGGTGAAATCGATCGATTATAATTAGCAGCTGGAGCGGGCGATTGCTGCTGCTGTCGTTGAGCAGGGCGGTACGTGGAAGGTGATGCAGGCACTTGTCCCTGCGATGATCGCTGTTGACCGGTATATACGCTTGGTCTGGGACTAGTAGCCCGATTTGGTGCAGGAGAAGTGGCCCTTGGGACCTCCTGCTGGGAATTGCCACGGGTCGTAGGCCGCGATCCTGCATTGCCGTTGAACACGTTTGCCTTCTGGTTGACATACATCTCTGTCGTCTTTTGCATCTGGCGTGCTGTATGCGCCGGCTTGGGAGCGCCAAGGCGAGACATCGGTGGCTGTTCGTAGGATGGTGGAGGTGTTCCTCGCTTCGCAGCATTCAAGTTAATACTTGTCAATGGTGTAGGTGCACCCCCTGGCAGTTTCGACCCAACAGAGGGTGTGGCAGGTGGCTGGGGTGTTGCCAGGCCCGCGAATTTGTCGGCGGACACGCGCAGGGTGCTTTGCTTTGTAACGCCTCTGAGCTCCTCGAGAGCAGCAGCGATAGGATCAAGCTCTTCTAATGGTGACTTCTCCTGCTCCTGCCTCTTCTTCTTCTTGTCTGGCGACGCTACATCGAAGACATTGTTCCCAACGTTCAGCTGGAAGTTGGCACGTGGATCGACCGGCTCAGGGCTCGTAGACCGTGTGGCATCCTGGACCATAGGTTGACGATTAATCCTACCAAGTGGTCGCGTTGGGCTGACGTTCTCATTGGTGTTTTGTCGTGATGCTGGAGCCCATGTATTGCGGCTTGTCGGTGTGACCGAAGCAGGCGTCTCGATTTCCGGCTTGCTCTTTCTGCGACCAAAGGGACTGTTGAAGAAGCCTCGTTTCTTCTGGAAAGAGTTTTCCTCGATAGGGCTTGGCTCGGAGAAAGACGGCGGCATTGGCTTTCCTGGCGAGGCAGAGCCACTAGGTGGCTCAATACTGGAGAATGAGTTTAGATCCGAGTGATCACTGTGTGAGTCTCGACTCTGGGGTCGCATCATAGGGCTTGGGACGGTGCTTCGTTCAGACGGCGCTGCAGGTCGGCAGAACTGAGTCATGCCATCTGCTGGGTAGTCGTTGTATGATGTCGGACTTTGTTGGTACTGCTGACGTGCTTGTTGTTGTGCCTGTACCAACCGAGGATCAGGCTGCACTGTCCGAGAAGCGGTAGATGGTCGCGGTGTCTGCTGCTGCGATTCAGGCTGTCGCGGCGACGGGAGATTGATTTGATCCTGAGGGACAGCGATGGGCTGTGTATCATGCTGCAAGCCCAGCTCCCTGGCCAAAGGGTTGTTGGGGTCATGGTGTGATTCGAACACTGAAATTGGGGGAGACGAGGCGCGGTACGATGGATTCATAGTCCTTGCAAATTGTGCAACTGAGTAGTTCTCATCATCTGACACCTGCGATGACGTTTCAGCATCTCCTCGGCAGAAGTTGATGAACTTTGGAGGGTCTGGTATCTCCTGGCCTGTGCCAGTCTCGGTGATGAAGTTCGTTATGTCCTTCTCGACGTCGCAATCTTCGAGTGACAAACGCATCTTTTCGCATGAGGCATCGTCGCTGACACACACCGTCGAGGCGATATTGGCGAAGTTCCAGAGGCTGCTCTTAGTGTAGTCAATACGTTCCTCTTCGAGATCCTGAAATTTCTGCGAAGTTGTCAGCGGCGTTGCTTGCATCTTCTCAAGCCCAACTCACGTCGCAAGCTGCCTTCCAGTCCCTATTCCAGCGACCGGTGGTCTCTTCTAAAACCTTCACTGCAGCCTCATATTCAGCACTTGTGGTCGACAGGTTGATCTGCGTCTTCTCCAATCTGGCCTTGTTCTTTCGCTCCTCATGGCCCATGACCATGTGCGCCTGCGCAAGGAAGCCCTTGATCTTCAGACAGTCCTGTTCGTACCGGTCGCGTGCCTTGTTGACCGTGGCCGTCTGTTGCATTTTCAGCTTCAAGAGCTTCTCGATACCGTTCTGCACAATCTTCCTGCGCTCCTTCATCCCCCCAGCGAAAGCCTGCAGTGGCTCCTCGAGCTCGGTGTGCATCTGTTGGGCGACGCTCTGGTGGGCCTTGCCCATGGACTCGACTTCGGCCCGTATGACGTCGCAGGACATTCGCAGTGTGCCGGTTTCTGAGGACCCAAGGGGCTTGCGAGAAAGTTGCAGCAGCTTTTTAGAGTATTCTTCTTCGATGGCTGCCCGTGCAGCGTAGAAGGCTTTCAATTCGTCGTTGGTGACTTTGGCAAAATGCATGCGGTCGAGCAAGGGCCCAACACCAGCGTCATCTTTGCCCCAAAAGTTGTTGGCAACTAATAGCTGTCAGCAGGTATCCTGCAAGTGCCTAAGAGCTATCGTACACGAAAGAGATACCGAAGGCACCTCGGATGTCGGTGTGCCTGGCATTGTGCCGGCTGTTTACTGAGTGGAGCGGGTGCTCAATATGGCAGCGAGCAGTACACAGCAACAACGAGCGTCGCAAAAAATGTTGGAGTATTATATACGGGGTATCAATGGTGCCGCAAGGTGGTGCGACCAGGTAGGGGTGGTAAGGGTACGGGTCCTGGGCAGCCTACCTCGAGCTGTGCCCTGACGATGTTGTGGTCGCGCGTTTCCCTGGGCGACGCGGGCGGGAAGGAGCGCTAGACGCGCGCTCAGCCCTACCACCGCGATATGACGACGTGTGCTGCAGTGAGACGACCACTCGTGCAGCTCTATGCCTCGAGAGCCATTAGCTTCATGTGCGCATGAGCTGTCCTGTGGATATCGCTTGCTGGCAGCGCAGATGCATGTCTCAGGGTCCTCGGCGGCTATCACCTGTGCATCTCAATACCTGAAGCCGAACAGCAGCTTGAACCCATCTTTGGCGCTGGTGCTACCAAGCCGCAGCTCTCACTACGAGGCAGAGATATTGCCGCTTTAGCGTAACGAATTCCGTCATGCTGATTTCAAGTATACGTCTGCACAGTACGGAGCACTATCCACCAGCCAGGTTGCTGAGCCTGCAAGGAGCTACAAGATGGCCCATGATCAGTCCAAGCTCAAGACTGATGGAAGGCAATAATAACCTGGCAGTGAAGACTACTTCTAGGTCAAGCTTGGTAACAGGTTCTGTGCTTGTGCAAAACGATAATGAGGACGTGAGTATGAGAGGAGTCGAACACTCATGACCAACATGGAAATGTGGGGTATGGATGTATGGATGCGGCAACCACCTGCAGTGCCGGCGAACTGCAGCGTCGACACTGGAGTCGGACAATAATTGCACAAGCACGTGATCACAGCTCTTTGCAGTATGAGCAGAAGTTTTCCAGTGAATGCACTGCTCGCAGACGAACGAGCCGTTCGGCGCAGCGCAGCGTTTCGGTGTCAATCCCAGTCGCTAGCTGCTGGCAAGTGCGGCCAGTGCCAAGCACCTCTTGCAATTGACCCACGACTATCACAACTTCACGTCCACCACCTCATCCCACCCCATCGCCGCTTCCACCCCGCCCGTTCGCCCTCGCGCTGCTCATGGAAATACCAGTTCGATGAGCCAGCAACACCCCTGGGGCGCCCCGAGACACAACCAGAGCACCCGTCTGACGCCCATCTCCACCAGCGCCGCCCACGACCAGCGCAACACGCCCTCCCCCAGCGGCTTCCGTCAGCCCTATTCGCCTGCCGCGTCCAGCTTCCCCTCGCTGCCCTCGGCATCATCGCGCCTTGTAGGTAGCCGCAAGTCTTCGGCAGCGTCCTCGACTTCGTCCGCACCTTTTGCAGCCGTGGGACAGCAGCTCCCGACCAGCCAGCTGCTGTCCTCTCGGTCCAGGACCAACGCGAGCCAGCCCGCGATATCTTCTGCACCTGGTGCAGCTTCGTCGAACGGCAGTGCAGGAGGCTCCAAGCTCGTACACGCCTCGCCCTCATCGAGCACAGTGGGCTCGCCCAGCACGGCGACCAACCCCGCCTCTGGTGCTTCGTCACAGAACCTCTCGCGCATAGTCATCGCGCAGGTCTTCTTGCTGCTTAGCCAGTTCGGACCTGTCAAGGACGAGAAAGATCGCGCCAAGTGGGATACACAGACAGAACAGATCAGGAAGGTGCGTCATCGGCTTCGTTTGTACACATCTCCACTTCGTGGTGCTAACCCTACACTAGCTGATTGACTCGAACGGGATGGAGGTGTTTTCAAAGTACTTTCGGCGCGTGTTGCAGAACAATGCAGCGCAAGTCTTCGGCGCGGGTGGCCGAAACACTGAGCCCAATGGCAGCTACCAGATTCTCGCAACAGAGGTGCAGAAGCTGCGAACAGACCCAGAGCAAGCAGACAAGATCGCGGAGTCGATAAGCTCCAGCGAAGGGGACTTGTTTCGCGACTTCGACCTATCCACCTTTGTCTCGCACTTCCAGCTGGATCCATTATCTATGGCCATACTCGCGCTAGCATGCAGGAAGACTGATCTCAGGTCAAAAGGTGAGCTTGTCTCTTCTACACGTCCATAATATCTACTGACAACACCCTGCAGCCGACACCCTTCTTTCTAGTCTTGGCAACGACCTCTTGATAGCCATTGCGCAGCCGAATCAGAATGACGATACGAACCCAGATTACATTGCGACGCTTGTCGAGCGCCTCCTGCAGGACCCGCCTCAGGGATGGGACGAGGATAAGAAGATGAACCTCACCTACGCAGTGCAGGTTCGGTATCAGAGCTTGCACATGCAAGTCCCTCGCCCAGTCGATGCAAAGCTTATCCTTGCTGAACTTACAGATGGGTCGCGAAACCCTCTAGTGAAGCTGGTACAACGCGCTGGACCGCAGGGCACAGCTACGTTGGAGGCCAGCAAAGAGCTGCTCGCATCTGCCGAAACAAGAGACATTGGCTATCAGCAAGTGGCATCGGTGGTGCTGTACTTGGCAATTTCCACAGGATACAATATCAAGAACTTTGTCGCGGCACTCCGAGGGCATCGCGCTGGGCAGCGGTTGGACTGGCAGGATGTCGTACACGCCTTCGATCAACCCCAGCTGCGCATCGACAAGCCCGCGTTCATCGCCATCTATGATGCGTTGCTCCCGATTGCACAGGAGAACGAGAGCTTCGATATTCAGCTGCTCTGGGGTGGAAGATGGCAGTGCGACATTACTCAACTCTATTTCCTGCTGTGCTATCTGCAGTGCACACCCGAAGAGCTCGATGTGTCTCAGATACCGCGACTGCGGGCTTCCTACTCCTTGCAGACGTTCGAGAGTGCTTCCGAGGACGTCAAAGCATTTGCAGAGCAGGCTGTCAGACATCCCTTCGTGTCGCTCGATGCTACTGCCGCGCTTTTTACGATGATCTTCCAGACATCGGAGACCTATCACTTCGCACAGACGATGGGAATACCGGATCTTGTCATCAATCCTCACACGGCTGAGTTCCTCGTCGCAGCAGCAGCAGTACCGAAGCCTTGGGGTGCCCTCCAAGAACAAGCTCTGAAGCAACTATTCGACCCCTACTTCCACAAGAAGTTGCCGATCTACAACTTCGTCCTCTACGGCCTCTGGCAGCAGGACCTACAATGGCTCGTTGACCGTTTCGTCGATGCGTACAATGCTGACCCAATGTCTCTCACCCTCATTCTGGAGCACGCCGAAGCCAACAGCTGGTCTGAAACCCTGATTCGCAGTAACACTGACATCAGCTTGGACATGGCGGCACAGGCGCACGCGCGTGGGAAATTTGAGATCGAGCCTTGGCTGCAGCAGACCATTGAGCAAGCAGGCCTTCTTTTCCGACGAATTCTCACCAACTTCCTTACTCAGAGAGCCTCGGACGAAATGCAGCGCGTGCGAGAGGATGGGAACTCTCTAAGCTTACCTCTCGCCGTCAAGACCGTCTACCCGCTGCTCTGGTTCCTCGCCGAATGTGGGTTACCCGAACATGAGCTCCTGCCTCTCCAACGCAACTGTATTCAAGCATATCCGCGTCTCATCAACTATGGCGAAGGCGTAGATGACATCATCGACGCCAATGGCCAGAACGGCAACGCTCTTCCAGCGGATGCGGATACAAAGATGCAAGAGCACTTCAAAAACATGTACAGTGGCGACAGCCACGTCAGCGACATCATCTCCGTGCTCAAGAAGTACAAAGAGTCCCGTGATCCGGCAGAGCAGGAACTGTTTGCTTGCATGATCCATGGCCTCTTCGACGAGTACAACTGCTTCGGCGAATACCCATTGGAGGCGTTGGCAACTACTGCAGTTCTGTTTGGCGGGATTATTAATTTCAATCTCCTCTCTAGGATTGCGCTCCAAGTTGGCTTGGCCATGGTCCTCGAAGCCGTGCAAGAGTATCGACCCGAAGATAGCATGTATAAGTTCGGTCTCCAGGCTCTGCTCCACTTCTCTAACCGGCTTTCCGAATGGCCTAACTATTGCGACCAACTTCTTATCGTACCCGGTCTTCAAGGAACTGAAATCTTTGCTAAAGCCGAGGAGGTCGTTGGACAGCAAGGTGGGGAAGTCAACGGAGATGGGCACAACAGTATTGGACTTCCCAATGGGAACGGTCTGGAAGATGCCCTCCAGCAAGAGTCTGCTGTAGCCAAGTTCTCTTGCCTATACGTCGATCCCCCACTCCATCCCGATTTGTACGAAGACCCGGATGAGGATGTGCAGGACAAGGTGCTTTTCGTTCTGAACAACGTATCAGAGCGCAATCTACACGACAAGATCAACGATCTTACAGAATCTATCGAAGACAGGCATCATCAATGGTTCGCCAACTACCTCGTCGAGGAGCGTGCGAAGATGCAGCCCAACTTCCAACAGCTGTACTTGGATATGTTGGAGCTATTGAACAACCGTACCCTTTGGGCCGAGGTCCTTCGCGAGAGCTACGTAAGTGTCGTACGGATGCTCAACAACGATGGGACGCTCGGTTCGACGGAGCGAACTCACCTTAAAAACCTGGGATCATGGCTTGGTTCTTTGACAATCGCCCGCGACCAGCCAGTCAAATTCCGTAACATTTCCTTCAAGGATCTTTTGACCGAAGGATATGATACCGACCGACTTCTACTCGTCATTCCGTTCACCTGTAAGGTATTGGTCCAGGCTGCCAAATCGACGGTGTTTCAACCCCCAAATCCATGGCTGATGGAAATCCTCGGTGTGCTGATGGAGCTCTATCACTTCGCGGATCTGAAGCTGAATCAGAAGTTCGAAATCGAGGTTCTTTGTAAGGGCCTGGACCTCGATCACAAGGAGATTGAACCTACCAACAGCATCCGAGCTCGACCTCAAGCTGATGAGGAGTTCCTCAACCCAATGGTGACTGATGGACTTGACGCATTTGGCGATCTGTCTATCATGAGCCTAAATCGTGCTCGTGGCCCGAGCGAACGCTTCTCATCGGCAGCAATTACCGCAGCGTTGCCTGACTTTACGAACCAGTTGCAATACCCACCGTCCGGCAACAGTGCTGTGCCGCCAGCACAGATCAAGAAGATCTTCCTTACCGCTGTCAACCAAGCTATCCAGGAGATAATAGCTCCTGTTGTCGAGCGCTCAGTTACGATCGCTGCCATTTCTACGTCCCAGCTCATCAGCAAGGATTTTGCTATGGAGCCGGATGAGGAGAAGCTTAGGACTGCGTCACACACGGTCGTCAAAGCACTGTCTGGTGCCTTGGCTTTGGTGACATGTAAGGAGCCGCTTCGCATGAGCATCCAGAACAACATTCGCATTATGGCGCGCGATCTCCCAGAACAGACGCTCCCTGAGGGACATGTAGTCATGTTTGTCAACGACAACCTCGACTTGGTGTGCAACACCGTAGAACAGGCAGCTGAAATGTCTTCATTGGCTGAGATTGACATGCAAGTCGAGGATGCCGTACGCATGCGAAGGATGTTCCGCAACACTCGACCTAACGAGCCTTTCAAGGATGCAAACATCAGCCCATGGGCATTCTATATTCCTGAGCCCTACAAGCAGACGGCTGGTGGCTTGAACAGGGAGCAGCTGGCAATCTACGAGGACTTCGGGCGACAAGCCCGAGGCCTTCCACACACAAACAGCATCTCGCAGGATAGCGGACGCCAGGTCCCTGATGTCCTCCAGGATCAGTTCGCTGCAGTGCCAAATCTGCCAACACCCGGTGCTGCCCCTGCTGAACCACGACAACCTGCACAGCAACCTCGACTTCAGAACCTTCAATCTGCTCACGTGCCTCCGGCACAACAGCAGTTGAATGGCTACATGGATGCTACTGGACCTGCAGGAGGCCAGAGAGGCGTCGAGGAGCTTCTCGTAGAGCTTACACAAGTCATCAAAGATGCACCCGAGAAACGCATCAGTGAGCTACAGCCAGGTAGCAGCCCGATCCACCGCGTCTTCGACCAGCTTATTTCAAGCATCGAGTTTGCCGGTCCCAACAAGGATTCTTGGGCTTTCCGTATCGCAGGACAAGTGACTAACCATCTCTTCTCTGACTCGCTACAACGCCTAGAGGTGGAGGTCATGGCGCACTTGCTCAGCCACCTCTGCCAACTGTCTGTACAGACCTCCCGTCAAGTACTGATCTGGCTTGCCACGCTGCACGATGATGATCGCATCTTCAAGGCCACCGTTATGGTCGCCCTGATGGAGGTTGGCCTTATGGATATGCACCGTCTCAACACCACTATCGCCAAGGCTCTTCAAGAGAGGCGCGTTGCCGCAGTCGAGATGCTGTCGACATTGCTGGAGGAGTTGCTTCTCAGCGAGCAGCCCAGCGCTTTCCGGGCTGATTTCGCTTTGTCCATCGACGCTCTCACCAGCTGGTTGGCAGAAGACCCCTCCCTGGAGATAGGCAAGCAGGTCATCGCTAATCTGCAAGCTTCTACCGCTGAGGCTTCTTTGATGCCGCCTGCCACTGGACACAAGGATCAGCTGGAGTACATTTTCGACGAGTGGGTCCACTTGCAGCTTCCAGAGACTCCAAAGAAATCGATCGGAGCTTTCATCTACCAGCTTCACAAGCAGGACATTATGCAAAGCCAAGAAACCTCAATCGAGTTCATTCGTACCTGCATCGACGCCTCTGTTACTGCCTACGAGCTGGAGCAGGCTCTACCTTACGGCGCCGGTACTCTTGACACGGCCACTGTAAAGATCGACGCACTTGGCAAGCTGATCGTGGACCTCGTCGCCTACCAAGACGAACTCGAGGGCGATGCCAAGGACTCCAAATCCAAGTACCTTGACCAGATGCTAGTAGTCACCGTCCTAGTACTGTGCAACCACCACAACACCCGAGGCGATGCCTTTAATCAAAAGGTCTTCTTTCGTCTCTTCTCTACCATCCTGTTCCGCCTGAACGAGGCCACCAAGGAGGAGACTTTGGTGGATCACAAGGCCGATCTGTTCCTCTGTGTTGCCAGGGCCCTCCTCATCTTGCAGCCGAGCCATTTCCAGAAGTTCACGTTCTCATGGCTGACCCTCGTCGCCCACCGCATCTTCATCCCGGCAATGCTCGAAGGCGGCCAATCGGACGAGCGCTGGGACGTCTATGCTCGCCTTATGGAGACGCTGTTAGTCTTCACCGGACAGCTCATTAAGCCTACCGAAGAGACCATTACGGCCCAGAACTTTTACCGCGGAGTCTTGCGTGTCCTGCTCGTGATCCACCACGACTATCCTGAGTTCCTTGTCGAACACCATTTCCGTCTGTGCAACAGTATCCCCATGCACTGCACTCAACTAAGAAACCTGATCGTCAGCGCATACCCGTCCACAATTCTGGAGATGCCAGATCCTTTCACAGCCGGATTAAAGGTCGACCGTCTCGAGAACAACCTGCAAGCCCCCGTCATCCGAACTGACATCGTTGAGATCCTCTCCAAGGCAGGTATCAAGTCTAATGTCGACAACCTCCTGAAGGCCATGGAGCCTAAGGCCCAGGACATTCGCAAGGTCTGCGATGCCATCTCCTTTCCTCAGGCTAAAGAGAGTGGGTTCGAGTTAGTGCCCACTACTGCTGATCCAGCTCTGATACACGCGCTCGTTCTCTACATTGGTGTCGCGACATTGGGCACTGAAGCAGCCAAGGCCCCGCTCTTTGACGAAGACAGCGCCGCCGCTAGATTAATGGTGAAGTTGGTCAAGGAGTTCCACCCCGAAGCGAAGTTCCACTTCATCAGCGCAATCGCCAATCAGCTTCGTTACCCGAACACCCACACGCACTTCTTCAGCTATGCACTTTTGCACCTCTTCGGCCCTCCAAATGATGACGAGGAAGTGCTTGAAATCCAGCAAACCATCACAAGGGTACTCCTGGAGCGCCTGTTGGTGCATCGTCCTCATCCATGGGGACTTATCATCACTCTGCTCGAGATCCTTAAGAATCGCACATACGCATTCTGGGATCTGCCATTCGTCAAGGCAGCACCTGAGGTAAGTCTACATTATGCCAAAGCCACACATCACAATAATATTGACACGTCTTGCAGGTCGAGCGTCTCCTCAACGCTCTGTTCACTCATGCTCAGCAGAGCCCTAGGCCGCTAGCTTAGTTCGCTAGCCATCCCCACGGCCTACCCCCGGGTTGCTTCTCCAGGGCAGGCAACTCGGCTCGCCATTCATAGCTCACGTTTTTGGCTTGCTCAGACAGCAAACCTCAAGTTTTCTGCTCGTTGCATTTGCGTGCGTAAGGGGTTTAATTCTTTCTTGCATGATTGAGGAGCTTTGTCCTTTAACCGATCTAATACTTTCCACAAATGTACATGTGGACGTCATGTCGTCTACACGCTACGGTTTCACGACTCTTTGGGCTGGCTGGCACAGAAGGAACGCAATGATTATCGTATGCGGATGGACCCTACGAAAAAGTCGGGTGTTTAGCTTTGTTTGACGGTTCAAAAAGCATGGAGTCACAACGGTGGGAATTTCAATATTGCTATAACATGAAGATGAGGTCCTTCGAGAGTCGTGTAGAACAGCATTGCTTTGGCGAATTTCGGGATCTGGTGGATGCGTCGACTGCTGCATATACTGTAGGATACTGATTCGAATGATTTCCTTCTTCCTTACACGTTCTTCCTCATTCCGTTTCTGTCCATTTGCACGTCCTACTTCGCACATTGCTGCTTGCCTGACCTTCGAGTGGTCGTCAGCTTGTTGCTGCTGATTTCCGTTGTGGAATTACAAATCCAACCCCACGGCTACACGACCAACTCACAGTCTTCGACTGAATCCTCATACGGCACCACGATACTGGGCAGAGATCATTCTCAATTGCGGGGAACACTGTCGAATCTGTTGAAACGCTTCCTGCCGTTGCCCGCAAGCGAGAGTCCTCATCATTTGCAGCACACGGAGATCGAAACATGAACCATGCAACTGGAGGTTTCTCCGTATATGTTAAGACGGCCGATGGCACGGCGCCTGCTGCAGAAGACAAAACTCGTGGCTGTCAGCCAAGCTTCATCCCCTCCTCCAACCCACCTGATTGTTTCACGGCGTGTTTGAAAGAAACAAGACGGCGGACAAACGAAAAGACAGGCCCAATCCTAACGTTTGGTCTGGTCATATGCCCTGTTGGCAGCCTCTTTAGGTAGGCCAGAGCCTGAGGAAGAGTTGGCTGGGACGCGGTATATCGATCCAAGAGATCCAACGACTGTCTAGACGTAACGATGCTGTTCTCTCGGCACACAACCGGAGACAGCGCGTTTCGATGCACATTCCAGATTACCTACTTTGATGCAATGTTTGAGGCGAATTGGATTTCTCTCGAGGAACTAGATGGCGAATAGTGGACTGTAGTCTACGGGTGATACCCGGGAGTGCGACGCACTTCTGCTGAATTATAAAGACCGTGGAATCTTCTACTTAACATGCTATCCTCAGCCCACCCACAGTCCGCTCCGGTATTAGTCACTCTTTACGAAACATTGCCCACCATGAAGGTACAGGCTCTCTCTCTCTCGCCGCTCTGGCTACTTTGGCCGCTGATTTCTCCCTTACACTTTCGCCTCTCAACGTCGAGCTCAACAAGGTTCAAGCCGCAGTCAACAGCGAACAAGCCAGCAAGGCCCGCTGCGACTATTAGGAGCTCGCGAAGCGCACAATTTTCCAGTCCGATTGTACCGACACCCGGGGCAGCGCGACTACAACCGCTCTTTCCAACCGCGCATCGCTCGCGCGCACGGCAGCATTCCAACGCACAGTCCAACAACGCATAGATGGTAGATTACTTAAAGTCGACCTCAAGAGTACTGTCGCCGCTGTCTTCAACAACATCGCCACCCAGTGGCTCCACCACATCCGGCAACAGCAGGTACTACTGCTTTGACACCCTGGGTGCGTGCTCTAGCGACGTACTGGCGTACACATACCCCTTGACCAGCCAGATGGTCAAATGCCCCATGTTCTTCTTTCGGCTGACGGCGCTGAGCCGTCAGTGTTATACTCAGGACCAGGCCACTACTGCGCTGCACGAGATGACGCACTTGACGCAGGCCAAGGGCACCAGCGACTACGGAGGCTACGTAAACTCTTTCGTGCGCAGCTTGAGCGCGACACAGAATCTGAACCATGTCGATACTCACACATTGTTTGCGCAGGCTCTGTCCGCTGGGTGCTAGATGTCGGACTCTGCGGCATGAGTGTCATCAGTGAAGGGATACTGTTTCTTTTTATAACTTTGTAACATTTGTTATCAAATAAACCATAGCATCATCCTCAATACTGCTCCCAAGTCCCTATCTGATGCCCTAATAATCTCTTATCCCTATACTTCTCGCCATACACATAACCGTCCAGAATGGGTTCCTCATCAATACCCAGGTGATGATCACCGTCACGACCCTTGAACCAGCCAAGCGCGTATCTTTTCTCTTGCTCCTCCAGATGCTTGGTCATTTGGCTACTGGTAAACTTCTCTGTATCGACAAATGTCAGAAGCATTTTCGACTGGTAAATCATGGCCAGGACTGAAGCCATGGTGCCGATCTGGCGAGGCATAAATTTGTGGGAGCGGCGCATGTAGGTGAGGATTGCAATACTGATGAGATACAGTAGAATGAGGATTGAGAGCGTGAGCGAGACCCAGAAGGATCGAAATGTCTGCTCCTGATTGTGTCTGTCATTGCCATCTTGCTCGTCGTCGTCGTCGCCACCCATCCCAGGGAAGAAGCGTTTGCCGTCCACGTTGATAGACGACACGCACACAGTCAGGACTTCAGCAAGAACGGATCCGAAGGCCACAAGTGCAACGAGCCAGTGCCTGTTGAACAGGGCGATGACAGGTAGGTAGAGGGGATTTGTGCCAGCGTAGTCAAGCGTCAGTGTTTGAGCCGACGCATTTCGTTTGGACAGTATGTAGAACGGTTGTAGCATACGAACGTCGCAGTTCATGGTGTTCCAAAGAATCCTGACAATCGTCGCAAGACCAGTAAGGAGGAAGGGTAGCTTATCCGTCACGACGCTAGTCTCTTCGAGGAAGGTGAATACCGGAATAGCTGCGGTAAAGAGCACAATGTAGCTGACGAATGCGACTCCAGGTATGAGTCGTAACATCAGGGGTCTGGGATCTGCACTGTGGTCGTAGAATCTCTCTTTTGCGTTCCGGATGTATTCTCCCTGCCATAGGCTACTTTTGTGGAGAATATAACGGCGATGACGAAGCCGTTTGTGAATCTTCTCAAGTGGTGCTTCATCGAGGCCATGGAAGTCTGTGAGAATATGACTTCTGTTGAAGTGGTTAGTCACTTGCGTTGTGCAAAGATGAGACTTCTGATGCATACCTGGTGGCCATGGCTGCAACACCAGCGATACCTTGAGGATTAGACAGTAGTCCGCTTTTACGACGCATGGCATACATCAACGCTGCACCGCAGATAGCAACGAAGACGAGGCACCCTGATACTGCTCGAGACCAGGGTGGGTCGATGCGGATGTATTTTTCCTCAGCACTAATCCGCTCCTCCTTCGGAGGATCCACCTTGATCGATGCCGACTGGAGTACGGGTACCAGACTGCTGCCCACCAAGGTGCCCAGGGAACTCCAAATGACTGCATATTGCCTATGTCGCAGAGCTCGTAGCGGAACTAGCCAGCTCATGAACGTGAGATAGTCCATGTTGAGTGATTCTCCGGCAGTAGCACCCGTCTTACGGCTTAATTGGTAATATGGCTCGAGTCGCTTCACTTCGAAGTCCGTCATCTGCCACAGTATGCCGTAGAAAACAAAGGCGATAATGGGAGCATATTTCCATGTGAAGAACACAGCAAGAGTGAGGTCGTCGGCTTTGGTGAATTTTGCGAGACCTTCTTTGGACCTCGTAGATTTTTGACACAGGCACTCCTGAAGAGCAGCAAGCGCCAACGCAATGGATGTAAGCATGGCAAGCCAGGGCCATCCCATAGTTAGAGGGCGCCACGATGGCATGTCCGGATCTTTTGGGAAGAAGTAGCTCTTCTGTGCTTCGCTCTTACCGTGATGTGAAGAGCTAGTCAACATGCTCCGCGTTTCGAAATCAGTCCCACCAAACGAGTCGCTGATGTCAACTGGAATTTCTGCAACAGCAACGATGCCACCCGTCTTCTCAGCTTCTTCCTGCGCATTTCGAGCCTGAGAAACCGTAATGTCTGCATTAGGCTCTCCGCGTGACTGCCTTGCGTAACTTCCAGGCCCTGTTGGTGCTGGTACATGTGTAAAGGGTTTCTCGAAGATCGACTTCATGCCTGCGCCAAGGCCGACTTGACTCTCTAGTCTTTCATACTCAGCAGCGTAGCCGGCTTCACTGAAGTCGTAGTGCTGCTCCGAGGCACTTGCAGTGCCGTCCACTTTCTTGGAATAGCTGATCTGACTCATTTGTATGGCGCTGGAGTTCTTTCGAAAGGTTTCAAAAGGCTCGTTGCCTTCTTCCAAATCTCTCAGCTGGCGCTTGCCCATATGTGAATCCTCATCGTTGAGGCGATCGTAAAACCCTCGTCCTCTTAATGATGTGAGCCGACTGAATAATTTCCTAGTACTACCACTGGAACGTGAGGAGGTGGGTGCGCCTTGAATCTCAAAAGGACTAGCCGACGGTTCGTACGCAGTGGTTTCAGGGAATGTTAGGGGTGGAGGAGGCGCCGGACCCCATGATTTTTGTCGAGACTGAGAGGCAGGTAGCAGAGGCGACGGGTGGGACGTACGCTGCGAAGAGGCACCGATGTCTGTCGGGTTGGCTGATGAAATGGACGATGGCCGAGACGGGAAGAGTTGTGAAAGTCTGCTTGATCCTGATGTATTCTTCCGCGTGATCGGTGGTCGCGCAGCCCACGGCGCATTGCTAAACTCAGCAGCTGGAGATCCTACACGGAGCGCGGCAGAGACTGCAGCAACCGATGGCTTCCGTCCAACGTTTGGTAAGCCTATCTGAAGCGGAGACGGCACTTCAGTCATTGCTGCTCTTCAGCCTAGCTCTTTAGAAGTGTTCCTATGCCGACGTAACAATCGACCAGCAAGTCTCGGTCCAAAAGGTACGGAGTCTAGGATAGATGGTGGAAGAGGCAGCTGGTGAAGTTCAGCGCAGTTCAAGACGTTCCCTCGCTGTTAAAGGACGCCTTGCAGCCTTCGGCGCTTTTAGTTTCTTGTAGCCTCAGCCCAGGAATAGCACGATCTCATTTGCGCAGACGAGCAGTGGCCCAAACTAGGAGATCCGGGCTGAGTACGAACCAGTACCTCAACTGTAGCCAAGTTAAGCGTACTCGTACCTGCATCAGTTAAGGACCTGGTCGTTGGCGCAGAGCCTCTCTTGACTCGTTCAGCTGAGACAATGTTGTGCGGCCTGACTAAACCAAAGCCTGTGAGTTCGGATAATCGACCTGGGCACGGGAAAAGCCTGGAGACAGGAAGTGACGGCCTCTGAATGAGGTCCAATGTTCGAAAGCTTAAAATGCGAGCATGAGTCCGTCCATGAATCCTGATAAGATTGTCGTGCGACATCAGATGCAGGCGGTGCTAATAATACAGGTCACAGCCGCAGAGGGCGTTGTCGCTCGCCTGCCCCTGCTTGTTGCGGATGCAACTCGGAGCGCCAGAAAATTGGGGGCTGGAAACGTCGACATTGCCTGGTAAAGCGTCGCACGGTTGTGTTCTAACGACAGTTGACGTTCGTCGATGGTTGTTGATGTCAAAGAGTCGAAGTATTGACGAAAGCAATACCTAATGACGCAGCGGCAAAGGCCGGTCCCTGTTGCTTCCCCTGTGCGACAGACGCCGAGCCGCTGACAAGGAAGCCACAACCTGCAAACGCAGGTACAAACATGGAGCGATGATCAGCACGAGTGGGTCTCAGCACTTGCTCACCGGTCGCCCTCGCTCATGACTCTGGCGCGCGTTCAGTCCTTCATTGACCCTCAGCTGGGGCGTACACAGGCAAACATCGGGCGGGGTCAAGATGGCTACATCCACGGGGTATACAATGCACGATGATTCGTGAGTGATCCTTGCTGCTCAGTTCACAGTTTCCTGCGCTTTCAATTCTTTACTATTGACATGTCAGCCTTGACGATCCCCTCTCGTGAGATACGAGTTCAGTACACCGAAGATACAGTCTCCGTCTAGCACCGACGGTTGGACGCATCGCTCAAGTTCAGCACTACGCGCATAACTTGCATCAAATCTTCCTGTGCACGGATGCCGTACCGCAGCGGATATCAATACAAGGATCCACAGCAAGAAGGGTGTACCTGAAGCTGCTTGAGACGGCCACACACCATAAAGAAGCTAAAGGATAAAGACAAAGGACGCTCGTCACGTGTCAGAGTGCAATGGGACTCCGAGAGGACCCTTTGACTAGAGAGGCTGCCGCATCCGGAGCATACAGATTGGTATCCCTAGCTCCCTCGTCAACGACTTGGTGAAGGCATATGCTCGAAAGAGGACATCACCGAAAGAGTTAGAGAGTTGAAGAGAAAGCTTGATCAGAGTCAAGAGATGAAGTTCGAAGGTCTGCAAGATGAAGGATTGATTCCCAATGAAGAGATGTTGGCTTTGAGCGATGAACTGCGACGTGCGTTGGAAATAAAATAATAGAGGTCGCGGGAATGGTGGCGACGAATCTATCGAACGGTTTCTCGGAAGGAATCAAGATCCAGGACGAAACAAGACTGCTGCGTCGGACAAGCGGCAGTACATTATCACGACTGCTTACTTTTCCGACGTCATATCGAAGCCTATCTCAACCTCGATCGTGCGGTATGACGGCTCGCCTGAGAACTTCCGAGCTTCCCGTAACATGGTGAGGGCCTGCTCGAAGGTCTCGTCTGCCTCCTCTGAGTCTCGTTTAATGCAGGTCCTGCTTTAGAGTGACATATCCTCGGGTGAATGGAGCTCGATGTATGCACATCGAGTTTTCGTGTGTTGGTCGATATGGATCAAGCAGCGCGCCGCTGAGTCTATGCCATTGTCAATGAAAATGGTGCCGTAGGGCTGACAAGTTCCGATGAACCAGGGTCCTTCTGGCGAAGTTTTGTAGAAGAGACGGAGAGCGACTTTGTGAGACATATTCGTACTCTTGGCTTTGCCACGTCTACGCGCAGAGGGGATGCCCGCAGCCAGTGTACAGGTTGGTTTTAGCGGTGGATCACATTTGGTCTGCAGTAGGTAAGCCGCACGCGCCCACAAAGTGGAGCTTTCGGAGACTCTTCAGCCTCAAAATTCATCCGGGATTGGAACCTTTGAGATACTTGTGGATGGAAAACGCCGTACAAACCGACGTACTGGTAGGTGATAGTCGGTTTTGCCTGACCTCAAAAAGCGCAGGAAAGACTAGGTGGAGGCGGCGCAGTTGCTGAGAGTGATGTTGATGAACTCGTCTGACCGCTTCATTGTCTTCAGGTGGATAGATCTGCGGAGGCGGCTGCCGTGGAAGTAGAGGTGAGCTGCAGAGCAGTCGTTAGTGTTGCCCTGCCCAAGCCTCTGAATGCTGCACAGGAGGTCTCCAGAAGCCTGGAATTGCGCTGCTCTGTTCAAAAACTGCATTGTTTGCTGCACATCTTCGGACTCAAAGTCAAGAGATGAGAGGTCAGCGCCTGCTTCTCTCAAAGGATTCTTGCCTGCTAAGCACAGGTTAAGTAGGAACGGTGCGCTGTTCTTGCGGCGAAGCTCTTTGTTTGAGAAGAAGTAAGTAGGCCAATCTTTCGTTGTAAGCACACGACCCTCGTTATAGTTGAAATATAGCTTATAAATATGGTAGCGGAGTTCGGTACGAAGATCGGCCAAACGATGGAAGATCGGTTGTTGAGTGAGATCATCGACGTAGGGCTGGAGGTCGTGCGCAAGCTGAAGTGATGCGGCAATATCTAGAGCAAAATTGCCGCTGTCGGCCTCGATACTAGTCAGCTTAGAGGCGGTGGCGGCAGGTGCTGTGTCGGAGAAACGATCATGGAACGGATGTTAACATTGCTCGATGATACAGAACGCTTAATAACGAGAACAAGGAGGTTTGAAAAGAATACCAAGTCAGACCCCTACTTGGATGTAGTCCTCTTCCTCCTCAATGCCAATCAGATCGTTCAAAACTTCATCCGCCTTTTTGAAGATGAAGCTCACGTGGCCTTCTCCTTCCATCATATGCAAATTGGAATCTGGCATCAGCGACTTGGCCTTCTTCGCCATCGCTGCCGGACAGTTGACATCCTCAGTGCCATGCCACAACGTGAGCGAGCAGCCTACATCGCTACAGACATATAGCTGGGTGAGCTCGAAGCCCCATTCGCTGCCATTCAACCTTGCCTCCCAGCTCGCACCTCGACTGCCGTGTGCGAAAGTCTCTCGCATCATAATGACGAAAGTCGGCCAGTGCTTCGGGTCCTTCATTGCAATCTGATCGCCAGAATGGCGATTGCCGATCTCCTGCTCAAGTATATCCTCGAAGACCTGTGGATCTGAGCACCTCGCAGCCTTGCCCATGCCCGTGTCAAATATGAACGAGGTCAGGCCCGTCAGCCATGGGGCAAGCCAGAACAGCATTCGCGACTGCAGCATCATGCCTGCCGTACCAAACTTTGTAGGGTACATCCCGCTAACAATGCTCACGCCCAATAACCTCGAATTGGGTATTCTCTTCATGCATGCCAGCGCGTATGACGCCCCTCCGCTAACGCCCAGTATGTAGAACTGCGATATCTTGAGAGCGTCTGCGAGTGCGAGCACATCGACGGGCCAGTCAAGGATACGGCGGTTTGGCTTGTATGTCGAGAGTCCTATGCCAGGGCGGTCTGGGGCTATGAGACGTATCATGTGCTTTGTGCATGCTGAATGCCACAACTTCCCTTCATACCGCGAAGAAGGAAAGCCGTGCATGTAGAGGACCGTGGTGCGGGGCACAGGGCTGCCGTAGATCGCGTACGACAGCTTCCGGCCATCTTCGAGCTGTATATTTTCGTTCTCAAGCACTGTGCTTGTGATCATGGCGACGACGACCGTGGGCCGTAAGTGAGCCGTGGCAGCTGTTCAAGACGAAGTACAAACGTTCATGTTGGAGTGGAGAGGGACTTCACAACCGCGAAAGCGCTCACCGCGCAGCAGCCGTTATAATACACACACGCATTGTGATCCAAAGGCCTTAGCAATATTGCATAGATCGCTCCCCGGGCTGTGTGTTGTACAGCGTGAATTAGATTGGCGGGGGATTCAAGACCCAGGAGCGACTTCCGTCCCAAGCGCCGCTAATTCTGTCAGCGGGAAGGCGACCCAAGCGCCACCAGGGTTCCGCGTCAATCCTCATCTAACTTGCAGAAAAGAGTCGCAGATGACCTGCTGTGCAACCCTGCAAGAGTATGGAATCGCCTCTCGTGAGGACATCGAAGCTTCAACCCGCCTGAAAGCTGCTCATGACACTCACGTCCTTCCCCGCTCGAACGCGCGAGTCGCTCCTGATAAGACGGATCAGCACACCCAGCGCAACAACGTTTGGTGGCAAGAGCTTCAGGGTCCTCTGTTACTCTGCCATTGTAAAACCTGAAGCGCCGGAAACGCTCGCTTAGAACCGCACACCGCTTGCCTCTTCGCCTCGACACCGTTGCTCGGCCTCCAGGGCAAGGCTGCAGCTTACAGTCGTAGCCAATGGAGCCATCAATTGCGACTGTGTCGACACTGGACAGACTGCAGATCAATGCACGATAGCGCAAGCTTATGGACCACTAACGGTCATGGACACTTCAAACGGTTGGCTGTATTTTCTAACTTGGTGGCAACAGCAGCAGCTGAGTCTATGGTCCCAAATAAATCTATGTTGGCAGTCTCGCGATTGTTTTCATTGCATAGAATAAACCCCAACAGACAGACATTTCAAAGCTTCCTCAAGAGAGCCCTGATGAAGCCCTCCTCCTTCGCCTTTCTCAGTGGGAATTTCCTGCCGTCACTCGTGTACTCAACAAAAGCCTTGTAGCTCTTGAAGCGAATGACCTTCTCTCCGACCAAGCGGTGGTCGATGAGATTCACAAGATTGACAAGCATGTTGCGACCTCCCAGAACCTGTTGCTCTTGTCAGTACCGTCTGTCTACTATACTCAGCAGCGACGACAAGCCTTCTTGCATTGCGTGATGCTCGACGGCACTTCCTGGACATGCACCTCTCGGCACAACTCCTGCCATTTCTCCAATTTGCTGACGTCGTCATCATTCCCGTAGAGACGACCAAATTCAGAAATCTGGCACTGTACCCAGCGGGTGTTCTTCAGCTTATGTCCCCACTGGCGCTGGGCAGCGAGGCGGTCGAAGTTGCTACGCAGCCCGGAAGTAGGGTCGTATGTGAATCCAGCGAACTGGTTGAACCAGTTTTCTGTAGCGCCGACTACGTCGAAAGTCAATCAATAGCTATGTGACTATGTGAGTTCGGTAGGATGACTTACAGGCTGGGCGGTTGCGCTGGCGTGCCATTGTGTGGTCAATGTCGATGCGATCTGTCAGGTGCTCGCAGTGAATGTACTTGGCGTGTCTAAGGTGCTGCCTTTCGAATGGCCGTTGCGCTACTTGTGCGTCGCTAGAAGTAGATTGAGAGGCTATATATACTTGTCACTGTTGTGCTTGCTTGCCACTTGGTGGCTGATGCGGCGCAGTGCAGTTGCCTGTGCTGAGGCTGCGGTCGCGGCGTAGCAACACCTACAATATCAAACTGATAATTCGGCGCCTTTATTCTCATTGCGATGTCTCTTATTTGCATAGGGCGTCGGTCTTTGATATAGTAGACACAAATACTGCAACCTGCCGCTGCACGTCGGCGTCACGCGTCAATCACGAAGGAAGCGAGTCTGTGAGACATACACCTCGGACTGCAAAGATTGTTAGAAAGTTTGCATTTGAAAGGGGATTGATCGTAGCATTGAGTCATTACTCCCCTGCTCATCTTAAGGTGTAAACCAAGAGGCACAGTAATTGCATGAGGTCGTAAAAGCACCTACACAGTCGACCCGTGTGGCATCGTTATCCCAAAACCCTGGCCTGAACACCGTCGCTATGTAAAAGTCCAAAACCTAACATCTTGCTGTCACGAAGATCAATCAGATCAAGTAAGATCTCGCAGATGAACAGAAGTCCTTCATTTCCAAAGCACGCATGACATGTGCACCTTACACTCTCTTCAGCAAAATCTTGATGAACCCCTCCTGCTTCGCGCAGTTGAGAGGGAACTTGTGACCGTTACGGGTGAACTTGTTGAACTCGCCGTATGATTGGAAACGCAACACTTTGAGCTCTGGGTTACGGCGATGGTCCACTAGGTTGAACAAGTTAACGAACACGGGCTTCAGAACCTGTGATATGTCAGCAATGCTCACAGGCAGCACCATATGTGGTTGGGAGGCCGGTAGTCTTCCAATGCACTCACCTTCTGGCACTGCGTGATTGAGGTAGGGATCTTCTCGATGCCAACTTCTTCGCACAGTTCTTGCCAGCGATCAAGCCGGTTCATGTGAGCGCCGTAGTGGTACTTGATCTCGGCAGTGAGCGCTTCAGCCTGAAGATTCTTCTTTCCTTTCTTCATTGTCGCACCAAGATGCTTGCACAGTCGGCCAAGCTCATGCTTGAAGGGAGCACGTGGGTCTGGCTCGAAGCCGGGGTACTGATACCAGAATGGGCTGGCCTTAGAAGGCGACTTCGGATCGTCTGCGGTGCCAGAGCCTGCTGCTGATGTTGTGTCCTCTGCGGAAAGGTTCAGCGTGGCTGGCGCCTTGGAATTCTGGGGTTCGGCAGTGGTAGCCGGTGACTCATTCTTTATGCCATCGAGTGACACAGACTCTAAGCCAAGCACGATGCCTCCAAAGATAGAGCCATTGGTATTAAGAGACTGGATGCTGGGAGCTGCTGAGATGAAGGAGAAGTCAGATTCGGCGGATGCAACGGAACCGTCTGAGCTGTTGGAGAGGCGGCGACGAGAATGCCCCACCAAATCAGAGGTAGCAACAGGTGTTGCGGGAATTGCAGAGACATCTAGGGTCATCAGTACCGAGCTATGTGGAATATCCACATTTCACAGAACTTCAAGCTACTCACCGCGGCGACCAAACAGATAAGGCTCCTTGAAACAAGCCTCCCAATGCCACCGCCATTCCGCGTCGCCTCCAACCCACCCCTGTACCTTTGCAAGACCTGCGAAGTTGGCTTTCGGCGTTTTAGTGTTGTCAACCTCGAAGACGGTCCCGTCGGCCCATACTTTGATCAGCGCAAGCTGACCTTCAGAGGACTCCATGGTGGTCGCGATGTTGTGCAGATTGTAAGTGTTGATGCCGAGGGGCTTCAGTGAGGGACAGTCAAGCGAGTAGGTCAATTTTGTTTATGTTCTTCGGTATGATCGTGAAGTGAACGTGTGAGAAAGCGAGAGCGACGAGAGATGTTGGAGATTGTTCAACGTGGCCGGGCCTGTTCGAGCGGTCGGTGCACGCGGATAGCCGGAGAGCAAACAAAGCTGTTTCACTCACTCACACTGGTGTGTCCTCAGTTCCCTCGAAGTTGCGTATCGCACTCAATACCGATGCATGTTGTTAACGATAGTGATGGGCTAGGGGTCGTAATCGACGATATAGGTGTGGGCATGCGAGGTTGAAGGTCGGAGGTGGGTCTACGCGACCGCGCTAGTGTCGACGCGTCTAGCAAGGAAGGTTTGTGCGGCATGCAAGCAAACAAGCACGCCATACTGAAGACAAGGTGCATTCAGATATCAGACTCTCGGTTTCCTTGTACCTGGTGGTACAGATAACATGATATGACTGCTTGTAGGCTCAAGGCTGTTTCTCCACCTTCTCCTGACAAGCGACGTGGTGGCGCGTAACCTCTGACTTGAATTCCACACACGTAGATGATACACAGCTGATCACGAAAGCCAGCATTGAACACATGAGCGACAGTTATTGACGGCTCAAAAGTACCCATCCACATCAGCCTGGTGAAGAGCGTCCTGGTACGCTACGATCTCGCCCTTCAACTCCCGATTCTGGTCCTTGGAAGCCTCGAGCTCATCTTCCAGCTTAGCGATCTCAGCCAGAGCGGCAGAAAGTGAGCGTGGTCGACCGACTGCCTCTTGGGTGACATCGGCTAGAGGTGCGCGCTTGGAGGATGGCGCAGGCTCAACAGTGATGTCAGCCTTGTTGCTGAGCCTGAAGGTGGGAGCGCTGTGGGAGTTCTCGTTGTTGGAGTCATAGAAGTCAGCGTTGAAAGCTGGGGAATCGAAACGCTGCGGTGCACATTCTTCGCAGAAGATCTTGAAAGGCTGTACTGCGGCAGGCGCGAAGGACTTGGGAGACGTCGACTTCGGAGCCATTGGTGCTTCACTAATGTCAGTACGGTTGCGTATGATAGAAACGCCCAACTTACAGGAATGGAGTTGAAAAGTAGTGTGGAATGCTTTGGAGACGTAAGTGTTGTCAAGCAGAGCGGACGAAAAGATTTTACATGCGAGTGTTTGGCTTCGAGGTGAAGGAACCGTCCCATATCCACTCTTTCCACGGCCCTGCTGGCGCCTCCTTCGACGCAGTGAAAGCAAAGGCACCGACTCAAGAAATTAGACAGGTCTCCATCAGGATATGATCATCGATATATAGGATGCGTGCTCCTCATGTGCGAAAATCCGATCAGTCCCAATCCCATGGAGCTCATTGCTTTCATCTGCGTTCGTCTCATGTGTGTCGAGACTCAGATATACTGTGTGAGGTGAATCTAAGGCCCAGCACTTGGCAAGAAGTTTCTGCAGACTATACTGACGGTGACAATGATCCGTCTACCAGCAAAAAGATACCAGTCACCATTATTGAGGTCGATGGAAGATTATGGGAACTGCGCGTACCTGGAGGCTAGCCATCTTGACCCGCTGAGAATGGAATATTGTCGCGCTCGCTTTCGTCGAAATTGACAGGTAGCAAACTGACTTGAGATAGATGAGTCTCGAATCCACATGGCTGCGAACGATGTGCCTTCTGCAAGACGTAAACACAGCATACCATATGCGCACGTTTCCATCCGACCGAGGCTTTGTGCGTGAATACTGGTCATAGTCCAACTCAGTATTTATGGCAGCAATTGCAATTGACTCCTGTCATAATCGCATTCATTGTTCTCAATGCTGCCGTTTGGCATATCACATAAACACCTACTGCCCGCTAGTCCTCACTGTGAGCGAGATCGATCGATGGCCACAGCGCGAGCCAGTGAAATTCTCGCAAACCATGCTGTAGTTCTATCTGCACACATTCAGATTGTCGCATCGTGACTATGCCTCTCATCGTTCACGTTCACCAGACTTCATTCACACCTCACCACTCATCGGGGGCCTGTGAACCTGCATTTTATATCATCCTGATCGACCCTCCAGTTTCGGCATCACCACACCTCTCTAAGCCCCTCCTATTGCCTCAGTCACCACGCTCTTCACATTACTTCATCATGACTGTGTCCACCGACAATACTCCCATGGACATCAGCCACGACACTTCCTCTTCCGCCCGGAGCGACTCGAGCAAGAGCGATACTGTCGAGAGTACGACCACTCAACCATCATCCATAGACGAATACCACTACCCCAACTCTCCCACGAGGAAGCTGCATGCCCACATCAGTCATTTCGTGAAGTACCTCAAGCCAGAGCATGACGGCGTATTCAAGCTCAAGGACGCAATCGCAACGGCGCTCTTCAACGTCGCGCCTGAAACGCTCACGTCGTTCGTCGACCCCCTTGTCGGCACCTTCAATGCTGTTTTCAAGGGAAACAAGCGGCTCGTCGTCTGGCGCAAGGGCAACGCAGGCTTCGGAAGTATCGAACGCACACGACGCCGCGCTGCAGTGGCTCACCTAGCAAGATCGTAATTTACGAGCACCACACGTCCATGAGGGCTCGAGCACCTGGTGGGATTCTCGATCAGCTGGAACGGCTCATGGCACATTATCGTTAGCGCTGGCAACACCTTCTGCGAGGCCAAGTGGCCTGTGGTCTGGACGGGCCCGTACGAAGTCCTCGGCGGCGTCTACGAGATGTTTGAGGATAAGGAGAGTGATGAAGACGCAAAGTACGAGCGGGCTACGCTGTTGGCGATGAGGATACTGGAGGGCAAGTTTTGGGAGGCAACCGTGAACGTCAAAGCTGTGTGAGCATCCACAGGTACCAGACGGGATTTGCTGTTACCAAAATTCAAGCGGTACGCACGTTGGCGACCTATTTGACATCTTGATCAGTGTGTGGACATGAGGGAAAGCTGGAGTCTTACAATTGACGGTCTGAGCAGAAGTATGGTAGATGCTTCTACTGGGTTGATACGCCGCAAAGAACTTGTTCATCCTATCACGAGAATTTTCAATCGCTTGTCTAAAGAATTGATGCACAAGGATGAGTCGCTCTGTTGCACAGTCCGATTGGAAGACATAGCTTCTATGCTCGCCGCATGCATCTCGTCTCTAGCCATCTATCTCCGTTCCAGGTTCTCCATCCAGGATCCGGAATTCGAAAGCAGGCATCGCGAGAACGACCTTTGCTTTCCCGTGCTGATAAAATATGATGTCTCCATTCTCCAATGACTCTGCATTTAAACCCCCCTGCAGGCATTCTCTAAGTAGAGCATGCATGTAAGAGAGTTTCCTGAACATAGTCAGCGCGCGAGGAGTGATCTGAAGCACCCGAACTTACTCATGTACCTGCGGTGTCTCGTGCGAAGGCCATGACGCCAACACCGTGCCATTTTCAGAGACTAGTAGCAAGATTCCGTTGGGCAACGTCTCGACCTTCAGATTCATTAGATCGTCGACAGCCAGCTGCTGCTGGCGCTTTAACTCGTTTGCCTGCTTTGCATCCGCTGGCGATGGTGGCCCAGCTGAGTCGTGTTCCGGTGTCTTCGAAGGCACGTCAGGCGCTTCACTTTTCTCTCTGATCCTCAATTTTGAGGTTCCGGATACTTCGACATCGATGTAGTGGACATCGATCTCCGTAGGATCTGGTGGTGGGGTTCCAACGACGCTACGAGCAGAACCAGCAGAGAGGGTGTCAGAGCTGATACCATCGCTATCTATGCTGATCGAATCCAGTGTTGTCATCTTCAAGCGTTCAAAAGCCATGTCCTCGCACGCTGAACCGTCTTGCTTTATGACATCCATCAACAGCCTCACGGCCAGGTTCCACATATAGCCGTGATGACGTGGGCAAGCCAGCAGATCACGCAGAAGCTCGGCAATGGTAGTGTTGAGGCCCTCTGTGCTGTCATACCTGACACTAGGATAGTCTTCAGGTGCGTACTCGAAGCAAGCTCTGCGGACGCTCGACAGAAGCTTGGCACATTTCTCGTGGAAGTCGAAAATGTCGAAATTGAGCGCCTCTTCGTCGCCTTCGTACATTTCCTTCGCGGCGATAAGGACACCGATGGTATTGGGCGACCCATGGGCCGAAAAGCCATCCAGATGGTAGTCAGCGAAGGCCTGCAGCATTCGAAGCCTCCACTCGCCGGGGCTGGACTTGTGCAACTGCTTGAAATCCTCGCAAGCCCGGACATATTTCGTGCAACTCTCCAGACGTTTAGGGGAGCCACCTGTAAGGTGGATATCATTCCTGACCCACTCTGGATATGCCGGGCTGTGACCAATGGCGAACTTGCTGTGATCAAGACCATAGGCATCGCAGAAATTTTTCAAGTACTTTGGGCTGGTGTCTGCAGGTGGATTTCCGAGAAGGTTGAGTTCAATCTGACTGTCAATCACCCATTCCATATCATCCCAGCAGACTTCCGGCGGCAATGATCCAGATTGCTTAGCTGCATTGTAGAAATGAATGGCTGTCAATATATGACCGCGATCGTTCGCGATATCCAAGAATGCATCGTGGAACTCTTCGTGATACTGAGCTACCATCTGCCCAACGAGAAGGGGAACGTGGCGTACGATATTGAAACCTGGGATGGTATGTTGTCGTGGCGTACCGTGTTCCCACCTCTCCAAATTGGCCTGTAAATCGTCCTCGGAATAGACAATGTGACGGAGGATGTTGTATTGGTCATTCACCCGCTTGAGCCTCGTAGAGCGGTTACCATCGACGCTCTCATTCATCCAATCTGCCTTGTATTTGTCGTAGAGCCGAAGATAATCTAGGCTCACCGTCTCGAGGATGTCCTCGAGGGGGAAATGTTGAGGATCCACTTCCTGCTGGATATCGTACAGCATTTGCGCGGCAAACACCGCTTCGGTGTCCATATGACCCAGCACTAGGGATCTCGCTGCCTCATACATACAGTCGGTCTTAAGGGTTTCCGAGATTGGATCTTTTGACCACTCGAGGCATCGCAGCTGGGCTAGAGACTTGAGCAAACGCGCTTTTTCAAGATATGGCGCCTGATGCGGTTGTTGCTGTGCAACGAAGGCTCCGAATAGCGACATCGATATTCGAGAGCATTGTAGAGTGCTCGCATAAAAGCCTAGCCTCCGCGTTGCTTCTCTTGCAAGACTAACAACATCGAAAGCTGGTTCGATATTGTTTGGGTGTGTATCGGTGCCATCCATGTCGTTGGCGATGTATCGCTGCATGAATGCATCGATCTTGGCGTGCATGCAGGTCGTCCATGGGTCATTATTGAAGACGTCAAACGTTCTTCGCAGCTGCTCTGACATCCTTCCAAGTTGGGCGTAGGTGCTGTTTGTGCAAAAGGTAGCCGTCTGAATTCCGATACTGCCGAGAGCAAACTCGCGCCACGCTCGTCTTGAGAACAATCGAAAGTATGTCGCATCCTGCATGCAACAATAAAATGCGAATGCTGTGTCTTCCAAGCAGTCCTTTAACTTGTAGAGCACGCTGCCGTCCGTCTTGGGTATTGATATACTTCTCGTGTAATAGAGAGATTCCACAATCTCGACATTGCCGACCCCGTCAATTATGCTGTCAGCACGATCGCTCAAGGCTGAAAGCTTTTCGATGACCTCTGACTGTGTAGGGCCAGGCGGTCGGCTTCGGAGGTCCTTCAAGAGATTCTCTAGCACACGTATGATCCGGCGGCGCCATTTGTTGTTCTCTTTCACTGCCTTTTCTACTCGCCCTGTCTCTTGATTGCGGACGCACTAGGTAGCAAATCCTTTTCGAGCATGTATGATGCCTTGGAGGACCACCAGGACGTTGTAATCGACTTCGACTTTGCTTGTGTTCGCAATCGCTCTGCCAAGTTTGCTCAGGACTTTGTATGAGATTTCGAATTCCGAGGACGAAGACCCATCGGCTGTTTTACTCGTGGGCTTTGCGGGTCTCGCTGGCTGGCGTTTTCTCCCCTTCAGCTTGTCCATGAGTGAGGGACGTGCGACCTCTTTATCTTTGAGCTTCTGGACGAACGATCGATGCGTTGTTGGCCTGGCCTCCTCGAATAGACTTGCGACCGAACCACTCGACCTCGCGCTAGATGCGATCCACTGCACGACATCGTTGGTGGCCTGCCGGTATGCCCAGAAGGTACTGCCGAGGGGGGGCTCAAAGTGTGTGACCATGGTTATAGAAATGAAAGGTAGCAATACTGGCTTGCTAATGATAGCTGACAACGGAACAGATGATGAAGGTAAGTTGATGACCTGCGAGGTGAGAGGCCGCGAGTCTGCAGAATAATTGGAAGACAAGGGAGGCAGCAGGGCGTAGAGGCAGGTAACAACCACATGGGAGCTCTTGCCCGACTCGACAAACAAACGACCTTGGACGGATCTGTAGTGTCTCATTCGTTCTACATACTGACAGGCTTCTCAAATCTCGATCAGGACATGCACCATGCTTGAAGCTTGAGGGCTTCCGTCGCCGCCTATGGTTGGTTATGATGGCCTCTTCAGGACTCTTCAAACTCCGGTTACCTCAAATTATATCCAGGTTCGTCGCTTCTGACTGCAGTATGAATAACATTCCTGGTGTTCAGATGACTGAACAATCATGCTGTGCTGAAATCGAGGTCCTACGCCTGAACTCCGCCCTAGCGCAGGCCATGGATGCTTGGCGGAGACATTTCGACGTTTGGAGATCGGTGCACCACCAACGCGCCATCAGCACCTTGCAATTGCGCCGCCATTCCCCACACCATGAATATCTCGTCCTTCCGCCCGGTCTTCAGACCATTCGGCGCTGCTGCCTCGATCCTCCGCACACCCGCCACACAATGCGCGGCGACAAGAACACCCGCATCGACATCGCCCTTCTCATCCACAGCACGCCTGGAGAAACGGGCCAAGGGGCCAGGCAAAGACCCCAGGATCAGTACGTCACGCCAACTCCATACAAGGCAGACTGAAATGGTCGTCCAAGACGTTTCTGCGCGCATGAAGCAAACAGGAACAAGCAGGCTAACACCACCCCCCCAGCAAACATCCGCTACCACCTTTCTCACCCGCTCACACCGCGCCCGCTCCACTTCTCGCGCAACCGCTACCTGCGTCACTGGACAATCCACCGCGCCTGGATGCTGTTCCTGCGCCGGCGCCGCTGGGCCGAGGAGCGCGAGCTCGAGCGCCAGTACATGTCGATGCGCGCTGCGTGCGAGCACCTGCGACTGATGGACTCGAACGGCAACCAGGTCAGCGAAGAGGAGGCTGGTGGTCAGGGACCTGATGCTGGACGGCTGGGTGTGAGGGGCCGTGAGGTTGGAAGGCTGTACAGGAGTGCGATGATCAAGAGGGGGATTTGGGGGAGTGTGCCGATCGAGTACGCGAGGGTGCAGACGGATTATCCGAGTCGACAGGGCTGGAACCATGAGTGGACGCGGAACTAGAGGGATGGTGATTTTGTGACGAGGGTGTATCATATCTGTTGGCAAGCATTTGGCATGTGTGCATATCTGTACTATAAGATTCACAATCATCAGGAGATTGATTCGCATGTGGAAGAGAAATGGTGGTGGACAATGGGAATGCGTGATAATATTAGCGCTCGGTAGTCATATGCTATGCCTGATCCCAACCTTGGTCGTCCCAGACCATGCATCCCCCAAGATATGCACAAATGAGTGTAGATGATAGTCCGTATCATCATTAGTCCGTCAGGCCTTATGTCCGCCCTTTGGTAACAATCCTATGCTTAATATGTCCAAGAGAACTGAAGCATTCTTCCACCCTTGCCACAGGAGCCTTTCGAACAGCAGACGTAGATAAACAACGCAAGAAGAATATGCAACAGACGCTAACAACGCCTGGCAGTTGGTGATAGCCCAAGAAGATAACGCCGCCCAATGCTGATGATGTGCGAATTCGCTCGCAAGGCAGATGGGAGGGCTGCTTATAGGACCACGCAGCCGCAGCCGGCACCCTCCTTCTTGTCGACTGAAAGTAGCGCAGCGCGCGTAGCAGCTTCGAAAACGTCGTCGACGCCGTCTCCTGTAAGCGAGGAGCACTCGAGATATTTGCGGGCGCCAATCATCTCTTTCATGTCACTGCCCTGCTTAGGGGTGGTGAAACGGAGCGACTTCTTCCTCATCTCCTCCTGGGCGAGCGGGTCGTCGCGGAGATCCTTCTTCAACCCAATAAGTATGATGGGGATGCCCTGGCACCTTTCGCGGGCCTCCTCGGCCCACTTGTGTTTGACGTTTTCCAGCGAGTCGGGTGAATCGACAGAAAACCCGATGAGGATGACATGTGCTTTACTGTAAGCGAGTGGGCGCAAGCGTTCGTAGTCCTCCTGGCCCGCGGTATCCCATAGTGCCAGCTGGACGGATTTACCATCTACTCTGCAGTCTGTGACGTAGTTTTCGAAGACGGTAGGAACATAACGCTGCAAGACACATTAGCATGCCGCGTTGACAATTGAGCCATGCCGCGTTGACAATTGAGCCATGCCGCGTTGACAATTGAGCCATGGCGCAGCTCGGAGAGGAGGTACCCACAGTGGGGAAGTAGCCAAGGGTGAATACGCTGAGAAGACTAGTCTTGCCGCAAGCTCCATCGCCAATAATTACTAATTTCCTGGTGGTCTGAGGTCAGCATGGGGTGTTGCACAAGCGGAGCAGAAGGCAAATGCGGCTAGAAAACAGTGTGGTTGAGGTGAAGAGTGATGCAAGTAGACGCCCTGGCACTAGAGACCAAGAAAAATGTCGAGAGTCGATAAACATGGACAGGGGGCGGCATGTACAAGGCCCTATTTTTAGACCAGGGTGTGGTTGGACCGGAGCACCGACACAGACTACTGTTGAGCCGGGGTCGCGAAAGCTCCAAACCATGCGCGCGGTGCAGCATGCTGTTACTTAAGCTGTGGAGCAAGGGGAAATGATCCAAGCAAAGAGAGCAGATGGCAGAAGGGACCGCTGCTGGACCGCTGCAAGGAGCCAGGGGGGAGATGCAGGTGCTGCAGGTGCTGCAGGCGCCGGAGTGATGATCGACGTGCAAGGCGCAACAAACAACGGTGCTCGGTCTGATTGCAAACAGCGAAAAGCAGAATTGCGACTTACCTACGCATCACAGACTCGCCATTGTTCTGCTGCTGCGACATGATGGATGAGGTACCGTGTACAACACAGCAGGCTTGGGGCGGTGCTGCGATTGGCTGGACAGCGGGCGCGTGTTGCGTCGAGTGCAAAGCTGGCGATGTCTAGGGCGGCACGGTGTTGCGGGTGGATTGCGCAGCGCGGGACCCGGCAGATAGGAATGCGGGATATCTCGAGGGGTGCGGGCAGACGGTGCAGGCGGAGGGCAGCGAGTCGGGCGGCCGGCGGGTGAGACAGAGAGAAGGCGCCTAGACCGGGAGGGGGGGGGGGGGGGGGGGGGGCGGCTCCACGGGGACTGGAGCGACTGACGGGAGCGAGTGAGTGCAGGGCGAGTGGGTGGGCGAGCGAGGGCGGTGCTGCGTGGGCGAGGCGCGACAGGTCGGGGCGGCTGGGAGGTGAGCGAGAGAGTCGGCGGGGAGCGCGGCCCTTAAGAATGGATGAACGCGGCGACGCAGCGATGGTCGGCGGCGCCGGGTGTGGTGCTGCAGGGCCTCGAGCACGGGCGGGCGTGTCAGGAATAGAGCGCACACGAAGAGGGGGCTGTCGCTAGACGTCTGTCGCTAGAGGGTCGGTCTGCGCGGATGGGAGGGCGTGCGTGGGGAGGGCGAGAAGGCGCAGCAGCCCTCGTCCCGTCCCAGTCTCGCAGCGCAGTCGCGCAGTCCCCTCCCCCCCCAGTCCCAGAGATCGCCAAGGCCGCCTAAAGCACCTGCCGCATCAACACCACCGCCGTCCGCGCATAGCAGTGAGGTGCCGCCCGACCCACGCTCCGACCGCGCCCACGACCCGCGATCCGCGACGACCACCTCCCGCAGTCTCTGCCCGTCGCCCACCGCGGAGACTGTCGCGCACGCCCGCCTCCAGTGCAGCGCGCCGCCCCGGCCCCGCCAGCACCGTTCCTCTCTCGTCCCTGCTGCGAGTGGCCCAGCACGCTAGCCGGCCCCCGGCGCTGCCAGTCACTTGTCACCGCCGCAGAACCTCCCTGACGTCTCCGCCAGCACGCCAGCCCGCCAGCCTGCCAGTCCGCCAGTCCGCCAGTCTGCCCGCCAGTCTGCCAGCCAGCCAGCCAGCCAGCACGTCACCCCTCGCTCCGCCGCCTCGCCGCTGCCGCCATGGCCCACGGCACGAAGGCGCCCTCCCCCGCGGCCGTGGCCTCCAATGGCTCCGTCGGCGCTCGCCCTCCCCAGCCGGCCGCCGTGAATCGCAAGAAGCAGAAGCGGCGAGAGAAGGAGGCCGCCAAGAAGGCCGCTCAGGAGCCCGCTGGCCCCGCGCTGCCTGTGGAGAATGGCGTGCATGGCCTGTCGCCCGCCCTGGGTGCTGCCGCCCACGCCCGCCAGCCTGCCCCACAGTATGCAGCAGGGCCCGACCTGGACGACGCCCAGTACGACGACGAGCCCGACTTCTACTCGGACGACGAGCCCGACCACTACGATGCGCACGCGTACGGCATGAACGGCCACTACCAGCAGGCGTACGGCCACGCGCCCACACCCAGCGCCAGCGCCAAGAAGTCGAGGCGCAAGAAGCGAGCCTCCCAGCCGCCCCCTCCGCTCGCCTACACGCAGCATGTCGTGCCGCGACACAGTCCCGTGCCCGCCCACGCGCGAGCTGGGGGGCCAAAGCGGAAAGACCCCATATGGAACACGTCGACGCAGGAAGAACGGGAGCGCATCCGCGAGTTCTGGCTGTCGCTCGGCGAAGACGAACGCAAGTCGCTCGTCAAGATCGAGAAGGAGGCTGTCCTGCGCAAAATGAAGGAGCAGCAGAAGCACTCGTGCAGCTGCTCCGTGTGTGGGAGGAAACGCACGGCCATTGAGGAGGAGCTGGAGGTTCTATATGATGCATATTATGAAGAACTCGAGCAGTACGCGCACCTCCAGCAGGACGTCGGTAGTTTCTTGCCAGATGCTAATTACCGTCGTGTCTCCAGTGCCCCTCACCCGCGCCCGCTCATGACCACACACCCGCCGCCTGCGCATGGCCACCACTACGCCGACGACGATGACGAAGACGAAGACGAAGACGACGACGGAGACGAAGACGAGGAGTACTCGGGCGACGAAGAGGAAGACTATTCGAACAGCGAGATATCCTCCGAGGCCGACTACAGCTCGGAAGACCGTAGTCTACCACCGCCCGAAGCGTCTGACTTTATCCACTTTGGCAGCAGTCTACAGGTGAAAGGTGAGTGTTTGCCATCTTGGTATCGAAACAAACTGATTGTTGGAAACAGGTGGCATACTGACCGTTGCTGACGATCTGCTGAAAAACGACGGGAAGAAGTTCATCGAGATGATGGAGCAGCTTGCCGAACGGAGGATGCAGAGAGAAGAAGAGGCGCAATACCAAGCTCATCCAAGCATGTACCAGACCCACGGCGGCCACAGCCACGGACCCCCACCGGAAGAAGACGAGTTCGACGAGGAGGGAGACGAGGAGGAAGGCTACGAGGACGAGGACTACGAGGAGGACGATGAGGACGAGGATGTGCGTACTGTTGGCGAGATCGCAGCTATCTTGGCTAATGGATTGCAGGATACCATGACGGAGGAGCAGAGGATGGAGGAGGGGCGGCGAATGTTTCAGATATTTGCAGCGCGCATGTTTGAGCAACGAGTCCTACAGGCGTATCGAGAAAAGGTGGCGGCAGAACGACAGCAGCGGCTGCTGGAGGAGCTGGCAGAAGAGGACGAACGCAAGGACCAGAAAGAGGCCAAGAAGCTCAAAGAGGCCCAGAAGCGGAAAGAGAAAAAGGAGAAGCAGAGGCAGGAACAAGCTGAGAAGCAAGCCCGCAAAGAAGCTGAGCGGGCCGCCAAGGAAGCCGAACTGAAAGCTGCCGAAGAGAAGCGATTGGAGGAACAGCGTAAGAAGCGGGAGGAACAGCGCCGGAAGAAAGAGGCTGAACGCAAAGCCCAAGAGGAAGAGAAGCAGCGCAAAGAGGCCGAACGCCAGAAACGCCAACAAGAGGAGCGCGAACGACATCAGGAAGCCGAAAGGAAAGCGCGCGAAGCAAAGGCGCAAGAAAAGAAGGCCAAAGATGAGGCGAAGCGAAGAGAGCGCGAAGAACGAGAAGCTCAAGAGAAGGAAGCTCGTGAAAAGAGGATCCAGGAGGACAAGGAGAGGAAAGAGCGCGATGCAAAGGCAAAAGCAGACAAGCAAGCTGCGGCAGCTGGCGCACGGAAGGCGTCACAGCCACCTGTTGCACTGCCACCTCAGCTGTTGAAGCAAACATCGTCCTCTGGGATGCCATCGCCGCATGTCACTCCAGCCCTACCCAAGGCGCCAACACCAAATCGACCTCGTCAGACCTCGCAGCAGGGCTCGCATGGCTCCTCGCCAATCACACCACAGGCCGCACCCGGCACGAGCAAGTCACTATCGCCTACGAACGCTCATGGGCCTACCATGCCGAAGTCAATCTTGACGAAGCCGCCAGCAGGGCCACATCATAACCATCTCCAGCATAGCCAGCAAGTGCTACCAATGCCCCTGCTAGGACCTCCACCAGGTATGCCCGGGCCACCAGGGCTTAACATGGGAGGATTGCCACCAGGTCTCAACGGTTTTCCCGGCCAAGGGTCGATGCTGCCTGGCATGATGGCACCTCGTCCGGGCATGCCTCCGTTCCCACCACAGCTTGGTACGCAGAACTTCCGTGGTTTCCCTCCGCCAGGCATGCCGATGGGTCGTGGGTTCCCCATGGATGGTCCTCCTGGATTTGGGCCCATGCCAGGCTTTGGAGGACCAAACCAGATTCCCGGATTCGGCATGGGCATGTCACCTCATTCGAGACAAGGATCTGGATCGTTTGACAGGCTGCCAAGCGTTGACAGTCCTATCTCTGGCCCTCATGCACAGCCAATTCAACGGCCAACGCCTATCAAGCGACCCTCGAGCAACAAAGCCAACGACGATGAGTCGCGACCTGACATTGACGACCTTGCGGACCATCTAGGTAGCAAGGCTCTCCTTGACGATGCGGAAGACATACCCGAACCTCCTGAGCGAAGAGCAAGTGTGCAGCAGCATGGCTCCTTCAGAGGGACGCCCATGGGCTTTGGATTTGCAGACGCGCCGATACCGCCCAGAAATGACTCTTTCTCTGCCTTCGGAGCACCTGGCGGTAACATTTGGGGAACACCGCCCATGCCGTTCTCGCTGGGTTCTGGCGCCTCGTGGGGCAACTCGCCCACCTCTGGCTTCTTCAACAACCCATTTCCGGTTGGCAACATCCGCACGAACGAGCGTGGTCCCAATGAGCAGCGCATAGTGTGGCTGCGCCGAATGGTTTGCGCTGCGTGCAAGATGGTCGCCGCTCGCCAGCCTACCCAGGATGGCTATGTTGATGCATCAGAGGTGCACCATCAGATCGACAACCTACGCAACCCTGGCGAGCCAGCTGTTACGCCTGACGAGATCAAAGAGGCGTGCGATATCATCGACATCAAGCAGACCAATGGCGGTGGCTCCCTCGAATACAAGGAGTCTGGCCCTGGTCGTCTCTCACACATCAAGTTCGTCGATATGGCGCCTCCACCTGCGACGTTAGGCGAGATTGGCAGCCCGGTTCCAGGACACAGCGTCCTCGTTGGTGGTTTTGGCAACCCAAGGCCGTTCCCTGGTCTCGGGCCACAGGGCTTCTGAGCACTTGCATCGAAACTCTATTCCTTTTCTTTTGGCAGTCACTTCATCAGTACCTGGTGGCTGCGTGGACCTGGACTTTCTTCGACTCTCTAGCTAGTCTCTATCGATGCTCCTTCTCCAGGAAGGCAGCCGAGTTCATCTCTCCAACGACTCCATCTCCGTATGTTGAAGTGATGTTGACGTCCGTCTCGAATGCTGACTGCAAGCACTGCCTCTGAGCGTGCATAAAGTACACACAGACATGAAAGGTCTGGTCTTACGTACTGCTCACAAAGAGGCGGTCAAGCTCGGCTCAAGCAAATAGGCAAGACGACCTCTGACCCCGCAATATGTCCGAGCTGTTAATTGCGCAACGATGTTCAGAAGCAGTCTTCCAGCTGATTTCGCAAGCAATTTATTGGTTGTACCGCTCTCGTTGACAGCGGACATTCGCGGCAGGCCGGTTGAAGATGCTGTGACACAAATGGCTCGTCAGGTACGAGCAATGCAACGTCACTCGAAATAGAAAGCACGTTGCTGATCTTAGAGCTCATGATCCCTGCACAGCGCCCCACCAACGCTTGCGACTCTGGCAGCGGCCAGCTACATCAGACCATCGCCGCCTCGACTGACGCTTGAACTTCTCCAATTTGTCTTCTCGCCTCTTCGCTGAGCGTGAGCCTTCTGTCTGATATCCAGTTTCTTGCATTGTCATCCCTTGAACACCCCTCTACCATCGTCATGTCTGACCCCATCGCCGACGCTGCGCAGAAGCACCCTGCGCCTGAGGGCCTTATCTACACGTACGGAACAGCTGGAGTAAGTCGGGCACTATAGAGCGCGAAAAATTGTTGACTGACCATATTGTAGTTTCGTACCAAGGCGTAAGGCTCTCCACATACCCCATCCCCAACCCCGCGACACCAAGCTGACCGCAACAGCGATGTCCTCGACTCGGTCCTTACACGCGTTGGTCTCATCGCAGCCCTTCGATCGCGAGCTCTGAAGGGCAAATATATTGGCGTCATGATCACAGCCTCCCACAATCCTCCTCAGGACAACGGTGTGAAGCTCGTTGAGCCGTTGGTATGAGCCTTCAACCCATGGCTGCGAAAGTCATGCTAATGATTCTGCAGGGCAACATGCTGCAGGTACGCTCTATCAGCTCATGCGGGGGCGAGGGAGAAGTGCAGGGCAATTCTAATATGATGTGTAGGAGGAATGGGAGGTCATCAGCACCGAGATGGCCAACAAGTCCAGCCCCGAGCACGTTTCGAAATACTACCACGATGTCGCCGCGAAGTTCAAGATCGACTTGAATACCCCCGCTCGCGTCGTTGTCGCTCGCGATACAAGAGCATCTGGCGCAAGGCTTCTTGGTTGCCTCCAGGACGGCCTTGCGGCCGCTGGCGCTGAGGTCAAGGAGTACGGTTTCCTCACCACACCTCAGCTCCACTACATGGTCCGCTGTCTGAATACTGAGGGCACAAAGGACGCATACGGCACACCCACCGAGAAGGGCTACTACGAGAAGTTTGGCGCTGCGTTCAAGACTGCGCTGCGCGGCAAGAAGCCCTCAGGATCTCTTACTGTGGACGGCGCCAACGGTGTCGGCGGACCCAAGCTCACGGAGTTGATCAAGTACCTGCCATCGAAGGACGATGGTGGCCTTGAGATCTTTGTCATCAACGACAACGTTGTCAAGCCTGAGAGCCTGAACGTTGATGTGAGCTAGATGACCTTGATGCACAAGAAACTGTCCACTGACTGTTGTTATAGTGCGGTGCAGACTATGTCAAGACCAACCAGCGCGCTCCCCCCTCTTCCAAGGCCGGACCTGGCGACCGCTGTGCATCCCTCGATGGCGACGCTGACCGTGTCGTGTACTACTTCAAGGACGAGCAGAACGTATTCCGTCTTCTGGACGGTGACCGCATTGCAACCCTTGTCGCATCTTTCCTAGGCGACCTTGTACGCCAGGCCGGGCTCGCAGACTCTATCAAGATCGGTGTTGTACAGACTGCCTACGCCAACGGAGCTGCCACAAACTACGTTGAGCAGAACCTGAAGCTTAAGGTCGACTGCACTCCTACTGGTGTCAAGTATCTGCACCACGCTGCAGAGAAGCTTGACATTGGAGTATACTTCGAGGCTAACGGTCACGGCACTGTCATCTTCTCGCACGATACCCTCGACAACATCGAGAAGTACGAGCCCAGAAACCCTGGCGAGAAGGAGGCTAAGGAAGTTTTGCAAGCCTGCATCAATCTCATTAACCAATCAGTCGGCGATGCGCTCTCTGACTTCCTGCTCGTCGAAGTGGTCCTTGCGCACAAGCACTGGGGCCCTCAGGAGTGGCTCTCGACTTACACTGACCTCCCCAACCGTCTACTTAAGGTCCTGGTCAACGACCGCACCATCTTCAAGACCACAGATGCTGAGCGCAAGCTCACAAGCCCCGAGGGTGTCCAGGCACAGATCGACAGGGAGGTGCAGAAGGTCCGCCAGGGTCGTTCGTTCGCCCGTGCCAGTGGTACCGAGGACGCTGTCCGTGTGTACGCTGAGGCTGCGACCAAAGCGGAGGCCGAAGATCTTGCCAGGAAGGTCTCGGAGATCGTCAAGGCCGCCGGCAGCGCTTAGAGAGCGGATCGGATCCACTACGACGAGGAGATGATTTTGCGATTAGATAGAGGACTTCCTTGATCGGAAGCTTCTCATGTGATACTTGGGCACGACATAACCAAAGTTCGTGAACTCGGGGTAAGACAAAAGGACATGCATGACTGGATGACTTGATGATAGATAAAAGCTTGGATATCGATAAAAGACGGCATTAGCATTGCATCGCTGCATCCACGTGCTTGTTGGTGAACTGCTCACAAGGCCGACAGCGTACAACGCTGATCGCTTTTTCTCCACTTCAATGGTATGTACTACATGAAACCCTTATCCTACGCCCGTGATGACGGAGACAGTCTTCGTCTGCAAGACTGTCTCATTCACAGATACTGCGTATCAGAGATCCCTCTGTGGACTCGGTGTGCGATCACTTTTACTTTTCCTGAGGCCAACAACCACATGTCCACCACGAACCACAGCTTGGCGCTCAACGGCTAACGTGTTCGTTCAGAGTTTAGTAGAGACTTTTCTCAGCTCCGCCATGGCTAGCGCATAAGCGACAGTGTCCTGTGGCGCGTCGTCACCAAATAATGACAGGTCTGAAACACGAGGTTGACTTCCGTCAAGCGGAGGTCGGCAAGACTGTGTATCCCGTGCAGCCAATCACAGGGCGTGCCTGGCTTCCAATCCCCAGGCCTTCAAGGCCACTAAAACGGCGTCTGAGATGCGAAACACGGTGTGCAGGGTTGAGGAATGCAAGCCCTGTGTCACGGGGGTCAGACCAAGCTGGCGGCCGCATTTCACGGTGTTGAATGCGTTGTGCACGCACTGCGGCGGTCTTTCGATAGAATACGGCTATACTCGAGCGTTGCGTCAGGGCCTGGTCAACTCGGGCGGGGCGCTGTAGCGCGGGACTGACAGCTGCCCTCCGCAAAACCGAGCGTCGATGGGCCTCCTAAAAGGGGAAGACGTCCTCGATTGAGCGAACTTTGGCAGGCTTCTGGAACCGAAAAACAGATTCACTGTCAGGCGTCGGCGGCTGTGCGGCGTCAAAGTGGACGCTAAGTGGATCACTCAGACGCATGCCAGACCCTTGTCGACGCGGCTTCTTCCCTTACCAACGGATAACGGACGCGTTAACCTGCCTCGAACGCCGATCTCTTCGTGGGCCTTTGTGTCTGCACACTCTTCTGCAGCAGCGGACAGCGACGTTTCCTTCGTATCTTTGTTCCTGCTCTGCTTGCTGCGACGCGCGCAGCTTCACCTCACGCCGTCTTCGTGACCATCACTTTCGCTCTGCGCGACAGCACAATACCCTTCGCGAATACGAGGCATGTGTTGAGCACCTCCCTCGCTCGTCATACCTACCCACTTGCCCGCTCGCATTTGCACCCACGCTCGCTCGCTCGCTCACTCTTCCACTTACCCCACACACGACAATGGATTCGAAATCGCCACCATGGCTGCTCTCGCGGGACGAGAGCATTGGCCAGAAGTTCGAGGATGTTATGAACAACAACCCGCTGGGCGCCCAAGTACGCACGCGACCTTGGTGACTACACAAGGTACATACTGACACTGCTCAAGGTAGATCAAGATGCCGTTCTGACCGCTATTGGCACATCCCTCGGCGTCACCTGCGCCATATTCATAGCATTCCTACTATTGCGACCTTTCAACACTATCGTTTACGCCCCCCGCCTGCGTTACGCCGACGAAAAGCACCGACCGCCGCCGCTCGATAAATCGCTATTTGCCTGGTACAAACCAGTGTTCAAGACAAATGAGGATTATTATGTCGAACGAATCGGCATGGATGCGACTATATTCCTTCGGTTCGGGAGAATGTGCCGCAATATGTTCATCACTCTGGCTGTCTTTGGATGTGCAGTTATTGTTCCCATCAACATTATCTACTCGATCAGGCAGGGCAAGCTCACTGGCAGCTTGACGGATCAGTCGCTGGCCACCTTCACCCTGATGACACCTCAAAGGATGTACGGTGAGGCTCTTTGGGCCCACGTGGTTATGGCATATGTCTTCGACTTCATCGTGTGCGGTTTCTTGTGGTGGACATACCGTGCCGTGCATCGTCTGCGTCGAACCTACATGGAGAGCCCCGAGTATCAGAACAGTTTGCATGCCAGGACCCTTCTGATAACTGACGTCAAGAAGAACATGCGCAGCGACCAAGGCTTAGTGGATATCACGGACAGCGTCAAGACTACATCGGAAGTACCGCGAACGACTATTGGCAGGAACGTCAAGGATATCCCAGATTTGATCGAGGCGCACGAGGAAGCGGTCATGGAGTTAGAGGCAGTTCTTTCAAAATACTTGAAGAACCCCGCCCAATTGCCTGCCGAGCGCCCCATGTGCACGCCTTCAAAGAGAGACCCAGAGTTCACAGACAAAAAGCAAAAGGTGGACGCCATCGATTACCTGACCGCGAGAATCCAACGCCTTGAGTTGAAGATCAAGGAAGCCCGCGAGACGGTGGACAGCAGAGATGCCATGCCATTCGGGTTCGCCAGCTACGAGACTCTCGAATCTGCACATACGGTTGCATTTGCTGCACGCAGCAAGCATCCCGAAGGGACTACCATTCGCCTTACTCCCAAGCCAAACGACATAGTCTGGAAGAACCTGCTCCTCACCCCGCAGCAGCGGCGATCGCGACGATTCATCATGAACATATGGATTACGCTACTCACAGTACTATACTTCATTCCCAACGCCGGCATCGCTATCTTCTTATCAAAGCTGAACAACCTGGCGCTCTTTTGGGCAGCCTTCCAGACAGAGATGGCAGCGCACCCCAAGTTCTGGGCTGCGGTACAGGGCATCCTTGCGCCAGCACTGACATCGCTGGTTTACTACTTCCTCCCCATCATCTTCCGTCGCCTGTCCATCAAGGCTGGCGACCAGTCGAAAAGCTCTCGCGAGAAGCATGTCCTTCACCAATTGTATGCCTTCTTTGTTTTCAACAATCTGGTCGTTTTCTCCATTTTTTCAGCCGTCTTTCAGATCATTATGAGTGCCTTAGCGGCACGTCAGGGCGATGCGAGCTTTTTCGCGGTCGTCAAGGCTATCGAGCCTTTCCAACAGCTTATGGGCGCCCTATGTAACGTTTCGACGTACTGGATCACTTGGCTTGTCCAGCGAAACCTGGGTGCTGTCATCGATCTATCACAAGCTGTCAGTCTACTTTGGGGTTCATTCTCGCGCAAGTTCCTCAACCCAACGCCCCGCGAGCTGATTCAGCGTACCGCCCCGCCTCCATTCGACTACACTAGTTACTACAACTACTTCTTGTTCTACTCGACAGTCACTTTGGTATTCGGATTGTTGCAGCCCATCACTCTCGTTGTCACCGCATTCTACTTTACTCTTGACTCCTGGATGAAGAAGTATCTCTTGATGTAAGTGCCTTCCAAATTTACTCTGGACCAAAATTGCTGACAGATTCCCAGGTACGTCTTCACTACCAAGAACGAATCAGGAGGCCTCTTCTGGCGTGTATTGTTCAACCGCATGCTGTTCGGCGCCTTCCTTGCGAACGTCGTTACAGCATGCCTAGTCGCTACCAAAGGCGGCACACAGCAGTATATGATGGCGGCTGCTATGGCTCCCCTGCCATTCATCATACTTGGCTTCAAGATCTACTGCAAGAGGACGTACGATCATTCAATGAAGTACTACACCCACGGCACTTCAATCGCAGGCACTGAAGCCCAGACACCAATTGACAAGGAGGCTCGCAGACGCGACCGCGTTGCCACCCGCTTCGGCCACCCTGCTCTGTACCAGAAGCTGACCGTTCCCATGGTCCATGAGAAGAGCAAGCATCTCCTTGCGGAGGTCTACCGTGGGCGTCTTGATGGTGAAGTTGGTGATAATTCAGCATTCGGTGACGTCTACTCGATGAAGCGCATGAGCAAGGAGAACCCAGGCAAGATCGCAACATCAGCTACTGGACCATTTGAATTCGTCTCGGAGAACAATATGGACTACGAAAACTTCAAAGATCGCTCCGAGTTCAACTCTGACCAAGGGTCTATGTACGGCGACAGCACCCGCCCCGCGTCGCCGTCCACACTATGGGGTGATAATGGTCGCGGTCGGTCATCAAGTCGCGGTAGTACGCGTGATGAGCCCGGTGTTACGTACCCAGCGGGCTATCACCAAACACCCAGCAACTTGCGCGAATACAGCCCCAGCCCAAGCCCAGAGCCAGGGTTGCGTCACATGGAGAGCAACTCGACCCAGCACTATCAGACCCGTGACGACCATGATCTACTCAGCAGCGCGGCGCCTATGGGGCATCAGACGCCGAGTGGTTACACGCCGTACAATCCCGATAGGGACGGTGAAAGGAGGCACGATTACTTCAGGAAGTAGGCAGGAGTCTCGTCGACAATTTCTTTGTGTTCAGAGGGTTGAGACATGTGGTGGATCTTTGCATTGGATGGTGTTCAGAGGTCATTCTGGGCTTACTTTGTGTTCAGAAGCGACATAGCGGCCTTTGGTGGCAGATTGCATAGTCATAGCGTTATTGATGTCTGAATCTACGATTGACTTGTCTGCATACAAATCACTACATCAGTCCCGATCATTCTGTCTTTCGAAACTGCATGTGGCTCTTTCGAGCGTTTTGGTCAGCTATCATGTTAATCCCGGATTTGCTTCCTTCTGCTTGCTTGCGTAAGGCCGCTTGTTTTTTTGAATTCTCCTGTCTCTCCATTTCCACCACACGCCGAACACGATTAGTGTCAACGGTAACGCAACGACTACGAGGACCCACCATTTGCCAGACACGTGCAGCCCTTCATCACCGAAATCGAAGAAGTTGGTGCTAACGATTGTACAGACAAAGGTTCCTGGAAGAAACACCATGGTGACAGCAGCTAGAGTGATCATCGAGGCCGAGTCCTGCTGAGTCTGCTCCGCAATCAACGCCGTATCGATCGCCGTCTGTTGACTCACTTCAGCGATATTCTGATTCAAGACAGCCATGCGTTGATTGGCGAGATGGAACAACTAGCATAACATGTCAGTGACGGCTCATGTTCTCGTTGAATTATGTACTGCATGCGCTTACCAGTTGGATGCGGATGTTGGTCCGGTCATGATAAACCTGGGTCCATCGGACGCAGATATCGCATTGGGATATCAACGCCTCGAAAGACTCTCCTGCATCGACTCCGCGGTCACATAGCCAGTCTTTGCTTCGCTTTCCCCTGATTATGTTGTACGTTTTCTGCAGGAATTGCAGTTGCGCCAGAAGATCCTCGCAGTCCTGCCGTAGACCAAGCCAATGGCGCACCATCTTGTGCAGTTGACGAGTCGCCTTGTCAAAGTCGATTTCTTCTGGTCTGCCAGGGTCGCCGAAGCTCTTGAGAATATGGTATTTCCAGTACTCTGCAGTATCGACTCTGCGTGGACTAGTCACGCTTACTCCAGGCTGCATTCCAATGTCCCTTTCCTCGTCGTTATAGTGGTTCTCAGGAATTGAGAGCGCAGGTGTGTCGACGTTGCCATTGGGTCTCAACTTGTCTTGGGGAGCGTCATTTCTGACCTCTTTGATCGATGGCTTCTCCAGTATCCCCTCCTACAATGAGGTGTCAGCGGAATGCATCGAGCGAGAGACGATAATTTGCTGTACAATACCAAGAAGCATCGATCTTCGCTCACCAATCTCGATCTGCCATTGCTTCAGGCTGTCATCGGCCACCAGTGTGTCGAGGAAGAAATCTCGATGGAGTACTGCTCGCCTGCTCTCGTGAAGATAGATAGATTCGAGCCTGCCGCGAGCACCGGACGGAAAGTTGATGCAGAAGTACGTGCTTCTTTGTTTCTCTCGTATGGCATGAGTAAAACTCACACCCGTGTCCCAGCCGCAACGGTATTGATAGCATATTTCTGGAGATGTTAGTCAGTTCGTTGCGCCTCCGAAGTTGAGTGCATACCAAATTTATCGAGCTTTCCCATGTCGTTATGATGCAAATACTTCTGATTGCCCATCTTCGCCCAGTAGCTCTCTTGGGAATATAGATTGCACAAAAGAATACCAGATAGGCCAGCCTCACGAAGAACTTTGACGGTGGACGAGGGTAAATCAAAATTTCCCGGAAGCCAGCTTTTACTGGTCGCAAGCGTGTTGATGAAGCTGAGAAGGTCAATCAGATAAGCCATTGTCCCTGACCCGTTCCAATCTCCAGTTGGTTGAAGAAATCAGGAGATTCGTCTACGTACCAGATCCGCAAGGAAGGAGCGGGTAACTTTTCGATCAGATGTCAGACTTCCACAGGCTACCTTCCGGGTGCTATACATACCTTGAGCACATTTTCAAGCTTCACATGATCGACTTTACGTTTCCACACTAGATGTGGTCAGTACCGCTATGCACGAATACCTCCCAAGGGCGTACGCAAATTGCATCCGCTACCGTAAAGGACGTCGATTTCCACATCTGCTCCATTGGATTCGCTGCTTTGCTCCAAACCCCATGCAATGAATGAAGCATCCTCAAGATCTGGGTGTCTGCAGCTGAGCGACACAGAGTCCATGGCGTCATGACAGCGAGCCTTTTTGGGCCATTCCTGCCACTTTACATCTCGGTGCCGGCCGATTCGATCAGATCGCGTTGTAGTCGAAGTCGGTGGTTCGAGAGCTGTGCTAGCCATGTCCTGAGAACCTGAAACAGTGTCAAAAACTGGGATTTGTGGCAGGAAGAGTTGCAAGAAGGCTGAAGTTTAAGAAGGTGCAGGCAGGCCGGCAGGCTGAAGTTCAGCTTCCTATTCTGGGCCTAGCACGTGGGGGGGAAAAGAAATCATCGTGAGTGGATGGACACTTGATTAATTCTTGAACTACCTCGTGCTCATGGAAGGCTCTGAAACATTCAAGACCAACTTTCTCGTACTTCAAGCCTTTACGTCGATGCTCACGGCGCCAACCTTGCTTTCCGCACATTCAATTTCCTCCGCAGTTACATCGGCGGGAATGCGGTCTGGGGTCGAGTTGACCAAGACCAACATGGGACCGAAGGCAAGAGCCATGAGGCCAAAGGTAACACAAAATCCAATGAGAGGGCTGGTTTTGATCTGGGTGTTCATGCCGTATGAGATGGCCTGACCGATAGCTTCGAGACAACGGAATGCGGCACCGTTGCGAACGTTCGCTACACTGAGTCAGCATGCGCTTCCATGTGCACTTGGATCAAGATCACTTACCTTGTGCGTCAGTCGCAAACGAAGATAGCAGCCAGTACATGTACGACTGTGACAGTGGACCAGTTGTCTGCACGAAGAAGTAGGGTAAGAAGGAGCGTGCGTACAGCGCATCCTCCCAGTCGATTTTGCCAGGGTTATTGCTGTTGAATCTGGCCTGCATGACGATTGACCAGATGTAAACGCCGAGGTTGAGGATGACGACCATGAAGAGACCGATCTGAGCTCTTCGTCGCTGGCTTAGCTTCTTCATGTCAAGGACGAAGCCCAGAGCGAAGCATCCAACGATGCAGAAGAAAGGAGAGACAAGTGACGACAGCGCACGAGCTCGAACGCTAAAGTAGGTTCCCAGGTAGGTCGACCATGTGCCACTAGAGAGGACGTCAGTACAGCAAGGTAGGTTTGGACTGCGTGCTTACCTGTAGAAGAAGGACCAGACAGCCCAAAGAGCTGAAAGCATGATGAGTTTTGAGGTCATAGTGACCTTGATCATCTTAAATTCTGTCTTCGTTGACAACTTCTCGGATACAAGGATCTTGGTGCCGTCGGACCTGACCACGCGCTCTAGAGGCGAGATGAGGAAGGCGAATGGCAGAGCCATGCATTCGATGATCAAGAATGCGATGTATGTGTCAGGAGTGACGCCACCAGTCACACCCTTGACGTGGTTCTTGGAGAGACTTCGTTGTGTCAGCGGGAGCGTCTGCGTCATCACGATAACGCACTCACTTGATGGCACCTCCTACCAGCTGTCCAAGGTTGCGAGCGACGATCCACAAAGCAAGGTACTTTCCACGAGAGTTGGAAGGCGCAAGCGACATGATCGTACCACTCTCGGCAACGTACCAGGTGCCCGTACCAATGCCAGTGAAGAAGCCACCTAGAATCAGATACCATTGGTTGCCGAACTTACTGTTGCAGTAGTATGATGAACCTCTGATGGGAAACGAGCAAGCGCCGATGACCAAGGACCACTTTGTACCGAGCTTGTTGACAATCGGTCCGCCTAGAGCACAACAGATGGCCAACATGGTGTAGTTGATTGCGGTCGCGATATTCGATGTTTGGGGTGTTGCAAGACCTCCTCCACCAAGGCCTCGAGATTTTCAGCATGTGCTGTAAACATGTACGTCGAGACACTCACCAGCAATAGCGTCCGCCATGGCAGGACCACAGAAGGCTTGCACGCTGAGCAGCACCATTTGTGTCAAGCTATGCTGCCACACGCGTTTCCACAGCGGGACTGTTCGCTCATACTCCTCCATGTTGATCCTTTCCTCTGCGTATCCGATGTCGACGTCGACGGGGACAGTCATGGGGTCGTTGCCTTTCGTGCGGAGTGCATTGTCTTTACCACCAGCATGTGTGTTGGGTGGAGCAGCGTCGAATTCAGACATCTTGATGGAAGACTTTGGTAGCTCAGCAAAGATGGTGAAGATGTTCTGAGCTCGAGGCTGGACACATCAAGGAGAAGAGCACCTGGGTCTTTATACCGCTGCCTATCAGCACTCCCACGGCTCATAACACCCATCCTCGCTTGCCGGTACATCATCATGCTACTTATCTGTGGATCCATTTTAGTTTACCCCAAGCTGGGGTAAACCGACGGTTGATAGACGCTGTGGAGTCATGAAGTCCAAGCGCTCGGTGACGAGATCGCGTGCTGGATGAGAGGGGATGAGAGGGGATGACAGGGGATGACAAGGCCTATGCCCGAGAAGGTAATCTGAACAGTTCAAAACTCGCTAAGACATCTGAGGAATGTTAAGGCGACGCTAGCAGTGGTACACGAGGCTTGGTGCGCGGATGTTACCTCTCCGCGGGCCGATGTCGTTCAAACATCAACCCGACGATCGACCGCCCTCCAAACTTCATCTCTATGTTCAAACGTGGTGGTTGCAATTCGAACTGTTACCTTTCGGATCTCATATAAATGAGAAGTCGTAGTGGCATTGGTGCGGAATTGGTCGGCACACACAAAGCGGAGGATCGTTGATCTCCAAGTCCGAGGACGACATCCATGAAGGACCCACTGAGTGCTCGACCTAAACAAGTAACTGCAACAGCCCGCTAGCTGCAGGAGCAACCGACGTCTGACTAGGATCATTAACCGATTGTGAGGCTCGTTATCGGCCACCTGAAGTTATCAGAGCCCTCAACTCCATGGAGAGACAACCTCCACGTCGTGCCATCCTCCACGTCGTGCCAACCTCCACGTCGTGCCATCTTCACGGTGGCGTGTTCAGGCCTCCTACTCCATCGAGCAGCAATAACAGCCCAAACCTCAAGGCTAAAAGGCTGATGAGAAGACTGATATCACCGGTATCGATCGAAGATATCAACGGGAGGTAGGAGTCTTGGATTGAACAACGCGATTGCACGATGGCAAATCCGCGTTCAAACACCACCGTCATCGTCGTGGGAGGTGGCGGTACCATCGGAAGTTCAACTGCCCTCCATCTCGTTCGCTCCGGCTACACAGCGTCAAACATCACAGTCCTCGACACATATCCCATTCCCTCTGCGCAATCCGCCGGCAATGACTTGAACAAGATCATGGGCGTCCGCCTGCGGAACCCGGTGGATCTCCAACTGAGTCTCGAAGCACGGCAGATGTGGAGAGAAGACTCGCTGTTCAAGCCCTTCTTCCACAACACTGGCAGAGTGAGCAGAGCCACCCCACCAAAGCCCCAACACCACACTGACAGCTTCCCAGCTCGACTGTGCGCACGGCAAGAAAGGCATCGCAAGCTTACAGCAAGCCTACCAGGCCCTTCTCGACGCCAACGCCGGCCTGGAGACGACAAACCACTGGCTCGACTCCGAAGACGCCATCTTATCCAAAATGCCGCTCCTAGACCGCGACCAAATCCAAGGCTGGAAAGCCGTCTTCAGCGAGGACGGCGGCTGGCTCGCGGCAGCCAAGGCCATCAACGCCATTGGCGCGTTCCTTCTCAAGTCCGGCGTGAACTTTGGCTTCCACGGCGCCGGTACCTTCAAAGCGCCTCTGCTGGCGGAGGGCGTGTGTGTCGGCGTCGAGACCGTCGACGGTGCGCGCTACTACGCGGACAAAGTCGTGCTTGCTGCGGGCGCGTGGAGCCCGGCGCTGATCGATCTGCAGGAGCAGTGCGTGAGCAAGGCGTGGGTGTATGCGCACATGCAGCTCAGCCCCGGAGAAGCGGGGGAGTACAAAGACTGCCCCGTCGTGTACCACGGCGACTATGGGTTCTTCTTTGAGCCAGATGAGCGCGGCGTGATCAAGGTGTGCGATGAGTTCCCGGGGTTCACGCGGTTCCAGACGATGCAGCCGTTTGGCGCTCCCGAGCGGAAACGCGTCAGTGTGCCGAGGAGCCATGCAAAGCATCCAACCGATACATACCCTGATGCGTCGGAGGTGAGCGTTAGGAAGGCGGTGGCTACATTCCTGCCCAAGTTCAAAGACAAGGAGTTGTTCAATCGCAGCCTGTGCTGGTGCACTGATACTGCGGATGCTGCGCTGTTGATCTGTGAGCATCCGCAGTGGAAGAACTTCGTTCTGGCGACGGGTGATAGTGGACACTCATTCAAGCTTCTGCCGAACATCGGCAAGCATGTGGTCGAGTTGCTGGAGGGTACGCTCTCCGAGGATCTGAAGCAGGCGTGGAGGTGGCGGCCGGGGACTGGTGATGCGTTGAAGTCGAGGAGAGCAGCGCCTGCAAAGGATTTGGCGGATATGCCGGGGTGGAAGCATGATGAGGCGGCGAGATCAAAGTTGTAGCACAGGCATGTGTAGAATAGCATATAGTCAGGGCATCACCCTGCTGGCAAACCAGTCATCTCGATCGTGAACATAACATACACATTATCGTTAACCCGCTCACGGCGGAACACCCTTGGCGTCATCGTCCTGCTCTCCGTCTCTGGCAACAGCCGCCCTGTCCACCCAGCCCTCACCCCTGAGCACACCCAGGCCCTTCCGCGCAACACCGCTGCTGACGGACCGTGGCGACATCTCGTACAGCACATTGACCGTAGCCAAGCTGAGGACGAACAGCAACACATCTCCGTTCGCAACACCACGCCACCACCCCCTCTTGACGCCGACCTTCCACGCGGAATCAATCGACATGCGCGTGCAGTACAGGAAATTCCCTCTCCCGCCTTTGCGCTCCAAAAACGCCCAGAGGCCTCCTAGGAAGCCGCCGAGGAACCAGCGCTGCGTGGGGAGAAAACTGCGTGGGAACATGTTCTGGAACAAGCAGATGGAGCCCCAGCTGGTCCCAATGGCACCCGAGATGAACAGAGACATGCGCAGGATGCTTTTTGCGAGCTTGTTCAGAGCTGCCGAGGGCGAGGTGAGGAACGCCTTGTAGCGCGCGAGGCTCATGGCGGTGAAGAAGATGGTAAAGAAGCGGGCGACTTTGGGGAATGCCTGGATCCAGTACTGCACATATGTGCGCAGACAAGACGGGTCTTGGGGATGCAGGAGGGCGCACGAGAGCGACTTGATGGCTGGGTGGGCGGGCGATGTGATGGGCGCAATGGCTGTGAGGCTTCGAGGCAGGGTGTCCTTGTTGGGGAAGAGGATGGGCGACACAAAGGGCGGCCAGCGCTGCTTGGAGATGTTGGCCAGCCCGTCCACAATGTCGTAGGTGCCAGGCCAGCGCACTGATCGAGAAAGGTCAAGGGGTCGCTGCTGGATGTACTCTGGCGAGTTGCCTAGGATGAAGTTGCCGAAGCCGTCAGGGAAGCAGTCGCGGTCGAAGACGAAGGCATGGAGCAGTTGGCCGTATGCAACGGGCATGAGCATCCAGGAGCCGACCCAGGACGGGGTGTTCTTGAAGCAGCCGCGGTCCTCGAGGTGGTTGTACCAGAACTCGAGGGCACGTGTGAAGACGTAGATGGCCATGGTGATGCGCAGCTGGTCGCCGGGATACACGGCAAGGAAGAAGCCCGCCATGCTGGAACCCACTGCTGGCGCCATGCGTGACGTCAGCGAGCGGGAGACGCGCGGGTTGCGTTTGCGGAACGAGCGGGCTTCATTGGTGAGGAGGCTGTCGCGCAGGCGAACGAAGAAGCGCCGCAGGAGGCGGTGGAAGAGCAGGATGAGGGCAAGCGAGCTGCTGAGACGGACCGTGGTCGACCTCCAGACGGGCACGCGGGGCTGGCGGCGGGCCGGCACGGGTCCTCGCGCCAGCAGCTTGGCCTTGACCAGCTCCCAGGCCTTCAGCCCCGTGAAGGTCGCGAGGCCGAGGCGCAGCGACGCGCGCACTGCAGCGACGGTGTAGTCGTCGGGCCCCTGGGCGATGGCATTGTAGCGGCGCGGGTTGATGGTGCGCTTCCTCACGGCCGGGGCGCGCGACAGCAGATACTGGTGCAGCAGCTGGTACTCGCGCGGGCTGATGGTGTAGCGCAGGGCGTTGCGCAGGACGGGGTCCATCTTCTCAGCCGGCGGCGGGGACTGCGACGCGCCCGAGGACGACATGCTGGGCGGTTGGCGGGGTGTCGACGGCAGCGGCGGCGGCAGCAGCAGCAGTGGCAGCAGTGGCAGCAGCAACAGTGGCAGCACGCAACATTGTTTGCGGGACTGTTGTGGTCGAGTCGAAGCTGGGGACCGCTGTCTCTGCGCAACGCAGCGACGCGGCAACCTCGGCAGGAGCAGAAGCGCTTTCTTCACATGGGGACTCGGCGTTCGGCTAGCCAGTCAGTACGCTAGCTCTGGCGAGTCTGCGACATGTGCTTGACGACTGCGAAGCGCAAGCAAGACACAACCATTCATGTCTACACAGGAACGCACTCTGGCATGGTTCTGGGTGCTGCATGTGCTGCATCCCACGTGACAGCGCGCATGGGCGCCGATCGGCGCTACTGTCGCGTTCACCGACAGTTTCGAAATACATTGTAGCCATATTATCACACAGCTTCGCAGCAGCATCCATAACCCCCACCACCACCGCTCAAGAGTCACCATGGCCGACAACGCCAAGCCAGACGCCCCAGCGCAGGGCCCCGCAGCCCCTCTCGGCGATGCACCTGAGAAGCAGAGCGAGCCCGTTGCTCCCCAGTCCATCGAGGCCGGGGAAAAGGGCCTCGAGGCCACCACGGAGACGAACGAGGCCGAGGAGCTGGCCAAGGGCACAGCTGATCTTGCACTGGACGAGAAGAAGCCCCTAGACCCAATGCCCATTGTTGCTCCCCAGCCTGCCGTCGCCGTGGAGAGCCTGCCCACTGAAGCTTCGCAGCAGGCCTCTGACCAGGCACCCGTCACCACTGCAGGCCCCAGCACCGTCCTGACGCTTGGCGACAGCGGCACGGCCGCCGGTGCTGCTGGTTCTGCTCCTGGTGTCACCACTGACGCTACCGGTGCTGTCGTCTCCAACGAGTCTGCCCCGGCTGGTGCTGGTGCTGATGCTGGTGCTGGTGCTGGTGCTGGTGCTGGTGCCGCTGATACTGCTGCCCCTGCCCCTGTCCCGGCTGCTGCTGCCACTGATGCTGCTGCTCCTGCCGCTGCTGCTCCTGCCGCTGCTGCTCCTGCCGCTGCTGCCCCTGCCGCTGCCTCTGCCTGGCCTGAGACCGCCGCCGACCACCCCTTGACCCACTTCTATGACGCCTTCGAGAAGCTCACCGAGGAGTCCGGCCACAACGAGGTCTACGGCGTCACACTCACAAAGTCCGACGAGTTCCACACCAAGCTCATCCTGCAGAAGTTCCTGCGCGCCAACGCGAACGATCTCGAAAAGGCCAAGCAGCAGCTGCTCGAGACGCTGAAGTGGAGGAAGGAATTCGATCCTCCCAAGGCCGCAGGCGAGTCCTTTGACAAGACCAAGTTCGATGGCCTCGGCTACATCATCGAGGTGGACGGCGTCCCGGAGAGCGAGAACAAAAAGGACACCGTCACGTTCAACATTTACGGTGCTGTCAAGGACAACAAGGCCACGTTCGGTGACCTCGATGCGTACGTCAGCCCAAACACACTCCCTGGACGCACTCACTGACACCACCTGTAGTTTCCTGCGCTGGCGCGTAGGCCTCATGGAGAAGTCTGTCCAGAAGCTCAACCTCTCCAGCGCCACCCAGCCCATCCCCAACTACGGCGAAGGCCCCGACCCCTACCAGGGCTTCCAGGTGCACGACTACCTGCAAGTCTCGTTCCTGCGCCAGGACCCGCTCGTCAAGGCCGCAACAAAGAAGACCATTGAGGTCCTGGGTCGCTACTACCCGGAGACCCTGTCGCGCAAGTTCTTCGTCAACGTGCCCGTCGTCATGGGCTGGCTGTTCAACGCGACCAAGCTCTTCATCGCCAAGGAGACAGTCAAGAAGTTCACCGTCCTGAGCTACGGCAACCAACTGGCTACCGAGCTGGGCCAGAGCATCCCCAAGGAGTACGGCGGCACCCAGGCCGCGCTCAGCGAGGTCGGTGAGGGCATGCAGTTCGCAGCCTAGGCAGACCCGCGAGACAAGTGGACTGGTTTCTCACTTCTTGCACAATACTGAGCGGAGAGGGGGGAGGGGGCAGGTAATGGCAGGAGAGATGTTGCCCACAGATGGCGGGTGGACGTACATAAAGTTTAGCGAAAAGCTTGATAGCCTTCATATACCCAATCACATGTCCATTAGCACTGTACACCGTTGCTCCGCCTATGCAGCTCATGATCGAAAGGAAAGTCTAAATCTATGCAGCTCGCCGTCCCACATGAGGTACTAGAACAACAAGTGCTCATCTACAACAACAGACCACGGGTACCGGCCCCTCACAACTCGTCCTTGGCAACACGATCAATGCTCTTCCCCTGGAACTTCTCGCCCTCCTTCGCAATTCTCCTCAGCCTGAACACCTTCGCAGCATGGCTCTTCACCGGTGCCTTCAAGCTGCCGCCAGCCTTGACGACACCGACCTTCTCGCCAAACAGCCTGGCATCACCCTCGCGAAGACCCTGCTCGTACGGCGTCTCGGTCGCATTGTACCAGCTCACCTTCTTCAAGATGGCCGCGCGATCCGCTTCAGACGTGGCAGCGAGCAACTCCTCCGCAGTCTCTTCGGCCATGCGGTGCGCCCACAGATCGTGCACGGCCCAGTCGTACTTGACGTGAGGTGCGGACCCGTGAGGGCCAAAGGGCGTGAAGATCTCCGACAGGGAGATGTCCATGTCAAGATCCTCGGCGGCAGCGTTGAGAAGGATGACGGCCTGGTCGCCGTTGTGCAGATAGCCCGCCCAGACGTGCGTCTCGCCCTCGCCGTACTGGTCTTTGGCGACCTTTGTGTCTCTGCGGACTCGAGTCACCGATCTGCCATGGGGATCCTGGCTGAGCGCGATGATGGCGGGGTTGTTGATGATGGTTAGCGCCGACGCCGGCATGGAGCGGAGATCGTTGCCTAGGAAGAGGGGAGACTTGAGCGCCGCCCAGAGTGCGAAGTGGGCTTTGTATTCTTCGTCTGTCATGCCGCCTTGGCCGACTTCGAGCATGTCGAGATCGCTCCAGCCGCCTGGGATGGATCGGTCCGCAAATGGAGCGACTTTGTTTAGGATGAAGATGACGGAGCAGTGGGTTCCAGGGGCGATGCAGGATGGATCACCAGGAGCCATGGTGTTACAGCCGCACAAATCATCAGGTCGCTGTGAAGTGTCAGTGCAGGTCTCCCGCTCCGACGCTTTCCTCAAACTTGCCGTGAAGCTGTCGTAGATATCGCCTGTGATGCGCCACGAGTTCGAAATAGACATTCCCCACTATAGCAATGTCAGATCTGACCTGAATCCACAGCGTCTGGGGTGTACATACAGTATGTACCGAGTCTTCTCCCCAGTTGCACAAGTTGAGCAGGATGTTTCGTCCAGTGGCCTTCAGAGCATCTGACATGACCTTGAAACGATTGAACGAGATCTGGGGTGTTCCGATCCTGCCCATGTGATAACAGCTGTCATACTTGAGCATATCAACTCCCCACTCAGCGAAGCTGTTGGCATCATCAACTTCATGGTCGAGAGATCCAGCTGTCCCACGCTGTTAGTCCCAGGCTTGGTTGTTGACAACGAGCCATCACTTACAGAAACGTGCACAGGTCATCTCGCCTGCGCTGCTGTACATGCCATATTTCAGTCCTTGACCGTGGAGATGATCTGATATTGATTTCAAGCCATTGGGAAATTTGCTGAGCTCGGGTTGAAGTTTGCCATTCTTGTCACGACCATTGACATCTTGCCAGCAGTCGTCCAGCACAACGTGATCATATCCTAAGTCTCGAAGACCAAGACCCAAGATCTGATCTGAGGTTGTGTACAACAGGTCTTCCGAGACATCGCAGCCGAAGGCGTTCCAATTGTTCTTTGGTCCATCAGTATCGTGATCGGAGGTTCATATCGGTCGTCTTACCCAACCCATCGGAGGTGTTACAGCTAGGCCATTGTTAATTGCAGCTGCTCCAGTGATAAGGGTCGCAGCGACGATGTTGCTGTATCGATGCGGGGCCATCTCTGTTGTTGTTGATGTTCTGGGTGTCGAGGTACTTGTTACAGCTGCTTGTGCACGTTTCGGACACCCATCACACTTTGCGTCCGACCCGACCGCTATGCGAGTGCCGACGCCAAGTTTTCCCGCCCTGCGCTCTAGGATACGATCCACACAACACGCGTGGAAATTACATGATGTTTTCCGCCGCTATATTGGATGTGGGGCCTGGTGTACCCGTGGGGAAGCGCCATGTGGGGTTTGCATCACCATTCCTGGCGAGGTAACCGACAACGAGGAACACGATGAAGGCGACTGCTTCGAAAGTGCCAGGAGAGCCTCGTAATGCGGGTCGTTGTCTCGCGGCTCGAGTTCCATATGGGGAGCAAACTGAACCAAGAAACGTAGCAGCCAGCGGTCCAGAACGAAACTTGTGTCTTTGCTTCGCAAACAGGTTTGATGAAAGGCCCTCAGGCGGCTCATTGCGCTATCGACACTGGACCAGAATGGCCGCAATCGCAGGAGGATTTCGAAGTTACGTTCGAGACGAGACTTCGCCTGCCGTATCTGGCCGTTATCTCCAGAGAAGAGCAGGGTGTGGATCTGAACAGTGGATGCGATTACGAGGATGTGCGCAACTGCTGGGTACATCACCTCGCTGCCCAGAGTAGCGAACGATCGATAGACCACTTCGCACAGTTTTGAGGCATGATGTTTGCAGTCCGCAGCGTACAAAGTAGAAGTTGAGATCGAATCTGCACCAAGGAACTGGTAGTTAAGCAGTTGACCATAGTGATAGTACCCTAGGTACAATGCCGCGAACATGCGTCCGAAACCACGATCAGCGAACCATTTGAAGTTGTCAGGTGTGTCCCTCATGTGGTGAGGCAGGCTCTCCAGCCAAATGCTTAGCTCACGGGAAAGCGACTTGACACCGGACTCCAAAGCCTCGCCATCGAGATGTTCCGACACACATCGTTGGTTGAAATCGATGACCTGCAGGAGTATCCTGTTGAGCTTGATCATTTCGGTCAGAATAGGCGACTCATAGGTTGTCGGATTGCTAATGAAGTTGGACGTGAAGTCGTCACTCATCGACGAGAACGGAATTTCGTCGATTGGATATGACACCGTACTTCGGAGAGGCATAATTCTTGGGACTTTGACTGCAGCGGACGACCACACGTCGACCATGCAGACAGTCCACCAAACTTGAGTATAATTAGTAGTTTTTTAACCCAGCCCCTAGGCTTGAGAGTGAGCATGACGAATCAAGAGCGGACATACCTCTGATGTTGACTTCCCTCTCCAATAGACTGGTGACTGGCCGATTGGGTAAGTCGAGGACGAGGCACATGCGGCCTGCCGTGCTGTAGAACACATTCTCGACGTCTGTATCACCATGTGCAGCTGCATATGCACCCAAAAGTACACACGCTTGAATCGTGACTGGGGATACATCACGTAGGTTGAGTAGTGCTTCACTCGCTGCGCGGAAGCCTTCACCCCTCTCCCGTGGGTCTAGCTCCAGGTACACGGAGCTGTTTGAAAATCTGTGCAGCAACAGTTGAGGAGCATTCGATTGGCTTTCAGTCTGTGGTCTTACCTGCAAGAAAGTGCGATAATGGCGAGCAGAATGATCCTCGGCACCCTCTCTCGCGCTACATCCTCGGTAAAGGACGGGCGATGGTACATCGAATGAAACTGATCATGGATGTAGTCGAAATACAAGTTCACCAGCTCGAGCCTCAGAGGCATCGGTGGCAGGTCGGATGGGAACTGACATGACGTTGGTGTGAGTTGACTGCCTGGCGACGCTGACGCATGTTGGGTGGCCTCGAACTCTTCGATCTTTGCTTGACGTTGAGCATAGTAGCCACCCTCAGGAGGCCTCTGGACGCAGTGCAATGCTCGTGACCGACAGTACTCGCATGCGATCACCCGATCAGACCGCTCCCCCGCTGGGTAGATGCACTTGCGTCGCCGTGCTCTGTGGTAAGTCAGCAGCGCCCTGTCGGACCAGACATCTGGTAAGTGTAAGGTTCTCGGTTCGCTTACCGGCAGGTGCTGCACGCCGATGGTTTGCGCATCACGCTCTTACAGTGGATCCACGTCGGAAAAGTGGTGAATCTTGTACAGGCGGAGGGCGGAAAACTCTCTCAGCCATGTGGTTTGGCCTTCACAGACGAGACGACGAACTTTGTTGTTGTCCGAACTGTCCCCGCTTTGCCCCTCAATTGGGACTGGCTCCTACCAGATCGGGCGGTTTTCCGGGTCGCAACGCCTGCCAAGTTTGCAGTTAGAGACGGTCCGCTCTTTGCCAGCACTCTAGAGGCGGACTATGGGCGGAAAAGTCTTCGATCAAGCCACGTGAAAACGATCCTGCGACCTGCAGGTTCACCGTTCTCAGTTCCTTGGGAACCTTGGACGGCTATTGCACGCGCAATTGGTCGTTGAACCGCCTCGGACCTGACTCGGATAGCGCCATTGATTGGCCGAACGATCAGCCACGCACCTTGCCAGATCTCCACACGGGGCATTGTCCCATGGGGCGGAGACGAACTTGCCTGCATCTCCCCGCAAACTTAACGGGACTTGCCTAATCTCGGTGCTTGCCGGTCGTGTGGTTTCCCCCTTCCAGACCAATCCACCTACTGAGCCGCCATCATGATTCGGTTGCCGAGGCCGGCCTCTTCAGTTTGAGCGACCATACGCACGACATATACACATATAAGCTGAGCCACTTTCCGCATCCTGAGTACGATCCACTCACGCTCAGCGTGCGCATCAGAGGGTACATCCTCCAGACTCTAACTCGAAGAGGTGCTCAGCATCATCTTGGTCTTCTACCGTCTTCACCATGTCTGGGCTTGACGACAAGACCGCTGGTCATTTGGCCGAAAGATTCGATTCGACGACGGGCCACGGCGCGGCTGACAACACCAATGCTGCCATTCACAATGAACACAACATGTCCGTCCGCCAGAGCTTACGGTTCTGGTGGAAGGCGATCGTGTTCTCTTTCCTGATCTCCCTCGCCGTTGTCATGGAGGGTTACGACACATCGTTGATGAACAAGTTCTTCGCCTTCGAACCATTCAAGAACAGGTTCGGCGATCAGGAGAGTCCTGAGGGCGGCAGGATCGTCTCATCCAGATGGCAGACCATCATCCTGAACGGCACTCAGGTTGGCTGTATCCTCGGTCTGATCATCAATGGCTACATCACCGAATGGATTGGGTACAAGAAGACCATGGTCGCTAGCATGATTGTCATGATTGGCGCCATCTTTATTCCCTTCTTCTCAACCAGCCTTGAGATGTTCCTCATCGGTGGTATCATCCAAGGCCTACCTTGGGGTGTCTTCCAGGTAAACCAAGTTCAGGAGTTGAGCCAGTGAAAAGTTTTGGTGCTAACGAACCCCAGACACTCGCGATCTCTTACGCGGCCGATCTCTGCCCTACACACCTCCGAGGATACATGACCTCGTGGATCAACATGTGCTGGGTCATCGGTGGTCTTTTTTCTACCGGTGTCCTTACTGGGCTCATGAAGAATACTACTGAGTGGGGTTACAGGCTTCCGTTTGCTCTGCAATGGATCTGGCCTATCCCCATCATCCTCGCTACTCTGCTAGCGCCCGAGAGGTATGAATTCGATGAATAAGATGGCGCCGATAGCACAGCAAACTGACCAAGTGTCTCAGTCCGTGGTGGTTGATTCGTCAAGGCCGCGTCGATGAGGCTCGTGCCGCCATCAGCAAGCTCACCGCTCCTCAGGAGGGTGTCGAGTTCGACTTGGATGCTCACGTTGAAATGATGGTCGTCACTGATCGATTTGAGAGAGAGGTATCTGCTGGCACCAACTACTGGCATCTCTTCCGTGGCAGCGACCTCCACCGAACTGAGGTCTCCGCTATGGCATTCATTACTCAGGCGCTCTGCGGTGTTCCCTTTATGGGCTTCGGTACTCAGTTTTTGCAGGGTGTCGGATTGAGTCAAGATGACTCTTTCCATTTGACCATTGGTCAAGACTGTCTGGGTCTGGTAGGCTGCATCATCGCCTGGTGGATTATGACCAAGTTCGGGCGCCGTAAGATGTACTTGACTGGTCTGTCAGCCATCTCTCTCATCCTGCTCATTGTCGGATTCATCGGTCTCGCTCCGAAAACCAACAAGTCAGCGAGCCTCGCTGGAGGTATTCTAATCATCCTCATGATCTTCTGCTTTCAGGTATGTCATCCGGTCTCGACGTTGCATCCATGTGCTGACCAGCCTAGCTTTCTATCGGTCCCATCTGCTACACTCTGGCCGCCGAGATCCCCAGCTCTCGCCTTCGTATCAAGACGGTCGCGCTCTCGCGCGCCAGCTACAACAGCATTGTGTTCGTCACCAACACGATCATGCCGAAGATGGTTGGTGTGAATGACTGGAATTGGGGCGCCAAGGGCGGCTTCTTTTGGGCGGGCATTGCGGTGCTATTCATCATCTGGGGTTTCTTCCGTCTCCCAGAAACCAGGGGCCTCACATACTCAGAGCTGGATCTGCTGTTCGAGCACAGGGTGTCGTCGCGCAAGTTCACTCGCGAGAATGCTGAGGCACTGAAGCCTGCGCTCATGGATGTTGCTTTCCAGCACGAGAAGCAGGCTGGTGTCGAGCGCGTCGAGTCGCACACTTAATGGACACAAGATTTGGCTCAGATAGTAGGTGTACGTAAATACTGGGAATCTCTACATCAAATACGAGAAGTTTCAGCTAGCCGATAGATCCTTGCCACGCCTGTGATGTCTTACCACCTCCTGCCCTCTCAGCTGTGCCATCCAAATAGCACAAGCAGCTCGATGAGTAAGCTGCGTCGCTGCAGAGCACAGCCAAGACGAGAACAGGTGACGGCAATGTCGCAAGACGAGGTCGAGGGTGGCAGCAGAGACGAACAGCCGAACATCGTATTCGGAGGCCACGACCGGCCACAGCCCTGCAAGCATTCAAGATTACCAAAGAATGCCATGAGCGCAAACACTTGGCTCGATCAACCGCAACAACAACAACCACAACAACCATCCTAGAGCGGGCCTTTTGCTTTGAGCGCGAGCTAAACAGAAGAAATATGCGCAGTCGCAAAGAGCCGCAAAGTTCAAACAAACGAACTAATCGATAGGATGTGCATGACGATGGCTCTCAACGGGTGTGGGTGCGCCGCCTATTCATAGCAATGAGCGGCGAATTGGGTCGAGTGAATCGGTGCTAGTGCCCGCATGGCCAATTCATGCTCGGACGCCCCCTGTATGCACCAGCCAGCCCTTTCTTCAGCGAGCCCGCCATCGTTGTGTCTCCTACTTACAGTCAACTTTTGTCCGCCCGCTCGCCTTTCGCTTTCCTTCACCAGTCGCTCGTTTTTGGCAGGGAACGAGGCCTCGGACACGCTTGCGTAATCTACGACGCCGTTTGTTGACACGCCAACACGTTCTCGTCGCACTACCGGCTCCACACGACGATTCCGCCCGCATCCTTCAGCCGTCTCACGGCCCCTCGACTCGACCTCCTGCAGTGAATTGGGAATCTGGGCAGGACAATAATGAGGCCTTCACAGCTGCTCGCCGGCCTCCTGGCCCTGACTTCGGCCACGGCTGCCATGCCCGACGCCTTCGCCAACATGCACGGCCTGGGGGACGTCATCAACATTTTTGCCCGCCAGGACAGTATGTGTGCCGCCCGTCTACGCTGGAACCGCATTGCTAACCCGCCCCGCCAGACTCGGCCTCGGCCTCAGAGCAGCAGTCAAGCAACCAGCCCTCACGGACGACGGCCGCCGAGTCCAGCAAAGCCAGCGCCACCAACACCGACAGCAGCAACAGCGCCTCTGTCTCAGACAAGGCCAGCGCGAGCGGCTCGCAGAAGGCCTCGGGCAGCAAGACGTCAAGCAAGTCCAAGGTCACCAGCTACGACAATCGCCTGCCCGCGGGCGGCATCTCCATGGTGACACCTGGCGCCCTCGCCGGTTCGCAGTTCTACAAGGTCGGCGACTACGTGACCTTTGCCTGGAACTACACGTCGCTGTCCTCAACCCCGTCCGCCATCGACATCCTGGCCAGCTGCACCGCCAACCAGGCCACATATACCATCGCCGTGAACCAGTCGTCAGAGCAGACATCAGTTGTGTGGGACACGAAGAACACCCCGTCCGGACAGGTGCCCTTCCTGACCGAGAAGTACACGCTCATCATCTACGATGCCGAGTCCAGCGTCAGCGCTGCCGCCAAGGCCGGCTACCTGGCTGTCTTCAACTCTTTCCAGTTTGGCATGTACACACCGCAGCCCTACGTCCCGTTTTCTGGTAATACTCTGTCCGCCGCTCAATGTGCAGCACCCAACTGACTCGACACAGAATTCAACTGCGCAAACTGCAACGGCGCACTCTCGCACTTCGAGAAGATGACCCTCCAAGCCCTGCTGCTCACCACCGGCACAACAATCGGCTCGCTGGCCTACTTCACATACACATTTGGCCTGTGGTAACCCAAGACCACCACGGTCTGCACGCATACGGACGACATCTCGTCCACGATAACGGCATTCCTTACGCTTCACACCTGTCCATATTTCACTCATCTCAAATCGAATCTGAATCACAAAAAGGTCCGGGCTGGCGCTGCGGGTTCGGCAGCGTTCAGCGGGGAGCAATCCACAATCATTTGGCGTCATCTAAGGTTGAGTCTGGAGTTTACGGAGCACATTCGTCACATCTTTGTAAAGGGCAACACCGCATATCTAGGACTTGGACAAATACGCATCTTAATACAAAGAGGAGTGCGCTGGCTAGCAGTACGGGATGTAATTTTCACGCTGTTGGTCTATAATGATGAGATCTAGCTATCAGGAATTTGAGCGATTGAGAGAGTACAAACACACCAATATCGATTGCCTGTCCGCGTGTAACTGAATGTTGTGTGTTTGTTTGATTGAGATTGTCATTGTCTGTCAACACTATGCTCGGAATGCATGCCAGCACTTGGCAAGAATGCAGTGCTATCTCCCGTATCGCGAAACCCAACACCGCGTCTACGGGACAGTCGCACGATCGTGCTCCCGCTTCGCTCCTGCTATCGTCACACACCGCCCGGAAGCCTCGCACCACCCACCTATCCTGGCCCCCGCCCTCCCGACCTGGGCTTCCACTCGTCCTTCAACACCCAGCGTCCACGCTGCGCACTCCCGCTCCGCTGCAGCGTAGCAACCGTCTTCAGCATCTCCTTGAACTCCTCGTTGCGGCCGGGCTGCGCGCGCACAAAGTGATCGAAATGATCGACCAGCATCTGGCTCGGCACACTGCCGCCATGCGTCATCATGAAATCGCGGATCATCTCGAGCATCCTGCGGCCGCGGAACGAGCCCGGCGTGGTCGCTGACGGCGTCGAGGCCCGCGATGAGCTCGCCGGTGTCGATGCGCCCGTGGACGTGGAGACGGGGCGGCCCTGGCGCGCGGCGAGGTTGGAGAGGATAGATGAGGAAGAGGGCTGGCCGCGGCTGAGTGTGCTGCCGCCTCGTCCGCCGCGTCCGCCGCGAGTGGATGATGTGCGAGGGGGATCAGAAGGGCGTCCGGCTTCGCCGTATGTGCCTGTCCATGTTGGTACCCCGGCGGGCACGGCGCGGGCTTCTTCCATGCTCTTCTTGAGTTGCTCCGCGGCGAGCGCGGCTTGTCGTCGCGCCTCGCGCTGGACGAAGGCGGGGTCTGCTTGCACTTTGCGCTTCCGGCCGCCCGCTGTCGAGTTCACGATTGCGTCGTGCTCGAGGACAGAGTGCACGCCAGTTTTTGCAAAAATGGTAGACATGAGACGACCGTCTGAGGTGAGTGTCTCTGTCTCTGTGCTCTCGCCGGCGCTTCGTGTGCCATCTTCTGTATCGGAGACAGGTACTTGTAAGGCTTCAGCGTGGGCAATTCCCTTGACGGCTGCAAGATCTTGACATGTAGTGGCATCTGGGGCTGCTGAGCTGCCGTCTTCGTCGAACTTGACTTCCGACCCACGGAAGAGGTTGCCTGTCTCTGTTTCTCCGTCTGCAGCTTCACCTCCTAAGGTGAAGAGATCGTGCAAGTCGCTCATTTGGAATGTCTGGCGCTGTTTTGGGTCCTTGAGCACCTTGTTTGTTAAAAACTGCTTGAAGATCTGGCGATGATAGATTTTCTCCTCGATAGTACCTGCGGACATGAGGCGGTAGATCTCAACCTCGCGTTTCTGACCGAGACGCCACGAACGCTCTCTTGCTTGAATATCAGTGGACGGGTTCCAGTCAGGATCGTAGATGATGACGCGGTTGGCACCTGTGAGATTGACACCGAGGCCTCCAACTTTAGTCGTCAACAAGAAGACGTGAAGGTCTGGACTCTTATTGAATTCGTCGACAAGATCTTGTCGATATTTGATAGGCGTCTCGCCATCCATACGACGGTAGTTGATGTCAGGCAGGTGATCGAGGAACTTCTGCAAGATGTCGAGCATGATGCGGTGCTGGGCAAAGAGCAGCGTCTTGTGGCCGCCTTTCCTCCATAGCGATAGTAATTCCTTCACGACTTGCATCTTCCCGGACCTGTTTGGTGCACCATAGTCATAGCCAGGCTGTTTCGACAGAGTCTTGTGCTCAGTCAGGTCTGGATGGTTGCAAATTTTTCGCAGAAGGTCAACACCATACAACATCTGTCGCTTTCCCGAGGCGATAGACTTCATGTCTTCTGACTGCAGGAAACCTTCATAGGCCTGCCGCTGTTGCTTCGTCAGCTTACAAAACAGCACCTGCTCCTTCTTTTGTGGCAGGTCGGTCGCTACGTCCACCTTGAAACGCTGCAGCAAGTACGGGCTAATAGCATCTTTTAAAGTTTCCGCGCACTGTATAGCCGTTTCGAATTCGAGATTCGAGGCATTGGCATATCCACCGCGCTTGATAGGGAACTCGAACTGATTCCTGAAGTTGATCAAGGTTCCCAAGCGCATCGGGAACACGAAGTCGAATAGAGACCAGAGCTCACTGAGGTTGTTCTGCATAGGCGTACCTGACAGGATGATGCGATTCGGTGTTCGAAGCTCCTTGCAATGGATCGTAATAGCTGTGTTTGGGTTGCGGATCTTGTGCCCTTCATCGAGAATGGCGCATTCCCACTCGGCTGCTGTCAAGAACTCTGAATAGGTCTGCAGGCCAGAGTAGGTTGTGACCAGGACATGACCGTCTCGCTTGACTTTCTCGATGATTTTCTTAGCTGCCTTGCCAGCTCCGGTCAAGGTGTTGTCGTAGTCACCGTAGCTGCGCAACTCCATCTCCCGTTCGTAGCGGTCCTCTCGCTGAGTGTTCAGCATGCCACTGCCTGACGTATGCAGAATAGAGACACGCAGAGCTGGCCACCAGCGGTGGAACTCACTGACCCACTGCTTCATGACCGTTGCTGGACACACCACTATCACAGGCTTGGTGAGGCGCTTGGAGTAATGTAGGCCAGCGACAAAAGAAATGGCTTGGATGGTTTTACCCAATCCCATTTCGTCACCGATGATGCCACCAACGTTCTGCTGAAACAGCTCCCAAAGCCACTGTACGCCTGTTTTCTGGTAGGGGAACAGGGCTGGGTAGATGTCTCCAGGTATGCGAAAGCCGCCTTCAAGAATAGTATCAGCTTCTGTGGGATGAGGTTGGAACCACTCCTCTTCCGGCTCATCTTCGACTGTGGTGTCACGATCTCGTTCTCTCGCTCGCTTCCTCGCTGCAGCGCGATTGTTCGACCACTTGTCGATGCGCTGACGAAACACCTTCTCGTTGCCGTCATCCACTCCTGTCAGGTCCTCTTCAACCTCAGCCTCAGACGCAGACACAGCTCTTGCCTTCTTCGACGTCTTCCCCTTGGCTTTGCGCCTGCGACCAGCGCTTGCACCGAAGTCGTCATCGTCATCATCGATAGCTACATCTGAGCCCTCTTCGGAGTCATCCAAAGTAGCAAGCTGCCGTGCAGACATGCGCGGATCGAAAGCGTCATCGCTGTCAGCATCAGCTGTGCCGGGGTCTGCGCTGGACGCTCGTGATCCCACCGCATGGCTCGAGGGTTTGATCTTCTGTCGTTTCCGAGCGCGTGTGGTCGACTGTCGGCTTGGCTCTTCCGAGCTGGTATCAACGTCCTGGAAGCCAGGCTTCATCAAATTTCGATGCGAAGTTGGACCGGTAGTAGTATCATCCTCGACCATGTCCTCCATCTCGGCATCAAGCATGGCTTCGCCTAATGTTCCTGAACCAGTCTGGTTCTGTGCCAGTCTCGAGAAAGGCGTAATCTTACCGGTGCGGATCAAGAAGTCACGCCGGCTCTCGTTTGGCAGAGGGGCATTTACACCGTCCTGCGTTATCTCTCCGCTCTCTGGCGCGGCATGTCGCTCGTTTATGCGCTGTTGTATGGCGTCCATCTCCTTGTCGAGATCCTCGATCTTGAGCTGGTACGCTGCAATCTCACCTCGCAGCTTGGCCTTGTGTGTGTCCACCGCAGGCAACGAGAGCCGATTCCGCAGCTTCTGGATCGCAGCTTCGGCACGCTTTGCCTCTACTTCTGCCTTCTCTATGCGCTTCCTGTCTCTGGCATCAGCTTGCTCAGTGAGCAGCTGGTCTGCCTGCCGGCCAATATCGCGCTCGAGGTCATCTTGCGCCCGGGTCCCCGTTGTCAAAAACTTGAGTCGCGTTTCTTCGTCGGCGTCTGGAGGCACCTTGTTTTCTCCCTCCCCACTTTGTGCGTCTAGCACTATCGCGGTTTTCTCCACCTTCGCAGCGTTCGAGTCTTCCGCGCCGGTCACAGTAACTATGGGTGCCGAGGCTGCGGCCGTTTCGTCGTCGGGCGGCGAAGTCATATTGCAGGCGGTTCATACACAAGGCGGCCGTTCAGGTTCGGCGAATATTCATGCGTTGCGAAAGAAAAAGTGGCGATGCGAGGCGCGAGCGTGTGTTGGGAGGGGCGGGAGGCTACATGCGCCTGCCTTACTTCACGGCTAGGTAATCATCGTGAAAGCGAATCTCTGACAAACGCCATGAGCAGGCTACAGTTTATGCGATCGGAAATGCAACAAAGCGATGACTGCCACACTCTAGGCGGCCAGTCGAAAGAATGATATCATCGAACGCGCTAAGCTATCTGCGAGCACGGCCGTGACAGGCGCTCACGTGCTTATGACTCGGGCGTTCTGCCTCGCATCAAGTATTGATTGTTTACCTGATGAACAAACATCTGCGAGTCTACAGTTGAAATACGGATCGAGGTCCAGATATGCACAACAGTCGTCAATGGCTTCTTGATTAGGTAGAGGACGAGTGTAGATTTCATCCTTGCCCGCAACCGAGCCACGCCTGCGATCAAACCTTGGATGCAACATCGAAAACCTTCGTACCGAATTTCCAGACCTGATCGACCACAATCTTCTTCTCACTACCCACTGTACCAGTTTCCAGGCTCAAGACCACCAAGTCTGCATCGGCACCCTCCTTCAGTGTGCCTTTGACATCTTCCATGCCTAGCATCCTTGCCGGCGTCTCCGTAACTGCTTTCAATGCCTCAGGTACGTTCGCACCAGTCCAGTTCAAGAAGTTCGACACACAATCCACAAGCTGAATGCTGCTGCCCGCAATCTTGCCGTTTTCTTCCAGCGTGAGCAGTGGACCCTGCTTGATGATGCGCGACCCGTTGGTCCAGTCGTATGTACCATCTGGCATTCCAGCCAGACGCATGGCATCCGTGACAAGGATCAGCCCTTCTGGGTGAGCATTCCATGCGATCTTGATAGATGTAGGGTGCAAATGAATGCCGTCTGCGATGATGCCGAAGTATGGTTTATGTATGGAGGAAGATGGTGTGCCCAACAGGCCGAAAATACCTGGGTTACGGTGGTGGAGAGGACGCATGGCGTTAAAGAGGTGCGTAATCATGCTTGCACCTGCCTTGACACTCGACTTGGCTTCTTCATACGTAGCCTCCGAATGGCCGATTGAGACTCGGATGCCGCTCTCTACAAGTGCATGGATGCAAGAGATAGCTCCTGGGAGCTCTGGTGCCAGAGTAACAAGCTTGATAGGCGATGAGTGTCCGATATGAGCGGAGCCGTAGCAGTCGGCTAAGTCCGAAGTGCCACGCGCCGGTTCACGCAAGACAGCGGCATTGTGAATGCCGTTCTTCGTTGGGTTCAGGAAAGGACCCTCACAATGAGCGCCCAAGGATTCGGATCCATGGGACGGATCACGAGCGCTGCCTGATGGCCCCAAGTATGGTAGTGCCTTCTTTTCGTTAGCAAATGTCATGCGCTCTGTCCTTCGTACCAACCTTATGATAGACTTGTGGGCGCTGTGAGGTCATTGTCGGCAGGTAAGACGTTACGCCCGTCGTAATGAGACTTCTGTTGACACTAAGCACGCCCTTACCATAGGCTGCAGCACCCTCATCTGGGATAACGGAGAAGTCGAATCCGTAGGCGCCATTGAGTTGAGTATCGATGAACCCTGGAGATAAAATACGGCCACCAAGGTCAACAATCTGATCAGGGGCAGTCCTATGCTCGAACAGGAGCTTTTGTCCATTCAAGATCTTGCCACTGGTGGAGCTGACCCAAAGATCCTCGTTGACCAGGTCATCACCCTTGACTAGCAAGCAGTTGGTGAACTTTGTCACGCCTAGATCTCTCTGTGCAAAGCCCGAGTTGCCATTTGCGGTAACTAGCGACGGCATCGTGTGTCGTGTTGGGCCTGCAGGAGCCCAAACAGTGAGCTATCGGGTCGAAAGCAAGGGAAAGAGGACGAGGCAATGACCGGATAAGGGAAGGGAGCGCGATTGAGACAAAGCTCAACAACCCTCAGAAGAATGGCGCACATGCTGTGGTATTAATGAGACTCGAGGATCTACACCATTAGTTACTATGACGCCAGTCGCTATCACGAGCGGGTGCAAGCTTCTGTCACGATGCCGCTGGATGCCGCCAAAAGCGCACGCCTCGTGTACACGCAGGTTCACTGGGTGCCGCAAACGATGTGACACAGCAATGGTCTCTTGAGGCTTATCACAGACCGTTGCGCGTTTAGGGCCAGTGGGGTGATACTCGAGGTGGTATCGAAGCAAAGTCGTCGATAACGCACGAAGTTATCACCTGGTCCACCACAGGTCCACAGCCGAGAGAACAGTGGGTCGCGCCTGTGCCCCCCCCGGAAAGCGTGAATGCGACCGTTGCATCCACCTCCATCTTTCCTCCATTAACAAGCCGCTGCGAGTCACGTTCAAGCCTCAGCGCCCATTGCAGATTCAGATCGTTTCCTGGCCCTATGCGACAGGTGCGGTCATCATGGCGCCCAGAACCGAGAAGCTGGACCCGGTTTGGGATGACCTCGATAGGTGAGCTCCGCGCGCGCTCCTCTTCACACAACGCGCAATGCGACCGAAACTCCGGCTAACGCTGTCATAATGCAGGACCATGGTAGGTAGCTCCTGGCACATTATTTGACATAGTGGATCGGCCAGTAACGTGACATTTAGGGCCAAATGTTCATGATGGGGTTCGATGGGACCACAGTGACTCCACATATTCGAACAATTATCGAGGAGTTCAAGGTCGGCTCCATTCTGCTTACTGCGAAGAATTGTAAATGTGAGGAATGAAGCCTACGGCGCAATGCAATGTTACTTGTTAAACGTTGCTGACATCGGGCCCAAGCCGCCGAACAGACTACAAAGCTTTGTTATGATTTGCAGAAGATTGCCCATGAATCTGGACACCCGGTACCTCTAGCGATTGGTCTTGACCAAGAGAATGGCGGCGTCAATAGCCTTTTCGATGAGATCTACATCCGCCAATACCCCAGCAACATGGGTATGGCAGCTGCAGGATCGACCGAGCTGGCTTTCGAAGTAGCAAAAGCAACTGCGCAGGAAATTGCTGCCTGTGGGATCAACTGGATATTTGGGCCCTGTCTCGACGTCCTCACCAACGCACGGAATCAGCCACTCGGAGTCAGAACAGCTGGCGATGACCCCCAGGAAGTGGCTGCATACGGCTGCGCGTTCATGCAAGGCTACAAAGAAGCTGGGGTCGTGACACTGGGCAAGCACTTTCCATCATACGGCAATCTCGAGTTCCTTGGGTCGACCCTTGATGTCCCTATCATCACAGAGTCGCTGGAGCAGCTGAGTCTTAGCGCGTTGGTTCCTTATAAGAAGGCCATCGAAAAAGGACTCGACTCGATGTTCGTCGGTGGCTGCGCCATGTCCTCCGCAGGCCTGAATGCCATGCACGCCTGCCTCTCCGACCAGGTCATTGATGGACTTCTGCGAACCGATCTACGGTTTGACGGTGTAGTCGTTTCGGAATGTTTAGAGATGGAGGCGCTCAGTCATAACATTGGCGTTGGAGGTGGTACAGTCATGGCTGTCAACGCTGGCTGCGACGTTGTTCTTCTTTGCCGGTCGTTCGAATTCCAGCAGGAAGGAATGAAAGGACTGAAGACTGGAATCGAAAACGAAGATGTCTCCAAGTTGCGGGCATACAACTCACTGAGGCGTGTACTCGCTCTGAAAGCAAAATGCACATCATGGGAGAAGGCATTAAATCCTCCAGGAGTGAACTATCTCGAGACCCTCCAGCCTTCACACACGGCGCTATCCACAAAAGCGTATAACAGCTCTATCTCGGTTGTGCGCGACAAGAATAGGCTCTTACCACTGACCAATATTTTGGAAAGCGAAGAAGAGCTGCTGCTACTGACTCCGTTAGTAAAGCCTTTAGCAGCGTCTGCCGCATCGCGAGAGCTCTCTGATGCTGCGGCTACGCACTCGCCTGAGCCTCATGCCTGGGAACACAGCTCTTCCGTCATGAGCGGAGAGCGAGTGTTCAGAGAACTGGGCAGGTCGTTGGCCAGGCAGCGGAACGGACGGGTGCTGCATACTTCCTACACGGCCAACGGCGTTCGACCTGTGCATGAAAATCTCATCAACCGCGCAAGCGCAATCATTGTGCTCACAGCAGATGCCAATCGCAACTTGTACCAATCCGGGTTCACCAAACATGTGTCGATGATCTGCAACATGCAGTACACTACTGGCGGCGAGAAGCGCGAGAAGCCGCTGATTGTAGTGGCTGTCAGTTCGCCATACGACTTCGCAATGGATACCTCGATTGGCACGTACATCTGCACGTACGACTTCACTGAGACGGCGCTCAACTCGTTGGTGAGGGTCTTATATGGTGAGCTCTCACCGACAGGCACGCTACCTGGGACAATCAGCAAGAGTCAGAAGCTGCATCCTTCGAGACAGCATTGGCTGGTCGAAATCTTCAACGAGGACCGAGATTCTAATGCTCTCGACGCTCTTATCAACGTAGTCATGGAAGGTGCAGCACCGAATCAGCGATCAGAACTGTCAAGCGCGACTTCCAGTTCTTTTATCCTACATCATCCTGAAGTTGAGGAGTCACACTTCGTGGTAAGGAACAGCAGCACACAAGCCTTGTACGGATTCTGTTCCACCTACTTCTTCAAGTCAACAGGTACTGGAGTCATCAGTGCGCTTTTCGTCGATCCTGCTCGGAGAAAACTGTCCATTGGTCACTCGCTACACAATCGAGCCATCCGGACGCTCTTGCAGAAAGAAGGCATCAAGCGATTCCAGTTAGGATCTCGATTGCCAAGTGTGTACCTTGGAATCCCTACGGGTCATGGTCCTGAGCGAAAACGCCTACGATCATGGTTCGCCAACCTTGGTTGGAACGCAGCCCTCTCACGTCCAATTTGCAGCATGGTCGCTCGGAACCTGCAGGCCTGGACTCCTCCCGAAGGAATGGCGAAGAGCTTAGCTAGCGCTGGAGCCCAATTTGACCTGATATACGGCTGGGAGTACGCAGGGCCCATCTTGGACCACATCAAGACCAGCAATCGACAAGGTCTGGCCGAGGTGTACAAGCTGGCGCTTCAAGACCCTCAGGCTTGCGGCATTATCCGTGCCAAACGTCCAGAGGACGGAGCTCTCGTAGGCACTGTGGTGCTTTACAACCAGCATTCACGACTCTCCGAATATATACCGCCTCTCAAAGACCTCAACGAAGCAGCAGGTGGTATTTCTTCCCCGGTCATATCACCCGGTGCCGGAGAGTACTCAACACTACTCCAAGGGCTCATCCTACTTGGAATGCGACAGATCAGACAGCAAGGCTGTAACGCCTGCCTGCTAGACTATGTAAGTCTCAATTGTTGACAGTGCGAAAGTGCGACATACTGACACGTACAGATGGATGGCGACGGAAACTTTGACGGCTTCTCTACGATGGGTTTCGACGTAATGCATAATTTTGAGGAGGTATCATGCGATGCAGCAACGTGGACTACGATACCCCCTGCTTGAGTCTCCTACGACATTGGTTCAAGGCGTTTTGATATTTAGTGGCGGCCAGTAACACAAGGCTTGTTCGAATAAGCGACTGATTGGGGCATACCCGGGCGTCTAGGCGTTGCACTGTAGTACACACATGCAATGTATCAAAGCTGAATAGTTGGTGATTGCTGCTTCAATTGACGGCTATTGATGATCTCCTCAAGCTCGCGCATTATGATTCCGACGCCGTGGTTGCTATGATGCATATCACTAGCGGCTGTTCCAAACGGGAAGTAACTAGGCAAGCCCTCGATTGCGTTTGCCAGACCAACACGACATGAGCTTGTCGCAACCCTCCCTTTTGCTTTCCACATAACATTATTGCAACTGCACATGTGAGATACGCAGATCACTTAGCGAAAGAGCGTGCGAAAGTCGTCAGGATAGAGCTGCGGACGAGCATGAAAGCCTGGTCTATCTCTGGACGCACTTGAATTGGAGGTGGAGGAAAGCGCGCGATTCGCTCACTGGCTCTTCCGGCAGGTCGGTGCTCCTTGATCTGCCACTGCCACCGTTCGGCTTGTCCGTTCGAGAAGCCTTCGAGAATCTCTGTCACGGTACAGTCTTGTCTTGCCTCCACTCTCTTACCGTGCTTCTCTTTGTCTGGCAGTCTGCAGGTAGACGCTGCTGGTCTTTGCACCGGTTGCCCCACTGCGGCCGCGGGGGCTTTCCTCGCCTGCATTGTCGACTCCGCGCATCTTCCTTGGCAAGTAGGGCCTGCATGTGATCAGTTGCGGTGGGCTCAAGTCACACAGCTTCAGCAGCGACGGGCGCTGGGCTACAGCATTATTGTCTGGGTGCGCACGCACTGCCGGCTGCGCTCCCTATGCGGCGCTTGTATCAGCGACATCGCCATCTCCAATCTCTCTCGCCCAAACACACCCTTGCCCTAGGCTCACACGCTCCCGCCTGTCATCCCCAGCTTCTCCGCGCCGACGACCAAGCCCACCTCACCACTGCTGCCACCTCCGCGCTCACTTCACCGCTGCCCCACCGCCACCTGCTCGCGCCTTCCCCGTCGCTGGGCGAATGCGCCTAGCCCTTGTCAATCCACACCACTGCCATGGAGGGCTTCGATACCACCACCATGTCGTACCTCGCGACGCCAATGCTGATGCAGAACGTGCCTGGACCGGACCAACAGCACATGGCGATGCCGATGAACCCAATGGAACAGTTTGACCAGCGCTCGGTCTTCGACAACGAGACGTTTGCGTAAGCAGTTGCAGCTCTGCGCACGACTAACTGCTAATTTCCATGCGCAGGAGCGAAGACGCCTTCTCGGTGTCGCAGTATCATATGCAGCACCCAGCACCGCCTCTACGGAGGTTCCCAAGTACCTACGAAGATCCTTTCTCGGACGTCCACAGCACCTACGAGCAGTCGATTCACCCACACGAGCAGAACGGCGTGCCAGAGAGCCCCAACATCGAAAGCAACAACAAGTTACTAAGCTTCTCATTACCAAGCGTACCATACACCGTACTCGACCTCGGCATGGGTATGCAGCAGAAAGTGCACATGTCCATGTCAGCCCAGTTGCATGGCATGTTCTTTCTCGCCGAATCCCCGTGGGCTACAGCTGGCGATGTCCAACCACCACCTTCAGAGCTAACCTGCTATCGCCGTAATCTCTTTCAGATTACAGGCACAGTCACATTGCCAAGGAGTATGCATGTTCTTCTGACTGATCACGGTGAACAAATACCCATACTTGGCCAGGAGCTCACCATATCTGCAACCGAGTCTCTCGAGGGCAACTCGGTTAAAATTATCTCGGTGCCGTGGAAGACCCCCGCCACGAGTACGGTACCAATCGAGGATAAGACAGAAAAAGAGCCTCCAACATATCCTCTGGACTTGTCGACAGGCCAGGACATGGATAGCAACTACGTCTCATTTCCCATAAGCTGGAAGAGATTGCAGTTCAGGATAGCGACCGCTAACAACGGGAGAAGAAAGGAACTGCAACAGCACTTCGTTGTTCGCCTGAAGGTCGTAGCGTCGCTCGCAAACGGCATGAAGGTCACTCTGTGTGAAATTCATTCGAGTGCAATTATTGTTCGTGGCAGAAGCCCAAGGAATTTTCAGTCGCGCAAAGATATGCCCATCAGTGGTGGAACCGCGCAGGCCCGCAAATCTCACTTACCTCAACAGCCAAGTCGTACGACCACTGGCGACACTGCTCAGACCAGTCAGACTCAAGGGCAAAGCAACATGACCTCAACCGTGAAAGCGGAGAACACGATACAGGTCCCATACGAATTCGGCACCATGGAAGTGCCGATTTCGCCAGAGTTTTCTGACTGGAAAGTACCTGGTGGAGGCGCCATGACCGCCATACCGGTGGACCCACCCTCGTCGCAGATGCCGCACGCGACACCATATGCACAATCTACACCCGATGTCTCCAGAAGCGTCCCTCCCCCACAAAGAACTTCGATAGCGCCAGTCACTCTTTCACTCACAGAAGACGAGCCAAAGAAGGCAACCTCGCCTGTAGAGCACGCTAGGAAACGCGCCGCCCCAGCACGGCCCCCATCGTTCTCCATCGGCATCATCAACAGCCCAGATGAAAGTGCTGACTTACTCTACGAGTACTTCCCTCTTGGGCTCGATGACTGGATGCCACCTGTAGATGCCGTGTACCGTCCACATGTTGTTCACCACACAAATTTGCCCCAGGATCCGACGTCTCTCGAAAGAAAGAGCAGATCAAAACGATACTTCGAAGCCTCGGCCTACTGATTCCTTGATGGACAACAGCCTGGGCAAACATCATGCGACTTCGACATTTGCTGTGGGTGTATCTTGTCTGGATGCGTGCTTCTACCAGCGCTGCAGGCGTTCCTTTCAGCTGGCTGTCCAGATCTTTCCCGTCGCTCTCCTAACAGCGGCTCTTTGCTTGTTGGGGTGCACATCCTGAATCGGGCTTCCGACATGCGTCCTGAATCTTCTCGAGGGATGCACTATGCAGAATGGTTGGTGTGTTCTGCGCGTACTAATGCATTCTCGTACACAGTTCGACCTGTTCGGTTGTCAGTTCTTGACCATCAGCGAGCATAACTACTCTGCCTTACGACTACTACGACTTTCCTCGGACCGCCTGCTTCACAGGACCGAACCCGGTTTTGTTCAGGTTCTTTCGGCTGTCACATGTTCAGTATTTATACCAGACCACTTCTTTTGGGCGTTGGCTACAGGCAGCACTATATCCACGGACTTTGTCACAAATTTAATCAGTACATTTCAAGCATATTTCAGACTGAAACGACCAAGCATAAGTTTTGAGGACGGTTACGGTCCAAAGGCACGGCTGACGGGTCACAACCTCTTTACTGTAACCTCCCGTATAGTACACCTTCACTTAGCACGTCGTCATTCGTCGGTCTCGCAGACCGAACGCAATAATCGTTTGCAGCAGGATGGCGCAGGAATGTAACAGCAGCCCACCTGTCAGCAGAACCCCTCATGATCATCGCAATCTGACTCTTGTAGGAGCTGAGCGAGGATTTTGTGTGCAAACGTATGCTCACTGACAATCATGCCAGACAAAAGCAAAAAAACACATTGCGAATGCCAAGCGCGTGTCCGAGGTCTTTTTCAGCCAGCGCGATGCGAAACAACAGAGTCGCAAACTTGCATCTGTCGTGCGCAGTGGTGTGGTGTTGTAGGTGGCATTTGTGCCGATGGTCACCGACGATGTAACGGTATATGGCCTCAGCTTGCCCCTACATCCACACGGATTCAAACTCGGCCTCGGCACACGAAGTCTCAGATTATCTGCAATTTTCGAGCTATCAAAGTGCTCATGCACCGAACACCGGGCACACAAGGATTGGCTACCTTCTGCTTGTGGACCATCAATGATCCACGTGGGACCCAGTGGATGCGAACAGATGCCACCATTCAGCGCCTTACAACCCACTGACAATCCTCATCTCCTGTCGTCGGTGGATATACTTCTTAAAAGCTCGTAAAGGCAGGTCGAGAGCACCCTGCGAGCTGAAGCTTTACGCCGATGGTACGGTTTCAGGGACGTGCCATTGTGGTGACACCGCAGATGTGGTAACATCAAGAGTCCAGAGTCAAGACTCACCCAAGCATCGAGTCCATCGCCCGAGCATCGTTCCTGCATAGAGTCACGGCGCTAGGCGGCACGTAGGAGGCAGTGCCTGACTACACCTGCCTTTTGCGTATTATTCTCCGATCGATGGTACGTACATAACTGCCTCCTCGTTTCTGATGGAAAGACACCATCACACCCGAACATAGTGATAGGTAACTTCACATCTCCACTTTCCCCGCACTGCACCCGACTGTTGAGGTCGCCACCGCGCGTCCACGTTATCACGGTCACAATGCTATGGTCTGCCGTACTGATGCCATGTTCCATCCGTGTGCAGCCGTCCGTGGCTTCCTGGCTCGCTACAACCTCGCAACATGCATTCCATATCCTCGTGTGGGAATGTGATACCGGGAGAGTCTAAATCGGCGTGGACGTACTCGGCTCTCGAGGGAGATTGAATCCTTCGACTTTGATACGCGAGAGATCACTCGACTCTAAGGCATCTGACTCTGTCACAAAATGTGACTTGCATCTTGATAGACCACAAGTGTGAAGGTAAGAATTACCATCATTCGATCCTCGGTGCGCGCAAGTCAGATCGCGATGGAACATGTGCAGCTGGTGCGCGCGGAATGATGTATCACAATCGCATGATGTATCACAATCGCATTCCACAGTAGTGTTGCTAGACGGTGGCCTCGAGGGCTATATGCTGTGCCAAAACGCCGTAGAGAACCCGTTTCATCATGATCCCCAATGCTAACATTGGCCCAGTGACCAGTCATCAAGACCGGCTATGCAATGACCTTTGATCCTGTATCCGAAATGTATGTACAAACTCCGTCGCTGAGAGGGTATAAAGCAAATGCTCATCGTATTCGTGCGTAACACGACATGAACTCTATGGGTGGCGATGTATCGTCTTGACCTATTGCTTATATATGCAGCATCATCTATTGGCCTTCGAGACTGCAGACGGAGACAGCTGCGCCGAAGATGGCGGACTCAATGGCGATCTCGAGCTTAATCGACCCGGGTTCGGCGCCAGATGCAACGGCAAGATCATCAAGATGTGTCTGACAAAGTTCCCTGAACAATGGGTACTTTTCGATTACAGAGCCGTTGCAGCCAATGCTCATCTGACCGGCGAATGCTGGTGTAAGGCCCTCTGCGGTGGTGCGCAATATCCACAACGCGTGAATTCCGGTGGCGAGAAATCCTGCTGCACGGTGCGAGACGAGTTGGGAGATCTGACGAACGAACTGAATGTCGTTGTACGTGGGCGGCTTGCTTAAAGGGTGCTTCGTTTGCAGGATTGCAATGGCGGCAGTAAGGTGCTTCGAGCCGTCCATCTCCATGGCGGCGATTGTCCCGGTGTCCAAAGAATAGGGTTCGCTCAATTTGGCTGGCAGCTCACCACTGAACAAGCCTGCAGTGCGGACAGCCTCAACTATGATCAACCGGACGATCTCCCCGAGGTAGCGGCCGCTGATCATATGCTCGAACGGCTGAAAGTCCGGTCGCATGTGTGTTGCATTGAGCTGATCATCCCACCGAGTGGTTGGAAAGACGTTCTTCCCAAACATACTACATTCAGTGTTGACGAGGACATGCGTGGCTTCGTCTAGCCACTTTTGGGGGTAGCCTTTGTACTTGGTTGCTGCAAGTGACGAAACGGGCAGGTGCACGGAGATGTTGAATCCAGTTCCGAGGATGACGGCAAAACGTGTTGATGGGTCTTCGTAAGCCCGTGACAGCAACGTTGCGGAAGAGTCGTTGACAATGGAGTCCATGTGCACCGGTAGATTCTAGTTACAATTTAGTGCTGTGCTAACGTTAATTGTGGCGTTACGCTTACTCTCTTCCTGCACGGCGCCATGATCAGTTCGCTGAGATCTTGACCGAGAACACCGTGAGTTGCATGAAAACCTTTACCCATCTCGAGAAGGTTTCCGCTACGTGACGAAGTTTGTCTGGAAATGATGTTAGCATTGTACTGTCAAGCAACGACAGCTACACGTACTCAATGGGAAAGGACCACGCTAGTCCCATAGGGAAACTATTCATGTTGTCGACCTTCTGAGGAGGAGCTTCTGCGAGCGCAATCTCAATCTTCTCGGCCATCCAGTCAAAAAAGTCTGTCCCTCGTCGTTGCCGAATCTTCTCATCAATCTTGAAACTCTTCATGTTGACGATGCGCATGTTCTTGGCACCAGGCTGCCTGCCATTCAGCTCCACCAAAGCGATGCGGAACGTTGAGCCGCCAACATCGAGCGCCAGGTAAGTCCCCTTTTCAAGACCAGATGGCAATTTGTGGTTGTAGGAAGGAAGCATGCAAATGTCGCTGGCCTGCAGTTTGGGTATGAACTGCTCCTGTAGTCCTGCGGAGATTTGTTGCAGCCTTGCGGTATCGAGAGGGTCCTCCAGAAGGCGTTGTGTCTCGCGCAAAAAGTCGTCCATGGTGCGGTCATAGGTCCGCAGAGCCTCACGCATGTTGCGTTTCCGTGAGGTCAGCGGAAGAACAGTGTGTATCAACGAAGGGAGCATGGCTAAATGCTTCAGAGCCGCAAGAAGGCCCTGCCAAAAATCGAGCATGAGCTGTTTGTACCAGCAGCGGTTGTGTTCGTCGGTAGACGAATGGTGACTGCTGTCCGAGGCGCCGTTGCAATCGGAAGTGTGGGTGACGCGGCGGCTTTTGTATCGTCTCAACGTCAGGGACGGCATGGAGGGGCAGAGGGTGGTGAAAGTGGTAACAACGGCGGGGCCAGGTCTTAGAGTGAATGTCGTTTGCGTGCGTTATATCAGACTTGTGAAAACCAAGCAAGTTCTTCCAGCGCTGTGGATTCCAATGCACGACGAGGTTGCTGCGGGCCGGTAGTGACCGATGTCGCCTGGTGATACGGCCATCCGGAGCATAAGGGTTGTATTTGCCAGAGGCACGGCAGCAAGGACGCTGGTCGCGAACAACGTCGCTGGCCGCTGGCGCCAGGCAAGGCGAGTGCAGAGGGCGAGCGTTGGTGGGGTTTCTTTGCTACGTTACATTTGATCGCACGCTTAGCCACATAAAGGCACGAGGCCGGGGCTTGAGTGGACGGCCGCCGCGATTCAGTTTAAATTGCAGGCGTCCTGCGGCTGTGGCGATCTCACCTGTCCATGTGTGCAACCACGGGCAAAAGATAAACAGTATTCTGCAGTCCTCAGGCACGTGCGGTCCGTTCCCGCCTGTTGCTGTTGCTGCGGGATGTCGCTTCCATCAGCCAGGTAGCCGTGTCTGGTTAATCAACGCACCTCTCCAATACATCTAAACGTCGCTACTGCTCTGGCGTTCAGTCTCTTATGCTGTTCGGCTCGTATGAAGCACACGGTTGAGGTTGGGCTGCCGCTGACAATGCTACCTTCCCCACATGTAACACGCTGCCCTCGTGGGGCCGGGGTATCGTGAGCGCGTCCTCGAGGGCAGCTCGGATTGAGACCTCGTGTCGCGTACTGTGGCTAGCGAGAACGAGCTTGTGGTAGTGTTCCAGCGACTCTCTTCTCTAGACCGGTATGCACGGAGCTCGTCAGCAAGGACAGACGGGCCAGCCTTGCGCAGAACGGTAACTATCAATCAGGAATGTCGTTAGGGTACGGGCTGGTATGACAGAACATCGACGTTTCGTCTGGTTCGAAACAACTATGTGCACATGTTGACGCAGGGTAGAGGAGCACCTCAGGTTCGTACTCATTGCAAGGGACGACAAGGAAGGTCGTCATGTAATTCCACAAGCATGTGAGGCTGGTGGACAGGCCATTTGACAGGGGGTTTGAGACGCCTGCGTAATTGGGTACGGTGTGATCGAATTAGCTTTAAGCAAATTCGCTATGGGTCTGTCAGGCATAGGTTGTGATTTGATTATACGCTTGATTTGTGGACTCGCTACTACTGCTTCTGCTTTATGCATCTGAAGACGAAAGGACGGGGATATCGTGCAGAAACCTGCCAAAACAGCTCTGTAGTTTGAGTATCTGATAAGCAGGCCATATGACTCTGCGAAGAGATGTACAGGAAATAATCGTGCCAACTGTGGCATCAAGCATGCTATGACCCCGCTGAAAATCTCCAACCTACACAGATCCCCTTGAGTATTACAATGGAGATGGTATCGTGAATCGTAAAATCTGGAGAAGAGAAAGGTCCTAGACCTTCTCGACCTCGTCGTTCGCAGTGGAGACGCGAGCCTTTGGGGCGACCTCAGTAATGGTCTCGTCGGTGAAGGCGATATCCTCCTCAACGGGAACGGTATCCTTGACCTTGATAAGGATGACGGGAAGAGCAATGAGTAAGCTGCCAGCGAGAAGAATCCAGTTGCTCATAAACATGTGCATGTACGGGATGCCGTTGCTGTCCATGGACCAGGTGATAGCACCACCGGCAGACTGGATACCCTTGTAGAAGCCAGCAAAGTTGGCAAGCTTGCGGCCGTTGTTGGTAAGAGCGCCCATGAACCAGTACACGCAGGTCTGCCACGCAGCGTCGGAGAAACCATAGAACATGTAGAGAACAAAAGGTCCGGCGTAGCCGGCGTCAGACCAGTCCTTCTTGGGGTTGGTCTCATCTGAAGCCCAGGCCCGGTCGTACGTCTTCTGGAACATGTAGCCAAATCCCCATACGATCATGATTGTGGCGAAGAGAGCAAATAAAGCACCCTTGGCACGGGTCGTGCGGCGAACACCTTTGAAGTCAAGAGCGAAACCGAAGACGTAAGCCCCGATAATCTGCATGATGTAGTATACTACGCCGTTCAGGGCGCGAGTGCGGGTATTGAAGTAGGCGCCGTTGATCTCAGTGAAGTGGTAGGCGTAGAACCAATTCGAAGCTAGGAACATAGGGAACAGAAGGATGATGAAGGGGTCAGTGAAGAAGGTCTCCCACAGTCCCATGATCTCGGACTTCCACGAAGGGTGCTTCATGACAATGACTTTGGAACCATCAGCACGAATGACATCTCGTGCGTCGACGAGCACCCAGGCGAGCGCAGCACCGATGATGGTGAGAACGAGGAATCCAACGTAGGTACCATCGTTGACAGAGGAAGCTGTGGTGGTGTGCATGTTTTGGCCGAGGGGAATCTAGCATTTGTTAGCGTTCACTTCGAGTTACACGAACAAGCGTTTGACTCACCAAGCTGCCAATCACAGCACCCAGATTGAAGATCATCCAGAACCAAGAAATGTAGCGGCCCTTGGACTCCTCGGGAGGGTAGGACATCATAATGGCACCCTGGGCACACCACAGCAGACCGGCGCACACACCAAGGAGCGCACCGGCGAATGTGGTGAATCCCAAGTTCTGGGTGTGGTTGTAGCTCAAGTAGGAAGCCACGTAGACTGAATAGCCAATACCACCGAAGGAAAGCGCAGTGCGAATACCGAGCTTGTTGGTGAAGGTGCCGGCAAAGAAACCGACGACGGCGAAGGTAGAGTACAGCGCGGTGTTGGCCTGATTGTTGGCGGTGGGGTCAAGCTGGCCGCCGCCTCCCATGCCATTGAGCGCGTTGAACATACCAGGGCACATGAAGCACACAAGCGAGACAATGACAAGCTGCACGGGAGGTGAGGCGAACCAGGGAAGCTTGTAGCCGAAGATAGTGAAGCGCTTGTACTTCCACGAGTCGGGGAGAACCAGCGTGCTGCTGTCGCTCAGCGAATGCTCGGGGGTGTGAACATCATGAGCGGGCACGCCGCTCTTCTCGTCGTTGGTGGTTGTGGTCGACATTGTGTGACGCGCAACGTGGGTAGGGCGTGGTGGTGCCGTTGCAATATGCGGAGTTGACCTCGCGGGTGGAGTGACAGGTTGAACAGTGCAAGCAAAAAAGCGAGAGGTGTAGTTTAGATAGGCTGACTGCGCCCAGACCAAGCACCTAGACGGTCCCTGACTACTTATGGTGGGGTATGCTGAACTGGGCTGCTGGTGAAAGTCGAAGGGATGGCTCCGTTTAAGAGCAAGGGCCATTCACCGTCAAATATTTCCCGCTCCTGATCCGAGAGCTGCACGCGACACCCCCGGCCCTGAGATGCGCAGTGCGATGCGCCAACACGCCAACTGGAACATGAGGTGGCAGCAAGGCGTTCGTATTCAGGACCGTATCAGCAACCCTGGCCTATGTCACTGCCAAACAGCGCCTTCCCGTTGCGCGATGCTGCAGCTGTCTGGTGGCGAGCCTTTGCAAGGTTCGGCAGCTCGAGGCGGCCTGTGTGGAGCCCCCCTGTCGCTGTTATCGGGACCCATCCGTTTCCTTGGTCGCGCCTGCAGTGCCTGACTCGCGCTAGGGGACGACGGCCTCGCGCCATGCGTGTAACGCTCTCCGCCCTCGATGCTACCACGACTACACCCACCATCCGCTATCTTCACTATCAACACCTTGTCGAGCACCGTTGAAGCTGCTCCATTGCTATGCGCAGTCTCCACCATGGCTTTGATGATTGCATCGTGATATTGCATGACTAACGGCGTGGTGACCGTCAGCACCGCAGGAGACCAGCATGGTGTTAGCCTATGTTGCTGTGACATGGCTCCTCGCCTGTCAGCGTCGAGAGATAAGCGCGTTGTACCACCACGTTCACCTCGGCGTCCATCGCACTGCATCGTGGACCATCTGACCCACCACGAGCGCACCATGGACTGCTGGACGGAAGGAGACGAGTCAATGCTAGCTATGGTTCAAGATCGCATCCGGCATCTGTCGCCGCTGTCACGTTCCGACAAAGAGGACCCTGATTGATGAACGAGCTTGCAACCCTACTATCTCCCGCCAAAAAGTGACGTGAAGGTCCCGGGAAGGCTCCGAGTCCTCTGGAGTTCTCTCAAATAGTCTTGCGCTGCTGTGAAAGCACGCGTTCGTGGACTCAGAACCCCTCCTCCCTACTGCTCACCTCAGCAATACTCCAGTCATCAGGCCATACACTTCATCATGTATGCTCGTGCAACAGCCCGTCTATATTCGATAGTACGCTTATTGCTTCCAGGCGACTGATCATTCGCGACGACCCCGAAGCTACGTCCAAGTACATTGCGGACTACATCATTGGTGCATACTTCTGCAGTCCCTTGCGCATGAGGCAGGTCATTAACGTTCATGCATAGAACGTATCAAAACATTCAATCCCACATCTGAGCGACCGTTCGTGCTTGGCCTGCCCACCGGCAGCAGCCCGGTGCTCATCTACCAGCATCTTGTTCACCGACACAAGTCTGGCGAAATATCTTTTCGCGATGTGGTCACCTTCAATATGGTACGAAATGTTGACCCTGCGTTGTCTCAACCCACCCTTGCCTCAGGACGTGACACAACAGCATGGCAGTGAGGAGAGGAGGCTAACTCGATCAGGACGAGTACGTTGGGATCCCACGGGACCACCCTGAAAGCTACCACAGCTTCATGTACAAGCACTTCTTTTCACACGTCGACGTGAAGCCGGATAATATCAACATCCTCAATGGCAATGCTCCCGACCTCGAGCTCGAGTGCCAGAAATACGAGGAGAAGATCCAAGCGGTCGGTGGCATTGAGCTGTTCCTGGGCGGCATTGGTCCCGATGGCCACATTGCCTTCAATGAACCCGGTTCCAGCCTCAAGTCTCGCACACGTGTAAAGACCCTTGCGTACGACACCATTCTTGCCAACTCACGGTTCTTCGGGAACAACCTGGACCAAGTGCCCAGGATGGCACTGACAGTCGGAGTCCAGACGGTGCTCGATGTGAGTTTCATCAGCGTGTACGTGTTCAGCTCAACAGTGTGGCTAATGTGTTCTCAGGCGCGCGAAGTCGTCATCATTATTACGGGCGCACGCAAAGCATTGGCTCTGCAAAGATGCATCGAAGGCGGTGTAAACCACATGTGGACTCTGTCCAGCCTCCAATCCCATCCTCACCCAATGATCGTCGTCGACGAAGATGCCACGCTGGAGTTGCAGGTCAAGACGGTCAAGGTACGCACCCAACACTAGCCCCCTGGCGCAAACATCAGCGCAAATCTTAAGAACCACATCAAAGCTGATACTCAACAGTACTTTAAGAGCATCGAGATGGTAGCCGCTGAGCTCGGTTTTCGACAGAAGCTCCCACGAAAACGGGACTCGTTCATCGACGAGGGTGCCTTGTCGGTACCCACACGGAACCAAGCCAACGGTACCAGCTTGACTGTGCCACAACAAGACATATCGCGCTCCGCAAGCCCCGTGTTCGAGCCAATGAGTGCTCGTCTCGACGATGAGGATGCTGCAACTAAAGTGATGCAGTCCTGGGATGCTGTTGAGGATCAGCCGTCCGTTCGCATGAGTGCTCGTGTTGCCGGTTGAATGCACCATGCTATGCCGCGAAAGCGCCGACTTGCACGGAGGTTTACAACGACACTCATCTGGTGCTTTTGGTTGTATACTGGTAGATTCGTTTACTCTGATATTGTTAACAACTCAAGGGGCACGTCTTGGCCGAGTGAATTAGACTGGATGTATGGTACTAAGTCATTGTAGAATGTGAACTGAGCTCAGCTCGACATAGAGTGTAAGAGCATCAAAGATTTAAGTAGATAGATCGTCGCATATCAGGTAGGGTAGCCTGGTGGTCATGTACAGACAAGCATCGGCACTGAAGGTTGTAGACCTCGTTACAATACATGTCAATCAAAGCGTCCTGTAGGAGGCAGTCAAACTATTGAACACTCGTATTTCCTTCTGCAATGACGGAAGTTGCCCGCATCAACATGCTCGCATGGAGAAGCCTCTCAAACACAAGATGAACCCGCAGAAACAATCGGAGATGAAAAACAGTAGAGATCGCTATGCTGGCAAGGAAATGCAACAGAACGCTGTGGGAAATGTCGTGATGCATTTCCAGGAGAATGCCGATAGTGACAAGAGAAACGTAGAGCGACTTCGATGCGGCAATTATTCTCATCGAGTCGGTGTCGAAACATGGTCGGGTATCTCGAAGAGAAAAGGTCGTGACATGGAAAATGTTATAGGTGTGACTGTGCTGGCCCGTGAAGACTTCGCCCCTCGCTAGTGTGTTGCCTCAGGCTCGGTGTCGAGTGAAAGAAAATTTGCGAATGCAAGTCGGGGCCGAGGAACGGGGAGATGGCTGTGCAAAGCCTCGCTCATCAGCAGCATCTGCCACCCTTCGACTTCTGGGCTCTATCGATATCTTGTTCCCATTCCTGCTGATGACCGCCCACTCCAGGTGTAGTAGGAAATCCCAGCCAGCTTCGCCGCTTGTCTCCCGCTCCGATGCGGAAGCTTCCATTTCCATTTCCAGGGTAATCGAAGTATCCGTTGGTGTTGCCGTGCACGTCGATACCTGGTGTTACGCCGGCCATGGTAAGCTGTCTCTGCTCAGCCTCAAATTTGCGTTGCTGTTGTTCGACCAGTTTCCTCGTGATGACCCGGAACACCTCGTCGACGCCTTCGCCGTCCTTCGCGCTGATCTCATGGCAACAATCCCATCCAATGTCCTGACCCCAGAATCCACTGGACCTGTTACTTTGAGGAGATGCCGTAGCGCCACTGCGAAAAGCCGCAGGTGCCGAGCCATAACCTCCGGGATGCCCACTGTGCTCATGTGCGCTTTGCGTAGGATATAACTGCTCGGCGATGTATGCTATGCATCGCTCAAAGGGGACTTTGCGCTGAGAGGGGTCTTCGGCGACCACGTCGGACTTGGTTCCTACAACGTGCAGGATAATGTCGTCCCCAAGGTTCGTCTTGAGTTCCTTCAGCCACCTGCCCATCTCTTCGAACGAATGTGGGTCGGTGATGTCATAGCAGAGAACAGCTGCATTTGCTCCTGTTTGGGATGCGCGTTAGCACGGGACACCAGCGATATTCAGGCAGACACGACGTGTGGTCCAGATGTCACTGCGAATTTCGGAGCGTGGGCCGTATTTGGGGAACAGCTTGGCCGGGGTAACCGCGGCAACATTTGCAAGCTTGCAGGGAATGCCACAGACAACAAAGGGGCAACGGGAGAAAGCAGCTTGCTCAAGGTGCAAGCGGTGGAAGAGGATGTTTGGGCGTGTACGTACCTCTGTAGTAGAGTTTGGAGATGGACCTGAAACGTTCCTGCCCCGCTGTGTCCCAGATCTGTAGGCGGACGACTGTGGATGTATCGGCGTCGATGACCCTCTTTGTCAAGAATGACGCGCCAATCGTAGACTGCGTAGAAGGTGGTGTGAATGCGTTCTTGACATATCGGTGCACGAAGGACGTCTTTCCTACGCCCTGGCTGCCGAGCACTACAATCTTAGCCTCAAGACTGTTGGCCATGTTGGCGTTTCCGCGGTCGGAGGTATGTTGGTCTGAGTAGAGGTGTCGGTCAGTCGTCCTGGGGCAGGCGTGGCAAGCGATTTTGCTTGTTCTTATTGTTTACGCCCTGCGGCTGTCCTGGGGGCTGCTTCGGGGACAACAGAAGGAAAGTGATTGCCGAACAAGTGTCATGGCGCGTGTTCAGGAGCGCGTCGCAAACAGAGGAATTCGGTCCCACGAAATGAGACGTAGGTCGAGACAGCTGTGCTTGCGTGCTCTTGCAGGCAAAGCGGTACGGCGGGCGAGGGACGCTGAGGAGCGCGGTTGGCGCTAGGCGGGTCAGGTGCTCGCTCCATCTGCCGCGGGAGAGTGCCTGATCATCAGCAGCACTGGGAATGCAGCGAGAGTGAGCATTGCGTCCATCGCGGTCGGTCCTGGCAAACACGAAGCAGGCCAGATGAGCGATAACGAGTGTTTGTTGGACACCGAAGCAGTTGGTTAGTCCGAGCTGCGCTCCCCGCAGTTCGGAAGCGACTGGTTGAGTCGCCCTGCGCATGTGTTGGCGGAGCCAGACCTGGCCGACCAGCCCCACCGCAGCCTGCTTACATTTGCAGGCGCGCTGAGAAGTCCGACCGCGCTCCTATCAAAGGCGTGGAATTACAAACTCCGAGTCGAGTTGCTCTTTTGGACAGTGCCAGGTCTCGACGGCGCCATGGCGGCCAGGCCAGTCAATCAGTCAGTAATGCTGGGTGCGCCGCCGCTCCGTCTAGGCATGCAGCCGATATGCTTCCGAAATCCCCGCAAAGAGATACCCCGAGCTAGCATGGAGGAATGGCCGTCGTGAACCTGGACGTTCCGCCCGCCCTGGGCTTTAGTGCCTGGGACTGAAGTAGATGATTTCAATAAATTGCGCTGTGCCTCTCCGTGACCACCCTCTCCTTCTCCTCAGGTCTCGAGATCCCGCCCAATACAACCCCCAGCCCCCGTCACCATGAACCACTCCAGCAACAACACCCAGGCGGTGCAGCTCACAGGCGAGGAGATTGCGAAACACAACAGCCGGGAATCATGCTGGGTTATTGTCCACGGCCGTGCCTACGATGTCACTGAGTTCCTGCCAGAGCATCCAGGAGGCCCCAAAATCATCCTGAAGTACGCTGGCAAGGACGCTACCGAGGAGTATGAGCCCATCCACCCGCCCGACACACTCGAGAAGTACCTGCCCAAAGACAAGCATCTCGGCGAGGTGGACATGGGAACAGTGGCAAAGGAGGAGAAGGAGTTCGACCCCGATGAGGAAGAGAGGCAGAAGCGCATCGAGTCCATGCCCATCTTGGAGCAATGCTACAACCTGATGGACTTCGAGGCTGTCGCCCGCAAGGTCATGAAGAAGACGGCATGGGCATACTACTCGAGTGCTGCAGACGATGAGATTGTAAGTCCATTTGAGCCCCCGTCGTCATTGTCACGGCTAACAATACAATAGACGCTGCGTGAAAACCACAGCGCTTTCCACAAAATCTGGTTCCGCCCACGAGTCCTCGTAGATGTTGAGCATGTCGACATGTCCACCACTATGCTCGGCACAAAGGTTGACATCCCGTTCTACGTGACCGCTACTGCGCTCGGCAAGCTCGGACACCCAGAAGGCGAGGTCGTCCTGACCCGTGGCGCGAAGAAACACAACGTTATTCAGATGATCCCAACATTGGCATCTTGCTCGTTTGACGAGATTATGGATGCGGCAGACGATCAGGTCCAATGGCTGCAGCTTTACGTGAACAAGGACCGTGAAGTCACCAAGCGAATTGTACAACACGCCGAGAAGCGCGGTTGCAAGGGTCTGTTCATCACCGTCGACGCACCTCAGCTTGGTCGTCGCGAGAAAGATATGCGATCCAAGTTCAGCGATGTGGGTTCTAGTGTCCAAAGCTCTTCCGGGTCAGCTGTCGACCGAAGCCAGGGTGCCGCACGAGCCATCTCGTCCTTCATTGACCCGAGTTTGAGCTGGAAGGATATCGCCTGGTTCCAGAGCATCACTAAGATGCCCATTCTGCTGAAGGGTGTCCAGTGCGTCGAGGACGTTATTCGCGCCGTTGAAGTTGGCGTGCAGGGTGTCGTTCTTTCCAACCATGGAGGTCGCCAGCTAGACACTGCACGCTCTGGCATTGAGATCCTCGCCGAAGTCATGCCAGTCCTGCGAGCGCGCGGCTGGCAAGACCGCCTGGAGGTCTACATTGATGGTGGTGTACGCCGTGCGACAGATATCATCAAGGCCATGTGCCTTGGTGCCACCGGTGTTGGTATTGGCCGCCCATTCCTTTACGCCATGTCTGCATACGGTCTGCCTGGTGTTGACCACGCCATGCAGCTGCTGAAGGATGAGATGGAGATGAACATGAGGTTGATCGGTGCTGCGAAGGTTTCAGATCTGAACCCTACCATGATTGACACACGAGCGCTCAGCTCCCACATCGCGCCAGTACCTGTCGATACTCTTGGCCTCAATGTCTACGACTCGCTCGTCGGGCCTCAGGAGAAGGCCAAAGCCAAGTTGTAGCGTCTGGGGGCGGGCGAGCTGTACATATGCATTACACTGGAGCGTTTAGAAATGTTAGGTTTACATGTAACTTAGGGTCAACTATTCCATTGATTAAACTTCTTCAAAAAATTCCTGAGTCTGATTTGAGCCACACAGTACAATCAGATAGACCGGATCTGATCGGGATTTGCCAATGCTCTCAGGGTTTGCGCACGTGAGACCGCGACGTTTCGTTCATGGATGGCTCCGGGGTCGCATTGGGGCTCAAGTTACGCGAGTACCGAGACCCGCCCTGGCGTTCTTTGAGGCTTGCCACAGCGTGGTTCCTCCTCATCCACAATCTCAACATTCACGGCGGGACCGCTTTCCTTTGCAAATGTCCTTTGGAAGCTAAAGAGGATTCAACTTTTGTCTGCTTGGTGACGTTTTTGCGAACATGAGCGGCTCAGACTCTACAGCGCAACCGGGCGCAGGTTGGGATGAAGCGCATTGCATGGCGGCACTTGCGCAGCTCGAGCAGCTACAGTCTCAAGTTCGTACCTACACATAATGGCCCGAACCCATGTTGACATACTCAGATTGATGACTTACGCCTCGCAATACCCAGAATAATAGAACCTTTCCATCGACCAGCGAATCCGTCGACGTTCAAGCTGTATTCGCAGGGCGTTATTGGCTCTCAAAACGGTATAAAGGCACTGAACGAAGCATGGCGGGCACCAGAAGTACAAGAAACGCTTGCGCATACCAAGAAGAGCTTCGAGGCGAACCAAGATCTAGCTGCATGCGTATCAGTCCCCTCTCACGGCTGGATAGAGAGAGCGCGTCGCGAGCGGGAGTCGCACAAGAGCCCTGGAGAGAACACAGCTGTTGAAGATCATAGCAACAGGTTGGACGATGAGACGATATCGCGTATCATAGCAGATATCCAAGGAACACAGCCCAACGTTAAGCTGCAAGCCCATGACGGTAACCGCTGCATAACCGTACGATTTCTGGCGAAGCTTGACCTGCAAATACTGAGCTATCGAGTAGACACAGTTTGTCGCAAACTCCATGAGACTCTCTTTCAAAGTTAACATCGATCGCGAAAATGAGACACGGCCCAAACTCTCAGCGGATTGCTTAGGGACTTCAGAGCCCTCCCTCTCTATAGCACGGTGTATATCATCACGACCCAACCCTCACGATCTGGCACACCTTCTGGTAAGAATCATTTGATTGAACTGGACTTTGACGATGAACACTAAGATCTACAGAATATGATTATGGCATACAAGACCGTGAAAGGTAGTTCATGCGCCAAATGCGGAAAACTGCTCGACGATACCGCCCTCATCCCGACAGCAAGAAGAAACAAGCAAGTGACCGGCGCCAGCGAAGCCTTAGAAAGCGTCTGGGAGGCATTTCACGAAGGCTGCCTTTAGACCAGTCACCGTGTGCTACGGCTCGATCTTAGTCGTTGCGAGCTAGGAGATATATCCGAAATATCCAGGATGTGCAAGATGCGGATAATGTCTGATCAAAGGAATGTAGTCGTTGTCCTGGTACCAGTCGCCATAAAAAGACCGGAAAGCTTCTGGGTACAGACGTTTCCCGTTGGGATCCGGCTGCCACTTGACATCCGTCCAAGTGTGCTTGTCTGCTTTGCCATACTTTCGAGTGCGGAAGTCGTAGCTCAGCCCGGGAGCGCGTCCACCAAGCGCATTGTTGTGTGTCCAGGAGGCATACTTGATTGGCGACATCGAAACATCCCTGTCGCGGTTATCGAGGCAAGTCCAGTCAGCCCAGCGTGACTTGTGTTGTCGATTCTTCATATGGTCCATTTTGTCGGCGCTGATAGCAATGTGGATGTCAGGACCTTTGTCTTGCAGTATGTCCTTCATGCGGCCCCACTTGGATCCGTTCCTGCCATCCTTGGGCCAGATAAAGGCCTTGTGGGACTTGACGCCGTGAAACTTCTTGCCATCCTGGATCCAGGCTCGGTGGTCTCTACTGTATTCCTTGATGTTGGATCTGTACGGCATGATAGCCGGGTGGAATGCTGGAATATGGGACGCCATGTCTAGTTAGATGGATTGGAAATGAGTACGACCAGCTCGATATCTGCTCGGCTCGACGTGCAGCTGCTTGTGTAGTATATAGTGCCTGGCGTTTGTTATCGCTCTTGTCCTACGGCACCGCTCATCCTTGTCCGCTGATTGCAGCTTGACTGTTCGTATAGTCGATTGCTCAACAATCTTTCTACACTTGTCGTCTAATCCTATTCTCGCTACTGCGAACGCCCACGAGCCCTCGTCTTTCCCCATGTTGTTGCAGCAGACAAGCTAAGGCCCAATTAGGCTAGGCGTCGTTGCTAAGTAGCTCTTGCTGTCTTGCTCTCTTGCTCGCGACAGAACAACGCGACGGCCGAACTTTTGACAGCACCGCGCAACAACACCGTCAACATGTCGCTGTTCGGTAACATTGGAGGCAACCAGCCTGCCTCGAGCGGGTCTCCGGCTCCGCCATTCTCTTTGTTCGGCAGCAAGCCTGCAACCACATCTGCTGCACCGGCCAGCAGCTTGTTTGGTGGTTTGGGAGGAGCGAATTCAGGTGCTACTGCAAAAACAACACAGCCAGCAAGCAGTGGAGCATTTGGCGGCAGTCTGTTTGGTGGCGCGTTGGGGGCAACGCCATCTGCTGGTCCTGCTGCTGCATCATCGGCACCTGCAGGAGGTCTTTTTGGCGGAGCAGCGACAGCGCAACCACAGGCGCAAACAAGCAGCCTTTTCGGCGGTCTCGGAGGCGCAACGCAGCAAACAACAACCGCAAACCAAACCTCGAACCTCACACAAACGGGAGGACTCGGTGCATCCTCCCTCTTCGGTACCACTTCAGCACAGCAACCGCAACAGCAGCAACAGGGTGCTCCTTTGGCACAGACAAACGCGGGTACGGGCCGGTCTGCGCACTTCGACCACCTGCTCGAGAGGGGCCGCAAGCGAAATGCTGGCGAAAACGGCCTTGCCAACTTTGATGAGCTGCCTTCGCTGCAGCTGGGCCTTGGAGATATTGCGCGCAAGGTCCGCAACCTGGGTGCTGGTGGACCCTCAGCAGCTCCGGCTCACGACGGTCAGCAAGACCGCGCCGCGTAAGTTTGGGAAACGGCAAGCCATAGGATGACATTCTGACCACGTCCAGACACTATCTACTCTCCGCATCTGGCGTGAAGATGGGCAGCACCCTCCGCGATCTCAACCAGTTCTCGACGCAAGCAGGCTACAGCGCGAACGTGTCGGCGCCGATCGCATTCGATAGCGATGTCGACAGCTACGTCTCGAACCTCCACTCCCAATCGACCCTTGCTCTCATCCAGGAAGGCTTAGAACAGTCCAAGCGGGATTTCGATACGTTTCTCGAGGATAACGTTCAGATCGAGTGGGACAAGCAGCGACAGAAAATCTACGAACACTTCGGTCTAGGCAGGCAGAGCGAAGAGATGGCGGCTTCGCAGAGCACATTCGGCAGCACAGCAGCTCGAGGCGCGTTTGGCCGCTCCACACGCAAAGGCCGATCTATGGGGCCTAGAGCTTCTACAACGAACGGCGCGTCGACATTTGGCGCATCTTCAGGCGGACCGTCAGTCATTGGGCATTCTCAGAGCGTCCTCAACGGACATGACAACTCCGACAGGTCGGTGTATGGTGGACAATCTGGCCCACAGGATCGCCATGTTCGAGACAAGCAGGAGAGGTTCATGGAACAGGTGAAGAACCTCAACGAAGACAGGCAACGTGAGATACCCTTCTCAGTCTTGCATGCTTTCTCCAATGTGGAGAGCGCTGCAGCTGGAGATAATTCGGATCATTTCATCAGCGCTTACGGAGCCCTCGTTTCCATCACCGGCGAGAAGATACAGGCAGAGGCAGCCAATCCAGGATCGAACAACCCCAAGGCGCGAAGCTTTGCCCGCGAATATCTGGATGAGACAGCTACATCGAGCACCAGCGTTAAGATGCGCAAGCGAATCTTGGATGGGTCTCGATCTTATCTTGAGAAGAGGTTTTTAGAGCATGTGGAGGAGGTGCTGAAGAAGAACCCCTCCGAGGCTCTGGTTGGCGGTGTACCTTCAATGCTAAACAAGATTCGTGGTTTCGTTCGAACTAAGGTTGCTTTCAAGGAGCTCGGTGCTGACCTCGACATCCTACAGAAGATAGGCGAATCTGGCGAGGAATTCCCGTGGGTCATCGTATTCTACCTGCTCAGGGCTGGTCTCCTAACGGAAGCTGCGGACTACGTGCGGGAGAAGAGGAGCTTCTTCCAGAACAACGATCGGAACTTCCACCCAGCCATCGCCTACTACGCGACAGATCCTGACCGCAGACTAAGCCCTGATCTCCAACAAAAAATCAGCCACGTTCACGCGCAGCGGGCTCGTATCAACACAGCAAACGACCCTTATAGGACAGCGTGTTACAAGATCATCGGCCGTTGTGAGATGAGCCGCCGGAACCTTGAGCCCATCAAGGAGAACATGGACGATTGGGTCTGGCTACAGTTCAACCTGGCCCGCGAAGGCAACCGAGCTGAAGAGAACGCTGTCGAGATCTTCGGCCTTGAGGAACTGCGGACTACCATTAGGGATATTGGGCAGCGCCACTTCATGAACGATGACGGCGAGGCGTCGGGCGGATACGGAGTTTACTTCTACCTGGCCACACTTGCAGGAATGTTCGAGCCAGCCATCAACTACTTGTACCAGCACAACTACGTCTCAGCGGTCCACTTCGCCATCGCCTTGGACTACTACGGTTTGCTCAGAGTGTCAAACTGGAGCACTGCAGGCAGCGAAGTTCTGACGTATACAACGAAGCAGCAGCCGCAATTGAACTTCGGACGTGTCATTGGCTACTATACAGGCGACTTCCGCGCTGCACGGGCCGACGCTGCCGCTGAATACCTCATCTTACTCTGCTTGAACGCAGATCTACCAGGTGAGGCGGGCAAGCAGCAAGCGGAGCTTTGCCACGAGGCTCTACGTGAGCTCGTGCTAGAGACTCGCGAGTTTTCGACACTTCTAGGCGATGTCAAGTCGAACGGTCAGACAAAGCCCGGTCTCATTCAGGAGCGTGTGCCCCTGCTCAAGCTGAATGGAGAGAATGGTCTGATCAACACCATCACGCGGGAAGCAGCCAAGATGGCGGACGATAACGGACGTACCAACGACGCTGTTCTTCTCTGCCACCTGGCCAACGAGTACGATAGTGTCATCGCCATCCTGAACCGTGCTCTGTCGGAGGCGCTCTCCGTCGAGATTGGACAAGAGCCTCTTCGTCTCGAGCCGTTAAAGCCGCGCCTAGCTGCCGCAGATGGACAGCAGCAGCCGACCGACGAGACATCCACAAGCTTGAGCATGCTTGGAACGGACGACCCTGTTGACCTCGCACGGAAGGTCATTGCTCTCTACGATGGTAACAACCTGTGGTGGCGAAAGGTGTCGGAGCTCAACCGTGACACAATTCGTATCCTGTTCCAGCTGAATGAAGCCAAGAAGATTATCGAGGCTCGCTCCTATATGGAAGCACTCGGCGTAAGTCCAGGTTGCTTTCGGATCATGAACATTTGCTAACATGTACTTAGATGATCGAGAACCTGCGTATCCTCCCCTTGTCTGCTAACGGCAACGTATCGGATATCCGGGCGTCGGCGAATAGCTTCAGCTCATACCCACCAGAGATTGCACGAAACATCGGCAGTGTCCTGCTGTGGTGCATTGGGTGCTGCTCGCGCCACCGCGAGCACTTGCTTTCTGGCCAGTTTGACGATCCCATGCGTAAGAGGCTTGCGGATCAGCTGCTACAGAAGGCCAAGGACCTAATGGTGTTTGCGGGTCTCATCAGGTACAAGCTACCTCCACGAGTGTTCGAAACACTGGCTAGGGAAGGCCAGGACGTTGGAGCGTATTGAGGGTACTTGGGAAGGCGGCGCAAATGGAATGTGGCTCTGGATATCACGCTGGAGCATGATGTGAAACAGTTGTATTGGTATGTAGACGATCTGTCTTGTAGCCATAATGCATAGCGTAGTCGAGCGAAAAGCACTGCATTGTATGTCTCTCATCGAGATTCAACTGCGCGCTCTATAGATGATGGCCACGACTGCCATACATGGCTCTCACGGTGCAAGAGCAGCAGACTACAACATGTGATTCTATTGTGGCCCTCGGAACTTCAGTGAGCTCGCAAATCTTGTTATGAAGGCCGAGACCACTCATAGTCGTTGAATAACAAGGTCTGCGGCTGGAAAGCAAGGCTTGCGGCGCTAGTGTACAACCAGCCTCCCCCAGCCTCTCGTTCATCCTGCCATCAACAAACGACCGTTAATTTCCCCGCCACGAAGATGGATCTCATATACTCGGCTCCACTGTGCACGAACTCTTTCCTGCGTTCGTACCGGCCAAAGATCAACGGTTTTCGACTCGTATTCTGCAAGTCCATCACCTGAACCCGAGACGCTTCACCAACTCTATTGAGCATTCCGACATGGTTTTCAGCACGCAAGCCTTCGCGCTGGCGACACTCGCCTCCACTCTTGTCAGTGCGTTGCCCCTCGACACAAGCCAAGCACGCAATATTGTGCCTCGTGCAAAGAGCTACAGCGTTGTAAATGTCGGTGGTGGTGCATCCACAGAGGCCCCCGCGGCCGCGACCACAACAGCCGACGCGACCACAAAGACTGTTGATGGACCAACTGTCACTGCGAAGGTCACAACTACCATTGTCGGGCCTGTCCCTGCGCCGGTAGCAACCAGCACAAGCAGTTCAACATCCTCGCGCACACCAAGCCGAAGCCCGACAAGCAAAGCAACGACGACTTCTCCTCCAACGACAGCGACAGCGACACCAACGCCTGTCTTTGTTACCGTCACCGTCACCGATGATGCTGGACCCACGGAGTACTACGACAACGGCATGTGGCACACATGGTACCGGATCAAGACGTTTGAGGCTATCGCAGCTCCAACGTTACTGAATGAGTGAGGGGATGCGCTTTCTTCTTCTTTGTCACGCTTGACAGATGGCGTGTCGAGGTGGCTGCCTTTTGTGTTGATAACTTGAGACGGTACGGGGACACGATGTACATGATGCATGAGCAATGGAGAATGCACGTAATGAAGACGGCTATGGTGCGGCATTGGGACGGCGTTATAGACTGCGGCGTTATAGACTGCGGCGACATGGACTGCGGCGACAACGCCACGCGCGTTGCAAGTAGACGTTGTATGAATGGAATATCTAGGTTGATGGTGACGACTGCGTCTACGAAGTAACGTGACGTGATGACGCAGCCCGCTCGCGAGCTAGCATCCCTGTCAGGCACTCCGGGCGGCTTGGCGCGCTTCCCGCCATTGCCTGGCGACCGACCATGGACGATTGACGGCCTCCCAGCGCTCTCCCCAACGCCCGGCCTCCCCCACCGCTCCCGCACACAATGGCGTCGCCGCCCCCCGTTGAAGACCAGGCCCGGCTGCTCGAAGATGCGCTTGGCGTGGTGCGCCAGCAGACGCTGCTCATGCGGCGGTGTCTTGAGACGCCCGGCAAGCTGATGGACGCGCTCAAGTGCAGGTAGGCGCCGTGCAGCGCGCAGTCCCCGGCAGAGACGCACCTGCTGACCGTGTGCCCAGCTCGACGCTCGTCTCGGAACTGCGCACCAGCAGCCTCGGCCCCAAGCAGTACTACGAGCTGTACATGGCCGTCTTCGATGCCCTGCGCCATCTGGCCGTCTACCTGCGCGAGAATCACCCCGTCAACCACCTCGCTGACCTCTATGAGCTGGTTCAGTACGCCGGCAACATCATCCCGCGCCTGTACCTCATGACCACCGTCGGCACCGTCTACATGGCCATTGACGACGCTCCCGTCAAGGAGATCATGAAGGACATGATGGAGATGAGCCGCGGCGTCCAGCACCCCATCCGCGGCCTGTTCCTGCGCTACTACCTCGCCGGCCAGGCCCGCGACCACCTGCCTGCGGGCGACGGCGACGGCCCCGACGGCAACCTGCAGGACTCGATTAGCTTCATCCTGACCAACTTCGTCGAGATGAACAAACTGTGGGTGCGCCTGCAGCACCAGGGCCATTCGCGTGAGCGCGAGCAGCGCACCAAGGAGCGCCAGGAGCTGCAGCTGTTGGTCGGCAGCAACCTGGTGCGCCTCAGCCAGCTGGTCGATCTGGACAACTATCGCAAGATACTCAGCCCCCTGCTGGAGCAGATCGTGCAGTGTCGCGACGTCCTGGCCCAAGAGTACCTCCTGGAAGGCATGTCTCGGCCCCTGCCCCTGCCCGCGCGTCCACGCTAACAGTCGACAGTCGTCACTCAGGTCTTCCCCGACGAGTTCCACCTGCACACCCTCGACCAGTTCCTCTCCGCCGTCGCACGACTGAACCCGCACGTGAACGTCAAAGGCATCGTCGTGGGCCTCATGGATCGCCTGTCGTCGTACGCGCAACGCGAAGCCGAGTCGGAGAGTCCAGAGCAGCGCAAGAAGACCGAGGACGAGTCGATAGCGCAGCTTCTCGAGAAATTGCGCATGGCCAAGGAGAAGGGTCCGGAGCTGGATGCTGCACCTACACAGCAGAACGGCGGCTCGGACGAGCTCACTGAGACGCAACCGGGCGCAGATGAGACTTCGACTGCATCCTCAACAACTGCTGCGTCCCTTGCAGATACCGAGACAGCCGATCCAGATGGGGCAATTGAGAAGAGACGTGGCATACCGAGCAACGTGAAGCTCTTTGAGATCTTTCACGAGCAGGTACAGACGCTCGTCAAGATGCAACGATTGGCCATACAAGATACCATTGGGTTGCTCGTATCACTCGCCAATCTCGCATTGTAAGTCGCCTGTGAACACTGACGTGCACCGTACTGATTGAGACAGAAACATTTACCCGGAGCGCCTTGACTACATCGACCAGGTTCTTAGCTTCGCAAACCAAAAAGTCACTGAATACCAGAACAGCGCCGACCTGCACTCGCAAGCGACGCAAAGCCAGATCCTCAACCTCCTCCTTTCTCCCATCAAGACCTATGTCTCCCTCTTCACCGCACTTGCCCTGCCAAACTACATTCCTCTTCTCCACTCTCAACCGTACCCTACACGGCGAGCAGTCGCTGGCGAGATTGCAAGGAGTTTGATGCGAAACAAAACGCCCATTACATCAGTCGACAACCTCGAAAGTGTCTTGGAAATCTTGAAGGTCCTCATCAGAGAAGGGATCCAGCAGGCCCAAGGATATCCAGGCGGTCCAATTCAAAGAAGGGCGCAAGAAACAGAAGACACAATAGAAGAGCAGGGTTGGTTAGCCAGGATAGTGCATTTGATCCACGGCAAGGACAACGATACACAGTTTAAAGTAGGTCTTGCAGCGTTGATTGGGAGAGCAAGAAAGCTAACAAGATTGACAGCTTCTTCAAGCAGCACGCAAGGCACTTGCCGAAGGCAACGAGCGTGTTAAGTACACTACACCAGCCATCATCACAGCATCGCTCAAGCTTGCGCGGCAGTACAAGAAGCGCGAACACTTCGACGACAACTGGCAGTCACAATCATCCGCGCTTTACAAGTTCATGCACAACACCATCTCTACCCTCTACAGCCGCGTCACAGGCTCTGCCGACCTATCACTCCGCCTCTTTATTGCCTGCGGACAGGTCGCAGATCAGAACAACTTTGAGGAAGTCGCCTACGAGTACTTTGCACAAGCGTTCACGATCTACGAAGAGGCAATAAGCGACTCGAGAGCGCAATTCCAGGCCGTTTGCGTCGTTGCGAGTGGCCTGCACACAACACGAAATTTTGGCAAGGAGAACTACGATACACTCATCACGAAATGCGCGCTGCACGGTAGCAAGCTACTCAAGAAGCCTGATCAGTGCCGTGCTGTCTACCTGGCTAGTCATCTGTGGTGGGCGACAGAGCTCAGGGCACTTGGAGAGGAGGATCCCAAGGATGTGAGTCACGGTCTAGGTTTTAGATGGAATTCAGCTGACATCACCAGCTTTACCGCGATGGCAAGCGCGTGCTCGAGTGCCTGCAGCGTGCGCTTCGTGTCGCCGATGCATGCATGGACGCTGCAGTATCAGTCGAGCTTTTCGTTGAAATTTTGAACCGCTATGTTTACTACTTTGACCAGGAGAACGATGCTGTAAGTCGAATGCTCACATGACGCAAAGTCAAACTAACAATATCCAGGTTACAACAAAGTACCTCAACGGCCTAATCGAACTCATACACTCGAACCTCCAATCCAACGAAAACGCATCAAGTCTCGAGAACCCCAGGAAACACTTCCAGCGCACGCTGGACTACATAGCGAGCCGAGAGTATGAGGGCGTTATCATCACGCCGAAGTGATCAGTTAGTGTACATGAATCGGGCCGTGAACCAGGGGGATCGGAGAAGACACTGTTGGCAGTCGATACTCAGCGAGCTACACGTTGGAGCGGTGTTGAGCCTACAAGATGATAATACCACATTTGAACACCACTTGCATTGACTGTGGATCTGACACTGCCTTGACTTTTCATACTCAATCATGACAGACTCCAAGGTGCCTCAACGACCAGCCCTTGCGTGCGGCTGCATCTCTTTCAGAACGGCCACCGACGCAGCGCCGCCCATTACATACTTCGCACCTCCATCCTTCATCAGTTGATCCCCGAGACTCGTAAACTCATCCTCCATGCGCTTGAATCCCCCTCGAATGTCCTCCGCTATCTGAGAGTTACCATGCTCGTTCATCAGCATCATCAATGCATGGTAGATGACTTGTTCCGGCCTCAAGTCATCGTGACCTGCTTTCACAAACGTCTTATGCGTCTTCCGAAGAAGCGTCGCGAGCCTGTTGCGCTCCATGATGGCTACTTGACGACTCGGCGCCTCCGCTAGAGGCGGCATGGCGGCGATCTTACGCTTCGACTCGACGATCACGCTGCGATACGCCAGCCAAGCTGGCAACGTGACGGCGAGGACGGTGCTGCTCAGGCGCGCGCGTTGCTTTGTGTCGAGACCGCTGGCGTAATCCTTGACGATAGGCAGCTCTTTTTCAATGCTGGCCAGACCAGCGAGCTCGTCGAATTCGGGATCGGCAAAGTTGGAAAGGTAGCTCATGAAGAGGGCAGTGAAGTCGTCGGGCTTGGTCAGCGTGCGGCCAACTCGGCGTTGCTTGTTGGGTCGGGTAGCGTCTGGCTGCTCGGGGGTTGCTATGCTGCTGTCTTTGCGCTTCTGCTGACGTTTAGAGGGCCTTCGCGTAATGGTTGCTGTTCCGTTGTCTTGCTGTCCGCTCTTCACATCTGCAAACAAATTGCCAACAGCTTTCAGGAGCCGCGTCTCGTGATCTCGCAATGTGAGATCGGAAAACATGTCTCCTGCTGATTCTGGGGCTGGCTCCAACGGCTGGTCATTAGTCGGCGTAGAGACGTTAGACTCGAATTGGAAAGCTACACTGTCCTCAGGGCTTTCGAAGGTGTAAGTACCCTCCAACTGCCACTGGTTATCAGTGTTTGTGGGGATCTCGGTATCGATCACTTTTCTCATGTTGTGCACCCCCGCTCCGTGCACTTCTTTGCACTTCTCAAGTGCTACTATGAAGGTCCAACGGTGGAGGTGAATCCATAGCCTGTGTAGGAGTCAATCAAGTGTGTACTAATTGAGGATGATAGAAAGACTCACAGTTTCCTGTCATCGTCGTCCTCGTAGGAAAGGTCTGTTGGGTAGAGTAGGTCAGATCCCGCAGTCAGAAGCTTTGTGCGATCCGCATCGACACTCCAGATGAATGAATAGTCGTCGAATAGGATATCGATCTCTTCATCCAGATAGGATGGGTCTGCGGCAAAGGCAATCAGTTCTGCGGCCGAGAGGTTGTCGCAGAGCTTTCCTGCAATCTGACAGATGGCTTTGCACAGAGATACGTAGCTCTCGACCACAAACCTGGTCGCAGCGCGATTCTTCGGCATCACTTTTAGTCCGAGGGATCGCATTGTTGCGAGCATGGTGTGATCTCTACTGCTTCGTAGGTGAAAATACCGCCAACGCCCTTCGTCCCAATCTGCGTCTAGAGGCAGATCGACTTTCTGTAGCTGCATGTTACCGTTGGTTGTGAGCCGGTCCGATGGACCGTGCTTGCTCTCAATATGCACTTCAGCCTCCATCTCCTCTGCTCTAGGTCGGGGAGTCGACTTCACAGGCGTAGCGGAAGTTGGGTTTGGAATGTACCTGCAAATGAAACCAAGCAGTATGCAGCGGCCACACTCTGGACGCGCCCGATCGCACTTCTGACGCCGTCGGCGACACGATTCGCACGCTCCTGGTGGCTGTCGTGCAGACTTACCACCGGGCTGTTGTCGGGACTGTGAATTGATTCCGTTGCCCACAGCTGTCTTGGTGGCTTTCGTAGAGATGTTGCTTCTGTCTTCAGACCCATCTGAGCTGTTGTTAACGACCCCTTCGGAGCGGTACTTCCTTCTTGGGCGCTGGCTTTCTTTCTGCCCTGACATCTCCTGCGCTGACACCGAGTGCCGGGCAGGTGCTGACAATGTCTCCTTCCCCAGCCTCTTTGGTGGTCTACCTCTTGGTCTGCCAGTTACCTGGGATTGGATATCACTTGTACTACGCTTACTTGATCTGCGAGCCCCCTTGGACAGGAATGCCGGGTCTTCGTCTGCTTCTGTCTTCTTCCATGCTCTGCCTTTGCCTTTGTAGTGCCTCGGAGTCTCGTCGTCTGACTCTTCTTCGAGCTCAGACAGCTCATCCACGGATTCTTTTGAGTCACCGTCGATATATACAAAGTCCTTGTGCGGTTCCGATGTGCGTGCTGTTCGGCGCATTTGTATTGTGCTATCAAAGTGAAGATTTTTCGAGTCCGGTGCAGGGACAGGTGCAGCGTTCGAACCAGTTGAGGTCGCAACATGATCGGCGGTGGCTGACAACGAGCTGCCAGGCGTGAGAGGCTGAAGATCTTGGGTCAGTAGTGATGATCCGCCAGTCCGACGTGTAGACGTTCTTCGAGTTTGCTCATCAAGATTTGCAGGTGCAGTGTTCTTTGCGCGAGGTTGAGCAGTCTTGCGCATAGCGTTGAAGGCTTTGACGAAGATCCATAGACGAAGGTAGTAAACCATTCTGCAAATATGCTTAGTAAAGGACTCAATATTCACATCGTGAAAGACTGACACTTCTTGATCGGCAACATCTCCAAACACGAGATCTTTCTGATACTCCACTACACCTTCACTGGCTTGGAGAAGCCATGGTCTCTCGTTCTTTGCGCCCCAGATGTCGTTTCCAAACCGGTAAAGGAGGTGCGCGATGTCTTCGTCCAGCGCGGTAGGCTTGAATTCAGCAGCAGCTTCGATCAGCTCCTCCAGAGCGGTAGGCAGTTTCCTAAGCACCTCAGCAACAGCATCAGCAAGCCGAACAACTTGATTATATTGAAACACAATCCGCTTGCTGTTAGGAACTTGTCGGAGTCCGAGTCTTCGGAGGACGGTGCCGATTGTGAGGTGCGCCGGGCTGTAGCTGAGCCTCTTCCAGAAGGCGCGGCTGAGTGTCGGCAAATTCGCAGCGACAGTGGGAGAGCTGAGAGGTGAAGATTGTCGCAGTATGATAGCACTGGAGGGGAGTGGGAGCGCGACAATGAGGCTTTTGCCCAGGGTCCTTTGAACAACGCGCAAGCTGAATGGCGCCGCAGTGCCAGCAGAAGATTGTGCCATGTTGCGGACGGTGAGAATAATGTACACGTCGTGCGCGGAAGCGTCGATTCTGTAATGGGCGCAGAGATGTAGTTGATCCAATACTTTGCGCTGCGCGGTTACGCGACGGCAAGGTCTGTCTTGGCGGCGACACGGGTCTACTTTCACCTTGATTGCCTCTCGGTTCTCTTCCACTGTCAGAGGAGACCGGGCAAGTGAGGAGACACTGGGACTGGTAAAACTTGTCGTGATCGCTTTCCGCGTGTTTACCCGTTCCCAGGTTCTGATGTTGTGTTTATCAATGCTATTGTGACTTGCGAAGCGATAAAGCAATATGACATCGCCTTTCCATAAAGCTAAACACTAGAGAACGTGTCCTATTCCTACCGGAGGTGAGGTAAACGGTATTTGGTCGTATCAGTTTTTTGTGCCGGGTTTCCCGGATATTGATTCACCTTGCGATTCGCGCCGAACATATATTTCACAAGGTTGTGTCAGGACGTTGCATGCTGCATTGCACGTGCTAGAGTGCGCGAAAGAGTTTTCTTCCACCAAGATGCAGCAGCCTTAGATTCCGGTCGGAGTCCGGGGTGATAGAAGTGCTTTCGGTGCGCGTGTGGCTTTCACCTGTTTTGTCTCAGCGGTCCGATCGTGCTGATTAGATGAGAGCATCCCACTTGGTCGCAGATAACGTCGGTCACACCGCGATACGTACTGTAGTAGTCAAAGCATCTATTGCAGCGCAGGGAATCTGCAGATTAGAGCTGAGTACCTCCCGAGTCGTCAATCGGACGGGGCTTGCAACGGCACGATTCTGCTACCTTCAACGCGCGTCGTTTCTTCCAAAACTAGCGCAGCAGTGGCGATGGAATATGCGAGATCGGACCAGCAGTCAGAGGGCAAACGCTCTGCGGACGTAAAAAGAATCTCCGTTTCGTGGATGCGATCCTGGTATCGAGTGTGGCCGCAGGGTGTCTCGAGCGCAACCGAGGGCAACAGCAAATGCGCCTGCGTATCGCTTGTAAAAGGATCGACCAGATTCAGAATTCGAGGAGCTTTGAATGGACGGAAGGTCTTGGAGATGGAATCATGTCGCAGGTGCAAGAAGTAAGGAGAATCCATCGAAGTTGCCGTTCCACTAGTTCGCTAACAGTGTGACTTTGGGCTGCCTTGACCCGAGGCAGCACAGCGGCACAGCCCGGGATTCTTTCAACACTATTGCGGTAGATGCAGGGTAAAGAGGACATCATGTAGAGTACAGCCGGGTGGATATTTTACACAGTATATAGTATTTATATTTGTTGAAATATCAAAGACGTCTTGCCCGTTTGGCTTAGTGGTACAGCGTCTCACTCGTATACGTCTGCGTAATGAGAAGATCCTCGGTTCGATTCCGAGAATGGGCACGTTTTTTTGTTGCAATAATTTAATAATGGTCTTGCACCTATGGTGGTTGTTGAATCATCTTTGTATCGCTGTATTACGATTGGAGACCTAGCACAGCGGTTGCAGGGAAGGGGGTAGCATCTAGGATTCCCAAATCACCTGCTACGGATGCATGGAGCCTTGCGCAAGGGCGAACAGTCTATGGGCTTATACGTGCAATGGACATGTATCTACGGAATATTGCTGGAAGGATTCGGATAGCTCAGTGGACTGTGCACAGATACGCAAAACAACATCTGCTCAAGAAAGTAAAAACAGAATTCAAGATCGTCACCCTCAATAGCCCCACTCACCACTGTCCAGCAAGCTCTGGCTAGCCACGAAGCTGAAGCCACCGAACGGGTTGCTCTGCGCCTCGCTTAAGAAGTTCTTTGTCAACACAGGGCTCAGCGGCAAGTCTGTGAACTCCTGGTTGAAGTTCTCAGCCAGCTCAGGATCGGTGATAAGAGGTTGGATTGGTGGCTCCAACTCGCGTGCCTGGAGCTGCTTCCAGTCGATCTTGCGGAAGAAGCGATGGTTCTTAATCGTCTGCATGTCCTTCGTCATGTTGTATCCAAGACGCTTCTTAGGGTCTTTGCGTAAGAGACGGATAAGTAGGTCCTTTGCGTCGGCGCTTAGGTAGTATGGCATCGTGGGCTTTTGCTTGAGAATCTTCTCCTGGATCTTCGCGTTGTTACCACCAGTGAAAGGTGGCGATCCGGTGAGTAGGTCGTATCCAAGAGCGCCCAAAGACCACCAGTCGACTGCCGCGCCGTACTCCTTGCCTTCGATAACTTCGGGAGCCATGTACTCCGGGGTGCCTAGGATCGATCGACAAGGGCTCTCATCGTCGAGTGTGACTTTACTCAAACCAAAGTCGGTAAGAAGAAGATGGCCCTCATGGTCAAGGAGACAGTTCTCAGGCTTCAAGTCGCGGTAGATCACGCCGACTGTGCGGTGGAGGTGATCCAGAGCAAGTACCATTTCAGCCATGTAGAAAGCGGCTACATCCTCAGAGAACATACGCTCAGTCTCGAGATGATGGAACAACTCGCCGCCCTGTGCATACTCCAGGATTAGGTAGAGCTTCTCGTGGTCCTGGAACGCATAGTAGAAGTTGACGATGAATGGGTGCCTGTTGACGCTCTCCAGGATGTTGCGCTCAGTCTTGGTCTGCTCGATCAACTTCTTGTGCACAGTGATGGAGGCCTTCTTGAAGGTCTTCTGAGCAAACAAGCGACCAGTGCTGAGCTGTCGGACAAGCAGGACAGTGCCGTAACTTCCTTTGCCAAGGCATTTCATAGGCTCAAAATCGTCAGCGCTCATCTTGCGCATTACGTTATTGCCGAGCATGGTAGAGGTCTTGGACTGCGCATCGGCGCTGAAGTCTTCATCGAGATTGACTTCGTAAATCTCCATCTCCGTGCGGTCGCTATCGCTGGTGCTGTCAAGTCCGGAAATGCTGGCGTTACTTGACATGCCAGAAGCAACTTGTCTGGCAGGAGGTAATTTTAACTGCGAGTCCGATCGAGTACCAAGGTTCAACGACTCCAGTTGTGCCTTGAGACTACTAATGCCACCCATAGAAGAGACTGGTCTGAGCGCAGGGCTGCTAGTGACGCTGGGAAGCCCAGAGACAGCGGGTCCGAGACGGGGCGTCGCAGCAGCAGAGAAGTCCGACTCTTCTCCACCAGATGTGACCGGGGTATGGAAGCCACGAGCAATGCTGGCCGCCGGCGCGATACCATCCAAAGCCTTCTTCTTCTTCTTCTTGTTCTTCTGTGCCTTTTTCATGACCGCATTAAAGTCCAGCTTTTCCGGTCCTTGCTGCTTCACTTCCAGATTGGGCTGGACCGCGCGCCTGGGCAGTGGAGACGCAATCTGGATAGGTGGGGTACCGATGTGTGGGAGGGGCGGGAAATCCATATCCATCTTGTCCGCCACGAAAACATCGTCCATATTCACTGTGGGCTCCCCGCCCTGCTGCGCAATTTTCCGTGCGCCTACCGCATCGTCGTCGTCGAAGGTGAAGATCGCCATGTGTGCGGTGGCTTGTGGATATCAGAGCGTATGCGCTGGTAGATAATGTCGTACGTTGACTCTAGACAGTCTGCATCAGCGTGCGCAAACTCGAGGCTCTCGATGTATGCGCACAACCAACTCAGTACTGGCCTGGGCCAATATTACCGTCCACCGTTCAAGGTGGACCCTCCTCCCCTAGACAACGGCGAATCAGCGCGGCGAAAGAGGCGTCTGTCTTGTTCAGTCCGCTGGTCGAGGCAGTATATGGGAAGACGGGGCCAGTCAGGGTGAGCTGGGCGATAGAGAGAGAAGCGGTCGCGTCGGGAGAAGCAGAGCCCATAGATGGTCGTTCTGAAGGTAGCGTGGTGTCGAGATTGTGCGCCAGGTCTCTTTTCCTGGCCGTGGGTTCTGCGTTTGAGGGGGGTGAAAGCGCGTTTGAGGAAGGTGAGGGAAAGGACAGCGCGATCAGCAGGCGGAGGAGGCAGAATTCCGGGCTGCTGGCGCGCCAAGCGTGCATTTCCATGTGAATAAGCTTAACCCTGAAAGGCTGGTTTGTCTCCCCAGACTTTCATTTCCGGAAATGAGCCCATGCGCATTCATGCCTTGCTTCCGTATGGCTAGTTCATGTTCGAAATTTGCTTTTTGTATTGCTGGTTTTGCGATCATGCACGCTGGCGAGCACGAGTACAGGTATCAGGAGCGTCTAGTTTTTCAGCTTTGGGCACGGTCTCACACATGACGCATCGATTGGATCATAATAGCCAGCTCAAGAGCCCCGTTCGAATCGTCAGCTCTTCTCAGACTGCACGATAGTATACTCCAATACGCCCCGTGACGCGGAAGAACACAGCGCAGACATTCACCTTCCCCATTCGCTCTTGTGCAACTTGCGACGTGTTCATAGGACAGGAAGCAGGTCGCTGACGCCAACAAAAGAATCTTCAGAAGAAGAGACGCCTTTCAATAGCACACTTTCTGCTTGCGGAGTCTGCTCGAGACATGCGCACGCATCAATGATGGGTCTATGCAGGGTCGTGTAAGGGGCACAACGCAGAGCCGCATCGTCGCAGAAGGGTCCGATGACAGCGCAAAAGAGCCAGACTTAAGAGAACGACCTCGAGTCCGTTTGGTATGCACACAGGACTCCTTTCCACAATAACAACGGACTCGGCGTATCTTGTTCATAAGACGTTTCAAGAAACGGGAGTCGACGGTCGTGGTAAGGGCCGGACCGCTAGCGTGGTACAGAAGGAGAAACTGATCCAGCTCTTCTTATCCCCACCACCAGGCAAATCTCTGCGCATCGTCCTCCAGATACTAATTGTCCACAATACGCGTAACTCAATTTATATTTATTATTGTCCAACCGATCCTCATGTAATCGTTTGATCTAAGGCGATTTTCAAGTCAACCCGGCACCGTTGGGATTTCGCGGTTAAACTTTGGTTTAGCCCTCTTGGCTTAGTGGTAAAGCGTATCACTAGTATTACTTCGGTGAGCTATGATAAGATCGCTAGTTCGATTCTGGCAGAGGGCATCTTTTTGCTGGTGTCAACATATCTTCCGCAGTATGATTTGCTAATAGAGTGGGCAATGACATATCTTTTGGCAGTAGTTCCTCTATTAAGAGCTGCTTATTAGTGTGCCTATGCAACTAGAGCATGACCGAGTGTGCTCTCGCGCACCGCGAAGAAGCAAAAGACGTGTTCAAAAATGTCATCGATGTTCTCATATGACATAGAGCAGTAGAAAGCGGCTACTACGACAGTATCACTGCAGTATTCAGAAGTACTACCACGTTGCGATTTGCTCGCTATCGACAAAGCATAGCACTTGACTACAGGCTGCTATTATGGTAGGATCTCCCCCCTCTCTGCTCTTTTCATCTATTTTAGTAGTTCGTTGCCATTTAATATGACTATTGTCATCCTCTTAGGTTTCTCTACTCTGTCCCCGATTTCACCTGCTCATTGAAAGCCACTAGAAATGCATTTGCGACAACAGAAACAAGGTCTCAACTCGTGGCTGGAGAATGAACACGAACAACGGCTTCTCCAAATGCCTCGGTTCAAAGGACAGGCATTAGCGATCGCTGTTGCCATTCTGGACTCCCAGGGTTCGCCATCATCACATCATTGGTGAAGTACAACGTGCATTGATGACTCCCGGTAGATGATGCAGGATAGAGAAAGATTGGAAAGATATGATATGCTAAGGGCCTATGTGCTCATCATGCTAAATCACTTCCTTGTTACATGTACATTGACGCTGGACGCTGCTTCAACTTTTTACAACTCACAAACACATCGCAGTACGTAAAGCTCAGTTGCAGGTACCGAAAGCGGACTGGCAGCCAGAGGTCGTCTGGCAGTAAGCAGATGAGGATCCGCAGTAGTTGTACTGCGAGCAACAGTTGCCGAAGGTCGAACCTGAGCAGACGTAGCCTACAGTACCGGCGCAAGAACCATCCGTGGAAACCTTCTTGACGGCCGCAGAGGTGGCAGCCGCCTTGGTGGAGGTGGCCTTAGTGGAAGTGGCCTTAGTGGAGGCAGCCTTGGTGGAGGTAGCCTTGGCGGTAGAAATAGCAGCCTGAGAAGAAGAACCGCTGCATGTGCCGAAGGCGGAGTTGCAGCCAGTTCCACAGTGGCCAGTCTGTACATTCGTCAGTCTTGGGCGAAAACATGAAAGAAGGTGATAAACTCACAGTGGAACCACAGTAGTTGTACTGAGAGCAGCAATTGCCAAATGTAGAGCCTAGGCAGGTAGTTCCAGCAGTAGTACCGCACATGCCGTCGGCGGAAACCTTCTTAGTGGCAGTGGAAGCAGCACCAGATGATGTCTTGGACCCAGTAGCGGACTATTAATAATGTCAGATAAGAGTACACAAAACAAATTCGCGAGCCGGAGGAACCTGGTTAACAACAGCGGGAATGAGCGGAAACCACGTCTTTGCAGAAGTGGTCTTGTCGTTTTGTCGACGTTTGAGTTCAGACGGTTGTGCCTGAAGGATGGGACTCTTGAGCTTGGCAATTGAATGGTATCAAGCCCAGGTCATCGGTCTTGGTAGGATCACTTATTCAGATCAGTTCCTTCTCAAGCTTGTGCTTGAATGACAATGCTGAATGCAATGACACAAAGGAGACTTGAGAACGACTCTCAAGAAGGCCTGAACGAGACTCGAAGACGGCTTTCGGGAAGGCTATGCACGCAAAATCATGAACTTACCTGGGTGGTGGCAGAGCCAGCGCCGCCAGCAGAGCGGTACCAGTTGGTAGATGGATCACCGAGGCATTCGCCAACGGTGACAGCCTTGTAGCCGAGGCCAGTGAGCGTGGACAGCATGTAGTCGGTGAGGTTGTAAACGGTCTGGTAGTGGATGTCGTGGCCAATGCTCAACCAATCAGAAGTGGCAGCGGAAGCGCCGTTGGCAGTGATGTTGCCTTTGAAGTAGTTCTTGGAGTTCTGGATCTTGTTGACGTCGTCCTGGTTGTAGTCGTCGGTGTCAACGTCGAAGTAGGTGACATGGTAACCAAGATCAGCCATATCCTGCTCGCAGCCAGAGGCAGCAGTGCAGCTGGAGTAAGGAGGGCGCATGTATGTAGGAATCTTGCCGACGATGTTGCGAAGAGCCATCTCGTTCTTCCACATCTGCTGCTTGCGGTCGATAGAAGAGACGGCGCTGAGATCCAAGTGAGTCCAGGTATGGGAAGCGATGTGGTGGCCCTCGGAGTCCATGCGCTTGATGACACTGGTGAATTCGGCAGTGGTGTCGATCTCACCCTTGTTGATGTTGTTGCCAGTAATGAAGAAAGTGGCCTTAGCGTTGTAGGTCTTGAAGACATCAAGGACGTGGGTGGTGTAGTCCTTCTGTGGGCCATCATCGTATGTCAGAGCAACTGTGCCGGGAGTGACACAGTTGTAGATACCAGCACCACCGTACGCAATGGAGCCAATCTTGGTGCGAGCAATCGACGAGGTGTTGGTACCAGCTGGAGTAATGTTTTCAGGGCAGCCGGGGCCGTACTTGTAGTCACACCCAGGGGAGTAGCAATAGTCGGCATCAGTTCCGCAGTCTGTGTCTTGTCAGTGTCACGAAGACTTAGGAGTCCGACACAGGGTAACATACATCCAGAACCAGAGCAGCATTGTCCCGCAGCGCAGGAGCCAATACCAGCACCGCACTCGCGGTCGTCTTGGCGAGCAGCCAGACCGTTCGCGTGAGCGTGAGCAGTCTGGACCTCAGCAATGCGAGCCTCGAGGTTGGCCAGCAAGTCACGGGACTTCAAGTCCCGCATGTTGATACCAGCGATCCTGGGCAGTCCCATACCGCCATGGGCACTGACGAATGGGGCAATAGCCGCAAAGGCGGCGAACGTGGAGAAGTGCATGATATCGCAAGAGTTGTTGTTTGTATTACGGGATTACTAGAAGTAGTTTGTCGAGGGTTCGAGGGTCCGAGGAAGCGAATGACAAGTCTGAGTCAATGAAGACTTCACGACTGAATGGTCCTGAGAGGGGTAACGAGAGACGAACCGCGAATAAAGCGGCCTGAATTAAGACTTCGAGGAGAAGGTGAAGAGTAGAGGCACACAGGACGAAAGGGACCGACTGCTTATGAAGGGACGCAAGATCGACCGCCAGACAGATATCCCTGCACAGAAGTTGCTAAATCTGACGATGGCGCATCGAAGACTGTCTCGCCAAGAGCCGATTAGACCCAAGAAAGTTCAAGCCTTGTGTCGCGGACACCCCTGGAGCCTCACGCGCTATGAGCTCTCGCCCCGTGGCTCCGGCTCCGCCTCGGAAAAGCCGGGGTAGTGATTGGGCGAAAAGCTGGACAGCGGCATGGCAGCCTTCAATGCAGGAACATGGATTGAACTGCAGCCCCACTGTGAGCAGACTGGAGGGCCATGAGGTCGATATCGAATTTCGTATTGAACGGGGACCTGAGGCACTGCGCTGTGCCGCGCTCGCCTAGGCTGCAGTCGTCCCGTCCATGGTGGGACAGATCGTCGAGCTGTCTTTGGGATCTATCGAAACAGCGGCCTGCTTCAGAGGCTGACGACAGCATGCTGCCGTTTACGGAAGAATCTTGGCAGCCCTGGCCCGCTGTCGTTCTTGGGAAATGCAATCACGATTTCGCGCAGGCTGCCTGCAGCTGCCATGGCCTGCTTCCGGTCTGCTTCTGCGCTGGACGCCTGGCGCATGTCAAATACACCGACGACGTTGGGATTACATGATGCTAGAAGCTAATTGCCGTTGGTGGCTCAACACGACGTTAGCGAACACATGGGCAGCCGCTGCCGAGCCTTACGGAAGGTTGCACGGCTCTTAGGAGGAGCTTGTTGAAAACAAGAAGTGATAGACCCGCCCGGCTCGTTGTCTTCCATACTGAATGCCATCATCGACACGCATCTAACTTTAGGTCGTTCGAATCTCTGCGTTTCAGGGGCGTTCCGCGCACAAGGTTTCTTCCAGCACCCCAAGAGTAGCACCAACCGGACGGCGACCTCGCCTGAGTTGGCCTTGAACCTGGCTGTTTGGGAACTCGACCGATTAAAATTGGTGAATCGCCGGCGGACCTGAAGTGCACTCCGGTTCGGGATCTTGACCTATGCCAATGACACGGAGAAAGTCAAGGAGCCAACCGCGGGTGCCGAGAAGCGAAGCTCATTTCGTCTGCCAGCAGGCAGTTTACGTCACCGTCTCAACTTACCGATACCTACGACATCAATTGCAGAGCGAGTCTCTGAAATCGCTGCTCAGAAGAGCAGACCCTTTACAAGTCAGAAGAACTCGATACTTTGTTCTGCAGCCTGCATGGTTGTAGAGCATGGAAAATCTCGTGTTTTCCCTTTTGGCCATCGTACGTACAGCTGACAAGTTAGTGGCAGGCTCTCCAAACCTCCACCGCTCCGCAATTAGCTTTGGTGGCTCATAGACCGCGGGTCGGGGATATCGCGCGAAATAAAATCCGAAATCGATTTGTGTCGCTTTCGAGACGAAAGCGGTTGAGTTCAGGTGTTCTTTGGCCTCGCGATCATCAGCCCTACTGCACACGAACCCTGCCAACATCATGATGTGCAAATTGACAATGCTTAGTTTAGCTGCCGGCTCGATGTACCGTTTCCGCCGTCCAGGTTGATATTAGTCATGATGGGCCAACAGAGGTGGGTGGACTCAACATGACTCCGCTCCACTTGACCACGTTTTACAAAGCAACCGCTGCGATGGGAGAACAATTGCAGTCCCCAAGAACAACGCCCCCGATTGTTGGGCGCTGCACCCGCGCTTACCCCTGTGCTGTACGCAACGTGGCTTACACAAGTCCTCCGGCGTGGCACAATGATGGCGCGCCGTGCAAGAGTACGTCATCTTCACGTTGCATTGCGTCTTGGTCTGTTGTTAGAGCATTGGCAACGTAACAAGCGTGAGACACCATTTTCATTGTGCCTTCGTCGACTTCTGGAAGAGGTGGAGAGTTCCTATGAATAGCACGTGCTTTGAAGCACGAGGCTGCTTTGATGTAAGTTTACTCTCTCAAGTCTCCGCATCCCGCGACCTCATCCTTGATACACAAGGACGCATCGCCGTCCAATCGATAGGCTCTTGGCCTCGGACATTACAATCGATCACCAGCATTCTCTGTCAATCAGCGGATGGCATGCAGCGGCCTGCCAAAATCTCACTTCACTTCGAACGCTTTCCACTTGCATTCTGGACAAGTTAAGGCAAGCCTCCGCCGACAACGCACCGCATTCTGTGAGGAATACCAGCATAGCGACGATGCCGAACTGGTCAGGCCGGTATACCCAAGCGTAGCAATGTATTCCGCTCCAAGGCTAACAGCAAATCCCACAGGCAATAGCATCTGTACGACAGACAATCCTACGCGACAAGCCCTCGCACGGGGGCGGCGCTGAAGCAGTACCACTTCGCTTGAGTTCCAAGACACCACCACGCCTCCGCAGATGCACAACAGCGCCAGGCAGAGCGCTGCTTGTATATCTGTCGTACTAACGGTAGGTCGTGTGGTGGACTCCATGTGTCGGTTCGCATGTCACGAAAAGCGACTTGCAGCTGAGTTTTCGGCCAAGCAGCCTGCATGATCAGGCCAAGACCTTCCTTGCCACGAGTCAGTAGAAAACGAGGCTTTCAGATATCGCTATGATGAACCCACGATGACCTACATCGCTAGACCTGCTATTTGCAACGAATGTTTGAGAGTAGTGAGAAGAAGATGGCCCGACATATGTATGCGCTGCGATCAAGCTACTCCAAGCCTCGGCCCGCGACAAGATATCTGGGGATGTGTTCGTGAGCCAAGACGTGTGGTAGCGTGCGGTAGCGTGGATCCTTGGACGCTAGAGTTCATAGGTCGCCGCTGCTGACATGCATTTCAATATTTCAACCCTGCAGGTTTCTGACATTGGCATGAGTGGTGGTGTGTTGATCAATCTTCCGAGGGGTCAACGGTTGGATCTGCGCTGCTGTGCTGGCGCGTTGCGGGGAGATGCAGAAGCGGGACAGACTTTACCCACGGACTTGTTCGTACACTGCTTCTCCGTGAAGTGCTGAGAAGCCGAGCTTTTGGCTGTCGACACCATCGAGCATCTTTAAGTTGCTTCACAGAAGGTGCTGACAGAAAGCAAATATCCATATTATTCGTCTTGCGACGCCCCGTTGTATGGCTCTTCGCCTTCCATATGACGCTTTGCAAGAAGTCTTGCCTTTTACTTCCCAGTTACTACCTTATTCCTGCCCGCCGTCCCATGATCCATCGCAATTGCCAGCGCTACAATATCTTCGCTTAGCGCCACTACTCTCGGCTTACCGAAAGACAAAATCACCCTTTTATCCGGTGTTTCTAGCGTATCAACATCAAGCACATCGGGGAAGCATATGCACTACACGCCTTCTCGACCAGGTCATCAAAGGTCGGAGTTTTACTCCCCAAGTATTTTGGCAGAGAAGTCGGTATTCCCTGGGCTGTCGACTGTGTAGCGGTTGTCGTTGTTTTCAAGCCTGTCGAAGAGCGAGTTATACTAGCCCTGGTTCAAGTCTTTGCAGGTATTACCAGTGTCGAGGGTGTGACTGAGATTGAGGATGAGTAGTCCCTGATACTGGTCGGGGAAGTTTTTAACTTGCTTGATGATGTGGTCCAGTGCTTGAATTGTACAGGCTGCGCAGGCTGTATTATCTCAAAGGGTTATTGTTAAAACTAAAGGCGGCGGATACCGGGCATATGGGCTGCTGAATCAACTCGGCTTCTGCAACGGCGCCACCTCATCCCCCGACTCGCCCCGACCTTGACCATCCGATCGCACATCACCAGCGCTGACGCTCGCAATCATTTCCACGCAGGCACGATTTAGCGCAGAAGATAGATTCGACAGTCAGAATAGAAATGGATTGGCTGCTCGCTATCTTAAAGGCAGAGATGTTGGCTGTTGGTGTAATGCAATGACAGCACTGAGCAGTGCACTCAGCGAGCCTGTCGCATTACTCTGACCGCTCTCTTCAAACAGCTGTTGCAGCTGCTCCGACTTGACCACAACTGCATCGCTGTCTTCGCTGTTGAGAACATCATCGATATTCGGCAGGGCCAGAATATCATCGTCTTCGACATCCATGGTATCATCTGCCTGGGTATATGAAATCTGCTGCGGGACGTCTTCCGGTGGAGGTGTTGGCAGATGCGCTGTACCATGAGAAGTGGGGCTGATGACACGAATGTTAGCTGCTGAGTCAAGGGTGACATAACCCCTCTCGCTTTGCCGAGATGCAAGAGCAAGATTGATAGAGGAGTTTTTTGTCGACCACAGCGCTCCTGCGTGCTGAGGCTTATAGACTTGCGTGGTCGATGAAGCTCTTTGGAAGCGGGCGTTGCTGTTTTCAAATCGGGGGAGGGACACGGCAAATGTGCTGTCGGTCTCGTTCGCAGCCAGCTTGACAAGAGGCACACGGTCAAATCGATCAATACCGGGAGTGTTGACAGGTACGCAGTAGACCAACTGATCTCGTACCATATCCCAGACTGTGATGGAGTCGCCGACAATGATCAAATGACGATCAAGGATCGCGAGACCGCTCAAGGCAACGACATCGATCTCCGTCAAGGATCGCTGAATGGCAGTGGTGCTCGCATCGATCAAGTGTACAACTCCAGGGTCTTCATCAGAAGCCCAAGAGATAGCCGCAGCAATGACTGATCCATCAGCAGAGAAGGCCAAGCGCGAATTTCGAAGCGGCAGAACCTGCTGGGCACTTGCGCCCGCATCAAGGACATCCAGCTTATCGCTGATCTCGACAGAGCAATCGAGCGACCATGTCACAAGACCCTGCTGCTCAGCTCCGCGTACGACCAAACCATCTCGCAGTCTTGTCTTCGGTCTCCACACTCGGACGAAGTGGTCCTCTCCGACTGTAGCGAACCCTGGTGCGGTAGGATCTGCGATCAAATCGAACACCTTACCGTTTGCAGAAATGTCCTGGAAAAAGTGCGGGGCGTCCAACCTGGTCTCAAGTTTCCATTGCCCGAGCTGTGCATCCCTTTTCCAGATCTTTAGGTAGACCTCACGGCGATGGATGCGCTCCTCTTCCTTGAACTCAGGAATACCCTCATCCAAGTACGATGTATCAGCTTGAGGCGGTGTCCACTCGTCAACCGTGGCAAGCCACTCGCCATCATGGCTCACTTGCGCTAGGGTAACTGTAGGTTCGAGGATTCGCTGGCCTTCAGGTGTCAGGTTGGGATCGGTTGCGTTATTTCGAGTCAGAGCCTGCTTTGAGGATGTGTGCTGGTTTGCGAGATCGTATGTCTGCAAATAAGGCTCGGCGCGGAGACCATCGTTTCGGTAACGCGGCTGGGACGAGGGCACGGAGAACATGACCTCTGCCGGGTTCATGGGGTTGATGGTCAAGGGAACCGGTCGGAAGATCTCGTAGGAAGCGGGTGGCGACTCTGCATCAGCGTTCTTTGGCAGCTGTTCGATCTCAATCCGGCGAGATTGAACTCCGACAATGTTAGTCTTAGCTTCGAGCTCAGTAGTCGAAAGCACAACGACGGAGTTGTTTGCCAGCGTGACTCCGTATGAAGAGCCTGATGGCGAGACTACTATGCTCTCGATCGCTGCCGTAAGATGCGGCAGGTGCTGTGGTTTCCCAGTGGCGAGTTGCCAGATCGTCATGACAGTCTCGTCGCCACCGGAGATGACATAGTTGCCTGCGCATATTAGCCAAGTTGTTCACACGAGCCAAGAGGTGGCGATTACCATCTAACGACCACTTCACCGATCCAATCGCATCCCTGTGCCAATGCAGCCTCTTCGGCCTCAGACTCTCAGCATTGTCTGCCTTGGTCTTTCCACCCTTCTGAACGCTTTCAATAGCAGCGAAGCTTGCCAGGATGTCCTCGAACAAAAGTATCACGCCAGACACGTCGCCGATGGCAATGTCAACGATGTCCCTCTGATCCTGAGTGGATTTTGCAGCCCTGCCAGTCACCTCAGCTGGATCGCGAACATATGCATTGAATGTCGTGAGGCGTTGGGCGAACTTTAGCTCGCGCCAGACGTACTCGAAGTCCTGCACAGCTGTCTTGCTCTGCTTCTGGCGCTTGCCTACCATCAGCGAGTCGCCACAGGCCACAACGACAAACTTGCCCTCCAGCAGCACCTGGATGTCCAGAATGTTTAGGCTAGTCTTCAAGATCGGCTTGAGTTCGGTGGTCGAAGCTTGTGCGCCTGTCCGCAGGGCGTGTACGTTGACGATGTGGCTCTTGCCCGGCTCATGGCAGTAGACGAGATCTTCGTCAGAGTGTGTAATGACCGCCATGTTGCGCACCGTTGCGCCGATGTCCCAACGGCCAATCTTCTGCCTCGACACCCAATTCCACAGTGTGATCAGTCCGGTCGATTCTGCGACGTAGACTCGGTTCGAGTCGGTGGCAGAAAGAGCGTATGCGGTGACCTCTCCAGCGCCGCTCACCGGGAGCTTGTACGCCAGAAGCGACGTCTCGGCAACGTAGACCTCGAGCGCCTTTTGCGTAGCAAGAATGACGAACTTCTCATCGACCGAGAAGACAGGGTCGCGAGGCAGGAACCAGCCGCCCTGGGCGGACGAGATGGTCCAGTCCTTTGCGCCCTTGGTGTTCGGCTTCTTTGCTTTGGGCTTGGATGCAGCATCGTCTTTGGCAGCGTTCGTTTTCGCGGGCTTGGGTGCAGCACTGGGCGCATTCTTCGCTTTGGGCGCTGCCTGGGGCGCTACCTGTGGCATCTGCTTGGGCTTTGGTGTCGATTTGGATGCTGGCGTGGCTGCCGGTGCGGCAGCAGCGACTTCCACATCCACTTCCTGTCCCGCGCCTGCCTCTTTCCTCTGCGCCATCTTTGCCTTCTTTCTTTGTGCCTCGGCAACTTCCCTCTTCCTCTTGAGCTGTGGAGCGCTATCAGCCATGTTGCAGCGGCTTTATTTTAGGGATCCGTCAACAGTTTTGCGGTGCAACGAGTGTATACCACGGCTGCCGCGAGCTCGGTATCCAAAAGTTTGAACTTTTCTGAGCCGAGTCCGCGCTAGTCCTTCACCGCCTTCTTGGCGCGCCCGCAACTTTCTTTGAGCCGCCAGGGCCCATGTCGAGCTGCGCGCAACAGCAAAACCGACGTCGACCCCAGACTCAGCCGAACGCAGTCGCGGAGCTCACATACCCGCTCACATACTATACAACACCGCGGATATGATTGTCCCCATCCGTTGCTTCTCCTGCGGCAAGGTGCGACCCACGCTCGCGAGACTACAAGCGGCGCATACTGATATCTGAACAGGTCACTGGCGACCTCTGGGAGCGCTACATGGTCATGCTGACCCAAGAAAATAAGCTCGAGGTGTACGGCTGCCCTGCTACCTGCTTGTGCTCGATATTGCACCCCGCCCGCATCATACCACCGTGCCATATCCCTCACTTCCGCCTACGATCTGACAGCGTCCTTTATCCTGGCTAACACATCCTGCGCGTAGTGACGCCCTCGATGAGCTCGGTCTCACCCGCTATTGCTGCCGCCGTATGATTCTCACCCACGTCGATCTGATCGAGAAGCTCCTCAAGTACGTTCCCGGCGCCGACAGGGCCGAAACCGCAAAGAACATGCGCGGAGCTGCGCGTCAGCAGGATGCCATTGCGTCCTGGTCAGGGGCTAACGGTCGTCACTAGGTACAACGCTAGCGAGCGAGAACAGGCACGCGCCGCACGCCAGGGACGGTGAGCGCGCACGCGACCCGGACTGGCGACACTCGATTTGTTAAAGCATTTACACGGCGTTTTGGGAAGGAAAGACCCGTTCCAAAGGCATTTTCACGTGTCATCTGAACGAACCAGCTTGATGTCTTGTAGGGGAGGAATTCCCAATCGTAAATTTGGTCCCTTCTTCGTAAATCATGGTGATGCTACCCTAGGTATTTTTGCCCGAATTCAATAACCCCATTCAACGCCAGACCTCTTATCAAGGTTCTATATAAGGGTCCTTCAAATGCACATGCCACGTGCTTCATGCCTCGTCGCAGTCGCGTGGAGCAGCATAACGCCTTACTTAGCACAACAGCCCATCGTGCTTAGCACATCTTGTATGTGCCGGTGCCCTCAGCTTGCCTGTGCATGTCGTTCGCATTCAGCTTGTAGTCGATGGTGATGTCGAGATCACGGTGGTTGTGCTCGCTGGGCTTGTTCTCCAGGATACCGGTGATGGTCTCGCCCTCCTCGACAGTCAGGACGTCCTTCAGGTAGAAGACCGTCTGCTTCCAGTGGGTGTACTTTGTGTGAGGGCCAGTGGAGAACTTGATGGGCTTGTGGCAGCAGGCGAACTCGATGTCGAACCACGCGATCAGGGCGTGGACGAAGTCACTTCGGCGGACCTTGAGCTCATAGGGTAACCTGAAAGCGAGGTCGTCGACAGTGCACGTGTAGAGATCGAGGGTGATGACGGCGGAGGGGTCGGTGACGACGGCCTTGATGTCGACAGTGTCGACGAGGGGCTCAGTCAGGGCGGTGTGCTTGAGAGGGGTGTAGTCGAAGCCCCAGACGTTGTCCCAGACTAATCTGTCAGTATCGAACCATTGAATTCATGTAAGAATCGACTCACAGCCAATTTTCTCCTCCTTGTAGTCTCCGTCTTCGATACCGGCGACGTAGATAGTGGCCTTGTCAGGGAAGATAAGGCCGTCCTTGACCAGGTACTTGTCCCTAGCGTACAGGACAGTGTCCAGCATGGATTCGTAGAGCAAGAAGTAGCCCATCCACTCCGATATTATGATATCGACCTTGTCGAAGGGAAGAACGACCTCCTCCATCTTACCCTGGAGCAGGGTGATCTTGTCGGAGAGACCGTTTGCAGCGACAATCTCCTTGGCCTTGCCAATGATAGTCGACATGTCGACACCAATAACATGCTTTGCGCCGGCCTTAGCGGCGAACCTGTGCATTCCGTGTCAGCGCCTACTCGTGTGATGCATGGAGGGTCGGATGCGGGGCGCGTACATGGAGAGGATACCGGTGCCGCAGCCGACATCGAGGACAACCTTATCCTTGAAGAGGTGGGGGTTCTGGTAAATCGAGTCGCGGTAGCTTCTTGTGCGTACTTCATCCTTCTGTACTCGCTGTCAGCCATCGCGTCCTGTCTTGTGTGGGCGCAACTCGGTGAGGCCTACCAGCATTTCCTCGTGGATGCCTTTACTAGCGCATTAGTACTAATCATATATGTGCAGTGCGCAAAAACGAACCATGGTGGTTGTAGCTGTTCAGCACACGTTAGCAGGCGCTTCGAGCTATGCGAGCCTGGTATTTTTATACCTGTTGAAGTAGTGGGCCTCAGTGTGGGGGAGAGCAGCGATGCCCTCCTTGCCGGCGGGCGCAGAAGCGTTGTTTGCCATTTCTACAAATCGAAAGATCGGAAAAGTGAAAGTAAGGAGGAAAGAGGGATTTGCAGGCTCTTGAAGTTTACACGCCGCGGTGCAGGATGGATAATTTCGGCGCTAAGCGCCCCACCTGCCCTGCACTACGAAAGCCCTACAATATGGCCCTAGGCTCGAACAGGCTATGACAGGAACATGTCTCAGAAACTGAGCCGCGGCGAAAAGTCAATTTGCACATTGTCCAGAAATGGTTCCAGTGCATTCAAGGTGTGTAAGGATGTTGTATGACCAGCAGTGTTCAAATTTAGATGTAGAAGCTGCTACTCATATGCGCAATCAGGAAGACGCCCAAAAGTGAGAGGGGTATCCTGCAAATGCTAGAGACCGCCGTCCCAAGATAATCGTAAAATCGTTTCGTTAGGTCGTCAATCGTGCAGGTGATCCTGCTGCAATGGCATCGTGGCATCGTCTGCTCCCCAGCACGATATCTGTCGCGGTCAAATAATTACGGCGTACCCGAACCGGTATCTGCCCGAGAGTGCCTCCATTTCAAAGTCAGACCCGCTCATCGTCGGACTTTGATTTGATGAAAGATATCAATGAGGTCTCTTGCATCTATAAACCTAGTCAGCATCCGCTGAAATCGAGAGCATACCCTTGTGCTTACCTTGAGAAGAGGAGAAATTCAACTGATGTCGACCATTCAACGCCTTTGGCACCTTGTACCCCTCACAGAACACGTACGGGTGTAATTGCCTGAACACAACTGTAGTCGAACCAACCTTCTTCATCCAACTTCTGTCACCAACGAAATGCGTGACGAAAGCAGTCCAAATAGGCACGTCCTTCAGTGGACCCCGGCGAGGCGTTGCTTCGAAGCGAACAACACCAGAGTCCATATCATGATACACACGAAGGTGATGGAGAAAATGGCTGTCCGAGATCTCACTGCTGAACTCGAGTCTCTCCGTCCTGTCTCGATCAAATATGTCTTCAAGACCGTCAGCCATACGGGCCTGGTCCTGGTGCTTCATCGCGACAGCGGTGTTGTAGAAGAGTATCATGCGCTCGTACAGAGGGAACCGCAAACGTGCCCACAAGTCTAGCCTCCCATCCTTGCGATTCACGCGACACATTTGCAAGCAGGAGTCTTTACGGATGATCTTCAGTCCTGTCAGCGGAAAGCAGTACCTTCTACGTGTTCCATCAGAGTCCATGGTGAGGAACAAGATGCGAGCGCGAAGATCCTCGTATCTACAATATAGGCGTAGCCAGACATTTGTTGCCTCCAGTGGCAGCTCCAAGACTTTCTCGAAGTGATCGTCACCCAGCATCTGTATGACATTCGGCTCATCTCGCCCGGCGCATTCTGTGGCGTCGCCCAATGTCCGGAAAGGAGTAGAAGGATGTCGCCCGTCGAAAATCCGCATAGCCCAGTGGGCGACTGGACCTCCAGAGTCAGTGGAGTGTGATGACATGCCTTGAGAAGAAGCGGACGAGAACGTGGGTGACGTAGGGACGGAGGGTGCGGCTGGAGGTACGAAGAATCCTCCCATTGGAACCTCTCCTATGCCAGCGTATATCTGAGGCACTGGACGAGGAGTACGAGATGGTGGAGGCGGCGGCGGTGCGGGCCCATAACTGTACGTTGGGTACGACGTGAAACTCTTGATATTCGGTCTCGGATTGCGAGGTGGTTTTGGCCCAGGTGTCATGACAGGACTGTGACTGGGTATCTTCAGCCTGCTTAAGTATGAGTCAAGAGGCTCCTGTTGCTTCAATAGCTTCTCCAGGCGGACTTCAATTCTGTCAATCTCCTCTCCCGGATCAATGCTGTTTGTGGTCAGCTTCACAGGTGGGTGTGGACTACAGTACTTACTCTCGCAGCTCATCGTACATGCCTTGCAGATACGTACGATAGTACTCCAGTCGATTTGACAGGGATATGCCCTGAGTTTTGAAGTCGGCAAGAGCATCCTCCCACATCTCAGCATACTGCGGGGTACCAGGGAAGGCGCCAGGGAGTCGCCTTTTCCTCTTCGATTTGCTGAACATATCTCGGACATCGTCGAGAGTGTAGCCCAGACTTGGGAGGCATATCTCCAAGTCCTTCAAGATCCGGCCGGAAGCTCTTCCAAGGCAAGGATGCTCGACCGCTTCTTGGAGCGTTTGCAAGGCATTGGAGATGGCGTACAATTCAGCAATATCACCAGTGATATCTTTACGATACTGCGGAATCTCGCTGACGAAGGCGCCCAGTCCTGCTGCTGTGTCTTCAGCCTCCTTCGCGTAGTCCAAGAGCCGAAGTCGCCAGTCCATGATTGCGTGACGGAGGATCTTGAGCCGAAAAGAAGCGTCGCTAGCGGTGCGTGCACTGGAGATCAACAGAACGAGTGAGAAGAGAAGAGTTGATGAGGCGACAGGGCTGACAAGAAACGGTTGATGTGCACTGAAACTGCGGGCCTTGATGAGGACCGATCGGTGTTTGACGTGTTCAAGTTGTATGCAGGAGCGGCATGCAAAGCCAATCGCTGACGCCGCAGCTCTCCTACTCTTTCTTTCTCGATCTGCCCCTCAATTGTTTTTGGCCCCCAAACGTTACGGACTTGATTGTCGGATATCCAGGATTCCAGATGTCGTGCGTTCTGAAGATGGTTGCAAACACCTGGAAGAAAGAAGAAGCGTTTCTCAGCGCGGGCAAAGGCTTTTCTGCCTGGCAATGCTCCACCTAACGTCGATCTAGTCCTGCAATGTCAGCACGATCAGGTCAGTGTTCTTGTCTCGATTAAAATCTGCTCTGCTTGGCGGTAGCGGTCAATCTCCTTGTATCGAGGGGTGTACAGATGCACGACGTGGACACCTGCCAACCGGTCGTCCACTGCGATGCTGGAGTCTGATTCGTGCACAGGCTAGGCAGCAGCAGCTGATGGGCCATGTCTCCACGAACATGGGGACAGGTAGGTCCTCAAACATCATGGAAGGAGATGGAGCGTCTGAACGGATTGCAAGCACTGTGTGCATTTATAAGTAGGTAGTCAATAAATTGAGGCTGAGCCTCACTCTCCCCTGCGCCACCATGCCATGCCGTTGTGCCGGTTTCAGGGTCGCGCGCACACCCTCATCATCACTCGCGGGGCACCGGCTGAGGTAGAGAGGAGGTAGTCTATTGGGTATGGTACATGGTGAGCCGTGGGGGCGATGTTCAGCACCTCATGCCGCCCGTGTTACATGTCGATCTTCTTTGACTTTGACCTTCTTACCTACTTCCCAAGAGCCTTCAGCCTCTCATCTACAAGCTTTGCCACCATCTTCTCCAGGATTGCGAACTCGCCCTTGCTGCCATCCTCGAAGTACCCTGCGACGCTCTTCTCAACGTACTTTCCTACCTGGTCAACCTCGACATTGACGTCGTCACCAGCCTTCTTGCTTGCCGTGACGACCTTCTCCTGCGTGTATGCAATGAGCATAACCTCCCAGAAGCCGTCGGGCCCGTCCTCGACCTTTGTGACCGTCAAGCTCGCTCCGTCTATTGTCACGTAGCCCTTCTCGACGATGTAGCGCAGCACAGCGGGGTCGCGCGGCTTGAAGCGGAACGTCTTGGCGTTGCCGTCCGGCGTGACGGACTGGATGGTCGCGATGGTGTCGACATGGCCCTGCACAAAGTGGCCGCCCATGCGCGTGTCGGCAGAGACGGCGCGCTCAAGGTTGACGCTGGAGCCGTGCGTGAGCGAGCCCAGGTTCGTGCGGCGCAGCGTCTCGGGCGCGCAGCCAATCTTGAACGACGTCTTGTCAAACTCGGTGACGGTCAGACATGTTCCTGCATCGCATCAGCACTGCCGCCCTGTCACGCGTGGCTGTGGCTGTACCGTTGACGCTGATGCTGTCGCCCAGGTGGCAGTCGCCCAGAATATCCTCGCAGCCGGAAATGGTCAATGACGTGCCGCCGCCGCCGGATGCCGTCTTGTCGAGCTGCTCGAGGGCAGAGACAGCTAGCCATGATCAGCTCAGCTGCCCAGCAATGGCCCGCGAGAGTGCTTACTGCCGATTGTCTCAACGAGGCCGGTAAACATGGCTGCGGTGGGGGATTGCGAACCGATATTGGAGAGGGAAGGGCGTGGAGGGGTGCGCTGCCGCAAGCCTCGGTCGGCGTCTCCTAGTCGGCGTAGTCGGCGTAGTACTTCGTACCTCGTAGTGCAGGTACACTCTCTTTGGGACGTACTCCATATAATCGCTGCTCGCCATGTCTCGCCTCGTCTTTCGAGGCCCGAGGTCGTCATTGCCATGTTCGTTCCCGAAGACTGCTTCTCGCAACACCATGCACTGGGCGCAGAGGAAGCTCACGACAGCTGCGGCCGCAAGTCGAGATGCATCCAATCTGCCACTGGCTGGTATCAAGGTGCTTGACATGACGCGAGTACTGGCCGGTGTACGTTGGAGCAAGATGTCTACTGCAATGGACGCTCTGCTAAATCTCGCCAGCCATACTGCACGCAAATCCTGGGAGATCTTGGGTACGCCACCATGCGCTGGACGAACCAGCTACCTCGGTTGGCATGTATCGAGACAATCAATTGACCCAGAATAGCGCAGATGTGATCAAGATCGAACACCCAACCAGAGGCGATGACACACGAGCATGGGGCCCGCCCTACGCACAGTACACCAACGGCGATTCCGGCCCTGGTGAAAGCGCTTACTACCTAGGCGTAAACCGCAACAAGCGCTCCATCGGCTTATCCTTCCAGCATCCTGCCGGCGTCGATATCCTGCACCGGCTGGTCGCACAATGCGACGTGCTCGTGGAAAACTACCTGCCCGGGTCCCTTGCAAAGTACGCAATGGACTACGACACCGTCTCCAAGATCAACCCAGGCCTCATCTACGCCTCCATCACGGGATACGGTCAGACGGGCCCGTATAGGAATCGCGCTGGATACGACGTCATGGTCGAGGCGGAAATGGGACTCATGCACATTACTGGCTCACGCGATGGACCGCCTGTGAAGGTCGGTGTTGCCGTCACGGATCTGACGACGGGGCTGTACACGAGTAACTCCGTCATGGCGGCGCTTTTGGGCCGGGCTCGCACAGGCAAGGGCCAGCATATCGATGTTGCGCTGAGCGATTGCCAAGTAGCGACGCTTGCGAACATTGCGTCCTCGTGTCTGATCAGTGGGGAAAAGGACACTGGGCGCTGGGGTACGGCGCATCCGAGTATTGTACCGTACAAGGCGTTCAAGACTGCTGACGGTGATATCCTTCTGGGCGGTGGGAATGATCGCCTGTACGGCGTGCTGTGCAACAAGCTGGGGAAACCGGAGTGGATCACAGATGAACGGTTCGTCACGAACGCTGTGCGCGTCAAGCACCGAGATACACTTGAAGAACTCATCGAGAAAGCGACAAGCCAAAAGACGACAAAGGAATGGCTCGAGATCCTGGAAGGCTGCGGGATGCCGTACGCAGCGATTAATGATGTACAGGGCACGTTGAGCCACGAGCATGTGCTGGCCAGAGACATGGTCAAGGAGGTTGAGCACCCTGCGTGCGGGACGATTAAGATGGTCAACACGCCGGTCAAGTGGAGTGATAGCAAGCCAGGGATCCGGATGCCACCGCCCACGCTAGGGCAACACACTGATGAAATTCTGGGCGAGACGTTGGGAATGAGTAAAGATGAGGTCGAGGGGCTGCGGAACGAGGGTGTCATCGCATAGATGCGGCATTTGTTGTGTATCTACCCATCACAGACCGACTGATACATGTCCACTAGTATGTGAGCTCAGTCAATGAGCCCTTCCAGTTCGTCTGAGTCCATGTCGCTGAGTCCGTCACTTCCACCCTGGACGGGGTCCTTCGGGTCTTTTCTGTCTTCGGACCTGACTCTCTTGTCATTGTCGGTGCGTCTCTTCCTTTCCTGCACCTCATCGACGAGGGCGTCGGCCACCTAGGCCTTGTTCTCCAGCGTGCCATCTGCCCCTGACCCGCTCCCGTCGCCTTTCCATCCATGACTGAAAACCTCAAAGTTATCGTCGACCAGCCACTGCAAGTCTTCGCTTTCGGGTCTCATCGTTCGCGCGAGCCCCTGTCCTGCCTTGGGGTAATGTGCGGGCGGGTCTGTATCGTAGCCATCATCTTCCTCGTATCGATTGCCGGCCATGTCTAGAGTCACGCGCGGCTGGGCGCGCATCCCCATTTCTCGCAAAACCTGCGCTTCAGAAGAGGATGCAGACGTGTTCGGTGTTTGTGCGAGGGGAGTCACCGCCGAAGCGGCTGTCTGTATCGCGGTGGAGCTGGGCGCGGGCTGTGGTTGAGAGGCCATGGTGGACGGGTCCGGGATGAGGTCCGCGACGAGGTCTGCGATATTTGCAGGGAAGATGGGAAGTTCGGGATGTCGTATTGTTGCGTGAAGAAGGAGCGAAACGAGCTGCGATTGCGCGAGGGTGGACAGGTATGCGCGTTTCTGTCATCATGTCAGTGTCTTTCCTCCAGTACTGAGGCGGTCTGATGTACCTCGTCTATCGACAGGTTCTCAGCAGCGACGAGATTCTCCGTCCCTTGCACCACTCTCTCCTTCGATCGCGCACAAGGCCCACATAACCACTCCTTCTCCAATACCGTGACCACCTCGTTGCTGATGGGTGGGTTGTGGCAGTACTGGTGATACGCCGTACTGCATGAATCGCAGAACACTATTCTGTTCTGTGACGGATCCGTATCGCGCTGGCAGGTTCTGCATTTGGCAGCTAGCATAGTCTTGGTCGATTTCCTGCGCTTGACGCCTGGTGTTGGCTCGGGTATCACTGGGACGAATGCGACCGGCTTGGTGACATTTCGCCCGGACTTGGTCCTCGTGGGCTGCGGTGTGTATTCTTCAGAGGCGTCGGAGTCGTCGTCGCCAATCTGTGGGCTGTCAGATGCGCCTCTACAGCTCTCCCTTCGTACTCACATCACTCTCCTCGTCTGCGCTGTCAGAGCGCTTCCTCTTGCCGCCACGACCTCCTCTACCACCTCTCCCTCTCCCCCGCCCGCCTCTGCCTCTCCCTCTCCCTGACCCTCTCGCTGAGGTGGGTGTTGCGCCCGAGGATAACGCTCCAACTTCGGTTTTCAATGGCGTCCCTGCTTTCCCTCCCCTGCCTCTCTTGCTGACAGTTGGTGCTGGCGGTGGTGTTGGTAGCTTATCGCTTGTAGCGTAGTTTTGCATGATTTCGGCCTTCTTTGCTTCGAATGCAGCTGATGTCGAAGCATGTCCAGACTTGCCCTGCTGCAACCGTTCAAGAATTGCAGCTGTGGAAGCTGAGAACTGCGGAAAGCTAGATCCGGCGCCAGCATGCCCGTTCGCGGGAAACATGTTCATTTGTGCTGACCACGCAGGCGTGTTGGAGTTGGGCGCAAGTGCTTGTTGCGGCATTGCAGACGTAGTGGTGTTGGTCGAGTGTGACGCGCGATTGACATCAAGCGCATGCTCCTTTGAAGGGCCCGAGGGGTCCATCTTTGTTATCTGGTACCCGCGACAGCTATGTGAATGATATCAATGTTTCATTACGCTCGAATTGAGCGTTGTGTAGGAGCAATCGTCGGCACAAGTTCCACCAGAACTGAGCTCGCCTTGAACGCGCACGGACTGTCGATCATTGGAAGCCGCGGCGGCGACATGTCACTGCCGGACTAATCTCAGCCCTACACCAATGCGCCAGGAATACTCAGCGTCAAAGACCAGAACATTCTATTGAAAGAGATACATGAACTCCGTTGACTATGCTACGCTTACAAGCGGGGTATCTGTTCCGGTTCAATTCCCAATATGAACGCCATCCAAGGCTAGATGCCCGGACAATATACGCAGTGAAATGTGTATGTAGTACAGTCGCTCAAACCAGGCCTTCGTTCAATAGTCATCATCGTAGTTGTCACCGAACCCTTCGTCTTCATCATCTCTGTAATGATGCTCTTCATCGAGATCTTCTTCCGCCCGCTCCTCTTCCTCATATTCGTCCTCATCGTCGTCTTGAGCCTCAACAGGCGCAGGCGCAGCCGTGGTTGCATTCTGACTCGGCGCCGGACTCGCGCCCAGACCACTACCCGAGGGAGTGCTTTCGGCATCTGTGTTGCCTCCAGGAAACAGCTCCTTCAATCTATCGTAGTTGATGTGGTTGCTGAACCCTTTGGCACGCTTTTTTAGCATCTTATGTGCAGCATCCGCTGCGCTAGCCGCAGGCTGACCCTCCAAGACGCTCCCATCGCCCATTTGGTGGTGCTTGCGCTTCTGCTTTGGCTTTTTGGGCTTGTCAAGGGCGGCTTCTAATTCTGCTGCGAGGAGCTTGGCCTGTTGCTCGCGCAACCAGTCTTCATTCTGGGTGAGCCAAACGCGCTCCTTGAGCTTGACCTCAGCGGGGTTCAAGATGCAGTTTGCGACGTCCGGGTCATCCTCGAACTCGTCTTCGCCGATATCGGGAAGTGTGCTGATATTGCGGTTCGGGGTAAGAGTGTCAGCGAGTTCCTTTGCGGTCAGGCCGGTGCGCTTGAGGACTTCGTGGTTATCATCGTCGGCGAAGTCAGCGAAGACCTTTTCCCACTGTTGTACCTCCTCTGTGATCTCCGCTTCAATCTCCTTCTCAATGTCGAGGTCTTCTGGGGAGATTTGGATTGCTTCGCGTTTCTTCGGTGGGCGACCGCGCTTCTTCGGCATGACAAAGTTCTCGTCGAGAGAACCATCTCCATTTGTGTCTGCAAAAGCACTGCCAATGGCGTCAACGAGGCCTTCCTCGTTACCTTCGTTCAGTGCGTCAATGTCCACCACCTCCTGGGGTGTCTGCTGTGTTGGATCCGGGGTCTGCAGCTGGGCTGGGACATCCTGAGATGCTCCGTCGTTCGTCTTGCGCCTCCTGCTGGCCCTTGCTGGTGCAGTGCTTGAACCAGCTTCTACTGCTGTATCCATTCCCTCCAGCTCCTCCGCAGTGATGCCTTCCGCTAGAGCAGCCTGCTTCTCTTTCCTCTTTGCCTTGTTTTCTTCCTTCTCTGCTCGTCTCCAGATGGATGGTGGCAGAGTCTTGACTTTCATCCTATGGCCGATCTCACGGAATTGGTTGACAGTCAGGGCTGAACTTGGCGTCCTCTTGTACTCGTATAGACGCGCGTTGACTGTGGAGTCGGCGACCTTGACAACGTACACAACTTCTCGAACAGAACGACGGAAGTTGTTCATGCGGGCTGCGAGAATGATACAAGCACCACACAATCCGGCAGGCTGTCGGCCTTGTATCATCCAGTCTCTGCTCATACGCTTAAGTAGCTTGCAAGCATCGTCCGCAACCTTATGCGACGCCTCGTCGAACTCGAGCTTGCGGCAGTACTTCAGCATCAGAGGCTCGATCTCTTGGACCGCTTTGTTTCCGACGAGTTGGGCTGGGTCCTCCTCTCTGAGCTTCTTCAGAAACTGCTTGTATGTATCTCCCAATTGCCAGACGTTGACTTGTACCTTCTCGGCAAGGTCCATAAGCATGAGTGTGTTCTCTGGCTGTCTTCGAGCTGCCATGTACAGAGCAACAGCGGCGACATTGCGGATGCGGCGACCTTGGACGAAGTTGTGATTTGAAGCAAGCTTGTACCAGCCGATGGCTTGATCTTCCACAGCTTGTCGAATCTTCAGTGCGTGTGCAAGCTTCTGGATTTCGCTCCTGCCATTCATCTCGGCTTGTTCCCTGCTGCCCATGCCACCGAGACCGCGCATGGTTCCGCCCATGGAGTTGGCGTGTCTTTGGTTCTCTCCGATAAAGCCACCCTCCACTATGGCTGCTCCGCCAGACGTCTCACCAAACGTGATCTCGGCCACGATGTGGCTCTCCTCGATAACTTGACCGCAGTTGTAGCAGATTGCGCCTCCCTCGTCGGCATCGCTGACGTTGGGGTCGTCGCAGCACTTTCTTCGCTCAGGTTTGGAGGCTCGCACGGGTGCTGGCTGTGCTTTCCGTTTCGTTTCGGCGGACTGGTAGATGTACCCGGTACCCGCCGCTTTTGAAGGGTTGATGGAGCCAAGGCGGGGCGCCTTGGGCCGCGCGACTGCGGCAGGCATGTTGGAGTGTTTCGATACGCTTGCCGAAGTCGTGGTGCAGGTGCGTGTCGCGTGGGTTTGTTGGTGTTGAGGAAAGAGAATAGAAAGTTTAGGCACGAAAGTCACGATTGATGGCTGCGCGCACGGGGAGCCAATGCGGGGCGGCTCTCGGCTTAGCGTGCCGGCCCCACAGCCAGCCCTACACCTCGAGCCATGGGCAACTCTGTAATTAGCTGACACATTGATCATCGATCTGGCATCGAGGATACAAGCTGATTGCTATGACCGCAGACTCATCCGCCCAAGGAACGGACTCGTTTTAGTCAGGGCTCTCAGAAAACATGGGTTGCAATCCTCTCGTGACGCGTCACAACGAGCCTGATGCGAAATAACGCGCCTGTACAAGCCACGGGACGATTGACTGTGCGGTTCTGGTAGACTGAATGCCACATACCTAGCCCCTATGCTTTTGCTGTGACATCTCGTGAGCAGTGCTGCCAAAGTGAGATGGCTGGCTTGCACGACCGTAGATCTGATCATCTATCGAGGTGGTACCTGCAGCTCACGACGCATGCAACAGCGGGAACTCGAACCCTTCTTCCGGCTTGCTCGACAATCTGCGGGTGCCATGAGCGCCCCAAGCTATTGGCTGCATACTTTATTCCAATAATGGCACAGAGCTTCGTGCCCTTGCCTTGTCTCCCAGCCATCCGCCTAAAGGTACGTAGCTCTTCCGGTCCCCGCATCCAGGCTTGGGACTCGCAGCTCACCCTTCAACCCAGCTTCATCTCACAACAACACCTACTTTCCACCCAATATACCACACCACAGGATACGATGTCTACCCGCAAGAGAAAGCAGGACGCTGAGGAAGAGGAGGAGCTCGTCGCCCTCCCATCTGACGAGTCCGAAGAAGAAGAAGAGTAAGTGGCCCTTCTTGACGTCATGCCATGCGACTTTCTGTCTGCTGTCGCGATTATGCGATTTCAGCTTCATCGAAGTCGCGTTCGATCAATTTATTGATCGCGTGCTTCCAATTCGTGCGGTCAACCTTCGTTGTCGCAGTGCAACAGCTGGAAAGGCGTTCTCAGCCTGGTGGAGCGCGGCAAGCTATCGCGGCATTGTGGCATCACGCAACATCAGCGACAAGCCGCATCAATCGCTTATTAAGACCGCGCAAACCAAGAGTTTCACACGCCAGGATGGGTTTGAGACGAGCTGCTGTTACTGCGCCTGCTAGAACGAGCCAGACTGACAACACGTTTACACAGATACCAGGAGTCTGAAGGCTCAGACTTTGGCGAAGAGGAAGACTCGGACGCTGAAGCGCCTCGTAAGCTGCTCAAGTTCTTCTTCGGAAATATCACACTGACAAGCGGGACTCTAAGCTCCAAAGAAGAAGACCAAGCGCACCTCCAAGGCCAAGGACGGCGATGAGGAAGATGACGATGAGGAAGCTGAGGTAGACGATGAGGAAGAAGTCATCTCCAATGCACCCGACGAGGACGATGATGACGATGACGAGGATGCCGGCGATAAGTCGAAGAAGCCCGCTGGTGCTGAGAAAGACCGTAAGGTCAAGACCACTAAGAAGGACGAGGCAGTTCCAGTGGTCGATGACGACGAGGATGACGAGTAAGCTTGGAGCAGCATGGATCTGTGAGAATCTGCACAGAAGGATAAGGTAGCTGTGTAATGACCGAAAGATCTTTCGATAACAGTGCTCGCCTCTCTGGCTCAATTGTATGAGCTGGCTTCTTCTCATTCAAGTGTCTTCTAGTTCCTGGCCCTTATCATCTGAAACATATTTCAAATTTGGAAGACCTTTGCTGGGCAGGTGAGCGCAGCCTTAGAGTTCGGGAGGCAGCCAGTGCTGATCTGAGCTCCTCCGACAAGCTGACAGCTTTGCTGAGTGCTTCGAATCATACTGTACTTTGTCCAGGGTAGCTTTTCGCGTTTTGACTACTTGCACTAACTGCTGATACGGAAGATGCTACATTAAGCATTGTCTCCATCCTGCTCACTTATCGATCGTTCCCTCTCTGTTGCCACCTCCTGACGACACGAAAACATTAAACCGCCCCTTCTGTTTCTTCGCGCAGTGTCTGCTAATACGAGCAACAGTACTTATAATAGATACGAACGCGCCGGCATCATGCATGCCCCACTCAGTCTAATTGAAGAACGGCTCATTCGTATGTTGCAGTAGCCAACGCGCTGGTGGGTAGCGGTGTATGTGGTGGGCAGTGTATGCTGCAAAAGGACGCAATGGCCGCCATGTCTCGTGCATGATAAATGCGGCGAAATCATGGCCTATAGCCTGCGTTCCATTCCATGGTTTCGATATCCAACCCTTTTTAAGATCAAACGTGGCTAGGCGCGATGCAGGCGTCGTGTAGTCTTGTGCGATATACATCAAGGCAATGCTTAATACAGCACCCACCTAGGTCTGCTGCTAGCCCGCTCTATTCTTCGCCTCGTCTAATCCACCGCCTACTACCCTCGCATCTTCGCTCCTACCTCGTGTGTACAGCCAACACCACAAAAGGGAAGACTTTGCAAATATAACCGCTCCAGTGACTCGAGAAAAACCCAGCAAACGGAACAGTGTCACATCAGGTGATATAGACCTCGCTTTCTTTGCCCTTGCGTATGATCAAGAGTCTCACCTTGATGACGTCACATGGCAGTTTACTTTCAGAAGCTTCTAGGATCTGCCTATCGAGCTCCGATATGAGATATACGAACAATACTTTCATAAAAATGGTTCGGCACTCACGACCCAGTTTGACGTATACCCAGCTAGAGAGTCAGAATCGCTCGAGCGGTTCCTCAACTGGACAGAGATCATGGAAGTCAAGATACTGAAGACACGATTCTCGGCCCCATTCTCCCCCCAACTTTGTTCTGCCAGCAATCATATCTTGAAGAAGGCGGGTGCTCATTTACTCAATTATTTTACTCTTGACTTGGCGGGGGCTGCAAGTACACTGCACTTCTTCGATACTACAAGCCATCTTCGCGTCGACGGGTTCAACATTGCCCACCACATCCGCCGACTCTTTGTGTACAACGTCAATAGCCTATAATCGGTGCACATCACATACTATGACAACCGGCGCATGCGACCGATTATATAGACCTTATTGAGACGAACAACAGAGCCATTAATGTGGCACTCAACGCTTGTGCAGGCTAGGACCAGGACCAGACAGACCTCTACGGCCTCCGTATCTGTCTCTCTGCGCCTGACAAGAGCCGCTACCTACTAGCAGGCTTTTCGGTAGGCTATCCTCCCATTTGAACCGCCTTTCACACGAGCAAGTTCCTCGACGTGTTGAACCCAATATCCATCTCGGCTCTAAAGAACTTGCAGAGGTTGGACTTGAACGACACATCAGGTCAGCGCAACGCAGAGTCTTTTGACACGCAGGGAACCAGGATACAACATTTCAAGAGGGACTTCGCAGAGTATCTGCGACTGTCTGGTCAACAAAGCGATTCTCACAGAGGCGGGTGCCTTTCTTCTCTCTGCTCTTAAGATGACACTCATCAAGCCCCCGCCTCGGATGCAATCCTTCCAACTGGCAGCACCGTGCCGACTTCACGGATTCAGGATCGCACATAACATTAGGTAGCTCAAATTTCTCGATATCAACGGTGCCGCGCAATCATTTACCATACACGTGCGTCGTCAGCGCAGCGGAAGCTTCGAGTCCATTCCCGCCGAGACTGCCAACAGAGCTACCATGACAGCGTTGAGAAGTAGCAAGGGTCTTCATGAGCTCGATCTGCACTTCAATGCACCGATCACTTGCAGGTTCGATCACATTCTACCTGTTGAGCCACTCATCATCACTGCAGAAGATGTCGCGGCCTATCTCATTGGCTTCATCGTCAAGCCTTTTCAGCACTCAAGGGGCTACAGAAGCTCACTATCCGCAGATGTTCCGGTCGCGTAACGATATGCTCACATGCGCCTTTCGATGTCGATGCAACAAAGCTCCAAGATGACAGTGTCGAGGGTACGATCGCTGAAGGCTATTGCTCCGAAGGTTCATGACGCCTCCAAGGCAACAAACCAAGTCGTGCAGATCACTACTGAGCTGCACTGGGGCAACATAAGTAAAAACAGTGGAGTGAGGGATGAAGTACACTAGGACAGACAAAGGAATTGCCGAATTTCAACTGAAATGGGATTTATAGGTGTTAGAATGCCTCGAATGTAATGATCAAAAGTACTGAAACAAGCAAGAACATGCACTGTAACGATACTGACCAATTTCTCCAACGTTTCCGGATTCTACTTCGTGTCTCCTTAAGCGGGACTGTCATCGTAAGGCGCGCAGTCCGCAGCAGGCACTATGAAGCGAGTAGGATGGGGAGTGACATGGAGCGTAGGGTCTCCACTGACATTTGAAACATTGTTGCCGTTCGTCATGACTGTGTCGAGCAGAAAACCGACGCCATTCACACCGTTGTGACAAGTCGTGCCGTTATGATTATGCGTCCCAAGATGACCGTTCTGTTCAGCAGCTATGTCTGCTACTGGCATCGTACCTGGAGAACGGGTGATCACAGGCCTTCCTTGACGATCCATGGTGTTATGATTAGGCGCAGGTCCGATCCTGGGGTTGTTGTTTGGGTAGGCGGAGAGACCAGGCCGTAGACCGGAGCGGGGTTCCACCGTGCAAGAGGGTGCGGTCGAGTTGTCGAAATGATGGTAGCAGTCGTCGAATTCGTGTCCACCATAGGTGGTGCGCGCCTGCGTCAAGAAACTTGAATGCATACGGAATGCCGATGCATAGCCTACCAACGATCCAAGCCGTTGAGCAGTCCCGTGGCGGTTATTGGCAAGTAGCCCTTGAAAGCCATTCGCGAGGCCTGTCCTTCCAGTGATGATGTCCTGGTAGATGCGCTCGCGGTGTTCGTGGTCTGTGTTTCGGCGATGAGCAGATGCTCGATACAAATTCGAAGCGTTTGCATTTCGGGCTGCAGACACGTTAGCCATGTCTTTAGACGGTAGAATTTGGTCTTGCATCGTTGGACCTGGATCGAACTCACTCATTGTAAGATTGCGCTTTCTGGTTGTTGCTGTGTGCTAGTCAGTATCTCAGGAAGCATGGGAGTAGTGCAAGAACCATAGCTCTGAGGCCGGATCGGGCCTTTGCTGATGGTCAGCGGCTGGGCGCATGATGATGGAGTCTGTAAGATGCAATAGCAGCTGGTACACAAGTCAGGACCAAGTCAGTAGCATGCAGTAAGCGTGAGGTGCAGGTGGTGTTGCAGAACTGAGGAAGTCCTGCAACGTGTATGACAGAGGAAAGTGGACGCAGGCAGACATGAAAGGTAGTTGGACCGGTATCGCACCGTTGCACCTATCGTTCGTTCAACCCTCGATTGTGAAGTCCCATACGCTTAAGATCGTGCCTTCGTCATCGCCATCGAACGGCTGCTTCCTACCGCTCCTGCCCATCTCGTTATAAACTCCCAATATGATTGTACCTACGTTTCTGCAATTATATACTAGCGTCGATGGCTATGTTGACGTTGGTATTGGTGAGGTAAGCTATATACGGGGTGATTGAAGACGTGCGGCCAACGATAACGAGCAGTATACACACGTCTTGTAATAGAGGTAAAGGTGGGACTATAAGGCACACATGCATGTCTCGCTGTTACAGAGTAAAGTGGACGCATGCATCCTGAGAGGCCGTTAACGAGGATAATGAGGATCACCCACAAGATTGTAGTAGCTTGCTCTGGCTGAACGAGGCAAGACTCCCGAACTCAGTGTCGAATCGAGAAACCGACAGGACTTCTGCCGTTCAGCATGTAAAAATCGTTGTTTTCAAGGTGAAAAATGCGGAAAACTTGGGAGGCAGTCAGCGTTCAACAGTAAACTTCTTGGGGAGCGATGAAAGCGTTAGGGACTAAGGTCTACAAGGAGCTGGCTGATTTGTGATTAGCTGTACTGCATGATAAACGGGCATCACAAGTTCGTCTGTGACATGTACTGCCAAATATCGTTGATCAACCAGGACGCCTGAGCAGAGTTGGTCCACACCTGGTACCTTGAGCATGCAAAAGGATCGTTGCTCATTTTATTGTTGCCGACCTGTCTGAGGGGCAGGGCCAGATCGCGCTAGTGATGCTAGCACCATCACACGCGAGGAAAACTCTCGACACCCGCACACGACCACCACCACCACCTCGAGTCTAGATGATGAGCAAAAAATTTGTCGCTCATTATACATGGCGGTACCGTGAATCGAACACGGGCTGGCGCGGATCTGGATCAGAGCACTAGGTGCTCGCCAGCCACAACGCGACGTCATACCACTAGACTTGTGGTTGTTAGTCGCTGAGACGAACGATGAGTGATTTGAGACTTACCCATACCACCAAATGGTGTTGCTTGATAGAAATTTCCCGTCTTTTTTAAAATATATAATATACTAAAACAGTACCACGTGAAGGGTATTCATTGCAAAAACGTCCACCGTAGTGGGGTAATCTCGTACAATTGATGCGGGGTCATGTCTGTGCGCGCCCAGGGTGAGTTTAGAGGGAACATTTGACATTGCACCTTCTCTTTCCAACCATTGTCTAGCTTCAAATCCTGCATGAGCAACAACCATGTCGCGCCGTCAGTCTCGCAACACATGGATAACATCCTACCGAGTCGGCGACGAGTATTCCTTTCTTGACGAAGATGAGGACGATGCGGGGCCGTCACGAGGGCGAAGACCCGTCGTTCAAGATGAGGAGGATGGTGACGATTTCATGCCCGATGCCAATGCAGAGGAAGAGCTAGAAGACGATTCCGACGAAGACGTCGTAGAAGAAGAGGAATTGGAAGGCGAGGCAGCTGAAGCAGAGGATGCATTAGCCCGAGACTCATCGATCATCGATGTTGACGATGTTCAAGTCGCGCCTTCACATTCGTCGACCGGCAAAAGGAAGAACAAGCCGGCTATGTGCGTTTCACCTCAAGCGCTCGCACCCCAAGCGGTCACGCCGGTACAAGTCCCTCACAGCTTCGCCAGAAGTGGGGGGCGAAAAGTCAATATGGATGATCAACAAATGCGCTCTCGAGGTATCGCCGACTTCAGCAAGCAAGGAGGCCAGGAAGTAAGACTGAAGGATCTCTTCGGTCCTTCTCTCTCTGACCTGAAACCGATTCTGAGAACCAGGGATGAATGGCGCCTGCAGGAGACGTTGCCTGTTCGGAGTTCTGGCGCGAAAAGGAGCTACTTCGAAAGCAGCGAAGCGAGAGCCAAAGACGAGAGGCAGATGCAAGCGTGGTACGACAACACTGGCAGAGCAGAATTTATGCGAAGTCAAAAGACATCCAGTCTGAGTCGAGGGCAAGGTATCAAGTACATGCTCAACGAGGGCGCCGAGTCGATCAACGTTCTTATGGGCACCGCGAAAAGCCCCGAGGTGTACCCACTGAAGAAGAACGGCTGCGTCAACATTGCGAATCCCTTTGCGGAGAAAAGTCAAAGAAGGGGCTGGCTGTTTCATCTAGGGTCACGCATACAAGAAGCTCAGTGGATGACGAACGAAGATGGAGGAATCCAGTATCTTGCTGTTGCTGTTCAGCAGAGAGATGAGACGGCCGAGCAACATCCGCCCATGGAACAAGCAGCTGCACCTGCATTCTCAGCTACAAAGCCATTCGCGGCTTCTGTTCAAATATGGGCGTTCAAGTCCACCAAGGATGGTGCCATGGACACCTCAAGGAAGCCGCGGCTTGCACTGGTTATCTGCACAGACTGGGGCGCGCCAAAGCACCTTAGATGGTCTCCTATCGTACCTCACGACCGGGCAGTACCACTTGATGGTAACGAGACGGTCGATGTTGGCATTCTTGCAGGCATATGGTCAGATGGACGAGTAAGGGTGCTAAACATTGAGATACCAGAGGCAGATGCTGAGACAGCTGAGCCAATTTTCATGCATATTTCACAAGCAGCGTTCGAGGCCTCAATACCACAAACAGTACCTACATGTATTCAGTGGCTCTCTGGGTCCACTATTGCCGTTGGAACCGCGGCTGGCACCTTGGCCGTCTGGACTCTGACGCGTCCGGGTACTCTGTCGCGATCGCCAGCATATAGTGGCGGTTCCAAACCCTGGCTGTACAAGCAGATTGGGGACACATATGTCCTAACGATTCTCTCTGGCTGGCCATCAAGACCACACTTTCTCTCAGCCAGCACTGCGGACGGCTTTGCGCGGCTCTATGACATACGCTCTCCCGATGCAGACACCGTCGCCTCGGTGCGTGGGCGCGTGCTCGTTGTCACCCAAGCATGGCACGAACATACTCAGTCTTTCGTCATGCCGGACGAGTACTACATACTGAAGCACAACAACATACGCCGATTCTACCACAATATCTACAGCGCGCGTGCGGAAAGTAGCATCGTACGAGTCGCCACGAGCCCAGTGCACCCTGGTATTCTCATCGGAGGCGCTAACGGAGCTATCTTCGCGACCAATCCAGTGGGCAGGGTGGTCAATACGAAGGTCGTGCCCTGGCAACAGAACTGGTTCGTTCATGAGTGGAGACCTCCAGTAGACATGATGGTTGTGAAGCCACCTGACCAGGACACTGAGATGCCAAATGGCGAAGTGCAGGAGATAACGAATTCTAACCCGTCAAAGGTACCGTCATCGGCATTATCTGAGCCTATGGTCCGCATTACGGAGGGCTACAAAGCTGTTCAACCGGGCATCTCGTACTCTACTACGTCTAAAAAGAAACCAGAGAACGAGAACAGTACCCTCATGACGGTCTACGAGGAGGATTCATCGGTCAGTGCGCTGGCGTGGAACCCGAACTTGAAGTTCGGTACATGGGCAGTCGCGGGAATGAACAGCGGACTTTTGCGCGTAGAAGACGTCGGTGTCTGACCTGCCCTACATTCAACATTTGGGACCCCAGGGCTAGGTAGCCATAGCAGAAAATTATACAGCCTGTATTCAAGCTATATACTTCGCCTAATTCCTCTGTGCTCTCTATGAGGTGTTTGCAGTCCCAGCTCCCCGTTTCTTTTTCTCCTTGTAATGATAGTTCGCCTCACCACATCGACAGAAGATCCCTTTTAGATGAAAAGGAATCCAATAGGCCTTGGTATAATCCACAGTAATTTCCTCTCCCACGTTTATTTTCCCCCGAACCACGCGACGGACCCTGACTTCATTGCCCACCCTCACACAATAGAACTGTGCGTTCAGATTACATAAGTGGTTGATAAACCTCGTCAGTTCCCGAGTCTTTAGTAATTCTATGCTCACTACAATCTGTTCTGCGTGGTTATCGATACCAGACTGGTACCCGCTGTCGGAGTCGCTTGGGTGCACGAATTCGCCCAAGTACTCACCGAGTGTATCTTCGGGTTTGAAAGTTCTAAGTGCATATGTGCCGACGCCCCTTGCCTCATCTTCCTTTCGCAGGTCGATGTTCGCTGTCTGTCAGGTTTGCGTGTTCGTGTCCTCACAGGGCGTAGCTGTACAGTCGCATACCATGCGGACTCTTGTTACCGTCCGTCTGCAGTATCCGCAGTCTTCAAATGATTTCCGGACTCGATGATCAGGTACATGCGGTCGTGCGGTCCTTTTGGGCCTCGTGTTAGTATCGGCAGGGTCAGGACCTATCCTTTCTGCATAGATTACAGCCCTCGGCACATCCTGAGGATATTGGAAACTGACCGGGTAGTCTTCTGGTGCCTCCTTATATGACCATCGATCAAGGTCTATCATGTTCTTCGTGAATCTCCGAACATAATCTTTATTTCCTTGGTACCAAGACACTGATTTGTGCTTCGTCCGCTGACCTGTGGGCGTGAGTATTTTCCCCCTTCCAGAGTGAAGTGCCACTGCATTTTTGGCTACTCGAGTGTAGACGAATGTAGGCAGACTACTGAGCTGTGACGGACCATTTGTGACTATCATGATATGAAGAATTTGGTAGTTTAAGGCTGCTTTGTGAAAGTAAATTTGAGCTTTACGGGATCGTAAGGTGCCCTTGTATGAAGACGCTTCCAGTATCATTGATCTTGGCTCATTACTACCCGGAAGACAACAAAGAGTGCACTAAGCATGCTGCAATGCGGTCAGAACAAAGGCTCAATACAAATGTGTCGTTCTTTGCTCTTGATGGAAGAACGTTGTGTGGAACACGGTTACATCCGCAGGCACTGTGACTTTCTCCGCGCAGAAAGTCGGCTGCAGGCCACAGATTCTCAGACCATTTGGTGGCCAATCAATGACCATATGTGAGTGTCTTGAAATCTAACTGTACCACGGGAGGCTTTGATTCTTCCGCTGTGCTGTTGTAATCGATATTTTTTGCTACTTGAGAGCCCTCAGCCGCCTTTGGCCTGCACATGTACGGCGTTATCGGCGTCGATCTGCCAGCAAACTTCAGCAGAAACCTTAGGGACTACATCTTCACCCTTGAAATCCAGAAGGAAAACATAGTGACAAGCTATCTGACTCTCCTCGCTACCTTCATTGCCTTTATTACCTTAACTCTCACCACCTTCCTCGATTTGGCCGCTCGAAATGTCTCAGTTGTGAACAAGCTCGCCGATGCACTTACTCAAAACAAGGCCGCTGTCGAATGCTTGGAGTGCAGAGGCGCCGATTCGTATCTCGTTGCTAACAAGCCTAAGCTCGACGTTCTTCTCACGCCAATTCTCAGTTAGTTGCAGATTCCAGGGCGTAGATATGGAGTCACACATCTCTTCTACTCAATCTTTAAAGCTCTTCCCGTTATGCGGCCAGCATGCCGTGTCGCTGTGTCCTTGCCCTCTCTGGCGTATGTAAAAGTCGGTGAATCGCCGAGCCGTGTAGGTATCAATCAGATACTTATGTTGAACTGTGTCGTGTTGATTAAGATTCTGGAATTCAAATTGTAAATTCAAGTTGTACTTGTATCGCATGCTTCCAGCATCGTTGGTCTTCGTTCAGATTGGTACTAGGTCAAACAACGAGATAGAGCAAGCTACAGGGTACGTTCAACAAAGCCTTGGCACAAAGTCGTCATGTTGTTTTGTTGTCAGGAAGATATTGATAGCTGGCAGCCTCAGATTGCTCTTACTGTTGGGAGTGCATGACCAGGAAGTGTTGTTCTTCCGCAATGGAAAAACCTGACCAGAGCCTTACAGCTCGACAACACAAACCATTTGCCAAGCTGTTTCGTGAGGGACGGAATGTGTATAGACTTTTCCATTTGCTAAATCAATCAAGCTATGTAGACGCCAACCCTCCATTCCAGTTTGAGGAAATAGGGAGTAAAAGAAAGAGGCCTCAAATGCCTACATGAGGTCGAGTGAGTAGTTTTTCAAAGCTAAACTAATCTTACATGATCCCGATGATCCGCTTTTAACTATCAATACCATAGTCGTAATCGTGTCGTGAGACGTCTGGTAGCCAACAAGGCCAAACGATGCTTGTCTGAGGTAGTTGTAGCGAGGAGAGATATTTACAACTCATCCTTAGCAGCAGAAGAAGCCCTGGAGGCCTTAGCGCTAGCAGAGCTGGCTGAGGCACCGGCGGCATCGTAGCCAGACTGAGCGGACTTAGAGGCAGCAGAGGCAGCGCTCTGAGCAGACTTGGAAGCATCAGCGGAAGCGGAAGCAACCGATTTGGAGATAGAGGACGAAGATGAGGAAGCAGCCTTAGCAGCGACACCGGTAGCAGACTTCACCTGGCTGGTAGCAGAGCTAGCGGAAGCGGCAGCGATCTTGGAGGCAGAGCTAGCAGAGGCAGCAGCGGCATCAGTGGCGATACCGAATTGTTGCTTGACCAGGTTTGTGTAGTAAGCGAAGCCATCAGTAGCCTGGGCAGCAGCGCTGTTGGCGTTGGAGGTGGCAGCGCCATAGGCAGAGGCGGCAGTCGCGGAGGCAGAGTCACCGTAGAGACGGGCGCGGTGCTTGCGCGCGAGAGCAATAAGCTCGTTGCGCTTGGAGCCCTGAGGAACCTTGACGCCATTCTTGTCGGCCCACTCCTTGATCTGAGAGTCGGACCAAGAGTCGAGGAGAGCGTCGCTCAGGCTCTGCTGAGCAGCAGCGGCGGAGGAAGAGACCTGAGCGTAAGCGCCCTGAGCATTTTGGCTAGCAAGACGAGACTGGCGACGGAGGCTGGCAATCAAAGAGTCACGGGTAGAGGGCTGGGGAACGTTGTAGCCGCGCTCGTCGAACCAAGACTTGAGGTCAGAGTCAGACCACGAAGCATAGAGCCAGTCACCGGGGTAGTTGGCTGTCTCAGAGGCCTTTTCGGCAACGGACTGGTAGTTCTCGCGGACTGACTTCAGAAGAGAGTCACGCTGGCGGGGCTGGGGAACGGGAATGCCGTTCTTGTCGGCGAAGGACTTCAACTGAGAGTCGGTCCATCTGTGGAGGATTAGAATGCGCTACCAACAAAGCCTACGGATTGCGCTTACGAGTCAAAGATCCAGTCCTTGACGTTGCCGTACGCCTGGCTGGCAGAGTCCTCAGTCTCGTACCAGTAAGACTTGACCTGCTCGGCGAGGCTCTTTGCGTCGTTCTCAGTACCCTTCTTCGCCTGCTGACCGCGGGCAGTCAGGTAGTTGGAGAGGGACTTGGCATCCCAGGATGTGTAGGGGTTGATGACCTTGTCGTTCCAGTTGTCTGCGACGGTCTTCTGAAGGTTCTTGCGGTCAGAAGGGCTGGGGTGAGGGATGTTGTTGTCGGACAGCCAGCGTTCCAGCTCCGTCTCGTGCCACTTGTCGTACACTACTTATCAGTGTTAGCATAGGCACGTGAAGCTAATACATGATAGTATCAGAAAGAAGTCCTCGCTCTACGCACCAGACTTGCCGAACCAGCTGTTTGCTGTGGCCTGAGCAGCCAATGCCACCACCAGGGTGGAAGTAAGGGAGAACTTCATGTTAGGTGTTCAACCGGTCCTCTGCTGTAGTAGCAATGGGGTGGTTGATGAGGAGATGCTGTTATTAGGAAGGACAGCGGTAGGAGTTAGAGCTTGCTGGTGGAAAGGCGCGGGTGGCTTTAAAGAGGGGAGCGCATAAAATGGCTGGCGTCAGTACGTCACCGCCCTGTCACATCTAGCGCAAACCTGGTCCAGCACCTGTTGCGGGCCCAGAGCCAATGGGAAGACTGTACCGTCCTATCACAGACACGTACATCACGTTCTTTCTTGCACAAATCGTGGAATGGCTTTCACGAGCCAGACTCTGCTTACGCACTGCTAGTGGAGCGAAGGGTGACGATCCACGGCTTGACACCAATCCCCACATGCTCGCAAGAGTAGTGACGCTGTCGCTCCGTGGTTCAGGCTTTATTGCGGGCTGCAACATATTGTCATGGCAATTCCAGAATCTGCATGGCGATCGCGGGAAGCTGCTGACGTCACTTCTGATCCGTGCTGGAGCTATGGCCTCTGAGCCTAGAACAGCACAATGGAAGGGGCGAGGCAAAGTGTTGCATGTTGCTTGAAGGACAGGGCTGAGTGTCACATAATTGTCCTCTTGAGAAGGTCATAAGGGCATGCGGTCTTGGGCGTTGAGGCCCCCCAAGCGTAGACATGGCAGATGCATTGTTTGATTCATTTCGTGCACACGTCGTGTGTTATCGTACACGTCCATTCATTCAAAGACCCTTGGTCTACGCATTGTGACTTCTTACTGTCCACGGTCCCTTCCGCCCTGACCTGCAGTGTGTTAGCCGGCTGCATCAACACCAACGACGTGTAGTTATGACTTACCGGCCCAGAAGCTCTTGGAAACCTTGTCCTTCTCCGCTTCCTCACTACCGAGCTGCTCGTGCGACTTTTCAGCCCTCTGATCCATCTCCTTGTTGTGTTGCCTCACCTCCTCGCTCTCCGTTGCAGGGGGTCTTGCGTTCAGGATCTTGGGCTGGGCACCGTTGACTGACTTACCGTCACCTCCGCCGGTTTTCGACGCTCCATCGTTCGACTGGCTCTGCTCTGATGGCTTCGATGACGAAGATGAATTGCTGGACGAGGAGCCGGAGTCCTCGTTGGGCGACGAGGAAGACTGGCCGCGAGCGATCTTTGGTGGTGGTGGGCCAGGGTGCTCAATGTTCTCGCTGGGGTTTTGTCCTTGCTGCTGCGGCTTCTCACCAACTGGATTGCCTTCGCCAGAGCCGTAGTCCTGTGTAGCGAAGCGGACTTGGGGGCGCGCGAAGAGAGCTGGCCGGACAGCAGCAGGGCGAGCTACTGAGCGCAGGAGAGATGCTGGTCGTAGGAGAGGCATGATGTGTGTTGAATTGGTTGATAGAATAAAAAAAGTGGTAGAAGCTGAAAGGTCAAGCTCTCAATGACGGTGCTGGGCTAGCGCATTCAAGGACACTGTGACATCATGCATACATAGCACGGCGGGATCTCCAAGCGCCTAATCACTCCCGAGGTCGCCTTGCACAATTGGAGAATGTCTCTGGCGATATTGCGTACTCGTATGCTTCTCAAAATTGAAAGGTAGAACAAAACATATTGAGATGAAGGGTATCGCATGCACACGCCAAGTCCCGTAAATACAGCCGACTCCATCCAAAAAACGCCAGCAATGTCCAAGTACTCCTTCGCTAACATGCAAAGCGATCAAGATATACAAGTCAGGAGTATTGGCGAACGTATATATATTCAATCGATGCCAATCATGGTTCCATCACATCGCCAATCGTCGACTTCTACGCCCTCTGCTTGAGTGTTGGTCGCCTCCGGGTCGATCTTGACGTGGCTAAGCCAGGTTCCCACTCTGTTGGCACCACGCTTCGTTCCATCAAGTGACAGACCTGCCATAGTGGACGAAGGCGCTTCTACTGGTGCTAGTACGTGTCGAGCGACTGGGATTGGAGCTGGAGCTGAAGCTTCGCGTACCACACGGCGGCTTGTGAAGTAGGATGAGCGAGGAGGAGGCTGTACTGGTCGGTGGGCAGCAGAGGTTATTAGAGGTGGGCGAACCTGGTAAGAGTCATTCATGTGATGTCCGCCAGTATTGCCAAAGCCATAAGCCTCAACGTTTGCGGTATCGCCGCGATTAAGGCTCGACGCTGCGATATTGGGAGGGTGTAGGTGGCGTTGAGACTGTAGGTGAGCGGCTAAGGCTCCGTCTCGAGGGCGCTCGCGTTCGCTACAGTGTCGAGTCCGGTTGCTGGTTCTTGTGCTAGACCGGCGGGTGAGAGGTGCAGAAGGCTCCTCGGTGATCTCAATGACCTCTACGCCGTTGTCATGCCTACTATACGGTAGACGCATATCGTTAAGGCGGCCCTGGTCTGGAACATGCGAGTAGTCAAACCAGGGACAGTTGCACGTCTTCCAAGGCAATGCGCAAACCATGCAGAATTGAGCGCTGCAACGGCTACAAAACATTAGTAGAGTTTAAGATAGTCTGCCGGGCTGCACTTACCAAGTCATGTGGTTACACCCCTCTTTCAGCTCAACCACAGCCTTGCAGTTATAGCACCTCTGCCAGCCCTTTTCTTTGGCCATCTGCACCAGACGAGCGGTCTCGTCGTCCTTTGGGCAATCCCGTCTGGTGTGGTACTTGCTACTACAACGAACACATACTTTGGTGTTGCATCGACCACAACGAGCATATTTTCTTCCAGTGGCCATATCGACCTTGATCTTGCTTGGCTTGATCCACTCACCGCAGCCTTTCGCAGGGCAGTAGAGATTCTTCGTAGCTGTGTATTCCTCGAACTTCTGGTTCCAAAGCCGCTTAAATTTATCATCAAAAAGTCGGTCAACGTGTTTCAATGGAATATGCTCTTTTGTACAGCATCGTGGAGGCATATGCTGAGGGTCTTTAACGGACAGCGTGAATTGGCGCTTGAGACATGCATGGCACATGCGATGACCACAAGCAAGCCTCGCTGTCCTGGCAATAGGAAGGTCATCATTCATACAAACAAGGCAGTCGACCCTAACACAGTCAGCACAGCCCCACGATTGGAATGCACGAGCAGAACTACCTTTGTACTTCTTTGATAGGTGGCGAGCGCGGTCCTGGTCGGAAGATGGAGAATATGCCTCCAGAATTTCTGCGCGGAGGATGTTCTCTAGTCGAGTAAGACCTGACAACAGGTGAGGCAGCAGGGGTAGCTGATAGCTTGCCAGCACTAGGAAGCCGGGTAGACCTTGTCGACAAGTATCTGCTGATAGGTTCGCGCATAGAGACGCCCCTGGTCTTGGTGAGCTTCTCGTACTGTCTGATAACGTAGGATGGACCTACCTGCCCAGCTTTGGTTCTTCAACTCGACGTGAAGAGCCAGACCCCGAACGAGGTGTGTATGCAGTCCGACTTGAGGAACCCCCTTCATCACTTCTCTTACGCCCAGAGGACCGTTTTACTTCACTCGCCTTCGGCCTGTACACATAGTCCTCGTCCCTATCGACTTCGATCACTTCCCTCTTCTTCTTCGTCGACTTGCGCGTGCCATCTCCTGTCAACTCTCGACGACTGCTGCGCGGTGTCTTCACGCTCTCTGCTCTGTTCTCGTGTGCCATACGGTCCTGCTCACGATATCGATCGCTCGAAGGCCTCGAGTGGTAGCTGGCTCGGCGCGCTCTGAGGTCATTTAGATCGACTTCTGCCTCTCGTCGTGCGTCCTCTGCGCGGCGACGTTCCCTGCGCTCTCGCTTGGCAGCGTAGTCGTCGTCGTCGTTGTCGCGACTTCGGTGGCGGCGATGATGTCTGGTTTCTCGGTCGTCTCGTGAATATTGGTCATCGGCGTATGCGTATCGAGTGCCTGCCTCATCGCGATTTCTGGCCATCCCCGGCGATGGACAGGATTATATCGCGTACCCAGGCGATGCCAGCCTACGAAGCACAGGTTCTGGCAGACCTCAGGCAGGCGTGCAGGCGGACGTGCAGGAGAGGGGTTGGGTGCGAGTGTCTGTGGGCGTGATTGATGAACAGCCACCTGCAGGCAGGTCAAGCGTGCCCGAGCGTGCATCGAACTGCACACTCCAACCAGCGACCGCCGCGTTGGGCGGTGAAGCGCCAAAGAGAGGGTCAGTGTGCCCGCCGGTGCCTTCCCAGCCGCCCGCTTCCAGGGTTTCGCTAACGTCCTAGTGGCGGCAGGGGTGCCGTTGGGTGCATGTCAGGTGTCGACGTGATGGCTGCCAGCTGTACAGAGGCAGCGAACAGGTGATAAGAGAGATGTCGCCTGGCAAACAGTTAAAGTATATTGCAAGGTGCGCTCGCAGAAAGTGCCACCAGCCATGGATCAAGCGGCAAACCTGACGCAGGGTGTTCAGCGTTCGTCAGACTTTGTCGCACTGCCCCATTTGGGCTGAAATGCAGCCTGCTGAGTCGAGTCGCCCCAAAGTCGCGGAGAGTTCATTGCATATTTGCTGAAGTGTGACAGAGCTTGAAATTTGACAGACAACGTCCTTCAGTCCTTCTCCAGCGTAATCTGGGTGGAGACCTCCCATTTCTGTCCACCACTACCATAGCTGGCACCCAAGCGGTTTCGTACCATGCTGCCGATGCGGTCGCGCAGACGTCCTATCTCGTCGAGATTGCGTACCCTGACCTTCAAGTTTGCTTGGCAGAGTCCGTAATGCACCTGCCAAAACTTTGCTTCTTCGACTGTGGTCACGGCTGGGTCCGTCTCAATGTCGTACATGACATCGAGAACTCCTGGGCCCGAGCAGGACATCAGCAGCATCTTGCCCAGCGTCCAGCCCTGAATCCACCCCAGTGCGACCATGCAGATAGCGACAGAAAACGACAAGGTTCGGTCCAGCCATACGTACATCTGTATGCTCAGCAGAGGAAGAAGCAGTAACAATGCTGAACAGGACAATGTGAGGAAATGAGAGGGGTTGCTGAGGACGGAGGGCAAATTCGCGATTGCCCCCAGTCTCATGACCTTGCCAATGCGAGCGTGATTCTTCAGCAAGATAGCTGAAACAAGCGTCGAGATGATGCCACTCAAGGCCGCAAGGTCAATGCTGCCGGGGGACACACGCTCGTGCGTATCTGCGTGGTGCGCAGTGTGGCCACCTGAGTTCTCCAGAGCATGAGTAAGGCCATGGGAGATGAGATCCAAGCCCATGAACAGTAGGCCAACGGACATGCCCAACCCTGCAATGACTTCGAGTCGCTCGAACCCGAACGGATGACGGATGCTGGAGCGCTTCCAGACCTCAAAGTTTGACCCAACATCAACCGCGACACAGAGGAAAGCGCCGATTGCGTCATAGAATATGAGACGAGACAGCACGGTCAGTGCCAGAGACTCGTGTGAGCCCCATTGTACAAGCCCTGCAACAAGCAGATGGCCGAAACACCACGCCAATCGCAGCTTCTGGTCCTTTGACATGGACGATCGGTATTCTTTGAAGGTAGGAATCGGTAGGGAGGCGGGAAGTTGGAGAGGCGCGCGAGGTGCTGGCTCGAGGAAGATCTGGTGAGACACGCTGCTGTGCTTGTACTTGTGTCCTCGTCTTCTGCCAATGTCCTGCAGTCATTAGTAAGGTGTCGGTTATGAGAAGAAGCTTTCATACATTCTGCTTTGGCCGGCCGGGCTGGTAGGCGACGGACTGGAAGTTGAATGGGTTGCGCGCATTCTCGGTGCCGCTCATGGATGGTGCATCGACGTCGGTCCCACTCATTATGCTGGCGGGAGTGTATGGGAATGTTGCGCTCGCTGGCGTGTACAAAGTCGGTGTCGCACGCTGCGAAACTGAGTCGCTGGGGCCCAGAGTCGCGAACTGCTTCGACGGGAAAGTGGCCGACATTGGAGAGAGCGCATTCGGATCGAAGCCCAGACCTCCAGCGGACAGCTCCCCTTCGAATCCAAGGCCAACGGGGGGCTGTTGCGGCGCATCGTCCATCGGAGGCGTTGGCGTCCGCGGTGGGAGCGGGATCCCATTCGAAGCCATGGCAGCTGCTCAATATGCGACGATTGTGAGGGCGGAGAGTTCAGCGACGACCATTCGACACATTTGTCCGGGAGCTCGCAGATAAGAGAGTCCGGCAGACCCCAGACGAGAGGCGGAGGGGAAATTGGGGGATGCCTTCCCAATGCAGATGGATCATGTTCGGCGTGGACCGCTGCGCCAATGACTAGCCGCCTCCGAGGCCGCACCAGGGGCTCGATGGGGCTAAAGGACATCTACGTCGTTTGGGACAACAATGCGCTGCTGTGTACACCCGCATTGATTGCTCGTGATGGATTGAACGCGAGACATGACACTTTTGACTTGACAGGCGCACCGTGTGGCCTGTGTGCGCGAACATAATGGACCTTGGGAACGGCTCACAGCGACACGCATGTGATGACGCAATACGACCCATGCAGGACAAGGTGAAGGCCAGCAGCCCAGACGAGACGAAGTCTGGACATAAACGTAGCAAATCGGGCGGCATCCTTGGCAGTCTTTCGTTTCTAAGGTCCAGAGATGTCACCAGAAAGCCTGCGCTGAAGCTGGAGGTGGAGGACGAAGGGCAGACGGAGGACACAGAAGCTGTACAGGAACGCTCCTCCCTTGCGACTGCCTTGCGCCAGAATGGGCAGGCACGAAAGAGAAAAGGCTCGCTGAGGAAGGCAGCAATGGCGAAGATGCGCGAACGGAGTGGCTCGCTGCGCAAGGACCGAGCCCCAGTGAAGCCGCCTACCATTGTCACGACCATGAGCACGATCTCGCTCGAAGACGACCATACACATCACCGACGCTTCAGCTACGAGAACGCTCCTCTCAACTCATCTTCAGACAGCGGATGGCTTTTGCCCGAAAGCGAACTGTCTCAATCTACACCTGCACCTGGCCAGGAAGCGCCAGAACACCCACGCCTACTTACCTCGCCTATCACCAGCCCATTTGGACCATACGCATCGACGACAGACGAAGACGAAGCTCTTTCGTTCTACCGACCTCCAATGTCTGGAAGCAGTAGTACGCTGTACAGCTTATCTGCGCAAGATCCCTCTGTTCAGCGCCGGCGGTCAAATCGATCTGATCGGCGCACCTCCTTGACGATAGTTCAAACGCCCGCTGACCTCGAAATCGAAGATGACTGGGATTACAGCGAGACAGAATGGTGGGGCTGGGTCGTCCTCGTTGTGACCTGGATTGTTTTCGTTGTCGGTATGGGCTCGTGTCTTGGAGTATGGAGCTGGGCCTGGGATGTCGGTGAGACACCGTATGCACCACCGGAGCTGGAGGACGACGAGTCATTGCCCATTGTGGGGTATTATCCAGCGCTGATAGTGTGCACAGCAGTCATGAGCTGGGTGTGGGTGGTGATAGCCTGGGTGGGCATGAAGTACTTTCGACATTCGAAGATGGTTGGGGACGACTGACGCATCTGCCAACCTCCTCTCACAATGCAAAAGTAACGGGATCTTCCACTAAGTCTGTCGAAAAAACGTGCGCAATGTCATGTTGTAGGCGCAGATGGCACATGGCAGACAATAAGAACAGTCACCTGGGATCAAACTGTTGACTCGCTTTTATAGACATGCGTCGACCGTGTAGGCTTCAGGAAACCGCAAAAAGAGAATTAGAAGAATCCCAGGCATACCGGGCACTGAAGCTTGTCGCTTCTGTGGATCGAACACAGTACCTCCAGATTTAGCGACTGAACTTCAGTCTGGCGCTCTCCCAAGTGAGCTAAAGCGACTAATCAGGATTGATGTGTTTTACAGTAAATATATAATTTATATAATATACCTCCTATCTTACGATCCCGCCTCTCACAGATTTTTTCTACAGTCCACATACATCTGCGTCCTGACCGAACCCCTTCCATTGTGGGGACTGCGAGTCATTAGCTGCACGTGCTAGGTATATACCATGACGCGAGCCCTCCAGGGCTCGCTGCATCACGAACATTCCCACGCTTGACCACACGAACACCAGTCCCCAACCCAGAAACGTAGGACCTCGTCGCACACTATGCAGCCCTCGCCACTCGCCAATCCATTGGCATCCGTAGCCCAATTGGAGAGCTCCGGGTCACAGCTCGACGGAATATCGCAAGATCTCGAAGAGTCAGTTCGCTATGCTGGCGCACGACTCACACAGGCTGCTGGTGTGCTACTTAGGCTGCCACAGGAAGTAATAGCACAAGCTGTCATCGTGTTCATGAGGTTTTGGGTTGGTACAGAAGGTGGGAGTCTGGCTGAGTTTGACGCTGGCGTAGGCCCACTCTTCCGTCCGAATACACCTTTACTGACAGTATTACAGCAAGTCTCAGCCTCCTCACTATACCTTGCCACAAAACTCTCTGCATACCCAAAGTCAGCGCGTAGTCTTGTCAACGTCTACGCCTACCTCGATGCGTTTCCCCTTCCTCCAATGGGCGCCGAGCCTAATGAAAGCAACGCGGAGATGCACTATGTCTCTGAGGGCACCTACGAGCGTCGACGAGCTGCATTATTCGAGACCGAGCAACATGTGCTTAAGAAGCTTGGATTCCAGGTACATGCGAACCTACCATATGCACTGTGCGTCACATATATGCAAGCGCTCGATGTCTTCACACATCCACGCGTCTCTGAGCTTGCGAAACGAGCAATTGCACATCTCAACACCGCACTGCTAAGCCCTCAACTTATGTACCTTACGCACCGACCTCCGAGCCTGGCGACTGCAGCGATATACCTTGCGGCAAGAGAAACAGGCATCAAGTTGCCGGAAGTTCAATGGTGGGAAGTATTTGATACAGACAGGGAAGAGCTTGGCTTCCTTTGCGTCGGCTTCCTCAGCACGCAAGGATTTGCTGAGCAGGAGAAGTCAAACTGGGTTGGGCGAAGGGTCCCTCTTACTGTCGAGGAAGTAAAAGCAGAAATGAGGAGACGGATTGAAGAGAGCGAGGCGTGAAAAGTGCCAAACGAATCGCTGCACTCTATTGATTCTAGCCAGTGTAACGCCGAAGACCGATATCCGTGGATATGGGGCAAGCCACCGCGGCGAACCTCACATACGTGGTGCTTGATGCCTATACCGAGCTGTTTCTACGTCTTCATTGTGCAGGTACACCGTTTACGAACGACTCTGGAAAATCCTCCAGATTTCGCTGTGCGCCACAATGCCTTTGCTCTGAGCAATCACGTTAGTCCTTGTATACGAGTTGCCAGGATTCCCACGTCCTCTTGTTTAGCTGAGAGATAGACCAACCGTCCAATCGTACAATGGCAACATCACAATCGATCTACGACGGCTCCAGGCGTGAGCACGTTTGCGATAGAAACCACATGTCGGACAAGTCACGTTTCGAGCCGGTTGGGCCTAGCAGTCCTTCAGTTTATGGCCCGCAATATCAACATTTGCACAAGCCAAGCACTGCCGATCTTGATCTACTACCATCTCAGCGTCTCCGTCTGCAAGACACAGATGCTCGAGTGCAGCCAACTGACAATCCTTACTACTGGAGACGCCTGCACAGGGCCGCAATAGCAACATTTCTATCTAGGCCAGAGCATCATGGACGCGTACTAATGAGATTGTTCGGAAACAAGCTGGTATCTTGAAACACAAAGACGCTGTATGTCGAAGCCACAACGATGTGGACCCTTCAAGGGCTGGCGTCACTGGTGATCGTGCTCCTCGATTTGAACGCGTAGTGATGGAATCGACGACACATCGCTCTTTCAGCTTTGAAAATGAGAAGCAACGCGGAGACCTTGGCATCGCCCTGGAGGAGATTGATGAGGAAGACGCGTTGTCAGACACAAGCACACTGGTGGATTCTGGTGTCGTACCACCGTCTGCCGAGCGAACCACGCGCTTCCTTGAAGAGCTGGATGAACGACCGCGAATCGCCCGCACTTTCTCGGAGATCTTAGGTGGCGGACCTTCCATTCACACGACCCTGGTGGCGGGAGATGAGCCTGCACAGGGTATGATCGATAGGTAGGCGCTCTTGAAGTCTGGTCCCCGACATAATTGAGACAACAAAGGAGTCTTGACACTGTGGGTAAGACACACACTGTGATTCACATGCTGCTTCTATCCTATGGGTTGCGACTGCGAAGTCTAAGCATGTAGCTGCTCCTCCCTGCGATGAAGTAAGAGCCCCTGTCCTACTGGAGCCCGCGGCCTCTGCAAAGGATATGTACACTCACTTCTACACCACTATCGAACATCTCACATCGCAATATTTCTTGAACATCACCCGCTGTGTGCTATTATTATCTGTCTTGTCTCTCGCCCCCGACTGTGTCTCAATCTGCCATTTGGCTGCACTTACAAGTTATTCGCCGTTCTCTGTCACGACCTCCATACCAACAATACCATCGCGGCCAATCGATGAAACCGCGGACGGTTACCGTGCGACATTATTCCTTGAATATGAGACAGCAAGCATTGTGCAAGATCAGCTGGCATGGTGTAATTAAGTCTTGAGCTAAACAACCCCGCAGGTATTACTCCGTTCAGACGCCAGCCAGGCGAAATGATGCCACATAACGTCTTTGGTGCTCACTTCAATCAGCAACAACAGCTGCAATCGAGCCGTCTAACCTGGCTCAACCTTTACTCATCTTCAAACGAAACGTCATCTCGTATGCTCGACGCGCTCCTGCTAGCACGTATCGACAAGGTCAAAGAGACTCTCGAGTTCATCAATTGGACGATCGAAGTCCGCCGCCAACTAGTCGCCCTTGCTGAGAACAATGGCGCATTCTGTACGATCTGTAGCCATCTCCGAGTCGCAACATGCTTCACCTTTTGCAGCGCGATCTGCCCTCTCTTACGCGGCCGCCCAGAAACGTGGATGAAGCGGGACCCACCATGGACAAACTTTGCGAGAAAGGATGTGGAACTTTACGACAAGCTGATCATCGATATCAATCACTTTGGATATGAGGCGAACAAGCGCATCGTGATCAAATGGGAGGTCACTTGTACCGATTTGCTGGGGCGGACCGAAGACCCGAAGAACCGATACAGCGTTCAATTGGCTATGCCTCCCGTCCGTGGGCTCAACCAAGACTGGACATTCAACGGTCACTGGGGACAGGGCCCACGCTTGGAGGTTGAGCTTGCGCCGGACGAGGCGGAACTGCCGGCCACGGACGAGATTGGAACTTCGGCTCCTGATGATGCGTAGGTCGCCCAAGAGTAACGTGAGACCGAGTCGGGCTTTCGCCATGGTAAGTTTGCTCATCGGATGGGGTTGGGTGCTCGTAGGTCGCGCCAGGCTCGCAGATGAGATCTATATCAAATGCAAAGCGGATCCTCGCTCGCAGCGAACTTGGCAACTGGCTCCTGTGTATGACGCCTCCTGATCTCAAAGACCATGATCCATACCAAGTTCCGCTTTCCTTGGACACTCGCGTGTCTGGATATGCTCTCAGAATACAGCGCCTTCATGGCGTCTGGGTAACGACATTTACGTTTAATCCAGGGGAGGTCAACACGCCGACACCAACAAGGTGCAAGGACGCAGCAGAAATTGCATAAAGAACATGAACTGCAGGCACACATGGTAGGAAAGGGTCGTTTGGGCAGCAATTCAGTATCTGTATGTTATATGGACTAGAAATTATGGTGAATCGCCTCCATCTAAAGATGTTGGCAAAGCCCCTCATTGCTGCGGCATGCAGTGCCCGCATAACGCCCTGCGATTGTATATGTGTGCTGGCCCATTATGAAATGAACGTCTTGAGCGGTGAACGAAGGCATGGTCCACGTATAAGTAGTTCTAGAGCATATGTCATTCATCTCCGGATACCAGGTGTAGCCTGCTTCATGACTGGCGGCTTGACAACGGCTGACCTGGGAGTTAGGTTTTTGCTGGCGAAGAATTTGTGCGAGAGAGCCTCCTTGGGCTGGATGCGCTTCTCGACATTCATGTGTAGAGTTCCGTTCAGCAGGTCGGCGAAGTCGTTCAGTTCAGCAACACTGGGACCGCCTTGAGCGATGCCACGGGCAGCGTCGTGAACTCTGGTCTTGATGTCTCGACTGATCTTCTTTTGCTGTTCAATCTTGCGCACAGATAGCTGTTTGATATCAGTCTTTGCATATTTGCTTCTTGACGTCTTGATACATACCTGATTGTACTGATCAACTTCCCGGCTGATAAACTTCAACGGCGGCCCAGGCTCGAAGTGCTCGAGAACGTTGTTCACGAGACCCTTTTTCAGCAGCTTCTCACTCGGCCATCCAAGGCAGTCCATAAAAGCCTTGACCATTTGGTTGTTCGACCGCCCAGTGAACAGGATCTTGCCGGTCCAGAGCTCGTACGCGGTACAGCCCACAGCCCACATGTCGACAGGATAGCCTATGTCCATACCCAGGATGATCTCAGGTGCGCGGTAGAATCGACTAACCAGATACTCGGTACGCTCGATATTGTCTCGTTTGTCGACTGCCGTACCGAAATCAGCCAGCTTGACGGTCTTCTTGTCAGCAGATACCAGCACATTGTCAGGCTTCAAATCCAGATGGATGACCTGGCAGTTCTGTAGATGTTGCAATCCGAGAAACATTTGTCGCGCGTACGTTTTGACGGCTGGCAACGCAAGTCCATGGCCATTCGTCTCTTCCTTGAGTAGATCCCGCAAGTTCTTGGACATGTGCTCAAAGATGATGCACAAGTGGCCCTTGTGGTCAAAGGAGCCCAGAAGTCGAACAATGTGGCGCTTGTCCTGCGGATCTGCTTCATTGACTTTCTGTAGGAAGTCCATCTCCTTTTGACTGGCTTTCCTCATCAGCTCGTTCCTACGTATCATCTTGATGGCGACAAGCCTGCTCTGTTGTCCGTCGTTGTATGCAGTGACTTCTTCCGCCTGTGCGACATTGGCGAATACACCTCGACCCAGCGTCTTGATCATTCGATGGCGACCACCGTTCACCAGCTCGTTGTTGATGATCTTGTAGTATCCTTCAGGGTCATCCCAATTCTCAAGAAGCTTCTCATCCAGCACGGTCCCTTTTGCTGGTCCTTCGTGTTCCTGTACAACATCCTCAGCTTCATCCTCGTCATCACTGAAATCGAACATGTCAAAGTCCTTCTTCTGCTTCTTTACTGGGACCACCTTCTCGGCTGGCAATGTGGATAGAGCCCTGGGATCGGTTTCGCTATACGCATCGGATCGCAGGTCTGAGCTGGTGTTCTTCCTAAATGCACGATTGCGGTCGTCTAGCATATCTTGTGTAGGGTCATAGTCAACCGCTGAAGGGCTCGCAACCGCTGGGCTGTTTCCACGACTATGTTGGGCCTGCTTGTCGATGATCATGACATCTGGAGATGCTGGTACTGAATCGAGGTCGCCGGCGCGAGGAGAAGGAAAGGGTGACATGGTGGTATCGAGAGCTGCTGGAGAGCCAATGTTAGGAGTGGTGGTCTCAGAGGCGTTAGTAAGAACTGCTTGTTGCAAGAGATTCTCCTTGGGCTTCTGCTCAGCTGCAGCGCGAATCGCAGCCCACTTGCGACGTTTCTCTTCGCGCGTTTCCGGAGTCGGGGCCTTGTCTCCAACGGGTGCTACCGTGATGTCGGACTGGGTTGTGCCCTTCGCCTCATCTTTCGTCTGCTGCGCTTGTCTTCCTGCGTTGTCTTGGATGCTGAGCTTCTCCGTATCGCGAGTCACCTGTTGGCTGGATCGTTCAATCCTGGGACCGTTGTCACTCTGCCTCGTAGGTCCACTACCAGCGACTATATGGTCACTGAAGCGTGGCACAGCAGGTGTCTGATGCTCGATCTCAGCGTACGAGACATACTTGACGTAGGGCCTCTCAGTCGGTTTCTGTGCGGCTTTCACGAACCCGGATTGAGACTGTCCGTTCCGCAGATCGTCTGCGCAAGACTTCCGCGGATGGTCGCCATATCTGCTGCGATCAGTGTTGTGGCGCTTCTCAGGCCGGCTACCTCGCGGCGGCGAGGCTTTGCGTTTATGCTGGGACCGTAAATCGCTACCATCGTGTCCTCGATCATTGCGGCCGTGTCGGAAAGGCGACGGTGAGCGTTCGGACGCGCGCTTGTTGCGATATGGTGAGGGCGACCGAGTTCGTTTCCGACGGAACGGAGAAGGCGAGCGACTTGGAGCGCGATACTTGTATCCTAGGCTGGTCAGACCATGTCGCAAATGCGCAGAGTTACCAAGAGCTGCTGTACCGTTTCTGTCCGAGGCACCATCATATCCAGACACTCTGCTAGAGCCGTTAATCGCAGTTTCGCCGCGCTGACTGATAGTGTTTGCCTTGTGTTGGGTATCGACAACTTCGCCTTCCGAAGTTGAACTGGAACGAGACGCCATACTGGCAATCTGGCTCACTGCAAAACTCCTGTGAGAAACCGGAACGGGTCCTGGGCGTCAGCTTGCTTCTTCTTGGGAACAGAACGGAGTGTCTCTATCACTGACTGGGTGTCCCACAGCTGGAGTGCTTGACCTGCAATGCAGTGTCTGAAGAGGCAAGGGAGCACGCAGAGAAGAGACAGGTGCAATCGCGATAAGAGGGGAGGCGCGTGTTTGTCGGGAAAGGATGCGCGCAACGCGTTGGTGATGGCTGCCGCGATTGGAGCATGCACACCGTGAAGTCAGAGGCAGGAGTCTCGGAGGCTCGGAGTGGGGCCTTCCTCACGTGAAACTCACGTGCGTCTTCATCTGCACCGACTCGTGCATTACTATTCATCATGCCAGCCGCTTCTTCTGAGCCCGATGGGCTCAAGCGTCTACACTCTTCTACTTCGAGCGGTGAGCCTAGTGATGCGTGTGCCAACGAAGCTAACCATGTCTGGGCAGCTACCTACGAGAGATAGGTAGGACTATACATACTGCGACTCCTGACCTTGCCAGCATCGCCCTTGAGCTGACATTGCACGCATTGAGACGATTTTACGGGGAGTAGTAGGTGTTCTCGACCAAATGCGCTGTAGGCAGTCTCTTGCCAATTGGAGAGCTTGATTAGCAATGTCTGAAGCTCTATGAAGGAAGATCCGCAACATAAACGCAGAACTGCTTTGCAAGGATACGCGAGCAGAGAGACCGGTTTCAATTTGCCGAAAATGCATCACTCGCATACACGCTTCTGTGGTCGGCCCTTCGCACGCTCACTGAGCTGCACTGGTGCCCATCGTACGACAACCTCGTGTGCAGAGAGCCGGTACCTAGGATAAATTTTGTCGACAAGGAGAATCGCGCCCGGCTCATGAGTCGATGGATGCCACAGCTTATGCGCCGGAACGGCGTTTGGATGGCAACAGACTCAACCCCTTCACAACGCTGAAGCATGCGGCAATTGCCGTGGTTCTTGCATTTCTCGAATTTATCGCAGTTCTCGCAGTTACTCTCCGTCCGAGAGTTGTACAAGACTGCTGCCTGGACCCCTCTGTTAGACATGATTCGGTCGAGGATGATCCTCGAACCAAAGTCTGAGGTCGGCGTGTGTGTAGGGGAGCAAGAAGGAACTAGTGGTCTGATGTTATAGCATTGAAGGTTTCGTTGATCTTAAAGGAAAACTTCGCACGTATCAGAGCACGCCAACGCCGCCGGGAAGGATGTCCCGGCTGTCATCTCGACTTTTCTATTCGCTGATCATCTGGCTAATGTAAGTCTATGACCCATGTCGATTTCGTAAACTCGGCAAGCCTATCGGACGGGAGAGTGTTGATCACTTGTGCAAGTTAATGACTACCTCCCTATCAAACATTGCAAACGAGCTTGCCGAAAATATGGCTTCGCAGACGAATGCAACGTGGAAGGTGAAGGACCCAATCCGCAGAGTGAGAGGTGGGCACCTGCATGTGGGCTTTCACTGGCGCGTGACGATCACTGCAACTAAGATTACCAAACATCTTTGTCCAAGCGGAAGCAAACCAGGATTAGAAGCATTAGATTAGGGAAGGTGCTGCAGTAGCATCGCAGGTTCTGGTTTGCAGCGTCAACTTCATGATGGTGGCGTGCGTGAATTGATTCGGAACTGCCCGTGGTGGCTTGTGTTCAGCCTTTAGTTCCTCCGATAGTGCCGACGGAAAAGGGCTCGTTCGATGGGCAAGTAAATCAAATAACCCTTCCAGCACAGACCAAGGGTTCCGATTTGTGACAGTCTGGGAACAACTGATGAACGATGGGACCACCGTTCTCAGAAAAGGGCTTGTCAAGGCGTACAAACAGCGGAACCGTCCAGCGATGTGCAACTGGATGATAGGTATTCATGTCGAGCAAGCAGGGATTGACAGGATTCATCGTGTATCTACATCAACTCTGCTCGTGCTCGAAGGGTTGCTCTTCACCATTATAGGCGCAGAATGCGAACTTATGCTTGCTCAAGCTTGCACAAGCTAGGTGCAAACTTCCGTGTGGCTTCGATCTTTACAGGCACACCCGGCCGGCGGGATACGCCGTAGAGCTTGATGCTGAATAGCCGACTCGCTCACGTTCCGGATGCCATGTGCCGTAAGCCCAGTGCCCATGATCCTGAACATCCGCAATACCTAATCCAGAGGCGCCACACCGATCATATCTCGCATGTTAGATCTTAGCGTACACCCTGCGCTTGGAAGAGTTGCGTAGGCAATCCTTCGACGAGGATACGGAGCCAATCAGGCGACCTGGATCATGCTCCGAAAGCGCTGGTCGATCCCAAGGTCCAATGTCACCAGTGCAAAGGACCCTGTTGCGCACCAACACATCGGGTCCAGAGACGGTACCAGGGGATCCCACGTTGGAGGGTGAAGCGTGGCTGCAAAATGCTTGGGGTCGTGGGTTGGCATCAATAGTTTGTACCGTCGTATCTCTGAAGTTGACTATGGACTGATCTGGACCCCACTGCGTCATCGCGGAGTGCTGAACTGCGTCAATGGCTGGCACAAGTCTTTGCTGTCGTCATGCTCTAGGTCTGTTCAGATCTACAAGTCCATAATGTCGGCAGATGCGAAGCGATTCGACGGGAAGATGTATCTGACATACCCCTGGCACATGGGCTGGTGCACGAGGCTCTTGATGGCGCCTCAGAAAGGATCTCTGTGCAGAAGCGTGCATTCGGCATATATACCTGCCCACCTTATAAAGTTCTAAGCTCAGGGTACCGTTGCCGTCAACTAGTCAAAGGTTGATGAGAATGCGATAGATTACAACCCTCGTGTGTGCTGAAGTACCACTGCTGTCCACTTGCCGGTAGTGCAAATTCCAAGTGCCGCAAGGGAAGCCGTCGCTCATCGCGCAAGTCTAGTTCAAGAAATAGGCAACCGACACCAAGAAGTTGCGGGCCTCCAAGAACTCCATAAGTATATGGGCCTGTTGCGTAGGAGTTGGCGAGCTCATTACAAGCCTTGTGCACGAATATTGGTCCTTGCAGAAGGGCTACATCGTCCTTTACTATGGTAACAAGGTCGCCGAGGATCTTGCAATTAAGATGAATTGGTGGTACCTCAGTAAAGCATTTCCGGCCAGAAACTCGGCGAGATGCAGCTGCAACATTGAAAGAACGCAAAGTCCGATCAGAAGACATCCAATCAATGTACCTGACATTTGGAGGCGCTCTCAAAATCTTAGAAGTAGCCTTGGGAGCGGGCAACCCAAGGACTGCTCCACACCGCAAGGTTTGAGGGTCGACTTGCTCCTTGTAGTCAAGACCAGAATCCTACCTCGAATTGTTGCTCAATGTCAATTGTAAGAACAGTTGACAAACGAGAAAGCCGACGGTGTGACTGTGACTGTGGCATGTGCGACAATCATTGTCTGTTACGGTAACCGGACATACGATGATCATCTTTGGTAATGTACACAGCCTCACCGCTTTCTACCTTATCGACCATGTACCGATTACAGGGGAGTAGCTGTGCATAGCTGCCCGTTGCTCCATTCTTCAGGCTCGGTTGCGATGGCAGGTCTCGTCGAGGAAACAGACCGCTCAAGCCGCTAATACAAGGACTGCAAACTTTCCGCTCCCTGTGTCATGCAGATTTCCGAATGCGATGTAGGGGCAGAACGGCGTTACGGTGCTTAAGACTTGATCGTAGGGTCTTCGACGCACCAATGCGCGCTGCGGGTGAGCATGTTACTGCCCAGTGCCCAGCATCGTGCTTGCAGAGGAAAAGCGAGATGGCCTTGAGTATCCAGGCCAAGATCATGAAGATATCGTAACAATGGCATTGGCAAACCCACAAACTACGTCACATGAACCAAGACATTGCGTTTCGAGAATGGCTTTGAACGCCAGTCCTTACTGCGGCGCGGCGGTACAACCAGCTGAGCCCGTATATATCGGGCCGAATACTCATTATCGTCCTGCCAGCTTGGGCCAGCGACACACCCCTCGTTCGGTGGACAACCCCCTGGATGGCATGCAGTCCAAGTGTCCACAAAAAGCGAACGTAGGTCTAAATATGGGTCTCGAACATGTTGAACGTACCGTGTCCATTTCACTTGACGTGTGAGGACCGCGTATTGCCTTGTCAGAGAGTTTGCAAAAACGATCAGCGGACCCTGAATGCCTGGTCTTGGTGTGGCTGTGACCTTTGAAAGGCAGGCCGAGTGGCGCAATAGCTGACAGTTGGGAAAGACAGACAAATGTCACCGACGTTGGGTAGTCTTGGAGGAAGGAAGGCAGTCGAGGCTTGTTGAATTTGGATATTCAGAGCGCCTTGATGACATTTTTGGAAAGCGGTCGTTCTGGTCTAGTCCGACAGTGCCGTCCGTTGAGCCGACTTCCCCGCGGTCGAATGCTGTGGTGCGCTAGGACGCTAGATCGACCTGCGTTGGCCATCTGCTGGGTGTTCAGATGGGCGACGCATTTGAAACCTCGTTCCAGCTCCAAGTGCCTGTCGGTAGTTCCGCAATAGCATTGGGCCAAGCGCTAATCGTTTCCTATACTTGTTGCTTGCGGAGTCGATATACAGAGTCATTCCCCGAAATGCAGGGCTGATCATCCACATGGTTTTCGCGGAAAAGATTCCTTTCGTCTCTCAGACATCGATATAGCTTTTTTGCCCAACGTTTCGCATAAGGAAATGCTTGCATTCATGTCTCCAACATCCAATAATTCATTGCCTGGTAAGTCTGCACCAGTACCGTCGTCCGGACATTATTGACACTCTGCAGGAGTCAACTACTGGTATGGCAGCAACAGCCTGCCAGATGCGTTGGAAGGGTTACCACAAGAAAACCCTAACAACCCACGCATGATGCGTCGAGCATCAGAAGCCGTAGTACAAGCTGCAGGCTTCCAAAGGTATGTTGTATCATTCTTTGATTTCTGCTCCAGTCATTTACTTCCAACGGACCTACCTTTGTGGCCATCTCAATGTTGCAGACCTCCGATGGCTGCTTTGTGGTCCAGGTCGGCGCCTTCCGTACGCACAACCGTACACGATCCAATTTTATCAGAACAACCCACCGCAGCCTAAACGAAATCCCACCATGCGAAACTCAGGACCCTCTATCTACCTCGTGTATAGACTTCATCGACCGTACACCTTTCCAGAGGGATGCGATCCAGGTCGACTGGCACAGCATCTGAACTTGCCAAGAAGTGGTTGCAAATTGACTCTTTGGGCAAAGATCTGCAAGGCGACAAACGCACATGGATGTGCGCGATTGGACGTTTACCATGACAAATGGTCGTGTGTCCTTGCCTATTCATGAACTCCTGAGGCAAGCCCTCGTTCCAAGATACCGCCCGTTTCCGGTCATTCGACATTGGACTGGCCAATTTACCGGATAAAGCAAGTCGGAGGTTGTCGCGGCGGGGTTCGAAATACGGCCGATGTCGCCTACGGCCGGCCACATTCCGCCGATCAACAACACTGATGTCGAGCGCCCTGTAGACCCGGCGATTCTGTGAATTTTATGTCGATCCAGTCTGGAACTTGCTGACCAAAACTCAGTCAGGACAACTGGGATCAGTGCCAAGGTCAACTCCACCTCGATACCTCACAAACAACTCTTGTGATTCGCCCGCAGTCAGCGGCCGCGAACGCAGGACACAAAGCCCCGCTGGCACCCAAACAGGGACTAGGGGGCGCCCTCGCCAACGCTCGCGGTCAACATTCGTCTCCCATATCAGGCACCTATGCCCTGCGAACACCCCGAGGAAAGATTACGTCCATAGCCTGTGAAAGCTGTCGGAAACGCAAATCGAAGGTATGTTTTCCTCTCGCCAGCTCGAGATGGAAGTTGTTGACGAGCTGCTCCAGTGTGACGGTGTTCGACCCAAGTGCAATACCTGTCAGTCCAAGAACCTGACATGCGTATACGATGTGGCCGAAGATGGCAAGACGACAACGCAACTACGAGCCCACGTTAGACGACTAGCGAAGGAATTAGAGGATATGAAGTCTGTGGTGTCCTTGTTGGCCCTTGCGCCAGACCGAGCTGCAGCTGCAAATTGGGCGTCTGAGATTGAGAAGAATGGCTTTGCGCATCACTCGGTCGATGAGATCAAACGTGCACTCGGGGTAAGCCTTGTTTGGATCTTGAATGGAGAACGCCATCTAACAACGCAGGACTCCAACGAGCAAACATCTGCTATACCAGAGCAAGACTCATTCGGTACACCGAGCAGCGAGCAGTTCGTGGGACAATTGCCAAACTTGGGCGCGTCTTCCTACAACGGATCTTCACGGGAAGAAAGGCAGGTCCAGTACCAGTACCTAGGCGCATTTGGGAGTGTATATTAACAGGTCCAGAAGTCGGGAACGCAGCCAAGCCGCTTTGAACTTTGCGCCTGACACCGCAGTTGACGGTGTGATGCCCATGAATCCGTCGCCCTTGATCCTCGAAACCGCCGCGAACGCACTGAGCAAATTTGGCTTCGACTGCGCATACTACCGGAGAACGAAACAGGACCTACTTGCCAATGGATGGAATGAGGCCCAGATATTTGGCAGATCCGAGATAGACGTAGATTCTCTGTTGTTGGGCTTTGCAGATCCTCAGGACACACAAACCGTTCCGGCGTGGTGCGCAAGAACAGTGAACAAGATTCTTCCAACCGTAAATCTGCCTGTGCGACTGGCTTCAACTTGGATATTGACCAAATTGATGCGTGTAAGTGCACTTCGCGTCAGGAGGAACACTTTCGCTGACAGTGTGACAGTGGCTGATCTGGCCGAGCGTGGAGAACATGAACTCCAACCCGGAATGGCTGACACCTCCTATGGGCAAGCAGGATGTGTCGCCGTACGATATCTTGATCGACCTTGTGCCTTGGTAGGTTGCAGTGCTGTTTCCAAGTTCCGGTAGAGACTTATTCCTGACAGGCCACAAATACGGCGACTTCTGTACCAGCATCCTCAAGAATTTGCGGTCGGTCCGCTGGTCGGCTCTATCGGTATTACTTGGCCATACGCAGAAGATTCATGTCACTACTGGGACATCGAGGCAGGCTGCACACGCATGACTCCACTGTTTGAGAGTACTGTAGCCGACTTGAACAACTGGGTTCTGGATCCCAAGATACTCGAGATCATGCCTCAACTCGAAGGCATGGTACCGTTGAAACCAGTCTCGGCGTAATTGGACATTCTTTGGATCTTTCGGGGTGTCTGCGGAGGCTCGCTGAGGAACAGCAATCCATCGCGGCGTTTAACTGCATTCTTTCTTGTACTGGGCGGTGTTACGCATATATCCCTTGGAGGTTGGTAATTGCAGGAACTCGCGTGCAGCGCAATAGCGTAGGGAGCCATTGTACACACTCGTTGGAAGGTGGGACATATCAATAGACCATGGTCAGGCCTCGACAGGTGCAGCATGCGCATACATATTACTTTGGCGATGCGGAATTAAGCCGTCGCAACACCTTTCGTGCTGAAAACCCACACCGTTGACCTTCCATGTACCCACTTCGAGGTATCGTAATGCCAAGGCCCTCGCTCGGAGATCGACGATCGGTGGACTTGTTACTCAGGATTTGCCCTAGACCTCTGCTGGTCAAGGTACATTTCTGCTTTTTTTTTATCCCTGCAACAGATGCTTTTGCGTCTGCGTCCGATCGACTATCGAGTCAGACTCAAGTACGCCAAGCTGTTCATCTGGATTGACGAGGTCGTGAGCGCGGTTGCAGCGCGTTTCAGGTGTGCCTGAAAGGCGCCAATGGAATGGCTACCTGAGCCCTTTCCTCAGTCTCGGTCTCGTAGAAGAAAAACAGAATCCTCGAATACATCCATTGCTGCAGCCAGGAAGCAGCGGGGTAGCCCAGATAGTCTTAAAGTTCGTAGGTCGGGCCGTGTGTCGAAGGATTGTTGTTCGAAAGATTTGCTCTGATGCCTATGGAAAGTGCCGCGGGTTGTTAGTAACAAAGTGGAGCTTGGCTATAAAGACGCATGTTGTTACTCGCGTAGGCTTTCTCGATGCTGTATTTGGCCTGGAATTGCGCAGGTCTGTCGACTCTGCAGCGGATCAGTCAGCTGTGCTGTAGCACACCACCTATGAAGAATCCTTGCTCTGCACTCGGGAACCAGGACCAAGAGAATCTGCATTACCTTCACGCACATCGATCACGAACTCCACACTATCGCCAAACGGACCCTAGCATCAAGCTCAGATCAAACGTCTTAGAGATGGAGTATTGGTTGATACTGCGGTGCTTCAGTGGCTGTAAGCAATAACAGGTCAGACAATAGGATACAGTAAGCGAGAAGCATGAATATGCGGCAGCATGTGTTAGCAATGATAGCCTAATCGGTTGTCATAGTGGCTCAGCGCGGATGCGGTTCACGTTGGTGTCCCTGAACTGGTGATGAGATCAACGACGGAAGTCGCATGTGCCCTTATGCGCTTTACCTTTCACTTTAGCCCCATGGCGAGTAGTCACCTGGCATTTACGCAGGGAGACATTTGCTGCGAGGTATCTTAATCCTTCAAGGCTTCCCATTGGCTCAGAGCTTAGCAAAGCGGAGGGCGCAGTAGCGCAGCCTGTCTTTAACTCTTCTTAACGTCTTGCTAGTTGTTACATTGGTTACACTGTGCAGAAAAGTGTTGACCCTCACACGCCTTGACGCTGAATGCGACCACGAATACTAGTCGTGGAGCGGCCGGGGGCTATACCGGTAATCTGTCGCTCCTGCCCCAACATATAGTTCTTACGGCAACCTTGCAACCTGTTGTATTACTAGCACTTTCTGTCTTACGTCATCCGCCTTCGCCATAGTTGCAATCGAGCTTCGCCGTTATTTCTTGCAGCCTTGCAGCCCCGTTGTCGCGTCTCGTCTTTAGGTGCGCCTGCATGTATCAATTTTTAGGAACGTTGTCGTTGAAGGGAGGAAGACTTCACAAAAAGGCCAAATTTTTTTCGTGGGATGATTCTAAGCTATACACAGTGTGTTCGTTTACTCGTTCTCGCTATCAGGCACGTTTGCAGGGCAATCGAGACGTTAAGGCTTCGATGAACGGATTCGACTAAGCTTATTGACACAAAGGTATAGTACGGAATGCAGAGCGATCTCCAATTTCTAGTCTCATCCACTACAGCGGTATTACCTGCATCCGATTTCCCAGCACACAATTCACAATCTGTCCATATACGGACCAGATTCTTCAAGTTTAATTAAATGCGTAAACAGCAGCAGCACCCAAGAGAGCACCCATACCGACAGAACCAGTCTTCATGGCGGCGGGAGCACCAGCAGCGCTGCTCGTGGAGGAAGCTCCAGGGGCAGCTTGGCTTCCAGTAGCCTCCTGGTTGATCGAGGTGGTGGCAGTGGGCTGGCCAGAGGTGAAGGGAAGGTCGGAAACGGCGGTAGCGCCAGGGAAGGCGCCCTCACCCTCGTCATCAGAGGGGTCGGCAATGGTAGCATTGGCGGGGTTGAGGACCTCGTCGATAACGTGAACAACACCGTTAGCAACAAGGATATCGGCGATGGTGACGCGGGCGCTGTTGACGAAGATGCGGCCCTCCTCACCGATAGTGATGGTAAGGTTGTCGCCGTTTAGGGCAGTCAGGACAGTTCCATTTTCAAGACCGGACGAGTAGCCTACAGTGCCATTGACGACATGATAGGTCAGGATGTCGGCAATGTCCTCAATGGAGGCATTGGCAAGGGCAGATCCAATCTCGCGGAATGCCTCAGTAGAAGGAGCGAAGATAGTAACGTCTGGTATGGTGTCCACAGCCTCGAGTAAATTGGTGGCATTAAGAGCACCGCGAAGGCCAGTAAGGTTGGCAGTTGTAAGAGTGTCCGAAACGATTTCGGGCAAGACGAGGAATCGGTCAATGACGTGGATCACACCGCCGGTGAAGTTAACGTCCTACCCATGGTTAGAAAAGACCACTTGACATAAAGGCGCAGGGACTTACAGCCATAGAAACGGTAGAATTGGCCAACAGACCGCTGAAGAATGTGACATTGTTTCCGGTTGTGACAGCCTCGACAACTTGACCACCGGTCACGTTGGTGAAGAGATTGTTTGTCAAAAGAGTTGGCACGAATACGCTCTGGTTGGTGATGGCCGAAGACCGGTATGTGCCATTCAGAACGTGGTACTGCAAAAGTGCAGTGAGGAGACCCGTGTTGTTAGCCAACGCCTGGACGGTTGCGTTGCCGATACTAGCGAAAGCTGCGTTCGAAGGTGCAAGTATGGTGACATTCTGTGCGCTGCTGAGGCCCTGAACGAGTTGGGCAAGACCTGGAAGAGCCAGGACGCCTGCCAAGCTGGAAAGCTGAGCGGATGAACTCAGTGCTTCAGTGAGAGATGGTGCGGTGCCATTCGACTGGGCAAGGACTGCGCTCGCAAAGGCGAGGATGGAAAATCTCGAGAGCATGTTGTTCAGACGGGACCAGAATGATGACAATTCCGTCAGTTGGACAAAAGATTGAAGAAGGATGTGAGGGGAAACAAAGTATATATACCATTCTGCTCAGGGCGCTCTTCCCTGGTCAAACCTGATCCCGCTTACCACCATGCTTCCAAGGGCCAACACCGTATGCCACCGGGCCGCTCTCCATGCTACAGCCCCAAGAGCGTGAGCTTGGTCCAATGAAGCCTGGACTCCTCGCACAATAGATTTACGCGAAGGGTGATGCTTAAACGATGGTCGTCCAGTAACGTTGTCGATCATCATCGCCAAGTACCAAGAGGGCAGACCAGTGGAACGATGATACCAACACAGCATACGTCTGTAAGCATCGTGGCCGGCCTCAAGCGGCTAGTTCTCCGCATGCGTTAAAGGGCGCGGCAGAGTCGTTAAGGCTGTAGCGAACACTGGAAACGAAGCATTCTTCCGGTTCGATGCTCGTACTTGACGTTGATATCTACAGGCTCTTGTACAGTTTCGCATCGTTGCATTGCTTGAGAAGCCATGTTCTATACGATGAACGCCAATTAGGTCAGAATAGCCAACAATGGCGCCCGTAAGGCTGTGGTGAATTGAGAGGTGAGGTCAAAGAAGACGCGCATTACGGAAGTCACGGCGCCGGAAGCGTGTGGAGAAGCTTGGCCGACGTACTCCATCACCCCAAACTAGTCTGGTCTGGAGCCCTGGGCGCCTTTACAACTCATCACATATGCTTGAGCATTTGATGGCCGAATCGAAGGTTTCTGCAGCAGATCGCGGGCCCAAGGCCATCCATCTAAAGGTGCGTGCGCGTCTTTGAGACTCTAGACAATTTGTCTATACCTCAACGAGACGAACTATCGCTGCAACCGGCATTCTGCTTATTTAAGCGTAATTGAGCATTGTTCAGCACGCGGTGCGCGTGTCAGATCAATCACAGGGTAGGTATCTCACAAGCCAAAGTTGAGGCGTAGCAACTTCGGTCTTGATTGTTAGAGCTTGCAGCCAATGTTGAAGACTTGAAGACATGACCGCCAGTCAGACTTTGACTGTGTTGCTACTGTCTGTCAGAGCATGCGGTCCGGCAAGATTTGACCGAAAATAAACTAGCCGACAATTGTGCGCATGATCATGCCTTGCCAGATCGAGCGTGTGTACCACCAAAAGAGTAATATTTGCTGAGCCTCTTCGTTTCAATCCTTGTACCATTCTCTCTGCGTATCGCGAACCGCGTTGTCAGCCCAACCGACATCACGCTCACAAATTAAGCATACCAAGCTTGATACCCAAATTGCCCTCAGAGCTGTCTCCTTGCACCTACCTAGTTAGCAGTGACCAATGATGAAGCAGGCTGTCACGAAGCATCCTGCCTGGCTACCTCTCAAATGAAGGGGCTCTCATGTCGCGGGTAAATTTGTACGCAAGCCCTGAATTTTCAGAAGCGGGAAGCACTCAACCTTGAACTTGAATGTGCGCAGCTTGGCCGGCCAATTGGACACTGCAATCAGCTCTGCAATGTGGAATGCCCTTCCATATATGATGCAGATAGGCCTGCCTGCACGATGTGCTCGATTCGATATAACGTTGCCAAGGCGTTCCTTACTGTCGACAGTCCTGCGATGCACTCGGATGAAGTCTTGTATTCACTTGTAGCACTCTGCTCAGCTCGTATCGTAAAAATTGTAATGATCCAGGTGGCCAAGATCAGCAGACTCCTGTCCTACGAACGCCGAAGTCTGCATCGGTATGAACTCGCTGAACAGATCCGCCATGTTTGCGTCCGGTGCAAATCCAAGGTTTTGCATGAACTGTGGCTGGTTCTCTAACTTGTTCGTGTTGTCGAGCGAAGCCAGGTCGTCGAAGAAGCTTTCAAGGTCTCCAGGAATGTCTGGATAGCGTGGATCAGGTGGCGCAGATCGGGAAGCATTGATGAAGGACTCGATTTGCTGATTCGTGTTTGCGCCCAACACATCCGGAAGGCTGCCGCTGTTCTGCGCTGTTCTCGCATTATTCCCTGCATTGACCTGCACCGTTGCCTGTGTGCCAGAAAGAGGTTGTTGTATTGAGTCAGGAGTTGGCATCTGCATGACCGAGATGGACTGCCTGGAATGGATCGGGGGCGATCGTATGTCCGGTATCGTCTTTCGCCATGTACGATCGATATCAGTCTGGAGCTTCTGCATACGCGCACGGAGTGCTGGATCTGACAAGAAGTGGGTGCTATGTCGCTTGACGATTCCCATGAGGCAATACACAACTGGTGGTAAACTTGTTAGGCCTAGCTTGGCATGTGAAGGTTCAAGTAGCTCCAAGATTCGTTGGAGCCACTTCTGTGTAGGCATCAATGACAGTGCTGTACAGTGGTATGTTAACTGAAGTAACACAGCCGGTGGCGTGGAAGGAGTCGGTGCATTTTCGGACTGCAGGTAGTCGAGCTTGGGAGGCAACGTTGACTTCCAGTCATTCAGTCGTTGTACAGTGTCTTGAAGCGGTAGGCCAGACGGCGACGCAAGCTCGCTTGTTACAAGTATGTCAAGCACATCAAGGAGATGACGGAAGCTGCTGAAAGCTAGGAGTGGCGTCCTTGATTGCTGCATGGCGGCTGTGTTGGAACCACCAGACCACGGTTGCCATTCTTCGAGGCCATCTTCGTCAATCCGTCCGAGCTGTTCAATATTATGCTGTCGGAAGTATGGGCGTCTCCCCAGCTGGAGGGCAAGCATGCTATCTAGTACAAGACAGCCTCCGAAAACATGCATTCGCCGCGTGCTGGGTATAAGGGAAATCTGGTCGACATTCTCAAGCACTCGTGAAGCGCAGCCGACTAGGAACCAAGCGGCCTCTGTTAACGATTGCGCAATACTAAATATCGCCAGGTTGAGAAGCGCCTTGACATGACCAAGATCGAAAGAGCCCAACTCATGGGGAATGAGGGATCTGGCAGTATCGTAGAGCTGCTTCGGTGTCATTGAGCCCTCGCTGGCATGACTGACGGAGTTCGAGCTGTTGCTCAGCTCATATGTCGACGCGACAGCCAGTATACTCCACAGCTCAGCGTGAGAGCCAGAATCCGGTGCGTCGAAAGATAGTCGCATGCCCGTTGAGGGGTACGAGTATGACAGCTTCAGTACGTCATGCTTCTCGCAGATCGGCAACCAACATTGAGTATATGTGAAGTAGTTTTCGATCTGTTTCCAGCTGTCCAATGGAAGCGTTATCGACAAAGCGTCTCTACCCAGTCCCTCTGCTAACGCTGACACTTGCTGAATCAGTGACTGCGGAGTGATTAAGTCGTATGGAAGCGATTCGTTAAAGTTCTCGTTTGGTGTCGGGGCCGGTGCGGGCTCATCAGCATCCGAGTTATTTTCATCACCTGCTGGCGATGGCGGATCTGAGTCGTGCCGTGATGGTTCTCCACCGGATAGTAACGTGTCGACGTCCCTGTTAAATCTTGTCTTTCGCCATTGTTTGTGTAGCTTGTTCGATTCTTTGGAATCGCGGCTCAGCAACAGTGAGGATGGCCCCTCCCTTGCTAATCTATCGTTAAGATATCTTTCATTCTCAGCGTTTTGCTGAAACAATGTTGCCAGCGCCAGCTCCAGAACACGGATGTAGCCAGGCTGAATGCCTCGTTTCTTTGGATTCGTTGTGTACGTGCAGCCTCGCTTCGATGTCAAGCAAGTGGAGCATGTTGGCTGGCCGCCATCGCACTTTTCACGAGCTACTCGGCATTGGTCGCAAGCCCGTGAGACTCTGGTGCGTTTGGCTGGCTTATCTGGGTCTTGAGTGGCTGATCTACGCTTTTGCTGACTTTGGGCAGGCATGAGCGCCGATGAAATGCTCTGGCAGCGGAAATGTGGCCAGTATTGATCCAGGACAGCCACACGGACAGATGAGCAGCTGTGAGCAAGTCCAGAAGTACCGATTTAGCCCTGGAGTACACGTCACGGCACGGGGGCTCCAATTGCACGCAAACATAGACTTCGAAGTCTACAACGCGACACAATAGCTGTGCGGTACGAAATTCTTCCGGAATGACGGATCAACAGGTCATCATCCAGAGGAAGGATAAGAGATTTCGCTGTTGCATCTGTGCTAGCCTGCACCTCAGTCAGCTTGTCGTAGACACACTTCTTCGAGATTTACAACGTACAACACCGCTCGAAACTCAATTGGATGGGTCTGCCGCTTGTATTGCTTCACGCCTGGTGTGCCTTAGTAATTGATGATGGAATAACGGAGTGTTGTGGCTGGGGGTGGAGCGGAGGGTTGGCATGCCTCGGTGAATCGCTCCTTCCATGATGGAATGCGGGGTAAACTTTCATCCGACATAAGCTTACTTTCATCCGCTTGCTCCTCCACCAAGCTTCGCCCTTCGCTTCCACACCGCAATCCGTGCCATGACAGCGGTATTAGCGCTTCATAGTACATGTGCAATCCTGAAACTATTCCCGCGCTTACCAGGCTGAACCTCATTCCTGTCCATCTGAGCAAGGCGCTCGCCCAGATCAGATGGTGTGCGTATCACTGTCCCTCTAACCGGCCAGCGGATCGCGCGAAAGAAACACCGAGAAACCGACCAGACGCCTGCAGTGAGACATAGGCTAGAAGGGTTTCCACGATACCCAGCATTTTCCATACTGCCAGGAAAACCGCCTATTAGCAGCTATTGAACCCCTTCGAATCCTCGCCATGGCGTCTGCAGCAGTAGGCACGAAGAGGTCTTTCGCCGCCATGAGCGAGGACAACCGTTCGCCCACCAGTTCGCTGTCGACATCACACAATGTGAACATGTCAGGGGGCCTCTATTCGCGCCAGCGAGTGAAAACGAACATAGAGGAGTCGTGTGAGTAGTGCCGGGCATGCTGCGACATGTATGCGCTGACCAGGATATAGTAACATCCACGACCTCGAGCGCTCGTTCTACCCCACAACACACACCAGCACCTGCCTCACCACCCAACGAAATTCGGCGCGTCTTCGAACCGGATGCGTCGATTGTGCTCATTGGTATGCGCGGCACTGGCAAGTCGACCCTGGCCGTTATAGCGTCCATGGCTTGTCGGCGACGTGTCGTAGATATCGATGATCTCTTCCATGAAGCAACGGGTTTTTCGACCGCCAAATATCGTAAGCAATTCGGTGCAGCTAATCACAATTTGCGACAAGAGGAGCTCCTGCGGACTGCCCTGCGTGCACATGACAAGGGCGCGATAATAGTCTGCAATGGAGGTTCATTGGAAAGGAATGGGCAATTGCTAATGCAGGAATTTGCCGGTACACATCCAGTCATTCACATCGTACGAGATCTGCACAGTATACACAATTATCTTGGAGGGGTTGAAATCCGCAGACTGAGGGACATGTTAGCATTCAGTGCACCCATCCTTCGTCGTTGCTCGAATTACGAGTTCTGCAACGTTTCAGAACATGCACCGAGTCGATCGACCGCGCCATCACATCAACCTGTTGCGCCAACCTTCCTCACGCTGAAACGAGCGCAGCGCACTTTTCTCAAATTTCTTTCCCTGATCCTGACACGCGATACGGCAGATGGGCCGGTCGGCAACTCAAATCCGCCTTTAGAACCGGGCTATCCTTTGTCAGATGTTGCAACCGAGCTGAGAAAATACACCTGCGCTGTCCAGGTACCTTTGTCTGATCTGCTGGCTGAGGACGTGGATATCCAAAGTCTAGAATATGGATCTGATGCCTTCGAGGTGGTGATTGACCCCACAGAACTTGACCTTCACAGTCAACGACTACGAACGGAACGAGCAGATGACATCAGCAACTGCATCTCGAAGATACGCCGCAGTACAGTAGTACCTATCCTCTACCATGTACTACCTTCAGCATCGAAAGACTACAGCCGCGGATCATACCTTGAACACGTACGCCATGGTCTACGGATGGCGCCTGAGTTCATTTCTATCGATTTGTCTGTTGGCGCAGAGACCGTGGCTGAGCTCATCGCATCTCGAGGCCGATCAAAAATCATTGGGCACTTACACGCCGACAAGAACTGGGATCATCGTTCTTGGGGAAACTACTACGAGACTGCGGTTCGGTTGGGCTGCGATGTTGTGCGATTCACACGGCCAGCGAAGTCGATCGATGATGATGCATCCGTGCACCATTTGAGGTCCAAGATCCACGCAAGAAACAGTACTGTCCCTCTGATATGTCACAATACAGGCCGAGCTGGACGTCGATCAACATGTTTCAACAAACACCTGACCTCGGTTTTACCAGAGTCTGTCCGAGATAAGCCTGACTTCGCAGCGCGGTGTGAACACAATCCCGAGACTTCCTGGCTCACGGCACGAGAAGTCACACAAGCCCTCTACTCAACGTTTACTTTCGATCTGATGAAGATTCATCTCATCGGAGCGAGGACGCAGTACAGCCTTTCGCCAGCCATGCACAACGCTGGGTATGCTGCTTGCGGCATGCCTCATCAATTCAGCTGCGTCCAAACATCAACTCTGAAGAGTTTGCAAGAATTCGTACATGATCCGAATTTTGGAGGTTGTATTGTCATTCAGCCCTTCAAGATCGAAGTCATCTCGCTGGCAGACTCTCTCAGTCAGCACGCCCGAGCTATTGGTGCCGTCAACACACTCATACCTGTCCGACACCTCAACGGCGATGGCAGTGTCCCTGGTGATTTGGAACTCTTCCAGGAGCGCTGCCAATCAGGTTCTGTACAAGCACTGCACGGAGACAATACCGAGTGGATCGGAATCCGGTCATGTATCCGGAGAGGACTGTCGCCTGCGAACGCGGTGCGACCAACAACATGCGCTTTAGTCGTAGGCGCAGGCGGCATGGCCAGAAGTTCTGTATACGCCCTTCTTCAATTGGGTGTGAAGAATATTGTCGTGTTCAACAGAACATTGGACAAGGCGGAAGATCTGGTTGTTCACTTCACTCGACTCGTCTCATCTTCAGCTGGAGCAAGCTTGGTGCCGTCGGCCTCTATTCAAGGCTCTCGACCAATGTTCCACACAATGAAGTCTCGAGACGATGCCTGGCCAGGAGGTTTCCGTCAACCAACGATCATACTCTCCTGCATCCCTGCTGATCCCATTGATGACAACCCAGCTCCACACTTCACTTTACCAGAGCAGTGGCTCAAGAGCCCAACGGGAGGCGTGGTGATGGAGCTCGCCTACAGAACGCTCAACACGCCCTTGATGATTCAGATTCGGGAAGAGCCTTCAAGACTATGGACGTTCATGGACGGACTGGATTGGCTACCGGAGCAGGCATTCGCACAGTTTGAACTGTTCACAGGGAAACGAGCGCCGCGTCGAATCATGCGAGAAGTAGTTTTGCAGGCTTGGAGGGATGAGCACGGCAATGCTGATCCCGAGATGGTGGAGAGGAGGATGAAAGCTATTGATGACCAGGAACCTTGAAAAGGGATGATATCACGAATGAATGCACCTGCAACGAACACGTAGACAAGGATCTGAAATTTGCGCAAGCTGTGTTTGCCTGTGCTGTTATTGATAAGTGGATGTTGGAATGTCAGAGCGCGCGCCTATCGCATCGCTGCGCTGATAGTGGCCGTTGGCTAGGTTGACGGGCGGTCAGCAGTGAAAGTCGCGACACGACGCGTCTAGCCGAAGACATTCACGCGCTGGCTTGTGCAATACACTTGGCATCTGCATGCTCACACGCCGACATAGACACGACAGCGCGTCTGAGGGGATTTCGAAATACTATGTATCCTGGCTACCGCTCAATTGCAAGCCAATGAGTTCGCGCCGGCCCCTCCAACCCATCCCCGCGCCGCCGGTAAACGTCTGGAGCACGCGCTACGCCTGCATCACGACGACGACGACGACCAAGGCCGCAGATGGGACTCACGACATGGCAGATCACGTGCTGGACGATATGCAAGAATCCGGATCGATAGGCTCAGGTCTAACGTCGCTCTCGGGCGACGACGACTTCGAGCGGCGGCTCATCCAGAATGCGCGCGACGAACGACGACTGAGGGACGCGCGCAACGACAGAGCGCAGCCCTTCCGGAAGGCGCGCACGCATCCCCGTGTTGGCCTGACTATCGACAACCTCGAGCGCAACGAAGCACAGAACGACAATACGTCTGCGGCCACCGCGCGCGTTGCGATCAAGAGCCCACCCAGCAGCAGCGGCTCGATGCGCTCCGGCCCGCCTGTGCACGCGCCTGCAAGCTGGGGGAGGAAAGGACGGACGGATCCGGCATGGCTGAGGAACATGAGGCGCGACGAGCAGCAGCCACAGCAGACGGCCGCGCCGCCCGAGGACACGATGGCCGGGCAGCATGACAACGGGCCACTCGACGACGGGCCACCGAGTCCTCTGTCGCACAAGGGCCCCAACCCGGGCAACCCAGGTACACAGCGCCATGACGTCTCGGGCGAGTGGGACCTCACATTCGACATGAACGAAGCCTCGATGCTTGTGTCGACACCGTACGTCCCGCGAAACACCATGCTGGACGACATCCGCGAGCGCGAGATGGAGAGCCTGCACGAACAGGGCGCCACTGCTGCGCGCCTGGACAGAATCTGGGAGTCTTCGGCAGAGGAGAAGCGCCGGCCCGCTGTCAGCGCAAACACAGCACGTGCCGAGGCGCAATCGCAGGATCAGGGCTCGCCCACCCAGCGGCTGCGCACGAGAACAAACTCGTGGCAATCGCTGAGCAGGTCGCAGCCAGAGCTTGGGAAAGAGAACTCGCCCATCGCCGTCTATAGGAAGAGCATGGAGACCGTGGGCGTGGTCGACGGTGACGTCGTGGCGAGCGCCGACAGACGGACTCCCAGGCCCTTCAGCAATCGACGAACAGACTCACAGGATCTCCTGCGCCGGCTCGCACGAGCATCAAACACGCCAAGCCCCAAGGAAACGCGGCCAGCACGCCCGCAAACCGACCCAGCTCCGCAGCAGCACAGCTCGTCACAGACCGCCATACCCGAGACCTCGTACACAAAACCAGGAGCGAAGGACGAGCCGGTAAAGGCAATGCCTGCGGAAGACACGGCCAAAGTGTCCAATTCGACGCCACAGGAGCAAGCACCGCGCGAACACCGCCATGACACACCGCACGATGGAACCACACCAGATGTGCCATCTTCAGCACCCACAACGGGAGAAGTCGAAGCAACACCCCTGCCGGTGGAGCGGTCGTTACCCCAACCCAAGACCCCCTATGTAGTAGGCGGGTGGCTCGATACTCCTGGCCCTCGCACCTCCCACAGACCAGCGGAGTCTCACCGTGAGCCATCACAGTCATCCGAGAAGGGCACAAGCAAGAGTCGCTCGCTCGAACAGTTGACAGTACCTAAGGAAGCCCATCAGCCGGTAGATGACGTTCAAGGACCTGCCCAGTCCTCACCGCCTCGCCCTCAGCTTCCTGACTCGGCCTTACACGCTCTTGTGCAAGAAGCTAGGGCCAACCACGACTACGGCGATGATACCCTACACTCCCTTGAAGATCTCATGACTCCTCGTGCCGAGAACGAGACAGAAGAGGATACATTGCAAGGTCTGCCACTTCCTACAAGTGCACCTCGCAGCGAGGCGGAGCGTCTACGCCACGCTGAAATCGTGGACTTGCATCGCCTCAATCAACACCTACGAGCCACAAGAACAGGTATACGCGACATCAGCCGCGGAATGAGAAGAGTCGGAACAACGGTCGAGCACACTCAAGTCGATGGGACGAGCGAGAAGCTACCCGTCCTTGTTCGCGACCTGGGCCACGATTTCTCGCCTTGGACATGGTTTCGCAGCTTCTTCTGGGATGAGCGCCTGAAGACGCAGCGACGATACAAAAACGCTCATCTCAAGATGTGGGGCGGTGTCACATTATTTGGCATCTCGCTGACACTATCCTTCATCTGGTGGGCGAGCGAAACTGTCGCCTGGTACGTCCTTTCTCTTCCGATCTTTATTCTGCTATCTCTGGACTAGAGTCAGTCAGTTCACCTCTTCGTACATCAGCCACCTTCCAATTTGGGCTGCGCTAATCACAATAACAGCGAGATGTTCTGCCACCCTGAATACGCGCGCTACTCACCCTATCCTTTCGCAGTCAATATGGATGCACCTAAGCGTGGAATCGTGATCCCGACGCTTGTATATCGCGCGTTGTTTGAAAGCTGGCCGACACATATTGTTTCACCTCTCGCATTTTTGCTATCGTGGCTATGGACCTCAATATGGACTCTCGCTTCTGGGGTCAAGATCACTGGCTTGAGCCAGCCATCGCATGTGGCTGTTTACAATGGCGGACCTGCAATGGCTGTACATACACAGGCATCTTGGAAAGTACAAGAAGAGGTCTACGAAGAGAACAGCCGGGATTGGAGTATGGCAGAAGACGAAGTCCTGCGGCGGTGAAGCCGGGCATTGTTTGTATCGTTTGGTTCCTTGTTGATACGGGTTAGCATAGTATTGTTTCAGCGCGGCGTTGGCGTTGGCGTCTGTTGTTCTTGATGGCTACAGTGGCGTGGCTCTTGGTCTTGGAGCACTGACATGCATCAGGATATTCTCACGTAGCGATCAAATTTGTGTTTGCGTAAGAGAAAAGCTCTTACCACTTCACCCCCTTCAGTCTATCAGGTGGCCTGAGGTTTTACTCATTGATTTACTTAGCCTCTCACAGCACGCGCAAGCAAGGTGTGTACCAAGCGGCACCTCACAATACTATACTAACAACCTCTATAGTCGGCGGTCTTCGCTGTCTTTTCGCATCTGCTTCGGCAAGGCGTTTGCCAGCGATCGTAGCCTCACCAAGTAAAAGGCCAGTACCAACAGGCCTGCGCAGTAGCCCTCATTGTGAAGGGGCTACAAGCGTCAACTGTCAAGCAGCGGAAACTCTACTGTGTGCTGCTTTGGACACTGTGTCCGCCCACAATGCCTTTGTTCTTGGCGTCATTGCTTGTGGACGTGCCTTCCAGTCATGACCACCCGCCTCGTGGCTGTCTTGCTTGCCTCCCGCATATGGCAGGACCCACTAACAACACTTCGGTACGTTCTTTCTGAGACGATACTACACCACCAACTCCTCATCCATATTCACAATACCACTACTTACGACATACAGCGCTGCAGATGCCCCAAATGCTCTCACTCACTTAGCTATAGCCTCGCTTCTTGCCTCAGTAAGCCTACATTGCTTGCATTCGCGGAGGCCCAAGGCAGGCTCCTGACTACAACACCGCAGGTACCGCTCACTTTCTTTCGCCAACGAGCGAAGCTACGAATCTCACCGTCACACTCACCGGTACGGCGAACTAGCGATCGCCAAGATAATAGCAACGAACAGGAACTCGTCCACGCCGGCACCATGGCACAACTCACACCCATCTCGTCTCGCAAACGTCCCTTGCCGGACGACGAAGCAAAACCACATGGCTCCAGCACATGCGAAATCGGATCTCGAAAGCGTCAGTGTGCTTCGTCATCGGGTACAGACTCACCGTCAGGCCTCCGTCTCTCGATACCCGGCGAAGATACTCCCTTGACCCCACCACTCAGCGCTGAAGGGGCGGCTACTATGAAATTGAGACTCATCATACCGCAACAAAAGACCGACCGCGAACATCAGAGGAAGATCAATAGGCGTAGAGCTGATGCAGAGCGCTGGAAGCCTAAGCTACAGCGTCCATATCCTAAGTCGGGCGAAATCAAGACCGCCTACCCACTCAAACTGATGCGACATTACCCTGATGCGAGCACATCCACCCAGCCAAACTTTGTCAGGCCGAGGATCGACGAGTCCGCTCGTGTGTCTCGTCTATTGCAGCAATTCCCTATCATGAACACCGAACACGCGGATGAGATTGGCTACGAGGAGCGTTCACCCAGTGCGGCTTCACCTGTTGATCAAGCAATACCATTAAGCACACGCAGGGAGAAGTTGAAGGAGACTCGATCCGCGCACGTGGGATTACAGGCGAACAAGCAGATTACCAGGAGCGAGGAAGTCCAGCGACTAGCATGGCAGTCGTTTTCACTACCTGAGAAGGGCCGCATTGACCGCGGGCGCGAGGCGATGATGCAGTCTGGCCTGATCACAGATGATCTGAATTTGGAGGCTGCCGGTGAGCGGAACCAGCTGCCTCAATGGAAGAAGCGTTGCACAGGACGCTTCGCTAAGGGGCATCAAGCAGCAGGGTAGAGACTCGCTGCTGAACGTGCTGCCGGGCAACTCTGTAGAATAGCCTTATGCCTCAGTGAGATGCGATTGAACTGATTAGTGTAGACTTTGGAATCTACTGATATTAAAACTATTCAAAGCATGGTCCCTGAAGATTCCGTTATTGCCTGCGCCTTATGTATTACGTTTGGCCCCGAGATGTCAAATCGAAGTTTGCCTACGTCCACCCACACTTTCTCTTCATGGACTGTCCAGCTACATATCAATGATGATCAGAGTCCGTATTATTTAGCTTTTGGCACGAACCAAGGATTGCCAATTGCGGAAAGGCTGAAGACTTCCACGATTAGGGATGGAAGTCAAAAGCAGCGTGGCACGAGCGGAGGTCGAAAGATGGCTTTGACCGTTGAAGGTAATGGGAAATGGGTATCATGATTTGTCTACCTCCAGGTTTCCACCAGTCGGCTTCGTAGCAGCCGTAGCATCCACCTGTGCACTTGCAACCGGCTCGCTGGTAGGCTTGTTACACGCGGTCCCTTGCATCTTTTCAAACTCCCAGACGATCTTGTCTGCGACCCGCTGCAGTGACCTCCCGTCCTCCAAGTCCATCCTCCAGCGATCCTTCTCTCCCTTGGTGTAGCCAGGATGTGCGATGCTTGCCTCGAAGCTCCTGATCTCAGCGTCTAAGGCCGCTTGTGTGCGTTCAAGCTCCTGAATCGAGAGCTCTGGGTTGTGTACCTCAAAACTGTGCGTCGACTGTGGCAGCCACGCATCGACCGAGCCAGTCGCAGATTCAGGTGAGTCTACAATGGCCTTGTGCTGCAGCGACATGCGCCAGTTGATGAGTCTTGACTGCAGTATTTCGGCTGCGCTGCGCAACTTGTTGTATGTGATCTGCAAAAGCTGTAATTCCTCCAGACGCTGCCGTCGCCTTTCATCGTCTGACTCGTGCAGATGGCAGTACTCGTATTGCCTGTGCGCGCTGACAAACAATATGAACTCGGCCTCCTTGAGCAACGCCGCGATCTCCGCTTCGTGCTCTTCTATCTTGGCGCGCGTGGCCTCGACGCTGATGTACTTGAGATCCTCGGCATAGTCGAACGGGGGCACGTAGTACGGTTGGTCTTGGTGCGTAGGGGTGGAATCGGGGCCGTTCGTAGCAGTGTTCGAATCCGGGAGGTCGGAAGAATCGGGATCAAGACCGTCTGCGTGCTCGAAAGCAGACGATGGGAGCTGCTGTGCATACCACAAGGCGTTGTGACGGATGTACAGCTGGACCAGAGGGTTGAAGCTCGACATCGACTGCTTGGCCCAGAACAGACGCCAGAACTCGAGTGAGCGTCTCTGGAGTCGCCGTTCGAGGCTCCGGTAGGCCTTCTGCCGTTCGCCGGTGAAGTGCAGATGCGCATGCGCACCCAATATACCAGCACAAGCTCCTATGTTGGCCAGGCCCAGGCACCGTGTCCAGCGTGGTGCTGCCAAGCGGCGCATCAAGAGGGCAGGCACAGAAGCCGCGAGCCCCAAGCCTGCGCCGACCAGACAGCCATCGTCCACCGTCAACTCGCGCGTCCTTTCGTACAGCGTCCACGGCTTGACCTCACCGCTCGTGTCTGACAGCACGACCGACTTGAACCGCGAGTCGTAGTACCAATTGGCCGCAGCACCTACTGCGCCGGCGCACAAAGCCAGCTTCGCCGAAGAGCGTAAGAACAGCGCGGTCCGGGGCAGCACATGACCTGCAGATGCTCCGTGGTCGTATCGTGTGGCGATAGACGTGTATGCGGCGGCGGCGGCAGTCGAGCCGAGGACTGCCCACTGCAACGTCGCATTGGCACCGAGGCACTCTGGTCTCCGAGGGACAATCCGGTACTGTCCTTCGCCTGTGCTCGGTCAGCTATTCTGTGTGGGAGGCACCTGGGGCTCGAGGCGGACCCGAAGGCACGAAAAGACGGAAGCCCATCTTTGACGAGTGGCAGCCGCACTGTTGCAAATGCGTCAAGATGGCTCCAGCACCTCATATGAATGCGCTGCGCAGGACTCAGAGAGGGGAAGCACGTTGCACGGGGGCAGAAGGAAGGCGATGCCCATTCATTGTGGGCGCGGCATGGCAGGCAGGAGTCTGGGTGCGGGTAAGGCTGAGGCTGAGGGTGTGAGGCTGACGAATTGATGTAACACTAGCGGGCCATTTCGGGCCATCAGGGCGTAGGCCACCTGCTACACAGGAAGCCGAGGACTTGAGTGGGCACACATGATCAGAGCGCGTGAGGAATCGTGTCCAACGTGACAGCTGCCGAGTGTGGAAGGAGCTGCAGGGTGGGTAATTCTTAGTTACGCACGTGAGCCTGGAGACAGCAACCCTCGAACACGCATTCTCACCAATCATGCATTGTGAGACTGTGTGTATTGATTCATTTGATTGACAAAGCCTACATGTCTGTAGCAGCTGCTGATGTGCATGTGCTAGACTGCCCCAACACAATCCGCTGATATTTGCTAATCCTGTACAAATGAGGACGCCTCGAAGCCTGATGCAATATTCCCTGAACGCCATCGCTAATCGACAGTACAAATTGCCTGTACTCGCTTTTTGGACAGAGGAAACTACTAATACAGCCGTGGCTCTAGTAATGAAAGGATCGAGGCCCAGCGCACTGCTATCTCTTGTGCACCACAATCTTCGCGTCTTCCGTGCGGAGGAACTCGAATACGCCCCGGTTCAGCCGATCGAGACCCTCCTTGAACATGTATTCCGTGTTCTCTGTATTGCCCACGACTGTGAAGGTTCTACAGAGCAAGTCCTCGGGGCTGACGCCATCTAAAGAACTCATGTTCTTCCACTTCAATCGTATGATTCGCAGATCGTTCATGGCCAGCAGTCGATCCATAAGGCCAGCGGCGCCAACTCCAGGGTGAGCGAGCAGCGAGTGGCGAAGGCTGGCTATTACCTGCCTCTCATGTATCCAGGCTGCCAGAATGCGAGAACAGATATCGTAATGCGGACCTAGTTCGGCGCGGAACAGAGCTTCTCCGAGGTACCAGAGATTTTGGATCCGACTGATGACAAGTCCTTCGTCTGGTGGCGACCTCGAGTTCGGAAACAGATACTGAACAACACAAGCCAGCACCTCACACTGGAGCAAACGCAGGTCGTTGATAGGGACGAGAGGCCTAGGATGGTGTTGAAGAGGAATTTCAACATGCTGGCTTTTCAGCACTGGTTGCGGGGGTTGCACGGGAGCTGGACCGGGCACGGGAGGCTGCACGACTTGGGATTGGCCAGTCGGAACTACTGCAGGAACGATCCGCACACCATGGATGGGTGTGTGTAGCTCCGTAGGTGCGGGTGCAGGCGCTATCTGCTGAGTGAGCTGCTTGACCGCCTGGGCATTTGTGTCCTGCATGAACGGGGTATTGGATCTGCTGCGAGGTTGAGGAGCGATGGAGCGGCTGATGTGATGGCTGCCGGGTGTGTGGGTACGGCTTGGAAGCGAAACTGGCCCTTGATGCTGGTGCAGTGGAACATGGGATTTGGTGGGTGTGGGGTTGGGCGTCTCGCTCTCAGGACAGATCTTGACTTGCGTGGCTTGGCTGCGTGGCGAGCTCTGCGGCTGAGGATGCAGTTGTGTAGCGGTATGAGGTCCGAACATGCTCTGTGGGGGTGCTTGAGCTATCGATGATTCTCGACTGGCAGCACCGTTCGTAGGCCTAGGTGAGCTCACAGCATGAGAGCCAGGACCTGGAGCTGGCGGTTCGGTCGAATGTACTGAACGAGGGTCTGCCTGCGCTGGTGTTTTGTTCGCAATCCGAGACGCTGTATCGTAGGGACTTGTATACGCGCGAGGCTCTGCGCGAGGCTCTGTACGGGTCTGCGTCGGCGAGGTCATCTTTGAATCGAGTGATGGTGCTCGTGAAGGTGCCTGCAGCGGTTCATTCGAGGAGTCCCTGACTGGCGGAGGAGGCCCGGCAGTGCTAACCGCGGTGAAGCTGCCCGTGTTGACAGCCGTAAACCCTCCAGCAGGGACCGGTGCAGCTGCAGGGGGTCCAGAGATGCCATTCACATCGTTACTTGACATTGGGCTCAGCTGAACGCGAGCAGATTCAGGGCCAGCATTCGGGGTCGGCGAGAGATGATGGTTCTGATCAAAAGGTCGCACTGGAAAATGAGGCAGGTTCTCGGTGCTGCCAGGGCTTGAACCACTTAGACCTTTCAGTGACTTCCTAGGGCTCGCACTCCTAGTTCCTGCTGGCATGGAGTTGTAGGGTCGCTTAGCAGACAAGGGAAGATTTTCTTCACCATCTGACATTGACCCTACACCTAGATAGGCAGAGCTTTTGCGTTTCTTGAGATGAGGGACGTGTCTAACGTCGAGGTCAGCTCTGGCGGATGTGTTAGGTTGAGGCGGCGAAAGTGATAGTGGCGTTCCATGTCGTGACTGTAGCCGCGTAAGCATCCACACAACCTTAACTTGCCCGAAGCAGGTGACCTTGGACTGATGCTGCACTTACACCTTCGCCCTCCAGGTCAGCCAGGGCTTCGTAGTCGTTAGCGCCGAATGGCCTCTTAAGCTTCATGTTCCTAATATAGTAGCATGCCTTGATGATGAACCATCGATGCAAGTGAATCTTGAGTCTGCATGCATCAGCAAAATGGCGTCGCATCGTGAATCCAGATGCATGCTCACATTTCCCTGTGTTCTGCATCCTCGTAGAACAAATCTTTGTTGTAGGTCTTCTTGGTTGGATCGGGGGTGAGGAGACAGCTGCGATCGGCATCCCTGCCCCAGATAGCGGGTCCGTAAGTACCGAGCAGCTCCTCCAGCTCGGCGTCTAAGCTGTGCGGATCTGCAGCGAAATCGAGCAAGAGATCTCTCTCCTTCGGCAATTCTTTTGACAGCTTTGTGACTTCACTCGAGATTTTGCGATAGTCCGGATTGTCGAATTTGGGAATCCCGCGGTTCGTCGTCGAGCTGGATGCGGATAAGCCCAACCCCAAGCATTCAGTCACCTCCCGAATGGTAGGCGAGTGGCTGCTGAAGACGCTGATCCATCGTTGCCTATCCCATCGTCGCACGCCGTGCTCCAGATCCAGGGCCAAATTGTCCTTCGAGCTCATGATGAGGCATGTCCCAGTGGGTGGTAAAATGGTGACGATGAAAAGTAATGGGGAGATGGCGCACACCAAACGTGGACGCGTTGGCGTGAGACTCGGGTAACGTAAAGGAGAGTTTTACTAGCTAGCGTAAACGTTCCGCTAGTCGGGTTGCCTTTGCTTTTCGCAACAACAAAGTTCGGGTTCTTGCTGTCTCAGACACCGGGTCGTACAATCTCCGAATATACACTGCGCGGAGCACGTCAAGAGTTGCTGATGACAGATGGAAGTCGTGGTCACAAGTGTCAAGCAGGCCTGGTAGCAGGAAGGAAGAGATCACCCAGGAAGCGAGCGAGTCCTGGCCGATGCCATAGAGTACGCGTCCCCACGGTATGACTCGCCGCCACCCCTTGGGTAATCATACTACCACTCCTTTTCCATTGGGCCGGGAATTGCGGGCTACTGCGCCCTTGCTTCTGGTGTACGACGCTTGTGGTTGTTTAGCATAACAGCAAATAAATCAGCTACCGTACAATCGTGTCCATACGTGTACGGGTTATGCTAGCTTGGGCCAAAATTTCCGAATGACGTTCCAGGGTAAGCAATGGTCGCCTCTGTATCAACGAATAGGCATAGCTGCCATGCTTTCGTCAAGCACAAATGCGTCTATGACGCCGTCGTATCGTTTTTGGGTTCTTACTCGCGTATGGTCCAGGGCCTGCTCGTCGGTGTAACATCGGAATAAGGCTATCCGATCGATTCGCTATTGTACAATGTAAGAGCCGGAACGTGCCGCTACCTCTCTTACTCTTCACTTACCCTGTGCAGGGTGTGAGTTGAGGCGACGCACATCTCACATGTATTGATTGTGGCAATCCCTGTCTGTGCGCTCGGGACGTGTGTACTTTCAATGCGACACATAAAATAACGATTTAGGCATGATTGTATGCGACGTACGACGTCCGCCCTCGGCAATACTACGCCTAGCGAACATAATGTCACCCCGCCTGCTCGCCAACATACCCCGAGCTTGACGTACACCTAAGACTTTCCCTAAAGCGTACATGAGTAGCGTCGCGTCCCTTGCCATGCGCTGCGAAGGGTTTTCCAACGGCCTGCCGCACGAGCTCTAGCGCAATCCTACACAATCCCAGAACATAATGAAATACCCTGAAACATGTATGGCCGATTACCCGAATCCGATAGTGCTGGCTCATTGGATCGACAAGTGCCCTGAACGCTGCAGCCTAAAACAGTAACATGTACATGAATATTCTTAGAGGCAGTCTGTGCCCCGGCAGTGCACTACGCAACATACCACAGAGTACCCCTTCCTTCTTCCTCTTCGGTTCTGCGAAAGGGCTCGAGACTTTCTCCTAGCCAGCTGATGACTCTTGTGAACTCAATTGGATTCCACCGCATCTCCACCGCATATTTCTCGCCAGCGAGGACCACAAAAGCTTGGCGCAACAGCTCATCTCTGTCAACTACGAGTCCATGGCCAAGACCGAAGCCTTGCCCGACATCGTCGAAATTAGCGATGATGGTTTGTGTGGCGCCCATAAGCGTTCTGTGTTGTTGGATACGTCTCTCAATCTCGGGCGCGCTTTGGCCCTCGGAGTTCCAACCTATCGATTGGTCAGTATTGAGATGACCGGGTCTTGAAACTCGATAACTATTGGCAAGTGTAATATCGAGACAAACTTACGTCTGTCTGCACGGTCGAGCGCTGCAAGATGTCGTCTAAGCTCTATCCACGTAAGGATGGCTCGCTCCCTAGCGATGAAGACCGGAATGTTTTGGATCATCTTATCAGAGTCGGCTCGCACACTTTCTCTCCAAGTTCTCTCTAGCCGGTTGAGAAGTGCTTCCTCGTCCCATTGCACGCTGCATTCTTCGTTGTAGATGAGCGCTCGGAGCGCTCTCAAAGTGTCGTAGTCTAGTCCCGGATACGGTACACTGGCGTTACGTTGGGGTACATCCTCAGTGGCCGCGTCATCAGAGCGGAAACTCGCGACAAGCTTGGCAACTTCGACGCTTATCTGTTTGTCGACAACTGCTTGATTTGCTTGCGCAATTTGCTGTTGCACAGCAATCTTACTGTCTGCCAATTGCGGTGGGGTCGCATTTGCAGCAGCCCAGTATGCATTTGCCTGATGAGAGCTGCCACTTTCTCTTGCTGCAAGTCTTTCCCACACGCCGTTGACGACTTTCGCGGGCTGCTGTTCATTTGGGGTCGACGATCTTGAGATGCCGCTCTCACCTGTTGCACCACCGTTGACAGGTACAGAACCGGGGCCCTCACGAGGGCCTGCAACCGGACTGCCACCTGCTTCTGGAGGTGTCAGCATTGCAGTGGTGGATATGGGGCTTCCACGTGACCCTGTCTCACTTTGGAACACGGAATTTGGTGCGAGGGCGACGAACGACGCGGGCGTACTGCTCTCGCCAGTCGCATTCTGTCCGTTGACTTCAGCTTCAGCTCTGGCTTTCCGACTGTCTTCCTTCTTCTTTCGTTCGCGATCAAGACGTTCACGTGCCAGGATGACATTGCATGCCTTGAGTCCAATCCACCAATGTAAAAGCTTGTGTATGCTGCATAGAATGTGTCAGCGGTGAGCTATCTTCACTGTTAAAGTCCCGGTATTGCCTACAGTGACTTGTCTTCTTCGCTGTCAACGTAAAGGTCTCTTGGGTAGAGGCTCTCTTCCACGCCAGGCTCATTCGCGGTGATCAGATGTTCTCGGTCACCGACGCGACCCCAAATCCTGCTCCCATGCTTGTCCAGAAGCGCATCTACCTCGAATCTCAGGCTATGCTCCTCGCTCAGACACTTCATGAGATCATCCGACTCTTTAGGCAGGGTATTCACGATGTCCGCCATGTCCTGCACCAATTCCCGGACTAACGCGGACTCAAAGTTGGTCTTGCCTCGCTTGTTGGACGACCACTTTGCTCTAAGACCGAGGCGCTCAATGAGCTCGTGCATTCGCACCTTACTTCTATTCTTCATGATGTCGACCCAGTCTTTCGACGTAGCGTATGTGATCGCGGAGCTGTCCATGGCGGCTGCTTGCTTCCGGACTTGCCCGTGTCGCTTGTTTCAGGAAGTTGTGAATATGCTGGTATTGCTATGTTATGGATGTCGTGAAAGGTATCGCAAATTGTTGCCATGGATAGAAAGGTGAAAGACATGAGTGGTCTGCTGACTTTGCCGGCATCTAATCGTCGGCAGTTAATCTTTAGGCCGCAGGAACATCCAAACGAAGAGGTAAGAGAGTACGTATGTTGTAGAAGTGACGATGGCCAAGGGCACAGCCCTATTGACCCAGAGATGCAAACACTCAATTGATGAGTTTAGAAAGAAGGCGGTAACTCTGGATGGTGTTGTATTGGAAAGGTTCGCGTACGAGACCCTAGAAATGGAAGCGGTATCGGTGGCAAAATCTCTCATTGGCTCAAGGCCAAATGCGCCTTACACAAATCTCGTCAAAGCTTGTCGCCGCGCAATTGCCTCACGCTTGCCCACCAATTTAGTGTCTCCGCATCCGCCCTTGCAGCTTGCGTGCATGAATTTATGTACATTGTACAAGTTGGCCGACCCCTGAGTCTCAGGCCTCACAAGCTCACCCTCGCTACGACCGAGGGTAAGTATCGCTGTATAACCACGCCCATGTGTTCGGCCTATGCTGGTATTCGGTTATCAAAACTCACTCAACGTCCTGAAATGGACTTTCAAAACTTGGTGTCCCACTGTCGGTGCATAGTGGGGCCACCAGTGTCGAGGACGAATAAGCTGGTTATCTGCCACAACAAAGGCCGGAAATGAGTCGTCATGACTTTTCAGCTATGTACAAACATCGTAGCCATGGAGCGTTGAGAAACCTTCAGCTAATCACCTTTACACAACCCTGATCGCTGTGCAGGAACCACACCTCAAGATCTGGTTATCCAACGTCTCGGAGGTTCAAGAGCCCAGGACGACTCAGACCTTGGGCTCATGGGAAACGTTCTCGATCTGACCGGGACCCTTGCTGTGGTTGGGCTTGACATTTCCAGCTTCGATGTCGCGTTGAAGTTGATCAAGGCGCGACTCGATCTTGCCAGCTTTCCAGGGAGGAATACCGCTGTCAAACACAGAGTCCATCTCCTCGAGCGTCTTCCCTTTGGTCTCAGGTGCCGCCAAGAACATGTGAATGAGGGCAAGACCGTTAAATGTGGCAAAAATCTAAATATCTGGTCAGCTTCCTCTCTTCATCTGGCGTCGTGTGGGTGGTATTCACCATATACATCTTCCAGTTGATGCTCCAGAGAAGAGGAGGGACGGCGAAAGCCAGAATACAGTTCCATGTCCAGTTCGCGGCAGTAGCGAGAGACACGGCCTTCGCACGAACTTTGGCGGGAAAGATCTCAGACTAAGAATTGGGTCAGCTTATCATTATCCATATCAAAATGCTGCTAGAGACTCACAGGATACGTCCATGACGTGGGTCCCCAGGTTGTGGCGAACGAAGCGACAAAGAGATAAGAACAGGCGACAATGGCCTTGGAGACGCCGGGATGCTCTTGTGGCACAATCCACGAGATGTCCCTGTCGCTCTCGTTTGGGTTAGGAACACCGTAGGAGGCCTGAAGGGCGCCAGTGGTAAACAGCCAGGTCATCATCAAGAAGCTACCGACCAGGAGCGCAGGACGACGGCCGAACTTGTCTAGGTAAAGGATAGCGGGCAAAGTCATCACGACGTTGATGATGTACTGGATGGATGAGGTGAGGAGCTCATCCGCAATACCAGCACCACGCATGATGAATACAATGTAGTACATCTGCGATGTCGTTAGTGTTTCGTGGCTGGGAAAGATCTGCAAAGAACTTACCATGATATTCATACCACACAGCTGCGACCACATCTGAATGGACATGCCGAGAATGACACGCTTGAGGATGCGGGGCTTAACAAGAGCAGCGAAGCTAGTTTCAGCCTCCTCACGCTCGAAGCGAAGAGCTTCCTCGATTTCCTGGTACTCGGCGAGGACCTTTGGGTGATTCTTATCGCCGTTGCCGTGGAGATGGGCAAGAACGGTGAGAGCCTCCTCCCAGCGATCCTTCGAGGCAAGCCAGCGCGGCGATTTAGGGAAGAAGAATAGGCCAAGGAAGAGAATGGCACCGGGAACCGCCTGAATACCCCAAGGAATACGGAAGGCGGCGGTACCCTGTAACTCATTGTCGACGCCACCGTCGTAGAATGAAGAGCCATACTGGATGAAGTACTGGATCAGGATACCCCATGTGATAGCCCACTGCTGGAGGGAGACGACGCGACCACGGATCTCCTTGGGCGCGATCTCACTCTGGTAGACGGGAACGATGGCAGAGCAGATACCGACGGCAAATCCACCGACGACACGGCCGACACACAGGAGAGCAACACCGTTGGCGGAGGCCTGCAGGATGGCGCCAATGCACCAAATAATCGCAGCGATCTGTATAGCGGTCCTACGCGACAGGCGGTCGGCAAGAAAAGAAGAGCAGAGAGCACCGAAGAGGGAGCCAGCGGGCATGGAAGCAGTCTATCTGGCGTTAGTGGACGATCGATGCGTCCAAGACGATTTGCTTACAATACCGCCTTGACTGGTGCCGGCAGGACGTCCAAAATAATTCCTGTATGCAGGAGTTCCTAGCACGCCGGACATGGAAGAGATGTCGAAACCGAAAAGCCCACCGCCAATTGCGGCGAAGCCACAAATGGCGTAGACATTGTAGAAGGTCTTCATCCTGCCAGACAGTGGAATGGCTTGGGTGGGAAGACGGGAGATCTGATGCGGTTACTCAAGGTGGGGTTGCGTGATGCTTTATAGAGGGAGAGGACCTGCCACAGGCGTGATTCCACCGGGTTGGATGCGTTCACTCTTGTTCCAGTCGCCGTTGAGCCCAGTAGCACCTTCACCATACCCCTGCAAAGAGGCGCTGTGCCCAGGCTGCAGCCCCCGCAACAAGCGTTTGTGCATGCGAGAACCGGTCCACTGATCCTAGAGTAGTGCAAGGAAAAAAGTCCAATGATCATCGTCTGGCTGGGACAATTTTAACGTCGTCCGGGGCAGTGGTTCCACGATTGCTTCGAAGCGCGAAGCAGTCAATATGACGGGCAACTAACTGAGCGAGGCAGTCTATGGTAGGGCAGATCGTTATACGGTCTCATACATCCGACACGGCTGGATCAGAGGATTTCTCAGTGGATGTGGCCAACCGCAAGGCGCTCCGTCAGATTAACCGCAGCTGCCACATGACGCGAGAGTCAGGTCGCCCGCGAGAGCGAAGGAGAAGATTGGCACAGCCAACAACAATCATGTCCCAAAGCTGTGCGCAGGAGCGTATCATCCGTCTGGGCACTCGGCGTTGACCAAGCTTTGATCCCTGCGCGCCAAATTGATCGAATGCCCTGAGAGTCTTGATGCAGGGTGGAAGTGATGGCAAGTCGCGACCCCGCTCGTAAGGCCTCTACTGCTCAGTCGCCGCCCTGGAGTAGTATCACCGGGGCATGTGGTGGCGCGAGATGAAGAGGTTTGGTGTTACTCTCTGCTCGCTTGCGGTTGGACGTCCCAGACGTTGAATGAGGTTGCGATCATGGCGGGAGGCGTTTGGCTACGCGGAATCGGTCTTGGGCGGATGCGGTTAGCTGGCTTCCACGTACGAACGTCCCGAGCTCTCGGCGCATCGCGCTGCTGACCTCGCCCAGACACCAAGCTGTCGTGGCTTGCAAGCATTCAGGAATGAGGAAGCGCATCGAGTCCTTGTTGGGGAATGGCACCCTACGGCCGCGAAGAGGCATCAAGTACCTAGTTTCACGGCCATTGTTCCCGAGTTTCAGTACAACAGAGCAAGGGGCAAGCAGCTTGTACAAGAATGACGTCACCCGAGGAGCAGGTGGTCAGCCATGAATCGGTGGTTGTGAGGAGGACATGGAAGAAGGGTTGCACGCTAGCCGTCTAATACTAGTACACGATACCGTATGTACACCTACAAGAACTCGATTCCCACCCCGAAGCTCAGCCCCTTGCGGCCCTGCTCCTCCTTGCGCATGACCAGCGGCAGGCTGAAGTTGATCTCGAACCGCGCGAGAGGGTGCGCGTAGACCAGGCCGACACCGGCGGCGGCACTCGGCAGCTCCTCCTTCAGGTCTCGGAAGGCCTGCTTGAGGCTTTCTCGCGCGTCAGCGGCCAAGGTGCCGTCCTCTGACTTGGCGGGCTTGAGGGCGAGGAGACGCCCGCCGTTGATGAAGGCCTGGAGGCGCAGCGGTGTGTCCTTGCCGACACGCGGGACGGGGAGCAGCAGGCTGGCGCCTCCAGCCGCGAAGAGGTCGCCGCCGACAGCATCGGCGCCGTCGTGGGGGCCCAGCCCGCCGAGGCGGAAGCCGCGCACGCTGTTGGGCCCGCCGAGCTGGAAGCGGTCATTGATGGTGCTGGCGTTGCGGGCGAGCGGGTAGAGCAGGCCAGCGCGCAGGCCGGCGGTCAGGGTGATGCCGGTGGCGCCGACGGGCAGGGCGAGGTGCGACTCGGCCTCGGTCTTGAGGAACGAGACGTCGCCGGCGAGGGCGCCGAGGCCGGCAAGCTCGGCGACTGTCTTGAGCAGGTAGCCGCGCGAGGGCAGCAGCGGGTTGTCGCGGCGGTCGTTAGTCCAGGAGTGGGTGAGGCTGCTCTTGAACGAGTCGCCGGCGTCGGCGCGCACCGTGGGCGATGCGTGCGGGGCGAGGGCGGTGAGCTGGCGCCAGACGCCGGCGTAGGTCAGCGCGTGCTCGTGGCCGGCGGCCGAGCGCCACAGCAGGCGGGTGGTGGCGCCGCGCTGGCGCAGCTCATGGGCGGCCCAGGGCTTGAGCGCGGAGCTCGCGAAGCCGTGCAGCTGCCAGCGGAGGTCGGGGCGGCTAGCGACGGGCGTGTCGAAGGCCAGCGAGTAGGCGGAGCGGGTGCGCGTGCCCAGCGAGCCGTGGGCGTTGAGCGTCTCGGCGCCGCCGAACAGGTTGCGCAGCTCGGCGTGGACGTAGGCGTCGGCCTCGGAGGCGCCCGCCTCGGTGCCCGTCTTGACCGTGTAGCGGCCGCGCTCGTGGGCCGCCAAGTAGACGTCGACGTCCGTGGGCGACGAGTCGGCTGTCGCCGGGTCGGGCCGGTCAAGGAAGACGGCGACGGGCGCCTTGAAGATGCCGAAGCGGTCCAGCCTGTCGGCCGCGGCGCCGACGGCGGCCAGGGCGTCCTCGAGCGTGCAGCCGTCGGGGCCGCTGGCGCTCAGGACGGGGCCGACGGCGCGCTCGAGGAAGCCGCGGCGCGTACGGTGGGCGTGCAGGACGCGTACGGAGCGGATGGTCACGGGCAGCGACGCGTTATCCTGGACCAGCTCGGCGAGGCGGTCCTGCGAGCGGCGGTCCTGCGCGGACTGCCGCGAGCTGAGGGCGTCCTGCTGGCGCTGCAGCGCGGCCGCGTCCGTCTTGTGCTGCAGGCGGGCGAAGAGCTGCGGCGTGGTCAGTCATGCGGCGGCCGCAGAAAGTCGCGGGCGCGTACATGGTCTTCCATGGGCGACGCCATCGGAGCGGTTGCTAAGGGCAGCTGGGATCTGGGCCAAAAGTCTGGCAGCCAGTCGTGCTCTTAGTAAGCCAGTCGAGGAACTCGAGCTGATCTGAGCCGGTCGAGCTGCTCTTAGTAAGCCAATCGAGGTGCTCTGAGCCAGACGAGCTGCTCTGAGCCGGTCGAGCTGCTCTTACTAAGCCAGCCTCGAGCCACCCGCGAGCCAGCCTCACCAAGCCAGACTCAGCGAGCTGCTCTTACTAAGCCAGTCTTGCTCTTACTAAGCTAGCCTCACCGACCCACACAGCCACTCCCACCAAGCCACCCGCTCCCCTTTCACCAACCGTGGCACAGCGCAGTTTATTCAGCATTTGCCGCGACTTGGTTCCCTTCTCTGTACACCCTCCTCCCTCCACCCGTTTGCTTGATACCCTCTCGTTAACGTCACCACCGCCCACCCTCTCCTTCTCCATCCCATCCACCCCCCGCCATGGCCACGCCCGCAGCCACCAAGCGCCTCACCAAAGAGTACGCCGCCATGGCCAAGTCGCCGCCACCCTACATCGTCGCCCACCCCTCGGACAAGAACATCCTCGAGTGGCACTACATCCTGACCGGCCCGCCCGAGACGCCCTACGAGGGCGGCCAGTACTGGGGCACCCTCATGTTCCCGCCCGACTACCCCTTCGCCCCGCCCGCCATCCGCATGCACACGCCCTCGGGCCGCTTCCAGCCCAGCACCCGTCTATGCCTCAGCATCTCCGACTTCCACCCCAAGAGCTTCAACCCGGCCTGGGAGGTCAGCACCATCCTGACCGGCCTGCTGAGCTTCATGACCAGCGAGGAGATGACCACGGGCAGCGTGCGCGCCACCGACCACGAGCGCAAGCTGTTTGCCCGCCGCACCCGCTGGTGGAACACCACCGGCGGCGGCTCCATCCAGACTGCCCCGGCCACCACCGCCCGCGGCATCGGCGGCATCAAGGCGGGCGACGGCGGCGCCAAGTTCCGCCTCGAGTGGCCCGACGTCGACACCGAGAACCTCGCCTGGCTGAACGAGAAGAAGATCGACCTGGCTACGGGCCTGCCGCGCCCCGCACAGCAGCCTGCACAGCCACACTGCCCGCCTGAGGTCGCGGGCCTGCGGAGGAGGCCAAACGGCAGCGCATCGACTGTCGTGCAGGACGCCCAGATTGTGAGGGAAGCCGGCCAGGGATACCTGAGCAGGCATAAGTGGAAGATCATATTCGGCGCCATTCTGGCTTACATCTCGGTCGCACGCGTCCTGGGCGACGGCGCGGTAGCCACGGCCTCACAGGCGGTCTAGACGGCCCTGCACACCTCAAGATGGAAGCATTGCATGGACACGGCGTTTGATACTTGAGCAAGGACATGGCGTTTGATACTGGACCAAAGACACGGCGTTTGATACTGGAGCAGGGCACGGCATTGGATACTCTCTGGGAGCAAGGATATGGTGTACTCTCTGGGAGCAAGGATATGGTGTACTCTCTGGGAGCAAGGACATGGCGTTTGATACTTGGGAGCAATGTACACAACGTTGCATTACAAGGGTGCGATTTATGGTTCACGGTTCATGTTTCATCTATAAGATCCACTCTTTTTGCATCGAGTATCAATGGGTCATGAAAGAAAGTAAACCTGGCGCATGCAGTAGTGTGATTCTATAAGAGTCCGCACGCTCATTCACAAAACCCACAGCCAGCACCAATCATGACACTCTAGAGTCATCATCTCAAGCACAAAACCCACGACCAGCACCAGCAATGACACTCTAGAGTCATCATCTCTCCGCGCGAGCAAGCACATCATGACACTGAAGTCACCCTTCACATCTACTACTGCTTCTTGTTGAGCTTCTCGTGGATGCTCTCCTCGCTCGGCATCTGCGGCAGCGGCGTGAGCCACTTCCTCACGTTGTCGAAGCTCGACACCGCCTTGACAATCGAGATGAACGCCTTGGAGTTGTCCTTGTCCACCCGACCCTTGAACATGCCAATCAGAGACTGAATCCCCATGCCCTCGCCCGGGAGCGAATCATAAATCTCCCTGGCCGTCGGCAGCTTGGCCTGCCCACCTCCACCTCCTCCTCCAGGAGACATCGGTGCAGGACTGCCAGCCCGACTCGTGCTTGCAGATGCCGTCGGCGACCCGCTGCCCAGCACAACGTTGAGCTTGTTCTTCTTCTTCTTCTTGATCCGCGTCGACTCGTTGCCGCTGGCCTCGGACATCTCAGAGTTGGGGCGTTTCTTCGACTTGAGCTTGTCCACCGGCTTGTGAGACCCAGACGGAGTGCCTGACCCAACAGGCGTGTTGGTGCCTTTGCTCGACGTCCCAGACGGACCGTTGCCCGTCTCTGCAGCCTTCGCCTCGGCCGTCTTCTTCTCTTCCTCTTCCTTAGCACGCTGCCGCTCCGTTTCGCTATCCGTCTCCGACTCTTCAGACATGTCGCTTTCGGCGTAGTCGTAAAGCTTCCCACGCTTCACAAGCGTCTTCCTCAAGCCCTTCTCGAGTTCCTTGGCCATCTCCGACTCCATCTCCTCGCGCTCTGCCTCTGCCTGTATCCTCTTCTCATCGCGGTCCCAAAGCGACGCAGCTAGCTGGTCCCGCTTCAGCTTGTCAGCAGCTTCCTTGACGTCAACCTCGTCACCCTCAAACAGTCCGTTGAGGCCCTCCTCGTCGTCAGCAAAGTCTTCTTCCAAGTTGAAATCAATGTCGTCTGCGTCAGCCTCGCGTTTGACGTAGCCTTCGTCGTTGCGCACTGCACGAATGCGGCCTTCGTCATCTGCACCACCGCCCACTCGCGTGCTCATCATGTTTCGGCCTCGTAGCTGGTGTTCCTCCTTCTCTCGCGCCGCGACGCGCTGTTCGACGTTCCTGAGGAAGCCAGGCACGCGCTCAACCTTGAACATGACCTTGTCCGTGTCGTCGCCCGTGGGCTTCACCTTGCCTTTGACGTTGAACCTGTACCAGCGCTCGATGGGCGCCATCTGAATATGGCCTTGCGAGTTCTGTGACAGCATAACGTGCGTCTCGGAAAGCTCTGATTCGTATGTGCCAACCCACGTCTGCCTGTTCTCAAAATCTTCGAGATGCCACGGCAAAGTCTCCTCGTAGCGCAGCAGCTGGCGCTTCTTGGCCTCTGGTGTGTCGTCTGGCCGGTACTTCTGCTCCGTCTTCTTCTGAAAAGCCTGGGGCTTCGATTTGCCTGTCGGCGCAATCTTGGCCTGGTTCTCCTCTCGAATCTTGCGGCGCTCCTCTCGTTGCTGCTCGATCCTTTCACGCTCCTTAGTCTCCTCCAAATCTTCCTTTGTATCTTCCTCCTCAAAGTGAGAGCCTGCTCCACTGGGAGGCGCACGAGGATCGCGGCGGTGAAGGCGGATGGGCGTAGCGAACTGGTTCGGGTCCTGGACGTCGACGGGCGTCTTGTTCTGAAGTCGCATGACGTGGTGCCGCAGCTCGTTCAGATCGCGCCGGGTGACAACAAGAGGGAAGCTGGTTGCCCCGGCCTGTTGATACTCATGGCGGAGCGCAACCATCGACGTGATCCCGCCGGCAGCAGCGTCAGCGGGCTTGTTTGTCTCGTTCATCTGCGCTAGAGAGACGAGAGGGCGCGTAATCTTTGCAAGCGGTCGACGAGGCGCGCGCAGAGGGCCTTCTTTGGGACGTGGGCGTTTCTTCTTGGCGGGCTGCTGGCCATTTGCAGCTGCTGGCGGCGCTGTGGGTAGGGTGTTCATGATGATGAACGATTGTGTAGATGATATCTCCGAAAAAGAATGTAGTGGGCGGCCGAGGTGTCGTGGGTGATGGTGAAAGGCGGCAGTGTTGCAGTCTTTGTGCGAGACAAGGGCGATGGAGCTGAGCAGTGACGATGCAGCGCGCCTTCCAGCTTCCAGCGACTCTGGAGCCTGCGCTAGCGGATGCCCGGCTTGGCAAAGCACGACGGCGGCGAGTCGGCGCAATGACGCCCCAGACTTTCCACAGCTCCGATCACTCGTACATTCGACTGGAGATAACACCCAGCTTGGTCGCAAACACGTGCGCGCGAACATCAATTAGCACTCTTTAGCTGCGGCAGTGTAACAGCTGGCACCTGCGAGTCTGAATCACGACGACAACATTACCACCGCCACAGACTCTCAAGAACGTCGACACCAGAATCCCATCTTTGCGGCTTGAGCACGGACAATCAGGCCATCAGGCCCATGGACAAACCTGTCGACATTCTAACTCTCACGAAAACCGCACAATCCTGACCACAGGGAGAGAGGCAAGACTTCCACTGCTGCACTCGTTTAAAAGTCCGCCAAAACGAAATCTCCACAACGTCGACTGACCACTTTCCCCGCGAGCCAGCTAGTCAGCATGGATCAAATTCCTGCTAACACCAAGGACCTTGAGGCCCAGTTGCGTGGCATGATCTTGAGTAATGTCACCATGGGAGGCGAACAGAATCAACTTGACAATCAGCAACGTCAGCATCGCGGACGCGGTCGTGGACGCGGCGGCTTCTATCGTGGCTCAGGTCCGACTCTTCGTGGCGGTCATGCTCATCACAACAACACTGCAGGCGAACAGACCTACGCCATGAACATAGAATCTCCCTCTGCTCGTGGTGGCAGGCCTGGTAGCAACTACAACGGCATGGGTCCTCGCCACAATCACGCCTACGCGCAGCATCGAGATGATGCTCTTATCCCGCAGGCCCTACAGCGGCCACGAGGTGGGTTCAATCAGATAGGGCAAACAACTAGAGGCCATGGACCTCACCAGTATACTCGTCCTCAATATGCTCAAAATGGCTATCAACACAGACCCAGAATCGACTCAGCATCGCAGGTGCAATTCATGGAAAGCATCGTTGACCACGAGCTCCCGAAGGTTCGGATGACTGAAATCGAACTCTCAAAGCACAACACGTTCAGGAAAGGTCTCGAGGCCGTTTTCCAGCAGGCTTTCGCTGAGAACGGCGGTGAAGATCTGGATCACATCGAGGGCATCTCTCTGGTAGCATTCGGCAGTTTAGGCTCAGGCTTCGGCCTACCGGGATCTGACATGGATCTTGCCGTAGTTCCACAGTGGAAGGATCCCGCACGCGCTGACGAGACGGACATTGGTCCTAGAATTCCTCGTCTTCTCGAAAAGGCGGTGCTCGATGAAAAGATGGGCGGCCGTCTGCTCACACGCACGCGTGTTCCGATCCTGAAGGTATGCCAGACACCAACGGAAGCACTTTATACTTCTCTCAGCGACGAGCGCAAGAAGTGGGAAGCTCTACCCGAGGAAGAGAAATATCCTCGAACACCGCCGCCAATTGACCCAACAGTACCACTGACTACATCCGTTGATTTTGGAACGGAGAAGGCTTTGGAGGCTGTGGAACAACGGAACATCGCGAGCCCCAGACGGAGGTCTAGCGTTGCGGTAGGCGACGGCCAAACAGCAGCAGAAGCAATGGCAGAACCAACAGCGGACGAGGTTGTGCCAGTATCACCCGTTCCTGTGGAAGAACTACCTACCTTCTTGAAGACGACTGCAATTGATGCTGCGGCTGCCACAAAAATCACGCAAGAGAACCAAAATCGGCGAGAAAAGCAATGGCACCGTGAGAAGGTCTTAGGTCCGCTCGACTTTCCCAAGACCGGCGTCGGCATCCAGTGCGACATCAACTTCGCCAACCCTCTCGGTATCCATAACACGCACATGCTTCGTTGCTACTCTCTCACTGACTCTAGGGTTCAGCCCATGGTATTATTCGTTAAGTCGTGGGCGAAGCGGCGCAAGATTAACAGCGCCTACTCAGGGACTTTGTCTTCGTATGGCTGGGTGTTGATGGTTCTTCACTATCTTGTGAACGTTACTTCACCACCGGTTTGTCCCAATCTCCAACACCATCTGCCCCAAGCAATCGACATGACATCACTTGCTGAACGCTTCAAGGATGTAAAGAAGATCGGCGGCTATGATGTGAGATTCTGGCGCAATGAAGAGGAGATCATTCGAGCAGCACAGGAAGGACGACTGACTCAGAATCGTCAGCCTCTTGCATCACTCCTGTGTGGCTTCTTTCAATACTTTGCTTCACAGGGAGCCTATGGTCGTCAAAATAGTTTCCACTGGACGCAGGAGGTACTTTCCCTTCGTTCGCTCGGTGGCATTCTCAGCAAACAGGAGAAAGGCTGGGTCAGTGCTACTACCGTCGTCACTGCGGAGAAGAAGGTCACAAACCGATATCTTTTTGCAATCGAAGACCCATTCGAGATCGATCACAACGTCGCAAGAACTGTCACTCATCGCGGTATTGTCACGATCCGTGATGAGTTTCGTCGTGCCGGAAGGATTCTGGGTGCTGTTGGCAGGGGTATGGTACCTGAAGGCGGACTTTTTGACGAAGTCATCGAAGATACTCCAGCGCCAATAACGAAAGTCGAGCAGCCAGTCGAGTAACCTGCAACAAACGCATTTGATCACGACGAGTCGCGAAACGTGATAGGAGCCAGGTTGCAAGCGTTCAGCATCAGTGGAGATGTAATCACGAAAGGCGTATTTTCATGCGGCTTGTCGCAAATGTGTTGGACTATCGACCATGACTATGGACCTCTCTATTGCACAAGGCGGAGGGAAGATGGCGCTTTGGCGGAGTCACGTCACAAGTCATGTTGACAACAAAGCCGCGTCAAGACAAGTCGTATTGATGTCACCGCGACGATGTCTGCATCCGAAAGTTGCCGTTGCAACTACCGTAGCCTCAAAAGCCTCACGTTCGTTTCCAGATCCCGATCCCTGCAAGCCCAAATGGCGCTGTTTGCGCCGACGTATGAATGTCGGCTTTTCGTTATTGACCAATGAAGGAGCTCAACAAAGACCATCGCCCCACAGCTTGCATGCTAGCCACAGTAGTGGGTTCCCCGCAAAAGCTTAACCCGCGGATGGTTCGTACCTGAATGGGCCTAATGCCGTCAAGGAGGTCACAGAGCCGCTTAGGTCTGTGGGGAAATGACAATTGTTGCCCGAAACGCGCAAACAAGGTTGAGGTCTATCGTCCGAAACGAATGAGTACAAAAGTCAGGTTTGGCCGCAGTGTGGACGCTTCTCCCATCGTTCCCTTCACAGGCTACCTCGACCATGTTGAGCAAGACAGCATTGGCTTTCGGTCTGTACGCCAGCGTCGTAAGCTGTGCACCTGCATCTGCCACAGGCCCGACCGTGCACGTTAAAAATGGCACATACGAGGGTGTCTACTCGCTCGATTATAACCAGGACTACTTTCTCGGCGTCTCATATGCGCAGCCTCCAGTTGGCGACCTGAGGTTCAGGGTCCCGGCTCCCTTGAATCAGACCTGGGATGGTGCAAAGCCAGCTACGCAATACTCTAGCGCGGTATGTTTTTCAATTAGAACAGCGAGAAGATAGGGCACTTACAATGCATAGTGCTATGGTTATGGATCTGATCAGTGGGGCTACCCAGTCTCCGAGGATTGTCTCTACCTTAATGTCGTCCGTCCCGCTGGCTGTGAAGAAGAGAAGCTCCCTGTTGCTTTCTGGATCCATGGCGGCGGCTACTATATGGGGAGTGGTGTTGACCAGCGTTACAACCTCTCTTTCATTGTAGAGAACTCTGTCAAAATTGGCAAGCCAGTCATCGGTGTCAGCTTCAACTACCGCCTTAGTGCTTGGGGCTTTTTGAGCGGCAGCGAGGAGCTCAAACAGTCTGGAGAGCTGAACCTTGGTCTGCGTGATCAACGACTGGCTCTGCAATGGATACAGGACAACATCAAGGGTTTCGGAGGTAAGGGCGAAAATTAGGTGTCGAGACTTGCAGTTAATATAGCCCAGGCGATCCAGAGAAAGTCACTCTGTGGGGTGAGAGTGCAGGTGCTGGATCCGTTGGCTTCCACCTCACAGCCTACGGTGGACGGGATGACAAGCTCTTTCGTGGTGCCATTATGGAATCTGGCAACCCGGTGCACTTCAACCGCCTTAACGAGCCTATGGAATACGCCGACTGGTACAACGCGATCGTAAGCCGCACACCATGTGTGAATGCCACATCTCAGGTTGACTGTCTGCGCGCTCTGCCTGCCGAGCAGTACAACGCCGCCGTCAATATCACAAGCCCAACCTTAAACACCACCGAGTTCATGCCCTCCGTCGATGGTGACTTCATCCAGAAGCGCACTTCTGTCCAGCTGGCGAATGGCGATTTTGTCCATGTCCCAATCATTAGCGGCGCAAACAGCGACGAGGGAACTGCCTTCTCCCCTTCGCCTGTCAACATCACCGAAGATCTGTACAACTTCATGATGAGTGAGAACGATGTCCCAGCCGAGCTTGCAAACCAGCTTTTAGAGGCATACCCAGACGATCCGTCAGTCAATGTCGTCGCAAATCTTGGAGACGCACGACCGGGCTCGCCATTTGGCGCTCAATTCCGCCGCTCAGCAAGCTACTTCGGTGATTCGGTCTTCATTGCCCCTCGCCGCTTGACCTGCCAGACATGGGCCGCAGCCGGCGTACCAGCATACTGTTATCGGTTCAACGCCATCCCCGCCGGCATTTCGCCCGTCATCGGTGCTACGCATTTTCAGAAAGTCAGCTTTGTCTTCCTCAACCTTCTCGGAGTTGGATACGCGCCGATCGCGGTTCCACCTTTCACCAACAAGACACAGTCTTACCGCGATCTCAGCCGCTTCATGAGCAGCAGCTGGGTCAGCTTTGTCAGTGACTTGGAACCCAACTCGTGGCGCAAGGGCGGTGTGTGGAATGGCCCTGAGAACACGTGGCCTGCATATGATGTTGCGAACCCACAAGACTATGTGTTTGATGCGAATGTTACGAGCCATGTGGAGGTAGACACGTGGAGGAAGGAGGGCATTGATCTCATTAATGCTAACAACCTTCAGGCGTACAAAAGGTAGAACAGTTTAAGTAAGTCAAAGGCTATGTTAGATGTATGTAACATAACGTAGATTACAAGCGAGCCGCGCATACAAGCGAGCCGTGCACCCCACCAACTTTGCCCACCTCTTCAAAAGTATAACTCAACCACAATATACAGCAGTATGACGTACCTGACGGGTGAGTCGTCCACTCTGCCAAGACCCCACCAATACTCGACCCTCTCACACAATGCCACAACAACAACGCGAATCAGGACCTTTAAAGGAAGCTTAGATACACCTTGCGCTTTAGGCTATCAAACAAGACGCAACACTCTCCCTGCAACGCGCTGCAGCCCTCTATAACGCGCTATACAGGATACTACGCAATCAACACACTAGACAACCTGCACAAGCAGATTATATGCCTAAATTAAGGAACTTAGACAAGAAAGAGGAGGAGGTGATTGTTCAGCATATACTTGACCTAGATGCAAGAGGGTTTGCCCCCTAGCTAGCTGCAGTAGCTGATATAGCTAATTCTTTACGCAAAGAGCGTAATATAGGTTATGTTGCAACGACGCAGGCAAGAAGAGAGATATCCAGAATAGGTGTGAATCCGCTACGAGGCATATAGGAGTGCTAGGATGATAAGAACACTAGGATATATTCTCTACACCTATAGGTCTTGTACAAAAGGATACAGAAAAACTATTCTATAATACTACAGTTCCTTGCTCCTTATATATAAGGGTTTGGAGGCAGTTTAGTGCGACCTCATGCCATGCGACAAGGGCCATGGTCATGAGTCACTAGACTGTTAACCTAGTTGTATCAGGTCATTGTTGGTAGCGCGTTGTTACAGCTTTTGGATACTGTCTTCTTGCCTGCGTTGTTACAAGAGGTTAATTTTGTTGTAAGGAAATTAACCTCATAGAACCTATGCTTACAAGCTTTGCTTGAAATACAACTTTAATAGCATTTTACCTTTAAGCAATGTCTCTGCCAACAGCGCTACCGTAGCTGCTATACGTATTTTAGGCCTTGATCTGGACAAAGAATTAATTTTAGGAATTGTATTGTCAATAGGTTACTTACTATTTTTTCCCTTGTTACGATTGTGTTCCTTCCTTGCAGACGAAATAGGCGCACACACCGGAAGACTGCAGTTAACAGGTCCTTACCTGAGATATTGTTGCAAACCTTGAAGCTTCGAATACCTCTTAGCACACAGCAGATGAGGATTAGTCATGTTTAGAAGTCCTGGCACCGGTGATCGTATGTGAGCTTGATGGGTAATGTACGAGTCCTGTTGCGTACTGGAACAGGACTCGTACATTGTATTAAACGACCCAGGGTATAAAACCGGCCAAGCCTTCATGCTGGAATATTGTAAGGCATGGTGTGGATCTCATGAGGTTACAGCATCCTGTTGATGAAAGTGGCAGAAAAGTAAGCCAAGGTGACGGACCTGATGAATAGTAGATACGCCGCTGTGCTTGCTGTTGCATACGAAGTTCTCAGTAAAGCAACAAAGAGATAGATAACACGGACACTTGTTTCACAGTGGCAACGCTGTGACTACAAGCAACATCTAATTGGAGTGTCAATTGTTTCATGCCGGGCTAGACAAGCGAAATTCAAAATGAGTCGCTGGGTTCCCCTAGTAGAAGCAGATCGTACGAATCTCGACACTTTCGCGAAGCGGTGCATCTGGAGGACTGGTCGGATCTTGGAACGCGGTATGCCCCACAAAGCGAGCAACGTCGGGGGAAGTGTCATATGTCTGTTGCACTTCGTCAGCAGGGCTCAATAAGCAATCGCATAATGATTACCTTCAGGAGAATGACCTGCTCTGGGGTCATCCTCGGGAAATAATACCACTTGTGCTCGGGTGAATACTTCATCACATAGTTCTCTCCGTTGCGATCACGGTATCTCAGATGCAGCTTGAAGAAGTCACTGTCCTCGCAAGACTGCACATCGCACATTGCGAGGGGGCGCTCCTCGACCACGCGATTGATCGGCTTCCACACGTTGATGAAAGCTACGCGGCGCTTGAGTAGAGCCTCAGCTTCGTCGCCGAGCAGCTGCTGGACGCGTAGGGGACCTGATTCAGCCGTGTAGTCGCAGTGTACAAGCATTACTGGGGAACGCTGAGATGTGTTCCTCTCGTCTGTGAGCGCCTTCTGGGCATTAAATTCGGTGCGTATTGTGTGATCGAAGACAAGGACACGGTTTGCGCCCAACTCCTTCTTCAAAAACTCGACAACCTCGGGATAGAAACCATTACGCACGCTCTGTTCGTCATTCCACTCATTATGCTTGGCCTTGAAGTTGCGCAGTGCAAAGCCGTTCTTGTCGAGCGTAAAGTCGTTTGCGCGCGGCCAGCCGTCTGAGATCGAGATCTCTACTTGCGAGTCGCCTGGTTCATGAATGCCCTTAGCTTTCTCGGTCTCGTAGAAGTAGAGCTCTGTGAGCTGGTCTACCGCTTGCGTGTAGTTCACGGTAGTACGTACATCAGACTGTGCACTATTGGACTGTCCGTTGCTCTGCCGGTCGGGGATGCTGTTGGGCAGAAGTGCCTTGTTGACAGGGCCTTGTGTGTTCTTCCAGCTATCAAGCTGCTCCATGCCTTCCGTCATCCATCGCTTAAGATGGGGGTACTTTTCGAGAGGAAAGCGCGATGCTTCATGGAGATGCATTGGCGCCGCAACAGCGAAATCCGCAATGGTGACGTCGTCTCCGGTGAGCCACCTGGTTGTGCTAAGCTGATCGTTGAGGATTCCGGCGAGCGTGTTGAATCGTTCCGACTCGCCATCAATAATCTTCTGGTCGGGCTCAGCCTGCAACAAGGGCTTGACGACATACTCAACAAGGTAGATGTAGCATGAAGGGAACCACTGAGATGCCTCCCAGAGGAGCCATTTGTTGACTAGTGCACGTTTTTTAATGTCCTTGGGATACATAGAATCAGCTCCTGAGACATCCGCAGCATATGCCAAGATAGCGTTCGATTCCGTAATGGTAAGGTCACCATCTGTGGCAGATGGTACTGTTGCGTGTGGGTTGATCTTCTTGTATTCTTCACTCTTGTGCTGGCCGGTGAAGTAGTTGATGAAGTTCTGGTTATAGTCCGCCTGCATCTCTGTCAGAGCTACTTTCGGTGATTTGGATGACAGGTAGAAGATCATGCCTTCATCTGCTCCAACCCAGCGAGAACCTTGCGGGAGTTGACCGTGCAAGGGTCGCAGTAAACTTGAATCGTCATCTTGGAACAAATGTTTACAAGTTGTGAGGGAGAATTGCAACGTTTGGGCCTGCTGAGCACGCTTCAGCTCTTGCGAGGTTTTTGTACTACGATGTAGATCTCAGAGTCATCAGCCCTGCCTTTCACCGGGAGCTACCCCGCACTTTCCGGACGTCACACCAGACCTAGGTGCAGATCAGCGTGCAATGTCGACGTCGAATCATTATTGAAAAAAACAGGCGATGTGACCGAATATCATCGATTCGCTGTACGTTTCGCAATATTCTTGATCGAGCAAGCCGAAGCGTGTACGGGACCAAGCCCTTCGCCCGATCTAGACGCTAGCAACCACACCTGTCGTGGCTAATAGCCGACTTAAAATCACCGTAGCCAAGCTGTCAATGTGTAAACAGCAGTTCCAAGAGCAAAGTTTTCACTTCAGTAAGCACACCTGCGTTTCAGAAGCAATAGCTCTCGACTCAACGCTCTTAGATCAACCATTCTTGCACACCATGCTGGATGCAGCCAAGCAAACATATTACCTTAAGTATCTATCACGAGAACCGTGAAGTTGGGGCGACTTATCGCAGCTCGATGCAAGGAGGACGGTCATCCATTACACTACACTTCTGTATTCCGCACGGCTGCCGGGAATTGAGCTGACGAGAGGATCTCAGTTAGCAGAGGCCCGTAGATCCAGCCAAGAGCCTCTGCTACCAGTGCTGTCAGGCTGGCTTGGTCCCACCTGCCTGGTTGTACTGGGCCTGCCATTATCTGTTCTCAGAGACAACTCTTTAGACATGTTGGATGCGTTAGGCATTACTTACCGGCTTCACACTGACGTCGGGAAGCGCAAAGTCAGAGGCCTATTTGCAGCGCACGACATGGGTGCGAGTAGCTGCAGCTGTCTTAAGCAGACCTGCAATTTCCTGCTAATTCTCGACCCCTCGTTCACATGCTCAATCTTGCTTCCGTGCCCGGACCGTCAACGAATCATCGTATAAACACAAGGTCTTTCAAACCGCAAAGGAGTGAGGCGAGCTTATCGAGCAAGAAATCGTATCTCGAAGCAACCAAGTCCGAAAGAGCGAATGTGAAGTCGATGACGAGCCGCGATCGTTTGCAGGGATTGTGCGGTTTCGAGCCAACGTGCCGGCTGTACCTACTTGCCGTGTGGGCTCAGAACCGCAACTAAGCCAGGGTCCCCGTGCAACTCCACACGACTTTGCTGAAACGGGGCTGACACGGGCGGGACTTATTGGAGGAGGTACTTTGCGCAAGTTGTGCCTTCTGACGACGAGACGTGAAGGACGGAAGGTCACATTGTGGTTGTGAAGAGGTGTGAACAGACCACACCACTCTAATCGCCAAGCGCCAAGCGCCTAGGACAAATACGCACCGATGGCTATCGTGCAAAAGCGGCCGGCTGGCTCGGGACAACCTCGTTCTCCGCCTCTACATTCCACAGTCACACTTCGTGCAACACCCTTCTCCACACTCCTTCTGCATTCAGCTGTTCTTTGTGTCTGTTCTTTGTGTTTGATCTGGGTCTAAGGCTACACGTAAAAGGAAGCTCTACTAACACAAGACACCTTCTCTGAGCTTGTGAACGCTGCGTGGTGGCGAAGCCGTAAGATTCAGTCCAGGTTGAGGGATATGTCTTTTCTCACCAAACAAAGAAAGAGCACTCGAAATGCCAACCAAAACGCATTTCCCGCCGCCCAGCTCTTCTTGCTCGGTATGAAGATTCACGTCACATTGAAGCAGCCACATGCACTAATCTCTCATCGCAGCACTTGTGCGAGTGGCAGAGCCAATCGCCCTGACAAGCATACTTCCATACGCCTGGAAACTCGTTCTCAATTTCGAAGTCTCCTCAGCATCAAATGCACCGTTTTTTGCCGGTCTGCTCATTTCATCATTCAGTCTAGTAAGCACGCATATAATCGTATTTTGACGTCTCTTATCCGTTTCACAGGCAGAAGCATGTAGTGGAATGTTTTGGGGTGCTCTTTCCGATAGGATAGGCCGCAAGCCTGTTGTGTTTATAGGATGTGCAGGTACCATCACCTCCCTCATGCTTGTCGGTTTCGCATCCAATTTCTGGATCGCGCTCGCCGGAAGGATTGTTGGCGGTGCTCTCAACGGAAACATAGGTAAGCATGTACCCGTGCCACGCTGCTCATACATACTACGACTGACAGCGTCCAGGAGTCATCCAGACCATGGTCGGCGAGCTGGTCAGGAACCCAGAGCATGAGCCTAGGGCTTACGCTGTTATGCCATTCGTTTGGAGCATCGGCACGATCATCGGTCGTAAGATCAGCCAAGTTCCCCAAATCGCTTCTATGCAATACTGACGATGCAGCCTCTATCGGTGGTCTATTATCGCAGCCTGCCGAAACCTTTCCGTCGTTGTTCAGCCCGACAGGTCTCTTCGCGAAGTTCCCGTATCTTCTACCCAACCTCATCTGCTCTTCCTTGCTCGTGCTGTCCATGGTCATGTCGTACTTCTTACTAGAGGAGACACACCCCGAGAAACGACGAGACAATAACACTGGAGGCATCGCTGACACCACTGCACGTACGCCTCTGCTGCTAGCTCTAGGAGCCACGCCTGACGCTCCTGCGGATCTGACTTCGGAGTCGTATGGCACTTTCAACTCTGTGGAATTCCAGCATGACGAAATGTGGCGGGTTCGATCCAACGGCGAGTGGCTTGAGCAACCGCCCTGTGGAAAGGCTTTCACTAAGCCCGTCATCACATTCGTCGTCGCTCTATCAATATTCACCTACCACAGTATGACCTACGATCATCTGATACCGATATTCTTCCAGGACAAACGAGCTGATGATATTCATGCCCAAGAATTGTCGTACACGGCCGCCCTAGGCGGTGGGCTGGGGCTCACGACGCAACAAGTGGGTCTAATTCTTTCGATCAACGGCGTCATTCAGCTTGCTGTGCAGGCCATAGCCTTTCCCATCCTAGCAGATATTTTTGGAGTTTGGCGCCTTTTGCTGATGGTCACTGCCGCGCACCCGGTCGCATACATCATTGTACCGTTTCTGCAACTTCTGCCACCGAGCCTTGTGTATCCCGGACTTTTCGCTGCGCTGGGCATTCGCAACCTTACTTCTATTCTTGCTTTCCCGCTGCTTCTCATCATGATTAAGGAGGCGGCCCCCGACAAGTCGCATCTCGGCAGAATAAACGGCCTCGCTGCGTCCACCGGAGCCGCTTGTCGAAGCGTTGCAAGCCCGGTCGCCGGCTTGCTGTATGGTCTATCTATCGATATTCGGTTTACACCACTGGCATGGTGGGCATCGGCTTTGGTCGCCTTGGTCGGTGCATTGCAGGTGCCCTTCATGAACCGCGCAGCCAACAACTGCCATGCCCGGGTTCGCACGGCTTTCAAGGAACAGTCACTCAATGAGGAGACGGTGCGCATCACCGTGGAAGCGGAATCTGCATGAGCTGTATATCAGTAGGCTTGCAGATGGAGAGAACATCGCCTTCGACCTTGTCGCATATCCGTACTGTCCCTAGACTGAGCATGTCCGGCGTTCTGGAGTCATTCAAAGCTGGCAACGTTGCCACGGGCTCTGTAGTAGTAGTCTTGTCATTGAGTCCAATATCGATCAGCTCGTCTGTGCGAAGCGAAGACGTGATTCAAATGTGGCGATCAACAAGTTTGGCTGCGCCTAGGTAAGCAGAACCAGAATCTTCAAACACCCGTCAAGCCCTTCAAGCTTTCGCCATAGTCTTTCAGCTCGACATCCGAATCTGAGGTCGATATTCCAAATGCAGATACAACGAGTATGACTTGTATCGATTCTGATAATAGAAACACAAAAAGGTCAATCCTTCTCTGCTGGGAGTGACCTGTTCCACATGCGAGTGATGCAGGAACTGCAAGGCAACGTACAGGCTAGACACAGCACCCATGGCACGCATGGAGGTGGCGGTGCCAGTTGCTCCACTCGCTGAAGGTTGCACCTGATACCGGAACGTGCATTCCGCTTCGTCATGAATCGTGGTCTCACATTACCCGTCATCGCAGAAAACTCACCCAACTATGTGATCTTCGCAACCGATCGCCCCTGTATATAGCGGCTCAGTTACTTGACACGGAAAGTCTCTTGTATCTGGCGGGGAGATTGGCTGCACAACGCGTATGAAATGCTTCTGAACTTGGACATCGAGCACTTCAGAGCCTAGAGGTAGGTGAGGCTGAACCTCACTTTCGATATTGAAGGCATTTGCATTGCATGCGAAGCACGAAAGCGGTCCTTTTCATATTACATGCGGGCACATGAGACTGTGACTGGTGTCGCCCGAGGCTTGTTGTTCGCTTGCAGGCTTTGCTGGTGTGACATTCGAAGTTGACACGAAACCGGAGCACGCCCGGAAAGACAGCACGACGCCTATGGGCTAGCGCAACGAGCAGCCAACGGCGATGCCTCAACGGGGGAATATGTTGTATATTGCGGGACTACCTATAGGGTGGGGTGTGTGGGTCGAAGGGTGCAGGAGGTCAACACGGGCGAGACTTTCGGCGCGTCGGAGTCGGAGAATGAATACACTGACTGCCTCCAGGGTTCTCGGACACCGTGAGGGGCGCCACCATTCCAATGTAAAAACCAATCTGTCAGTTCCAAAGTTAGCACTGCTTGGCAAAACGACGAATCTAATTGAGTATGTATTGGCAATCAAGTTAACGCCTGGCTGCTGGCAGGTCCCTACTGCAGCCGCCTCATTGGCCCGTGGCTTGCATGAACTTTGCTTGAGCATACCAGCTAGGGCGTTTCACACGCTTCGTCTGATCGTACCGCACGTCACTCGTTCCATCTCACACTAGACCACTCTGCAGGCCAAGATGGTTTACAGGGCCTGTGGGCCTTGTAGAGCGCGCGACAAGCAACACGATCGGCCTGTCTAACCCCCGTGGCTGTGTACCTGACTCCTTCCTGAACATCGACCAATCCTGCTCCAATGCTTCGACCTCTTGTTTCACTCTAGTGCTGAAGGTGCAAGTATATCCTCCTTTTCATGCCCGATGTACATGTCCACAAGTCCATCCTTCCTAATTTTCCGTTCTACACTCTTTCATCGAACTCGGGCGGGCAAAGTCATTCGTTATCTTTGACCCCTTCTTAGTGCTGGATTATCTTTCTTTCAATCCATACTACATTTCTGCGATTGTGTATCTTCCAAAACAGAAACCCACACTCTCTTAAACATTGAATTTATTGTTGTATTTTGCAAAACTTCAGCTCCTCCATATTCTTCATCAACATGAAGGTCACTCGGGCTATCCTCACCACTGGCCTTGTCGGCCACGCCGCTGCCACCTGGAACATGTTCGAGAATCCTTTCAACTCTCCCAACTACAACAACAACGAGTGTAGCGACAAGCAAAAGGCCGGATTCGATTGGTCGGACCTCAAGGATGGCGACTCGAACTTCAGCTATGGCGATTTCGATTTCTCCGGTGGCTGGAAATGCTCTAACTCTTTCGGCAAGCGGGATCTCCTCACCAAGCGCACATTCGGAAGCAAGTGCATCAAGAACAAGGTCAGCAAGAAACAGCCGGCTTCTTTCGGCTGTGATAAGCGCAAGTCTGGTTTCTCGATCACGCACATCGATGTCTCTGTCGAGTACGACGTAGACCTTGAACTTCACTACCACATGGAAGATGGCTCGAAGTGTAAGCAGGTCGCTTCCTGCAGCTCCTCCGGATCCACTATCCAGAACACCCAGTGTGGTGGTGCGAAGTCAGTCGACGTTTACCTTCCCCAGCACGACAAGTCGGACAAGGAGTGCGAGATTGGATTCCACAACATTGGTTTCGACTGCAACCCCGGTAAGGGATACAACCCACCTTCGCCTCCTGAGGCATCTAAGCCTGCTTCTTCCGCGCCTCCCAGAATTCCGACTGCCTCCACACCTGTTGTCTCCAAGCCTGCATCTATACCGGTTCCCCCGACTACCAGCGCTGCTTGTGACGGCGAATACTGTGCATCTCAGCCGCCTGCATCTACACCGGTTCCCTCGACCATCAGCGCTGCTTGTGACGGTGAATACTGTGCATCTCAGCCGCCTGCATCTACACCGGTTCCCCCAACCACCAGCGCTGCTTGTGACGGCGAATACTGTGCATCTCAGCCACCTGTATCCTCCACTCCGGCCCCTTCTGCCCCGGTGCCCAGCGCCCCAGCCACCGAAATCACTGTCTCGACCGCCTCGGTACCCACCCGACCTGCTACTGAGCCTCACTCAACTTCCTGCGGCGGGTACGGACAAGGATCGTGCGAGGGCCCCACCGTTATCTCTTCGGCACCTGTTGAAACGCCTCCAACATCTCACAGCACGCTGAAGGTCTCCAGCACAGTCCCTTCTGCTGCTCCCTACACCGACAGCTCTGCTCCTGCATCTCCTGTGCCTACTTATGAGACCAGCCCAGTTCCCCAGCCTCCTGCTTCCGCACCCCCCAGCACTTTGACTGCCTCCAGGTCTCCCGTATGTGATGGTAGCTACGGAGAGTCGTGCGAGGGGACCACTGCTGTCTCCACTCCTCTTGCTCCTCCAGTATCTTCTGGCTCCGTCATTCTGAGCACTGGCGTTCCTCAGCCTTCCAGCCCCAGCTATTCGCCTGTCAGCCCTCCTGATGTCTTGCCGAAGTGCATGAACACATGGTTGGAGGTCTCCGGCGATTGCAAAAACAACGCTGATGCTTCCTGCTACTGCAAGAACAAGGACTTCACCAAGCAGGTCATTGACTGCGTTTCCGCGTGGTGCGGCACCGATGACGAGACTCGGGAGGCCCTCCAGTACCTCATCGGCATCTGCGCTGAGCATGTTCCTGAGAACCCTGGTCTGGTTACTGATTGCCCATCCTACATCCCTCTAAACCCAACTCCTGCTTCGCCTACTGCTCCTGCTAGCGGCGTCAGTACCACCGCAGGTGAGGTTGGCAGCACCACTGCTGCTGTTCCTGTAACCACACCCGCCCCCGAGGTTCCTTCTGGCGGTGTCACTGGCAACGTCCCTGCTTCGACTCCGGCCGCTTCGACTCCTTGCACCACGATTACATACGGCACCACTACCCTCACTCTCCCTCAGGTTCACTTCACGACGCAGACCAACGACGCTGGTGCAACCCCAACCCAGCCCGTCGGTCTTGCCCCTGGTACTGCGCCTGCGCAGACTCCTGCAAGCACCACTGCTGCACTTTACCCTGTGTCCGGCACCACGCTTGCCACGTTCAAGCCTACGGGCACCGGAGGCTACAGGCCTACGTCGCCAGCTGAGTTCACTGGTGCTGCTGCGCCCTTCAAGCTCGAGGCTCAGCACGCCATCTTCGGTGCCATACTGGCCCTGTTCGCCTTGTAATCTCGTTTCTCTTCCTGGACATTGAGTAGGCGCTGGTGAATCGCACACAGCTAGATATATAGAGCATATTCTGGACAATTATAATACGCAAAGCGTTCCCTCGACAATGTTGCGCTGTGACTTCGGTGCTTGTGCATGCTTGTGATTGGGGCGAGCTACGTCATTGCGCGTGCGCGTAGCTAGGTACAGACACGGTACCTTCGTACAGCACGAAGTACGATGTACAGTACTCCTAGTCTCTGATGACCCGTGCTCAACGCTCGATTGGTTGTCTGCATTGCACTGCCAACACGGCCACACGATGTCTTTCGTGGTCGACCAGATCCGGCGCATCGACGGCGCCCTTGACCGGCTGCAGCTCTCGTCCACGCGCGCGGGCGAGAGCTTCTCGACGCTGAGCGCCGCCGAGGCCCACGATCCCGAGAAGACAGGCCGCATCGCGCACCTGCAGAACCTCATCAAGAGCTTGTCGACGACAGCGAGTGCCAAGTCATCGCTCGTCCCCGGCGACAGGATACTGGAAACGCTCGACCGCGCAGACTTCTCTCGCAGCTGCACAACGTGTGCGCAATGGTTTGCACAGGACGACAGCGGCAGCAGCGGCGCGTCTGGAGAGGCCGCCAGCTACGAACACGAACTCGAGTGGCTGCTGCTCAGCAAGGCCACCACACAAGCATACGGCGAGGTGCTGAACACGATCCTGGGGCAAACGATCCCGCTCGAAGACGACATCTGGTACTGGGACGATGTCCTGTCGACGTACCGCTTCGCCGGCCTCTACTCGGTACAGACATCGCCACTCCGCGTCTGGAACTGGTCCAAGGAAATATACCACGACGTGAGGTCGCGGGGTGGAGAGACGGCCGACGGGTGGCGGCAGTTCTACAGCCTTGTCAAGCAGTCCGTGCAGGAGCGCAGCGTCGCCAACATACAACGCAGGGTCATCAGCCCGCTTGCACTGGTGCGGAACGAAGGCAGGAGAAAACGCGCGGCTCTGAGGAGGATCCGCCTAGTCAACGCGAACGCGCTCGGGGTGTTACTGGGAGAAGGCCTGAGCAACGAGAACATTCACGACGAAGGCTTCCATTCGCCCCATCCGTTCGGCACGCATGACAACAAGCACAAGTGGAAGGCGGTCGTCACCAGGAGCATCGCGCTGATGGACGCTGTGATCCAGACGGTCAACACGGCCGAGCTATCTGTCGACAAATTTGACGACTCCGTGGCCAGCATCACGCAAGACGACCAGTACTACGAGCTCCACGGCGCCTCTGCCCACGAAGCTGCAATAGCGCTCAAGCCATCCGATGTTGCCGAGCGTCTACGCTACCTCTTGCGCCATGCCCTGCCTACCTACAAGACACACTTCACCGCCGTCGTCAGGGACAACGGGCGGCCGTCTCGTCTCGTCCGGTACTGGCTCCCCGCCACCATGTTCCTTCTCTCTAGTACGACCATCCTGCGCATCGCCGTCAACCGCCAAGAGGAGATTAAGACATGGATTCGCGAACTTGGGCAGACAGTCATCGACTTCTGGACGAACTGGGTGGTTGAGCCAACGAAGAAGGTTATCGGCACGATTCGCCACGACGAAGACAGCGAGGTCTCGATCATGAGCAAGCGCAGCCTCGAGTCTGACCGCGCGAGCTTGGAGCGTATGGTTGTCGATTTTGCTATCAAAAACCCCGATGGCCCAGCCCTGAATGAGTCGCAGATCGCAGACATCCGAGCCAAGGTCAGGGAGGGCGATCTCACCACGGTGCTCAAGTCATACGAGAAGGACATCCAGAGCCCAGTGAAGGGCGCCATCGTCGGCAACCTTGCAAGCGCGTTGCTGATTCAGGTGCAGAAGACCAAGGTCGATGTTGAGCTTGCTATGAGTGGCATTGACAGCATTCTGAAGAGTCAGGAGCTTCTCTTCGGTTTCATCGGTCTGACGCCCGGTGTGCTCGTATCTATCGGCGTCTACCGATGGCTCATGGGCGCCTTCAGCAGTCGCAAGGGTTTACAGCAATGGGCGAAGCAGGGCCAGCTTTTGCTCATCCTCAGAAACATCGACCGGATCCTGACAGCTGCGAGGCCAACTGAGTTTGGAGAGATGTCCTACCAAGATCACGGGTTGTTGTTGTGCGAGGTGCACCTCTTGCGACAGGCTGCGAGTGGTGTCCTACCCAGGCGCATCTTTCACGAGTTCTTGGTGGAGATCGATGAGTTGGTGGATGTGCGAAGCGGATTAGAGAAGCAGCAGAAGGTAGTGGAGAGGATACGCTGGGCGTACTCCAAGTGGTTCACCTGAGCCAGATTTGGTGAACAAGATGGACCATGGATCGACATATCTGAAGAAATATATGCAATCGTAAATGTGGTATGTCCACGTGAGTCATGTATCGTGTTCCAGGCAGACACGCAGCATGATGCTGATGCGAGTCATGATCTGATTCTGGGCGCTGCTCAAACATGACAGGCTGAGAGTGACGACTTGGCACGCAACGTCAGTTGCATCTATGCACGCCTGCAGCACCTTTGCTGCTCAACAACACCCGCCACCCAACGCACTCGGCCGCCCGCTACACTCACCGCCACCGACACTCTGCTCGCCCGATCCACCATCGCTCGCGCCTCTCTCAGCGCCACCCGTACAGGCCACCTTCGCTCGCCCGCGGGTGCACCGCCACCAGCCCGATCCCTCGACAGCTAACACATAACGCACACACGACGCCCGCATATAACACGGCAACCATGGCTGGGACAAGAAACTATGACTTTCTCGTGAGTTCCTCCCGCGCGCCCGCTCTAGCCGTGCCCCTCCCGCCGTCCGAACAGATGGCAGAGCCACCCACTAACAAGGTCCGCAGATCAAGCTTCTGCTCATTGGAGACTCCGGCGTGGGAAAGTCGTGCTGTTTGCTGCGCTTCAGCGAAGACTCGTTTACGCCCTCGTTCATCACCACGATCGGCATCGACTTCAAGATAAGGACGATCGAGCTCGACGGCAAGCGCGTCAAGCTGCAGATATGGGACACCGCTGGCCAGGAGCGCTTCAGGACCATCACCACAGCATACTACCGCGGTGCCATGGGTATCCTGTTGGTCTACGACGTCACGGACGAGAGGAGTTTTAACAGTACGTCATTTGAAGCACAGCACAGGAAAGGAAAGGAAAAGACTGACGCACGCAACAGACATCCGCACCTGGTTTTCCAACGTCGAGCAGCACGCGACTGAAGGCGTCAACAAGATCCTCATCGGCAACAAGTGCGATTGGGAAGAGAAGCGCGCCGTCAGCACAGAGCGCGGCCAGGCACTCGCCGACGAGCTCGGCATCCCCTTCCTCGAAGTCTCGGCAAAGAGCAACATCAACGTCGACCAAGCATTCTACTCGCTCGCTTCTGACATCAAGAAGAGGCTTATCGATAGCGCGCGATCCGACCAGGCAGCCGGCCCATCGGTGAATGTTGGCGATGCTGGTGGCGCCAACGCTGGCATGGGCGGAAAGTGCTGTTAAGAGACAGCTGGCGAGAGTAGTCGCGCGTGGTACGACTAGGGCGTTTGATGGTGCACTGGTTCACGCAACCGCCGGGCTTGGCACAGGTGCTCAGGACCTGGATGATGCAGTCACGCTATGGAATGCCCAATGTCTTGAACGTTTCATATGCGACGTGTCGATCTTCGATTTATTGGTGTTCAATGGGCGTTCTGCGAGAATAGGGTCTTCTACATTACACCTTGTAATGCTATTTTGTACACGCACTCAACCTCTTCTTGACTGGAGCTAACTTGGAATTTCTGCAGTTTAGTCACAATGCTGGGAGCAACGGAAAGTTTGAACGGCTTATATTGCCTACAGATAAGCAGATAGGGCAGTGTTGCATCCTGTGGCTGCGAGAAGTGTAAATGATCAAAGCAAAGGAATGGTAAAGTGCATTATCGTTTCGTTCGTTTCAAGCGTCTCCATTATGCTATGCTGATAATACAAAGCTCTGGTGTAAGAGCATCTCGAACAAGCAAGCACAAGCGACCTCGTGTCTGTCCCGCGGATGCACCTACTTCCACAGCTTGCCCAGACTGACAGCCTTGTCGTCGTGCTTGTTCAAGACCTTGGCTGTTGCCAGGTCAAAGTCCTCCTGTGTGACGTGTACTCTTCTCTCCCTGAGTGCGTACATACCGGCCTCTGTGCAGACACCCTTCAGCTCAGCACCTGAGCATCCGTTCATTTTCTCTGCAATCTTGGTGAGGTTGATACCACGGGTCAGGTTCATGCTCCTCGAGTGGATACGCAGAATGTCGGCACGCGCCTCGACAGTTGGCGGGGGGAATTCGATCTTACGATCGATACGTCCGGGTCGCAGCAGGGCAGGGTCGAGAATGTCCAGACGGTTGGTTGCCATGATGATCTTGATGTTCTTGGTTGGCTCGAAACCGTCAAGCTGGTTGAGCAACTCCAACATGGTGCGCTGCACCTCAGAGTCACCGCCTGAGCTTCCTTCTACACGGCTTGAACCAATGCTGTCGATCTCGTCCATGAAGATGATGCTGGGTGCGTGCTCTCGGGCCATGATGAAGAGTTCTCGGACCATTCGACTACCCTCACCAATGTACTTTTGCACCAACTCGCTTCCTGAGACTCGGATGAACTTGCAGTCAGCGTGATGCGCTACCGCACGCGCAAGCAGTGTCTTTCCCGTACCCGGAGGACCGTACAGCAGGACGCCCTTTGGCTGCGCGATACCCAGCGACTCGAACAGCTCGGGATGCTGCAGACCCAACTCGATGACTTCCTTGATCTCCTTGATCTGCTGGTCGAGGCCACCAATCATATCGTACGTGCTGTCTGGCACCTTCTCGACCATCATGAGCGAAACGAGGGGATCGACCGAGGACGGCAGGAGCTTTTCGAGCTTGTAAGAGTCGCTGAGGAGGGTGACGCGCTTGCCCGCTGTGAGTTTGCTGATGTCGACGTTGTCGGCGATGTCAACCACTAGCGGCGGTAAGTCAGCGGTATGTCGCCTCCAGTCTCACCTGCACGACGTACCATATTTGCCCTCGGGATGTACCTTGACAAGCACCTTCTTCGTGCCCATGACCTTGACAACCTCGCCGACGTAGGACCCGGGCTGCTGGAGCAGGCCCAGCTCTTCCCGCAGTAACCGCACTCTGGAGTTGTAGTCGTTTCGCTGAGCTTCCAGACGACGCAGCTTAGCCTGCCCTTGGATGATCTCGAGCTTCATCGACTCGATCTTGTTGTGGAAGAAGGTGTCGAGCGCCATGGTGGTGGCGGGCGCCGGCGGCGGTGTTTGCGGGGGATGGGTGCCGGGCGGAGGGTTGTCAGGGGTGTTGGGCGAGGTGAAGCTGGAGATGCGGCGGTCGTGTGTTCGCGTGGGCGCCGGACCAGATGTCGATGGCGGCAGGGGCTGTGGAAGTGTCGACGGGTGTTTGGCGATGGCCGTGATCTCCAGCTCTCCAGCGACGCAACAACGCCAGTACCGCAGTTTCGCCGGCAAGACGCTACACCCGATACGAGCTAGCGGCAGGGTGGGGCGTCCCTTCCTTTCTCGTCATCTCCGCAGGCCGACCACCCCTGCGGCCAGAGGCGCACCGCATGCCTGAGCGATGCCGCGACACGCGGCGATCAACATGGCATGGAATGTGGAGGAAAAGAGTGCTCGTGGGTTCGTTGTGCTCGTGTGTTCTGTGCCAACACGACGGCAGTGTTCCCAGAGCGTAGAACGCTGGACCGTCTTATCACTGGTGAGACAGGGTCGCGCGGAACTCGGGAGCTGCAGCTGCACCAGACGACGGATGGCGGATCGGCGCCTTGGTGGTCATCTGCATACTGCTGCTTGCACGCACCCTCTGCTGTCTTGTCACCGTCTGCAGTCTTGTCTGAGTCTGCAGTCTTGTCTGAGTCTGCTGTCTTGTCCGCGTCTGCTGTCTTGTCCGTGTCTGCCTTGTCCTCGTCGCTACGTGAATGCCTCCCAGCGGCTGAAGCCAGTGCGGCCGAATAATAAACAAACATCCTTGACAAGGGCGTCACCACATCATCCAAGCGGTCTGCTAGCCCAACAGCTCCAGTGCGGCGGCTTTCTCTGCACCAGCCCATCCTGCGACACCCAACATGGCGGACGGCGACCGGACGCCCACAGGCGCGCAGAGCAGCGAGCCGCCCACCACGACGGCAGAGTTGGCGCGCAGGCGCATCCCCAGCACCGCGCCAGCCACCAGCTACGGTACTGTTTCCCACCGAGTATCCGCGCAGTGCCAGGCGCGCGCATGGCCCGCCGTCGCTGACTGACAGACAGGCTCCATCACGTCCTCGATCGACCGACGCCTGCAGAGCATGACGCCACCGGAGCAGCCCGCCTCGAAGCCCAAGAAGCCCCCGATGAGCCGCCGCGCGACGTCATCCAAGTTCCCTCGCAAGGGCCAAGAGTTCAGTGTCGACGACGAGGCCGACGAGGTGCAGGCCGAGACCGAGCAGCAGCTCAAGGAAGCCAAAGAGCAGAAGCGCCAAGGCCAGACGTTGCGCCGCAAGCCCTCGAATCTTCGCCGCCCCGCTGGCGCAGCCCGCGGCACCACCCTCACGACCATTGAGTCCACAGAGGACGATGCGGCCGACGACGAGGCTGCGGGCGCACCGGCCGAGCCAGAAGCACAGCCCGCCAGCGAGGAGGAGGAGACCATACGTGCTGACGACGATGACGACAGCGCTAACGGCAACGACGAGGATGACGAGGCCGACTTGAGCGATGCTGAGAGCTTCACCCTCAAAGACCGCCAGGACGCCATCAACGTGACGCATCCTTTTGGTATCAGGATCTGGAAGCCCGCCTTGTACAAGAAGGGGCGTTCGGTCCAGCGCAACGCCGAGGCAGACATCCACTCGAACCCCGGTCTGTTCGTCAGCAGATGGTTGCTCCTGTTCAACCTCGCCTGGACCCTGTTCTTCGGCTGGTGGCTGGCCCTCGTCGCAGCTGCTGGTGCGCTGTTGTGTGCCGTCCTCGCCTTTGACGAGAGCTGCAAAGAGTACTCGACGCTGCTCTACCATCTTTCCGTGTACCTCTTTTACCCCTTCGGAAGATATGTCAAGCTCCTGCAAGACGATCAGTACGCGGACGAGGATGAGGGTGAGGGCCGCAGCATCAGCGAGTACGAACAGTGGCAGAGCGGAGATATCGAGGAAGGGCGACTCTTCTTCGGTCCCAACGCCGGCCTCTCCTCTCTTGTCGGTCGCCGTCGCAACAGTATCGATTCGACTGGTGGGGAGACCACGAGTCTGCTTGGCCGTGATGGCCGGGCCAACATCGTGCACCCGGACGCAGTGAGGACAAAGAACCGCTTCTTCGGACGTGGAAAGTGGAACCTTGGTCGTGTGGTCTTCTACGTCTACTTCTACGGCATCGTCACCCCGGCTTTCTTCCTGGTCTCGGCAGTCTGCTGGTTTTTGGTCTTCTCCATTCCCATGGGCAAAGTCATGCTACTTCTCTTCGATCACCTTCGTCGCCATCCGCTGGCTCTGTCTTTCCACTCGGATAGCGGCAATGTTCGTCGCCCCGGCGAGTCATCTTCCATCCTCTTGTGCACCTACCGCGCTGTCGGCATCAAGTACTGGAAGTACACCATTGATGGCACAAACATTTTCCTCATCAACCTGCTCGGACTCGTTGCTTTCACCATCTTCGATTACTTCATCTTGTCTGAGACGTTGGGATACAAGATCTGGATAACGGATACTCTGCTCGTCTTCGTACTGGCGCTTTTGTCCATCATCCCCCTGGCATACTTCATCGGGCAGGCTGTTGCTTCCATCTCCGCTCAATCGTCCATGGGCGTAGGCGCGACTATCAACGCCTTCTTCTCCACGGTTGTAGAGGTCTTCTTGTATTGCGTGGCACTCAAACAGGGCAAAGCACAGCTCGTGGAAGGAAGTATCATTGGCAGCATCTTTGCTGGTATCTTATTCTTACCAGGACTGTCAATGTGTTTCGGTGCGCTCAAGCGGAAGACACAGCGCTTCAACGTCAAGTCAGCAGGTGTCACCTCGACAATGCTGCTCTTCGCCGTGATCGGTGCCTTTGGTCCAACACTGTTCTATCAGATTTATGGCAGCGTGAGTTGCACCAGCAGCAGCATGAATCTACTTGGACTAACGATAAACAGCACGAACTTAACTGTCGCCAGTGCGTGCACGTTCATCCGCACATGGGCCACATCGAGTCAAGCGCCGAAAGAGACTGTCGTAGGTGCTACTATTCGCAAACGCCAGCACTTCACGATCGCTTCTACAATGAAGCAGTCAAGCCCTATACCTGGATATCTGCGGCATTACTATTCTTGTCTTACGTCGTTGGACTGCTTTTCACTTTACGCACACACGCCGCAACCATCTGGAGCAATGAGCCGGACGAGAAAGAGAAGAAGCCTATGGACACGGTAGCGAACAGTCTGAGCAATAGCGGCCACCTGGAATTTCCTCACTCGACCATGTCCCGGACAGCAACCGGCCAATCGGTATCTCGTGCCCACATTCGCGAAACCCAGCTCTATAAGCGTATCGTAGGCCAGACGCAACACGAATTTGGCCTGGGTCCAGAAGGCCAGCCTCTCGTCGGTAGCCCGCCCAACAACAGGGTAGACGGGAACATACCTCACCTTGTCCCACCCAAGGACAGCAATGAGCACGAACACTTCCACGTCGAGGGACTTTCAGACGAGGCAAGTGATGCGCTCGTCCGCCACATCACCGAGATCGCTGCGACAACTACTGCCCTGGCCACGCGTGATGTGACCAGGGCGCCACACAAGGCTGCAAGGATGGTCAGCACACCGAGCAAGAGTGACCGGCAGCATCACCCTCGCACTGCAACCGCTGCTGCCGAAGGCGCGACGGAGGAGCATGATGTCGGGGCCGGACAACCCGCAGGTGGGCACGATGCACCAAACTGGAGCCGAGGAAAGAGTGCAGCCATTCTTTTGACTGCCACTGTTGCGTACGCCATCATTGCTGAGATCCTCGTCGACACTGTGGATTCAGTCCTGGAGGGTTCTGACATTGATGAAAAGTTCCTGGGCATTACCCTTTTCGCTCTGGTACCCAACACAACCGAATTTCTAAACGCCATCTCCTTTGCCATGAACGGCAACATTGCATTATCTATGGAAATCGGCTCAGCCTACGCCCTGCAGGTCTGTCTTCTTCAGATCCCTGCGCTTGTTTTTTACAGCGCGCTGCATGCTACGAACATCGACGCTGGACAACTTGCCAAGGAGACTTTTAGTAAGCTGCTCATTGAGTCGTCGTGTCGCGCAATATTAACGTACTCTAGCACTCATCTTCCCGCAGTGGGACATGGCCACGGTCATTCTTTGCGTCTTCCTTCTCTCGTACATGTACGGTGAAGGTAAGAGCAACTACTTCAAGGGATCCATCTTAATCCTCAGCTACTTCGTTGTTATTGTCGGCTTCTACTTCTCTGGCTTCACAGACCTCGATCGCCTCGGGATCAACCCGGATGACCGTTTGGCCCTTGGAGGGCTGGTCAGACAGGAGGTTCAGTCAATGACCTTCAAAACTATGGGCAGGGGAAGGAGCGGTATAGCTTATTGAACGGACAAGGGTGATTTGCAGACGTAGATGGATCATGGTAATGTTCGCATATGCTTCAATCTTGTCTAGTCTAAACGCATAGCGCGGGGCGTAACTGGTGTTCTTTAGTCAATGTATCAGGTAGATATCCCAGCTGCAATGGGGACAGCAGACAAGAACTGCGACCAAAAGCGAGAGAGTATCAATTTCTGCGGCTCGGTGACGAGACATGGCAACGAGTATGAGCGGCATGCTCGGAGAAGCGGTCTGCCCATGTGACAGCTTCAGTATCTACGCGAGAAGAAAGCTCATCCGCATCATGCATCAGGCGTAGTTGACAATGCTATTACTCTGGCAGCTTATTGTACAGATCAAGAGGACAGGACTTACGCTTTCTTCCACACACCAGCGACTTCCCTACACGTCTTCCACATTATCTCCGAGCCTGAGACAACCACCCGCACTTTCCACACTCGGCTACGACGAAGTCACAGACACACTGACCATCAGCGCTGCCAATAAGAAGCACCAGGCCGCATTCCTCGGGACGGCATTGTTAGACTGTGGGAGCGACGAGCGGGAGGGCGTTTGACTTGTTGCCGACGACATACTGACTTCTGAAGCCACGCTGTTTGAGCTTTCACCGGTGGCAGCTGCAGTCATTGCAGCCGAGAATTGCTCCCCACTGGATGTTGAAGTCTTCGAGACTGAATCAGGAGTCGCACTGCTCCCCGAACTCTCCGTACCAGAGGCGCCTGATGATGAGCTTACCGTCACCGTCACAGCCTGAGTACTGGCCATAGAAGACGATGAGCTCGAGGCACTAGTACTAGACGATGAGCTCGAGGCACCAGTACTAGACGAAGAGATGATGAGCTTGTCGATATGATCACACACATCCCAAGTCACACTTGTAGGAGGTGTTTCGGACTGTAGACGGTAAGTTCATGCTCCTTCGCTAACTAGCGTGCGCAAGCTTACCTGGAAGGACCACTGGGAGTAAGAGGACGTGCCGCCCGAGAGATTGAACGATTTGTCCTCATACAGAGACAGAAAGCCGTTTTCGCCCTCGTTAACGTTTTGGATGATGTACGTGTCTACACTGTCATCCTCCCGGATGCTCCAGGCCTGGTCAGTGCTGACACAGTCATGCACTCCGTTTCCCCACAAACATTTCTGCGCAAGCGTATCCACCAGGTAGACCACACCTTCCGACCCACAACTAGTGGCTTGCCATGCGTAGACTCGTGAAGAGCCTGCCGAGAGATCATCGCCGCCTGATCGAAATGAGCATTGTACCTTGGTCTATACCGAAAGAAAAACACTTACTGGTGAGCAGGTTGTAGTCGGTTCCGTGGTTCTGCAGGTTGTATGCCACACTAGGAAGGATAGACATCTTGTGTTGGTTTGTATCTGGAGTGAGGTTGAGGTTCGAGTATGCACTATGAAGCTGACCAGGCGACGCACAGCAAAACAAGGTACGTGCTCAGCCTCGTCATGTGCAAGGGCGTCGGTGTAACTCATGTCTTTTAGTTGTACGACCACATCCGAATCGTTCGAAACAACAAACCAAGAGCCAAAAGCCAAAAGCCAAAAGCCAAAAGCCAAAAGCCCAAAGCCCTGGAAAGCATCCAGATGCAATATCCGACGCTGGTCAACTTATTTGCAGCAGAGATGGCTGCTGGATTGAGCTATAGCTGGACCTTCAGCCGATCAATCACGTGGCCATCACTTTATCGTATTGGAAGAGCCTCAGATGCAGCTCAGATAAAAATCGTGTTCTCGGCAATGGATTCCGAGTGCTTGCTCATCTTGGGGACCAACATACAAACAGGAAACCCGTCATGTCCGACGAAAGTGTGCTGCGCCGCGCTAGCCTTGCTTTCTCAGTCAGTATACGAGACTGGGATATGGAAGCATGCAGCTTCCTCTCGGAGGCGCCTTGTTCAGGCAAGCCTGCACGGCCATGTCCACTGGTGCACGACGTCGCCACGGGCGTCTTCGAATGATGTGTCAGCATCTCCAGTTCACCTTCAGTTCGCGTGTCGGAGCTGCTTCGATTGTATGTACCGGCTGCACAGGTCCCCTTGGTCTTTTCTGGATCTGTCCAGCGCCTTCATTCTGTGAAAGGCAGGCAGGCAGCTAGCCACACGGGATAATACGAGGTAGACCTTCAGAGGTGACGGCCGCCGGATGACGCCGGCAGGAGCGGTGAATCGAAGTGCGATGAACGGTTTGAGGAGGAACACTGGTGATCGCCAGTTCGATGTGCACCGCATGGAAAACTCGGCTGATCAATAATGGTGATCGACCGCTTCACTTGTGAGATCAAGGCTTCGCCATGTCGATGCTTGAACTGGAACACGACATTATCTAGATGCTTGTCGCACGCGTTGCACATTCGAAACCGGTAATACAAATGGCAAAAGTCCGGGAAGAGCTGCGACAGTCTATTGGATAGGATGGACGTTTCTGTTTGAGACGGGTCTCGCGACCGGCTCAGGCTTCGCAGCATGACATCAGCACTCCAGGGCAACCAGCGGGTGTGTGTAGGGACGGACCACACGGAGGGCGGCGGATGGGCTCAGGCGTGGACAGATGGAGAGAGGTCACAGGTGATCGGGTCAAGCTGGTCAAGCTGGTCAAGCCCATCAGATCTGAGGCAGTGCAGCGACGATTAGACGATTAGGCCGCGCCGAGTTTCAAAGTGCACAAGGCGAGTGGAGCCAGCAGACGACAGCGTCGTCCGGCTTCTGCGGTACCCGTCACAGCTGCCATGCTTCATGTACCGCATCTTCCGCTGTCTGCTGCGGCCGAGAAGATGACACGAGTGCCCATCTCGATTCCAACGACGACAGTGACTGCGACAGTGACTGCGACAGTGACTGCGACAGTGACTACGACTGTGGCTGCGACTGCGACTGCGCTCTTGATCTGCCCTTCCCGCTGCTGCAGTCTGGACGCCCGACGCGGCTGAGAGGCGTTTCCAAGCCACACCCCGCGCGAAATCGATAAGAACGAAGCACCCGCCACGGCCGCCCGCGGGTCGACGTGCGCCGCTGCCATGCTGCTCTCCGCCCTCGCCGCGCTGGCTGCCATCGCGTCCGCCAGCATCACGCCGTCCAACACGTCGACGGTCAACTCGAGCTACTTCCAGGGCACACTGCCGCTGCAGGGCGCCGATGGCAAGGAGCTTGCCGCGCTGGTGCCGCTGACGCGCCAGGGTGCGCAGCAGTCGATCGAGGGCAATCTGTACCGCACAAATGGCTCCACGGTGGGCAGCATCGCGGACGGCGAAATCGCCTTCATCAGTTGCAACCCGGCCGACTACCCTGGCTACGTCGACGCGCAGGGCCTCTTCAGCCAGGCCTACGAGAACGGGAACGCAAACATCTCGGGCGTTGTCCTGTACAGTACCGTGACCGACTACTGCGACTACGGCGACGACAACGGTAACATGCAGGACTTTCCCGTGCTCTCCATGACCAACAAGACCAGCTCGGCCGCCGTCCTCAACCAGATCGACGACCTCGCCGTCCACATGAAGTTCTTTGTCCAAGTTCAGGCCCGTGGCATCAGCAACAGCAACAGCGGCGGCAGCAGCAGCAGCAGCAGCGGCGGCAACGGCAGCAGCGACCAGCAGCAGAACCCCTTGGGCCCCTCGCCCTCGACGGCCGTCGCCATGATCATCCTCTACAGCATCACCGGCATCATCACCGCCCTGTTCCTGGTCATCATCCTGACCGGTGCCATTCGCGCACACCGCCACCCGGAGCGCTACGGACCGCGCAATGTGCTGGGCAGGCCCCGCCAGAGCAGGGCCAAGGGCCTGGGGCGAGCCATACTGGACACGATACCCATCGTCAAGTTCGGCGAGAAGGAGCCCGCCAAGCCAACAGACGTCGAGCTGGGCTCCACAGGCGAGGCGAGGAACATTGACGGCGTAGACAACACTGCTGCGGCTGCGACTGCGACTGCGACTGCGACTGCGACTGCGACTGCCTTGCCCGCCACCGCCACGACGTCGACTGAAGCGGCGAAGAACGAGACTCTGGCAGCCCCTCACGAGACGACACGAGAACCTCCCGCGGCTCCCGCGACTTCCGCCCCTCTCGCCATGTCAGAACAGCCCGAAGGCATCTCTGCCGCCATTGCCCCTGCGGTACTTGCCGGCGCCAGCACGACCGAAGCAGTCAGCGACGACACGCTGGGGTGCTCCATCTGCACAGAAGACTTTGAGAAGGGGCAGGACATCCGGGTGCTGCCTTGCGACCACAAGTTTCATCCCGAGTGTGTGGATCCTTGGCTGCTCAACGTCTCCGGCACATGTCCCCTCTGCCGAGTCGACCTGCGCCCAACGAAGACCAACGAGTCCAGCAACTCGCAGGGCGACGAGCTTGCACCGCCCCTGAACCCTGAAGCCGAGTCTTCACACCACCGCCGTCCAGGACTCCGTGACATCCTCTTCTTCCGTTCGCACCCTGATGCCCCGGCCGAGGATCGAATAGGCGCCCTGCGCCGTCTGCGCGAGCAGCGACGCAATCAGAGCGGCGACGTTGCCGAGGACAATGCCAACGCCAGTGCCGAAGACGTCACAAGAGGCGATCGCCATGGCACACGTATCAGCACAAGGTTGAGTGATGTCTTCAGTGGGCGAACTCGCAGAGGCAACAGTCCTTCGCAGCCCGGCGGTGCAGGTGGTAGCGCCGCGTAGGCGAATCTCAGATTGACGAAGCATGTCTTGACACGATATACGAATGGTTTTGCATAGCGTTTGGCTGAAAAGGTGTGGGAAAGAGCAGCGTCACGTCACCGCTGACCATTTGGAGCTGCTTGTTTTTCTTTCGATATCGTCCTCTTGGCATTCTTCTACAAGTACCCTGGTCCAGCTCAACGCAGCTGGAGTCGTTGCAAGATGTAAACGCTGTTATTATTCATGTCCAGCCATGTTCACGCTAGATTTAGCACAAGTACCATATCTTCGTATATGACGCAAGAACAGGACACGAACTCAACCAAAATGTCAGTATGCAACAGTAGATAGTCGAAGGCAGGTCGCATATGTGCTGTGTGCGCATGGCCTTCCCGGGTTGCAACTTGCGAGAGCACATTGCACAGTAATTGGAGCCGGTTAGGCTAGGTGTGCTGAGCCGGAACATGCGATTCCCTTGATAACTTTGTTGATACGGGAGGCGGAGGTGGTCCTGGCACTATTACAAGATGAGAAGAGAATTTGTTGTTGAAGTTCAATGCAACACACGAAGAGGTGAAGTTTCGGTTTCCAGATAAAAGGGCTATGAACACCAGCGGAAAGCTGCAGAGTGCAACCGCGCCTACTTAATTAGTCGAGACAATCCACTCAAACTTATCACTCGACCAAGGACATCTACCCATGATGATCCTACCGATTGTTGCCTGAATATGATTTCGATTGCTGATATCGGTGAAGACAGTGCCTCGAAAGGGCAGAGGTTCTTTGGTGAATTTACCATCCCATACTGCAGACCAGTCGCGTTTTGTGTATAGCCCGAAAGAGGCGTATCTGACAGTCCAGGCACTCGAGCTCTGTATATTGCAACGAATCACATTGTCCCGTTCGTAGACGCCGCCAGCGGCATTGGGCTGGTCCTGGAAATCGCCTACCTAGTCTCTGTGTCAGTGATAGCCTCGCTACGAGTGACACAGATGCAGTCCGCATGTGTGCGTACCAAAATATCTGCACCCTTCCTTCAGATCAGGACTCGGGTGGGGCCTTCTTTCCATGCAAGGACTACTTTGAAATCATCCTCGCTGCCATCGAGGAAGTTCTGGAGTGTCTCGGCTGAGGTCCTGTGGAGCAGAGTCACCACAGCATCCCAGACATTGAAGGTGGAAGCTAAAGTCTCCTCGTAGATCTCATCATCTTCGTATCGATCGAAGGCGGTGACATTGATGAGATGTGGGTGGTCCTTTGCTGCGTCTGCTGGAAGAGACGTAAACTCACCATCGTTAACAAAGAGAACCACGGCGGGCAACAGATTCGATGATGTTGAGGCAGTATTTGGCGTGAACACGGGGCATAAGTATCCTTCTCATACAGCAGCAAACGCCACAGGATCAGCTGCGATTGCGGTTTGCTTCACCAAGGATAGCATATGCTGCGGCCAAACTTTCGGTCAGGCGGATTTGGTCACGGATTGCATGCGGGACATGCACGAGCCTCGACTCGCGTTTGGACTCATCACACAACCAGACAACGATCGTGATCAAGCCAGCTGCTTCGTAATCTACCACAGCTTTTCTACATATTCTCGGTCTACTGCACCCGAGAGCTGCCGATGAGTTACATCCATGCACTTTACAGCTTTTCTTGCCAGCACTACACACTTAAATGTTAGACTGTAACTTTGAAATTTACAGAGAGAATTAACTAGCTTAGTAGTTATCTATTCGTAGATGGTTAAATCATCCTAAAGTTGCGTTGGTGTCTGCGGGTGGTGTTGCTGTTGAGGTGTGAACGCCAAGTGGCTCATCGAAGACGCTCAGTTGCCGTATTCGTGTCGTATGCATGTCCGGCGAAAACATCTATTCCGCCCAGATGACCGTGTTGAGACCCACCGGGTTTCCAGAGTTGGGGTCTGATGGACCAGTGACCGTCAGATTTGCAGCGAGGGCACCAAGCTTTCCAGTGGTGATGTCGCGCTTTACGATAGCCACATTGTCCGAAATTTGGTCACCAATGGCGATGTAGTCACCAGCTAAGTTTAATTCGAAGCTGCGGGGGAGCAGACCGTACGCTGAGGTCAGCTCTGTCCAAGCAATTGAGCCATTAGCCGCAATGTCGTACTGAGTAAGAGAATCGTAGGGCGCGAAGGACTGATCACCCCTGTTGGAGGTATACAGGAAGTTTCCTTGGACCCTAATCTCTCCCAGGCTCGCGCCAGATGGAGCAGTGCTGTTGCCCTCGTAGGGTGTAATGATTTGCTTTGGAGTCAACTCCAGGCAGCCGCCGCTAGGGTACGACACGCTCCATCCAGTCACGGTGTTTGACAGCTCGTTGGCAACGTAGAGTACGGTACCCCGGCCCTGTGCAGCCCTGGACTTGGAGCAAGAAGGAGACCAGAAGGCAGCGTGACGAGGTCCAGCACCATACAATGTCTTTGCAGATGGACACTGGGTCAGCTTGCCGGTATTCTTGTCAATCTTGTTGATGTGGATCTTGTCTGAACCAAGATCAGTGACCAGCAGGAAGTCGCCAGTTGGGTCCACAAGGACTTGGTGCGGATGTGGTGCCTCCTGACGATCTGGATCCGCGCCAGGGCCATCCAATGTGTAGTTTAATGTCTGGAGAGGCCTGCCATCTTTCAAAGGCAATTTGTAAGTTGACACCTGCGCAGTGTGGTAGTGCGCATTCGCGATGAATCCTCTGCCGTCCTTGCCGCCGTACAGCACAGTTGCGACTCCACCACGGGGCGTAGTTGTGTTTCCAGCCTTGGTCAAGGCGCCCTTGGCGTCGACGGAGTAGGAGACGAGCACTCCGCTACTGTTCTCGTCGAAATTCTCGTCAGGAATGTACAGCTTCTTGCCTACGGCGTCGTAGGTGATCCAGCTTGGCAGTGTTTGACCGGTCTTCTCGGAGCTCACAAGGGTCAAGGAGTTGTTGTTGAAAGTGAGGTGGTTGATAGTTCCGGAGTAGTGTGTCGCGTACAGGTTTGCAGCCGCCGCAGCTCCTCCAAATAGCGGAATTAGCAATGATTGAGTTGGCAACATGGTGAACTGGAATTTGCAGGTCTCTGTATTTACGAGTTATGGGGAAGACCTGCTATATGTACGACATCTGTTCCTTGCTGGTAATCACCGCGACTGTCACTCTTTCCATTGGCTTGGCCTGCACTTGAAACATTGTTTAGGGAGGCGGCAGGCCAACGGGCCGACTTCAGCACACGTTTTTCTGACTGCCACAGTGCTCCTGCTTGCTAGTGCCGGATCAAGAGCTTGGCCCTCCCGATGTCGGGTAATTCATTATTGGACTTATCGTGTCTTCTGGGGGTTGGGGCCCGAATCCCCCGGAGAAAGACCCCAAATTTCGTTTCTGCGGGGTCGGTACTTCGTATGCAGATCAGATCCTTCTTTTCTTCCCTCTCGCATCATGCAGCTAGGTACTTGAGGCGTTGTCTCTCAGCCGCTGTACGACAAGGCTGGGTACTGAATCTGCTTCGCCCCTCGGCTGAACGCGCTCCTCCTATGCATGCATTCTGTCTACCGATGAACATCACTTCGCGGAGGTCTGACATAGGATGATTTGTCCCATAACCATCGTTAATAGATCCATATACGTAGGTAATAGGTACTGTGTTGCTGCGTACCGTATATGCTTGCTTGTCGGTCACTTATTCACCTGGCAACCTGCACTATTCCTTCTCACTTCAGAAGCAGTCATGCGTAGGGATAATTGTACCTCCCGTTCCACTAGATTTGCCGCAGATACAGTCATCGCAGCAAGGTGAGATGCAATGAAGTCCTTCGCGTTTTGGGCTAGCTTCCAAGTAGAGTGCAAGGGTATTTGCTGACGGTGTCGCTGCTGATGACGCTCGTTCCTTCTCGCCCACAACACATCACATCGTCACGCCCTGCCAGACTGCACCGCTATTACTTCCACCTCTTTAAATTGCATACGACTTTTACTGCGATGGCTGAAGTTGCATGGCCGCCAAAAGACATAACAACGCCCACGGTGTCTGCAGAGAATGGTGTTCTCTCTGTAACCGGCTCGGGGAAAATCAATGCACCAGCGTCGTTCGTGTTCGACATTTTGCTCGATACCTCAACCTATCCGAAATGGTGCACACTTGTCCCCAGAGTCAGCATTACAGAACAGCCTGCGTCTGCGACTCGACCTGCCAATACTGAATCGGGCGACGCGTCTCCAATCATCCAGCGGGGCACAAAGCTCACCTTGCATGCTGTAATGGGCAGTCCAGGCTCGAAAGAATCGCCTTCGCACATGATCGTTAGCGATCTGTCAACCCCATCAATGCCGTCTTCATACATCTCGCCTGCGACCCTTGGCGCTTCCCCAGTGTACACCGCAGATCTCTCACAAGTGTATCGCGTTGCCTGGAAGGGCGATAAGATAGACTTCATTGGCAAAAACATGAATGTCGAGCGTTTCAACGAGGTAATCATCAAAGGAGAAGAACAGTGTGAGATACATTCGTGGGAGGTCATGGGCGGTGTGTTGGCGTATCCAGTCAAGTGGCTGTACCAGAAAACGCTCATCAAAAAGTTCGATGAGTGGTGCACAGGATTAAAGGCGCATGCAGAGAAGCAATGGGAAGAGAGACAACGACAGGAGGGTGGAGTCCGTGCAAGCGAGCCCTGAGAGCTTGTGTTGCGGCATTTCCTTCCGGGAGCGCCTCTGAAAAGTACCATCTGATCGGTCGTTGCGGTATGCAATTTCGTTTCGTCGCCAAATGAAGTCCATTCAACTATGCTGCAGGTCTTGGTGGTGGTCATCTCCCGCACAATCGTCACGGCTCGGCTATTACGTTCTTCCGCCAAACGCAGATGTACAGAGTCGAGGTAAAAAGCTGACGCTCTCCATCAAGTCAGCTGAGCGCTGCTGCCTATAAGACTGATTCGGAACGGTTGACTGAGGTACAAAGGGTGGGCTGCTCGCTCGAACACCACTCCCGTGTCAGCGGGACATCATTCCAATTCGCGATCGTTGTCATCTCACCATCATTTTAGCTCAGCTACAACACGACTTTCACATATGGAGACTATCATCGACCAGATCCGAGTATTATCTGCCACTCAAGAGCAGCTTCGAGACGTACAGCGAGATATCGCCTCCAACTTCGATCTAGTCTGGGGTCTGAGATCCGATTTAGGTGATGAATTGCGTTTCATTCGATTCGCAATGTCAATGCCTTTCAGCACATGCAATGGGTCTTTATGCAGATTGGCACCGACCTTGACGTCTTCACGACTCTTGCAGCCAACCGCAAAACCAGTCCGACTACAGCACTTCTTCATGGCATCAGTACGTCGCCGACCCTACTCGCCCATCTCTTCCGGTCAATGGCAGCCTTCGATTTCATCGTCCGAACTGACAAGATCACGTTCACCGCAACCCGGATCACGAAAGCGCACCCTGATGTCTTTGGTGCCTTCCCGCATGTCACGCACACTTGCACGATCTGATCACTCAAGTACTGCCTCAATATCTGCATGAGCATGGATATCAGGTCATGGAAGATGCTAGAGAGCCTCCCGTCTATGTGGCTTTGAAGACCGCTCTACCTTCGTTCGGGTGGATAAAGCAACATCCTGAGCAGATGAAAGCGCTTGGCCATGCGATGCAGATCAAACAATTGCACAGCTGAGTCTAGTCATACCCTATCGAGAAGTACATTGGCAGCTTCATAGCTGCAGCTGACTCTGCCCCCCTTGTTGATGTCGGCGGCGGCTTGGGACAGCAAGCTGCAGCATTCAAGTCGCGAGTACCGTCAACATCAGGTCGCATCGTCGTATAAGATACTGCTTCAGCATTGACCCATGTACCCAGCGTTGACGGTATCGAGAGCAGCACGACTTGTTCAAGCCGCAAATTATCGAGGGGCGAAGTACAACTGTACCCAGCACATTCTGCATGACTGGACCAACGAGGACATCATTCGTATACTCCATAACCTCATTCTTGCCTTTTACGCGGAATCACGCATCGTGATCGATGGGGTAGTCCTGTCAGATACTAATGTTCCCAAGTACAAAGGCAGGGTACCTGCAGGATCAATATTGTTACCGCACTGTTCCAGCAACACGTTGCCAAGTTCTTCAAGATAGGGTAGGAAGGCCTCCACATGACTGTACAGACGTATATCACCGCCAGATATGAACATGATCGGTACAAGATCAGTGCATGCGCGGGTGCTGTGACATAGAATTTAGCCATCATGATAGGGGTGGCCACGAGCTCTGCAACTCGACTTGCAATATGCCCAATGACAGAGTCCACATTAAAGTCGTGTCTAGCTTCGTAAAGAGCTGTTTACGATCCTCTCGGGCGTAATGTTGAGCTGCTCTATCGCGTGTCCAACCCTTGCCTTGACAAGCGCATCGACTTCCATGAGAAGATCGAGACTCTTACAGAATTGTGGGAGATATGTGGAATCGCTTGCATCTCACAGTCATTGGACGCGCCCATAAAGTCTTTGTGCGAGCTCAACGATGTGATGGCGGTGCGGAAGTAAAATCCGAGAAGCCAGTCGTCGCCGTGTGTTGTGACCCATAGAGATCTTCAAAGATGGACGCACTAGTTCCGATACTCGCATCCAATAGAGTGATTGCCGCTCTGGTGGACTGGTCAAGCTAGTTGTAACTGCGTGAGCAGTGTCGGTCGGAGACTGTGATCAACGATTGTATTGCTATCTGTTGTCTTGTTGTGTGATGTCGTGATGTGTGTTCTCAGCTCTCAGGTAAGTGCACTTGCCCACCGGGCAGTGCCTGCTACAATAAGATATCATGTGATCAGAGCCACGTGGTTACACTAGTCGAGAAGTCCTCTAATGCTAGACATGCTGGTAGTGTGATGTGTTTTGAAGGCTAGGTGCATCACAGTCCCTGCCTGCTATAGCAAGCACATCGCGGCCGTCCATTGCCACATTGTTCTCACGCATTCAGAGCAAGACTTTTGCACGCTGTTAGGGATTCACGACCATCCACTTCGAGAGCGCTGACAATCAAGTCTAGCTATCCTAGTTGAGCAGTCACTGATCTCCATGTGCCGAGCGTGCACACACCAGATTCAGAGGTGGTAAGAAAGCAAAGGCTGTGCAAAAATTGGCGATTCCAACGCCATAGCGAAAGCCAGCTGCTGTCTACCCCATATATACAGTCTGACAAGTGTGCTGGAATCCCTCTCTTGCAAGAACGTACTGTCATTACTACATCGTCCATCTCGCGTATTATGCCGGCCAGCGGTCTAGTTGTCGTTGTTCACGTTTGACTGCAGCAAGTCAGCAGGGTTCACAGTAAGTTGTTCGTACAGCAAATACTTACCACGAGCCAATCCATGCCTTCGTCCACACCTCGGCCATCGACCGCACTGCAGGCGACAATACTCCAGTTGCGGTCTTTGAGCTCTCCTAACCTCAAAGCTTCACTAATCTCACCTGCGCCCTTAGCGCCCGGTTGATCTTGCTTATTTGCAAAGACTAGCAATGCAGCGTCTCGCAATTCTTCCTCGTTGAGCATGGCAGACAGCTCCTCAGCTGCTGTAGAAAGACGGTCGATGTCGGTACTGTCGATTACGAAAATTACGGCGGCGGTGTTGGCGTAGTAGCACCGCCAGTACGGGCGAATTGAAGTTTGGCCTCCAAGATCCTGAGATATGTCAGACTTCGCCGAGCAATCACTTTTTCTTTGGCGCACGTACCCAGACATTGAAGTTGAGGTTCTTGTATGTCACCGACTCGACGTTGAATCCAATGGTCGGTATTGTCGTGACGACTTCGCCGATCTGTTGCGCTTCTTAGCAACCGCATCACGGAGTATGTCTGCCTCGCATTGAAAGCGCGCGGCAACGCTTGCCGGTATGGATCGTGTTTCCACATACCTTCAGCCTGTACAACAAGGTCGTCTTGCCAGCATTGTCCTGTGTTTGTCGTCAGCACCTGAACTTCAGCAGCTTTACCTGTCTTGGTTTCTCTTACAAGTCCCAGAATGAGTATTCTTGTCTCCTTCTTTGCCCAAATCAACCCCGAAAACTTGGAGATATAGCCACCCATGCTGTGTGTTTGCTGTGTCTGCGTCGGGTTTGACTCGCGGTGCAGCTTGCTGACCGCCGGTGGAAGCTTTCGCGCAGTCGAAGCGGTCGGGAGTGTCCGTGGAACGATCGAGAGGTCGAAGGTCGATACGGCCCACTTGGAGAGGTTCAAGAGAAGTGGCAGTGTTTGTGTCGTGTGTCAAGATAGCGTCGCTGTCTGGCCAGAAAGTTGTGGCGGTGGCTCGGCTGCAAACAAAGCAAACATGGGGCATCCACTAACGTTAGCGCAGCCGCAGCCGTCTCGCAGGGTCCCGCGAGTCTTCACACTAACTCCTTCACCGCAACTGCACGCCTGCTCGCAGTAGGGCCGACCTGTCCTTATTCACCAGTTCTGGATTGAAGGAGTCACATAGCGTTCATGCATGGTCTCGCGTGCTTGGCTTGCAACCAGCTGCTCAAGGCTGCCGGTACAGACGTGCGGCGTGATACAAGTGAGTGCGGTCTGCGGAAGTCCTGCACCTGTTGAAGATACTGGCAATCAAAGACCCTTGTCAACTGTATGGCTGGTGCCGGCTGGCCTGCGACCTGAAAGCGTGCAAACTACCCGTACACTGCCTGTGCGAGTGTGAGACAGCCATGTCTGTAGCATTGCATTGTGCGACTTCTGTTGTGGATATATCTCATAGTGTTCTCTTTCCAAATGCTCTAAATTCTACAAGAATGTTTTTGTTTTGATCTGCGAGCTGAGTCTTCCAGGCTCCTGTTTCACGTCTACGGTTCACAATGCTCCTTGCAGAGTTCTCTGCTTGTTCCTCTTCAGCTAGAATAGAGTGGTCGTTTCTCCGGCCTGTCTGCTCTGTCATAACCATAGGCTCTGTAAAGCAAAGTCAGAATCTCTCTGCTGCCTGCATTGAAGAAGGTGGCCGTTACCCACTTTTTTCCATTCATCAAGATCACAGCACAAACGTGACGACACAATCTCTGCCATGCCCTACCAAACACAAAACTCCATGAGCCGACCGCGAGACTACAGACCAGAATCTCCTACCAATAAAGGGCTGGATCGCCTTCGGTACTGCCGAGAGTACATGGGGCAGAGGCGACTGCGTGAGAATGTTGAGCGTCGGTATCTTCGACAGCCCATGGACCTACCAAGATACACAAACAACTGGACCAGATATTCTGGCTATCTGCCGTCCACAAGGAATACCAGGAACCCTCCATGGATCCTGCAGCCGTACATGATCCGTTACAATGCTGACTGGCATGTATACAGCTTGAACAATCCATGCCAGAGGAGGTGAGCTTCGCTCGTCCCAGTCTACATTTTGCACCCTCCAGGAACGACCCCTATTCGGCAGGTCAGAATGAGACGTGCGTCAGGCTCGAGAATTGATGCCGATGAGCTTGATAACTACGACGCGCGCGACAATATCGAATCTCTTGCAGCGGACCTGTTTGCGATGGATGATGATGACCCTACGTTATCCAAGATACCTTTAGGACATTTTCGAGGAGTTGGTCTGCGAACTGTGACTAACCACGTCTGGTTCTATATCCCCAGTAACCGCCGCCCACATTACTACCAGTGCCCAGATCTTCATGATATAATGACTGTCAGAGAGCTACAAGACGAGGCCAGGATCCGACAACTGAACCTTCTGCACACCGACAAGAAATATTTGTTGGGTGCGCTGAGAGTCGACAGTGAAGCGTTCACAGGGCAATTCCGAGACTTGCGCAGCCACAGTAGTCGCGCTCTGCGGTTTCTGATCGGACGCCACCACGTAGACATCGTCACTGATTGTCCGTACTCTAGAGACGAATTAGATTTCTTAATTGCTGACAAAATAGCGCGTGGAGCTGTCGATGTGCATAAGGCGGGGTTGGTTGAGGTCACCTCGGCCACGAATGATAAAGAGGTTCATGCTAATGGGATTCTTGATAAAAAAAGTACACTCATCGACTACAGACGAAACAGATAGCAGAAGACCATTGAAAGAAGACCAACCTCACAATTCTGTAGGCAAAAAGCGAGCTCTTGACACTGGCGCACCAGAGTCGCTGCCCAAAAAGTCTAAGGTTCTACCTGCAAGTACAGAGCACGTCAACGTTGGCTCAAACACGGAAGCAAGTCGGTTTGCTAGAGTCAAGGGCTGAGTCTCCAAAGCGTATCGACAAGGAAGGGGATTCACCGCCAGATCGCGACGATTCCGAGTCCAAGCGCTCAGATGATGAAGATATGTCTACGGATACGCGTTCGACCGAGAAGAAAAAGGTACCAAAATCTATCATGAGGCGTTTCGTATTCGATTGACCTTGTTGATTATCACGAGGCTTACCTTCATGCAAGGCTTCTCCATACCTGCTAGCTCGCCATCGAGCCACCTCGGACAGCATCGCAGACTCGGCCTTGCTCAATAGCACAAGCATTTTGGAAAATTGGAGCGAGCTAAGTGGAATGGCAAAGCTCTTGCTCAATGATTATCTTCCGAGCGCAGGCGCACAATTGAACCACTATAGTTATACTCCTGAAGTAGATCTTCCTTGTTAACGCAGCTTGGAGATATTCAGATTAAAATTGGGACAGCCAAGTGAAGGGCATAGGTAAGAACGTGTACAAATATAGCCTAGCCATGCAGACTATACTCCATATGCTGTTCTCTTCAGATCTGGAGCCTGCACCTCAGGGCCTGTTGGGCGCTGTTCATCACATCGATAATCCCAAGTGCGCTGTGAACTTGTTGATCGTGGAGTCATCTATAAGCGCAAGCGCTGTCCTGCATGGACACGACCTACAATAGCCTGCGGTAAATCCCCTCCAACGTATATCTAGGCCCACTTCTGGTACCTTTTGGCTTTCTGAAAGGCCTGCTTGTACTGGTTGTGCTTCTCAGACCTCTTCACCAAAGCAGTCGCGTTCCTAGGAGGGATGGTCTCCCAGCTGCGCGCGTACGTAGCAGCCATATGCGCAATAGCCCTTGCGAATTCGATCCAGGCCTTGAGGTTTAGGTTACTGACTGTATCGCCGTCCTTGTGGTAGTTGACATCGTAGGGAACACCAGCACCTCCACCGAACATCTCAAACTCTTCCTGAGTCTTGATACCTTCAACCCCACCAGCAATACCGCCTGCAGTGATGCCAGCCTTGAGGAACGGACCGTAGTCTGAGCGTCCATCAAACTCAGCCTCGGTGTGGTTAAGACCGAGATTGTCAAAGTAAGCAGCGAACTCGTGCTCGGCTTCCGCGGAGCCGGCCGGGACCAGTGGAGTTGTACGCTGAACCATCACCATCGTATATCTGGATGGCATAGTTGGGTGATGCCATCATGTCGAAGCCAAGGAAGAGACGGATATTGTCCTTATCAGCCTGCGATAGCTGCTTGACGTAGTACTCAGCACCAAGCAGGCCAGCCTCCTCACCTGCTCACCAAGAGAAGCGAACAGCATTGTTAACAGTAAATTTTCTCAGCTGAATCGCGATCTCAAGAATGGAGATAGAGCCAGATCCGTTATCGTTGATAGCTGAGCCGGCTGTCACGGAGTCGAAGTGTCCACCAACGTGAATGACGTTGTCGTGATCACCAGCAATGGTCTCAGCAATAACGTTATAGCTAGTGGCATTCTGAACAACACTCTTCAGATGCACGAAAATGTCGACGCCGGCTTGAATTTGAGCCCCGAGAGACTCTCCTTGGCCGAGTGTAATGCCGACGGTTGGCACGTAAGGATTTGCAGGATCCTCGAAAAGCTGCAGCGAGTAGCCTTCAAGCGTACCTTCGCAGTTGTTCCAGGCGATGACGTCCAGAGCGCCTTTGGCAGCTGCGAACTGGACCTTCACACCGAAAAAGCAGGTACCACGGTTAATCAGAGCGATTTTGCCCTCCAAACTATCGGTAAAATCCGCCTGACTTGCGTCACTAAAAATGATCTTCGACGTGTAATGATAAGATTACCTTTTCTCAGCCTAGGTTGGGAATGGAGACCAGAGGTCCAGAAACATCTCCTTCGGGTGCCAAAGTGGTTGGGAAAGCCTCAATAGTCTTGTTGTTTGCGGCCAGGTTCGTAGACACACCAACCAAAAGGGGGAAGCCCCTGAAGCTGCACAGTGTAGTAGTCCGGGAACTGATCAAGAGTCTCCTTGATCCACCTAACAGTGTCCTCGTGGCCCTTGCTGCCAATCACCCGATTTTTCCCCGCAGACCTGTAGGCAATGGACTGTAAATGCTCGGCCTTAGCGTACAAATTATCGATGTCAAGCAAATACCTCAGAGCTTCATGTATGAGTGACAGCTGCGAAGGTTGCAAGAAAGAAGGAAAGGACTCACCGAGGTTACAAGCTTCTCGGTGGAGTTAGCACGAGACAGCAAAGCCGCGGCATGCGCGAAAGTCGTTGCACAGGCAGCAGCAGCGGTGATCAGCCTGAGCACAACCGTTTTCAAGTTCTGGCCTGTTCCGACCTGCAGGAATGTTGAAGGAAGTGGCCGGTCATGGAATCTTGTCTCCGCCCCTCATTCATATCCACGGCAGCCATCAGTCACGTTGCGCTCCCAAAGACCAGGAATATCGGCTATCGCGTACAGCCTGATGTTGTAATACATCAGACAGGGAGCTCGTTTTATGAAAATCGTACAACATGCGTCCTTGGCATACCCGTAGAATGCTTGGCGGTCCCGACCTGCCTCTTCGGTGGTAGTGAAGTAAGAGAGGATGCGAGCTGTGAAGTGAGCATGTCAATGGCCACGCGACTGCATGCGAAGAGGAGCAAAGTCCATGTTAAGACGTGATAAGACGCCTTGGCAGGCTTGACCGATGTGTCGTACTATGGGTTGGCCTACCTATTTTTTGAATTATGCAGGAAAGAGCGGCAGTGGTTTAGATAACAGTATCGCACAGGACGAAGGCACAGAGCGGATACCATCGGCCGATAGAACAGGCAACGAATGCCAATGCCATTACTGCCCTTATTGCCTGATGTTTGATGGATCTGACGGACGTCTTGAAACTGTGAAGATTGATCTTGATCAGCTTGATGATGTTCATTAATATCGACGAGACCAAGGCTACCGTAAGCAAAGCCGAATCTGCGAGGTTGCATTACCTGGGCCAGCCGGAAAACGATTGTTGTAGTCATACGCAGACCGTGTAGGTTGTCAGGACTCAGAGGTAACACCATTCTTCCTCCTTGTAGACAACAACCCAGCACTGTTTCCTTCTCTGATTCATGTCAGTAGCAGTCACAGACCACCCGCAGGACGAGCCGGAGATCTGCCTACAAAGACCGGGAGTAATTGTTCGAAGACCTACTGCGACATCGAAAAGTCTTTGTTGGAGTAATCAAGACGATCCCTACGTTGCCGACGAGGCACCAAGTCATGGCATTGTCGAGAATGCTAAAGTACCAAGGTGCTCTCTTATGAGATATCGGAGGGTTGCGCAGACGAGGTGCCATTATTGTTCATCTCTAATCTGAATCTGCCAGTCATCCCCTATTGGTCGGGGAATTCTTGCCGAACTCCTTCTCTCATCATATTGGAACCTGCTCTTCGTCCAGACGACTGAGGGAGTCTGATTTCGCTCACGGACGTCATTCGATCCATGAGCTTGCGTTCGCAAACAACTGCTGGCTCGAACGAAGTCTCTTAGCATCGTCAACAGTATGCTCCTTCAGACATGGCAACAACGATGGCCCCTTGCCCCGCCGGATACCTCCCTGGCATTGAAATAAATGGGGAACACGTGAAAAGTTCTGGAAGAGGGAGGTTTAGGCTTGTGGTGGATTCTTCCCTTGATCCAGACAATCAAGACTTGTAGCCGTGACGATCTGGCCCATGGACCGAGTGAGGCTCCACATCCTAGAGAACCGGGCCGAGAGACTTTCACAGGGGCTAGACGTTCACCATGTCTAATCATGGCCAAAGGGGCTGACATATGTCTGGCTGATGTCGCAAAGTAGCCGAGTCGGCTACTATCGAATAGGATTCGAGAAGGCGATGCTTGCGCCGTCAAGTGTTAACGACCCTATCGTCATGGTTGGCGTCCCGGGCTACCAAATGCGGTAAGTCGATGGTAGATGTTGAGTTTGGTTGGTGTGAGGTCCGCATTTGCGGGGTGGCTCTGGAGTACCCCGCATCCGCGGAGGCGGGCTAGTCGGATAGCTGTTCACGTCGCGTGTCTGAAGTGTGCAGTGTGCAGTGTCCAGGTGGCGTGTTCCGGACCATGTCCACACTTGCTTCGTCTTCCTGCAGCATTTGTTGTGACGGCAGCCATTGAACATTGTCGGTCCACCGGCCGGAAGGCAACTTGGGAGGTGTCAACACGCGTTTCGGAATAGTCTACTATCAAGCGACGACCAATGCGTCCTTGGTCAACGATTGTCCTATTGACGGACACAATCTAGCGTCGTTCTGAGAGAGCGCATGGGTGTAGATCTCGCGTTGCTCCTGTTCACCGAGCTAGTAGGAGGGGTAGCTGGCGTGTTGACATGTATATAACTTGACGCAGGGCCCCTGCCTGTTCAGCCCAGACGGCTATCAGGTCTACTGAGTCGAATTCATCCTTACCAGTTCCCAAAGTCTACACACATTATGGTTCACTTCAGGACGGACATTGGCGCGACCAATGAGAAAGCGTCGCCAAACAACGAGAACTATGCCAAAGAACTAGAGACCGATGTTCTCATCGTCGGTGCAGGCTTTGGTGGTGTCTACCTAATGCACAAGCTGCGACAGTTAGGCTACAAGTGCAAGATCTTCGAGGCTGGCACAGAACTGGGTGGTATATGGCATTGGAATTGTTATCCCGGCGCAAGAGGTATGTGAATATTCACCGATTCAATAGCATGTTCCTGACTCTCTGTAGTCGACTCACAAGTTCCCATCTACGAATACTCGATGCCGGAGATCTGGAAGGACTGGTACTGGTCATGCCGGTACCCCGGCACTGACGAACTTCGACAGTACTTCGCCCACGTCGAGAAGAAGTTGGACATCAAGAAGGACTGTGCCTTCAACACTCGCGTTGTGGGTGCTGATTTTGATAAGCCATCTGGCAAGTGGAACATTAAGACCGAGGATGGCCGTACCGCGAAGGCCAAGTACATGTTACTAGCACTGGGCTTCGCTGCGAAGCGTCACTTCCCCGACTGGCCCGGTATGGACGACTTCGAGGGCGAGATCCACCACTCTTCGTTTTGGCCTGATGCTGGTGTCGATGTCAAGGGCAAACGCGTTGCTGTTATCGGTACCGGTTCGACCGGCATTCAGATTGCTCAAGAGACATCCAAGACGGCTGCTTCCGTGGCCAACTTCGTCCGAACTCCTAATCTCTGCCTGCCAATGGCGCAGCAGGAGCTTTCTCGCGAAGAGCAGGACAGGCGGAAAGAGACCGAGTACGAGCAAATCTTCAAGAATAGGCTCAACACATTCGCAGGTTTCCAGTACGACTACATCGAGAAAAACACCTTCGATGACAGCCCCGAGGAACGCGAGGCATTCTATGAGAAGCTTTGGCAGAACGGTGGCTTCGAGTTCTGGCTCGCGAACTACAAGGATCTCCTGTTCGAAAACAAAGCCAATCGTGAAGCGTACAATTTCTGGGCGAAGAAGACCCGTGCCAGGATCTCAGATCCCGTAAAGCGAGAGATTCTCGCTCCATTAGAACCACTTCACGCCTTTGGTACCAAGCGACCGTCGCTCGAGCAGAACTACTACGAGATGCTCAACAGACCTGAGAATCAAGTCATCGATTGCAAGAAGACTCCGATCGAGAAGTTCACAAAGGAGGGAATTGTAACGTCTGATGGCAAGCTGCACAAGTTTGACGTCATTGCCCTTGCGACCGGATTCGACTCGGTGACTGGCGGCATGAAGAACATGGGTCTGCGAAACGTCGATGGTGTCGAGCTTGCAGATACCTGGAAGAGTGGAACATACACATACATGGGCATGGCTCTCTCTGGTTTCCCCAACATGTTCTTCTTGTACGGCGCACAGGGCCCCACTGCTTTCTCGAATGGTCCAACATGTGTTGAAGTTCAGGGCGACTGGATTGTCAACTGCATGAAGAAGCTCCGAGACGAGAAGATCGACTACTGCGATGCCACTCGACAGGCCGAGGAGGACTGGCGCGAGAAGGTCACCGAGTTGTCAGACAAGACGCTGTTCCCACAGACAAAGAGCTGGGTAAGTAACCTCAATCTTGTGACTCCTCACCATTGTAAGCTTACATCATGCAGTACATGGGTGACAACGTTCCCGGGAAGATTCGTGAACAGCTCAACTTTGCTGGAGGCTTCCCGCTGTACAAGGAGCTGACGCAGGCGTCGCTTGACAAGGGTCTCGAGGGGTTCGTAACCGCATGAAGCGGTGGTGTTTCTTATTCATGCCTGTATCTGAGCGTTCAATGTTGTATATAACACGGTCCCAATACCATGAATGGTTCAATCCAACTATTTCTTCTTGCAGTGGCGTCAGTTGACTCGGTGTTCTTTCCCTCGGTCGAGCGCCAGCAACAATCCGGGTATACAACAGTCGTAGCGACACTGCTGTGGCGATTGTGGCGAAACAGGCGCTGCGCAGTGTTGAATGTCGATGTAGTTCGTGGGTAGCCGGTCGTCCGCAGAGCTCCTCGGCGCATATTTTGTCCGTGCGCATGAGTGTCACAAGCTCGCCACGCGCATCAACGTCATGGACGGCGAATTGACAACTCGTTCACCTTCATGGACCTTTCCCGCGCCGCTCGCGTCCAGTATCTCGTACCATGAGGACAGTCTTCCTGCTAGGTCGACAATGTCTTCGGCAAGGTCTGCATCAGTCTGCGCCCTTCGTCACCCGCGCGTCTACACGGCCGTTCGCGTCCGCCGCACGCCGACAATTCGCAACACCTCGATTCGGCGGCAAAACAGTTCTATGGTCTGGTGCTGCAGCAGCGGGGGGTGCTGCTCTCAGTCCGCTCGCGTTCGTTGAGATCGGTCACGACAAGTCTGGCAACGGAGAAAAGACTCACGAAGAGGCCATGCTCGAGGTCTCTAGGAAGGAGCTCGCAGAACAAGTACCAAGGTCAATAGAGAACTCGAAGAAGTACAGGCGTAGTATCTACTTCTTCGTTGAAGACTACATAATTGAGCCCATAGCCACCGGCTTGCGGTTCTTGCATCTAGTCATCATCTTTGTCCCTGTCATTGTAACAATACCTGCGATATGGATCGGCGCAAGGAACACCGATAGAGATAACGAGAGAAGTGGTACTATATGGTGGTATGGCTTCCTCGTTGGTTCCATGGAACGAGCTGGAGCTGCTTTCATCAAGGTATGCACATGAATATGAGGCTTAGACAGCGACTAATGTGTACCAGCTAGGGCAATGGGCCGCCTCAAGAACAGACATCTTTCCCACGGAGATGTGCTCTATCATGTCTACCCTTCACTCCAACGCACCGGCGCATTCTCTTGAGACCTCGAAACGCACGATAGAAGCCGCTTTCGATGGCCGCAAGTTCGATGACATATTCGAACAGTTTGATGAAAAGCCTCTGGGCGTAGGAGCCATTGCGCAAGTCTACAAAGCCAAGCTCCAGCCCGATCTGGCTACGCTACAGAACAACTCAATCGACCGCGAAGAGCCAAATCTGGCACGCAAGATCAAAAAGAATGTTGACGCAACGTTGAAGAGCACGCCACAGCGGGTCCCTTCAAGTCATGTCGCTGTAAAAGTTCTGCATCCCAAGATTGAAAAGATCGTTCGAAGAGATCTGCGCATAATGGCTGCATTTGCGGCTGTAATCAATGCGATCCCGACAATGGAATGGTTCTCGTTCCCGGATGAGGTGGAGCAGTTTGGCGAGATGATGAGACTTCAGCTCGATCTGCGCATCGAGGCTGCGAATCTTACCATCTTCCGCCAGACTTTCAAGGATCGCACAACAGCATGGTTTCCCTACCCTTACACAGAGTACTCAACTCGCAATGTTCTGATCGAGGAATTTGCGCAGGGCATACCAATGGAAGATTTCCTGCAGAACGGTGGGGGGGTATTCCAGAAGGACATTGCTGATGAGGGCCTTGATGCATTCCTCAACATGGTGCTTATTGACAACTTCATCCACGCCGATCTGCATCCTGGCAACATCATGGTTCGCTTCTACAAGCCTGAGAAGCTAGACGTACCGATCTTCACGCGCAAAGAGAACCGAACTACTGGTCCAACTGAATCGGCCGATGTGACAGAAGAAGTGCTGGAACGCTTGAGACCGCATCGCAAGAATCCTGAACAATGGAAGACCCGACTACAGGAAATCGACAACGAAGGCTATCGACCCCAACTGATTTTCATTGATGCGGGACTGGTGACGGAGCTCAACGCCAAGAACCGCACCAACTTCCTGGATCTCTTCAAAGCAGTCGCAGAATTTGACGGCTATAAGGCGGGTCATCTCATGGTCGAGCGATGTAGACAACCCGAGGCTGTTTTGGATGGTGAGGTGTTCGCTCTGCGAATGCAGCATTTGGTCCTAGGTGTCAAGAGTCGCACCTTCGCCCTCGGCAACATCAAGATCGGAGACATTCTGAACGAGGTACTGTCGATGGTGCGAACGCATCACGTGCGACTGGAGGGCGATTTCATCAACGTTGTTCTTAGCATTCTGCTTCTCGAGGGCATTGGGCGAAATCTGAATCCGGAGCTGGACCTCTTCGCTGGGTAAGTAGCACTCCTTGAGCAACAGTCGCATACACTAATACCCTACAGTGCCCTTCCCATCCTACGACAACTCGGCGCTCAAGGCGGTGGGTCCATGATCCGCGGTGGAGACTTCTCAATGCTCAAAGTCTGGGTTGGTCTGGAAGCACGCAGCTTCTTGCAGGCTTCAATCGATACTGTGAGTTCCTTTATCGACGTTTTCGCTACCTCCAACTGACAATCTGCAGGTCGAACGTTGTGTGAAGTATGATCAGTTGTCACCAAACATTTAGAATCACCCTTTGCATGATAGACTACAATGCTGCGCGTTTGCAAGGGAAGCGGGCTTGAGTCACATTTAGAGTAAACCATATTTACAATGATACCACAAATACGTTCGTGAAATGCCAGCTCCTGTATGCATACACGATTGATTCCTGGCCTTGCTGTATCTTCTCCGAGGAATTTCTCTGATAGTTCAACGTCGGCTGCAAGTGTTGAAAGCGCAGAAGCATGGGAGGTTCCCACTACTTCTCAGCGGGTGTTCAAGACTGGGATAGAAGTCTTCTGAGGACTAGCTACAACGATGTCAGATCGATGTGGCACTGGTGGGGTCGCGGGGCTGACGTCACAAGTTACAACCGCAAGTTCGAGCTTCTTTACTGCTACCTCTCACAACGACAGCATACCAATTTGAACGATCCAATCCTTGGGCTCCGTTTTCACCCACGTCCGAATACCCTTGAGTCCCGAAAACACAGAACCGCCGGCATCCGCTTCCACGTGTGTATGATGGAACCCGCTGCTGCTGGAATCCTGTACGCGGCACAGGATGTATTGTCTGGTGCCGCCGCTCTCGTGAAGGGCATTACGCACCCAACTCAACCGATCAAAGCAAACCTCACACGAATCACCTCTGTTCCCTTGCCACGGTCGCAGCACACCGTCTCAATCGTGAAAGGACGAGCCTACATCTTTGGTAAGCCAATATAGCTGAGACGAAATGAGATACTGACTAGTATACTAGGTGGTGAGACAGCACCAGGGAAACTCGCCGACAATGACATGCACATCGTAATCCTTCCATCAAGCGGTGTCCTCGATGCAGACTATACCTCGAAGCCCGCACAAGCTGCTAACGGCCTGGACGATGTTCCAAGATCACGAAAGGGCCACACAGCTGTTGTAATAGGTGACACCATTTACATATGTGGCGGTGAAGGACACGGGATCACCAATGAGAACGGCAGGATATGGGCATATCACACGGTGTCGAATGCATGGTCGTACCTGGACCCAGCTCCTGGCACGACGGCTCCAAGCCATCGCGTGGGACACACTTCAGCCAGTTCAGATCTTCCAGCTGCAAAGACTGTAACATATCAAGAGAAATCTCCACAGCAGCCGGCCGATCCCGTCAAAGTGGTCCCCGAACCGCCAGTCGATGATACTTGGGGCACCATATTTATTGTAGGCGGCCACGATGCCTCCAGTCGAGCGCTTGCTACCGATGCTCTGGCCTTCGACTTGAGGTCGCGCACATGGTCGAACATACCTTCGCCGCCGGGGCAGCCGCGTGAGGGCGCGAGCCTCGCACTTGCGGGCAGCAGGCTGTATCGCTTTGGAGGCAAGGGAGTCGAGACGTTCGCATCTGGAGCATTGGAATACCTCGACGTTGCGCCTGTGTTTACGCATGCCGAAGGTGGTACTACACCGCTGACCAGTGGTTGGGCCTGGCAAGAGGTATCTCACGTCGAGTCGAAGGAATTGTCAGCACCGCAGGCTCGATCAAGTGCTGGCCTTGTCGAGCTCACTACTGGCCAAGGCCGGCACTATCTACTTGCTGTCGGTGGCGAAGATGAGGACTCCAAGTATTTGGATGACATCTGGACCTTCCAGCTGCCCTCAGAGCACGCTACCGCAGCAGCAACTAAGGATGCTATACGCGCAAGCATAAAGCGCAACACTCACCAAGCAACTTGGGCAGAGGTACTTTACGAGTACGTTGATACCAAGGGCGAGGAAGAGAAGGAAATTCCCGGTGAGCCCAGGCGTGGGCTTGGTGAAAGGGGCCAGTTCGGCCTTGCCAAAGGCACAGAAGTTGATGGAGCCACTTGTGTCGTCTGGGGTGGGGTGGACTCTCGGGGGAATGTACTGACCGATGGCTGGATGGTTACGGTCGACAGGTAGTCGCCCAGCCCTTACGTCAGTTGGAAGTCCAGACACAGGCCTTGAAGCTCAAAAATTGGTAGGCATTCAGCTGGAGTCTACGATTGCTCTGCAATCTTGTTTTAAATTCTGGAGATTATTTTCTGGTTTCGTCTGTCAGACCAGGCTTTTCAACGACCTAAGAGCCACTCTCCACGTGGGAGTGCATGAACCAGTGACTAGATTCGCGGACGCCCAAGTGTCAGTCTCAAGATCAGTTACCATTGCACGTCGTTCCACTAGACTCCTGCCTAGTTGGCGCCATGACGGGCTTTGCGCTGATGATACTCAGGAGCAGGACTGATCCCTTTCCTGTACCACAAAGCCCGCTTCTCTCGCTCGTTACCATTGCCGATACCAAAATTCTCGTCTCTGGCGGCACTCTCTTCAACCCACTGGCAGTCTCGGAAGGATGTTCTCAGGTCATTGTAAGCGAATGGCGCTCGGCCATGGCAGTGAGAGCCTAGAAGCAGAATAATCACCTCGCTCGCAGTGCGACTGTAGCAATGCGGTATGCTCGAGAACAAATAGTTGGTTCTGTTGGAGCCGGTGGCTAAAATAGTAATCTGAAGGCGTAGTATACTTACAAGTGATCGCTGGAGATGTGGTGGAAGAAATGCGTGCCGACGATTTCCAATTCCATCCGATCAGCTGTTGAAGAAACGATCCTGAAGAACAAAACCACGGGCGCGTCCTACCCAACCTCCTCCATCTTGTCCAAGGCCCACACCGATTCGGCGTGCGTACTCATTGCGCTAGGAGGTACGTAGCTCAGATCCTTCTCGATAAGGTCTGCGTAGATGTGATGGCGGCGATGACAGGACTTTACTAAAGTACGGTGCGAGCAAGAACGAGTGCAGGACAAAGCCAACGGGGTCGTTCAAGGCATGCGACGTCGAGAAACCGCCATGGCCGGCATCATGGGCAATGATGCACAGTCCGGTCCAAACAATTCCGTGGCACGCACCATGGGTGGAGACAAGGCCGTGATACAGCAGAGAAGACTGCTGGGCTTGAGGCAACCGAAGACAGTACCAGAAAGCGCCGAGAAGTATGCGGGAGTGTGCAGGATCTAACCGTGCTCAGGCCCTGCGGTGCGATATGGACCGGATGGGATTCTGTTCAACAGCCGGGAGTCCATGGAGGGTATGTTCAACGACACGACGTGCGTTACCCTGGGCCGTGGCTGATGGGCTTGGAGAAATCTACGGCCGCAAGAACAATTTCATCAAAGGAAGAGCCTACGACGCCGTGAGAGTAGGACTCTACACTACGAATCCTTGGATATGCGACGGACGACGGAGGGGCCCTATCTCGAGTTCAAGCGTAGAGGCATGTAGTGAGCTCCTGAATGCCATGTATTCAAAGCACGTGTAGGCCTCTTTCGTCGGATACGAGGTAGCTACGAGTATTGAAAGCTCCATCAAAGTGTGTGACCATGAAGTGGCAAATTGAATGGATTTGACCAGCAGAAGTGCATGTTTGGTGGCCAGAATTCGTCTCGAGCATAACGATCTGTGCATTACTGCTTTGAGTCTAGTCCAGGGTTGTCGTCGAACCACTGATGAATGCAACCCCTGCTCAACCCTTGAAGAATGCACCTTTACCTTCGTAACGCCACCTCTAAAGAATGCACCTGCCCAACCTCCAAAGAATGCACCTGCCCAACCTCTGAAGAATGCACCTGCCCAACCTCTAAAGAATGCACCTGCCCAACCTCCAAAGAATGCACCTGCTCAACTTCTAGAGAATGCACCTGCTCAACCTCTAGAGAATGCGCCTGCTCAACCTCTAGAGAATGCGCCTGCTCACCTCTAATGAATGCACCTCTTCCTTCTTACGCCGTCCCAGACGCCACTCCATGCACGCCTTCCTCGGGACTTCTTCACGAATCCAGCGCCGGCGGCGGCAGCTCCGCCACAGGCAGCACATGCGCATGCGCGCTCGCGCGCCTCCCCTCGCTCCTGCCCCTCTCGCCAGCCTCGGGCTCGACGCTCTCCTTCTTCAGGCCGTTGCCGTTGGTGCCGTTGCCGCGGCGCTCGAATGCTTCCTTCTCGCTGAGATCAATGGCGACGAAGGACTTGGGCAGCTTGACACTGCGCAGCGTTAGTATGCCGTTTCTCTGTCTGTGCTGCTGGAGAGTGAGCAGGGGGAGGGGGACTTGCGTGTGGAACTTGGCCCGCAGCGTCTCGAGGACTTCCTTCCAGTCTTGATGTGCGGTGAGACTGCGGCGGGGCGAGAAGCCAATCATATGGCGGGAGTCGAGTTGCACATCCAGCGGCGCAAAGGCGTGACAGCCAGGCGAAAGCGTGATGCGGATGCTGTAGTTGAACGTGTGCGGTGCGTCGTCTGTGCTTGCGTTTTCAGACTCGTACAGCTCGAAATTGATCTGCGACAGGTAGTCCAGCTCAGGGATGGCGTTGCGCTCAATCTTGGTCTTGATGCCGCCTTCGAGGATGCAGTTGAGAAGCGTGTAGATGTGGCTTTCCTTTGTGAAGTAGAAGAAGGCCTTTGGCGCCTCGCTTGCCTGCAGCTCCTCGAGGTCGCCGACAATCTCCTTGAGCAGAGGCAACGAGGTGAGCAGACCAATCTCCAGCTTCTCCTCCGACTCGATGCCGTACTCTTGCGGGCCGATGTAGTCAAAGAGCACCTTGCAGAGGTGGTACATGTCGCGCAGCTTGACCAGCCGCGTGTCCATTGCGGCCTTGGAGGCAGCGTTGCCCATGCCCGTGTAGAGCTTAAAGTACGACTCATTGACGTAAGAAGGTGGCGCAGCAGGCCTCACCGCGACCACCTCTGATGGGCGTCGGAAGCCCATGCGGCGGGCAATGCTCCCTCGCTCGTGCGGCTTCTCGGCTTCCTTTGCTTCGGGCTTCGCTTCCAGCGTCGGTGGTTCCTCGGACGTCTTCTGCTTGGGGCCGTCCGCAACGGCATCCTCGTCGATGAAGGTGTCGTCGGGCGTAAAGACCCATTCCAAAAAGGGGCGGTTGTGGAGAGCGTCAAACTTCATAGTGTCGTAGAGCTCAGAGATCTTACTAGGATCGACCTTATCGGCATCCTTGAATTCCTTGAAGAGCTTCTCCCAGCGCTCCTTGAACAGCTCGGGACCCTCGTTGCAGCACCAGCGGGACTGGATGTGGTTGACGTTGGTGTACTTGGACTGCCCTGGCTGGCCATCGGGGCCGGGCGGCGAGCTGACGGCGTTGAGGGAGGCCATGGCCTCGGACTCGATCTTCTTGAAGTTGTGGTTCATGACGCGCTGGTGGAACTTGATGAGAGCCACGACCTGGCGAACAACAATGTACGGCTCCGCAACATCCTTGGGCCATGCGAATTGCGGCGGCGCCTTGTCGCCGGCGCGGAGGAGCGTCTTGAGCCTCTTCTTGACCTTGTCCATGACGTCCTTGGCGGCGTTGGAGTCGTCCAACAGGTCCTTGCGAACGTGGATCTGCTCAGCCGGGTACTGGTCCTTCTCCAAAAAGGATGCCCCAAAGATCTGGGCGCTCGTGGTCACCCTGCGCTCTGAGCTGCTGAAAATGTGCACCTCGTCGAGGACGTCGCGGTTCATGAGCAGCAGATCGTTGCGCAGATTAGCGCCCATGTCCTGCGTCTGGTGGCGAGCCGAGTGGGTAGGCTCGCCGCCCCACTTGATGATCAGCTGCAGCTTGTCGAGGACCATGTTGTTGTCCTGCGCGGTGATGCGGGACAGCGTGACGCCGGACATGGAGTCGCTCCTGTTCTTCAAACGCTCCGCGTCGTTTTCGTTGCTGCTCTCGTTGCCTGCGTCGCGGACGACGCTCGACGTCGAGCCTTGTCTCTGCCTCTCGGGCGACTCTTCGGGGAGCGTCTCGCCTGGCAGCAGCTCGTCCTTTCGCCTCTTGCGGAACATGGGCTTGATCTGCACCTTTGTGCCAGGCCACGGACCCTTCTTCTGCAGATACAGCTGCAGCTCGCGCAGCTTCTTGGCGTCTTCCAACTTGCCGTCCAGGGCAACCTTGACGGCGTCGCTGACGCTTTGCAGCGCGGGCTCGCCAATCAGCAAAACCTCGGCTTGGTGCCCCTTGAGCAGATCGACAAACGGCTGCGCGTGGAACGTGTACTTGAACTTTTGCTTTGGCGTGCGGTCGGCATGGCGGATGACAGACACGACACCCTTTAGCTTCCACTGCGCCTTGGAGGCTGGCGGGGGCACGGGGACCTGATCGGCGGCCGAGTGCGATCTCTCCGTCCCACGGGCGTGCTCCTCGTCGCCAACGGCAGGCGGCGGCAAGAGGTCTGGCTCCGAGGCGGGCGCAGGCGGGATGGCACCAGGGGCCGGCGGACTGAGCGCCGCGGCGGGATCGGGCTTCTCGAGACTGGGACTAGCTGCGATGGGGGTGTTGCTTAGCGAGGTCTCAGGAGAGGGGGGCATCGTGCTGGCCTGGCGTATGTGGGGGAGATGCAGGGAGTGGCGGTGGTGGTGGTGGTGGTCGCCCATTCTTGACATACTAGGACTCTTGAACAACCCCTTTAGCGCCTGGCGGTGGCTTGACACGCTCTTTCTCGATTCGCCCCTGTCCGAGCCGCCCTGTGCGTCGCCGGCGGCACCCTGGGCGGCGGCGTCCTTGCGTTGCTTGCGCGAAATGTCGCTCAGGAACATGTCCCTGAGGATGTTTGCGGCCTTGTCGTAGTAGTCGCCGTTGTCCTTGACGAAGCTCCAGCCGTTGACGTCGATGACGTAGCTCTTGTCGCCGGCGCGCAAGAGGTCAAACCCGCACACTCGCTGGCCAAAGCCCTCCGAGATGCTCGCGGCCATCTGCGCCTCTGCGTCGCTGAGCTTGGTCACGTAGCGGACTTCCTTGCCGCTCGGGTTGCGCTTAACAAGGCCATCCACGACGGGCGACTTGCGCGTCTCGGCGTGGCAAAAGGTGGGCCCGACCGTGTACGCCTTGACGTCCTCGGCGTTCTCGACCTGCAAGAACTGCTCGTAGATGTAGCTGGTGTCGGGCTCGGTGATGCATCTGGGCACGGAGAGCGAGTCGTCCCTCTCGGAGCTCTTGTTGTTGATTTTCCGGAACAGCCTGCGGCCGCCGCCGCCGTCCTTTGCGTGGAAGTAGATGTGGATGTTGTGGTCTTCGCCGCTCACGGGCTTCTCGACAAAGGGCTTCGTCAGCGTCTGGCCGTCGACAAAAATGGTGTTGCCGTCGTCCATCATCTCCATCTTCTTCGGCGGCGGGATGCCCCCGCCCGTGCCGTCGCTGGCGCCCGGGAGGCTGAGGCCCGTTCGGTCGTGCAGCTGCTTGGCGAACTCGGGCGAGGGCAGCTTGGGCCCGCCGTCGCGGTTCACCTCGATGCGCTTCGGCGTCGGCACCGTCAGCCGGTCGAGGATCGAGAGACACAGCCGGCGGTCCCACAGGACCTGCTGCATGGGCAGGTCGTTGACGCAGAAGGGCTTGCGCAGACGCACGTACGCAATCGCCTTGTCGAGCGGGAAGCCGTCGGAGAAGAAGGAGATGAGGAAGTCGCAGACGGGCCAGTTCTCGACATCCTCGTCGAGGATGATCTTGTCGCCGAAGATTTTGACATCAAAGTCGTCGACCAGCTTGCCGAAGATGTTGCGGGCGGGCTTGCTGCGGGCCTTGCTCTCGAGCGCGCACACGCCGATGATGCCCTTCATCGGCTTCTTGGGCTCGCGCATGCCGAGACTGGCGGGGCTGCTGCTGGCGGCGGTGCTCGCGCTGACGCGGCGGTGGGTGGTGCGCGAGCGCGAGCGCCGCGGCGCGGCGTGGAGGCTCAGAGGCTGGGGCGCCGCGGCGGCGCCGGTGGTGGACGAGCCGGCGGTGGACGAGACGGCGGTGGCGGACGAGACGGCGGTGGTGGACGAGACGGTGGTGGCGGTGGTGGTGGGCGAGACGGTGGTGGGCGAGACGGCGGTGGGCGACGTGACGGGCTGCTGGTCCGGCGGGAAGAGCAGCTCGGTGGGCGACGCTTTCGGGCCCAGCGAGCCGTGCTGGCTCTGGGTCGTCACGTTCAGCGACGTCGTCGCGGTGGTGCCGGTGCCGGTGCCGTGTGGGGCGGGCGACTCGGACATTTTTGCTGCGAGGGTCGATGCGCCGTCTGGCTCGCTGCCGACTATCGAGCTGCGTCCGCTCCAGGAGTGGCCGCGCGTGTTGGCGTAGATGGCCGAGCCGATGGTGTACAGCGAAGACCAGGACAGGCGGTGTTCGGCCGCGTCGACGTCAGACGGCGACTTGGCTTCCGACAGGGAACACGGGTACCGGGACGCCGCTAGAGGGGTCGCGTCGACGTCTTGGTCGATAATGGCAGACCCGCCGCCGCCGTGCATGCTGCTGCTGCCCCGCGCGAAGAAGTCCTTGAGGCTGTCGGACGCCCTGGACGGCCGCCGCGCAGTGAGGCCTGCGGGGCGCGTGGGAGCGAGGGCGGCCGTTCCCAGCGGGCTCAGCTTGACCTCGACGCTCTCGGTGCCGGCCTGGGGCTCGGGCGCGCGCGCCTTGTGGCCGCTCGGGGGCTGCCATGACGCGGTGCTGGGCTGCGAGGGCGTGCTCTCGGCGGACGCGGTGCGCGACAGCGGGACGTGTTGCGAGCCGGCCATGCTGCGCACCTCGCGGCGTCGCCGAGGGGAGCCTCTATGCCTTTATGCGTCCGTCTACTGCCGACACGGCAACATTGCTTTTCGCGGCGAGCGCCCCTGACGTCGAGGCGGCACATGGCCCGCCGCGGCTGTCGTGTCATTGGGCGAGGCGCGCATCACGAGAGGGATTGGACAGCAGTGGGCAGCAGCGGGCAGCAGTGGGCAGCAGTGGGCAGCAGGAGAGGACGCGTCCGGGAGCATTCTGCAGCAGCTGGAAGCGTGGTAGGGTAGGCACAGTGTGGGTGTAGGCCCAGTGTGGATGTAGGCACAGTGCGGATGTAGACACAGTGTGGATGTAGACACAATGCGGATGTAGGCACAATGTGGATGTAGGCACAATGTTGGGTGTAGGCACAATGTGGATGTAGGCACAATGTTGGGTGTAGGCACAATGTCGATGTAGGCACAATGTTGGGTGTAGGCACAGTGCTGTGTAGACAGTGCTGTGTAGACAGTGCTGTGTGTAGACACAATGCTGCGTGTAGACGGTGCTGCGTGTCGGCACAGTGCTGGACGCAGGCAGTCTTGGACCTAGGAGTACCTAAGCTAGTCCATATACTTTCCGCGCACATATAGTTCCCGCGCACCCCACCACAACGCGTACCTCTGTTTTTGAAGCTATCTATTGTCAACGCCACATACCCAAAATGGATCCTAAGGAAGTTGCTATCCAATCTGCTATTGATGGTCTTGTTTCTGGTGTTTTTAGGAGCCAGCGGAAGGCGGCTGCTGCGTGTGGGATCCCTGAATCGACGCTGCGAGGCCGGCTACGCGGTCAACAACCACACGCGATAGCTCACTCAAATCAACAACGATTGACGCCGGAGCAGGAGAACTTCCTAGTAGAGTGGACACTGGAAGAGGACTCACGTGCACAGCCACCATCTCATCCCCGTGTGAGAGAGATGGCCACCCGAATCCTCCATATGAACAGCGACCACGAGCCACTTGGGCATCTATGGGTACCCCATTTCATCACACGTAACCCACGCGTCGCCTCTATAGTTGGACGAACGATTAAGAGCGCAAGGACTACAGCAGCTAATAATGAGACAATTCGCGCGTTTCTAGAGCTATTTGAGCGTACTCAGATTGAGCTGGGTATACAGTATGAAGACATATAGAACATGGATGAGACTGGGGTTGGTCTTGGGGTATGTACCAACACCAGAGTGGTTGCCAATTCATCAAAGAAGAAGGCTTATATCAAATCACCAGAGGATCGTGAGTGGGTATCGATCCTGGAGACTATCTCCGCCACCGGCACCAAGCTCCAATGCCTAGTCATCTTCAAAGGCAAGCATCTACAAACCACGTGGTTTCCAGCACAAGGGGTGCCAAATTGGCTCTACACAACCTCAGAGAATGGATGGACGTCAAATTCAATTGGATCTGAGTGGCTACAACGTATATTTATACCAAATACTACACCTTCACAGGGTGGGTGGCGGCTACTGCTATTGGACGGCCACGGCTCCCACACTCCTATTGACTTTATGTGGACTTGCCGGCAGCATCAGATCTATCTTCTATACCTCCCACCTCACGCCTCACACATCCTCCAGCCGCTGGATCTGGCTCCATTCTCTGTCGTCAAAACCCACTACCGTAGTCAGATCCGAGCACTCTCAGCACTTGATGACGCAGCACCTATCAAGAAGGAGAGGTTTGTCACCTCATATAACAAAGCAAGAGAGGAAGGACTATCTAAGAGAGTCATACGAGCCGGATGGAAGGCTGCTGGCCTATGCCCATACAACCCATGCCTCGTAATACACTCATCTCAGGTATCAGGCCGGCCTATTACACCTCCACCACCTCCTCAGGCATCAGATACAGTCTTTGCCACGCCTCAGAGCTCACAGGCCTTATACAAGGCTCAGCAGCAACTCCTTCTATCAGAATCTCTTTCACGAAGCACCCGCCTAATGCTTGGCAAGGCAGGCAAGGCTATTGCTAGAGCCAACACTCGCGCAGCTCGGCTTGAATCTGAGAATCAACGACTTAAATATCAACTAGATAGTACTAGGGTTACCCGCTCAAGAAAGCGTGTTTAAGTTAACCCAAATGAGCGCTATAGCAACGTTGAAGCTATTAAGGCTGCTATTGATCGGGCAGCAGCATTACAAGCTGAGCAGGCATCACGTTCAACTGAACAAGAAGCTCAAAAAGCAGCAGCAGCAGCAGCACTCACGCTTCAGTCTATGTGTACAGAGTGGCAATTATAAACGTTGTTGTTGAGAAATCACGACTCCAATCTGAGTGCTAGTGACGTGGTGGGGTGCGCGGGAATTATATGTGCGCGGAAAGTATATGGACTAGCTTATTGGACTGCTGGTCGGGAGCCACTGGCCCAGTTGTCATGCGTCCCGCAGCGCCGCAGTCGCTAGGTACATGGCCGACCCCTACGCGCATCAAATGTGGGGCCTCTGCCTCTCCGCTGAACTTTTTTGTAGCGCCGCGCAGCAACTCGCACGCAACCCGCGCAGCAACCCGCGCAGCAACCCGCGCTGCAATCCGCGCTGCGACCCACACCACCCCTCTCCCTCTCCCTCTCCCTCTCCCTCTTCTTCTCCCTCTTCTTCCCCCTCCCCCAAGCACAGCGACTATGGCGGGCCCCAACCACAGCGCCGCAGCGGCTGGCCCGGTCTCGAAGCGCCAGAAAGTGCAGGCCGACGGCGCAGACAGCGCTGCGCCCGCCGTGCGCCCGTCCAGAATCTTCGCGCCGTTCAGAGTGAGCCAGCCCCCCGTCCAGCATGCGACGGGCCCATCGAGCATGCGACGGGCCCAATCCACAGCGCGCAACTGACTGTCGGCCTCCAGACTGTCGGCCTCGTCTCGCCCACCGCGGTCCCCTTCACGTCGCTCCCGCTCGGCAAGACGACGTTCCAAATCACCACCTCGGTCGGCCGCTCGCTCCAGACGTACGACCTCAAGCGCGGCCTGGGCCTCGTCTTCGTCTCCCGCCCGCAGACCCCCGCCGACATCACGGCCACGCTCGCATGGAACAAGGTCGTCTTCGCGGCCTGGGGCGGCGGCGCGGCGTCGCCTGCGGAGCGCGGCGTGTGGGTCTTCCAGCGCGGCAAGCTGGTGGCCGAGCTGGAGCTGCCGCTCGCGGGCCTCGAGCCCATCACGCGGCTGCTCGTCATGGGCGGGTGGATCGTCGGCTGCGGCGCGACCAGGCTCGAGGTCTGGAAGACGGCCACGCGGGAGCACTACACCACCCTGCACGCCGCGTCGTCGAGCCCGCTGTCCGGCTGCATCGCGAACATGCCCACGTACCTGAACAAGATCTTCGCCGGCAGACAGGACGGCTCCGTCGACATCTGGAACGTCCGCGCCGCCAAGCTGCTCTACACGGTCCTGCCGCCCGCCGCCGACTTTGGCCCCGTCACCGCCCTCCAGCCGTCGCCCGCCCTCTCGCTCCTCGCCATCGCGTACGAGTCCGGCCCGGTCAGCATCCGCGATATCCGCGCCGACAAGGAGGTCCTGCGCCTGAACACGGGCGGCTCGCAGGGCGCCGCAGTCACGTCCATCTCCTTCAGGACCGACGGCCTCGGCGCCGGCGAGCACGGCCGCGACGACGGCGTCATGGCCACGGCCAGCCGCGAGAGCGGCGACGTGGTCTTTTGGGACCTGAACAAGGGCGGCCGCAAGACGGGCACCCTGCGCGGCGCTCACGCGCCGCCGCCCGCAGAGGGCGGCGGCGGCGGCGGCATCAGCAAGATGGAGTTCCTCGCCGGCCAGGCCGTCGTGGTCTCGAGCGGCCTCGACAACACGCTCAAGAGCTGGATCTTCGACGAGACGCCCTTCTCGCCCGTGCCCCGCATCCTGCACCAGCGCGGTGGCCACGCCGCGCCCGTCTCGGCCCTGCGCTTCCTGCCCTCCCGTTCCGACGGCTCTGACGACACGGGCAAGTGGCTGCTCAGCGCGAGCAAGGACCGCAGTCTCTGGGGCTGGAGTCTGCGACGGGACGGCCAGAGCACCGAGCTCAGCCAGGGCGCCGTCCAGAAAAAGGCCAAGAAGATGGGTCTGCTGCACGGCAGCTCCGACGCCTCCAAGCACCACGTCAGGCTGGAGGATCTAAAGGCTCCCGCCATCACGTGCATGGCATGCTCGCTCAACCGCGATGGCGGCATGGGTGCCATGCCGGGCGTCAATGCCATCTGGAGCCGTTCCGCCACGGCCAAGGCCGACGCGAAGAAGGCCACCGAGGTCAACATGACCGGCTGGGAGAGCATCGTCACCGCGCACGGAGACAAGACGGCGAGGACCTGGTTCTGGGGCCGCAGGCGAGCGGGCAGGTGGGCCCTGGACACAGGCGATGGCACCGAAGTCAAGAGCGTCGCCGTGTCGCCGTGCGGCACCTTTGCCCTGATCGGCTCCGCTGGCGGGTCCATTGACATGTACAACCTGCAGTCTGGCCAGCACCGGCGCCGATTTCCCGCCCGTCTGACGCCGGCCGAAGCGAAAAAGTACAGGCTGCACCAGCTCCAGCTCGACGAGTCGGCTGGCTTCGAGACCGGCCGTGCACCCAAGACGTTTGCAAAGGGCGAGGGCAAGCACAAGGGCGCCGTGACCGGCCTCGCCGTCGACAGCCTCAACAGGACCGTGCTGTCGTGCTCCGACGATGGCAAGATGAAATTCTGGGACTTTGCGACCGGCGCCCTCGTCGACGAGATGGACTGGTACCCCATGGTCAAGATCCTCTCTATGCGCTACCACCCCAACTCGGATCTCGTCGCGCTCTCCTGCGACGATGGATCGCTTCGCGTCCTCGACACGACCACCCGCAAGCTCATTCGTGAGCTCTGGGCCACGCGCACCGCGACCCCAATCACCACCATCGACTACACCTTCTCCAGCGACGCCCGCTGGATCATCTCCGCATCCTCGGACAGCACGGTCCGCGTGTGGGATCTCCCGACCGGCCACCTGATCGATGCCATGCGCCTGCCGAAACCAATCAACAGCGTCGCCTTCTCACCCGCCGGCGACTTGCTCGCTGCCGGTCTGGAGGGCGAGGTCGGCGTGCACATCTTCACGAACCGCACGCTCTTCACCCACGTTCCGACCCGCCAGATCTCCGAGGCAGACGTTGCTCTTGTTGCTGCCCCCACAGCGTCCGGCCAAGGCGGCGAGAACATGGTCGCGCTGGCCGAAGAAGAAGGCGAAGAGGACGAAGAGGACGCCACGGCCGTGCCCGTCATGGACCAGCTCAGCGACAACATGACCACGCTGTCGCTCGTGCCCAAGTCGCGGTGGCAGACGCTCCTCCACCTCGACACCATCCGCCTGCGCAACAAGCCCAAAGAGGCCCCCAAGAAGCCCGAACACGCGCCGTTCTTCCTCCCCGCCGTGGGCGAGAAAGCCGACGCCCTGAAGCCCCTCGACGCCGACGCCCTGAAGCCCCTCGATGCCGAGCCCACGTCGCGCATATCGAGCTCCGCGCTCGCGAGCAGAAGCAGCGCCGCGACGAGCACGAGCGAGTTCACGCGCCTCCTTGCGCACGCCGAGCAGTCTGGCGAGCACACCAAGCTCCTGGCGTTCCTCTCCAGCCTGCCCCCGAGCGCCGCGGACATTGCGATCCGCACGCTGGACACGCGGGAGCCGCACGCGGAGCTGCGGACCTTGATCAACGCGCTCACACGCAGGCTGCAGGAGCGCAGGGACTACGAGCTCGTGCAGGCCTGGATGAGCGTCTTCCTCCGGCTGCACGGCGACGTCGTCGTGAAGAGCGAGGCGCTTGTGGGCCTGTTGCGGAAGTGGCAGCACGAGAGCAAGCGCGAGCGGGAAAGGGTCGGCGGGCTTGTGGGCTACAGTGTGGGTGTTGTCGGATGGGTGAGGAGTGCACGCTAGTCGATACCGCAATCAATCCATCTAATCCAATCCCATTCTCATGTCCAGGTGCTGCAGTCTGTCGGGAGAGCGCGTTGGCTGGTGCATCAGACGAGGAAGTGCTGTGATAGAGGGCCTCGATGAGAAACGGCATTGTCGAACATCATCGAGCATAATCGTACACGGTCTGCAATGGTCATAACATGTCCCTCTTCAAGATGTCCCTCTTCGAGTAACATGTCCCTCTTCGAGTAAGATGTCCCCCTTATAGCAACGTGTCCCTCTTCGAGTAACACGTCCCTCTTCGAGTAAGATGCCCCTCTTCGAGTAACACCTCCCTCTCACAGGGCGTTCGTGCCGTCTGCCGCTCGATCTCGCTCATCGGTTCAGATCCTGCGCGCGATCCAACTCACCCAGCACTCTCCTACTACCGAGCTGGCATACGAACCACGGCTGTCTTCTGCATCAGTTCCGAGGTCCTCTTCCTCGTCGGGGTGTTGCTGCGTGTTGAAGATGCGTCTCGAGGCGTGCCTTCCCCGTCTGCCGGCTCCGCGCAATACCACACTGGCAGCATTTCCCAATACCGCTACCGCTGCACCCAGCGGCCTTTTCACCATGCGTCCACGCTATCCACACAGCGGCGCCGTGGTGCTACAAAAGATGCTGCCTTCCTCTTGCCGTGGACTCTCTCAAGCCAACGTTGCAATCTACACACGTCTTTGCATTCCCACAAGCACTTTACAACTCTGACGCTATCTTGCTACGCTCAAGATCCATGAATCGCCCACGGGAGGAGACTGGTGGAAGGCGTGCACACCGCCAGCGTGTTGACTCTACTCGCATGCCCAACACCCCCTCGGACGGACTACAACACAGCGCGTCAGAGTCTGCATATGCAATGCGCCAAACCCACAGGAACGCAAGTACACTCCATGGTAGCCGTGTGCTCGTCTCAGACCGCCATGCTCCAAGCCCCCAAGCCCCGCCCATTCGAGGCACGGTGCAGAATCCACGAACCGCCCAGCCCCATCACGATGCGCGCAGGCAACAGACGCCATACTATTACGACGGATACTCGCGCACCACCAGGCTTCGTGCAACGAATCCCGATCCTACGGTCCCGCGCCCCACGTTTCGCCAGCTGGCTGCGCTCCGAGGCGAGCCTGATGCTAGGCCGCGACGCTTCGACAGGCCTGTCCGGGGACTTTGCGTGGTGAGCTCGTTGGATGTGGCGGTTGATCCTCCTGCTGAGCCGCGTCGGTCACCCTCCGGAGCGGACGGGGACGCAAAGCCACAACAGGGCGTGGAGTATGGTCGAGGGCAGGTGGAGTATGGTCTCGGGCAGGTGGAGTCTGGTCTCGGGCAGGTGGAGTCTGTAGCGCACCAGCAGAGGCGCGAGGATACTCCGGCGCTCATCGATCGCGGGGCGTGTACTGGAACAACGCAAGATTCCACTGGAACTCGTTCCTTCGTCGACAGCTCGCGCGTGCATACTGCCGCAAAGGGCTTTGCATTGATTCGCTTTGGCAGCGGCAGGCGGGCGAAGCTTCGTCGGGACTTCAAGGGCTTCCTCGGGATCAAGCATGACTAGACACTTGTGTGCAATGACCGCAGCGGAATTTTATGAGTATCGCATCAACATCGAGGCGCAGTGGGCTCTCAAAGTCGTCCGAGCCCGCAGAATCGTTGCGCTGCTTCAGTGTCCACTGCTTATTCGACTTGACAAGCGTGTGCAGCCAGGCACGCGCCGACCTCCAAGTGCTCGTCCACGAGCTCGACTCTTTCGCTTTCTCGGATGGACATACAGTTCCAGCCGCGCAATCCGTGCATCCAGTCAGTCTCTGACGGAGCATGAGCGTTTCTCCACCCACACCATCTGCTGGGCCCTGGCCGCTAGTGAACGTTCTGGTGTATTGGTGCAGCTTGCGAGGCGAGAATCGTGAGGAGCCCGACAGTGCGTGCGCAGAGGGATTGAGGACTCTAAAGGGGCTGTGTAGAGCGACTTGTGCTTCGCTACGGCGGTCCTGGGTTCAATGGTCTTGCTGATCAGCACAACCAGCGTTGCGAGCTGGACGCAGTGCTGGAAAGCCATGTTAATTACAGTGAGCTGTAGCTGTAGCAGTAAGTAGTTGTAGATAAAGTGGAAGTATAGCAGTACCATAGTAAGATTTGGTAGTAACTAGAAAAGTGTAGCCCTTGCTATTGTTTTTTTGTTGACCTTCTGCGTTACAACCTTGTTAAGACCTTACTTCTAGAGCTAGAGATGCTAGTAATAAGGCGGAGGGAAAAGCAGGTAAAATTAGGGGTAGCAGCTACCCACAAGAATACTGAGCGTTGACCTGGTCCTGGGCTTCGTTCGCCGGTCGTCAGAGCTGGCGACATCGCCCTACAGCTATTCCCAGAGTCACCGTCCGCCCTGTGTCAACAGACCTAGTTGATGACGATCCCGTGGGCGAGATTGGAACCAGAAGAATCATCTTGGAAGGCTATTGTTTACGAGCTGGCTTGGGGCGTAGCGGAATCAATTGAATAGTTCTTGGTGTCATTGCAACCCGAAAAGCAGAAACAGAACACCACAGTGCAGCATCGCAGCTTTCGAGAGGAGACGTGTACCACTACATCGAGCCGCCCAGCGCAGGTACCAGTGAAGACCTGCTGCTGCTGCGTATGCTGATCGGAACCCGGCCATCCCATGGTGCCTACGAACAGGCGCGATATTCCACTTGGTCGAGCTGGACCAACGCGACGGGGAGCATTGGAGGGCTCGCAACGCTTGAGACGTCGAAAGCCATGTAGACCTTGAGCGATCCTTCCTTCGCTCTACATTAACACCATATGGCACTGCAGTCCGAGTCCCGACGAAGTGATTGTGCTCTCGGATTGACAAAAGGTCCATTCAGATCCTTGCGACCCCATTACAAAGCCGCACACATCCACTCTCTATCTTGTAGTACATCTTACAAAAAGGTCCACCAGCACACGAGCGGCGGACCAGCCCCCCTTGACTGGCAGAAAACTGACACCGAACTTTGACTCCACCCCATCTGCCAAGCCAATAGGCATGTGACTGGCTGGCTATACCGACCCTCCGCCAGCCGTCGCTAACAGCGAAACACCAAGTCAGAAGACCTCACGATACCTGCACGGTGTAGGATTGGTACTAGCCCCAGGCACAGTACGAGCTGGTGCGACCGAACCTCGGACGAACGGTTCGGGGGGGTTGGAAATCGTTCACCGGACGACCACTACCTACTACCAAGTTCCACAGCGCAGGTATCCTGTCATCCGAGCTTTTCCGGGCTGGCGGCATGGGCGGAAGGGTTTTCCACATGAAGCTGTTTCGCGGCTTGCTCAGGGATCACGCACACGTCTCTTCTGCTGATCGCGGTTTGAACAAATCGACAGGGCTAGCGTCATGGGAGAGTCGTGAATTGTCAGCTGCCCGAAAACTTCACTTGAAAACCCTGTGCAGCTCATTTTTTCTGCCGGTGGGGCGCGCGATGCCGCTGGGCTTCCTTCCCGCTGCAGGTGTGAGGAATTTGACAGCCGAGCTTAAACATGTTCGCAGGCCGTCCGTGCGAGTCGGGTTGTCGTGAGGCTCGGGCAAGTGCATCGCAGCCTTGCGTGTGTGCTCTTCAGGAGTGAAGAGGTTGCCGAGGTGCGGCTCGGCGCGGAAAAGCGACGATGCACATGTGCAGGCTCGTCGTGCTCGTTCTTGCTGTTGTCGAGAAGCACTGGCTTTTTCAGCGTGCCGATTATTGATCCTTATCCGCGCGTTTCTGACATCTGAAATCTAGAAGGGCGATCGGGGTCCTCGATCTGGACAGCCACAAGAGGAGTCAGAACGCTCATCTGGCACGAGTAGTTTGGGTCATGGACGTCATGAAACTTGCTTTTGGATGTTGTGCGTCATGTTGATGGTCTGAGACATGTTGGACAATTTACGGTCACCAGGGATAAGCTGTGGCTTGCTTGTGGCTAGGGCAGGGCTGCATTCTGATTGATGAGCCCGAGGCTGAAGCTCGGCCGCAAGTCATCAGCATCTGTGGCGTCCAACATCAGCCATGGTCTGCTGGCAGAAAGCAATGAGTGGATAGAAGTCCGAAGAGGTCAGTTGAAGACCCCACGTTCAGCTGCTGTCTGGATCCGCTCAGCAACCTTCTCACTGCGACGTGGACATCTTGAGACCACTTGGAGCTGTTGGACCCCAGCGGCGGTTGGGGCTGCCTGCGAGCGCATTGCCCCTCCCTGGCGTGCTCGATCAACCACCGCGCAGCTCGTGTTGATCTTGTGTGGAGATTATATGGAGAAGCATGGCCAGACCGTCAATCTTCGCAGTCAATCATCAATAGCGAAGGAGGGGATAGGCACTCACACTGCCAGCTCATCAGTGTCGAAGTCAAAAACAACGCCTCGACAGCCGCAATTGGCGGACGCTATTTCACCACTGTGGCTGTTGAGTCAAGCCAAGGGCGGCGTACCTGTTTCACGATTGAGTCGGTGAGCGATCCACGCACGCTTGCCGCGCTCCCACACTCAACACCGCACACCGCACACCGCACACCGCACACTGCATGGGAAGGAGCGGTCGCGTATAGCGTATGGAGGTAAATTGGCACTTGAAACAATAAGCGGGTTGTCGGCAATGCCAACACTGCATTCAAGGCGCAGCTTCTAGAGTCACCAACTGAGACGAGAGGGAGACAAGGTGTGAGGAGGGTCATGCCTGTGTCGCGGTGTACATAGGGAGATCGTCACTGTCACTGCCCTCTTCGCATAAACAGCGTGGGGTCGGCAGTCCCTGCTTAGATCTGGTGCCAGATAGGTATGTGAGGGTCATGCAAAGGCTATACACTGTACAGTGGGTAAACATTATACGGCCATACGATCTCGCGGTCGCGTCTCGTACCCTGGCCTCATCAGATCGAAACCTGTTGTTACCGGCACAGGAGACACGGAACTCTTAAGTCCCATCATCCGCTCCCAGCCAATCCTTTCTGGCTCGCTCTGCGCACCAATGACGTTTCGGCCGGGTCTCGGCGGAGCAGTGAGGCAATGTGACCGCAACCGTTCGCTCGCTCGCGGCACGGATCTGTGCGAACCTGCACATGCCAATTCCGATCGGAGCCAAGTGAACGCCGACGGGACGACGCAAGCCATGAAAGCCGAGCAGCACCGGCGACCTGCGTAGTAGCGAGTACGCTGGTACACGCAATACGCCCAGGCAACCAATATTGGACGTGACTAGGTAGCAGAGTCGTCATGTGGTGATGTGCAGCGTGCAGGGCGGCGGAGCACTTTCGTAAGACACGTCGCAATGCTTCGCATCGAACGGATTGACAGGGCTCATCCTTTGGCGAAATTCACCGGAAGTGCACTTTCGTCTGGAAAGAGTTGCGACGGTTGTGCGTATGCACCGTGCTGGTCGACGACCTAAGGCAGGGTCTGCCGCACCTCACTAAAATACGGTTGGCAATTTTCCAATTATCGGCGATGTGCATGCAAGGCAACCATGTTGCGCTTCGTGATCGATGCCTGACGACTTGCTTTTTGATTGGCGTGCAGCTTGCAGCGATAACAGACGTCACATGAGAATAATGAAGCGCAAGATGATGTGTGGTTAACTGATCATGATTGATATATATGAAGCTATTGGAAGGGGGGGTCTCAACCAGCCAATGTGGGGGAGAACTCTACCGCGCCTTGCGATCAATTTTCCAACCCGACATTCCGTCTTGGAACTGAGTAGAGTTCGTTCCGTCCGTCCGTCCATGATTGATCGCGGTCTTGCCGCGGTGTGTAAAAGGGAAATAGGTATAATGCTCGAAGATGCTACGCTGAAAGGACTCGCTCGCTAAAATGCTGGATCAAATGCAAAGACAAATCAGGAGGTCACCGAAGTGGCCTAGTAACTTGAGATGAGGGGCGCATTTGTGTCCATGAATAGCGGTTCGTCGTCATCGATGTATTTCGATTGAGTCTTGCTGGCGTAAAAAGTGGTTGTGAGCATTGCCTCCTTCTCGGAGAATGCGAGCGAAGCTGTGGGCGGCGATGTGGGTGGTGAGTCGTCTTCGGAGTCTTCCTCGTAGACAAGCTCGGGTGGTGACTGGACTTGCGAGGGCACGCGAGTCAGAGTAAGCTCCGCATCGTCCTCCATGTCATCGTAGTAATCCTCCTCGTCCTCGTCCTCATCAACCTCCATTGTGGAGATCTGGATGGGTGCCTGTGTAATGCGGCGGGGCATGGGGATCATGTCGAAGTCGTCATCGCACTCAGACTCAAAGTCGGAGTCGGAGTCAGAGTCCTCATCTTCCTCTGCAATGCTGTCGGCCCACTGGATGTGGCGAGGGTCCTCAGTCCTGGAGGCCTTGGCCATGGTCTGGTTGAACCATGCTTCTTGCTGGCGCTCGGCATCCTGAAGTTCGATCATGAGGCTGTCGAGGAGGTTGGCGTGTCCGACGAGAAGGCGAAGGTCATGGTCGGCCCTGCAGGCTTCCTTGCCCAGCTTAGAGCGGGCAGAGGAGGCGATGTAGTAGGTTTGGGTGAGAGACATCTTTTGCTTCTTCTGGATCGGCGACGGGATGAAGTGAGATGCCACAGTCTCAGCAGTGAATGGTTCGAATTCGTGTTGAAGGCGGAGGTGTGATGAGGAAGGCATATTTGATATGTATATGTGGCTAAGGAATGAGTCAGTTTGTTGACTGGAAGGCACAGCGAGGGACTACGAACCTTAATGTGCTAGCCAATGGGAAGAAGGTGATCCGAGCGGTACTGTTTCCGAGATGTATGATGTGATTGTGTAGTCGTAGTGATGATGTACCTGATATGTCGTCGAATCGATGTTGATTCGTTTGTTGTTTGATGTAAAGCTGAACTGGTGCCTTTTAAGAAGCGGGCAAGCGTGGTATTAATGTTTCTGACGCTCGGAGGATGACCACGAAGCTTAACGGCATCTCGGAATTATTGGCGTTTAGCACTTCCACCGCCCTTGACCGAGCGGTGAATCATACATGCAGGGATTGTACGCTTACGCTACCAACGTGCGCACGCCAGCAAAGCCTGCCACACGTTTCGGCCGATCCGGCGATATCAGCTAGCGCTGCCGGGTTCACCGCACTCATGCGGACGGAGAAGAGACGGACATACGCAGCGAGCTGTGCCATGGTTCACTTGATTACCTATCACGCTTGCAGCTCTCTTTCGCTTTGTCGGCGTTCACTCATAACGACGCATTTGGCATGCTATCACCATTTGCATGACTTTGGCTTAGGCACCGGTAAGATTCCAAACACCGTGTTCTTGATATGAATGCAGCTACGCGTTGTTGTCCCGACAGGGGGCTTCATGCGAGAGATTGGAGAGTGCCTGGCTGCCTGCCAGCATATCCCAGCCCAAGGCTCCCAGCTACAGCCTACAGCCATGGTACTCCACAGAGCGGTCAGCCCTTCAATCTGTGGCTGTTAAACGAGTTCGGGCATCGGTGTCCCGCTTACCCTTCCCTGGGTAGGCCGCCTAGAAAATCCCTTTCTTTGTCCCCGGCGACCGACTCTGCGACAGCTGAGATGAGCAATCCTACAATTTCACGAGATTACTGGACACTCTCAATGCGAGTCGACGCTACAATGACAGCAGTTGCTACTCTGGGCAGCCTTCGCCATGTCGCAGTTCCTCATCCTAAACTCCCCGCAATAACCAAGTCTCCGCAGATCAAGTCAGCACTATGGACACGTTGCCCCGAATGCGATATCCGTAGCACCGCTCGGAGGAGTCGGACTAAATCATCACGATAGTTTTGGGTGCTCATGATCGACAGCAGGTGCAGGTGTCATCACCCCGCGCGGACACGCGGGAGCTCGTGTGCTCTGGGGTTCCTGAGGAACGCGAGACAAGCCAGGCCAGACCACTCGGAACTGTCATCCAGCAGTGCTCCGCGTCATGAGTTGACAGTTCAAGATGTCTGCAATCCAAATGCCTTCCCCGCGTCAATCGTCGCAGGGCGCGCACAGGTGCCTGGTGTGACTGCACGCATCTACACAGTAATTAACGAGACCGCTTACCTCAACTCGCTCGGCTGCACGTCTGATTGGTGGAGATAACTCGCTTTGTAAGGGATGCTGAACAATCGCGTCTGACAAACACCTCCGCTAAGCTTGCAGTAGTCTTTGCCTTGACGTTAACCTTGGAGCCTGATTTACTGAAACATGCTGACTGTAACGAGCATTGGGTCTTTCGGGCGCTGGGAATCAATCGCACCATGATCCTGCCATTGCATTCGTTGTGTTGGTCCGATAGCGCCCGTGCTGTCGACCGCTGTACATATGGTGAAGGTTGGCGGCTTTGACTCTTGATACACCTACATTTCTCAATGCTATCATGCGATACTGACGGTGCGTTCCGCGGCACCTTCCATGCAGGTGCCGCCTTCATCAGCAAAGGGCAAGCTATTCTCGCATCTTCAGCATCATTGCGCAAAGTCCTGCACCACAGCCGTCGTCGCACCGTCTCCCCGCCAGCTCCACAAGTTCAAGGCCAGGTGGTCATGCTCAAAGTGGTAAAGCGTTCAGCCAGCTGCTCGCTTGATGTACCAATTTGGTTGCGCATGTTGTACAGCCCTACGGCTCGATCGCGCAGTAAGGTCACCGCTGGCTCTGTACAAGGCTGATTGCTAGATTGGCGACGCGCACGCCGACAACATATGTATGCACACTGCCCCCGTGTAGCGAATGCGATACGGTGCAATGCTACCACGCGATTCGAAATCATAACTGGCGCCTGGGTGAGACGCTGGCTTACACGTTGCTAATGATTGGGAAGCAGTGCCAATGCGACAGCCACAATACGCCTGCGAATTATTGTCCACTTTGAGCAAGTGCAGATTACGTGTCTCTCACCAAGCCCCATACCTATGTTACGCGTGCAGCCATGCCAAACGATACAGCATTGACCAGTCTCTGGGCAGCAAACACATCTCAAGCCCAAGTACACTCGGCGCAGATTGATGACTCTGTGCACAAGTCAGTTAAGCAACGTATCCTCGTTTTGTCATGGTGCATTGATCGAATCGTTAACAGCGTCTGCCGATCCATGCCGTCATTGGCAATCTTCCAACAGGCCCAACGCTCCCGTAGCCACACTACTGACTAAACACCAGGGTCGCTGCAGCCCTACGGTCTGACTTATGCGCACTCTCGAGTCTCAACATGACATCGCACGGTCAATACTCTGTCTGGTACCTGAAAACGCTGCGACTTTTTTGCTTCACTGAAAGAAAAGTCCGGCTCTAGGCCCACTCGCACCTGAGCTACGAAGAAGGGGACGGCAGGTGCTTGCTCCGTTAGGCAGCACTCAGCCGTAAACTTGTGATCGATGCGAATGGGCATAGATTCCTGAACTTCGTACACTGACGTTCGCAGTCTTGCGTTGCCCTCATCAACAGGCATCAATCCTCCGACGTCGCCAGCACTTTCCCAATGCGCGGATTGAACGCAAACATCTCGGCTAGCGAATGAACTTCCTGCCGAGACATCCCCACTATCCTTCCTGAAGCTGACTGGAGAATTTGGCGAGCATCTCTGTATCCCAGTAAAGGACTACGCATGAACTCTCGTGTGGTCGTCCTGCGAAGTTCGCCAACCCACGAAGCGGAAGCGTATGGAGTGTTTAGGCACGTCTGCAGTTCCGCGCGAGTTCGTTGCTTATATTTACATCAAACTCCATCTGATAACTTCTCTTGTCTTGAAAAAGGACATCCAGTCCTGTTGTAAGCAGTGATTTATGCTCGTCCAGATATTGTGTTCTCATGTAGAAGAGCTTTTCGGTGACTTCGTCTACTTGAGGCGAACTTGACAAGTACGTTGGAATATCTGAGTTGATTACATGACGATGCAGCCTCAGGATTTATAAGACTCCTCGTGGAATGGCCTCCTCTGGGGTTCTTCCGAGTCGCAACGTTACACTTCCTGTCACAAAAGCTTTGTTACTTTTGACAGACTGCGCAAATTCTGAGCACCGCGAATTGTGTGGTACGAACTGAGTACAATTCGTAGCACGTGCAAGGCTGTGGCGAACGGGAGTAAGGTTGCGGGGCGAGGTACAGTGCAGCGGACAGTATTCGCATCCTTGTCAGCATTGACTCTTCAATGGCAGCTGGTGCGTAATATACCGCAAAGTCAGCGACGACACGACCGAATCTTTTGTTATACATGAGTCTGTCCGGGAAATCCGCCAAAGCTTGACAACTACAACCTCCGCTGCTCTACTACTAGTGGACTAGACGTCTCGCCTTGGATGTCACTGTATCATCAGAATCGTGTTGCAAAAGCAGCGCGATCAAGCAACCAACATGGCCACACTCTCGCACGCATTCGAACACTGTGTCTGGAGGCGTCCCAGGTATAGGACTTTAGCGCTCCCTAGACATGGGACTGACGCACACCCCCCTGCTATGGGGACAGAGGACGAGCTTGATGGTGCTTATGTCTCGATTCACCACGGAAGTTGCTCATTAGATTCTCATTGTATGACTCGCAGAACGCTGGTCGCGGTGGTCAACCTTCATGCCATGTAATTTCCCAAGTGGCGTGTCGGCTTCTCGTCCAGCAGCCGGCCTTTCCACATCAAATTGACGCATAACAAGGACCAAGACGGACCACTATCTCAATATTTCGATGTCAATACTGGATATCCCAGTTCTGATAGAGAACACCGTCACTGGTTCTTACCTTAGCCGTCCCTAAGGCCTTCATCGCCCTCATAGGACACCAGCGCACGAACTCGCTTCAAGACAAATTGAAAGCGGGCTTGAGCTCTGTACAGCTCATCCTTCAAGACTTAGTATGGAAGAGAAATTGAATGAGCACATCTCCGGAGTAGGAATCTATAGGACTCCGGCGCACGTTGCGCGTCATACTTGGTCATCTCTCTCTATTCTGACGAGTGCGGCCTTCGACCCAGTTTTGCGAGACTGGCCCTTCCTCCATGGCGCTCAGTTGACTTTTTGAGGTCGAACTCTCATATTGCTAGTATTGCGCAGACCTTGACGACAGTCCGATCGTGGCGCGATCCAGCCTTCTTTGAGTGGCCAACATACGGCTTGTAAGAATAGCCTGATACCGCGGAAACCACTGACCCGTATTATTAATATTGAAGGCGAATAGAGCATCAGATTGTATGTGCCTGGAGTCCGTGAGCGTGGCAGATGAGTCAGTAGTTGCACTAGTATCACAGTGAACATTTTTTCAAGCTTTCGTGCAGCTGCAGCATTTTATTAGTTGGTGTAGCGATATATACCTTATATTCTGCAGAGTAAAAGATATCTTTTGCTCCAACATTTATAAGCCCTTTTTATCTACTTGTCTCTGCATTGGCAAGTCTAAGATAAATTCCTACTTATGTAGGTGACCTTAAGCAAGCAGAGTCATTTTAAGAACCACATATACCTTACATATGCTTACTGTAAGCAGCGTTACTCTGTTAGAAGTAGGTAGAAAAGATCCTTGCAGCAATGCTAAAGGTATTATATACTCCCTACGCAAATCACATGATTGTTATCACTTAATCTAGGGTGTGTTTCGCGGTACCTACCTAATAGTTTACAGAGTAATGGATGTCCTTTGCTCCAAAGTTGGCCAACTGTGTGTCTTCATATATATCATCCCACAATCCCCTACCGAGGATGAACAGACTGTGCGTCTGAGCCTCTTTGATTTGTTTAGAATCTTGAAACGGTCTAATGAAATTGGAGCACCTAGCCACAGATGCACCAGCACTATGTTTTTTCTGCTCTGCTACAACCCTGGAGTGCAAAAAGAATCTGTGGTGGCAAGAAGTCAACTTTGACACTCGTGGTACTGGCTGGCATTCATGCATGAACATAAGAGTGTGATTTTTCGAAGGCTCGCGGGTACTATTCACTACTAAGTGTCCAGTCATTTATTCGCCTCTCCTTGCAATACATTCGCCAAGTCCCCATCTGATCGATGTTTCGAAATTTGACGTTTTAGTCCACGGTATATGCTCGTCCAAAGTTGGCCCACTATATGAAATCGTATCTGCTGTCCAGATCTTCCGCGTCTTCATGGTAGTTATCGATCGCAATGATCGCACACCACGGACTCATTAAAGCTGGGACTCTTGTCCGACTATTTCTTTGCTTCCCGTGGTAAAATGCCATGCGTGGCTGCATATTGGGTTTGTTTGTGAAAAGTCACACAGAGGCTAGAGGCCCCCAATCTTATCGAGCTTCTTGTGCTTCCCAGACTGAGAAATTGCGTTCTGCTAGCACTGTCTAGATCCTACAGATAGCTCGAAGCGCAACTACTAAATCTGCTCTCAACTCGGCTTCCATTCCGCTTCCGTTCTGATTCAGCCATCCATCTCGGACTTGACTTCTTGGAACCTGACTTCATCGCGGGAAAGAATCTCGCAGTTGTTGACTGACCGAGCGCATGCTCATCATCGACTGGTAGCCCGTCTTCCTCACTACTCGACTCGTAAACGTCCTCAGTTTCTGACATGCAAAGACCCATTTGCACCCACAGCCGCCTTGATCTTGCGTCAAAGATCGATGGGATCCAAGGACATTGTCGTACTTGTTGTAGTATGCCCTGTGAAGAAGCGAGCCTGTTGTGATCTTCTGACGGGAATGCCAATTGAGAGTATTGGACATAGAAAGCTAGTTCTGAGGGCTGTACGTTCGATATCTGTCGGAGATCCTTTGCAGCTAATGCACCCACTGTTAACGTCCAAATGAATGCTTCGGGGGCGGCGGCCCAATGTAATAGAGGAACTCGCTGCAAAGCTTGCCGAAGCTTGAGCACGATTTTGGCCAACCGCGAACCGATAGATCGAGCGAGCGGCTCTGTTGCCATGACCAGAAAGATAAGGTGTGCGAGGCAAATGCTTTGATCAAGAGGGGTTCTTCCAATTTTACCGCCCAGCTCAAATTCTTCACCTGTTTGATACCATTCGAAGAGTCGATATGTCAGGAGACACGCATGCTTTTGGAGCTCGAAGGGGTCAAGTGGGCAAGAGTTCTGTCCAGTCTTGTACCAATCGGCCAGATCAAGAATGAAGAGATTGACGGAACGGATGATATTCAGAAGCACACCATCTGAGTATAGCCGCTGAAACGGTATCGAAATGGCCAAATGATGAGAGTCCAAGTGCGACATTGCGGCATAGTCCTCGATCTTGCCTGTGGGACCCAGTAACATGGCATAAGGACGTCTGAAGGTAGTGATACATTGCGCGGTACTGTGCCTGATAGTTTTGTCAGCTCGAGAGCTAAGATTAGGACGGAAGGCTCTTGCGATTGGCGGTAATTTAGCGGGATGATGCGTCGTACTTACATCAATATGAAGACCTGCAAGCAGCGATTACTGTTCAGTGAGGTAAGACCACCTCTTTGTCTTATCATCGTTTTCAAACCATTGAGATGGGCGTTGTTAGCAGACAAGCTACACTCCCTATCGTTACCCTGTCGTCTTGGATCTGCAAGGTCGGATTCTTCCATTGCGAGCAATATCAGAACAGTGGCGATTGTGGTGTCATCGATACTAGTCGTCGGATTTGACAGCAATTTGTTGACCTCCGTGATTGCTCGCCATTTGTAAGCCTCTGAATTGAGCCCAGCACTACGTGCTGAAGCTGTGAGCGCTGCGTAGATGTACGGTGCGCCGTTTCGGCTCTGTATACATCTTGCGATCCAATCGGTGGCAGCAACAGATGAAAATCTGTGAAGGTCTATCGGTATCAGTCTCGGTGCTGAGCCTTCGACAACTATGACATGTCAGCAGTCGAAAACCGCACCGTCATGACTATGCTCACACTGATGAAGAAGCTGCTGTGCATATGGGTCCAGGTGCACTGAGAGGCAATCAAATGGACTTTGTGAGCGGAGACTTGAGTCAGGTCTCTGTGTCAGGCAGGCTCGCTGCTCAAGCGGAACGTCGAACGCGTGCGCGGCGTGATTGTACTCCGCTGCCATTAAGGAGCTTATGTAACTCGACGAGGGGATTTCACACGTGTAGTTCCCACCATACGAAGAGAGAATGCTTCCATTCCTGCTGCTTGCTGGTGATGCTGGAGCCTGACTGTCCCATAAAGAATCTTTACGAATGTCCTGAAGGGCCCAGAAGTCGCCGGAACATGCAGGCTCATATCTGACAGCAGTACAGTCAGACAATTGTTCAGGGCTTTGCGCATCGACGAGGTCCTCCTCTTTCGGACTTCTTGGCCGAGTGCTCCATGTCTTCCTGTTCCTGGCTGACTTCATCACAAAGGACCGGACGGTCCGGTCCGGCTTTGCATTCACGCCACCATTGCTCGAGTCGATGAACATAAATCTGGTGGGACGTCTCGTCTGCCTCTTGGGTGCCGACCGGCCGCTGTTGTCGTCGCCTTCGTGTCTGTTTTGCGCAACCATTTGATTTCGGTGTTACCCTGCAACAAAAGCGCTGGGGATCTGCAGCTGCAAGGACTATGCATTGAAAGTGCGAAAGTAACCAGTATCGCAATTATGACCTGCGGAGGTTCGATGGTGTTAAAAGGGGAGTACATAGTGCGTGCGGTATGGGCTGGGAATGTTCTTTAACCCGTACGGTTGGGAGCGCTAACCGCATTGGTCCACTGTTTCTGTTACGGAGGAAGGAGTGGCCGAGCGTCAAGACCATGACCAGCTGAGTCCCTGAGGACGACCAGCTATAAGTTCGGTATCAGCGAGAGAATGCTGGTTTGAGGACTAGTCCAAATGCATCAGTGAACGCGCCGATGCCGAGTCCAATGCGACGAAGCCTTCATAGGGATGACCATGCGAGGGTGCCATACATGCCTCACACATGAGGAGCGGGCCCGAAACATGGTCCACTGTGTGTAACACCAGAATTCCGAAGGAGCGTAATGTCATTCGGGTGCGCAAAGGTTCCGGGAAGACGCCACGGAGTCTCCGAAAGGGTCGTCACGGAGTTGACGATCGGTGATTCGCCATCATGGAGACGAATCTTAAAAGGAGAGTGATGAATATCGTGTACCGAGAGAAAAATTTGACATTTGCTACAAGCCAATCACCTCTGCATCGTTCAAAAGTCCCCACTATAGCTAAGCAGACATCCGGGTCGCATCACTGCGATTGCTCTGTAGTCGGAAAGCCAGTATAATCTAATGCGAAAAGTCAGTCAATATCGACAATCGCAGTGTTGATAAGAGGGTAATTATGAAAGCAAGTCAGATGAAAGATGAAAAGCATTACGTATTATCCAGCATCAGCCCGAAGGCCATAGGAGTTAGCATGGAGTATTTTTAACATCATGCGGAATAAGGAATGAGAAATAGCAATTGGCATACCTCGGACAATATGGACTGTGCGCTTGAATGAGCGGTATAGCAACGTAAAGCTTATTGATCCTGAAGTCTTGTCAGTCTCGCGCTTTGTCACGAAGCATGATAGCTGATAGCGAAAGTGGAAAGTGTATCAGGTAATCGAACTTGTTTTGTTCCCCACGATAGGTCGGCATTTGATAGTATATAGGTTGCTCATCATTGGAGAGGATATTGGGGTTTGTAAAGGCAGACTGACAGGTACAGGCGTGTCGTAGCCCAGCGATGTCCTGCTTCCGCCGCGACCGAACGGGTCGAAACTGACAGGACGCGCTCCGCTGGGCTACGAAGAGGAGCCGAGTTGCGCAATATGCGTGCGCGGCATGTGAAATCGTTGCTCGATCAAGACGACCGGCGCCATTATGTCTACAAGCAACTTGAACATGTTAGCGAAAGTTCATCGTGCAATCTCGAAACGAATTTTAAAGGTGTTGAAAAGTTCAGTCATCTCGTTTGGCTTGAGTGGTCGGATCACCATATTACATGTAAGATAGGGGCGACACGTATGTTCCTCATGAAAGGTGCAAGAATGGAGTAGGAGTGTGACTTACCTCATGACGGTTGTGTTGTTGCAGAAGAAGCTCGCGGCTCGAAGATTTAAGACAAAGTGCTAGCGGCGGGTAGCCGGGCGCCGCTTCCTCCGACGCGGACCGTGCGCGGCTGCTCCTGCGATGCCTCGCATTGTCGACGCGGTCTAACCTCAGACTCGACTCGCGCCCCGGACCACACAAGCAAACTCCGTACACAGCCTATCCCTCTCGACTTCTCCCTCATCATGGCCGACTTCGCCAGCTTCGTCAAGGATTCGCGAGAGAAGAAGAAGCACGAGAACCTTGCGCAGCAGTTCCTTGGCTCTCGAGGCCGCACAGCAACACCGACATCTGGTGCCGGCGCAAAGTCACGACAGAATTTAGAAAAACCCACACTACTGAGTCGCATAAGCGGCGGCGCTGGTGTTCAGAAGAGCCGCTCTTCGTCAGCGAAGCCTTCTGGCAACATCGAAGCAAAATGGCAACATGATCTTCATAAGGTCAATAACCCCAACGGACCTCCTGCAAGAGCTGCGGAGCTTGGTCGCACCGCTTCTGCCTCGCAAATCGACCGCAACAGCCGCACGTATGACAAGTTCGCTTCGGTCTTGAACAAGAACTTGAACGGCCGCAGCGACAGTGCGCCAGGTTTCAGCATTCGAGGTGTTGCGAGTACCGGCCCTTTCACCGTCATTGCAAGTAACTTTGCGCCCGGAACAACGGCTCAGGACATCGAGGCTGTCATGGCACCCCATGGAGGAGAGTGCCTTGGCTGCAAGATACTCACTGCGTCTCCTACCGTCATGGTGGAGCTCTCGTTTACATCAAGAGAAGGCGCCGAGAACGTCATTGCAACATTCAACAGTCAGAAGGTATGCAGTGTTTGATTGTGGGCGTTCGGCATGGCTAACAAGGACGCAGGCTGACGGAAGAACCCTCTATGTCTATATGAAGGAAATACCATCGAGCAACGCCCTTGCCCACTCTCGACCACCGCCTGCCCGCGCTACACAAGCTCTCGACGATGTGGTAGTCGATGGTGCTCGGGGCGGAAGTTACCAGGATGGGAGATACGGTTTCAGCGAAGGCGGTCACCGCGACCCACCACGAGGACCCCGCAGACGCTACTAGAAGCGAGATAAGATACACTTAATACTTTTGTACGATACCCTATCATGGACAAGAACGCTTGAGGATCGTCCTGGAATAAGCAAAGATACGATTTACGCAACGTCCCACGAATTCAACGATGGCACAAGCAAGGACCACGATTGGAAGGCATGTGGAAAAGCTGGCCTTTGTAGACCCTCAAGATGCACACGATATACTCTGAAGCAATGTCAACATTTCAGGATTAAGCGCGCACGTCTAAGCACGTCCAAGGTCTAAAATTGTATACGACACTAGCTGCCAGCAGCGAGATGAGCATATCAATCTGAGCTAGACTCGTTCGCGATCAGGACGTATCTGATCCGGATCCAGCCCTCAAGCCTTCGTCCAGCCTGAGATTGCGGCGTCAACCTCAGTCCTGTACCTCTGCTGCCCCTCAATTTGCTCCAGGAAAACCTTGTACTTGGCCTCCAACAGCTTCTTCACATTCTCATCCCTGATGGGCTTCACCGTCCTACCCGGCTTACTAAACCTATCCATGATATCCCACAGCGGCTCACTATTGCCATCCTTGTCTGTGCTGGCTGCCTTCGCACCAAGCATAGCTGCACCATGGACAACAGCAGCGTGCACGTACTTGGGAATCAGGACAGGCATATCGCACGCAGTGGCTACGAGCTGCATCAGTAGCCCATTCTGGCACTGCGAGCCAGACATGAAGATCGATGAGATGACGTGGCCGGACTTGTTCATCGTGGCAACGATCTGGTGTGTCTGCAGCGCAATGAATTCCAGCGTGGCGTAGTAGTACAGCGCCAGGCCGTCGAGGCTCTTATCTGAGCTCAGTCCAATGACAGAGCCCTTCATGTTTGGGTCTGCAATGGGAGACCGGTTGCCAAACAAGTCGCCGTAGAAGAAGAAGTGGCGCCCGAGCCAGGAGATGTGTGGTGCGTTTTCACGCTCAGCTAGCTCGCGGAGGTGCTCGTTGAGATAGTCGTAGATGTTTGTATTGAAGGTTTCTGCGACGGAGGAGGCTTCGTTGAATGCGGGATGGGTTTCGATGACGTGCTTTAGCAGCTCGCCTGTTGCACTCTGGCCACCTTCTGCCATCCAGTACTCGGGTAAAAGAACGTCTCTGTAGGGTCCCCAGACACCAGGTACGAAGACGGGATCGCGTGACATGGCGAGATGGCATGTCGATGTTCCTGCAACCGCGGCGAGCCTTGTAAAAGCCTGTTCTACATCATTCTTTGCGTGACCCATGTCAAGGGTGTCTTCATCAAGCTTGACCTTGGCGCCGACGGTACCGATCCAGCCAGCATAGGCGTCGATGACACCACTCCCAACGGCAACACCAGGGTTGAGGCCCATTTCTGCCGCAGCCTTTTCGCTGAGAGTACCAACAAGTTCGCCGGCAGTGAGGTAGCGGCCATTCTGCCATGCGTTAGCTAGGTCTCGTCGATCAGTAAAGCAGGACAAACCACTTTGTCAACACCTCCCATGCGTTTGAAGTTGTCCTCACACAGATCCTCTAATCCGATCTCCTTCAGAAAGTCTTCCTGCCAGCCCTTCACACTACCGTCAACACCAACGGGAACGAAGCCTTGCTTGCAGACGACACTGCAGTAGCTCCGAGTGTCACTTCCAGTCGCCAAGTGTGTGAGAGCGTCGCCCAAGTCGTAGAACTTGCAGCGATCGAACAGCTCCTTCGGCATGTTGTTCTTCAGCCACAGCACCTTGGGAATTTCCATCTCAATGGACATTTTGCCGCCAACGTAGCGTAGAAGGTTGTGGTCGGTAGCGTTGATCTTTTCGGTCTCCTCGACCGGTCGGTGGTCAAGCCACAGGATCACGTTGCGGTCGTTTCCATCTCTGTTGTCAAAGTGCGGGCCAGTGACTGAGATGGGCTCGTCCGTATCCTCTGAGAAGACAGAAAGCGAGCATGTAGCGTCGAAGCCGATACCGCGGATGGAGTCTCGGTCAATGCCGTGCTGGTCCATTGCTCTGCGAACTGAGGAGCAAATGCATCGCCAGATGTCTGTCGTCGATTGCTCCTGCTACCGTTAGCTGCCTGCCCCGGTATTATACGCATAGTCGTACATAGTAGCCGGTCTGTGGCTGCCACAGGCCAATGTTCTCTGAGGCCAGACCAACAATGTCACCCTGGTCGTTCATAATACAGGCTCTGGCACTGCCTGTACCGACATCGATACCAATGTAATGGTCGACATGAGGACGGATCTCGTTGCGTGGATCGGTCATCTGGCGTGACGGCTGCCGCGAGTTCTGTCTGAAAGGAATTGTGGCTGCCATAGTGAAGTAATTACAACTGTCAAGAGGTATGTGAGAGAAGCAAGGAAGGGAATGTTAGATTAAACGGTCGTTTTGAGAGCTATCAATTCGTGTTGAGAGTATTGTACAGCTCCGCATTGCGGGATGAGCTCATAGGTAGCTTTCAGGACCCTTCCAATTGACACCTTGGTGGGGGCGGGGCAATCGAAGGCTTAGCGAACCTCAGCTTTCCAGCAATAAGACGGAGTAGGCTGTCCTTCGCGGAGCCAGCGATTTCGATTTTCTGAACACTTGCCAGAACAGCTGGCGAATTTGTGGAGATTGTGAGACCCCAAATCCATGACCCGAATGTTGTTGGCTGGAGGTCACGCCACCAAGCAAAACCATTTCTTGGACCTAACGCTGTTGCGGGGGTATTCGGGGCATCGCCGCGGAGGTGCCAAACCCCGTGGCGATGCGAGCCGACACGGTGGCGCGGTGAGCAAAGGCGTTCGAGGTTTGGTGGGGAGCTTGCTGGCGAATGTTAGTCAGCCGCCGGGCGAGCTCTGGCCAAGTTCGTCTCCAATACCGAGCGTATGCAAACGAGATACCGCAATACAGCATTCGCCAATATGTTGCTCGCACGTCTTCTCCTGCTGCCATTTGCGGTCGCATCGACCGTAACGCTATATGTGTCCTCCGTTCCAGTCTCTGGAGGCACTGCCGTTATTCCGTCAGCAATTCCCCTTGCGCAGATCGAGTACGACGCAGACCAGGCCGTTGGCACATTAGCCTCCTACACACCGCCGACGGGCTCATACTCTGATGACCACCTCCTTCGCGTTGGCCTGACCGACCCAAAGACTGGATCTTGGCGGGGTGTCGTCACGTCAGCTTCGAGCTTCGCGGACCAGTACCACAAGAAGTTCATCGTCCACGTTGATGAGAAGGGCGAGCCGTACCACATAGGCTTTGGAACAAGCGCAAAGGGTGCTGGAAAGGAAGTTGAGGTCGAGGTTGTGAAGAGGAGTCCGGGTTCCAAGCCAGTGCTGAACAGGCCAATTGTGCTGAATGCGGAGGGCAAACTGGAAACCAAGGAGCCGGAGAAGACATTCTTGCAGAAGTATGTATTATCATTGGCGCGAGATCGGGGCCTGGGGACTGACACATTTGTAGGTACTGGTGGGCGCTCGCACTCTTCATTGTCGTTCAGCTTGTATCTGGCGGAGGGGAGGGCAAATAGACTGCCTAGGAAGGACGTTGGCGAATCGAATCTACACCTGGCCACCGCCCCGATCCTACTTCAACGCGAACTTGTATGCATTAAGCTTGCCGACAAGCTCGTACAACCTGCCTCCAGAGGGGGCAAGGGCTAGTTTCGAGATGTGCCACGATTCTTTGCTCCTATAATGGCTGTGGAGGTTCTCAAACTTTATGTATGTGCGAAATCTGCATCCGGTACCATTCAGAACAGCCGTGTCGGTGCTCTTAGTGGTCCAATATGTACATTCAAAGACGTCTGTTATGGGTATCAAAATCCCGTCGCAATGTACTTGGCGACGTATCGCCAGAGTGTAAGATTATAACAAGTTGCTACATGAACGGCAAGCACGTGCGCGATGGCTGCACCTTCCATCTCCATAAAGTCCAGCGCCGTCAAAGAGATAAAAATCCGGCAAACTGATGGGAACAAAGTACGACCTGAAACAGTAGTGCGCACCTCGCTCATCCGTAGCATTGACGTGGCATACGTGTTGTTTCTTGTCGTCTGCTGTCTTTATTTACCCCTGTACAGTACGCACAGCCGTGGGAGAAGCCTCGCACAAAGTGCTGGAGAGTATCAGACACGTACCCCTCGGATGGCGAAGAACGTCTTCGTTTTGGCTATGTACATTGCGCGGCTCGCAACTGTGGACTGATCGAGCTTAGTGGTAGCCTACCGCACATGAACCACACAATGCCAGTTGCACATGTCGATGATCTTGAAGTTGCTTCGTGATTCGATTGCTTTCGTTGCGTTGTTTGTGCGAGTCGCCACTTGTGGCTGTAGCCTGAGGCGACGTCATCTCTTTCCCCTCTTGCGCCCCGCCAACCAAACATTCCCTCCTCACTACAAATACCTTCTTCAGCCTTCTCTTGTGCCACAAATCGTCTTACACACCTTCTTCAAACAAACACAAAACATTCTCCACAATGGCTTCCACTGTTCACGTTGAGAACATCAGCACCAAGACGTCCGAAGACGAGATCAAGTCCTTCTTCAGCTTCTGCGGAAAGATCCAGGACATCTCCGTCAAGTCTACTGGCAATGACACACAGTCTGCGTCCGTCACCTTTGAGAAGGCAGCTGCCGCTAAGACTGCACTTCTCCTCGACAGCACACAGCTAGGCCCCAACTCTGTCCACGTCAAGTCTGCACAATCTGGTGGCGAGTTTGCGACTGAGAAGGCCACCGACGACACCCACGAGGGTGACCATATTTCCCAGGAGCAGAAGCCTCGCGCTCGTATCGTTGCCGAGTACCTCGCTCATGGCTACGCCATTTCTGATAAGGCCATCGAGAGCGCTCTTACCGCCGATAAGCAGCACGGTTATAGCGCCAAGTTCCTCCAGACCCTTCAGAACCTTGACTCCAAGACCCAGGCATCGCAGAAGGCGCAGGTTGTTGACCAGAAGCTCGGTCTCACTAACAAGGCGATGGGTGCTTGGGCCGGCCTCACCAGTTACTTCGACAAGGCTCAGGGTACTCCTACCGGCCAGAAGCTGAGGGCTTTCTACGACCAGGGCAACAAGACCGTCATGGATGTTCACAATGAGGCCCGCCACCTGGCTGACCTCAAGAAGGGTCAGAGCGGCAGCGGCAACAAGCCTACTATGGAGGAGGCTGATGTCCACGGTGTCGGCGATGGCAAGACTCAGTGCAACTGCGGTTCCCAGGCCGGCAAGTGCCCATGTCCTGAGGGCCAATGTGCTTGCTCCGGTTGCGCAAAGGCCGAGGGCGGTGGCAAGCCCAGCATAGAGGAGGCCAACGTCCACGACGTCGGTAACGGCAAGACGCAGTGCAACTGTGGCTCCGTCTCTGGAAAGTGTCCCTGCGCCGAGGGCAAGTGCGCTTGCTCAGGTTGCCCGAAGGACACTTCCAAGAACGAGAAGGGTGACGCCAGCTACGCTGCTGTTGTTGACCCCAAGCAGTAGATCAGATCCGGCTTCAAGGCGTTTGGGTGGCAGAGGGGTTTGAGCGACGATTCCTTTTACTGAGCAACTTTTGTTATGGTTCCAACTTAAAAGTGGAGTTGGCAATAAACGATGAATTGAGATATCCCTTAGTCTAGTACTAGAATCGAGACTTTCATGATATATGTGTTTTTGTCCCGTCCATTATGGTGCTCAATGATGTGCTCACTCGTGACAATCGACCGTAGCTCACACACCAAACCATCGATTGACCGAACTTAGACACACCCATCCGCCTTGCGCTTCACCATGTTGCCTTTCTACGATGGTCGATACGCCTGCCCAGTGTCAAGAGACACCACCGATGTCGGCGTTGTGGATACAACTTAAGCCACAGTCGAGTTGTAGACTAAAGGCGGGTGTGACGTCGGCAGATCATGAAACCCATGCAACCTCAGCAACGAACCTTGGGCTGAAATTGATGATACATGCAAGATAAGACTGAGTTTTTGGGAGGCGCCGAGCAAATGCAGCATGTGCAGCCGGACATGCTTTAGCTTTGTCTGGAGTTAGTCGGTAATCGCAAACCACAATTGCTTGCATCTGCGTCATGGCCTCTTAACCATCCCCACTGCATGCGTGTCTCCGTGACTTCACCACTGCATAGAATTTACAACGTCCTGCACAGTGAAAGCCGTGCTGCCTGTCTCTAGCGCTGTTCTATCTGCCTTCAGCCTGACAACGCATAATTAGCGCCTTGCAGCTGTAGCGCCGCCATACTTTCTCAGGCAACATAGCAACTCCACCATTACCTACAACACAACACCGCCAAGATGAGCACGGGAGCAAAGAAGAGGATCATGAAGGCAGGCCTCGTATACTTGGCATTTGAAACAGGATACTGACATCAGGGTAGGAGTACGGCGAGTGCATGGCCGACATGCCAGCGGGCATGAAGATCAGCTTCGATGAGCAGAACATGACCAAGTGGGAGGTCCTGATGGACGGACCGGACCAGTCTGTGTACGCGGTAAGTCTGCACTCACTTGCAGTATGAGGCTGAGCTAACGCTGCGCAGGGCGGGCACTTCAAGCTCGAGATCACATTCCCCAACGAATACCCGTTCAAGCCGCCGGTCGTTTCGTTCCGCACCAAGATTTATCACCCCAACGTCAGCAACGACGACAAGGGCTCCATGTGTCTGGGTCTGCTGCGCGCGGATGAGTGGAAGCCACCGAACAAGGTTGTTTCAGTCCTTCGCCTCATCCAGACGCTCCTCATCGAGCCAAACCCGGACGACGCCATCGAGCCATCTATTGCCAACGAGTACAGGGAGAATCGCAAGCAGTTCGAAAAGAATGCGCAGGACTGGGTCAAGCGCTATGCAAAGTGAGCGGGAGGGATGTCACGCGACAGGGACGGCTAGGGAAACGAGGGAAACGAGGTCGAGGCTGATGGCTACACTGCATTTTGGGCGTTTGGCGAAGCTGCGTCAGCGGCTGACGATGGACACGATCGGTGATGGGTGACGGAAAGAGCAAGCAACGAATCTATATCAACATGGATGGTAATACATATGATCGTGATGCATAGGTGGTCAGGTCGTGAGTCGTGAGCTGGGCAGAACACCCAGGTAAGGGATACCCTGAGATCTTTTGCTAAATGAACATAATTGCACCGAGGCACGTCGTCATGGGCGGATTCCTCAGCCGTGATGTGTACCAAGAGCGCAAGCAAATGAACAGAAGCAAATGAGAGGACTAGGATGCGCGCTCTGCCAGTCTTTCGAGAACACATAGTGGCATGACCACGGCCAAGTGGGGAATGGTCACGGCGGGAGAATGGGTCGCGGCGACACCCATGTGCTTCTCGAAGTCATGGCACTGCTGGCGGTGCAGCAATCTTACGAGTCAGGGCTGCACCAAAGGACGTCTCAGGACGCGGAAGTTTACGCAGCTGCCAGACACATGCGGGAGAGGCAATCGACGGCCGGCCCTGGCCACGTTGCAGTTGTTCAGTTCTCTTGAACGCTACGTTGTGGATGGTGATGAAGTGATAAGCATGAAGCGAAAGGAACAGAGCGTGCGGCATTCCCTGCCAATTGGGATCAGCGGAGGGGCGGCGAGCAACGGTGGCCGTGCCTGAGCGGTGCCAATTAATGAATAGTAGCCGCCTGGCACCGGACGGGGATGCGGCAGCCGAGATGGACGATGCACTCACTACCACTACAAATGGTCGATACTTCGTATGGCTCCTGCGCGACGATGCTGGTGGTATTGATCAGGCTCTGCGACGCTGCCTCCTTCACTATCGTCTCCGAGCGAAGTCTCGCAGTGGAGGTCACTCTGACGCCCTCGAAATACCCAGCTCACACGTCGCGGCGCGGCCATCACGTTCCTTAACCGCCGCTCCCAGCACACGCAGGCAGCCGCCCCGTCGCCGCATTCCTTCACTTGTCAATTCCTATCAGCGCGATCCTGTGGCCCGGAGCCGCGGCGGCACCCATCTCGGCGTCCCGACAGTAGCGCAGTGCTTCCGTGCTTTTGAGTTCCAGCGTTTCAGACGCACACGCGCCCAGCAGCAGCAGCAGCGAGCACTCGAGCCGCATCCTCCCATCAGCTCCGTCGACCGCTCCCGTCCACACACACACACACACACACACACACTCTCTCTCTCTCTCTCTCTCTCTCTTTCTCGATAATGTGTCCGCCGCGAGCCACGACTACCGAGCTGCCTTCGTTCCCGCTCGAATGAGCACCACTGCGCGCTACCAGATCCGCCGCCATGGCTGACGCCCTACACCGTGCTGGCACTACTACGACCCACAGCACCATCTCCCACTGGACTCCTACCGACGACGTCCCCAGCACCGCCTTCCCCTACCCTTGCGGCACGCCTGCGTCGACCCCGTCGTTCGCGCGCCTGCACTACGTCGCCTACCAGCCCCGGAGCTGCGACACCCCCCCGGCCTCGCCGCCCCCGCGGCCGGCATACACACAGGGCCTGAGTGCGAAGCGGGGACTGCTGCCGTTGAATATGGACACCGCCGTGTCGCCCGCCTACGAGCGCCGAGCCTACAGCCCTGCTCCCGAGAGCCCCACGCTCCCGTCCGTCGCCCTGCCCTCCCCCAAATTCCCTCCCCCACGACAGCGAGCGCCCTCCCTCCTGCGCCATGCCGCTGTGTCCTCGCCCAAATACATGCAGTTCTCCCAAAACGAAGGCCCCACATCATCGCCAGTCATGGCACCGGCAATGAGACGCGACGGCAGCGGCCCTGGCTCGCCAGACCTGCGCGCCATCTTCAACCCGCTCGCCAGCAACCCTCCCACGTCGAATGGCACGCAGTGGGACTTGTCTCCAGAGGACGTGTCTGGCTCGATATCGCCCGTCCGAGCTCGCGGCTACACCAGCTCGTCACAAACCTCGTTCATCCCCCACCCACCACTACGCTCCGTCACCTCGATACCCGACTACGGCCAGTACCGCAACGGCGAGCGGTCAAATCTGTCTGGCACATACAAGCCCAATCGCGGAGTCCCCAACTGGTCTCACTCCGACTACTACCCTCCCCCGCCGATTCGACAGCTGCGAGGCGAGGAGCCTCGGTTCAGCTCAAGATCAGGCTACACGAACACTTCGGGAAGCATGATGGAAGCCAGCACCGAACGCAGTAGTATAGTAACAGCGCGCAGCTCTGTGGCTAGCGACCGCCAGAACAGCATATACTCGAGAGATCAGTCAAGAGACAGACTGCGCGACCGCGATGACTCGCCAGAGACCACTCAGAACTCCGAGATCGCCGAGGAGGACGAAGACATGGATCAGTTCAGCGCCGTGGACGATGTGATCGACGCCTACTGCTACGATGAGGACGTTCGCGGGTACTCGATGATTGCAGACACAGCAAGAGATCCATCTCCCATAGCTTTGGATCTAGAACCGCCCGAACTATCACAGACACCTTCTCGCGACAAGGACTCATTGTCGTCTTTCCAGTCGTCTGAAAACCTCAAACAATGGGATAGCTCTCCCGCATCTCTCCTTAACGGCATGATTGCCAAGGCTGGAGTTAGGAAACATCGTCTTTCGATACGCTCGCCATCTGCCACAGATGCCTCGGATCAGAGCCTCCTTGACGACGACACTCAGGCAGGAGCCGAAGGGGAATTGAGGCCGCACCAAATACCTCCACTTCAGATTAGCCCTTTTCAGGCTGAATACACACCACGAACCATTGAGGCTGTCACAGCCTTGACCAACAAGAAGAACCCAGATGAGAGACAACGGTCAAGTGAGGAGGCACCACGACGAATCTCAATGACATTACAAGCACTGTCCCTTGGTGCACCGAGCGCACTAGTTCAGACCGCGGATGACGGACTGCCCGCTAGAGTCCCGAGTGCCAAGCGGGCCGAAATGTCGGCAATCAATCGCGAGATCGCTGCTCTACCACGACTTCCCATGAACAAGGCGCGCATGTCGCGACGTGACTGGGCAGATATTGAAGCTTACTCTAAGAGACATTCGAAAAGACCGAGCGTAGCTCGACTGGTGTCGACCGAGTCGATTCAGAAGGTGGGCCCTGCTCTGCCATCGGCCCCACTACAGAAGTCTCAGCCATTGCCGGAACTTGATGAGGACGAGGCTATTCCGCGCCGAGCATCGACCAGTGTGTACGACCGAAAGAGTGGGTTTGGATTGGATTCCTTTTTGAAGCCTACGAGACCCGTCGAGGCAAAGCCTTTAGCTGCATCCAACCAAATCGGACATGTTCCTAGCGTTTCGCCAATCGTGCGGAAGATGGCCGGAAAGGCGCCGCGCGATCGTTACGGATTCAAGAAGGAGTCACTGAATGTCAGCGTTCAAGAGCACGATGCTTGGGCGGCAAGATACGAGGAGCACATCAACAGGCGCAGGAGCAAGTGGATCGCATTGATGACCAAGGAAGGTCTGTCAACAAATGAACCCACAGAGTTTCCCGCAACCAAGTCTGAGAGAGTCAAGCGTTACGCTCGCAAGGGCTTTCCTCCCGAGTGGCGTGGTGCTATGTGGTGGTACTACTCGGGTGGTCAACACACACTCAAGCAAAAGGAATACATCGGCTTGTACGCCTCGCTAGCAGTACGTGTCAAGAATGACGAGCTGAACAAAGACGACAAGGACGCGATCGAACGTGACTTGGACCGAACCTTCCCGGACAATATCCACTTCCGCCCTGAACCGGCAAATGACTTACTGGATGGAGAATGCGACGACGAGCCTGCCATGATCCAGGACCTCCGCGAAGTCCTTTCTTGCTTTGCTCTAAACAACCCAAGTATTGGCTATTGTCAGTCTCTCAACTTCATTGCCGGTCTTCTTCTCTTGTTCCTCAAGCAGGATAAGGAGAAAGCGTTCATTCTTCTCACGATCATCACACAAAACCATCTTCCCGGCGCCCATGCTCGCGCTCTTGCGAACACGGAAGTCAACGTTCTCATGATGCTCATCAAGGACTACCTTCCCAAGGTCTGGGCTTCCATCAACGACACCGACCTCATCAACTCCGGCGCTGGATCTCACGCCCACCCTAATTCGAAGTTCCAGCGCCAACCTACCGTAGCCTTGTCCTGCACGTCTTGGTTCATGTCGCTCTTCGTCGGTGTCCTGCCCATCGAGACTGTGCTTCGCATCTGGGACGCCTTCCTTATGGAGGGACCTCGGGCTTTGTACCGCTACGCACTTGCCATCTTCAAGCTTGGCGAGCCCGAGATCAAAAAGTACCGCCCCGGCGATGGCGAGCTGTTTATGCTCGTCCAGAACCTGCCCAGGACATGTATTGATCCGAATGTTCTTCACGACTACGCATTCGTCAGGAAGGGATTCGGAAGTCTGGATCAACGAGTCATTGACCAAAAGAGGTTGTTCTGGCGTGAACAAAACAAAACAATCGCGCATCAAAACTCCGTCAAGAGCGCGCGGCAAAACCAGCAGGGTCTGCAGGTCCCCACGCAACGACAAGAAGGAGATGATACAGACGGCGAAAGCGTCCGCCGTACCATGGGCGGCCTCCGGCGACGAGCCAGCCGCAAGTTTCGAAGAATGAGGAGCTAAGCCCTCCCTATCACCGCACCACGTTTGTACCAGCGACGTTTCCTTTCCCATTTTCCTGTTTACACCTCTCATGGCGACCGGCGTTCAGCATACACACCCAATACATACAGGTTGAGGCATCAGGCGTACAAAAGGCAGCGTATTATCGTTCTTGTATAATATTTACCATATACCCCCTTTGTGCGGGAGGGCCAGAGGATGGATTACTTAGTAGCACCTCCAGTGGCAGGCGACCGGATCCACGGCATGGTCGTGCTAGGGAGGAACGGCTAGGGACGTATAAGGCAGGGAGCGATGCATGGATGGATTGGTACCTAATGACACATGACTTGATGACCTCAACACTCATCTTTTCTCATCCCTCTCGCTACTTGCACATCGTGATAGGGCACGTGCAGTCGCGTTCAAGGGCTTCGTCCATCAAACGGCGTCCACACTCGCGAATCCAACAGACTAGAGACGTGAATGTCTAGTGATGTACCTATAGTTGCAAACCGTGTGCCTTTTGATGTTGAATCTATGCTACCAATCATTTCCAGTATATCATGACATGTCCCCGACTGTCTCCCTAACGGGTATCGCGCTGGGCATTAGATTGGCGTTTCATGTCCAGAAACGGGACTATTCTGCACGATTGCTGGGCGGTAAGGGGTTCTCGTGTAGAATGAGGGTAGGGTCATGAGATGGCACCCTGTCCGGGAAGAAAGGTACGGATTGGATCCTATTACGAGAAGATTGGGCAAGAATGCCTTCTCTGGCTCCTTGGTAGTGCGAAGTTTAGCAAGTGAGTTTTTACGTGCACTAGTCTTTCGGTCCCGACTTGCAAAAGACGATTGAAGCAGTCTAGACTCAAGTTCGATATAGAGCTACTGCAATTACTGCGCAAAACTCGATGCTTGATATATAGTAGATGATAGTAATATGGCATGTAAGATGCGTGGATATCGATAGGAAAGACAGTATGACAATGAGATAGACCGTGCCAACAGGCGTACATGGTGAGTAGACAGCTTGCGAAATGAAGAGAAGATGAAACAAGATGCCAGCCAAATAAACAAGCGCTTGCCTCCAATAAATAGCGAAACCTTGCAACAGACGGGTGATGCTGTAGACTGAAAATGCATGCTGCAAAACGGTGCGTTTACTGCATCCTCTTCCTCTTCCTCGGATCCTCGGGCTCGTCTTCGTCTGCTCGCTCGGCGGTCTCTGCAGGGTTGAGCAGCGAGTGCACGTTCGATGCCATGCTGGAGCGACGAGTCGGCGGCCCCGGAGTGTCAAACCCCTTGAAAGGGTATCGAGCTCCGGGTAATGTCCAGCCAGCATCATTAGGGGTCAACGATGATGATTGAGGTCCATCTGGCGGTGTGCCCTGTCTCGATGTTCGCCCCCGAGGCCCCCGAGGAAGCTGGTACGATTCTAGCGCGTTGCGAAGCTGCTCGTCGCCGCCACCAATCGGTGCTCTATGTGGTGAAGACGGCCATTGCGTCGAGTTGTGACCAGATGCGTATGGAGAATGTGTTGGCGGGGGCTGGTGTTGCCAGCCAAGGGTGCGAATATCGGCAGAGGTGTGCCGTCGCTGAAAGTGGTTGTATGGAGGAGATGCCCCGCTTCCAGGGTTGTTGCCTCCATTTCCACCTGGTGCTTGTATGGAGGGCGGTGGAGGAGGCGGCGGCGGAGGCGGTTGTTGTGCAGCTGGCGGTCTGGCTGATACTGGGGAGTAAGTTCCTGTGCCAATTGAGCCGTAGCGACGTGGAGAGATCGCAAGGTGTGCTGGAACCGAAGGCTTAACGGACATCTGTCGCGGAAGGCCAGCCAATGACCCTCGCCGCGAATCTGGATACTGGTCATGCGGCATTGCGCGTGGTGATAGCGGTGACCCATTGTTGTCCACTTGCATGAAGTACGGTTGGCGAGCTGAGGAGGGCTCCTCCGGTTGGTCCAATGTGTTCAACATGTCGGTGTATCGACAGATGTCTCGTTCCATTGCTGCGATGTTTTTGTGCACGGCGTGTTCTGGATCTGGCACAAGATCCAAAATGTGGCGGGTGAGTTCTCTGTTCCACTGCAAATCATTAGTTTGGGGATATGATAACAGGCCAGATTCCGCGTACCGTATGGCAACGTAGCATGCCTTCCATCAAAACTGCAGCTTTTTGGCTAAGATATGCGCACGTGTCTTCTGACCGCTGTATCTGCGAATGCATATTATGCAAGTTGTACTCGAGCGCGTTGAGTCGCGATTCAACAGGGTCCGGCATCTGTTGCTCGATAGGCTGTGTAGGGGGCGGGCCGGTTGGGAGTTTGGGTGTAGGGAAAGAGTCTCGATGGATGAGTGCATGTCTCGATGCTCGTCGTTTAATCTCGCGCAGCCCTACGAGATCGCCGCGCTTGAAGTTCCCGTTGCCGTGCTTGAACTCCCAGAGGGGAGAGTCTGGCGATCCTGTGTGGAATACGTCGCTCACTGCTCGACATCAGTAGACGTCCCCTAGATCACATATACAGCCACCGACCTTTGTGGAATCCGTACATGTTCAATTGGCGAACAAAGGACGAGATGTTGGTATGCTTGAAATATGATCTGGACCACAGGTCAACATTGCACGTCAGCATGGCTGGGGTAGCACATACGACAAAACTTTTGAGAATTCACTGGACGGAGACATGACGAAGCTTTCGTTCGTACTAGACCATGAAATAAGATGCTGAATGCTCTGATCCTCCAGCATGCTGGGTTTCTGTTAGCACCGCATGCGACTTTCCAGATCTGGCAGGTACACTCACTTGTATAGTTTGTGTATAAACGCCGTCTGAACGACTTTGGGTTGCTGGGCAGCTGCGGCCGCGCCAACCGCCGGCGCAGAACTGCCATTGCCATTGCCATTGCCATTGCCATTGCCGTTAGGCGTATTGTTATCCGAGTCGCCGTTTGCTGATTGACTATGCGCGTGCGTCTGGTGTGTCGGTGTGAGGTGCTGTCGATCTGTACTTGGTGCAGTGAGGCTTGGTGGGCCCATGGCCGAGGACGAGGATGGGGTGATGTCCATTCGATCTTGCGGGGGCGCAAGCGAACCAGAGGATGGCAGGATGGGAATGGATCTGTGCATGTTTGGATTGTGGTCGCCAGAGAACGGGCTTCTGCGGGCCTCTGCGACAGAAGCCATCGAGTGGAGACGCGGCGAGGAAGGATGGCACCAATGTTGAGGCGCTGGGCTGCTAAGCCAGTAAGGCTCTTGAACAGCGCCCTGGGGCCGGGATGGAGGATTTCACAGCGAAGACTTGTTCTGTCAATCCGCCAAAACCCTGCTGAATTCGGCTACAGGGTCTCCGATATAAGGCAGATTGGCAGTGCGGAGCAAATCCGGAGGTTGTTCCAGAAGTCGGCCGCGAAGACTCCAGCCGTCGTTCGCTGCTAAGAACCGGGAGCGGCCGGAGAACAAAGGTCTGCTGTGGCGCCGAGTAGCAGCTTAGGAGCTGGCCGTGGGAGAGGCGCAGGATTATCTACAGCATCTACGGGACTGGTAGTATGGGAGTGTGCCTTCCACGTATGGCTATGCTATGCAAAGGAGGGCAGGTGCACGGCGCACCGGCGATGGCGTAACTAGCAGCAGCGCTCGTCGCAAAGGGAGCTGCTGAGACAGTGGAGGGCGTGTGTCGCAAAAGTATCATCTGTGAGGATAGGAGAGGAGATGCCAGGCACAGGCCATGCGCGGAGGCCAGCAGCGTTCCCCTCGACTATCTGGCACAAGCACAGGACACTCTCCGATATGGGTGGGGAGCGTGACAATGCTGAGCGTCTGGGGGCCCTTTGTGCAGCCGGAGACGCCGTGGAGCTGGAGGGGCACGATCAAAGAACGCAGATGGATAACGGCAAATTTGCCAGGTCTGGGACTTGCGCACCTTGGGTCGCAGTCAGCAAGCTCGCGACGGCGTGCCGAAGCAGGTTTACCGTCTAGCTTCGTGACAAGCAGCTCAAGGTTCGCGCAGGCGTCGGCCACATGCATTCCCAGCAACTGAAACGGCCGCGGCACTCTAGAACAGTCTTATAACGACCCTGCTATAACGTTTACTGTCTGGCTGCGGGGTCTGATAGCATAACAGCTCTGCCTGACAGCTCCTCATGGCATTTGTGCAATGCAGTGTCCTCCAGCGTGGCTGCACAACAAATTATTAACGTCAACAGCTGCAAACCGTACGTGCTGTAAGTTATTCTTTCAGAAGATTTCGCGATTGCTGTTGCATGCAGTGCTTTGCACCTGCAAAGTACCGGCGCTAGCGGCCACGAGGTTGCCCGATGGTGCCTTCCTCGTTGAAGAAAGATCAGCAAGAGGGGTGCCTGGTGCCACTTGCCTCCGAACATCACGGTTACAGTAATAAACCTCACTGAACGTGTCAGGTCGACAAAATCTTCCCGTTCCCCTGCAGACACCACCATTGCCCCGGAAAGCTGCTCACCTACCGGATATGGCGAGTAACGGTTTGGCGGAAGCGTTCGCGCGATTGTCAAACTCTGACTCGAGACTAGACGCTCTGGAAGCTTTGATTAAGGAGTTGACGCCTTACGAGTGGAGATTCGTCCAGTCACTTACAAGCACACGAACCTTCCAGTTCGACATTATCGGACGTCTCCCCGTGGAGCTTGTTTCTCAGATATTCTCGTATCTTGACGCATCCAAACCGTGGCAATTACAACACGTAGGTCAAAACACACCCGGGAAGCCTTTGAGCACGTCGGCGCTTTCTACGAAGGTTTCAGGCTACAGAATAGACTCATCGCGCGCCAGAGGCCTCTTGCACGTCATTTTGGCCCCGGTCACGCCTAGGTGCTACACCCGACCGCAAGGGGTTCAGAGGACCTATTCACAGAATTCTGAGCCTGTGTGTACTGACCCGCTCTATAGGTATGTCGAGCTTGGTACGAACAACTGCGAAGCTTGGATGTGCTGAAGCCCAATCTTGAAAGCTGGTACGACGGCACGATCAACTTACAAGGCGTAGACCTGGAGTTCTGTCGGCGCAGAGCTCGAAGCGCCCGAGCACTTCGCAGCGGTCGAGCCCAACCAGACAGCAGTCTGAAAATATCAAGTCGGGTTAGCCTAACACAGCAGTTCCTTGTAAGAGACAAGTTGATATGGCTTGCCCATGGTCTCCGTCAAGTGAACGTGGTCAACCTGAGGTCCATGACGTCCAAAGTTCTCGTAGACCCAAGTCGCGGGCAGATCGGTCAGCTTCACGCGGCTGATGACTTGGTGGCATTCTCTGCCCTGCTCAGAGGAGCTGTCTTTGTTGGCGAAATAATTGGAAACGGGCCGGTGAAGAACTTCCGAATTCACGGCCCCAGCCAGAGGCTCGCCCTGACATGTCGACATCGAACGGTGGCCTGCGCAATGCACCTAGAAGCCCATACACGCGTCTACATCTGGAATTACGATACTTCACAGTGTAGGTATTTTGACATCAACAGAACCGCGCTACAAAAGCCGATGTCGAACTCAACTCGACACGGCTTGCTCCTACAGCCATATACTGAGACAGTCATATTATGCCAATTCTTTGTACCCGCCCGCTTCGGGGCTAGTCGCACTACGCTACTCCACTGGTGCTTCACTTACGCAGGTGAATGCCTCCGCGGTCTTGAGCAAGCACTCGAAGGCTATAGCGATGAGAGCGAAGTCGCGCCTGGCGGTCTCACCTCAAGCTTGGCTTTCGTACCCGCCAGCCACGATGGCCTATATATGTTACGGTGCAACGACTGCATGAGTAATGGAAAACCCGCCCTCCCTTACTTACAGTACAATGACAAAATCCAAGCTTTCACAAGCCCTCGACACCCCAGATTGTACCCCACCGATTCTTGGGATGGCGGCAATGTCGTTTGGTGGAAAGACGCATTCATCGAGGGCAGCATTGGGGAGGAGATAGTTGTTCACAGAGGCACTGTCTCTGTTCCAAACCTTGATCCAGATATAGCCTGTGGTCCCAGAGAGCACAGAACATTCAAAGAGGTCCTCGTGAACGACACATATATTGTACGGCCATTCTTAGATGCATGCTATATCTTCTGCTACGACCACACGGTGCAGTTGCCGGGGGCGAAAGGCACACTGCATGGTGTGGGACCTTGGGAGATCATCGAGAACAGATTCCCAACAGCGAGCGAGTGTTCATAAGAATTCTGACGACAGCTGTCAACAGACGTGAGAAGCTCTCAAGGTCCCAGCGACACCTGATCATTTTTTGGGGTCCTGTTCTGCATGAAGAAACGTAGGGTATCGCTACGTTGAACAGAATCAAGATGACTGACACCTCTGAAGGCCTCCTAAGTCCATTCTCTGACTGTGACAGCTTAAAAATGGCAAAATGTAGATTACACTTGTACCTCTAAATAGGCTGCTTATAAAGGACTATTCTCTGTTACACTGACACCTTCCCTTTTGCGGAGATGAGACGGATACTTTAGGAAGGTGCTGCTGCCAGGGTGTTTGGTTGGGGCAGGGCTGCCATTTCACGACTTCAAATCGAAATGTTTGCATAAGCCCTAGCTCCGCATACTGTGAACGTCATACTAATAATAAGCTGGTGCTGTACACCTTGAGTAGTTAAAACATGCGAAATAGTGAAGAGTTTTCGAGGTTCACAGTGAACGAAAGGCTTCTAGAAGCCGAGCGTCTTCCACACTAGCGCGGGGTAGGCTCCTCGACTTTACCCCACGCTTCATTGTCGGCCAGCTCCGCGCCAGGATTTTTCTTTCCAAGCGTAATATTAAACCACACCAACTGAGCTCGATACTTTATACTTTATACTTTGCGCCTCACCCAGACTTTTCATACAATTGAATAACATCCGCAATCATGGTCGAGAAGCTTTATGTCACATACAACCAGGTACGTACTTCGACGCGTTGTGGCAGTACGCGCCTACTGTACTACAGTTGGTTTTACCGTCACCGCATTACCACGCGACAACACCATAGCGCAGACCGGACTTTCCAGCGCCGTGAAACATCTCAACTCGCGATTTCGCGTCCATAGCAGCATTACGAATAAAAAGAGTCGCTGCGATCGCGTACTGACACACCACAGGTGCACAAGCACTGCCAGGATGCCGCCCCCAGAATCCTCGAGGAATTCAAGCCTAACCTCATGATCGCCATCGGCGGCGGTGGGTACGTCCCCGCGCGCATTCTCCGCTCATTCCTCAAGCGTGACGACTCGCCCAACATCCCCATTCAGGCAATCGGTCTGTCCCTGTATGAGCAGCTCGGCGGCTCGAGTGACTCTGAGGTCGAGGTCCCCGGCACAAAGGTCACACGTACGCAGTGGCTCGATCTGTCTTCCCTCGAGATGGCCAATCTGATTGGCAAGAATGTCCTCATTGTTGACGAGGTCGACGACACAAGGACAACGCTCGAGTACGCCGTCCGCGAATTGGAGAAGGATGTTGTTGAGGCGCAAAAGAAGTCCGGACGCACAGGGGAGAAAACTACGTTCAGTATCTTTGTGCTGCACAACAAGGATAAGGCGAAGAAGGGTACACTTCCTGAGGAGACCCTCAAGGGCAGGTATCTGGCTGCGCAGACTGTTGGCGATGTCTGGATCAACTACCCATGGGAGGCTATGTATGTCATATACTCACGTTCACGCTTGGACTTTTTGAGCTAACAACACCTAGGGACATTGATCAGCACGACCGCATGTCCGCCGAGGCCTCGAAGGACAAGTCCGCCTGAAAGCTTCATTTGATCTATGATACCAAAAACAAGGAACAGGAGGCAGATGATGAAAGGGAAAAGCATCACATTGACGACTCGGCATTTGAGCAATTGCAATCAGGGGTTAAACAGGAGTTGGTGGATACTGGTCTTGAACGACAGTCATTTGGGTAATTGACCTGCGACCCTAACTTGGACAAGACATTGGATGGAAACGAGTCACAAGAGAAATCGCAGTCGACATGTCAGCCACCAGCACAGTATGACGCATTGGTGATCTGTCCTGCCTGAGTGATCTTTCCTATCTGTAGCAGGACTCTTCTGTATGTGCCGAAGACGCACCAGTGGCTATAGACAATAAGAGCATATCTTGCTGCAAGATCTCTTGTCAAGACGGCGTTGGACTCAGCGAGTGAAGACGAAGGCCAACGAGCGCGCTCCCAGACGCTATTGGATCCTAATCTTATATACCAAGGTCTCGTCGCAAAAAAGATGAAGAATGGCAAAATGTCGCAGCAAGGATCGAGGTGAGGGTGCATATCACGTGATCCGCATCTGGATATTGGACCGATCAGACACTGGAGATCAACCACACCATGGTGAGCAGAATCGGGTACAGTTTGGAGCGGTGATTAGGACTCCAATTAGGGTATTGCTGGATGATTGATTGGTTTGACGTCCTGTGTGAGTCTAAGACTATATAGGACGAGAGCAGTTAGGCTGCTCTAGTAATTTACGAATAGTACATGCAGATTCTTAGACATATAGTGAGAGCCTGTGCTCTAGTAGTAAATAAAGTTAATTAGTTGTCTGTTGTTTAATTAATTGATTGATTGGTTTAACGTCTAGTGTGAGTCCAAGACTGTATTGTAACGACGCAGGCAAGAAGAGAGATATCTAGAATAGGTGTGAATCCGATACAAGGTATATAGGAGTGCTAGAATGATAAGAACACTAGAATATATTCTCTACACCTAACGTACCTCACGGGCGAGTGGAACACTGAGCGAGTGGAACACTTTTGCCAAGCCCCCACCAAAGCCCACCCTATTATGACCCAAAACACCACAAAACGGCGCTGCACAAGGCAAAACAAGCTGTAATATTACTCAGAGACTACTTCTATATCAGTCTTGCACGTTCGCGCGTTATGTCTAGTCTTACTACACTGTCCACAGCGCCTTTAGGTCGGCTCAGCCCCATCAGCGCGCACCTGCTTCTTTGCCTTCTTACCATCACCACGCGCCCCAAACTCTGTTAGAGCTGTAGTGTCCAGCTTGGTGGTGTGTCCGGCTCGGTGGTGCTTTACGTTAGTCCTACAGTTTTTCTTCTTCTATGCTAGGAGTAGCGTTTTGTATTAATTGTAAAATTTATATAAGCTAAGTAGGTGGGCCTATTCTTAGCCTTAAGAGAGCAGCTTCTTCCTCTTATTCTGTGCTAGATTCTAAGTCTTCTCTTTATAACTATAGAGTAGCTTTTAGAGTCTTAATTACAATGTAAATAGGGTAGTCTTTAGGTACCTTCCTAGCTCTAAAGGCGTACTTTCTTAGAGCTGTATTTAGTCTTATAGTAGGGGGAGGAAGTGCTGCTTCTGTCTCCTGTGGTGCTATTAGAGAGGTCCTAAAGGTTCCTAGGATTTTCCTTAGGGCAAGATTCTGCAGTCCTTAGAGTTGCTTTGTGTCGCAGCAGATATCATGCCTATTTACTAGCCAATTCAGGGGTGCAAATGTATGTACATTTTGCCTCTATTTTAGCTGTAACAATTATAAGCCTAGACGCTAAAAGTGCGCAAGTAGAGGTTAAATAGATTTTTGTGTTCTATAGGTGACTATAGCTAAGGGTCTTGGCATAGTACCTGCTCTATTAGCGTGCTATCTGCAGTAACAGAGCATTATAAAGAAGGATTTATCTATTACTTAGCATATTAGGTATTCTACTGTGTTGTGTCACCTATAATTATGCTGTCCTAGTTGCACGTAAGGGTGTGTGTCGCAGCAGATATCATGCCTATTTGCTAGCCAATTCAGGGGTGCAAATGTATGTACATTTTGCCTCTATTTTGGCTGCAACACTTTGTTATTCCTGCTTGTTATTTCTAGAAGACCTAGCAACTATAATTTGCAATGCTAGAAACGCATGCTAAATATAGCTGTCTTACAGCGCAAGGAGGGAGGCCTCTACTGCTATTTGCAAGTCTTCACATTCTGTAGAAAGCGTTTCTTGCTTAGCTAATCCTTGTAGCAGCGTGTTCTTTAAAGGAGAGTGCGTTGTTAAAGTAGATTCCTAGCTACTTTACTGTCTTTTTAGGCTCTATAGTAGACCTGTCTAGTAGGGTAAGTGTAGAGCTAATTGCTTTGTTGCTTATTATAAAGTAAATAAGTTCTGTCTTTACTACATTAAATTATATAGCGCAGCTTGCTCCTTTAGCAAATAGGCTTGCTATATCTTTTTCTAGCATGCAGACATTCTTCTTTAGGCTAGTAGGAGATGCTATTATAGCTAGGTTGTCTAGGTGGGAAAGAGAGTAGTTTATAATAGATTAAAACAGAAATCTAATATATATTAGAAATAGAATTAGTAAGACAGGGCTGCCTTATAGAATTCCTGCTTAAATGCTGCTAAAGTATTCTAATTCTCTATTAAAGGATAGTTGTAGCTAGCAATTAGATAGGAATAATTAAACCTATAATATTAAATTGTAAGGTAGTTATAGCTGTTAAAATATAGCAAGTAGCTAGTTCAGAGCAACGTAGTTAAAGGCACCTTTAATATCTAGGAATACTGTTAATGTTGTGCGCTTTAGTTTTCTTTGCTCTTAGACCTGGTTCAGCAGCAACATAGATGTGTCTATTGTGGATTTCTGTACTCTCCCTCCAAGTTGTGAGGGGTGAATTGATTGATTGATTGATTGATTAGTTTAACGTCCTGTGTGAGTCTAAGACTATATAGGACAAGAGCAGTAAGGCTGCTCTAGTAATTTACAAGTTTTTTCTGTGTAAGGGAATAGTATATATAGGTTTATAGACATATAGTAAGAGCCTGTGCTCTAGTTATAAACAAAGGGAATTAGTTATTTGTTGTTTACTATAGGTACTACTTGCGTGTGCCTACTTTTATTTCTTACATAAAAGCTAGTATAGCTTGTATTCCCCTATTTGTGTCTAGGAGAAGAGACATTGTAAGTCTTGTCTCCTGTAGGCTGCTCTTTATTTTCTTTCTTGCTTCTCTGTAGTTTCTACAGCTAAGCAGTAGGTATTAAGGTGTTTGTGTATATCTAGAGCTGCATTTAGAGCTTTCTGTTTTTTATATATTATATAGATATGCTTTATTGTATCTATGTCCAAGCTTTAGCTAGTAGTATGCGCTTGCAATTTCTCTTCTAGTGTTTTTTGGCAGTGTTATCTTGCTTGTTAGTTTTAGCAAGAATCTTGCTACATAGGTGCTAGGATTTCTAAGCTTTGCTTTTGTAGAGTAGGCTTAGAGTTTCTATTGCCACTCTTGTCTTGCAATAGCTTTAATCCTAATACCTGTCATTGCATGGCTTGTAGTATTAGATACTAGTTACTGTTTTGTAGCTTGTTTTGCTAAGGCGTCTGCTTTTTTGTTTCCTGTAATATCTAGGTGTCCTGGGGTCTAGTGTAGGCTAATTATTGCGCCTTTGCTGTAAATTGCCTTTGCTGCGTTTATGCAGCGGATTTGCCAAGCTTGTCCAGGGTTATTAGAAGGAGTCTTTAGCCTTAGAATTTTGTGAGGGGTGAAGAAGAGCTGTTGTTTCTGCAAGAGTTCTAAGGCGTTTTGCTACTACTCTTTCTTTAATCTTGCCTAGGCAGCTAAGCAAGGTAATTACTCTATAGGCTTTAGGTGCAGCGTAATTAGGCTTGTTTAGCTTTTTTGGGATTATTCCTGTTGCTTTCTTCTATTCCTATAGGTAGTATCTGTAGTTAAACAGAGCAGAGAAAACAAAGAAGAATATTTCTGTCTATGCTTTATATGCTGTAGTAATAATCTCTTGTGTTAGGGCGTCTAATCCTAGAGAGCTGCTTTAGATTTGTGCTGAGCAAGCGTATTCTAGCTCTTCTATAGTAAGATTAGGCTATTCCTAGTTGCTTGGGTAGTAGTTGTTCTACTCTATAGGCCTAGAAGCAGGAGGGCTAGGGAAGAGAGTTTCTCTTAGTGTAGAGCATTTGCCTTAAAAAGATTCCTATATTCCTCTTAGGCCTTAATTGATTGATTGATTGATTGATTGATTGATTGATTGATTGATTGATTGATTGATTGATTGATTGATTGATTGATTGATTGATTGATTGATTGATT